AGGTAGGTATATAGATATAGCTACTTATCTAACCTATATTATAATAAGATAGCTCCTATAGCCTATCCTAATATATCTATCTTAATAATAGTTTCCTTATTCTTTTCAAAATATATTAGAATCAGGATATTAATAAAGAGACTTTTTAATTCTTTAAATATTTATTAATAGTTATTATCCTATATAAATTAGATATCTTTTCTTATTAATTTTATTAGAGATATTAAGAGGTTAGTAAATTAGGATATAAATAAGTAGTAAAAGTTAGTAAATCTAAGAAAGCTCTATATATCTTATATTAATTTTAGTACTTCCTATTCTTAGATAGTTATAACCTTTTTTAGATTAATATAGATTCTTTTATCTATTTATATAATAAACCCTAGATATTTTATAGAATCTTACTTAAACTCTGATTTTCTAATATTATATTATAGGCCTACTTCTTATAGTTTCTATAGTATTTATTCTATTTTCTATTAGTAATCTCCTAATAATCTATTATTATATATAATAATATTATTTATATATATAGATATAAAATTATTAAGATACTCTTATAGGATCTTATTAATATATCTCTAGAAAATTATTAGTATACTAATTAATCTAAATAAAGTAATATTCTACTTATATAGATTATATTATATCTAAAATATTATTTTCTATTCTTCTCTTAATTAAATATAAATCTTATAGAAAGTAATAATAATATCTAACTTAGAAAACTATTTAGCCTATCTTATATTTCTTAGTATCTCTTTAATTAGTAGTAATAGATAATAATCCTTTACTATTAATTTATTTAATCTATAGTAATTAATATAGAATTATACTTTTTTATTTAGCTTCTTTATTAATAAGATTAGGATTATAGTAAATAATTTATTTACTTAGATAAAGCTCTTTCTAAAAAGGTTTATTAATATCTTCTATAGATATAGAAGCTTTTCTTTATTTATACTATAGAGAGAACTATATAAAAATAGTTCTTTAATATTATTATAGTCTTATTTTAGAATAATTTTATAGTTAATTCTTAGTTAATTTAGAAATAATTTATTAGTTAACTATTAACTAAAGATATCTAACTACTATTAATAGTATCTTAATAGCTTATTCTTAGGGTTATTCTATTTCTTTAGATATAGTACTTTCTTAATATTATCTATTATAACTTTATTTATTTATAATTAATTTAGCTACTTCTCTCTATAAATAAAGTTATATAATAATTAGACTATTAACTTCTTAATCTATATTCTTCTTATATTAGTTAGTCTAATTATATAGTCTATATAGTTCTAGTACTTTATCTACTCTCTATTTCTTATAAATATATTAATATATCCTTTTCTTACTAAATATTAATTATTAATATCTTATAACTAAGGATCTTCTAATATTATACTATCCTTTTACTAGGAAATAATATATATAAATATTTATTTTTATTAATAGTTATATTTATCTAGATTAAAATATATAACCTAGGTAATTTAATCCTAATTTAGGACTACTCTATCTAGAATCTATATAGATATTCTAATATATAGAAAATTAAATAACTAAACTAATATTTTATTTATAGTTATATAATAATAATAACTATTATTAACTAGGGCTTATATAAATTAGATTTTATTTATTTTAATATTAACTAGAAATAATATTATTTCTTATTTTAGTAGCTTTTTAACTTCTTTTTATTTTTATTTATAACTTAGAACTAGAGTTACTCTTTTTCTAAATCTTTATTTAAGAAGAGTTTATTTTTAAAAACTAATATACTTAACTTATAATTAATTATATATTTAGTTTTTTTATCTTTAATTCTATAGGGATATCTCTCTCTCTTAGTTCTTAGTACTATATAGTTAGTAAAGAATATTTTATAATAAAATAGTTTTATTTACTATAATAAAGATATCTTCCTTTATCTTATTATCTTTCTATCTTTTTATAATTAATCTACTTTATTTATTTATTTATTTTAGGCTCTAATTAGTAGTATTTTATATAGAATTTAGCTTAATTAACTATAGTAGTTAGGGTTTAATCTATTAAGTCCTAATATTACTAGATATATATATAATATAATCTTTCTAGGATATTAATATTAAGAGTATCTATATTAATATTAATTTTATAAAGTTAAGTAATAAGATCTAAAAATATAGTAAGAATACTATAATTTATTAATAAATTCGTTATATTTTTATTTAAGGATCCTAATAAGATCTATCTTTTTATTTTATTGTATTATTTAAGGGTATCTATATCTATAAACTCTTTCTTTAATCTAAGAAGGAATTTTATAAAAGATATACTATTTAATTAGTATATTTAGTAGAGATATCTTATAGTATATATTTTAATATTTAGATCCTTATAAATATCCTTAAGATAGTCTAGAATTATCTATAGATCCCTATTATTTTATTATAATTTTATAAAGATTCTAATATTCTTCTAAATAAGCTTCTTAAGCTTAGAGAATATATATATAAATTAATCTTAGGGTAAGTTAATTACTATATTATTAATATATAGTTTATTCTTTATTATTATATACTATATTAGCTAGTTAGCTACTTTTTCCTTAAATAGAATTAGATCTAATAATTATATCTTTAGGTAATATATAGGTTCTAATTATAGGGGTTCTAAGATTAATTTAATTATAGTTTATACTAGAGTTAGTTCTTTTATTATTATTATTATTAACTATAAGACTAATTACTCTATTATAGTCTCTAGATAATAGATTTGTTTATTTTAGGTAATATACTCTTGGTTATATTATTATATTAATTCCTTTTATATTATATATTCTATATTAATTTATTTATTTTATTTACTTTATATAGCTTATAATTATATTATTTACTATAGTAGTATCTATACCTATAATAGTAGGCTTATAGACTTCTATATCTTTTACTTAGGGGTTATATTATTAAATTACTCTTGATTTAGGGACGATTTATATATAGTTTTAGATTTTTATAATATCCAATTAGAAGCTTTTTATTTGTAAAGGGCTAAAGTAGAATTTATATCCAATTAAGCTAGGCCACGTACTATATATAAAAAGCTTAAAGAGAGAATTACTAAGTAGGTATTCTATATTTTAAGTTATTATAGTCACATATACTACGTGACCTTATACCGGGCATTGGCCTGTGATAATTACTTTGTTTATATCTATATATAAAGATACCTAAGATAGTATTAGTTCTAGAATCTTTATTTAATATAATACTACTAGATATAAATTACCTAATTAAATATAAATCATATAGATAGTTGAGTTAACTATCCTTAAAAGGGGAGGATAAATTATCATAGGATTCCTAAATCCCTTCGGATACAATTCGGGTATAATTCATAGCCACTCCGCGGACGAATCTATCACGATACACCTACTAATATATAACTACCCTAAGCCCTAGTAAGCTCTAGCAATATTAAAACGCACGAATAATAGCTACGATTCTTATCCTACAAGAATCAGTTCTGTATATCAACTGTTCTATTTGATCTCTACCATCCGATATCCTTGCCTAGTCACAGGTCTCTAGCCTGACAACTTAGTAACCGTAACAAATATAGGGGTAGAAGCTATATAGTATTAGGATATAGATAGATATATATTAAGTTAGTAGACTAGCTTATACAGCAGGTAGAAGATTAAGGAACAGGTTATATTTCGGCGGGCTATAGGATAGAAGGTTGACCAAGACGTAGCTTAAAGAGCTATGTCTAATAGGAACAGGAAGTTCCGATAAACTCACAGGTCACATGATAACAGGAACGGGGATCCTCTCGTACGAGGATCCACACCGTAACATATAGTAGGTCAATGAATTCTACTACTACTACTAATAGTTAATATATATATAGTAGTAAACAAATATAGTAAATAGATAAGGTCTGATTATATATGATCAGATAACTGTAAATAGATAGCAATAGATATAGATATAGGTGTTGCTATATATAAAAGAATGTAATAGAACGTAACTTAGGAAATATATAGGGAGAATTGGGTAAAATTATCTCAAGAGCTTAGTGATTTAATATATAATACATATATTAAAATCTAGATAATTCAAATTTTGGTAAAATTATAAAGAAGTAAAAAGAATTATAGTAATATTATATTAAGATAGCTAAACTACTAGGACAGTAGTATACTTAATTTTATTACATTTTTTTAAGCAAGAATTGACGTTGTGCTTCACATATGCTCTTAGATACTTCCGCCCGCACGTTGTTAGTGTGGGCCGCACTTGTACATTTGAGCTCTGCCGGCGATTATACGTGTGGGCCACCTGATCCCTCTACTGACCACAACAACCTCAAGCTTATCAAGGAGACTTCAACTGTGACTTTGTTTAATCTCTATATAGTAGTGTTGAGCTACTTTGCGCTTTGTTCTGAACCTTTCAAAATGTCTTGATCTTCATTTTCATCTCTTTATTCCCAACTGCCAAGATAAATTATCTTGCTGCAAACCTAGATCCTCCCTCTCGCTCTCCCCTCTTCCCATCTCCACCATCCACCGGTGTCAGGGCCCGCACGTTTCCGATATCTACCGTGAATGGTCGTCCACGGTCAGTTTTGAGTTAGTGTGGTTGGGCCCTGGGATAGCCCTGGTTGCGATCCATTGGGTCTACCTTGCTTATTTTCTTGGTTTTTACTGGTTTAAAAGCGGAGCTTGTGTCTCGGTGCCCACACGTCATGCCGAACTTGGCTCCGTCGCTTGCTTTGAGCCTAACGGCGGCCACGTCCACCACCACGGCTTCATTGGCTTCAACTACATCTTCCGTCGCTGCTACCGCTGTATCTGCAGCTGATCTCCCCTCCCCGCCTTTCTTTCCACCAACTCCCTCAACTATGGCGGGGTGGATCGCTTGGGTGTTTACCTTCACCTTTCAGGTGATTCCGCGCGCGCTGTACTGGCTCATCACTTTCACCACCATCACATTGCCTACATGGCTTTTTACGCTCTTCTCCATGAGCTTGACGTTCACTATGAATTTCACGACGCTGTAGGTCTTCGCGCTCCCAAAGAAACTCTCCCACACGTCTATCGTGGAACGCTGGGCTTTTTGCATGTGATTCCCCTATATCCCGCAGATGGCGAGACTGACCAAGCACTCTATAGCATGTTAATTATCCTCGCCGTCATATCGACCGTGAGCTGGTTCATTCGCTACCGATTCCTGAACATGTACAGTCGCCTACCCCCGGAACCCCCTCGCAAAGAAGCCCAGGTCGATCTCTTCCCCGATATCCAAGAAGGCGACTCCAAACCAGGGTTAGCCAACTACCTCGACGAATTCCTCAGCGCGATTAAAGTGTTCGGCTATCTAGAACGACCAGTATTCCATGAGTTGACCCGGACCATGCAGACGAGGAAGCTGATTGCTGGGGAAACATTGATGTTAGAGGAGGAAAAAGGGTTTTGTCTGGTGGTCGATGGCCTGGTTCAAATATTTGTGAAATCCACTCGAGAGGGCAAGTTGACGGAAGAGACTTTGCACATGGAAGATGGGACATCGGACGAAGAAGAGCATAGTATGCACGGTCGCCAGGGATATCAACTGCTGACCGAAGTAAAGAATGGCGCGTCTATGTCATCTCTCTTTTCAATCCTGCAGTTGTTCACAGAAGATATTAAATTGCGCAATACTCGAAGCCATAGCTCAAGTGCGTCCAGCGTTGGCGGTTCTCATACGCCGCGAGCTCCCGATTCTATTCCTGTGAGCCCAGGCGTGGATATGATGGGTAGTCCTCGCGCTCATGCGGAAGATCCTTCTGACCCGACCCACGGTCTCAATGAGAATAGCGAGACATTACTGCCGGTCCCTCCCCTGCAATTAGGAGAGAGTCAATCTTCCTTTAGAGGGGGATCTTCACAGCCGCCTTTTACGCGATCACCTCTCAAGCGACGGAAATCGGTGCATCCTGATATTGTTGCTCGAGCCACTGTGGATACAACGATTGCTATCATCCCCGCCAGTGCATTCCGTCGTTTAACTCGAGTATACCCAAGGGCGACCGCCCATATTGTGCAAGTGATTCTCACTCGTCTCCAGCGAGTGACGTTCGCTACTGCACACTCCTACCTCGGTCTGACGACAGATGTGCTAGGAATTGAACGACAAATGTCCAAATATACAAATTGGGATTTGCCGAATGACCTCCGCGGCAGCGCATTGGACCGACTGAAGAACAAGTTCATGCAAGAGAGAGACCGTCTTGGACCCGAGGAAGTTGGGAAAGGTATCGCACTGCACAATCCTGCTGTAGGACGGAGGCGACGATCTAGTAGTTCGCTCCGAAAGGAAGCCGTTCTGCATACGCGGCTGAATAGCACCAACCGACCCGTCGCACTGACTCCACAGCGATCACCACCCCTTGACACCGGACGAGAATCGAATGGAGTGAGCCCAGGCGACCTGTTATCAACAATTCAACTCTCTAGATTTGGACCGCGATTCGATAATGCCGGCCCTCACCTTATGAGTCCCCTGACAGAACGAGAACGGCCCCTATTTCGATCTGCCGCGGTTATGGATGGTCTCACATCTTCCCCTTTCCAACGCAAAGAATCTATCGACGAGGATACACTATTTCGCGAATCGATTCTGGATTGTATGATGAAGGGGATCGGTTTGACTGAAACTACCCAGGATTCCCTGCGTAAAGGTAGCCATGCCTCTGGAGAAGCATCGCCTAGATTGCTTTCGTATGATTCCCGGCGACAAAAGGCCGTTTTCTCCAATGCTTTCGGGTTCATCGACCCCTACGAAGGTTCTGGAGATGGCGAGACCGACTCAATGATGTCCATGTCTGTTACCAGTGCTGGTGGAACCTCTCCCGTGATTAACCTCCGTGAGGAACTTCGTCACGATATCGAGGTTGTTTATTTCCCACAGGGCTCCGTTCTCGTAGAGCAAGGCGAGCGTCATCCGGGCCTTTACTATGTTATAGATGGATTCTTAGACGTTGGCATTCCTATCAATGAACGAGGAGATGATCTTGTTGGCTCATCACGTCCTTCAGTATCCCATGCGCAAGAGGAGCTTTTTCCCAAGTTGGGGCGAACCACAACCGGATCCTCTCGAACGTCGGGCACAACAGGTGCCAAGGAATCACGCCGCAAGCCTCAGTCACGAAAATCGCTATACCTAATTAAGCCCGGTGGTATGCAAGGGTATGTTGGTGCTCTTGCCTCCTACCGCTCATACACCGACGTCGTGGCCAAGACAGATGTTTACGTGGGTTTCCTGCCTCGCGCATCTTTGGAGAGAATTGCAGACCGATACCCCATTGCTTTGTTGACCCTGGCTAAGCGATTGACCAATCTCCTTCCCCGCCTGCTACTGCACATTGATTTTGCACTGGAGTGGGTGCAAGTAGCAGCGGGCCAAGTTATCTATCACCAAGGAGATGAAAGCGATGCCATATATCTTGTGTTGAATGGTCGTCTCAGATCTGTTCTTGAAGGCCCCAATGGCAAGATGAACGTGATAGGTGAATATGGTCAAGGAGAAAGTGTCGGTGAATTGGAAGTTATGACCGAATCCACGCGACCAGCTACTCTTCATGCTATTCGAGAGACCGAACTGGCCAAGTTCCCTCGATCCCTGTTCAATAGCTTGGCACAAGAACACCCTGGAATCACCATCCAGGTCTCCAAGCTAATTGCCCAGCGTATGCGGGACTTGGTGGAACATCCTTTATTGGAGAAGGGCCTGGAGCAAGGCCATGTTGGTGGAGTCCAGACGGCGACATCAACCCTCAATCTTCGCACGGTCGCTATTCTTCCAGTGACTGCTGGTGTTCCCGTGGTTGAATTCGGCAATCGCTTGCTAAATGCCTTGCACCAGATAGGCGTGACGAGGGGCGTGACATCCCTTAACCAAGCTGCAATTTTGAACCATCTAGGTCGCCATGCGTTCAGCAAGATGGGTAAATTGAAACTTTCTCAGTACCTAGCAGACCTGGAAGAGAAATACGGTCTGTTACTGTACATTGCAGATACAAATGTCAACGCTCCGTGGACCCAAACTTGTATTGCACAAGCAGATTCCATTTTGCTGGTCGGTGTAGCTGAAGCGTCTCCCAGGATCGGGGAATATGAACGTTTCTTGCTTGGTATGAAAACTACTGCACGGAAGGAGCTTGTGCTATTACACTCAGAAAGGTACTGTTCGCCTGGCCTGACGCGCCAATGGCTCAAGAACAGACTTTGGATCAACGGAGGCCATCACCATATTCAAATGGCGTTCCGCCTAACTGCTGAACCATCCCACCCTCAAGCAAAGAGGTTTGGGACCGTTCTTAAAAAGCGAGTGCAGACTTTGCAGGCCGAAATCCAAAAGTACACTTCACGACGGATCCAGCAGTCACCTGTGTATTCACCGCAAACTCCCTTCAAGGGTGACTTTCATCGGCTTGCCCGACGACTATGCGGCAAATCCGTGGGATTAGTCCTAGGCGGTGGAGGTGCCCGGGGAATCAGCCAAGTAGGTGTCATCAAGGCTCTCGAGGAAGCAGGAATTCCAATTGATATTATTGGTGGAACTTCCATCGGATCGTTTATTGGAGCCCTGTATGCCCGAGACGCCGATGTGGTACCCATGTATGGTCGTGCGAAGAAATTCTCCGGTCGGATGGGTAGTATGTGGCGATTTGCTCTGGATTTGACCTATCCCACGGTCTCATACACAACTGGCCACGAATTCAATCGTGGAATTTTCAAGACGTTCGGCGACAGTCAGATCGAAGATTTCTGGCTGGAGTTCTACTGCAACACGACTAACATCAGTAAATCTCGGGCAGAGTACCACTCATCCGGATATGTGTGGCGGTATGTGCGAGCTTCCATGTCACTCGCTGGATTGATTCCTCCCATCTGTGACGAAGGCAGCATGTTGCTTGATGGCGGATACATCGACAATCTCACGGTCGCGCACATGAAAAGTTTAGGCGCAGATGTCATTTTCGCCGTGGATGTTGGTTCCCTCGACGACAACACACCCCAGGGCTACGGTGACTCGTTATCTGGATTCTGGTCCATGTTCAACCGCTGGAACCCCTTTTCATCCCTTCCGAACCCACCCACACTCTCTGAAATCCAAGCCAGATTAGCATATGTCTCATCCATCGATAACCTGGAACGAGCTAAGAACCTAACGGGTTGTCTCTATATGCGGCCACCCATTGATCCCTACGGTACTCTGGACTTTGGCAAGTTCGATGAAATCTATCAAGTCGGGTACGCATATGGCAAAGAGTTCCTTGACAAGCTCAAGAACGAAGGGTCTCTCCCTATCCCTGAGGAGACGGAGGAAAAGCGCAAACTACAGAGGACTATGGCACCCCGACGAGCCAGTATCTAGAGATCACAGAGATCACAGAGCTTGCATGTTATATGACTAAACACGTCATATGTTTATTATTTTTTTTGTTTCGCAATGATTCCGGTATCATCAATATGTCGTCTTTTCCAGTTCCGAACAGATTAAGTACCATTTGGATTGGAGTCGGTCGCTCTGGCGTTCAGTTTCATTTTCCGCGTCTGCTTTGCTCAATTGCATAAGATACACCCATTCGCAGGTTGGTGATACTTTTTATTCGTTTGTATATAAATTAGAAATCCAATATCCAAGGCTTCAGCCTGAGGTCTACATTGAATCAAAGCCCAAGTTTCAAGGGTATCCCCGCCCATGCCCAACTTTGGTGATCAGAGGTGTCATAGTGACCAGAGCAGCAATGAAGCATACAAAAAGCGGTATGCATAGCTTGTGTAGAAGGACTCTATTACAGAGACTGACTTCATCCAAAACTTGAACCACAGTCTGATTGGTATACGGCATACTTGCACGTAAAGACCTAGGTGGCAAAGGCACAGAATCCAACTTAGCCGCACCAACGATAGAACTAGATGACTTATCAAGCAATACGTTATTCAAATAGGGCAGCAAGTAGTTTCCGATGACCTTATGCTTAAAAGTTGCACAAGCCTCCAATCTAGTGAGATCGTTCGCGGAATTCCAAATCTTCGTGACTCGCGGACGACGGCCACTCTGCCATGATTGAAGACAATCGGCAAGATCATGAGTTTGAGGTGAAGTATTTTCCTGAAGGAGCTTTGAGAGACTATTGGCAAGTGTAGCTGCGCTTTCAATTGCACTGTTACCACCTTGCCCTCCGTTCGGCGTCATCTAGACAGTTATCAGTACGAGTCGCGGGGAATACACTTTCTTCCAAGGGACAGACATACCTTGTGGATTGAATCTCCAATACAGACAAAGCGGTCTCTAGTCCAGTATTCAAAATTAGCCTCTTCTAGAGGCAAATGTGTCTTCACAAAAGCTCTTTCGTAGACGGTTCTAAATGTACATCTCCGGTAAGCGGCTTCTGCAACCAAGCCGCAACATGTTCATCTACATCTTCAGGACGAAAACGCGGAATCTCATGACTGGCATATTTGCGAGCCATCTTCGTGAAGAAAAACCAGTAAACCCGTCCATTCTTACTAGATATAGTGAGGAAAGAGTATCCCTGTCCGAATGTCCTGTGCGTACGTCCTGGGATAAGACCAGGTGTTTCTGGTGAAATGCCGAAAACACAGTCGTATTCCGAAATCATGGCTGTGACTTGGTGAATATTGTGATTAAGTAGGGTAAGATGGGAAGATTAAGATTACTTCTCATGTCTGGTGCAATCTCCTTGGAGAGACCCAGGGATACCATATAGTTCCACATTTGTTGCCTGACGCCACTCCGAACACCATCGGCCCCAACGATCAAGTCGCCCTGATAGGAAGAACCATCTTCGCATTCGGCAACAATATGCGTTGGGTGGTGTGTGACTTGAGTGACTCTTTTATTTACGAGTACTTTATCCTGACATTCCCTTAAATGCGCATAGAGAATGCCTAGGAGAGTCTGGCAATCTAAGAAGTTGATCGGATACCCATGTCTAGAAGTAAGGTCAGTCAAAATTGACTACTATAGTAATAATTAAGCTCCAATATTCAGACAAATACCTTTCATGTAGTATCTTCGGTGCGTTCGAACTCATGATCAATTTGCCAGAGTCCGCCCAAAACGAGGAATGTTGCAGAGGCTCAACAGCATCGAGCACATCATCAAACATATCCCGATTGACGCACCAATCTGAGGAGCGATCTCTCTGTACGCCTCTAGCATGACGAAATCAATGTTCCTTTTCCAGAGGCAATGGGCTAGAGTTAGACCTGCAACAGATCCTCAACGATGACGACTCGGAAATTTGCGATTTCGCTGGCATTATGCAAAGGTTCTCAACAGATTGACACTTGAAATGTCGGCATGCCTTTGAATAAATAAATGGCCAGCTCGGATTGTGCCCGGCATACACGGCTCAGAATAATATGCATAACGTTTACCTTGTACAAAATTCATCTTTTGTATTTGACGCATAATTGGAAACAAAAATGTGCATAGTGGGAACCTTAAACAAAAAGATATTACCAGTGTGGGGCCACTCAGTAGCTCCAGTAGCCTGAAGAATTAATTCCACGTCATGAGGGAGTCAGACAGGAACCAAAAAAATCTCACATAGTATGGTAAGGCGGGTGGAGAATGGGAAATCTTGGTTCTTCACCTGGATTATTTTATTATTGTGTCTTCATGAGAATGTTCAACTGAGAATGTAAACAGGACTGTATAAAAGTCTTTTTCTGAGGCCTCTCATTCGTCTTTTTACATGTTTTTCTACATCTCTTTCGTTTTGTATTTCCACTTGTTTTTAAGAATTGAATATCTATCGATTTAAAGCTTACATACAGGTAGCGATGTAATAGTAGGTAAAAATTCTCTATCGCAAAGGGGTTTTTCCTGATGATCGCCCCTGTAGGTGGATCCACCTGTACCAAGAAACCCGAGAAATCCGAAGACAACAATACTTATAATTACAACAACCCCACGGAAACCGACGTTCTCCGGCCTACACTGAATGAGCGGAAGGGATCTGGTATTGTATAGACTGCCTCATATACTGTATTGCAGCGATGGAGTCATTGCTAGCCCAGAAGCGTTCGAGAGTCGGTGTTGACCGGAAGAGACGAGATCAGAAGCCCCGAGTGTTTCCCTCTTGTACATCATGTAGGGAGAAGAAGTACGCAGTTTTACCTCTGATTCGCGCAAAAATAAGGTTTTGTTTTCTTACCATTTACAAGATTAACGTGTAATCGTCGGGATCCCTGTGATAAGTGCCAGAAGAAAGGTCAGGAGACGAATTGCTATTACAGCGGAACGAGGAGCATCCAGCAAAGCCATGAGACACACAGCGACTGCGAAGCCCGAATGAGAAATCTCGAGAGCAGATTGCTTCAACTTGAAGCCGAGGCTCAAAATCAACACTGTTCGCTGCGATGTTTATCCACGCCTGGTTCTCACGAAACGAGCCAGGCCACTGAGGAGCACGTTGGCGAAGCGTTGCTCGCTGATATGTATGAGCCTGAAGTTATGCTGGTTGAGAACGCCGGAAGTCGGTCATTCAACCGAAATCATTGGCGAGCTATAACGAAACACGCAGTAAGAAGGATTCATCGGACCTTGAGGGGCATTTAAGTCTGATTGCTGATATTGAGATGCGTAAAGACCCGCGATATTGACGCGAATGAAGATGTAATGCCCCAATACGAGCCAATTCAAATTCCAATGCTTCTAAGGGGAACACTAGGAGTCGACGATATGGAAACCCTTTTGCGAGTATTACCACCACGAGACATCGCAGACGCGTTGGTCCTTCGCTACCTAGATTCCGCCGAGCCATCTCTCAGTACGTTTCCACTATTTGTCATTTTTTGAACTATTCCGCACTCGATAATATCTAGGTCGTGGCCTTACTGGCTCTTCAAAAGTGATTATTCATATCCCCACATTCAAACAGGAGGCAATTTATACGGCGATCGTGCATCGAACTGTACCAAAAGTTTCATTGTTGACAGATAAGTAAAGTACAGCTATTTCTGGGAGAACCCGTGCGACGTATCTCGCGCCTGGCTAGCCCTTCTATTTGGAATATTGTCTTGTGCAATTTGGATCGAGCATTCCATGAATCCAGCAATGGCAGAAGAAGAGCCACCGGAAATATTAAACTACTACAAAAAGCAATGCTGCATTGCTTTGATTAGTTCCAACTACACTACACCTGGCCCCTACAAAGTCCAGGCCGCAACGCTTTATCTCGGTGTTGAAAACCTGTCGAGTGACGGATTAAAGACTAGTGTGTCTATTCTTGTTAGTATGGTGTTTCGGCTGGCGATCATGATGGGATATCATAGAGACCCCAAATTATATCCCAAGGTATCTATATTCGAGGGCGAGATGAGACGGAGAGTGTGGCTCAGTTTATCCATGATCGATTACTTTATTGCTTGGCAATCGGGACTTCCTACAGTAATTCCCAAGGGAATAGATGATACTGCATCACCTCGCATTCTTTTCGATGAAGACTTTGATTCTAAGACAGAGATCCTACCACCATCCACGCCAGACCGCGAACTATCGAGCAATATCAGCTACGTCATCGCCCAGGAGCGATTGATAATGGCGGCCAATACGATCACTCGAAGTTCAGAAGCATATCCCTTCCTGCAAAGAACAATAAGTCTTGAACAGCAACTAAAAGCAGCCTGGAGCCAGGTTCCCGTTAATCTGAAGCAGAGACTTCTACTCATCATCGATTCTGATACAATGATACATATCCTTACTCTCGAAATGACATATCAACGCGCCCGTTGCATTCTGCACCGTCCGTACTTGGTAAACAGTCGTGACGATCCGGCTTATAAACTATTTCGAATTGAATGTGTCCACGCAGCTCAAAGGGTCCTCCATTGTCAAATCGAGCTATTGCAAGGAATCCTCTCTCAGCCACAATGTAGGCACAAAGTTTGGTTCGGCATATCCCGATCTATATGCGACTGCCTGACTGCAGCCATGGTAATATCCCTGGAGATTTTGAGTCGTTTCAAGAGTAATGAACTGATCGATCATGGATCATCAGAAGAGCTCATTCAGACTGTCAAGTCCTCGCGAATTTATTGGGAACAATGCCCGCGTCCATCTATGGAGACAAATAAGGCTGCCAGTATTCTCCGTCATATGCTACGTCTCATCGACATCAATGATAGGAGAGTCGAGCGCCATATAACAGGGTCCAATATCAAAACCAGCGAGAACGTGGAAAACGTTATACATGTGGACAGAGACTACGATTCGCCAAACGAGCCTATACCCTACAATTCCAGCCAGCCAGTACAGAGCCATGAAACATTTGCCAACATCTCAGCATTTGATTTGATTGATTTCGTAAGACTTCGGTGCCCCAAAGAAATAGAAAATCCCATGGCCAGCTAACATCGAGTCCAAAGACAATCTGGGATCAAGAAATGCAAAATCTAAGCCATATATCGACGGGAAATGAGAAATTTGGAGGAATTTCCTCTTGATCGCAGGCATATTCCCCCAGCTCTGATGATTCCATTGTTCCTACTTCATATGCGACTGGATCAAACTTCAGTATTCAGTATGATAAATCGATAAGTGGATAGCCGAGCAAGGCTCGAGAAACCCAATCTTCCTTCGCCCGAGATGAAACCCAGAAGATATTAATAAGTCCCTGCAGAAGAGACCCAATATTAGAAATTAATGAAAAACATATAGATCAAAAGGTGAGCAGAATCAATATGCCAGCTCACAACTACATATTCAACCCATCAAGGTGATACAAGCAAAGATTCACATCAAAAAAATCGACTCAAACATCAACACGAGAATCAAAGCCAAGCAGCCCACAACCTAAAGCGCACCAAAATCATCCAATGACCGTGATCCAGCCCCATGTGGAATAACGCTGAAGTACAGACTTCAGCATATTAATCAACTAGGCTTCAGCCACCGGGGCAGCAACTTCGGCCGGCGCATCGAGAGGCGGACAGGTTCCATCATGTTTCTCCACAACAGCCTGAGTAGGATTCTCCTTCTGATAAGCCCAAAGGGAGGCAACTTATAGAAACATACCGACGAATGTAAAAACACTTTATACAAGGATTAGCAATCGTCCGAGTTAAACTCACATCGCACCTCGTGCAGTGCATGGTATGCATGCGGGAACAGGGAGTCTGGAATCTCGATGCAGTGGGACAGAAAACAAACATACAAGGCTAAGAAGATAAAAGTCTGATTCGAGTTTTACGGCCACAGGTTACACCAGGCGGGGAACGTAAGTAGCACAAGTGCCGGTCGTAGTCCTGAGCCGCGAAGATGAAGGAGGTTAACCAGCTGAGTTAGTTAGAGCTTGATGCATTAGCTGATTGGTCTCTCATGCGAGGCAAGACCTAGCAACTTACAGATAGGAGAGGATGATGTCGATTAGAAGGACAAATTTACTCAAGGTTGTTGGGAGGAAAGGAGAGATGAAGGCTGGGAGGAAGCAAACGACGGAGAGGACGGCCTAGATGTTTGAACTAGTTAGTTGTGGGGTTGAAAGATTTGGAGGGTGTCGGTGATGCTCACAATAACATCTTGATAGAGAATATGCTGTCCATGAGGCCCTTTCATGATAAAGTATGATGTTAGACCCATAACTATAACGGAACTAGACCACTGGAGGGCCCTAGTGACCAGCTGTAGGGGCCGAGCGATTTTCGACGAGAAGCGCATGATGGTATGTAGTCGAAGCCGGGCTATAGGTATGGTTCATATAAATATCAAGGAAAACTGGATCAAGAAATATAGTAAAAGCAGAGTTGACAACAAAAGACAATAACCTACGTGGCAATGCAGGCCTTTATGTTCTCAAACCCCAGATCATGATCGCATCACCAGTCCATTCCTGGACACGAGAAGCATCAAGCATGAGACACAGATAGCTACTGCGGAGTCAAGCCAAACCCAAATTCATAGATCGAGGAACCTGAGGAAAACAAAATTACAAAAATACAAAAATGAAAAGTAATTCCTCCAAGCCAGAGTCTACAAGTCACAAAGAAAAGAATCCGACGAGAATGTAGCCGGGGTCCTCAGCGCATCATTATGGCACCGGCAAGAAGTCAGAACCAGCACCTCCTTTCAATTGAAATGTTTGTACATGTATCTATGCAGAATGTAAGTGTGGATGCACCTGTGGCAAATTACTTTTGCGCCGTACGATGTTCAAAATTCTAAATCGAACCAGTCCATACAAGGTGTCTTCGATTGTACTTTGTTTATTTACTTTGTTATGAAGATCAGCAAATCTCGTGAGAACGTTTATAATTTCTGCGCAGAATAGAGTTAAATGAAATAAAGATTCCCCATTGTCAAAGTGAGACATATCAACATTCAAACTAAATGACAACATGGATAGCCTAGTAGGCTTCAGATGTACACTTCACCGTCATGAATCCCGCTGGCAAATGGTTAATAACACTCGAACCGAATGGAGCGTGACACAGAAAAATTAGAATTTAATGCGTAAGCTTGAACCACAGGACCAAGTACGGAGCGTGAGTGTAAGCACTTTAGCCCGATCCATGCTGGAATGGATCGCTGTAAACTAGCTTACAAGATACATGCAGGACCCGCTGCAGCGACAGGCATCCTGGCGGGCTACAGCTGTATAGTCCGAATATCAATCAGCTCGGGGTATTCCCCACATATGTACGCGGCAGAGCTTGCTGAATTAGCTCTCGGGTACTAGAAGAGGAATATAGAGATATTTAAATGTGAAGATCAATGAGAAGATTCAACACCCCAGCCGTATGTCCTAGTACCCAACAGTCGAGGACCTATACTTGCATACAAATTTGTCATTGTGGGAGAACAGAGAAAGACTCGACGCAAATGTTCCAAGGTTCGAACAGGTCTGGCTGTTGTATTCGAATTCGGGATGTACCTGACATAGAACATTGATTTCAAGATGTTTGTATGTACGGTCAAGGTTGATGATACCATGCAAGGCAGAGGATGATACAGGTATACCAAGCTTCAAAGATGATTTGTGAAACTTCATAAAAACGCTAGAGGGTATAGAATATTGTGTATTGTGAAATGGCAAGTGTTTAATTATGACATTTTTCATTCAAACATGTAAATGATGATACCCATTGCCAACCCATAACCGGACAAGTTGACTCCATTACGCCTGTGGATCCACGATCGCCTACACAACTCTCACCACGTAGCATTTCCCAACTCGTGCTCCTGTGAAAACAAAGTTAGCAAAATGTCATTTAAAAAAAAACAAAGGACACTTCCAAAGGGACCAGTCTTATCAACTCACCTTGATATACTCGCCGCCCTTCTCCAGATACTCTTCCCGAGTCACAGATGATCGGCCCAAATCTTTACCAGAAGCCCACTGCGCTGCACCCTTCCAAGCATCCAGCACAGGATCAGACGCCCGACGAACATTAAACTCCGCATCAATGGGTAAGAAACCACGAAGTTCATTTCGGAAGCGTTCGTCAAATCCAGTGAAAAGTGTATTACCACCGGTTAAGAAAACATCCTTTAGGAGACGGGCACGGTCCTCAGTACCTGAGAAACGCTGGTTGACAATATTGGCAGCAATTTCAATCAATCCGGCCTGGTCAACGCCGGCAATAGAGGGCTTGAACACAACTTCAGGAACACGGATGCGCTCGACATTGAGATGGATCTGGTGCGCTTCCCTTTGACTCTCCGGGTCGAAAGGCCAGGGTCCACGCAGGAACGCATGCACCATACTCTTGGTCCAGTCAGATTGTGCGGCAAGAGTGTGGTTCTCAGTGAACTCGGGATCATGCTCGAGCAGCTCGGTTTCAACGCCGTTGAGCATTCCACCTAGATCTTCCTCCTCTTCTTCGTCACTCTGGTCGCCTGTTGCGACGGTACGGTAGACACCCCAGTCATCGTCGTTAGCACCAAAGTCATCATCATCACCGCCACGGCGGCGCTTCTTGGGACCGTCAGAGGCCAAATTAGCCAAGGTCTTCATGCGCATTTGACTAGCAAGGGACTTTCGGTTTCCAAGGTCAGCCTTCATGCGATCGCGGTCCTTGATTCTTTGGAGGAGAGCCTATCATCTTTGTTAGTTTCCGTTATAATATTTATATTAGACCGGGCAAAGTTACCTGGCGGTTGACTCGCCGCTCCTCAATCCATTCCTCAAAATGATTCTCCCGCTTCTCTCGATCAAGACGCTCTTCTTCCTCACGTCGTGCCTTTTCACGCTCCTTCTCCGCCTTGGCGCGCGCTCTAGCTTCGACATTGGATTTCATCAGACGTTGATGTCGTTTTTCTTTAATACCAGCCTCATCAAGCTGATCATCTGGAGTATCAAGTAGTGGGAAAGTCATCTCTTCTGGTTGCTCTTCTGTCTCCTCAATGCCGAGATCTTTATTGCGCGACCGTTTGATAGACTTCTCCAAGTCACGAATCATCCGCTCAAGGTGGACCTCATCCTTCAGGTCCTCTGCCTCAAGTACACGTCTGATTTCTTTCTTTGTTTCGGTCGCCAATTTTTCCTGCAGATTCTTCCAGTACTCGAGTTCTCCCTCCTTCTTCACTAACTTCTCGAGTCGCATTTTAGCTGCTTGCTCTTGTAACCGTCTGCCACTCTCTTTCTTGCGCTCCGCAATTCGGGCCAATTCCTCCTCACTCTTCTCGACCACAACATGCTCAGTGAAAGGATACTGCACAACATGATCACGGTCCTCAAGACCCGTCCAGTCCAAATACCCACTCAGCTCGCGGTCGTAGTCTTGTGATATGTAACAATGCTTGCGCACCAAATCTTCCATTTGGTTATCGGTCATACGTGCCGGGAAGGTCGGGTACTTCAATTTCATCAATTTCATGAGGTATTCGGCATTGTGTAGACCACCCCAATTAAGTCTAGAGCAGCTGGATAAAAGTGGCTTCGAATCGAGGACGGGGATAACATGTGTGGAGGTGTGGGATGAGGAAACGACGAGTCCGTTTGTTCCTTTGTTATATCGGTATGCGAAAAGGGAGTCAATTCCGTAGGAGACAGATGGCGCAGAGTAACACTCGAAGAGAATCTCGTTCATCACTGCGATGGTAGATTAGCATTTCGTCAATCGTGTAATAAGCATCGTAGTGAATCACATACTCCTTCTTGGGTATCCCAAGTTGGCGATTGGTTCAGTCATCACGATGGGCCGGTCAACACCGCCATTAACACCGTCCACACCCAACTTGTGGAACACATAGTCGAGGACGCCTTCCATAACATCCCAGTTGCCCACAACGCTGGAACCAGGATCAAAGGCATAGCGCAGCTGTCCGCGAGTGGTCGCATCGACATAAGCATCGTAACCGATGAAGTGGCACTGGCGACTGAGCTTGCGATCTCGGTAACGGCTCATGACGGGAGGGAGGATGAATCGAGGGTTCTGATCAAAGGACCAACCGGCCTTGACAAGGTTAGAACCTGCGCAATAGATTCATTAGCAACGTATCCCAGAATACCCATTGAACTGTTGAGACCAACCATTGTCGATGACGATAGCACTGGTGTCCGGATTGGCCTTGCTCTTCTCATAGCCATCAGGTTGCGGAGGCTGGTAGCCTTTGAAGGGAAAGTCTTGGGCATTATAAGGCTCCGGTGGAGGTTTCGGAGTTCGCTTCTCAGTTGAACTTGAGACAAACCGGCTAGGTAAGATGGTATGTACTGAAGTTATCGTCATGGTGGGCTGCACCGGTGCGGAAACCAGGAGCTTTCAGATCGAAGATCGGGGATTGTGTTAATGGCGATTACTGCATGGCAGGGGGGCGGAGGGAAAAGCGCAAAATATACGCAGATGGGAATTTTGGATATTGTTGAAGGCAGCTGGGAATTGAAGTGACAAAGGGGATGGGCGTGTTTTAATCCCTGTCCGTGAATGAAAGTCGGAGGTTTGGTTTGCGCCAAGAATGGGGAAGCGGTGATGCGCGATCTACTATAGGCAAGACTAGAGTGCTATGGGGGATTATATACTCAAGTATGCTCACTCTACAACGATACTTTAATTGAATATGTTCTAAAGTAAAAGCAAATCAAATATGTATCATTAAAATAATCCAATCATCCATACATCGCGGCGTAATATAAATGAATCTTGTCGCTAGGATGAAGACTGCGAAGGCGAAGGCTCTCTGAGGTTCTCGGTGGCTGCAATTCTGTTAAGTATAATTGATGCATTGCTGGAGTCTGCATATACATACCTTCTAAGTGGAATAGGACATTGGACTGGTAGTTTTTGAACATCTGAGCCACTAACTCGACGTTCATGTTCTGGATATTGACCTCCTGCGCGAGGTTAGCAACAGCACAGTATTTCAGTAGCAAGAGGGAGTTCAGACCTGAAGACTCTTATTCATGACCATAACCGCTTCATTGAGCTTCTCCTGTGTGCGTATTAGCGAATCTGTCCAGACAAAGTGACCTAGTTGGGCATCGCAACATACCACATTGGTGATGATACGCGAAAGCAGCACCGACTGCTGGTGTTCATGGGGACTCTCCTGCATGGAGTTAGTTCGGGACTGTAGAATAGAAAACACACACAAGGACGTATAAATCTTCAAACAATATACATACCATGATCTTCCAAGATCCAGTCAATGAAGTTGTTGTTAGAGAAATCAATGTTGATGATGCAGATTGTTTGGGTCGACGGTCATGTGAGATCCGATTGGCTGTTGCGCCTTCTCCCTTCAATGTCATGTGAAGCTGCAGCATTGTCTTCTCTGTCTTCTTTGAACCATCACCTTCTCTTAGACCTCTTGTACACACCCACAACCTCAAGCACATCCTAGTCACCCACAATGCCCCCAGCAACACCCGCCAACGACGAGTCGCACCAGCTGCTTCTCAACCAGCTTGACATCGCCAACGTCCACAAACCATACCGCAACCCAAACTGGAAACCCTCCCAGCGTCGCAATAAGAATCTAAAACAAATCATCTCCGAGAGTTCACGAAAAGAAGCATCCGTCATGGCCACTCAAGCCAACTCCGGCGCGACCACCCCCTTCCCTGCCACAGGAGGAACGACCACCGATGGCGCCCAGACACCAGCCGAAGGAGCTGGCAAAGCTCCCAACCTGGCTCAAGCCGCGCAGAACTTGTCCACTTTGGTTCTAGAGAAGAACGCGAGAGCCAATTTCCCAACTGGACCAGCAATTACCTACACGAATATCGAATCCGCACCTTCGCTGAGCCCAGCTCATTCACGACACTATTGCGATATCACTGGTCTGTCAGGTCCGTACACTGACCCCAAGACCAGACTACGGTACCACGACAAGGAGATCTTTGGAGTCATTCGGAATCTATCGCAGGGTGTGCCGGAGACCTACCTGGAAGCTCGTGGCGCGCATACCATTCTGAAATAAGCAAAGAGCATTAAAAGATTTAACGAATTTAACGAATTTTCTTCAGCTTGAATACAAGTACGTTCCACGCATGGCTTTGAAGGAGTTAAATATATATATACAAGGACAATCATTCACTAACACGATCAAGTTTTATTCATAAATTCTGTCTATGTACTATAGGAATGTCCGATCAACCAAGTCAAGCCCTTTCCATCCCACCATGCCCCTTTCGAGACAGGCTCAAGAAAGCGCTCCGGCTTATTCGCAACCGTGGTCATTTTTCGCCTTGTGCCAGGATGCACTCGACTATTACCGACACTCCACGGGAGGGTGTGTCAGTTACAACATCCGAAGATGCTGTCGTCGCGGCGGGGATATACAGAAATTTATCCGTATAGGGAAACATGGTGCTATGTATTACAGAAGGGACTGCCTCACAGTATTCCAGGAGTGGCTTGTTCAAAATTCACAGCATCGACCAACATCAAAGTCCAAGCTTTCTCTTCATGAATATCAAATAGAATAGTCCAATTCAATAGTGAAATCAAGTTGTGGGCAGTAATCACCAGTAACCTTCCCTGTCTCTCTGTAGTGAAAGAAAGAGAATGAGCAAAAGTTTCAATTTGGCGCGGCTTAAACCAGGCCGGCCCGACCGCCTTCGGTGGCGGGCAGAAAACCGTCTCTTTCTGTTTACGGCGAATTCAATTGATTCAGTTCACTTACGTCTGTTATTCTCCCCTTTTTTTCCTTTTTCATATTCCATACTTCTACTTCACAGGAGAATCTCCTACCGCCAAAATGCCGAGTATGTGGCTTTCAGAAAATCAGAGTGAGTTCCACCCCTATACTACACCACTGTCGCGCGACACTTGTCCGAATCGAAAATGTGTCGCAACAGCCACAAAGAAGTCTAACTAACGCAATTACAGAGTTCGGAGTGATCTTCTGCTGTGCAGGTATACGAATATATCCGATTTTCAAATTTAATTCAATGCACCGAGTCCATCGCCCACTAACCATACGATCGGAATAGGTGGCTTATTCTTCTTCGGAGGCATTATCATGTTTTTCGACCGATCACTGTACGTTTCACATTAGAGATCCACAAAGAAATCTCCAAATCCTATCCATACCGAAGAAGAGAAGCTAACAATAATTCCACCAGACTTGCCATGGGAAACGTACGCCGCACTCCAAAACAAAACCCGCTTGACTTAAGAATCAAAACTAACACAGCCTACATAGATCCTCTTCCTAATCGGCCTCACCCTAATAATCGGTTTCCAGAAGACCCTCGTCTTTTTCTCCCGTCCTCAAAAACTAAAGGGCACCGCCGCCTTCGCCGCCGGAATCCTCCTCATCCTCTTTCGCTGGCCATTGTGCGGCTTCATTATTGAATTATACGGACTTTTCATTCTCTTCGGCGACTTCTTGATCACCATCGGACAATTTGCTGGCAACGTCCCCGTGGTTGGACCTTATATTCAACGTGGGCTTGAGATCTTGGCGGGTGGTCGGAGTAACGCCGAGTTGCCTGTATAAGATATCGTGGATATTGAATGCTGAGTCGGATGATTCATTGGCATGAGTTTTTGGATTGCATGCTCCGGAATAAAATGGTATATGGGCTGTTTCTTTTTATTTTGCATAGATATTTGCAGTGCGAGGCACCTGTTTACTTATTGTGGTGCCTGGGCGCATAGCATGGCTTGAGACGGGACATGAAGCTTAGAACACAGCGACGTAATTACTAATGACTCTTTTCTTTTTCTTTATACATCTTCAGCTCTTCAAACTCTTAGATTTAGTATATTATAATGCAAGAAGAGAAAATGAGCAGAACACAAAAGATCAGCAGAACTTGAAAAGTATGTGAATAATTCCTATATAGTATCTCCGACTATTCAAGGTACACTCATAACCTTGAAAATATATCTACTCAGCATCATAATAGAATCACAAAAAGCTCACAGCCGTAGCATAGAGCAAAAACAAGATAAAAGCGACATAAATGAAAGGGAAAAATCGATGCTTCTTTATTTGCTATTCTTCACAGCGTCTCATATTCTCATATCATCTATCCAGATGATGAACCTCGATCACTCCAAGAAAACACCCGTTTACTGGGGGTTGTTGATGTAGTCGACGAGCTTCTCGACGACGGTAGCAGCGTTGGTAGTCTGAACGTTCTCTCCGTGGTGGGCGATCATAGTGCAAGCGGAAGCACGGACAACGATAGCGCCCTCCTTGCCCTAAAAAGATAAATAGTCAGAACCCACAATCATGATAATGACAATAATCAATCGTTGTATGCGCCCATCTTAAAATAGCCAGGGGTGTAGTGTAGTGTAGTACCTTCTTTCCGTATAGGGAGCGAGCATCCGCGCGGATAGTAACAAACTTCTCACCACCAATAGAGAAACCATTGGCGAAAGCAGTAGCATCAGAAGTAAAGGCAGCAGCCAAGGAGTTAATGTCCTCCTGGGAAAGCTACATAGAACGCAAAGACGTTAATTCTAATGTCGTGGAAACTCCACCGTAACACGGTTGGCCCCCTCGATCCAAATTTGGACATTTCGGGATCAACAGGAATATAAATTCTCATACCTGGAAACCAGGAGACTGAGCCTCGAGGCCGGAGAAGTCAGCGGCCAGAATACCGGCCTTGTCGAATTGACCCGAGCCCATCAGGCTGTTGGAAGATTGTTAGCATCGCATCGGGATGAAGGTGGCGCGACATGTTGGTTTGTCATTGGGTGTCATTCTCTCCGTAGAGTTCCAGTATAGATATAACTGGTAGACGCAGAGGAAAATAGGGAGATGGAGATATCGGAATAGCCGTACCTGGAGTCGACATAACCTAAAGTAAGGGAGCGATGTTAGTGAGGGGAGATCTTGATTTGTCGAGATGACATGACTTAATCATGATTTAAGGGGACTGACCTTGCCAAACAGCAGAGTGTGCGCCCATGATGAATGATATGAGGGTAGATGACAAGGAACGAGAAGACAAGGAGAGAAAGAGAGAAGGAAAAGAATATAAGGAGCTGGGAAGGTTGAGAAGAGGTGTAAGTGGGGTTGTGGTGTGGTTTGGCGGTAAATAAGACCCCGCCACTACCAACTCTCCAACTCTGGTCGGTTCCCGTCGATCTCGGCTGACAACATTCATGGCAGTTTATGACTTGCCTCGATACATGCTTATGATTACTACTGGTACAAGTGAATATTGAGGCTCAGCTACTACTCTACAGCTACCTAGGCAGTGACCAAAACACGCAAGATCTACAGGCACTAATCTCTTCTCCTTTTCGCGACTCACTGCATAGTCGATCAGCATGCCGTCACACCACGTGCTCCAAGGTTTTTAGAAGCCTGATACTGATCATCCATCTATGTGATCTTTGACTGCAGATCTAAGACCTGCATATTATCCTGGAATCATCCTAGGTGACAGCGGGCGCAACTTGCCCCTCGGGACGGGCCTGGGATGGCGGTGTACAGAACCCACTTATCGACCGAATGAGCATCATAACCACGCTCAAATACTCGATAATTGGAAAAAACTAGCTTTTTCTGTGCTGAATTTACCTCGGTCCCTGTTTAATCTTTCATCCAAACCCAATTGACCTCGATGGGGGCGATACGTGCGCATAAACAGACCTTTTTAGTCCTCATGTCACCCATTTCAATTCTTCTGAGCTTTCTATCACCACTGCCTAATCCTTATAGGATACTTACTAGCTGAATGACTAGAACGGACATTCTCACCGATTAAATACTATGTATAGAGAGCACCAATTTGTCTATAAGAACATCTTCATCCTCCTCCTTGTCCCGTCTAACATTCAATTTCTTTTTCCTTTTTCATGGTGAGAACCCATAAAGATCATTCCTCCAGTAGGCTAAAGGCAGAAATTCTATCTCAGAGAATGTCCTTTTCGACAGACCGATCCCGATGACTCAAAAACCGCATGTTGTTTGTGGGGCCCCTCTTCTACTTGAGAGAGACCCCAACCTCGCACCAAATTGGCGCTGAAGCTATGATGCTGCACAGTGAACTTGTTTGAGGAATGAATCTCTAAAGTCGTATTATGCTTTGCATTTTATGATTTGAGTGAAACATTGATATGTTTGCGAGTCCAGGACCGGAGTCATCCTTGACTTTATTGTATTTCAAATGGCATCTTTGCAAACTCAGTCCAATCGTGGAATTTCACCCCAGTCTTGGCCCTGGTAGTTTGGAGGGGTTTTTTTAGTACTGTATCTTGGACTGTTGGAATCCGCATCTCAATTCCGGTCGCCCCCTAACCGGGCAGCAAACTATCTAGAAATGATATCACCCGATTGGACCCGTAGAGGAAAAGATGTAAGCCTTACCTAGAGAGGTAAAGTTGGTAGTTTCTGGATTTGACACAAACCTTAGAATGTGTCAAATTTCTGTCCGCTACTAGTTACAGAAGGTATCCAAGATCACGAGGCGAGAAATTGAAGGATGCCTCTGATCCGGACGGCATTTTAGCACCGGACAAGTCGGGAATTTGGCCAACTATATCATAGGCAAAGCTGTGATGCGTGTCGGAATCTATCTCATATATCTTTAGGCTTCTTTTTATGATTCTCCTTCCCCTTCGCTCTGAAGCTTCAGCTATAGGTCAAGGCACACTGTTCTTTACACGAGCCATCTTCAATATTAATAAAGCCATTCAATTTTGTATAAAGCCCCCGCTATAAAACCTAGGAAGGGTAGAATATACCCCATTTTTGCACTCTTGACGACCAGTGTTGACAACTTAGATGGGCGAAAGAGATGGCAACTTGTTCCGCAACCTCCAATCACAAGCCTTGAGGCTATCTGTTGCCCCATAATAACCTTCCCCGCACTGTAACCGACCATGCCAGCCTCAACTTGAATGGCCAACGAAGTGATCCAGAAGTCCTATGTATCATCTTTGGACTCTTAGGATATATTTTCAGGTTATGGGAAGGGCTTTTCGGGAGAAAGGAAAGCTCTTCCGGTTCTGAGGTACGCAACATTGCGGTCGGAATACGTTTTAACCACACTTATATATCTTCTGTCGGAAACTTTCGAACATTGGCAACATTCAACTTGAAGTTCAAATTTGGATTATATCAACAAAGATCTGCCAGCGTATCGCTTTGACATACTGGTGCGACGCGACAACCGGAAATCAAAATGAGTGTAGTTATTATCGGATCGGGCATTATTGGCCTTCTGTCTGCTCTCACATTGACGGAAGCGGGATATAAAGTCACGATCATCGCGCGTGATTTACCAGGAGATGAGACGCAGAGTTGGGCAAGTCCTTGGTAGGTTGCCACTGAGTCTCTGCTGTACCGGAGTACTTGCCACTGGCATGGGATCTTACTGAGAAATCTACAGGGCCGGAGCGGCTATATTCCCATACCCCGATTCAAATGGCCACTCCCTTCAGGTAGAAACATTCCGGTATTACTGGGCTCTGGCACACCGCGACCCTACTAGTGGAGTCCAGGTAAGATATCTTAAGAGTCCCTATGGCGTAACTTCTCTAAAAGAGGCGTGCTGACCAATATGGGAAAAACTAGACAATTAAGGCAACCGAGTACTTCGACGATCGAGACGATGATTCCAGTGTTTGGTATAAACACCTTGTGCCGCGTTATCACCGAATCCCAACAGAAGACCTTCCACAGGGTGCCAAAATGGGATTCACATACAAAACCATGACCGTCAACCCGCTGGTGTTTCTTCCCTGGATTAAGAAGCACTTAGAGACTATGGGAGTGAAATTTATTCGCAGGGAAGTTAAAAGCATCGAAGAAGCGCAAAATATTGCAGGATGTAAGATTGTCGTTCATGCTTCCGGACTCGGTGCATATCATCTGGCGGGCGACAAAAACGTGGTCGCTATTCGGGGGCAAACAATGTTCGTGGAAAACAAGTTTGATGAAGTGGTAATGTTCCAAGGATCGGAATACACTTATGTTATCCCACGAATGTATAGTGGAGGTGTGATCATGGGCGGAGTGAGCCAGGAAGGAAATTTGGAACCTGGCGTGGACGAAGACTTGCGATCGGATATTCTGCAAAGAACGAAAAATATTGCGCCGAGCAGTTCGGAGTCGGTGAATTTGAAGGACGACAAAATCAAAGATATTGTGGCCTTTAGACCTGGCAGGAAAGGAGGTTATCGCCTGGAGCCTGAAGGGAATGTGGTGCACGCGTATGGATTCGGCAGTCTTGGTTATATCTACAGCTACGGGGTGGCGATGAAGATTCGCGATTTAGTAGATTCGATGGGACTGGTAAAACCCATTGTTAGAAGCCGTCTATAAATACAGAATAGGAATAAGAGAACAGGAAGTACCGATACGAGGACCTCGAACTATTACTCATAACCTGCCTGCTTTTTTATCCCGACGTTCGAACTTTAATCAAATGAGGTGCAGCTATGCTAGAAACAAACTATACTAGTGGCAGATTTGATAGTGATAAAGGTTCATGGTGGTGATGATAAAGGTCAGTCTTATCAATTCTAGTGCTAGGCAGGTATTTATAAACAGTGTGTCATTTCCTAGCTCATCGAAACTACTGGTTCCTTTATTCATACAAGATTTTCCAGAATTGGTACCATTTCGCTGTCTTTTCCTCCAGTGTCTCGTTTGCAAGAATCTCCGGTAAACCGGTAGCCAGGTCGATCTCCCCTACATCATGAACCCAGGGTTCATTCCTGCAGACAAGGAAACGGTGACCGAAATAAAGCGCAAAAAATATGGGAACGCCAATGTAAGCGGTCAAGAAGTTGGAAGTGTTCCACTGGCCACTCAAGAAATTCGAGTAGCCGTTCAGTAACAAAAGCAATGTGAACATTATCCCACAGATGTACGCCATTATCGGTTGAAACCGGGATCGGAAGGGCAGGTCAGTCACCCCCTGAACGGCGGTTGCTTTGCGAAAACGGATGTAGACAATGCATATGCAGATCCAACTTTGGAATCCTCCAGTATTGATCAGATTCACGAACCAGTTGAAGACCACCGCTCCTGTACTGGAAACATTGAGGTATGCCAGGGCCAAAAACACCGAACATGCGGCGACTGCGTTATATGGAACTCCGGATCTTGTGCACTTGGCAAAGATCCGGGGCGCATTTCCGGTAATTGCTAACGAATACAAGGAGCGGGTAGCCAAATAGAGAAACGAATTCCCAGATGAGAGGGCAGAGATCAGAATCACAGCGTTGATCACAGAGTCAAGCGCTTTGATCCCTGCAATTCGAGTTGCGATTGCCCAGGGCGATGCACCAGCGCCAGAACCACCTCCCAATAGCTGCGGCTCGTTACTTGGCACGATCATACTGATAGCAAGAGCACCCAGAACGTAAAAGAAGACAAGACGATAGAAATAGCGAATCCCGGCCCTTGGAAGATTTTGACGAGGATTTTGCATCTCACCTCCAGTTACAACCAGTAATTCGGGGGCAAACGCGAATGCGAACATCGAAAAGCAGATGGTGGATATGAAGGCACAAAGCCGACCAGAATCCCCGGTCTTGATATATTCGTTCACGGCGCTGGGGTGATTCCAATAATAAAATCCTAAAATTTCATGGTTTGGTCCTCCGCCGAAAATCAAAACAAGGGCCATGATTAGGAGGCCAATAATGCCCATGACTTTGATAGAAGCAAACCAAAACTCTGTTTCCCCGTATACAAGGACTGGGAAGCAATTGAGAGCAATCATGAGGACCATAAAGATAGTGATCCACACGGCAACATGAACTCCGGGATTCCAATACTGAACTACCAAAGTTGCTGCAGTGATCTCAGCAGGCACTTCAATAATAAAAACATAACAATAAAGCCAACCAAGCGCAAACCCTAAGCTTCGAGAGTGGAAACGGTCCGCGTAATAGGCCATAGAACAACCGGAAACTGGTAGATAAGACGACATCTCTGTTGTTGCAGTCACGATTCCGAACACGAGTAGGGTAAGTAGGACATAGGAGAGGAATAGAAAAGCTGGTCCACCCATATGTAGAGATTGGCCTGATCCAACGAAGAGGGCAGTTCCAATTGTTCCACCGAGGGCTATCATTTGAGCATGCCGGGACTTGAGGCCTCGCTCAGTGGTGCCGTTGTGTTGGAGTTCAATGATATCGCCTTGTTCTTCCGATACACCCTTTTCTGTATCAAAAGCCTCCTTCATCTTCTCATCCATTGCTGGGTTGCCACTGGAGAAAATTGAAGAGCGTAATTTCAAGAAAGAATTGGTTGGAGTGTTTCACTAAATAGAGAAATGGGAGCTCTGTATAGACACGAACTGTTAGAGAGCTCCATAGCTTCTATACCAGTATGGCTACTTATAATAAGTCTCTATCATCGAACAAGGTTTCATGGGGGTGGAAGCGATAGTCATCCGCTATTCGAGAGCAGAGCGGATTGGTTGGTCCGGAACGACTTGCACATTTACTCCACCCTACACCTTGAACCCCGCCCAATTACCGATAGGAAGCAAAATGAGGCCTTGAGCTATGCGAGGATAGAGAGATATGATATCGCCTCTTTACCCGATTTGCCCACATGTTATCAAGATTCAAAACTTTGACGCCTTGAAGGAACAAGTTGCCTGGCTGTTTGCGATTGGAGCTTACCCTCAGCAATATACCGGCTTCAAGAAGAGTGGCAAATTACAGGAAAAGGGGTTGACTGCTAGAGTTCATGTCAACAAAAAAGCGGCCAGAGCTTTCGTTCTTTGATGACGTCCATCCAAGCTGGGAAAGGCTCGCGGCGATTATCTTTCAGGTGTTCATCTTGTCTGTTCCAGACCTCAGTCATGATATTCTTGGCAAGCTCGACAGGACTAAGGCCGCACCCTTTCTTTGACAGCTCGACTAGCTTTAAGATAGCTTCTCGTCGATCCTTTGTAGTAGCCTCACAGCCGGCCAAGAATATAGGCCATAATGTCCCCGGGCCGGTGTGCTCTACTTCAGATGAAGTAGCATGCACGGCTAGAAAAGCATTGATAATGCTATCAACATGGCCTTGTAAAATCCCTGGGTGTACCTTCCTCACACGTCTGTAGAAGAGAATTATCAGTGCGGCGTTGAACGCTCGCAATATTTGGTTGTAGGGTATTGTCGGCCACTCCGAGCTATCGGGGTGATTATTCTTAGTACTATATGCATGTATGACATTTTCAAGTCGATTGCTTCGTTTATGCAGGAAGTTCCAGACCTTGGAGTCAACCTGTATGTCTGTGTCTTGCGCGGAGTGTAACTTTTCTAGAACATTGGCCATTCGAATGGTTTGGGAGACTAGGCTTAGCCAAGTCTCCGAGAGGCCGTAAGCTTGCTTTGAAAGTGTGTCTGCCGACTTTCTCGAGTCGTGGAGGTGAATATCAGGGATATCTCTGTTCCGGTCCTTTGGCTCATCGATGTTTAGATCATCATCCGAGTGTTCTAGATCAAGAAATTCATCCAGGTGAATGTTTCGTCCCGTAAAAGGAACACTACCTAATTTCCTGGGCGGTCCGCAGCTACGGATCTGATGGCTCAGAGCGTCGAGGAACAGCTTCGAAGGGCTGAAGTCATGCAGCAGATATGTACTTTCACCCACGATACGCAGCCACGAGTAGACATTGATCAAGAGCCGAGCTTTGTGTGATGTTTTGCTTTTCACCAATCCACGGAGACGAAGGATGCGCTCAGCGCCCATCACCCACAATCGCACGTCATGGTGTTGTCCAAGAAAGATCTTTGATTTTATTAGTAGGCAATTCAAAATGAGAAGATATGAGAGCATGGGCGTTCTTTACCGCAGATTCTATCACTGCACATACAGCCATCAGCTGGTCCTTATACTTAGCTTTATTTGGGCCGTCGATCTCTTCGCTCAGCGAGATGCCCATGTGACTTTTGGCTTCCTGATAAGCTTGACTCGCAATTTGTGGCCAACTTATCGTCGAGATATTATCACCATATCCAAATGACTGCGTCACAGAAAGGTACATTGCCGAACAAGAAAGGAGACTAAATAGATTTGCTTGTCGAGCATGCGTAACATCTTGCGACTCCATGACAGTTAAATCAGCAAGCGTTAAGATTGCGCAAGGGATATTAATTATGTGCCACGGCGTTTTAATACCAAGAGGAACAACAGTCAGCTGTGGCACCACGTCTTTTTGGAAAGTTTTGAGAAGGAAAGAGGCGTGATTGAGGATGTCGATTGTATCAAGGGTACTTGTTGGGCTAGCCATAGCCATCTGTGGATGGAGAACGCTTGTAACATGTTCAACGCTTTCCTCGTGGACCCGAGAGATGTCTTGAATTGAATCCAGATCTATTGGAAAAGAAGTATTGTATATCTCGTTTTCTGAAGTAAGCCATTGGGAAGAAGCGGGGTTGTCATGATAACTCCTTGACGCGACCGAAACATTGGATGTGATCCCGAACAGGTTATCATTCAGACCGAATATGTCCGTCCACTGAAGTAAGTCATCTTCCAACCCCGGGAACTCCCCTGGCGGCAGGGGTGTCTGATACGGATGTATACTATCGCTGAAAATTCCCCTCTGGAACTGATCAGTTGCCCTCTCCGTAGGATCGCCGACAGGTGCGCCATGTAGATTAGCGGAAGATGATTGGGAGAAACTGAGGACAGAAAATGGCCCAATAGTAATATCGCCAGGCGGAAATAATGATGTCGTCGATTTGGCCTCAATCTCATCCAAAGAGGCATCAACGGATCCTGATACTAGGCCCTTGTTTAAGGCGGAGCCCATGGAAACTCTTGATTTTTCTAAAGTACGAATCAATTACAATCCAACGCAACGCTTGATATTGAACAGAATATTGCTAGTATCTGGATGGAGTATTTACCAGTGTATAAATGCCGCCGGAGGCCACTTCTCCTGGTCGGGTGAGGCGATTCATTTTGATTTCGCTGGGTAGTATGATGAGGTTTCTCGGATACCCATCGGACTTCGTCGGAAAACCCGTCGCAAGTGAAGCCTGTTGAGCGACATGTTTCGCATGAAGGTCGCTTCTGATCGCATTTGACATGTCGACGTCTACATGTGGTACACGCTCCTAGCCCATGTGTACGATGGGACTTGGCACGGCGCGTCATAGCCAGAGCGGGGCTGGTATTTGTGAGCCAGTGTATATTTGGACTGTCATGAGGAAACTACTCAGGCACTAACCACTTGAGATAACGAAATACACAATGATGTGCAGCTGAAGTGTCAATCGTGTCGATGCTCACGTAAGCCATATTCACGAATTCTGGCACGTGATCGGAACTACCTTCCCTCGTTCCTTCCTCTTTTGAATGTTACGTTCTTTCTCTTTCAACGTCAACTTCCCGAGGGTCCACTCGTCTCCGCTGGTTGGTGGCATGTATGTACATATTGGCACTGAGCAAGTCACGGATTTGATGGATGAAGTATGAAATCTCCAATATTAAAATGCAGACAAAACATACGACGGTGAGATATTGAGGAAATGAAATAAAATTATTATTCACAGAATGTATCATTTGAAGAAGCTATGTCCGATATCCTTTTTCCAAGTTTTGCTTGGTAAGAATGCCATCCCGATCAATCCAACTATCCAAGAGATTAAGGCTAAATAAGATTCGAACTCATTAGTTTTGTCTTCATGATTGAAATTTTCGAAAAGAACATACCACATGTCAAATTCATATAGTAATAACCAACACTCTTAGTCAAACCACCGGACAAAATGGGACCCACGAGCATCCCAGCAGTCCAACAGAAATTCGTCATAGAATAGCCAGACGAAAAGTTGTTCGTGGTCCCAAATCTCTCAGGATAGTCTCGCTGAAATTCCTTCATCACATCTAGAAGGCGAAGATAAAGGATTAGTATTTGATCATTCAGTTCAACTCACACATTTAACTTACTGGTAATCTCGATGGTGCCACATCCACTAATTAGCGTCCGGGCTATCCCAATGCCCACGACAGCAACCATATAGATTGCTTGGCCCTTGCTGCCAGAACCTACAAAGGAAAGTCCATCCGTCCCAGCTGTACCCAGCAGCCAAATGAAAAAGGAGACGGAAAGAAATCCTATGCTAGTAGGGAGCCTTGTGCCAATTTTATCTTTGAGAGCGCCCGTGGGCGTCGCCAGTATAAATGATGGGATCTGCAGAAGCAGAAACATCAAACTGACCTTAGCAGTACTCCAGCCAAATTCATTACTACAATGAAGTGGCAATGTGGTATCCAAACTGACCAGAATCACCCCTTGGGTGAAATTGCAGATCAGTGCGGCAACTGCTCGAGGATCCGATAAGATCATCTTATAAAAGTTCGTGGACCGCGGCAGAGAACTCGTCGCATCCTCTGGATTCAAAGATCTCGGTTCGATATCGTAATGTATTTGGGAATTGAAAGACCTCCTGTTGGGGGTAGTCGTCTGTATATCCAAATCTGACTCGGTATCGTCATCATCTTCTACATCATGGTACTCATCAAAATCACATCGTTCATTGGAATAGCCAAATTCGTTGAAATCGCTGTAATCGCATAGAGTGCTGTCCGTAGATGGAATCTTGGTCAAGTGAACGTTTTGACCATTTTTGTTCTCGATCATGACCACGCGCATTATCATGTCAACGACAAGTATGGCAATAGGGACCATCCAAGTCATCCAGTAGCCAACAAGGTCGAGCAAAGTACCTGCAGCCATGGGGCCAAACAGTAATCCCGATACGAAAAATGACGAGATTCCTCCTAACACTTTCCCAGTATCTTCTTGTCCGACGGTATCGGCCACGGTCGCAAGCCCAACAATCCATACAGCGTTTCCACCTATGGCTTGAAATGCACGCCCGAGTAGAAGTATTGGTACTAGAGTGGCCAGTCAGCGATTTGGCTCCGTGCGATCGGGAAATGTTCAGTCGTACCAGTTGGGGATACCATAATGATGACTGTTCCGATAAGCTCTGCTCCCAGGGAAGCAAGTAGCGGTAGCTGTCGATTTGAAGCTTTATCGGCCAGGTAACCGGTCAATGGGCCTGACACTAAGCAGACCAATGCATGGACGGTAAGCACAAGCGATGTGGTGGCTTGTGTCTGAGATTCGTCGATATGTAATCGGTCTTCTAGGATTACCTGTAAAATGGGAACGATGTAGCTATACAAGAAATTCTCTGCGAAAATTAGCTATCTTCCATATAGCCCACTTGGAAATGCTTGCTGCGAACCGGAGAAAAGAGCAATGGCGATACAGCAAATGATAAACCAATTTGAAGACCGCCATTTGTAGCCCGGTATATTATTTCTGTTTTTTAACATCTCGCGAAAAGATAACCGGTTGTGTGAAGGAGGAGAAATAAAAAGCTGCGGCGAGAATATGACAATTTGTCTCAGGGCTTTGAAGATAAGAGTCTCAATAACGTTGTTCGTTTCGAAAGGTTGGGCATCGATAGGTGCATCTGTGATGGGTCTTTAAGACCAAATAAAGTCCTCACGTAGAACCTGAATACAGCGGTCAGTATTGATACACATGCATAGAGCTGTTCTGGCCCTCAACATTGAGCTCCTCGCTCAAGCCAAGGAGTCCAGTTCAAGTGGGGACTTACTCTCCATACAATGCATCGTATACCCAAATACCAGATATTGTCACACCGCTTGTTCGACAAGAGAGATATCACCACCCAGCACTTGTGAAAACCCCATCAAAAATCGAAATTATCGTTCTTTGCATCTTTTTGAAATGAGATGGGGATGTCGAGTTATTTACATGCGGTCGGAGATCCAGCGCGCCGAGGGTTGGTCTGTGGGCCCACTTCCACGTCAGCTTTTTCGCGGTGCAATAGCTAGCCTACGTAAGAACACGATGCACAGGAACCACCGGCGCTAAAATGATTCGAGGGGGAAATATAGATTCTCGCCACTAATTTTTCTTTATTCAAGTTATGTAAACGGAATTGTGGGTCAAACTGCGGAGACTACCGAGCAGATAGCGGCCTTATGTTTCCCATTTAAGTTAAAAGGGCCGAATATTCTGAATCTTGATTTACTCAATACTCCTGTCTATCTTGATTTCTTGCCATCAAACGATTTTTTTAATCCTAACTAGCTACCTATGGTACTACGATGTTAATATGAGACCAAAACGAGTCAGATCATGAAATGACAAAAATCAACGACAATGGACGACGTGTTCAGGATGACGTTTGGAAATCAATCAAAGAGCAAATCAATAAGAATGCTCGGAGATAACTCGCTGGGCAAAGTTCTCCGCCGAATCTCGTATCTGATCCGAGTTAACCATTCCGAAGATCCATCTCTCCGGAATAGACTCGTACCCATAGAAAACACCTGCAAGAGCCCCATATATAGCACCAGCAGTATCGGCGTCGCCACCGAGATTGACCACAGCCAACGCACCATCAGCCCAGCGAGCATAGTTGAAGAAGCCCCATAGTGCTGACTCCAAGGTATCTACGACCCAACCACTGCTCTTGATGTCGGAATGGGTTTTGGATCTCCAATCAGCCATCGAATTATAAGGTGCAAAACGTGCAAATAACGCAGGGTGAGTGAAAGAGAAATTGTTAATTCGTGCGCAAAGTTGCTCTTTGGATTCTCCTAAGACACCGTTAGAATTATCAAGGACCAAATCAACTCAAACGGGACAAAAGAAAAAAGTACCTCGCATAGCTGCGCAAATGAGTTCCGTATAAGCCTGGCAAGCCTCTCCACAAGCAGGAGAGGGGTGGGTAATATCGCTATGCTCCTTTGCAACCTGAAGTGCAATTTCAGGCTGAAAGTGCAGCATAATACCAACTGGTCCAATCCGCATAAGACTTCCATTTCCAGAACGCCTCTCATCACTAAGCTGTCTCGTAATAATCGCTTGCGTTGCGTCTAGATTCATCACCCCGTGTTGATTCCAGAGATTCAACGCCAATCGGGTAGAAATACCAACATCCCACGCCTCGTTAGTTGTACTGAAACGGCCGAAGTTCAACCATTCCAGGAAATACTGGATAACTAGAGTTTGATCGTACACTTTGTCTGTATCAATAATGGACTGTGCCAGGGCAAGGGTCATAGCTCCACCATCCGAATAAGATCTATTATACACGGTTAGATAGATGATATGTCAAAGGGGGACTTTTTTTTTATACCCAGCTGGCTGTCTCATTGGCGTTACGTATCTCAGGTCAGTGATTGGCTCGAACGTCCCTGGTTCTGTGAATGAAACCGGGCCCCCGAGGGCATCCGCCACACAGTTGCCCCAGATAGCGCCCAAAACTCGAGATTTGAATGAGATCGACATTTTGTTGTTATTTTGGATGGGAAAGTTTATGATAAGCAGGTAGCCATGGCTCGGATTATATAGACTTCGAGGCTCGGACGAGTCTGGAACTACGAGGCGCAGATTTTCTTTAATAACGCCACCATGCGGGAAACAAAGCCTTACGATGAAAGATCTTTTGACAAAAGAGTGATGAATTCCATGTGTATTTTCAGATGAAAGATTATCCCTTTGACTATTTCAAGTACGCGGGCTAAATAATCTCTGGTTTCTGAAAGGACTCCCCTGCTGCTCGGTCTGGGCCACATAATGGGCATGTCCTGTCCTGTCCACATCATACTTCTGGCACCATGAACAAGACGCATTCAACGAGTGACATTCCAAACACATTTTCGGTCCGGTGTAGGCTTTGGACATGAAAGTAAAAGCACTGAGTCCCCACCAATTTAATTCTTGTCAGAAAGAGCCTAATTTTGGAATCTCTTCCATATACCGGTTGAAACAAGAAAGCTGACTGGAAGCCGTTTCCATCCACTGCTTGAAACGGGTAATCTCGGCATCTTCACCCCTCATCAAAGAATCGTAGTTGTGAATTCCCCTTGGCCAGAATTTGGCAGCGATTTCTCCGCTCCATATCATCACACGCGGGTCATTTGAACTTGTCAGATCTTGAGTTTCGTTTTTCTCCCGGCGTGTGAACGAGTTATAGTAGATATAATCGTAATTTATGATGACCCAGCAAAAGCGTTGACGAGTCCGGTCGAGCTGAGGGTCAATCCGCATCATTTCCTGGAAATTGCTCTGCAAGTCGACCAGAAGCTGCCCCTGGTACTTCGATTCCCAGCTATCACCATCTTCAAATTGGCAGATCTTTATCTACGTAGCAAATGCGCTGTTTTGTCAGAGGCTCTATCAAGTTCATGGTCAAGGATGCGCCGGCGAACGAACCGGCGCCTCTCCATGTTTTCGAGACTATAGCCCGATAAGTGGCTGAACCCGTCAACATTTTGAGGGCCCTGTTCTCGGAAGAGATATATGATGACCTTTTTATTCTTCTCGTTGCAGAGTAGAGCGTGGAGCTCGGGACTTATTGTGTCATCCCACCTAGCGAGTCGCGTGAATAGTAGTAATGCAAATTCCAAAATGACAGCCTTTCTCCCTCTGGCATGCGACGACAATCCAAAAAGCTTGTATCCTGGGGGATTTCCGGGATTAGGTCTAGTAGAAGAGTGTGTGATGAGCCTTTTATGATGCAATTTGAAAATGGGCTCTGATAAGGATTATCAGCTAAGAACGCAATCAGGTACTTTGATCGCGCGAGGTGGGGTCCAGTATTCCCTCTACCCCGCTTAAGCTCAATGTCAACGACAATGGTTGATGTCTGGTCTATCGAATCACAATAATTCGATGGCTTCCTCGTTGAAATTAAAGGTCTCGCAAGGTGAGGACGCCGAGTATATCCAGGCGGAAATCCAGGCATTGGTCGACAACAAGGGCTGGGAACTCATAGGAGATGACACCATTCGAAAAAAGTTTCACTTTAAAACATATACTAAAGTTTTGGTTTGTTCTCTGGAGATCCGAGTCGGTGCTGAACTGGGAACGGATACTGACGATTGAATAGGATTTTAACAATGTCGTCGGAGTGAGATGCAAGTCCGTGGACCACCATCCAGTGACAACCCTGGTAGAGTCCCCTTTCCCAGCACTTGTTAATTGCAGACTGACCGGTTTAAAGAAATTTTCGTCGGCGACTTTCGAATGGACTACACATACTCCCCCAGGACTTTCTAGCAAAGACACCAAGATGGCAAATTATTGTGAAGAACGAGCGAGTGAGATTGGCCAGGTCTTGCCAGAGAATGCCCCGTCTTGTAAGGGTTCAAAGGCCAAGGCTTAATATGGATGGTACAAAAGGACAATATGATTTTTGTATGCTAAAACCGGTCGGCAATTCATTCTGGCTGCCAGGGAGGACTTTAATAGCAATATGAATTCCGATTCTGCGATGAGTACATGATTGAACAGGTGAATCACAGTAGACTACCTATAAAGCATCGTGTACCCTACTAAGACCGGAGCATTCCAATTAACTAGAACCACGAAATATATGATCGATAGTGCTTTAATCAAAATTAATACGAATAGATTCAGCACAGACTACAGACGAGACGTGGCCAATGCGGGACAATTCCCCGACTCGAGACTTCCCCTGTCTCAGCTGGCGGATGGATGAAACACGCCCCCGATTTTTTTTTCAATGGTCTTGGCCAATGCGACAACCCCAGTGGCCCCTTGGAACGTGGTAGCGAGCTAATGAATTCTAATCAATCCGCGACGCCCACCCTCATTCGCTATGAATTAAATAAGCATCGTATAGCAATCCGCCCTGAATCCCTCAGTGCTTTGGTTGGTTCCCCGAAATCCGACCGTTGCGGCGCTAGGCATTCTCAGGCGCAAGCCATGAAGCCAGTCGATTGCAGACTTTGCGACCGCTGAATCCCATCTCAGCGCTGACGGGCTGAATGTTCTTTTATCGCGGGGGTTCGTCCCAATCCTGTATCCTGGTTGGATCAGCCTGACCTGACGCTATAACTGTCCAGCACAAAATACAGGCTTGATAGGTCTAGAGTTAAAGATCTTTTGACTTGTTTTGTTGTTGTTTTTCCCAAGATTAGAGCACGAAAAGGGGATAAAAGGGCCCCGGTGTCTCATGTACACTAGCTTGGCGTAATGGGCCTCTCCACTTATGCAGCAATATCGACTGGCGCCACTCCTTTTGGTCCTGATCAATTAATTAATTAGATCAATTATAACTCTTGAATCCCCTTGAATCGCGCGGGACTGTGGTTTGTTTTTGTACTTCTTTCTTCTCTCTTCAAGGTCTTCTGGAAGACTGTCCTTTCCTTTCTGGATCCGGTATCTAAATTCTTTGATTTGATTTGATTCTATTTTTTGTCTTTTTACTTTATTTTTGTCGATTCAAGAGACGATTCAACAACAGCAGAGACATGGCACGAGCGATGACTGTGACCAAAACTCGCAACGTGCAGGATGATGATACTATTTCCTTCCCCGTGTTAACCTATACCGACGCCGAGCCTCGTCATGATCTTCAAGATATTCACATCAGTGGATCCCAACACCATTCGAATGAAAATGTCACGCAGTGGGACTTTCCACGACCCAAAGCGGCAGAGGGACGATCATCCAGAAAACCCCCGCCACCCTCTATTGGCGCTACATTCGACTTTCAACTTACTGCCCCACCAGACGAAATCATTCCCTTGAGCGCCCGTTCGGCCCGGAGCCCGATCGGTCTTCATACAATAGGCGTCGCATTGGGGAGCCCGGGAATCCTGGGTTCTCATAATGAACTTCCTCCACCAAGATTCAATGCATCGGTTCATAGATCAGAACAATCACCTCAGCTAGGCAAGTCGAGATGGAAGAAGATCGGCGGGCTATTCAAAGCGAAGAACGCATTAGCGCTACCCACCACCAACGCTGATGGTACAACGGTTAACGGCGAAGTTCATTCGAAGGACAAAGCGAATACAAACCCGAATAAAACAAAAAAGGAAGAAGCAACTGAGGAGTGGCCAAAGATAGAAGTTGAGTCTAAATCTTCCGGCGACAAGAATACACCGGCAAAGCGGAGCAGGAAGTTTTCTTTCTCGAACAAGAAAAGCTTCAAAGAGAAGAACGGCGACGTCAGTCCTATGTTGGAACTCAACATACCCGATGTGCAGATGGAGCGATACAGCGTCATGTTTAGCAATGTCATGACGAAGAACCAGAGACCCTCACTGCTGGCCAGGAGGAGTAAGACTCTGGACCATCTTCGCGTCCCCAGCTCCAATGTAAGACGAGATTCAAAAGAACCGATATTTCTAAGACATATGCTAATACAAGGCCCAGGACTTCATAACAACAAGCAAAGCACCACCCGTTCCCCAACGCCGAGCGACCTCCCCAGCGCGATCTAGTTTCACTCTTTTCCCTACGTCGCAACCATCAAAGGCCGCCCAAGTTCTCGGCACCCAAAACTTCTCTCGTGGTCCCAGTCCCTTAATGAGATCCAATACGCTTCCCGTGGAGAGCCCATCCAAAGTGTCGCATGATCAGCCACGCCCATTCGCTAATAATAATTCTCTTTCCTCGTTCGAATCACCAGTCATTGCCAATTTGTTTACGGAAAGTTGCAATACACCACAGTCATATAATGGATCCATCCGAAGAGACGAGAAGCCTCTTCCAGCTATTAAGCCTGAGCGACCTGCTGCTCCACCACGCTCGCAAACTTCTTCACCCCAAGTTCCGCCGAAACCAAGCCAGGCGCCAACACATACGAATAATCTCAACACAAATAAGAAGCCGACCGAACAAAAGCACAGCCGGAGTCATCAACAACCAACTGAGATCCGACACAAGACTCACCCAACTGATATTCGCCCAACTGATATTCGCCCAACTGATAAAGCCCGACCGGCTCCAATTGTCAAAAGCAGCCATAAAACACCCCCAAAGCCGCCAGCAAAGGACAGCACCAGCGTCTCCCACAAACCATCACCGACCAATATCCCCATCAAGAGCAAATCAATGGACGATGTTTCCCGCATCAACTCGCCCGCGAAGATAGCACCTCAACTAACTGTGAGAACTCCTTCCAAGATCGCCGCCGGTCTAGTCATCACAGAACGCGAGATCAAATCCCCAGAGTCTTATACGAACAAAAAACTACCGAAAATTGAAGTTTCAACGGCAAGGTCTATTTCTGTATCCAAAGGAAGAAAGCAGATGCTTGTTCCTATCGCATCGCGAGTGGACCAATTACATCCTAGCGAGCGATTGGTTGAACGGCGAGCTATGACACCAACGATCACGGATGTACAGTATGGACATCGGCATGCTGTTTCACAGGAGCTGCAAATTGAGTCGATGTGAGGTCTGCCTTGCATCGATATTCATATTCTTCCTCTACAATCTTTCGAGGTAATTCTCTCCTTTACTATTACATCTGGCGCGATGGTGTTCTTTCTTTGTAATTACATTTAATACCCTCGTCTACTTTATTCAATTCAATCTTTATTCAAAACAAAAAAAAAACATCCTTCAACATACATGTTCTAGTCAATGATATTGGGAGGAAATGCTACATCATGATCGAGACCAGCCCCTAGGAAGCAAGTCCAGCCGCCACGGCTCCCCTATACAGTCTGAGTCATACTAGTACCAACTTCATACAAGCGCATTATAAATATCACCCAATGTCACACGTCAATTACTCTAAGAGTCTAATTGCAACATTCACAAAAAATGGCATCAGCATTTTCCTCAGCACAATTGACCAGATACTTGCAATACATTACACTTCCAGCACAATATGCACCCTACATCAACAATCCACAATCCTTCCCGACAACAATTGAAGCTCTGACCACGTTATTTCGATCCCAAATCACGCGATTCCCATATGACAATCTAACGCTTCATTATACCGATACAAAAATCGTGGATATTCAGCCCAGTAGTATCTATGAGAAATTCATGGGACAGGATGGTACAAAACCCACAGGAAGAGGAGGGTACTGTCTTGAGTGCAGTATATTTTTCAACAATGTTCTCCGTGGTCTTGGATTCTCGGTTTACATGACTGGAGTGCGAAATCGAGCTCGTATCGATGGTATTCCACAAGGTGAATTTAAAGGATGGTATGTGATTTGATTCAAAGCCAGAAGCCAAAGTCAACTGAGATGGGCTCCCAAAAATGAATGAATAGATAAATAAATTTTAAAGACTAATTGAACTAGGACGCATATCGTGAATATTGTTTTACTTCCGACCGGAGAGCAATATCATGTCGATGTGGCATTTGGGGGTGATGGTCCCACACAACCGCTACAGTTGATCTCGGGTTATTCGATTCAGAATCTGGGACCTCAAGAGGTTCGGCTGATCCACGGCAATATGCCGAAGCAATCACGAACCGAACAAAAAGTTTGGATATATCAGTATCGGAATGGCGCGGAGAAGGAGTGGAATTCATTCTACAGCTTTGGAGAATTCGAGTTTTTCCAGGATGATTTCGAGATCATGAATCATTATACCAGCTGGGAGGCAGTTGAAAGAGGTAATTACTGGATTGTCAGATTCTTACGAGGGGGTGAGACCGATGGACTGCCTTTACTGGAAGGAGAAGGCCCCGGTCGCGATGAAGAAAATGATGTTCCTGTCGTTGGGAAGATTATGTATGTTAATGGTGTTGTAAAGTTGAATATGGGTGGTAAGTCGAGGGTTATTGATACTGCGAAGACGGAGAGCGAGAAGATGGCAGTTTTGAAGAAGTGGTTCAATTTCTCTTTTTAATTCACAATTGGGGAGTCATAGATTTAGATATAATAGTCTTTCGTGAGACCCAGATCATTGAAGTGTGAACGAACACTGTTCCTATTTACAATCCTTATAACATCCGGTAAAGAACTGATAGCGCTTAGTATCTACCGCTCAAGCGCTAGCACATTTCCCGTTGGTGCAAACAAGATCATCAGAACAATCGTTATCACTTGAGCAGGAAGCACCTAGAATGATTAGTTAGTACGAAAACGAGTATTCGACAGGATCCTTACATACCAGCACAGTGCCCAGACCAGGAACATGTAGACGAGGACCCACTAGATGTGGTGGTGGTAGATGATGAAGACGAAGAGGCCGAACCTGAACCCGAACCAAGGCCCAGGCTTTTCACAAGGGAGGAAACCAGCTTGTCACCCATAGATCGCAATGTGGTAAAGTTAGTCACATAGTTATTGCTAAGTGCGCTACTTGGAAGCTCTGCGTCCTTGCCCGTAAACAGGATGTCTAAGATCGATTAGTGATGCATACTACAGTATGACATCTGGAACAGGATACAATACTCACAAGTCACATCCACACCTCCATGGCCACTGTTTCCATTCAGATCATCATTGGGGAAGCATGTTCGAGCCATCAGCCAAGATGCCTCCCCAATCACCTGTGGGTCATCCCCGTCGGAATCCCCGTAGATGCCATAGAACATCTTGCCGTCACTGTAGGACACTGGATTAGCTTTCTAGTCTGCAAAAGCTTCATGAGATCAGGAGGGTCAGTACCAGATGACAGCGCCAATATTGTTCCCTGGAAGAACACTCTCATAAGTAGTACCAAACTTGTCAGGAATAACAATCCAAGGAACCTCGTAAGCTGCCAGAGCACCGAAGTTAGTCTGTGGCAGTCCGTCTGGATTCCCCTTTTTGGAGTTAGTAAATGTCCGAAAATAAAATAAATGTCGAGGCTAAGTACCTTGCACTTGTAGTCGAGTCCATCACAGTCCACGTCCATATCAGCAACCCAGACAAAAGCAGCGCCCTATAATTCCAGTCAGCAGTCTTTACCTGATAACGGCTCCATGTACTTCATACTGTTGAGAATGTCGACCAATCGCTGTGAATAGTGACTTTAGCGGCCCCAGAGTCGCTATTCACTGGATAAGTCGCATCTTTGGCGGCTTTGCTAGCCTTTGCAGCAGCAGTTTGAAGTGCAGCGACAGGGATAGTTGTGGTAGCGGAAAAATAGCTAGCTGGAGGGCCAGCTGTTGGATTGTTATACTTGGAGCCATCGACACTTTGCGACAAGGTTTGGCCGAAGATGGCAAGTCCAGAGGTCGCAAGAGTTAGGTATTTCCAAGTCATTTTGATTGAGACGGTAGTATGGATGTATGAAATGAATGGGAACAGATGAATGATTCACAATGACATAGTTTATTCCTGGGAGGGTAGGGTGCTTCATATACGGTTGGCAGGGGAAAGTAACATCGCAAGTGCCCGGGTGGGAAGCGAGGTAGTCTGTATCAGCCTTTGATTTCGTATGAAGTATGTTGATAAATTTGCCCTGCAAGTGCCTAGGCGAATATGAAACGAACTAGCTTAATTCCCAAAGCAAGCCCCATGTAACAATCAGCAGCCGTGTTTGCTTTAGGAAACTGCTTTACGACGGAGGCGCCTCTTCAACCGGTTAGGAACCGACAGTTCCGGGGCGGAGTTTCAAGATGCATGTGAAGAATCCGTGTTCAAGTTCTTCCAAGCGAGTGAAGAAGAGTGATTTCTATGTGAGTTTGCGAGCATTCTTTATGACTGGTATCTATTAGCCGCGACTAGTAATCCATCTTCAGAATTCCAGAAATTGGAAATGGTTGACCATCCCATTGACCCTGAACAGGTTTAATTAAAAACAAACATCAGGATAACAGACGTCAATCCCACGCTGTTGGCGATCTCGAGGACCCTGTTTCAGCCCCGATTGCTTTCGCGCCCAGATGCCCCACCTCTTATGCACAAATGACACCTTATAATTGGTTGAATTGAAGCTTATTCCTGGGTCGAAAAAGTTCAACGTAACTTCACAAAAGTACCATCTCCCTATTCGCAAAGATTTTGGGAGTGTGAAGGATTCGAGCTTGTAAATGATTGGAGAAACGAAAATATTTATCATTAGGTTTCTGGGCTCTGCATACTCGGATCGACGTCAGCCCCAGGGGATTTTGAATACCCGGTCCGGTTTCACCGGAAGTTTGACCGGAGGTTTAGTCGACGCATAGTCCCATGGTTGTAGGTCTTCAATGGCATATCATGGGAAAATAGCGTGGACGTGTCGACGTGCTGAAGGGGGTAAAGAGATGGGGTCTCCATCACACGGCCATTTTGGGGTATGGATGACTAATCCACGATAAGGCGGCCGATAAGAAGACACAAACATCCAGATGTCAACAATTTGCAGACATTCCCTTCCAATGTCCAGGTGATGATGAACCCTGCGACTCATGTTCTAGATCCGGATGGTGAAGTGGTCATAACCCTACGCTCCGAACCTGAAGTTCTGCAAACGTCACCTGGTAATGTCCAAGGCACGACGGAACATCGAATTCAAGTCTCGTAAAGCACCTCACATTTGCCTCTCCGGTTCTCAAAAACTTGCTTACTTGAGGCCTGAAGGAAAGCACCACTCTCTCGGAAAAGGGGCCTGTTGAGATTACTGCAGATGACTAGAAATCACAACCCTTTCTGATCATCCTCCACGGTATTTATGGTCAATACCATGAAGTCCTTAAAAAGGTCACCCTCGAAATGCTCGCTGATATTGCTGTGATAGCGGACTACTACGACTGTGGAAAAGCTCTGTACATAATGAAAGAGATATGGGTTGAAGCTCTGGTGGAACCGACCCCTTCAAAATGTTTAACTGATTTGTTGCGACGGGTATGGGTCTCTTGGTTTTTTGATCTTCCGTCTAAGTTGAGAGTTCGACTTCAAAGGTTATGACATCGAGTGACAATTCGAGCAAGTAAATAATGCCTGTGAAACCAGATGCTACGACAGATAACACCATCGCTCTTGGCACCTCTCTCTCCGCGTTTTGTACCTCGCACATGACAGCTATCATTCCATAACCTGTTAGTGTGAATGCCCCTTGAAGCAAACTGATACAAAACGACCATCCGTCGCTCCTGAACAATGTTAGTTTCCATGCTTGAAGGGAGAAAAGTTAAACTGCTTACCACCCACTGGCCGACGCATCGAAATGTGTAAAAACAAACTTTGCACTTCTTTTTTCCTTGCACATGGCCAGCAGTACTACCAAAGTGGCAATTACCGTTACACCAGTCCACCAGATACAGACCTGATTTATCTTGTCGAGTAACTTCACTCCGAAGATGTTGATCATCATACACACCAACAGAACAGCCCAGAATGTGAGAACTGTATGTAATGCCGTGGGCGTGTATTCATTGGAAAACAATGTCGGCGCTGAGAGGATCAATTGAGCACCACCAAAAGCGATAGAACATGTCAACATCCAGTTACCGACGAGATAAAGCCAGCCGGTAATTCACGATGCAAGGACCCCATTTCTCATTAGAGAAAAGCGCTGCCCAGTAGTATACTCCGCCTGCAGTAGGATAGACAGCACATATTTCTGCCAAAGACGCTGCAATGCACGTAGATAGGATTGACATTATGATCCATCCATAAAAGATTGAAACCGACTGCCCATTGATGAGCCCAATATAGAGAGTTGTGCTTAGGCCGAAGGGAACAGCAATAATAGCAAATGACGTGTGAATTTCTCATTAGTATCGTGAATATTCACAGCGGCAAACGGGAATCTTACAGTCCAAATATACTCATCATACTTAGATGGCGAGGCAATTCTTCCGCATAAGCTGGCTGCGATACATCCATGCATTCATCGCCATCATTGTGTATGCTTCTGATTGAATTTATCATCACGCAGTGTTGATATTATATTTCACTTTTCGAAGGTCTTAGGAAAGTATAAAGTTGATTGTAGGGTGCTGTGGTGTCTTATGTTTGATAACCTTCGCTTTATGACCCAAGTCACTTCTATAGATAAGGAAGAGCGAGAAATATCAAGTCAGATACAGGTTTGTAACTTCAGGCTAAACCAACTCTCAGTGACGCATCCTAGATTCCTGATACCCGAGGATCTGGAGATTTGAAACCATGGTTAGATACCTCGTACAGGAAACGGGTTTTCCGCAGATAAACACTAGTCATAGTTCTCGGCATTAGCTTCGAGCCATTACAAGAAGGGAAAGGGGGCCTTTCTGAGTTCTGCTAGGGCGTATCCTTTTTAGGCTGCACTTAACCGGGCGTCTCTATCTCTATATTGGGATATAGCTCCCAATCGCCACATAAACCTTATACAAAATCCCGGTCTAATGCATGTGTCAGGAAAGAATGTTTCATCAGACTCGCAATGCATGATGTCGAACTCATTGAAAGCATGGTCGATTTCCGCGAAGCACCGAAAATAGTTATCAGTTAGATCCCCAGATGATAGCAGTAGGCTTTGTATCTATCTCGACAGTCTTGAAGATCTCTGACTAATATAACGAGAATCTTATAGTTTAGTAGCCTACTAAATCCATATATACTAGCCACTCCCTATCTTGGAGTTGGATACCCATTGATTCTCAAATGACTGAATATATTAAAATCGTTGAATGTCAACAACGATTATATCCAAGCACTCTAGCGTTGCAAATAACTCGCTATCTCGACCTACAAATCTCACGTTGGTTATTCCAGCTGAGCTGGATGGGCCATCGGTCGTTTTAGTTAAAGTCATCCCAAGCTAACCAAAGTATAGAGCATTTAACCCGCATGGAATCAATAATACACTTTCAAATTAACTTTGAACCAGAATCCTTAACAAAGAAACATCCAAAAAAGGGGAATATTTGCCTTAATTGGCAGACCCGCTAACACTCAAGGCCCTTGCACCTAAACTCGGATTCAAATCCCGAGTGGATCAGCATCCCAATGAAGAGTATGCGATGATTCTGCTGCGGAGGAATTCGAACCAATCAGGTTGGTTTAATGAAAAGTGGAAGGAACGCTGATAGGGAACATGATGTAGAGCTTGCCCAAGCTCTAAAAACTCCGGCGGCGGCAGCAGGTGTCTTCAAAACACACTTAGATGATGCCGTACTCGATTAGCATCTGTTCCAAGCTTCCAAGTCAACTCAAGATAAAGACCATCGTTTCACTTGAACTATTCCGGATCTGGTGCGAAATGACCGCGCCGTACTTCCTTCAACGACGTGGAGCACGGTAGGATCTTATCGGTTTCCCTCGGTAACGGTGGCGGACGGGAAAGACTGGTACTACCAACCGAGTTGACCCAGACGGAGGTATCAGCGCCCCCACAATCGAAGAGATTCAGAACTGCCAATTCTCACCTCGTATCTTAACCCCTATGCTTCTTTCTGGTGTCTCAAAACCATCACATGGATCATACTATAGCTATTTACGTCATTATCTACATCTTTACCATAAAGGAATGGATAATTCGTAATACAAATTTGCATAATTATGAATTAATGAAAAGGAATAGGTTTTAAGTACTGGAAGAAATACCTTGAGTCCAGAAATGACTCGATTGCCGTTTCGAGCACATGGGTAAGAAGTCTGGAAGATACCTTTATATGGGCACTACACATTGAGCGAATCGGGACTGCTTTAGCACCCAACATACATACGTTATCTCTAAAATCAAAGTATATGTGAGATCGGTAAGATAAAACTCGCCTAGATATCACACAATGGGTATAGCGTTTTCTCAAGCATTCTTGCCCCTGCATTAAGCCTTCTATTTATAGTATCTTGTCATGTGGAACAATCAAACTCCTTTTGACATTAGTTTGCTATAGGAACATTAGTTAGTATTCATGTAGACAAAGAACTGCAGGTGAGGTGGTGACCCTTTTAAGATTCAAGTACCGTGTTTTTTTTAGCTAATAGATCTATTACATATTTGTAAATTTGTAAAAGACACATTCCTCCACTTAGGCACTGGAATGTAAACGCGGAAAGGAACCACTCTTTACAAAAACTCGTCATGTTTTCCTATAAAATACTAGTATGTTAATATGTTTATTTCGTCAACCTTTCAAGAGTAAGTATTAGTAAACTTGTAAGTACGAAATTCGGTCAAAGATTCGTATAGCGCTACTAACACAGCCGTGACGATGATGGGTCTAATTACTCTTCGGGTATCCTTTTTGAAACCATATCCTTCGGAAACTATTGTTCGAAATTACGGTGCTCCTCTAATATAAATACTCACATGTGATGCCGACATTTATTAAAGTATCAGTTCTGTGGTTGGATTTGATAGATAGAGACAATCAATTCGTAATGGGCAATGTCGGTTTCATCAATTTCATCAACCATATCAAGTGCGATACCATTCTTGGCGTTAAAGACCTTATGGCAAGATGTAACCCCCATCGACGACGAGATCTGAACCGGTTGTGAAAGTACTCGCATCGCTTGCTAAATACAAATAGGCCGCCTTGATTTCTTCGGTGTGGCCCTGTCGACCCGAAACCGCCATGCGATACACCTCACTCTCATCCTCTGCCCCGGCACCCATCTTAGTGTCAAAGAAACCGGGGCTTACAATATTAAGCCTCGCAGACTCTCTCCATTCTCTCGCCAGGCACTTCCCAAGATGTCTCACGTACGCCTTTGTCGCGTTGTACACTGGCTGATCCACAGGTACATTGACAATGTGACCCGGAATACTGCTCGTAATGATCAAATTATCCGAGCCTTGCAACTTAAAGACGTCGCCGGCATATTTGGCGCAGTAATATACTCCGTCAACATGCACACTCATCTGGTGCCGGTATTCATCGATGCTGGTTTCAAGGACAGGTTTCGAGATACACATGCCAGCGTTGGCGACAAAGACACCAAGGCCTCCAAAGACAGAAACGACTTGCTTTACAGCGGCTTCAACAACTTCAGGCTTTGAGACTTCGACTTGATATGCTTTCACTTTGAGATTGTATTTTCTCGCTAGCTCGGCCCCCTTGACTTGGGCGGCGGGGTGACTGTTATACCATAATGCAAGGTTGGCTCCAGCTTCAGCCATAGCCTCGGCGACTGCAAATCCGATACCATCGCTAGCACCGGTGATATAGGCTGTACGCCCCTTCAAGCTGAACTGCTCAACTACATTTTCGGGTGTGTTGGGGTAAGGGCGTGGTACGCGTTTCTGAGCGGCAACTTCTTCGATGGTGCAGGACATATTTCCAAGGTTTTCTGGGCGGTTGCTTGCGACGTCAGATATTCAAATAATGATGCAAAACCAGTCTGTGCGCTATTATATAGGTATAATTTAAGTAGTTAGGATTACCAATCAATGTAACTATATATGCGAAAAATAATGACGTGCAATGTCTAGATTTTGTCGTTAGTGGAAACTATCCCGTCGGCAAAACGCATGATAAAGGAGACTTTTGGCGGTGTTTGACAGCTGACATGCTTGTTCCCCATAGTGGCCGTGACACACGAAGACTTCAAAACATGTGCCCACTCTGGATTTTGCAAAAGAAACCGCGATCTGGCAGATGAAGCTTTTGTGACCGGCAAATCATGGAGCTCGCCATATGCGTTGATCCCGGACACCTTGACCTTCGACGGCGGAATTTTGAGTGGGGTTGTGAGAAAAGGGGATGTTTCTGATGAACATATTCAATTGCCGATTGTGATGAGCTTCTACGATTCTGGAGCAGCGAGGGTGGTCATCGACGAGGAAAAGCGTATGCAAGGTCTCATTGAGCTCCGACACGACAGCAAAGCGAATGAAAAGCGATATGACGAGGCGTGGAAGTGGGCGACTGCTGGGGAGCTTGATTGAGTGGATCTGCCACTTTTCTGCCAGATACCTCTGATCCTAGATCTTCGGTAATAAAACACGGGCCTAACGATCGGTTCAACGCGATTCTGCATCATTCTCCATTTGAAGTGGAGTTTCAAATCGATGGAAAGACTCACATACTTCTCAATTCCAGAAGCTTGCTAAACTTGGAACATTGGATACCAAAGGGAAGTGGCGAAGATTCGAACGAGGATGAGTCGACCTGGTGGGAGAAGACATTTGCAAAGTTTACAGATTCCAAGCCCCGTGGCCCAAAGAGTGCGATGGATATCAAATTCACGGGATACAGCCACGTATTTGGGATTCCTGAACATGCAGATAAAATTTCATTGCGCGAAACCAGGTAATTCCTCTCTCTACCTTTACCCTGTTTTCCCTGATTTGTACATGCAACGGCATATTGACTGTTCAGAGGAGACCCAGGGAACCACGAAGAAACATATCGCCTATACAATTCCGACGTTTTTGAATACAAGCTTAATAGCCCCATGAGTCTCTATGGAGCGATCCCATACATGCAAGCGCATCGAGTTGATTCGACAGTAGGGGTCTTTTGGTTGAATGCAGCCGAGACGTGGATCGACATCGTGAAGCAACATGATTCCAATGACAAGCACACCTCTACTCATTGGATTTCCGAATCAGGGCGCATTGACCTCTTTATATTTTTGGGAGATAAACCCAAAGATATCGGGCAAACATACGGCAGATTGAACGGTTACCCCCAACTGCCTCAGCAATTTGCCATTGGTTATCATCAATGTCGGTGGAACTATATGAGTGATGAGGATGTCATGACCGTAGGCGCGACATTCGATAAACATCAAATCCCGTACGATACCATTTGGCTTGATATTGAATATATGGACGAGAGAAAGTATTTTACATGGGATCCTCTAAGATTTCCAAACCCCAAAGATATGCAAAAGCAGCTTATGGAATCAGAGAGGAAACTTGTTGTCTTGATGGATTCTCACATTAAGAAGGAGAGCGGTTATTTTGTCTCAGATGAGCTAAGAAGCAAAGCCTTAGCTGTCCTAAACAAAGATAATAAGATATACGACGGGTCTTGCTGGCCAGGTCTATCGAATTGGATTGATGCATTTAATCCCGCAGCGGCGGCATGGTTGAATACCCTCCATAAGTACGATTACAGCAAGGCTTTAAATCATATTACTGACATTCGAGCAGATATGACCGATACGAAGGTTCCTGCTCAAATCTTTTTATTGAAAATGATATGGGCGAACAACCTGTATTTCACGGACCCGAACTTACAATGCCTCGAGATAATATCCACCACGGTAACTGGGAGCATCGCGACGTTCACAACTTGAACGGCCTTACTATTATAAATGCAACCTTCCAGGCACTGCTAGACCGTGAAGCAAACACCCGTCCATTTATACTCACACGATCATTCTACTCGGGCTCTCAACGCCTTACTGCAATGTGGACGGGAGATAATCAAGCCAAATGGGAGCATCTAGCAATCTCTTTACCAATGATTCTGACCAACGGAATCGCAGGATTCCCATTTGCGGGTGCCGATGTGGGTGGGTTTTTTGATGATCCAGATGTCCACCTTCTGACTAGATGGTATCAAGCGGGTATCTGGTATCCTTTCTTCCGAGCTCATGCGCACCTCGATAGAAAACGCAGAGAGCCGTATCTTATCCAAGAGCCTGGCCCAGGCGGGATGGCGTTCACTCATTAGTTGCCAAAACACGTTAGACTATGCTAAAACACAGAATGCTGCCTAAGTGGCTTTGACCCCCACTGTATAGAGTCCAGGTGGAGTAGATCTTGGATATCCGTAGGAATGATAATCCGAACAATCCACACCGGATTTCACACGCCGGTCTCTCCTTCGCCCATCCAAAATACGAGACACAGGAGTTCAGGTCATGTAAAATCCGGTGTGTGCACCGGAACTCAGCGCGGTGCGGCCGTATTCGTCAACTATAGCCTTTAATTCCGGGTTCTTTTGTCCGATTGTCTCAATTGATTATCTCAATTCCGAAATGCAGCAGCCACACTCAATCGGCTACGGAGTATATTGCATATTATTCGGATGCAAGCCTCAAACATTTCTGGTATCATTTTAAAGCGACAAGCTACAGAACTACCATATCTAACCCCTATTTTTAATCATCTGCGATTACTATCATCTGAACTTTCTGCATATCACACACACTTTCACACATACGACATACTCATCACATTATGGGTCAGAGACCAGAGAACAAGGCGGCTTGGCTACCTGCCTCCAAGGTCAACCCGCTTTCGATCAGTTCGGCCCCTTACACTGCACCGGGACACCACCAGATTGTCGTGAAGAACAGTGCACTCGGTATCAACTCGGTCGATTGGGCGAAGCAGCTAATCGGCGAAGGATTGCTGGGCCATATCAGGTACCCGTTTATCCTTGGTGAGGATATCGCTGGTACCGTCGTTGAAGTCGGCGATGGTGTAGATCGCTTCAATGTTGGTGATCGTGTCATTGCTACTGCCTCGGCCATTTCTGCCAATGATGCCCTTGAGGGCGGTTTCCAATTGTACACTGTTGTTCGTGAGTGGATGGCTGCCCGGCTGCCTGATAGTATTACCTTTGAGCAGGCTAGTGTGCTGCCATTGGCTCTTTTGACAGCTTCGCATGGCTTATTCGACTCTGACTATCTGGGTCTCGACTTGCCTAGTGCTCCTGCACCCCAGGAGAGCGGTGATAAAGGTACTGTCATTATCACTGGAGGATCCTCTGCTGTTGGAAGTACTGCTATCCAGCTCGCTGTTTCTGCCGGATACGACGTTATCTCTACTGCATCGCTCAAGAACTTCGAGTATGTCAAGAATCTCGGTGCCTCTTACGTCTTTGACTACAAGAGCGAGACTGTGGTCGATGATATTAGCGCCGTGGTCAAAGGTCTTCATCTGACCGGTGGCTATTCAATCGGCGACGGCTCCATTAACTTGCTCGCCGCTGTTTTGGCTAAACACGACGGCCCATCTACCAACAAGTTTATTGCTCTTGCAGGTGGCCAGCTCGGTAGTGGCGCTGTTGATCCAAGTGTTGAGGTCAAATTTATTCTTCTTGGCCCAGACGCGATCGGAGCCGACTCAGTCATCAGCAAAGTCTATACGAACTACCTTCCCGATGCACTTTTGAATGGGCAGTTTGTACCCGCACCTGAGCCTGTTGTTGTGGGTAAGGGATTGGAAAAGATCCAGGAGGCCTTTGGTATTCACATGCAGGGTGTCTCGGCGAAGAAGATTGTGGTATCGCTGTAGGGTCTTTTGAAATGAGTTCATGATGTCAGTCTGCGCGATCTAGTGTGGCTGGTTCCAATAGCTATCAGGTAACAGCAATAACAACACGCTTTTTCATAACCGTTTAAGTCATACCGTTTTAGCCCTTGATGAGCAGGAGTTTCTTTATCACTCCTTAAGATAAGAATGTAGACCCTGATGGACTTATCAATGCGAACTTCATTATATTAAAATCATGCGCTTCAAGCTCTGGCGCTAAGCATTTACTACAAAAGTGGACAGATTCCTCCATGCAAGATGCAAAGTCAAATGATATTTGAAACTAATACTCCGAAAATGAAAGAGTGCGTCTAGCAAATTTTGTAAATTCCATCCCATCAATCAAATATTACCAATTATCCATCCCATCTAAACAAAAGCGTAAAGCCTCAAGCCAGCAAATCACATACCCATTTCAAATCCTAGTCCTGTCAACCTAAACAGCTGTACCTTTCTCACCAGAGTCAACATCCTCCCCAGCCTTCGTCTCCTCAGAAGAATCAGCGGTAATAGCCTGCACCTTCTTCACCTTCCTAATATCAACCCAACCCAAGCCCCACCCAAAAGCAAAAGTAGCAAGCGCAAGGGAAATACCAAGGTACATCACATGGCTAATTGCAGTAGTGTAGCACTGTAGCGCGACGGTAAGTGCCTCACCAGATACTAGTGTTCGAATGGTGGTTGCTCCGGTGCTGGCGATGATATCTGGATTAATTCCGATCACATCGGTGTGTTTGGCTAGTTCATTTTTCAGGCCGTTTGTGAAGATTGAGTTGGCTGCGATGAGCCAAATGGCTCCGCCCATGTTTTGGCAGAAAATTATAATGGCCATTGCGATTGGGATTTGGGGAGGTGGGACGAGATTTTGGATTGCGATGTAGGGCTATTTGAATCGGAGATTTGTTATTTCACATGTTATTTTGAATATTGGTATGAGGGATTGGATTTGGGCTTACTGCGGAACTCATGGCGCCACTGCCTACTCCGTAGAGAACTTGGTATCCGATCCATTTTGAAGGTGACGTCGTAGGTTTGATCATGGACATGAGACCATAGCCAATAGCGGTAAAGGCACTTCCTCCCAAGTTCCAAGGCATATAGTACCCAAAAATCTCAGCTGTCAATAATTAAATTAGTATAAATGGTCTTCGCAATTGAAAGATTGACAATCAAAGAAAAGAGGATAACTCACTCATCATCCCAGCAAGCATCGTGAAAATAACCAACCCCAGAGTCGTCGGTAACAAATGAACACCACTAATAATAGGCGTATTATCCAATACAGTCTGAAAGAAAATAGCAAGATAATACTCCGCAACCAAAATAGCCCCAAGAAGAAAAAAGAGATTTCCACCCGCGGCCCAAACAGTGCGCTTTCTAAGCATCGAGAAAGGTACCATAGCCCCATCACCTTGCTTGTATTCCCAAATAAGGAAAACGAGGAATGTAGCGGCCGCGCCAACGATAAGTCCAATAACAGTTGCGCTGTTCCAAGGGTGAATTGTACCGCCGTATTGTAGGGCGAGGAGGAACATTACGGCCGCAGGACTGATGAGCATGAAGCCGGGGAGATCGAGAGATCTTACGGCTGTGCCGAGGACTTCGCGGGGAGGGCGCTTGGTTGTTGGCTCGGGAATTTTGAAGAGGAATAGTAGGATTGCGAGGGCACCGCCGATGGGGAGGTTGATATAGAAGCCTAAAGAATGGTTAGTTAGAATTGGTCATATGATGAGTCTTGGAGAATGAGAAGTACATACACCAACGCCATGATACCCTTTGTGTGAATGCACCGCCAATAATAGGGCCTAAAGCGATTCCGAGCTGACCAATTCCAAGGTTTATTCCCAGAAAGCCGGCTTGTTTTTGGAGTGGTAGTACAGCTGAAATGATTGTAAGAGCACCGTTTCCAATACCAGATGATCCAGCACCAGCAATGGCCCTTCCAACAATGAACATGGACGACGAAGTAGCCGCTCCACAGATGGCAGATCCAACCTCGAAAATGAAGAAAAAGACAAGGAACGACCACTGTAATAAACTTAGCAACAAGACTTAAATTCTCCCCCAAAAGAACGAAGACCACTCACTCTGATGTTAAAGTGACTGTAAATCTTTCCGGTAAGGGGCTGAAGAGCAGAGCTCCCAAGCTGATACGCACCACCATACCAGCCTACATCGACCAGAGAATCGAATCGGGCAGTAATGGAAGGGGTCGCGGTAGATACGACACACATATCTAAGAAGACGAGGAAATATGCGATTGTGACTGGGCCTAGAATGGACCATAGAGCTATTCCAGTGGGGAATTTGGTTTCCTCGTCTGTTGCATCGGGTTTTGAAGATAGGCTTGTGGAGCCTGACTTTTCGATGTCGGTTTTGTCTTCGAAGGGGACCCCTTGGCCCTTTACAGACTGGGTGTCTGCCATTGCGATGATCGTAGATGTATCCTTTCTGTAAGTTTAGCTGTAATTGATGGGTTGAATGCTCAGATAGAATGAATAGTGATAGATGAGGATAAGAAGAAAAGAAGATTTATATTGAAGCGCGAAGAATTTGAAGAAAAAGGTATAAATAATATAAAGCTTTAACGGACTATGAAGCCGATGCTACATTATGGACCGGATTCGCGAACTGTGATGATAGCCTATCCCCAGTGGTATAGAGCCGGGCCCTTTGTTATTGGTGGAGTCGGGTGGAGTCGGGTGGAGTTAGGACCGGAATGTGAAATCCGGTCCTTAGTTCCCCTGCGCAGTCATGTACGCCCGCAAGCTGCACTCAAGAAACATTTCACATTAATAATGGAGATAGCGAATAATCGTCGGAGGAACTATACCTAGTTCAACTCGAGATGATCGATCTCATTTGCTGTGATTTATGAGTGAATGTTTACACGCCCATCTCCAAGGAAGGCAGGCTTGCAGATACTATGCCACATTGGTCTATTGTGAGACATACAATCTTGAAAGTACATCGTATGTCTCGAAGGTCGAGCTATTGGTAAATGTAGACGTTTATCTAATTAGCTAAAGTGTAACATCGGATTGTACAATAAACATCACAAAAATGTGATGAAATACGTTAGAACGTGGTTAATTCTCCGACCAAATTGTGCCTGCGCGCCTCATCCATATTCGCGTGGAAACCCTAAATACGTGAGCAAGATTTGTGCAAAACAAAGGGAATTGTGTGATAGATGGCAAGGTAATCTTCTATATAGAGGGTATTGTCTGATCTTGATAGTCGATCAAGAACTGGTCAAACCATGTTGTAGGACTGATAAAGTAATTTGTCTGTTGGCCATATGCTGAAACTTCTGTACCAGCCGCTGTTACCGCTGGAGCCGTAGCTGGAAGAATGTCTATGTTTGATTGTGACTGTTGTCTCATATTGTTCATTTCCTCAGGTGTTCGCGTGTCTTCTTGTTGTCCAAACATGCGGAAACCGCGGGCTAATTGGGTGAAGGTTCCGTCAGCTGAACCCGGCTGCTCTCCAGCTTCCAGAGCGGCGAGCTCTAGCTTGTTAATCATGTTTGAAAGCACATCGGATAGATCAGCTAGCTTGCACAGAGTGGCGGGATCCCAGCCTGACTCTTGATGTTTGCCGAGTTGATACAGAGTCGCTATACAGCGTGCTTGTTGAGCCCACTGAATGAAAGAAACTCCGAGGAGCCCCGATGGGGAGAGGGTGAGAAAGGTTGATGTGCATGACTTGATCGCTAGTGCAGCCTGGATAAAGCAGGACTGGCGGGTGGGTCCACATGTTGGCGGTTGGGGACGAGTAGACTCTTGAGTGTGAATAGTTTGGATAATGCACATTTCTGTGTAATATGTTTGTGCGAGTAGGACTGTTACCTATTAGCATGGAATTTAAACTGAGTCGAGTTTGGAAACTTACCAAAGTGCTGTTGAAATTCTGGAGGAATGGATGCTCGGAGCTCTTGTAACTGCCCCATAAGTCCCTTAATGTATAGAAGGTCTTGAAGTGAAAGGCTCTCTGGGGGAGGATGATCCGGAAGTTGCGCTCGCTCCCGAACTTGTGCAGCCTTCATGGTGAGTAATTGTAGGCGCACTTGTGTAGTCAGTGCAGCATCAGATGGACATTCAGCACCATGGACAATAAGAGCAGAGAGACCTTTGTCCATTTGAGGGATCCACCGCAAAGCATCGAGCTCGGGGAAGTAAGCTGAGACAGCCGAGCCAATGGCAAAGCAGCCCAGAATGGCTCGTTGACGTTCGAAGTAAAGATAGGTGTCGTGTGTCGTATTCGCCGTTGTGTTGCCATACGCATCTGTAAGTCCACCTTTGGGTTCGAGTTGAAGAATTGTTCGTGTTGTTTCTGGAAACTCGTGGTCTAGAAATTGTAGTTCTCCAACTAATAATATAGCCATTCCCATGAGTCGAGACAAGGTGCTACGGCTCTGCAAGTGCTCCCAGCCCCATGCAATATACACAAGCAGAGCTAAGAGTATATCAACTGTCTGGTACCGGGGTTGTGACTGTTCCTGCAGTGATAATTGTTGAAAGAACATTGCTTCCGAGAGCATGCGTTTCAGCTCAAACGACCGTGCCTTCTTTTCTTGAATTGATGCCGACGTCACACAAACTATGGCGCGGAACAAAAGAGGGCGATCTAGAGAGAGCTGGTGGGCTGTGAGATGGGTGGACAAATGAATAAAAGGGAAGTGGTGCAGCATGTTCGATCGGAAGTTGTCTAGACAGATGGATGCGGTAGATGGGAATACCGACGGCGACATCAACGGGTCGGATATTGTCGAGGAGGGGGGAGTTGCAAGAGCGATAGAATTCGAATTAAAAATGGTTGTATCGTGCATCAACCACCAGGACGCTGAAGAAGGGATTTTGCTTGTGTTTATGTTGTTTGTGTTTATGCCTGTGTTTGTGTGGTAATTGTGGTCGTCTGCTTCCATAAGATCGGCGTTCGAATTCTCCATAGTGCCCATAGTATCGTCAGTCGCACCGACCATGTTCTGAAACTGAACCACATGGGGTGGTGACTGTTGGTGTTGGAGTTGAGGCTGTTCTTGATTATAATATTGGGTTTGCTGTAGCTCTTGTTGACTCTGTTGATTTTCTGGATGCTGCAATTGCGACGGTGATTGTTGGAGCTGGTGCTGTTGTTGGTTCTGATATTGATTGTGCTGTAGATCTTCTTGTCGTGGTGACATTATTTCGGCACGGTCGCTCTGGGTAGCATCAGGATAAAGGTTGCTCACGATGCCCCCAACATCAACAATCGAATTGCCTGCTTGAATCAACGATACCAACTGTTCGATTGCGCCCTCAAGTTTGGCGACGCGGACATCTGTTGGATTTGGCTTCTTATCGTTGCGACGGCGTAAGGTATCGGCGGAATTGCACGGGCGCTTGAGACGATAACATCTACCCGAGAAATCAACAGTCCACCCGGACCATACCTCCAGGACTCCCAAAAAACAGATTCGACTGACCTTTCACAACCACCGCCTTCAACGCGGGGGATACACTTAGATTTGTTTTTGAAGCAGCCTAAGCAAGCTTGGCCATAGGGGGCCGACCGGCCAGTTGATCTGGCTGCCCCAGGCATTCTGCAAGTGGAGATGGGCAGTGGAGAGTGATGCGGTTCTACCCGGTGATGGTGGGGTGGTAAAGTAGAGAGTGGGAAAAGGAAGAGGAGAAATAAAAGAAAATTGAGTTCTTGATGTGAAAGTGTGGTGGATGCAGATCACCTGTGGAAGTAGAGAGTGGTAAAGGAAGAGCTCGAAAACCGAGTGTATATAGATGAGGCAGATCACATGAGCCTCCAGGGGTCTGACGGCTTAAAACGGCCAAGCAGTCGAGAATGAGATAATGCACGGAGAGTGTATTGAAGATGTTGTTATATTAGTACATTTGAATGTACTATTGGCAATATTCTTGAAAAAACAATTAAAAGGGAGTTTGATTCTCTCATCTCTTCTTGAAGGCGTGCTGGCTTATCCAAGGGGCCGTTGAGGAAATCTACAGTATTAAGTATACCATGACATACCAAGTTACTGGAAAGGTTGAAGATTTCCGCAAAAGAATTGCCGTATCGTGGGGCTCAATTGAATTATACAAGTAACATACGGTAAGTACAGCCGTTATTCAACTTCGCCCCATTCTTTCTCCTAGTTCCTTCACCATCATCCACTAATGTTGAGAACTTGTCTACGCAAGGAAATGGCCGGATATTTTTACATTCATACGAATAAATCTCAAAGGACCCCCGGATTTAGTGGCTTCGTGGTATCACAAAGCGCCGCTCTTAACCCTGGATCACCCAAGGACTCCCTGTCGATCGATCGGAAGTGGATACGACGAAGAACAACCTCAAAGTATCTCAGGCCGTGGCATTCGATCGGAGCTTTAAAAGGCTCCGTTCCTACGAAGCACGCGTTGAAAAGAATTAACACAGGGATAGTATGAGTGTTGTAAGGGCATAGATTTGCAAGGCTACGACCAAAACTTGACCAGGAATCATGTCTCTTTTATTACGAGTGTAGAGGTTTTGCCAGACATTTGCATGAAGCAACTGAAGCAGGCACCTGGGGACTCGGATCTTGATTCCCAGGTGATTCAGCGGAATATAAGTAGCTCAAAAAAGTATGAATTATTAAAATAGAAGCGATTGGTTGTTCCGCCGAACGGCTCTGTTGCGGTCGGAGTGTATATGTTCCGCTAACATACAACACCTTAAATGCTCTAAAGTTCGAAATTGATTGATTTTTTATAAAATAGATACAGCACAAAATTGATCTCCGGCGGGGGAATAAAGCTTCTTCAAGTCCGCTTGCTTGCCTCTCTGACAGATTTATCACCTGGTAACTATATCATGACACTTTGAAATTCAGTATTGATACTTGGAAACGCGCATAAAAACAGTACTAAAATCCGACTACTGCAACAAAATATTTGTACAGGCTATCAAACCCACCTTCAAACCTCCATTCCACTCATTTGCTGTCTACAATTTGATCCTAAGCTGAACCACCATGCCTGCTACTCCGCTATCCATCACCCTCGCTGGCCCGCCTTTGAGCGACCGTGAAGCAGTCGCCGATGCCTGCTACCGTACCACGGCCTCAATTGACCATGCCAGCGAAGAACTCTACTGGTCGGCAGTGACAGATGACATATATGCCGAAGTTGCCGGCACAACTGTCAGCAGTGCTGAGGAATTGAAGTCTAAAGTTTGGGACAATGTTATCAAAGTTGATACCATTCATTATCTTACCAATATGCGAATCAGTATTGATACACCTACCACCGCCCGAGTAACGTTTACCTCGCTTGCTCAGCATTGTCGTCGTGGAAAGGGCTTTGAGTCTGGGCCTAAAAAGTTTACCACTGGTGCTATTTATGATTGTGATGCTGTTAAAGTGGGGGATATTTGGAAAATGAAGACTTGGAAGGCCAATCATGTTTGGGGGGATGGTGATCCATCTGTTATGGTTGCTTAGATACAACGTTTTATTTTTGGGAAAATGTTCAATTCAAATCGGAACCATGGGAGATAGTCTGGTAGTTCCATTTCTGGCGAAATTTATTTCACCCATTGAAAGAGATGATGAAAGATATGCGGTTTATCATCCGAAAGGTTTTCGATGTTCCCATGAAAAGTATCGTCTTGATCATTGTTTCCCATCTACCCAACTGTCTTTAAAAATAGGCGAGTGTAGTTCAAAGAAACTAAAATGTGAGTCAACAAATTTGTTCCACTAGTAAGCCTTGAGAACGCCTCTAGAATTTTCATTACGAGAGGAATCTAGGTACACTTCAAAACATTACTGCTAGTAAGGGGTTCTAGATTAATTTACGACGGAAGCTTGTAAGAAGATAATGCTTAGCATTGATAATCTGGGTCCACTACCTTACAACGACAGGCAAAGAATTCTGTATTATGATGATGATGATGAGATTACTCCTCTCGTGGTCGCAATTCAGCCGTTCTAGATTGGCGGATCGCTTCTATTGGCCCCTGCAAAACTCCGACGGGGTTTAATTTATGCGCTTTTCTCAAATGGGCGCATTTGCAGACCTTATCCGGGGGATTTATTTGCTTTCCACATGGTTCTCAAGCTGCTTATTAGCATGAGACTAGACAACTTAAGGGTTAGTTTCAACAGCCCCACTCAAGTTATTCCCGCTTATAAGTTGAGCAGTCAATGATAACATAGCGTTAGAGTAATATTGGTCCAAATGTATATTCATACGAAATTCTCCGAAATTAGCTCTTACTCTCCAAAGCCCCTCCATCAGACGATATCATGAATACAATTGGTAGTAGAGCGGCAACGTCGCCGTCGGGCTATGATTGGCGATTCTCATGGACTCGGAGCTTCTGGAATTTGATACCCACCTGCCGTTAAGTAATATAAGGGTCATACATATCTGCGTAGACTTTAGCAGCTGCGCTCTTCTATGCACAAATTTCTGTACCTGAAAATCTCCGTTATCGTCCAATCATGTTGATTCGTCTCTTGGCATTGGCGAGTGTGGCTCCCTCCTTAATGGTCCACAGCCATTCTACTGGACATAATGCATCTACACTGGAGGAGCTGTATGGGCCGTGGGTCTCAGCAGCGACAGAAATTGCGTCTTCTACAGAGTCAGACTTTTCTAGGGTTGTTGGGCTTCGATGGTCAGCTTGGGAAGCTCCGCATTGGTCTGGGGCGATTAAACCTGCAACAGAAAAAGATCTACAGAAAGTCGTAAGTGTTGATTGATTCGCAAGTAGACTACATTGCTATGTGAAAAAAAGCTTATACAGATCTCAGGTTTCAACTTCAGTGGCAAACAAGATCCCTTTATTGCAACTAATGGTGGCCATGGTCCGAAGACTGGCCAAGGCAAGTTCACTGGTATCAATGTGAATCTTGCCAACTTCAATACTGTGAGCATTGATACTACCAATAACTTAGTCACTCTTGGAGCTGGCGTCAAACTTTGGGATGTCCAAAGGGGGTTGTACGATGTCGGGAAAGAAATCCGTAAGTAGCCTCTTTCTTTTTAATGTCACCACATTAATGACAAAGTTGACAATATTTAGAAACTGGTAACTCCATCTGCCCGGGTGCTATCGGGGTAACCATTGGTGCTGGAATTGGAATGATGACAGGCATGTACGGCCTTATGATCGACACACTCAAATCTGTCCGCGTGGTAACTGCGAAGGGCCACGTCGTCAAGGCCTCAGCAACTGAAAACAGTGATCTTTTCTGGGCAGTTCGAGGAGCTGGCGTCAATTTTGGAATCGCCACAGAAGCAACCTACGGAATTCACGACCAAACCAATAACGGCAACGTAACGGCCGTCAACTTCATCTTCACCGCAGCATCCAATCGCACAGTTTGGGAGACATTGAAGAAGTTCGACGGTAATCAGCCAGCGAAGTTGTCATTCCAGGCGGTCATCAAATTTGACCGAACCTCTAACTCACCGATTATCATCGTCCAGGTTTGGTACTTTGGACCTTTGACAGAGGCACAGCCTTATTTAGATATATTTGCTGCTGCGGTCCCTGCTACGACATCATCGTCATATCTTCCCCAGACTGATTTATATTACCAGTCTGAGACAGCAGGAGTCTGTGATAGGGGAAACATCATCAGTGCAAATACCTTGGGATTTAATCAGACTGATGTCTCAAGTTATGAGGCTCATTTTGCGGATCTAGTGGCTTTTTACAAGGCGAATCCGTCTTTTGAGGGAGAGTCTGTCTTTCAGTATTATAGTAACGATGTCACTCGTCAGACACCGCAGTCTGAAACTGCCTTCCCATGGCGTGATATTCAAGTTTGGTGGTAAGTGACCTTGTTTTGTAATATTTTCATTTTTGGTATGTTCAATTGTGCTAATTTAAATCTTTCTATAAAGGCTCACGCAAAACAAATATACTAACGCGTCGATCGGACCCAAGGTCGATCATCTCATGAGAGGACAACGCACTAACCTTCAGAAGACAAGTGGTTTCCCTACACCTCATGTATACTTTAACTATGCCTTTGGGGATGAAGGAGCAGCTGCTTGGTACTCTGCTGCTAATTTGCCCAAGCTTCGCAAGCTTAAGGCTAAATGGGACCCCGACTTTGTGTTTGGAAATGGGGCACCTCTTTACTAGAAAAGGCAGTTACGATATCGAGAAGGAGATTAGTCGACTCCTGACCTTTTATATTGATATCCTATCTGAAATGCAAATAACTCTGTTGATTGCGAAGGAGTTACGTAGTGATAGACGTATACACGATTGCAGTTCACATAACGAGTTAAGCTACCTAGACACCCTGGGCTCTAATTCTACGAAGCTGACGCGAGGCGAATTCTTATTTGATAGGCACCTGATCTGCGTGGAAGTGGTGCCCTTTCTGTATGATATACTAATTTGTGACTTTTACATGGGTCAATTCGGGTTTATACTAGTGTACTTCGAATGTAAGTCAAGGGTAGAAGAAAGTGTGTTTTATATCAAGAAGCTGCGAGTTTGATTTCAGTCACAATTTTGTCAACATTATAGTCCCATATGATCTGTGAGGCTCCCTCGAGTTTCTGTTTACTCCTTTCCGCATCCCGCCCAGTTCGCCCATACCGCCACTGGTACATTTGGCCCATCTCCCGCGAACTGCGCACAACCCACTGGCCACGATCCATACGTGCCTGGCTATATGCTTGCAAAGCGTGTACAATGGCCGCTCTTTGGCCATGATGGCCTCCATTAATGGTATTGGACTGGGCCGCAACCAATGCTTCAGAAAGTACAAGCGCGTCTTCGACACCGATGCAGGCACCGACACCCTGGAATGGGCTACTAGCATGAGCAGCATCGCCTGCAAGACAAACGCGACCGCGTGCATATGTTGGTGTCGGGTGTTCGTTCATGTCGAAGATTCCCCACTTCACCATCTCCTCTGGGAAACTCTGCACAATGTCAACTATGTGTGGGCCCCATCCGACTACGATACGCTCGAGTTCCTCGCGTGTAGCCGGGGCTGTCATTCTCTCAGGCCCTGGAAAGTCTGAGGGGTCATGGGCAAAAAAGGCGACGTTGAGAAGCGTTCCATTCATCACCTAATATTAATATTAGCGACGGCGATTTTCAAAATGGAGAGCATGAAATGAGACGGAACATCGGTATTCGCTTACTGGATATGACATGACGTTCGCATTTGGGCCACAATGCATACATCCAGTCATCGCCTTAGCTTTCCCAATTGCAGCTATACCTGCGTCGATAGGTATCATTGTGCGATATGCGACCGTGTGGGGATAGCTGGGGCGAGTCGCCGGGTGATCAGCGCCTACAAGCACTTCTCGGATGGTTGAATGGATGCCATCGCATCCCAAGACAGCATGAGTCTCAGCTATACTACCGTCTGCGAAGTTAAGAAGAACTTTCTCATTTGTCTCACTGTCATTATAGCTAACAAGTTGCTTCCCAAACTGAACCACGCCGTCGGGTAACAAAGCGGCCATGCCGAGCAAGAAATGTGCACGCACGCAGCCCCAAAATTCCAGTTTATTCCCAGGCATCTGGAAGAGTAGTGCTTTAGATTCATCCTGGGCATCACTTTTGGTCTGTGGGTGGTAGCCGTTCCAGTAACTTGTGCTGGCATCATTGGGGTCTGTCTTTTGGCTGATGCGGCTCAGTACGTCTAGGATTCTGGGATCTAGACGCTCCATGCATTCTCGAGCCACACCGGTAAAAGCGAATCCTGCACTGACTTCGTGCCAGGTTGGAGCGCGCTCATAGATGGTCACTTCGATACCTCGTTGGATGAGGCCAAGAGCTGTCAGGACACCAATAATGCCACCTCCAATTATGGCCACCTCAAGGGAGCGAAATGCAGCACTGCCGTTGTTCGTCATATCCTTGAGTTGCAAAAATAATCTTTTGATAGAGGGAGAATCGATCCGATCGCGTAATGGATGTTGATATGATCTGACCACTCCAGTTAGAGAGAAACGGGGTGAAAAAGGCTTATAGCCACCTTGAGACCTTGATCAACATACACTGATAACTAGAAATTCACTAAAATGAAATCGAATCATTGACTTGTTCTATTGGTGTAGATAATGAGTAACCGGCGGGTTGGCGAGTTGGCCGTGTATTACTGATGCCAACAACTTTGACCCCACACTTAATTAATGATTCGGATTCAAGGTCATGATTACTCCATGCCAAGTAAAACATTGACAAGCATTCGAAATGATTTAGTATGGCCGGCGATAGAACACCAGAAACCTGGTGTTGCTTGCGTTAGAATACGAGGCGTTTTACGATGGGGCATTGACGCCGAGGCGGAGTTTTATTGAGGTGGAGTTTACTATTCTCCGCATGGCTGACAGTCCATACCAGGATTACATATGAGGGGAAGGGATTCGGAACCTCAGTCGTCAAATGTTTCGAATGGTATTTCGGGTAAAATATCAAGCGCGATAAAATCTTCAGGCATGAAAGTTCCGCGAGAATCAGCCTTAGCCCTATCATCGAGTGAAAGACGGACAAGTCCGTCCGAGGCGTGATTGCGTATCTGGAGGAAATTCTAGACGAATCAGCGAAGGCCCCAACGTGTAAACCGCCATATGAGCCTCTTGTAGAAGATATCGGTTTGGATATAGTTCGGCTGTTAGTCCAAATATACAAGTGACATACAAAGCCTCGGGTTGAAAACCAATTGTTTGACTTAGTAATTCCCGGTGTAGGATTGAACTACACATACATCCAAGTACAATGTCAAGCCCTCATGTATCTCCTTCAGCAGCAGATGCACTGAAGGCAACAACCTTGGTATTTGGGGGTCATATCGGCACACAGAGCAAGAAATCACTGCAGAAGTCAGTAAACCAATTTCTTACCGGACACAACGCAAAATGGATCCTAGAAACTGTCGCCGACCTGCCAGTATACTGGGAAGCCTTGGTTAAGCACATTCCCGAGGCATCCGGCGTTATAAAAGGACCAGAGATTCTACGCGACTTGGACTCATGGCTGCGAAACGGTATCTCGCCCGACGATTTGATCGGCCAGGAAGAGGAGCTTCCCAATATTTTGATTGGTCCGCTCATGGTGGTTATCCAACTCGACCAGTATTGGCGGTATCTGGAATTCCGGCTGGGGCATGTTGAATTCAAGGATCCCCAAGCAGAGCTTGTTCGACAACAACAGCAGACTACTCGCCCGATTGAGACGCTGGGTTTCTGCGCCGGTCTGATTGCTGCGGTAGCGGCGGCGAGCTCCCATGATCGGAGTGAATTTGAAAAATATGGTGCAGTCGCACTTCGTCTCGGCATGCTGATGGCGGCACTCGTGGATGTGCGAGAGGCCAGGGACAAAGCTGCAGGCAAAGGAGGCTCCATATCCTTCGGACTGGCGTGGCGTAGCGGGACCAAGCAAATTGATGATATGGTCAGAATCGTGTCGTCGCTATCACCAGACGCGTATATCTCAGTGCTTTTTGATGAGGCACGCGCCACATTGACAACCTCGGAGCGTCTAGCGCCAACATTACTGCGGAAGCTTCGGGCAGCCGGTGTGACAGCGGTCCCATTGGCATTCAAGGGTCATCTGCATGCACCAGGAGCAGAGCGGAAGCGACATACAGAGGCGTTGATCGAGATGTGCCACAGCCAACTGTACAAAGACCAGCTCCAGTTTCCGACCACCGCAGATCAACTAGCACTTCCGACGTACAACAATTCAGCAGATGGGAGGCAAATACAGTTAGATGAAATTGATCTCACTGGAATGGTTCTGCGAGCGATCTTAACCCAGCAGTTCAAGTGGGCTGGGACAGTCTCTAAGCTGCAGTCGTCGTCGCCGTCAGCATCCGAAATCTCACTGGTGGCATTCGGACTAGACCGGTGTATTCCACCAACCATTATGCGGAAATTTGGATGGAAGCACGTATACTATGAAGAGCTCGAGGGTCAAATTGAGAGCCACAGGGTTGAAAAAGCTTCGTTGGTGTCAACGAATTCCAAAGACTCGGCGAATGGAGACAAGCACGGCAATCCAACGGGTTTGTCGGCTGGGAAAAGCTCATCGGAGTTCACAGAGACTGAGAAAGACACCGAAGAAGCCATCGCCATTGTAGGAATGTCCATAAAAGTTTCTGGCGCCGACGATGTGGAGGAGTTCGCGAACATGCTCAAGACGGGCCAGTCGCAGCACGAAATGATCACCCCCGACCGTATGATGCAGGATATGCTGTTCCGTGACGCAGCAGGCCTGAAAGGGAAGAAGTACTATGGTGACTTCGTACGCGACGCGGATGCATTCGACCATAAGTTTTTCAAACGTAGCCCGCGCGAGTCGCAGGCTATGGACCCACAATGCCGGCTGTCCCTCCAGGCGGCTTATCAGACCGTAGAGCAGTCGGGATACTTCACCGAACCCAAGCCAAAGAACCCCAAAGAACACATTGGCTGCTATCTTGGTGTCTGTGGTGTTGATTATTAACAGAATATTGCCTGTCATGAGCCGAGCGCATTTACAGCCACCGGTGGCCTGCGAAGTTTCATTACAGGCCGAATCGCCCACTTCTTCGGATGGACAGGCCCGGCGATGACGTTTGATACGGCATGCTCGTCGTCTACTGTAGCTGTTCACACAGCTTGTCGTAATATCCTTACTGGAGACGCGACAGCAGCGCTGGTTGGTGGTGCCAATATCATGACCAGTATGCAGTGGATGCAGAATCTCGGGGCTGGTAGCTTCCTAAGTCCCACAGGGCAGTGCAAACCATTTGACGCCGATGCCGACGGATACTGCCGAGCGGAAGGGGTCGCGTTTGTTTTCCTTAAGAAACTATCTGACGCAAAGGCAGCAGGTAACACAATACTGGGAACGATCCGAGCTACAGCAGTTTACCAGAATCTGAATGTCACGCCCCTTTTTGTACCGAATGTACCGTCGTTGTCACAGTTATTCAAAGATGTGATTCGCAAGGCTGGTGTCGACCCGGCCGAGATTTCTTTAGTCGAGGCTCATGGCACTGGTACAGCAGTTGGTGATCCGGCGGAGTATGACAGTGTCAAGCTGGCGATAGCTAGCCCAAAGCGCGACAAGAATGTGGCCGTTGGCTCAGTTAAAGGTCATGTTGGCCATACCGAAGGCGCATCTGGAGTGGTCGCACTGGTGAAAGTGCTTATGATGATGCGGGACGGCTTCATTCCTCCACAGGCCAGTTTCAAGCGTATCAATCCAAATATCAATGCGTCGCCGACCGATATGATGGAGGTGGTGACTACACTACGACCGTGGTCGTCTGAGCACAAGACTGCTTTACTGAACAACTATGGTGCGTGTGGTTCTAACGCTAGTCTGGTGTTGGACTACTCAGCGAACAATCCGACCGTACAAAATCGCTTGTTGGCTGAGACAACAGCTCCGCAACCTTTCTGGATCCCTGGGTTCGACAGTCGCAGCGTCGCCACATATAGCAAAACGCTTGCCCAGTACCTCCACTGTCATGCTGGAGACAAAAAAGCCACTTTGTCTGACATCGCATTCAACTTAGCCCGACAATCCAATCCTGGTCTAGCGCAAGGCTTGATCTTCAGCTGCAAGTGCCTGGAGGAGCTACAAGAAAAGCTTGCACAAGCCGCCGTGGCTACAAAGGAAACGGCTGCAGTCAGCGGTATTACGGTATCGAGGACGGAGCGCCCAGTTGTCCTTTGCTTCGGCGGCCAAGAGTCGAAATTTGTCGGTTTAGACCCCGTGCTATACGAAGGGATAACTATTCTGCGCCAACACTTGGCTGCGTGCGATGCGGCTGTGAAGGCGGCTGGTTTTTCAAGCATTTTCCCTGCCATATTCTCGCGCGAGCCAATCACAGACGTGGTTCAGCTCCAAATAGCACTATTTGCCATGCAGTATGCAAGCGCCCGTTCATGGATGGACTGCGGGCTAGACTCGAAGGTTGTCTCGGTTGTAGGATACAGTTTTGGCGAGATCACTGCGCTGTGTGTGGCCGGGGTGTTAAGTCTTGAGGATACAGTGCGACTGGTTGCTGGACGCGCGAAGCTGGTTCGTGATGCCTGGGGACCGGATTCAGGGGCAATGATGGCCGTTCAGGCCGATGAGTTACTTGTACATGATCTGCTCGAACTGACCAATCTCACAAGTGATGGCTCCGCGTGTATCGCCTGCTACAACGGCCCTCGCAGCTTTACACTGGCCGGTACTACTCAGGATATTGATGCTGTGGCTGCAACACTCGCTGAGAATAGTAAATTTTCATCAGTCGGCATCAAAAGCAAGCGCCTGAATGTGACCAACGCGTTTCACTCTGTTCTTGTTGAGAGGCTCCTCGGTGGACTCGGAAAAGTCGGCAAAACTCTTACTTTCAAGCAATCAGTTATCCCCATTGAACGGACAACTGAGAATGAATCGACAGCCCCACTGGACTGGACGTTTGTGCCGTCCCACATGCGCCAACCTGTCTTCTTTAACCGTGCTATCCAGCGACTATCGAAGAAACATCCAGAAGCTATCTTCCTCGAAGCTGGCTCCAACTCGACAATCACCGTTATGGCGAGCCGTGCTTTGGCCCAGACTACTTCTGCCGATCCCAACAAACTTGCTTTCAGGGCGGTCTCAATAAATAACACTGACAAGGGCCTCGATGGACTAACGGATGCTACAGTCGCACTGTGGAAGCAAGGCTTGCGTGTATCCTTCTGGCTGCATCATCCTTCTCAAGCTCAGGAATACAAACAGTTGTTGTTACCACCGTATCAGTTCGAGAAGTCGCGTCATTGGCTGGACGTCAAGTCGCCGACGGAGCTTGTCACCAAGGCAGCCCAGGCTATGATCGAGGCTGGAGGGTATTCCGTAGGTAAATCTTCTGTCGCTCAAGTTGATGGCGAACAAAGCCTGTCTACCTGGACCTTCATCGGTTATCAAGTAGCCGAAAAGAGCAAGAAGCTGGCGCGTTTTCGTATCAATACCGACTCCGATGCCTACCAACGCCTTTTTGCATCTCACGTTATTGCCCAAACAGCGCCAATCTGCCCGGCCACCCTCGAGATTGATATGGCCATCGAGGCTCTCTTTAGCCTCAACTCTGATTGGCGGGCATCTGGTTATTCACCCACGGTGCAGGATCTCATTAGTCACGCACCAGTTTGTGCCGACTCGACCCGTGCTTTCTACATGGATTTGTCCCCACTCGACAGTACTGAGGCCAGATGGAACTTCAAACTACACAGTGTTGGTAGCAACGGCGATTCCCAACCCCACGCCGAGGCCGTGATGCACATGCGCGCCCCAACTGATTCTTCCTTTTTGCAAGAGTTTGCTCGCTACGAGCGGCTGATTAGCCATTCACAGTGCCAATCCTTGCTCAAACTCAATCTCGACGATGGCGATGTTGAAGTTTTGCACGGTCGCAATGTGTACCGCGCATTCAATGAGGTTGTTGACTTCGGCCCGGTCTATCGTGGCGTTAAATATGTTGTCGGGCACCTTGGCGAGAGTGCTGGTGTCGTCCATAAACGTCATGAGGGTCAGACTTGGCTTGATGTCCCGATGAGCGACTCTTTTGGCCAAGTTGCTGGCATTTATGTGAATCTGTTGACTGATGAACTACCATCAACGGATATGTTTATTGCCACTGGCTGTGAGCTGGTCATGCGATCTCCCAAGGCTCGGATAGAAATTTCCGGCCAGGAGAATGGCCCCGGCGTCTGGCATGTCCTCGCACGACACGCGCGCCATTTGGAGAAGGCATACACGACAGATGTCTTTATCTTCGATGCCGCCACAGGTACCCTGACCGACGTCATGTTAGGCCTGCGGTATGCGCGTGTCTCCAAGGCTTCAATGAGTAAGATTCTCTCGCGCTTCACCACGAATCAAGCATTCCTTAGAAAGCCGGCTTCGATCACACCAACTACCACTACTGTTGTTGCACCTACCCCTTCAATCGCAATCGCAGCCCCTACTCAAGACAACACTACCATTTTGATCAAAGCTAAGAGCACAAGCCGAGTCATCACCGAAGACGTGCGCAACCTGGTAGCTAACGTCTCCGGTGTCGAAGCCAGTGAGATGACTCTGGCCAGCGAGATGGCCGATCTAGGTATCGACTCGCTGATGGGCATGGAGCTAGCTCGCGAAGTCGAAACCACATTCAATTGCACCCTCGACCAACACGAAATGATGGAGGCCACTAGTCTCCGCCAATTTGTTGCCTGTGTCTCTAATGCGCTACGCAAGCTTGGAGAGGACATCGGTGACAATCTCGTTGAGCAAGAGATAAGTGACACCAACAGTGATACTTCTGCAGAAAATACGTCGTCAGGAGAGGAGGACGGTAACACTATTTCTGATCTCTCCACGCCTGACCCAGAAGCGGCGGCTGCTTTTTTCAAGCATGTCTCACTCCCAACCGTTCCTTCCTTCCGGGATCGCGATCTTACCATATCGCGCTCCGACATCCTTGAGTGCTTTGGCCAGGTGAAACTGACGACTGATGACAAGATTCGTGAATTTAAACTCGCCGATATAGCCAATGTTAGTCTGTCTGGAAGCAACAGACTCTGCACGGCCTTGGTCGTCGAGGCTTTCGACAAGCTCGGGTCCCCCCCTACGAACCGCCAGTCCAGGACAAGTGTTGGATCGGGTCCCTTTTTTGCCACAGCATACTCGCATGATGGACTTTATTTACGAATTCCTTGAGCATGATGCTCGTTTGATAGATGTTGACCCAACCACAAAGCAAATAACGCGTACGCACAATGCGGTGCCGCGCAAAAGCAGCACTGCCCTGCTTGCGGAAATAGTTGCCGCACACCCAGAGTCCGCCATCCCGAATCGCCTTGCGAACTATGCTGGTAATCATCTTTCTGGTGTACTCACCGGTACTACCGACGGGATCCGTGTTATATTTGGTAGCGCCGAAGGTCGTCAGCTGGTGAAGGCCATGTATTGCGATTATGCCTTCAATCGCATGCACTATCACCAGATGGCAGATGTTATTACTCGATTATCCAGCCGCCTCAGCCAAGGTAACGAGACCTTGAAAGTTCTTGAAATGGGCGGTGGAACTGGCGGCACAACAAATGTGATGGCTCCGCTGCCGGCATCCCTAGGCCGCCCTGTTGAGTATACGTTTACGGACCTTTCACCATCCATGGTGGCCAACGCCCGTCGGAAATTTGCCAAGGAGTATCCGTTTATGCGATTCGCTGTCCACGACATCGAAAAGGCTCCAGCTGAGGATATCCGAGGACAGCACATAGTTCTGGCTAGCAATGCCATTCACGCCACCCATAGCTTGCTTGTATCCACAAAAAACACAAGACTGGCGCTGCGTCCTGATGGCCTCCTCATGGTCTTGGAAATGACTGAAAGTCTACCCTTTGTGGACATTGTGTTCGGTCTTCTTGAAGGCTGGTGGCTATTCGATGACGGTCGTACACATGCTGTTGTCCCTGCCGAACACTGGGAGCACACTCTCCACGCCGCCGGCTTTGGTCATGTCGATTGGACCGACGGTAATCGACCAGAGAATGCCTTCCAGAAGGTTATCATTGCCTTGGCTGCGGGACCACAAGAGTCTCGTCTCCCGGCAAGGATCGAACCTCAGCAAACCATCGAAGCGATTGATAGAGGCGATGTAGTCGCCCGCGAAGCTGAGGCCGAACGACTTGTCGCCTCTTTCACCGATGGTTGGGTGACGCCACCTCTTGATTCTGCAACTATAGCTGCCTCTCACACCCTTTCCCCAGCTGTAGTGATTGTCACCGGCGGAACCGGTAGCCTTGGTGCTCACCTTGTGCAGAGCTTGGCGGAGCGCCCCGATGTTTCCACTGTTGTCTGCATGAACCGTCACTCTACAGTCCCAGGCGATCGACGCCAGTCTGAAGCTTTTTCCTCTAGGGGCATTACTCTCTCATCCAACGCCCAAAAGAAGCTGAGAATTTACGATACTGACACTGCCAAGTCACAGCTCGGCCTCTCAACTCAAGAATACGCCTGGCTGACCGCAAATGTCACCCACATTGTGCACAATGCTTGGCCTATGAGTGGCACGCGTCCCATCAAAGCATTTGACCCCCAAATGCGTACAATGCGCAATCTGCTGGACTTGGCGAGGGAGATGGCTCTGAGAAATCCAAATACACGCATTGGCTTCCAATTTGTATCCTCGATCGGCGTAGTCGGTTTAGCTGATACATCTTCTGGCCCACGCATCGCTGAAGATCGTGTACCTATAAGTGCTGTCATGCCTGGTGGCTACACCGATGGTAAGTGGGTGCACGAGCGTATGCTTGACCAGACCCTACACCGATACCCGCATCTTTTCCGAGCTACCGTCACGCGGCCCGGTCAAATAGCTGGCTCCAGTCACAGTGGCTTCTGGAACCCAGTCGAGCACTTTGCATTTCTCATTAAGAGTTCGCAGGCTCTACGCGCATTCCCCGATTTCCGCGGCACCCTGCAATGGCTACCAGTCGACCGCAGCGCAGCTGTTATGGTCGACCTGTTGAAACTAGAAAATGACAGCGAACCGGCCTACTCTGCATACCACATTGACAACCCGGTCGGTCAGCCTTGGGAGAGTATGTCACTCGTTCTTTCCGCAGCTCTCGGCATTCCTCCGCAGAATGTTATCCCCCATGCTGACTGGATCAAACTTGTGCGCCGCTCGCCACTATCGACTGACGAGAATACGGCTGCTCGCATCGTGGACTTCCTTGATGGTCACTTTGAGCGCATGTCTTGCGGTGGCATAATTCTTGACACTCAGAAAGCGAAAAAGCACTCGGCCGTCATGGCCGCTGAAGGCCCTGTAAGTGATGACATCGCGCGCGCCTATGTGGCATCCTGGAAATCGATGGGCTTTCTCAAATAGATTAGCATGTGCTGTACCTTCACCTTCACCTGTTTTCTTTCAGCTATGTTCTCCCGTCGTCTCTCCAAGCCCCTGATCGACGACGCTTTCTTTTCGATCTTTCTTGTTTTGTTTCATTGGGCGTTTTATTTGTCTAGAGTATGGAACTACACAGATTGCTGATCTCGTTCGTAATTTTCAATTTAACATTTCCTCATGAATGAAACCATGGCTACATACTTCGATGGTTTTAAGATGGCCGTTTAATATTCCATGCGTAACACTCGATTGAAATCCTGACTCCGCTTGGGAAGTTCGGAAGGTTTGCATTAGACGTCAACATGCTCTTCGTCTCGGCCAGTATATCTTTAGGTACTACCCTCATGCTCCACTGATATAGCTCAAACTTACAATCAATTATGATATTCTTGACAGAAGATGACCTAATATGAAGCCCTGCTCTTCACATTCTACATTGTCCCAATGCCTGTAGATAAAGATCTTATCTTATCGGGCCCCTATCTTATCAGACATGGTGTTGTCCTCGGATCCGATCGCTGTCTTGGGTCCGAGGATGGCTTTATGTTGGCCATACATCTTAGTGTAGCGCCATCTTGATCTCATTTTGATCCCATGTTGCTTCCAGTCAGGAGGGTCCCCGATATAAACTTTGCTTTGTATTCCTCGTATAGCTATCATTATATCCATCTTAGAATGTAATGCAGATAACGCGAATGAATCAATGTGCAGTCCATCAGTTAAGTTGACAAGCAAGCTCTAAGCTGCTGCCAATAGATGACAATTGTCGAAGAATCAAGTGTAGCATTTGGCATTTTGGGTCACTAGATCTTTGCTTTGGTCTGGAGGGAAGGTTTGGGAGAGCGGTGTGGATTCAAACGTGTCGAGTAATGAAGCCAGCTTTTGTGACAAACTAATGGAAAACAAGAATTGCAGCGTGCGCGTACTTAAAAGGCTGATTTAGATGGAGGAGTTAACCGATTGCACTTAAAGCATTTAAAAACCATATGTTTCCAGGACTTGCACATATTGAATACTCGACCAATTTACCAATGTAAGTGGCAGGAAATTGAGGCGTGAAGGAATTGCGCTAACTGTAGGACTTAGATGCGCACCTAGGAAATCAAGCTATGTGGTGTCCCATCTTGCCGAAGAGTCATCAAAACTCGAAAAACAATCGAGTGTGGAGGCAATCATGGTTCCCAGGCGGCTGGGTTCAATCGCAACTATGTCTATGGCCGATGCACAGGATGTACCTTTCCTCGCCCACCGCCAACCTAAACATACTTCAAGCCTCGCGGATAAGGATAGCAGGGCGGTGTTGTTGATGTATGATCCTCGAAAAGGGGAGAAAACCTTCAAAGTCATTTGCATCGTGAAGACGGATGATTTCGTTGTTGACTGTATTGCGTGTACCCAGACTGGCCTGATAGGCCTTTCCAGAGCCGCTGGGGCTGACTATTATCATAAGTGGATAGTTTTTCTCTTCGTCCTAGTTGTGACTCAAATCAAAATCATATTCATTGTTGTTAATGACAAAGGTAAATGGGATGCGCGTTTTCCATTTCTGCACTGCCAATAGTCTGGTATCTGGAAAGGCGTTTTTCGGTGCTTCGTAGAGACCATGACTTTCAAGGAGTTTGACTATAGGCCGTATAAGAGAATCGAGAGAATCGAGAGAATCGCAGCTTTCAACCTAATACTGACTTTTGGGCGACACTATGCCAAGAGCACGTAGTGGGATTTGGGTTATTATAAATTGAAGATAGATTGAGTAGAAGGCTTTGGAGAATAATGATGAAGCAGGACCTGGGGGAGGTGGTGCTTATGGGTAAGCATTCTCCAGTACTTACCGCTGGCGTATTGTTTTCGAAGTATGCAGATCTAGAGCGTTGGTGGTAAGTTATAATCTAGTTTATAAGGTAACTGCTGGAGTGGTATGTTGAGAATTCATCACTTATTGGGCAGAAAGTTCCAGTAATTGACCTATTAAACACCTATCAAATTTGACCGACCGCCCTGTCCTTCTTACATAACTTGCAGATATTCCCCTTCCAGGTTCGTCCATGTGACTGGTTACATCGTTTGACGCGGCACATTGCGTTAAAGTTCAGTAGTCTGCTTTACTGACAGGAGTAGCTGCGTAATTGATTTGTGGTGTTGGAGGGGAGCGCTCATGCAAGTGCATTTAGACCAGTCAGTCATATTTTTCAAGGAAGGGGTAGGGACAAAAAAAAGCAAGCAAGAACCTTGGAAAGAAAGAAACAAAATCAGGGTTCGGAGTATAGGAATTTAACATTTTATATATATATATATATACATTCTTCTAGGATAAACAACTTGAAGTTGAAGAGTGAAGTATCCAAGATCATACTAGTATAGAGAAATCTTGCGAATTGTCTAGGGTATACTCTAGTTGCCAGTGTATAGATTTTTTATTAACAAATAATACTTTATTGGCCCAAGAATGGACCAAGCTTGTGGACCCGCTGAAGTGGTGTAATGGGTACTCACCATGGAACGTTCGTTGGAACATCTTCAGCAAGTTCTAAGTCTTCGTAGACAATATGTCTCTATATAATTTCTTTGATCAGATATGATTATTACATACGACCACAGGGTGTGGAGAACAGGGCTTCCCGTCCGCTCAGCCGTACTTAAGCCACACGCCGGTCAGTTAGTAGTATGGTGGGTGACCACATGCGAATCCTGACTGTTGTATGTTTTTATTTTTTATACGTTTGGTTTGTTCTTGTTGACTGTAGGTGGCGGCGACGAAATGATGACGAGGATGGCCACGGCAGCTACCGATGGTGTATAATTGTAAAGTCTGTAGTCGGAAGACATACCGCTGATTAGGGGTGAACCGTGGTAGAAATAGAGTGATGAAAAGGAAAGGAAGAGATGTTTGAACCAATCGTGCATGGTGACTTGATATACCCGCACGATCTATATCTAGAATATGGGACAGCGTTACGCGGGATAATGACTAGTACAACCAATATTGTCACTAATCCCTATGGACGAGGAATACTGGTACGAGAACTAGTTTAAGGTTCATTAGTTCACGATTGCAGGACATTTAGGTACTATTTCTGTATCGCTGTATCCAAATACGGGCGTTGAATTCCTGGATGCAAATTTCTGCATGTCCTAGGCGATAAAAGAAAATATAACATATTGGTAGAGGATAATGAAAAATCGATCCCCGAATTTGAACTTTGGACCCACTATCGGCTTAAAGATTTACCCGCAGATTCCAAGGTCAAGTCATAATAGCAATATACGAGTACGATGAGTATAAATCTGCTGCGGTTTGAGAAAGGGTCTTCATCGACGCCACTGAAGTGGACAGAATGTTATCTTCATCAAGTTCCATCTTATATTTAACTAGATCTCTTCCACATGAATGCAACCCTGAAAACCCTTCTCCCTTCGGCGCTCGCCTGGGTCGATTTCACTTCAGGCTTCACGCTCTGATATACATGATTACGCAATTACATTTTTGAAACATGGTATAAAAAAGGTAGGGTCTTCCTTCGAGCGACTGGCAAGCCGCATAATAAAATATAACAGACTCGTCGTGATTATGGCATCCAACCACGCACCCATCCCTCAACCCACTCATCACGAATAGACTCTAAGGATCGCAGCGAATGGCTAACCTTAAGAGCATGATCAACGAGCAACTGTCGAGGGGCTTGATCCGTGAGCTTAAGCACAAGGCTTTCTTCGAAAAACTCCAACAGTTTAATAGCTGGGACTTCACGGAGAATTAGAATTTTATCACCCGTTTCAAGGCGATTGGAGCTAGATCGCAACAGATCCAGCCATTCAGCGTAGTTCACCAGCCGGATCTCTGAGTCTACAGAGTCACCGCCGTGCGACGCTGCCAGAGTTGCTTGGATAGTCGATGCAACAACAGGCGCAATAGTCTTCCACTGTCTGGGATGCGGGTTGAGGGGGTGAGAGATCTGTATGCCCGCGGCAGCAGGTTGAGTCGAGAGATGCATGGAAAGCTCCACAAGAACGGATGCAAGCTGATCAATAGGAACCCAATCCACTGAATCCATCAGTCCGCTCTTGCAGGAGGCATCCTCGAAGGCTCCAAGCGATAGGGGAAGGGCCCGCAGAGCCTTTGAGCTCACTACCAAACTAGGGAACCACTCGTGTTGATTCCACCCACGAGGATTTTGCGCCGTTCCAGCGACCTGACCCACTCGTGCGGCTCCGGTCTTGATATTAAGGTGTACAGCGGCATAGTCGAGCATTCGCTCGGCCAGATACTTGCTCTCGCCATATCCCATATGACCGGGACAAGCAAGATTCGTCACTACGGTCTCTGGAACTTGGGCCTCTGCGCCGGGGACATCGTGGTAGTTAGCGACGGCGGTAATGGAGGAAAGGAAGAACAACGATGGGGTCCACTTGGCACGGGTGGCGAAAGAAATCAAATTAAAAACACCGTCCAAGATTGGCTGAAACGAATGAAGCTGTTGATTGAAATTGACGGGCCAGGCATTGTGAATGATCTGAGTGGTCGTTGACAGCATTGTATCATAAACGCTGCTTTCGAGGCCGAGCTTTGGTTTGCTCAGGTCAACTCCAAGGAATGTAACTTGAGCATCCGGGAATATGGCCGGGATTTCGCGCTGGGCATTGCGGGTTTCTTGAACAACACGGGAGTCACTGTTTCTGTTTAGGCAGTAGACGTGAGATATCGCTTTGTTTTGCAAAATTTCGTGCAGAATGTACGACCCCACGGCGCCTGTTGAACCAGTGAGAATTACCACCTCCGAGTCAGGCGCGTTCGGGCGAGGTTCGGCTTTCCCAAATTCTTTTTGAAGTTCACCAATCTCGTTTTCGTATTCCTGTAAAGTTGAAGCCATTGCTTGAAGTCGGTTATGTTCGGGATCTTCGTTGCATGGAGAGGCCTGCCCGTGATTGCGCAGAATGCTCAACGCCAACAGTTCGACAGAGGGATTATTGTAGACCCTGCTCGGTGCGATACTTTCTAGACCTAGGGATTTGAGCTCCCGACTAATCTGCAGTACTTGCAAGGAATCCATGCCTAAAGTAAAGAAATCCTGGTCGTTTTGGAGCTCATTCCACTCGGTCAGGTCCAAGACAAGTTTGCGAACTGTCTCAGTAACTGAATGTAGATCGGATAGATCAACTGAATTTTTGATCAACATAGTCGGCTCATCTCCTCTAGTCTCGTATAAACCATCGATAAGTGGCGAATATAAATCCAAAGTAGCTTGTCTTTGAACTGTGCCCTTCCCCGCACGCGGCATAGGCATAGTCGCATGAGTGAACATAAATCGCGCTCTCGAGACACGAGCGTGAGCCGGACATCGGCTATTGGCGTCTTTCACAGCCGGCCATATCCGTTCGATAATCCGGGCTTGCTCTTCTGATGAATAGGGACCCGGATCTTGGAGTTCTACAAGCAAGCATGCTTCAAATCGACGGTCGCCAGCCACTAAAGCCGAGCGAACTTCAGGATGACGGCTCACTTCTTGTTCAAATGTGACGGGGTTCGTCTTCTCGCCATTGCTAAATACCACAATGTCATCAATGCGACCGCGATGCATCCACCGGTCCGCCAAAGTCGGATGAGCACTGAACAAATCTCTCGTCTCGTACTCATCCAATCCAGGAAAATGGGTAAATACCGGCTGGGATCGCTCAGAGTCCTGGTTTTTGACAATCACCAACTCATGTAAGTCTTCAAAGCGGTGGCGGAATTCGGCATGAACAGCTGGATGAACTTGGATGTACATCCAGTCATCCTTAGAATGACTACCCTCTGGTTGAATCAATGGGAGGCCGGCCTTCTCGCTTGAGCCCATGCATTGATGAACCGGGATTCTCTCAGAAATAGTTTCGCCAGCTACCTGAGGAAGACTGCCGCCCGTGTAATATAGATACTCGAGCTTGGATGACACCATCTCAAGCGCCAAGGGGTCTTGGCTCAGATCGTCTAATATGTTAGGCAGAAGAAAAGCCCAATCGAAATCGCCGTGTGTGACAGCCTCTAGAAAGCCATCTGTGGTAGGGGGCTTCCCTGGGAGAGGGAATACTGGAATACACTCGCTGAACGATGGCGCGATGAGACAAAATCCAATACCAGCAACCTAGAGAATATCAAAATTAGCCAGTTTGTCCTAGATAAATCGGGAAATGAACATAATCGTACATGAAATGCTGGGAGCACAGTAAAAAAGCTTCCTTTTAGAAATTTCTCTGCTAAGGAAACGTGTCCCTTGGGTGCTGGGAGCGACATCGCATTTGCGAATCGACTGGTAAACTCGTTCGTGTAAACAAGTGGCTTGGGTATTCCTGTCCGCGCGATGTTAAAAAAAATTCACCAGTAAGGTTTGTTGAGTTGAGATCCGCACCTGTAGAGCCAGAGGTATGTAGAACAAAAATAGGGTCATCTTGGGCCTCCTCGAATGACTTTTCATAAGCATGGTGAGGGACATTGTCACTACTCAGGAGGTCTACGAGGCTGGGAATGTGAATCTGCCGTTGACTATGATTCTGCAAAATTTGAGGAACACATGGCAGCTCCGGGCTAGTCGAAAGCAGAGTTTGGCAATTTAGCCGCTCAAGGAGATTGACATGCGCTGTATTACTGTTGCGTGGTGAGGGGAAAAATGCCTAGAAATATCTTCAGCCCGGGTCAATATTCTGGTAGCGTGGAATAGGACTCTGTACCTTATATCCGGCCTTAATCGCCGCCAGCAGTACAATATAGGATCGTAAGTCATTGGGCCCAATATAAGCGACAGTCTCGAATTCTTTTCCTCGTCCTAGCTCCTCTTCAAGTAGCCATGCTATGCGATTGACTGCATTGGCTACTTGATGGTTTGTGGCTATACGAAACCCATCTTTGTAAGTATTATCGGAAATAGGAAATCTGGCCCAGACGCCCTGAGGGTTGCTGCGAGCTCGCTGGTCTAGTGCAACGGGCAGTAATAGATCTGCGCTTGGAGAAGGGGGTTCCATTGTGCTAGCAGCTTTGCAACAAAGAAGAATAAGAAAATGTGAAAGGAAAGGAAAGGAAGACGACACCGAGTGCTTCTTTGTGTCCGTCCAAGTAGCGACGTGTCTGCTATTCTTCAAGTTTCGCGTCATTTTATATTATTCCACTTGCCAAGTGTCCTGCAGTAGAGTTTGGACCTGGATAACCGTTGCAAAATTGCCCCCCCCAGCCCCCGATGGAGTGCGACGCGTGGGGCGCCGGGGGCCAACACTAGCCCCAAGCCACCTTCTACATTCGGTTTAACTGAGTGGTTCTGCCATTAAACTTGGCAGTGAAGCTTGGAAACGTTGCAGGCGAGAAGAACTGCCTGTATTTTCAGGGGAAGGCTCCGCTCCACCTTCGAGCCTGTCGGCCTCCGTACCTCGGTAGAATCAGGAGTTAAATGTGGAAACGGCCCCTTAACAAGATGAACTCCAAGTAGTATTGGAACACAGGCCAAGGAAAAGTTCTCGGGAATGAACAATGAACTAGGATCGACAGTGCAGAAGGGTTTTATGATCGTCCCAGGGGTACACCAGGTAGCGGTTCCAGGGTGGGTCGGCCCGTTTGATAGAATTTGACTTCGCGAAGTTGACGAATCCTTCAGTCACGCCACAGGATGTTGCTAATAACGCCTCACATTATATTAAGTTCTGAACTGTCATTTCCCGCATTTCGCGTATACATGGTTAATAAGAATGGAAGAATGTGTGTAAATGATGAGAGAAATCTAACTGAGCGACGAAACGGAAAAGGGGCAATAGGTGCCTGAGGCACAAACATAAACACTGTCTAGACTATGGAATAACATCATGTAGAGTATTATATACACCGCCTCGCAAGTACACACCTATGCCCCACCAACTGAAGCCAGCGCAATCACAGTCTCAAACAGCTCTCCGCACCGATCCAGTGAGGATTCTGTCCTCGGGAATTCATGCCCACCGTCATGGAACAGAACTTGCGATTTGTCTGGACACAATCTGGCCAACTCTCGCGAGTCCTCGGAGAAGACATCCGCTGAGCCGATAACATGCAAAGTCGGTACGGAGATGCGAGTGGGAACGCCAGTAGTGAAGGCGTAAATGTCGGGAATGCTATCAGGATCACTAGGGTCACTGTTCATTCCATGAAGATAGCCAGAAAATTCCGCCTTCTGATTCTTGAGTTTTTGCCTGATATTCACCCCAATATCGTCGGACGGGGAAAATACCATGACGCTATTGAAAAAGATGCCGACCTTGAACATGGGATCTTGCTGGAAGTGCTCGTCACACAACAAGAGACTCGCAGCCAGAGCAGCACCTTCGGAGAACCCAATGACCCCGTCATATGGCCCATCCTCATCGATGATCTCCTTGATGGTGTCTTGAATTTCCTTCACAGATGCAGGCTCATACGTTGGGAACCAGCCAATGTATGGACCCGGATAAAACTGGTCGACTCCGGGAGCCGGTGGACAATCGGCCTCAGCATCTACGAAGTCGAATGTGTGGTCGCGGGAGATTCGGCTGCGAAGCGAAGCTGGGACATCGAGAATCATAAGCCTGGTATCCCGATACAAATCTTGAATGAGGCAAATGACTTACCTAGTTGCGCCTCGAAGATATCAGAGTTAGTTCCCTTGCCATGTAGACAAAGAAAACGCATGGTGACTGTATGTTATGTGGTGTGCGAACAGGAGTAAACAGCAGCGACAACAAGAATAACAACCTCAGAAATCCGACCAGTTTCCCGACAAGGCCCCAGCACAAAAGCGATAGAACCGTTGATTATCAGTTCGAGGCTAAAGCCCCAAACCCTTGGTATTGGGTTTTGGGGTGATATCGAGGCTTCGCTTACTTTCAACAAACCATTGCTTGGTGTCTGTTTCGCTACTAACGCTCTAGTAGGTGGATACTGTGGAGTTGACTTACGGCACGCCGGTGCAGATCGGCAGTTGGCTTGATTAGCAGAAAGTAAAAACAATGGAGCTGACTCTGCACCCGCGACCCACTTTGCTCTGCAATAAGCTAACTGACACCTGCATTCTGGCCTCTCCTTGGCCCCCAATTCGACAATCCAATCGGCACCGTTGGCCCGCTTTTTCAACACTAACAAGGTACTTGTTTTGCACTATTGATAGGGGGCGGTTGCATTTATGAACGATGCTCCGATGCTTGAAATAACGTTTTGCAGGATCAGGAATGTCTGAAGAATCCTGTGACGCGAAACTCCGAAAATACAGCATCTCAAAATCGCCCGGAATGAGACAAGCTTCTCGGAATCTTTTCCTTGACTTGTCAATCTATTAATCTATCAACGTGCGCAAAGCCGAGAAACACTCAGAAGACACTGAGACACTGTGCGGGAAGGGATGACATGTTGCCCCTCTGGAGATCATTTCCGTACTCTGCCGTTGTGGGGTGAGCTAAGGACATGGCTAGTGTGACTGCGGTGTAGCCATGTCGCAGTTTAATCCGCTTTAGTGTCGATATCCAGATAGATTCGACTCTCCACATCTAGTGTAAATTCCGGAAACGAGCGTGTCCACTGGTACTCAATCTTATTGCGCACTATTTACCTGTTTCGCGTGGAAGAGTGTCGCACATAGTGTCAAATGGAGCCGAGTGGATAATATACAAGTACCACAGGCCTATTGGGGAAGGGAACCCAGGGGCTGTTTATGAAGTGGAAACTTTCAAAAACTATCTTTTGCAGGATTCGACGACACTTCCCCTACTAGCCCATCAAAGAAGCAGGTTTGCCATCTTCATGGTAATGTGTTCATGAGATATGGAGCTGGGGCTATGGAGTAGACCCGTATTTGGTTGGCCCCCATATTCGGCAATGGCAACAGCTCGAGGTACTAGTAGCAGGTCTAGTATGTTGTGAGCTAGTTCACAAGGGCATTAGCTAAATACTCCTGCCGATAACTTAGTGGGGTATCTCAAGAGGTTGCAGTCTATTGCCCTCGGATATAAAGAGAGTCTCCAAACCCCTCACTCTCGCCTTGCTATCTTGGACTCAAGTTTTATTTTCTTTTTCTTTTTATATTTCGACAAACTTACCATGGCCATCCCTGCAGAGTCAATACTATCGTCTTCCACGGAAATTGCTGTGGTAGGCCTTGCCACCCGGTTCCCCGGGGGGGCCTCAGATTCTACCAAATTTTGGGAGTTATTGCACAACAAGAGGTGTACGTATCGGTCTGCATCATTTGACTGAAAAAACTACTAACATCAATCCTCGAACGTTAAAGCTGCCTTTAGCAAGGTACCTTCCGAGCGCTACAATTCAGATGCATTTCACTCTGCGGAGGGCGGTAAACTGAACACGTTGAGCTCATCGGGTGCTCATTTCTTGGATCAAGATCCTGCAGCATTTGATGCTCCTTTCTTCAACATCACAGCTCAAGAGGCCAAGGCAATGGATCCAGCAGCACGAATGCTGTTAGAGGTCACCTACGAGGGCCTTGAGAATGCCGGTTTATCGGTAGAAGACCTGGCCGGGAGCGACACAAGTTGCTATGTGGGTTGCTTCACCCGCGACTACCATGAAATGCTTATGCGTGATGCAGAAACCGCGCCTATGTATTCTATTACAGGAACGGGTTTCTCTTTACTCTCTAACCGTATCTCCTGGTTCTACGACTTCCGGGGTCCTAGTATGACGCTTGACACAGCTTGCTCATCCAGTTTGGTTGGACTTCATCTTGCATGCCAAAGCCTTCGCGCCGGCGAGTCAAAGGTAGCTGTCGTTTGTGGAGCGAATTTACTATTAAGCCCCGATTTGAGCTTATGGCTCTCTAACTTACATATGACATCCAAGGACGGTCTGTCAAGGTCGTTTGCTGAAGGCGTCACGGGATACGGGCGTGGAGAGGGCATCGCCTCAGTCATTTTGAAGCCCCTCAGCGATGCCTTGCGAGATGGCGACACCATTCGGTCTGTTATTAGAGGCACCGGAGTCAATCAGGATGGTCACACGACAGGTATCACATTACCCAATAGTGATGCTCAAATGAACCTGATCAAGTCAACATATCAGGCAGCCGGGCTGGATTTTGCCGACACCTCTTATTTTGAAGCACATGTAAAGACTGTCTATCTGGATACAATTAAATGAGTAGCACTAATACTTTGAATATAGGGCACTGGTACCGCAGCTGGAGATCCGTTAGAGCTGGGCGCTGTCGCCAAAACAATCAGTTCCGTGCGTGAGCCTGGAGACGAGCTTTATATTGGATCGGTGAAATCAAATGTACGTCACGGTAGACTTATACTCGAATTGCTTCCTGATTCGTGTTTATTAATCCCTATGCTGTGCAGATTGGTCACCTCGAGGGAGCGGCTGGGGTCGCTGGGTTGATAAAGTGTATTCTAATGCTTGAGAATGGAAGCATCCTACCAAACATCCACTTTGATGAGCCCAACAAGCGCATTCCATTCTCCTCTTGGAAGATTCGGGTGCCCACCTCGGTCATTCCATGGCCAGAAAACCGCCTCAAACGAGCAAGTGTGAACTCCTTTGGATACGGCGGAACAAATGCTCATGTCATTTTGGACAATACGGAACAATTTTTAAGCCAAGCTCAAATCACTCACGATGAGGTGATGAGTATCAGCTCAGAAGAAACTGATATTGGCCGTGAGCACAATCGCCTTTTTGTATTCAGTGCACCCGATGAGGCCGCCCTAAAACGTATGGTTGTACTGCACAGCCACCATCTGTCGAGAGTCGTTGGATATCTCCAAAGATGAAGAGAGCCTCTATCTGGACCGCCTTTCCTACACCCTGAGTAACCGAAGATCAAAGCATGGGTGGAAGACTTATTGCACAGCATCAAATATAACAGAGCTTATTGAAGCCACATCAACTAGCTCCATAAGGACCATCCGCTCGCCTGAGAAATCCCGACTTGCTTTCGTGTTTACTGGGCAAGGAGCACAGTGGGCCAGAATGGGCCTAGAGCTCATGTATTACCCTGTCTTTTCTTCCGCCGTTGGTGAAGCCGACAGATATCTGAAGGAAACCCTTGGTTGCGGTTGGTCTGTTATTGAGGAGCTTAAACTTGATCCATCTGCTTCCAGAGTTGGGCTGGCAATGATTAGCCAGCCAGTGTGTACTATTCTTCAGATTGCGTTGTTGGATCTTCTCAAATCTTGGAACATCGAGCCGACAGGTGTTGTAGGCCATTCCAGTGGTGAAATAGCGGCTGCATACTGTTACGGTGCCTTAAGCCGCGAGAATGCCTGGAGTATCGCGTACTGGAGAGGAGATATTTGCTCCAAGCTATGTATAGAGGCGCCAGACGTCAAGGGTTCCATGATGGCGGCCGGCCTTTCTAAAGAGAAGGCCGAGGATTACATCAAAACAGTCAAAGCGGGAAAAATTAACGTCGCTTGCGTCAATTCGCCGTCATCTGTGACTATCTCCGGGGATGAAAGCGGCATCGATGAGCTTCAGCTGAACCTCGCTTCGGATAACGTCTTTTGTCGAAAGCTGAAGGTTGAAAATGCTTATCATTCGCATCACATGAAGCTTCTCGCAGACAGATATCTCAAACTGATATCTCACATTCAACCTAATCAGCCAGCTTCCACACCCGTCAAAATGGCTTCCAGCGTTACTGGTGACGTGATTCAGCATGCTCAGCTAGGTCCAGATTACTGGGTCAAGAACTTAGTCTCGCCAGTGTTGTTCTCCGATGCCACTGCAGCCTTGATGAAAGACTCGTCACGTCGGCGGCGCCGACAACGCGATAGTGAGTCGGCCTTTGACATCCTGTTAGAGGTTGGTCCACATGGCGCACTAAGAGGCCCGATCCGGCAGATTATGCAGCATCACGGAATCAAGGACACGGTTTATCAATCCGCTCTCATCCGTGGAGATAATGACGCCAAGGCAATAATCACAGCATCTGGAGAGCTGCTTCTTCAAGGTGTTCGTGTTGATATCTCTGCAGTCAACTTGTTACGATGGACGCCAAGACCGCTCGTCGACCTCCCATCTTATCCATGGAATCACTCTCTCACTTTCTGGGCAGAACCTCGCATCAGCAGGAACTACCACCATCGAAAGCATGGCCGACATGACCTTCTCGGAGCGCCCATGGCTGATTTCAATGAACAGGATCCGCGCTGGAGAAACTTCGTTCGTGTGAATGAGCAGCCATGGATTCGGGATCATGTGGTGCATTCGAGCATTCTGTACCCTGGCTCTGGCACCGTTGCAATGGTATTGGAAGCAGCACGACAAATGGCAGATCCAGAAAAGACAATCGACAAAATTGAACTGCAGGATATACGTATTACAAAGGCTATTATGATCCCAGACGATCAATTTGGAGTGGAAACCATCCTCCAATTCCGACAGCAGCGAAGCCGCCCTAACAATGTTTGGACCGGTCGCTGGGAGTGGGCTGTTCATAGCTGTCCTGAGAATGGCACCCTTGAAGAAAACAGTGCCGGTATCGTGTTTATTCATTACGCCTCGACGAGCCCCGAAGATTGGACCTGGGGCTCAGCCATTGCTTCCGAGGCTGTGAATGACCAATATACAGCGGCCAAAGCAGTGAGCACTCGGCAAATTGAGCCAACGGATTTCTATGAGGCCACGCGAAAGGCAGGGTTCAAGTACGGCGAGTGCTTCCAAGGCTTACAGAAGATCTCGGCTGGCGAGAATCGCTGCTGCTCGACGATCAAAGTTCCAGACACGAAAAATCATATGCCAGGCAAGGCACAGAGCCCGCATCTCATTCACCCTTCCACCCTCGATGTTATTTTTCATTCCATTTTTGCGGCTTTGGGAGATGAAAGCCTGGACTTCACGAATGCAGCCGTTCCCATTGCCTTCGATCGTTTGGTAATCTCGGCCAACCTTACATCAGACCCTGACACTCATTTCAATGGTTTTGCCAGTGTTGTTCGGGATGGCCCGCGAGACTTGTTAGCTGATATATACATGTCGGACTCTGCATGGGAGGAGCCGAAAGTGCAAGTTACTGGAATGCGTTGCCGCGAGCTTCCCTCTAGCGAGGCTACTGTTTCCAACGATCTGAAGGCTCCCTTAGGTACCTTGGCATGGAAGCCAGACATTGACTCAATGGATGCGGCTGCATTGAAAAGCTATCTTTCCAAAGCATTGGGAAGTCCAGGGCCCAGCAATGTGGACAATTATAAAACCGTCTCCAATGGTGACGACACAGAAAGGGTTCTAGAGAACTCTATCTGCGCTGTAAGTTTCACCTGTCGTTTCTCCATTTTTTTGGTCGTTTTCTTGCTTTCTTTTGCTTCTATGTATCTTACATCTTCTGACCATTTTTAGATTGCCGACCTCGCCGCCCACAAAAATCCCAATCTGTCGGTTCTGCAGATCGGAGGCACCGAAACCTTAACTCGTCAACTGCTATCAGTATTAAGAGCGGATTTAGGATCCGCCGGGTACTTCACAAGCTACACCGTGGCTCACACGGACCCGGAATGGATCGATAAAGCCAATGAGACGTTACAGGAATTTAGCGGCAGTGTGGACTTTAAACTCTTCAAACCCAAATTGGCCAATGAGACCTTTGACAGTGAATCATTCGATCTCATTATCACAGCAATCGATGTTTCAGGAGATGACTACAAAGAGGATGTATGCGCTGTGGTGAAGAAGGCTTTGAAGATGGGAGGAGTTGCATTACTTAGTGATGCAAAGGACGGGAGCGATACATTGCAAGTTTCTCTAAATGCGACCGCGAAAATCTCAACTAACGATTTAATTAGGCCCTGGAAGTACGATTTGAACCTTGCCGACCCGTCTCTTTCGCTTCTGGCTGAGGTTACTTTTGATCCTACGTCGGATTCACCCACGCTCGTGCTTGTTTCCAAGTCGCGACTGGAAAGCGAACTTGCTACGGAGACATTCTACATCCTTGAGCCTACAATTTCCTCCCACCGAGTTCAGGAAGTCAGTCAAACTATTGTGTCTGAACTGACAAGCCGGGGAATGAACGCCGTCGTTCTTCCTTGGACTACAGAGCTGTCTAAGTTGAAAGGCAAATCCCTGATCTCGTTGGTGGAGTTGGAGGACTCCATTTGGACCAAGTTCTCTCCAGAGGAGTTTGACCATCTAAAGTCTCTGACTCTGCAAAGTGCTCGTCTGATGTGGGTCTCTATGGGTGATGATACTTTGCTACAGGTGGCAGTTGGGTATTTGCGTGTGCTGCAGAACGAAAACCCTCACCTTGATCTGCGCTACCTCCATCTCGAGCAAACAGCAAATTTCCACCGGACAGCAAATGTTGTTGTCAAAACTGCTACCGTATCGACTTCCGACCGCGAATATGTCGAGACGGATGGACTGCTGTGCATCAATCGCTGGGTCCCAAGAGATGATCTCGCGGGGCTTATCGCAACGAGTAACGATGTCGAAGGTCGTGAATATGTCCAGCTTGGAGAGGCTCCCAGTGGATTGAAGCTTGTTTCACACAATGATTCAAGCAAGTTGTTCTACTTTGATATTGACGAGAAAGTCAAAGCGGAGCTAAGTGCAGACGAAGTGGAGATTGAGGTGAAGGCTATTTCCATCAAGTAAGATCGCCTTTTTGTCTCTTAAAGCCAGTCGAAGCTAACATGATTCCAGTGAGCACAACGTAACAGACTCAAAATCACATTCTTTGAAAGAGTTCAGTGGTGTCGTCTCCAAGGTCGGTAAAGGTTGCGAGAAATTGAGGGTGGGCAACCGTGTGTGCGCAATCGAAGCCGGTCCTTACAGCTCATTCTTCCGGGTCAACGAGGGAAGTTGCGCCTTGCTACCGGATGTCACTGCATTCGAAGAGGCTGCTTCTTGGCCAATTTCTTTCGCAATTGCGTACCACGCCTTGCATGTGGTTGGTCGCATTCAATCCAACAACACGATCCTTGTCCAGTCTGCGGCCAGTTCTCTTGGCCAGGCCGTTGTTCAGCTTGCCCTACTGCAGGGCGCAACCATCATTGCTACTGTTAGCACGGTTCGGGAGAGCCAAGCAGTGGAAAGCCTTGGAGTGAATATGCGACACATTCTCAGAGATGGCGACTCCAATTTGACCGAAGCTATTGCCCGCCTTACGAACACAAAGGGCGTCGACATTGTCCTCAACATCTCTCTGACGGGAGAGCCTTTACGTCAGATGTGGCACTCTATTGCGCCTTCTGGTGTGTTTATTGATACCATGACTAAAGATGATGCGGCGGGTTCTTCGTTCTTGGACATGGGTCCTTTCAGGCGAGGGGCCTCCTATTCGGTTTTGAATATGGAAACGCTTATCCAAACTAACCCCTCAATTATGAACCAAGCACTTGCGAACTTGTCAGAGACATTCTTTGGCCAGACAATCAAGGGTCTGCGCGGGTTGAATATTGTTTCATCGACCAACATTGCAGAAGCTTTTGTGCAGGCACATATCCAGTCTAGTATGGGCAAAGTTGTGATGACATTTAGCCCAGAAGACCGCATTTCTGTCCCAACACATGTTGTCAATTCACTATCGCTAGAGGCCGATGCCACATATCTTTTGGTTGGTGGCCTTGGAGGATTAGGTCGGAGTCTGGCTAGGCTTCTCGTGTCGAACGGAGCTCGGAATATCGCGTGCATTTCCCGCTCAGGAGATGCCTCTCCCCTCGCGCCGGCCCTGAGACTAGAACTATCTGACAAGAACGTCCGGGTCCAGATATATGCCTGCGACGTGTCTGATGAGCAAGGAATGAAACAAATTTTGAGCCAGTGCGCCGAGGAAATGCCCCCAATTCGAGGTGTCGTTCAGTCGGCAGTAGTGCTAAACGACGCACTATTCGAAAACATGACCCTAGAGCAATGGAACAATGGTATCAGGCCCAAGGTTCAAGGAACGCAGCTGTTGCACGAGCTTCTCCCCACCAGTCTAAAGTTCTTTGTGATGCTCAGTTCCATTGCTGGTGTCATTGGCAATCGAGGACAAGCCAACTACTCCTCAGGCAACACTTTCCAAGATGGTATGGCAGCTTACCGACGACGCCAGGGCCTGTCCGCCGTCAGTGTGGACCTTGGTCTGATGTTGGGAATTGGATTAGTCGCCGAGCGAGGTGGGCATTCCAACCTTCAGAGGTGGGAGACTGTTGGCATCAACGAACCACAGTTCCACTCCATCATGATTGCCGCGATGTCAGGCTCATTCAAGAACAGCACAATTCCGTCTCAGATTATCTCTGGTCTTCCAACTGCAGGGATCCTACATCGCGAAAAGCTTGAGAAGCCTTTCTATATTGAAGACCCTCGCTTTGCAATTCTGAACAAGCTACACTTGGACGGCATAGAATCCAACGAAGAGAAAACGGAATCACTGGAATTCAAACTTAGCCAGTGCCAATCTTTGCGGGATGTGAGCGATGTCACCACTGCGACTTTGTGTGAGAGGCTTGCTCGCGGCTTGCAAACTGATGTCGGAAATATCGATGCAAGCAAGCCGTTGCATACATATGGTGTGGACTCACTGATGGCTGTTGACATCCGGACCTGGGCTCTAACTGAGGCAAAGGCTGAGATTGCACTATTTGACATTCTCAGCGGGATAAGTATTGCTGGACTGGCGAGGAAGATCGCGACAGTTTCCAAGGCCGTCTCCGAGCGACTGGAATAGGTTTCGCCCAGAGCTTCTTTGAAACCAATGTTCCCTTCGATTCTTTTATATAGTCGGATCTATAAGTTCCTTTTTGATTAAAAAAAGACCCGCGAATTATCAAAAGTATTTCCAAATTATGTTGATTTATCACCAGAGGTCTTTTACATCGAGTTGCGTTGTGGTTCCTGTGTATGGCGAACAACTATGCGCATGGGCCCCTACGATCCCAGAGATATTTATGTTAGTTTAATTAACTCAAGCAATGTACAAGTTCACACAGAAAAAGCGGCCAATGACAGCCTTGGTATGTTTCTACAAATTTGGTATACTTGGCCCCTTGCTCGGGGGTGGGAAAGATAAAGATAAAGCAAAGGAAAAGACAAGGAACGAAAGACGTTCTGTATTAGGCACTTAGATCAAATGCTGCTTCTTCCATAGGCTAGCGGAGCCACTCAGGCCTCCTCAAATAGCGATTTCCATCTACTCATCATCGCGAATATCAACGACGGTCTTCTCCCACTTACGAGCCTGAACACGACGATTGAACAGAATGTCGATCTCACGGAAGGATCGGTGCTTCATCTCTGGAATCCAGTACCAGGACATGGCAGTGCAGATAAAGGCGGTTCCAGCCCAGACATAACCACTCTTACCGCCCAAGTTCCACTTATCGGTGTTGAGCATGTAGCTGGAAAGGAAGATGCAAGGAATATTGATCAGGTAGTAGGCACCTCGTCCAATACCGGTTGTCAGAGGTCGGAGGCGAACGGAAGACGTCTCGCCGATAATGACCCATGAGGCAGGGGCGGGTCCCAAGCAGAACAGGACGGACACGATCAAACCAAGCGATGCTTGCGCATTACTAGACGCATGACTAATACCAACCGAGCCCGCAATACCCAGGGCAACCAAGAATGCACAGTTGATGAGTTGACCGTAGACATAGATGGTTCGGCGGCCGAGGTAAGTGGTGAGGACCCAAGAGAGCATGACCATGATCCACTGGAGGGCTGAAGTGATGAGACCAAGTGCAAACGCGGTGTTGTCCGCCATGCCGGCCTCTGAGATGGTGTTAGTTTTCTATAGACTTGTAGAAAGTGCGTTGACTCACGTTTGAAAAAGTAAACCGCTTGGTTAGCAATCAGGTTGCCCGTCAGGTTCTGAGATGCGTACACACCGCACACAATCAATGTGCGGTAGCGATCGGTACCCTTCCACAGCTCAATGAGACTGGGCTTCTTCTCGCTCTTCTCGAGCTCGATTGTGCGACGCATCATAGCAACTTTGTCAGCGGGATTATCATTTGCACTCGCGCGTCCAAGGCGCTTGACAGACTTCTCTGCCTCAGCCAGACGGCCCTTTCGGACGAGCCACCAGGGCGATTCAGGTGCAAAGAATAATAGGATAGCGAGGGGAGTGGGAAAAATCCACTGGAGTGCAATGGGAACCCTGAGAATTCTGTTAGAATGGTGCATTTTTATACAATCTATGGGGATGGACCAACCTGTAAGCTGAAGAGTCCTTTCTGGATTGGTAGTGGTAAGTGATACCGCCGACGATGATCGATCCAATGGCCCAGAACATCTGCAACATCTGGGTTGCTGGAGCTCTCAATCTCATTGGCACAATTTCGGAACAATAGGCGGGTGCATTAGCGATGAAAATGCCCCACGGAATACCTTCCAGGATCTGGGACGCGAAGAACATCCCCTGGCTGGTACCGAAATAGAAGATCAAGATGAAGAGGTTCAAACACATGAGACCACCAATGGTTGCCCATCGATATCCAATCCAACTGGTAATGGGACCTGCGAGGAATACACCGATAAAGGCACCGAGTGGCCCGCTGCACTGGAATGCCGACTGCCATGCAGCTGCGATAATCTTCGTCCCTTGTGTTTCGCTGTATACACCAAAGTCCTGGGCGAATTGATCGGTAGCGATGAACTGTCCCATTAAGAAAACGCAGTATGACTCCATGATCTATCGTAACGTTAGAGAAATGATCTTCATATCATAGGTAAGAGCTTACTGACAATGGTGAATGACATAATGAATGCCCACCAGCTGGCAGCGGGGTACGCCTTGACAGCCTCGAGCACAGTCATATTATGCTCGGCCTCCTCTGCCTCGATGGCGCCAGCTCTGTCATAGTCGACCTTCTCACTAGCATCGTAAATAGGTCCAGGCTGCGCCTCGACCTCCTCCGCAGTGGTCTGTTTCTCACTGATGTCGCTATTCATGTTGCCGATTTCTGAGAGAAGCGGGTGAATGAGAGATGAGAGGTGAGAAATGAAAGAGAGGCAGCACGGTTGGGGAATTACGGAATTTTATACCGCCGACGACGCGCTCGTGACTGTAATCCTGATTTTAGCTTAATTGAGTGAAGCTTGGTCCGGACCCTGGCCTCTTCAACCCCACATCTCCTCCCCCTATAAGGGCCATTCCTTTGAGCACTACGGTAGCAGCGCTATTAGATTACAATAGGCTCTTAACGAGATAGTAGGTACATGTCGGAAGGAAATGTAAGGGTTTCTTTGCGGGGTCTGCTGATATGGTGGTTAGCGTTTAGCTGTGGCGTCCCATTCGCAGGAGAATTTCCTATTCTGGATCCACAATCCTGCTTCTTTCATTTAGTGTGAGACTCGAGCCATGTCTGTGCCCGATCCCAGCTTTCTTTTCCCCTTGTTGTGCACTCTAAACTCTAAACCCCCTGATTCCCTGTCGGCATCGCTCAACTCCGTTCGGCCTATCATAATAAGCGAACAAATGTAAAATATACCGAGAAGCCGGGAGAGGATAAGCGCAAATTATTAGTTCGCCGCGCTTTGTGCTCGGGATCTAATACCCCTGCGATGGGCAGATATTCAGAAAAGAATGTCTTCGAACGCCGGCCTGGAAACGTGAAGTCGGAGGCTCATGATGCTTGATCTCTCCATCTCTGTAGAATGCCATGCTCGGTGGAGTGCAATCGGACCCACAAGATTCAAGATAAACATCATCGATCTTTAAAGAACCTAACGAATTCCAGAATCGGACACGGCTCGGTGTGATCTCATCCGTGGGTTGGGGGCTCGGCTAGTTTTACCCCGGACATTCACTACCCCGCGCCAATACCCCGGACGGACCGCAAATTCCCTCCAATGGAGAGAGTTGAAATGGGAATGCCAAAATTAGATAGTACAGAATATGAAATTGTATGGAAAGGGGCAGTACTGCATTTTCGTGTGTAAATCATTTATCCTGATCCCTCGTCGAAGCGAGACCTTGAATTGAGGTACAGGTGTGACAATCATTCTCTTACTAGGCGAGGAGGCACAGCTATCTGTAGTCACGGTAGCTGATTCCTGTACAGAGTGGCGGTGGCAATCTAATAGCCAGCCACTAGCCATCCAAGCTTATGGGATAGTTCCAGCCTGGATGCGACCACTAAAGGGGTGCCATTTTCGGCGTTGTTTTGGGTCACGGGTATCCCAGACGATGATTGTTGGACGAGTGCCAACTTCAAAGAAAGATCAGAGCCGGCGAAAGCTCGAGCCGTTTGATGATGACTAAGGAGTTTAGTTGGGTGCAAATTAATGAAGGTGCAAAATAGTGGGGTTGCCGGACGAAGTCGTCCCCTAAGGTTACGAGGGGAAAGGCAACCACTTCTGGCGTTGAGAGCTGCCATTTTCGGTATTGACTTAACAGATTATCGTATTTTTGGATGTAAATTCAATCCTGAATTGAGTTGAGAAACACCTTCTCCAGAAAGGTCAATCGTGATTATGGTACAAATATCCCCTATGGTGCCCTGCTCTAGCGCAGGAAAGGAGGAAAGGAATCAGTGATATGGCCTCTGGTTGGAACAAAGACTGCGATTGCCCAATTTAACATTCTAAATAAAATAAGCATGGCTGGACTTGCCAAGAAGATTACAGTAATCCCCAGGACCGTCTCCGAGTGACTGGAATATAATTTCCTCAATCAGAAGAGGGAAGCTTCTTTTGACCCAAGGTTCTCTTCAAATATTTTCATGTATTCGTACGAATCGGGAACCAAGAGTTTCTACCAGGTTGGCTGTATTTCCGCGTCGCGCTTTCCTCATCATTTTCAGATATCACACATCCACACGGACAGAACCAAGAAAACTTACATATGTCTCAAGTTGAACGGTTATTCTATGCGATCGCCTAATCATCAACATCGTCATCAGAAGACTGGTCCTCAGACTCATTAAACGAGCTTTCATCTGATGAAGATATGCATTCATCTCTTCCTTGACCATCTTCATGCAAAACGTCAAAATCATCACCATGGCTCTCAGGCCGCAAGCTATCGTCCCCTGATACACTTCCTGGATGATTTGTGTCTTTGTCGTTTAAGTCTTCGTATTCAAACTCGGGGGCTGTTTCAAGCCGTGAGTATTCACTGACGCTTTCATGAAAGGTGTTTCGTGGCATGTAGCATCTGAAACATAATTCAATCTCTTTGCAACTGAAACAAATTCCATAAATGTACTTGGAGGCAACCTCAGCAATTTAGAACAACCACCGAAGGCAGTAAGCAACTGGTGTAGATGACTGACGACACGGCAACTTAAACAATATGCAAACCTGTCATCGGCTCTGCGGGAAATGTGAGCTTCATTGTCCCATTTTTCCTTCTCGGTTTGAGTTCCAATGAGCCGCGTGAGGGGATCAGGTATTAACAGCGATAAAACCTCATCAGAGATGCCGATATACCTGCCTAGTTTTAGTGGAGACCATTCTACTGACTTAGGGCCTTTGACTGTCATCTATATATCCTCTCCATGATCAATGAGATGCCGCACAATTTCAACGGGTGCGCTGCGGTTCAGAAGGGCCCAGAAGAGCGGACTCCAAGCATCGTTGTCGGGTCTTAAAAGCTCATTCTCATCATATAGCTCGCTCATACGCTGGAAAGCCGTCCAATTCTCTTGAATTGCTCCGAAATGGATGGGAGTTCCTCCCATCTTATCGCGTATTGGCTGACCATCAACGAATAATATATATCCGTCTCTGTCGATGGTGTTTTGGAAACCAGCTCGCGAAATCAGGCCCTAGCCTTGAGAACGTCGGTCGTGCGGAAATCTGATTCTCCAATCTTTGATAACACAACATTTGAAGATTGACTTCCTTCTAGACCCTAGGAACAAATTTTATTCGTATGTAACTATCAAATAACATCAAGCAAAATTGAAACTAGCATCGATTTATATTACAAAAGTCCCCCAATTCCAGGAAAAGAATAAACTATGTACTCATCAGAGCCCAGGGAGAAGCTCAGCATACTTCGTGAATCCCTCGTCTTCCAAGAACATCTCCAGTTCCTCCGGATGTGTACCAAAGAGAAGTTCAATCCCGCCATCATTACTTGTAGACAGAATGATCAGGAATCTGAACCGCCCAATACCACGCTCAACTTGTGGTCTCAGTGATTATGGGCAACCCCCATTGGCGAAGAGGGACTCGCCAAAGCAAGCCTCGTTTGATGGGGAAAGCATCATATTGGAGATCATAGCATGCATCTGCTCAAGACCCATGTTCGCGGTCGAAGTTCGCTCATGATTTGGCAAGGACTGCAGAATTGACAGAGCATCATGGACGACTGAAGGCGTGAGGCGCGGAGCAGATTCGCGAAGAAGGTACGCGACACAACCAATTGTTGTGTTATCGGAGCAAAGAGTCTCGATAGGCATCGTTGATCGATTGAGAATTAGCATACTACCAATGTATGTCTCGGCAAAAGCTGCGAGAAGTATGGGCGGCCGTCAGTTGGCAGCTCGAGGATGGAAACTTCATCTGGCTTGAATGTCTGCTTCCGAATCTCCGTGGCAACTATTCGTCGGACTCGAATAGCAGCGCGCCACAAGAAGGCTTTTACAATGTCGCTGGTTAAAATGATGGCTCCCTTGGCTTCGGGACCGGAGACGACCTCTTGCTTCATTTTCTCCGGCTTTTCGCGCGTGATGAGGAACATCGTGGATTCGGGGCAACGCCCAGCACATGGGAGCGGCCAAATGGCATGTATCTTGTAATCATGATTAATGGTAAATTCTTACATAATCTTCTTGTGATGATCAGATGAAGAGGAAGGTAGATATCCCCATGTCCCAGGGTCAATTACTTCGACCGGGCGAGCCATCTTGCTCGTGGATGATTTCCGGCAATGCGTGGTTAAAGCTCTGTGGATGGTATCAGACACAGGTTGCTCCTTGATCACCTTGAAGGTATCTGCAATTGTCTGCCCAAGCCTTAAGAGCAATCACGACGACTAGACCATCGAGAAAACAGTGATTTAAGTCAACAGCAACAACACAACCAACGGAAATGAAGTTTACTTGGCCTGACACGATATCTGCGGGGAATCTTGGAAACGGATCGTCTAGTAGAACGAGGCCGTCTGGGACAACAGAAGGTGGGAAACCTGCTTCTCTCAATTTCTCCAATGATAGAAGCACATCAGAGAGATCCTTATATACCAGACGGATTTTTAACAGTGTGTGCTTTGGAAAGTGGCGGAATTGTCACAAAAAGATCTCCTTTCGTGTATTCAATTTCCTACTCTGAGCAAAACATCATTTTTCCACTGAGAGCTGTTATCATTCTCAATGTGCGGTTCAGACCTTCTTGAAGATTTTGAAACACTTGCTCATAAGGAATTTCTTTATGGATGGAAACGTACAGCATGATGCCCATGCCATGGCTCGGGTTAACTTAATCAAAAGCGTTCAAGCGGAGAGCATTGTTGATTTTATTGCGAGCATACCGAGTGGCTAGCTTTAACACACGCGTATGTTAAGAGCACATGTCTCAGATCACCTAGATTGAGAGCCGTCAGCAAAAGAATTCTAAAGCCAGATTGGGGTTATTTGTAGGAAGTAAAGACGTACGAGGTCCAATGTAAGCGATGGGCTGAATAGAGTCGGCTGTGCCAACCTGATCACGAAGCCACTAAGCAGTCTTATCCACCGCTCTAGTAAATTGCTGTGCGGAAGTTGGGCCGAGTGTAAGAAGTCCATTTGAGGGTGATGCAAGGGAAAAAACGGTCCTTTCAGGCTCGGAGGCAGCAAGGTCATCCATTATCTGGGGGATAAGCCTTCTGCCATAATCAGTTGATACTCCACTTTTTGTCTCCAATGTTGATGATATAGTAGCTTCAGGCTTCGAGAGTATCTCTATTTATAGACTAGACGGAGGAGACAAGATTTCTGATGTTGCTAAGATTTCAGGGGTAGTGAAACAGCTGTCAGAAAATTTGCCCTCGGATGAAGCTACAGAACCTTCGCTAGAAGAGCATGCAAGTGAAGATGCATCGTTGAACGCACTGTTCATGTACGCAGTGGCATTGATGGATTTGACGGGCTGAAGATAGCTTTCCATCATCTCGCTGACAAGAATATGTCCACCATTGGAGATTTTCTCTTTGTAGTGACTAGGGGCTCCATTGACATGAACCAATTCCAATCGATCATCCTGGCTGAATGCGCCCATCGGGGCACTCACCCATACCCCGTCTGCAAGTTGGGCAACAGAACAGTGCCATGGGGTGGTGTAGCCTGTCTTCGTATTCAGCAGACTAATTGGTATCTTGTTACCACTGATAGACTCGTGGATTGAGAGTCGCAGATGGTGTGGGAAGGCGTGTTTCACAGCCCCAGCAAAAGCCTATTTCTTGAGGTCAGTGGTAGGCTTCCTAAAATACTAGCGTGACGTGAGGTCTTCTCGAGTCCCGAGTAAAGAGCATCATGAAGTGAAAAATAAAAAATAAAAAATAAAAAATAAATAGTCAAAGGTGGTGACGCGTAAAGGGGAAAGTAAGGAAGGGAGAGAGAAGGATGGGGGATAAAAGTGGTGCCTGAGGCATTATTGTCACGTGCAACAGAACGACATAAATGGGGCACAACAACTTCAACACGTACATATCCTCTTATAAGCATCTGTTTTGCTAGGTATTTGCAGTCCCGCTTGTAACTGTGAGCGGAGCGACGCTTTCCTCGAGGGAAGATGTGCTGCAGGTCTGACTCCAGAAAACGTTTATAGCCAAGATATGTCAGCTTTGTATCTGCATTTTTGGCGATTTCCTCGTCAATGTTGAGATTGACCTTCCCATATTGATTCAAAAGCAATCGACGGAAGTTCGTGCAGTTAGCCACATAGACAATCTCAGTCATTTTATCTGGAAGAGATATGTCAAGGAGGTCGCGAATTCGCGAAAACAATATGTTGTTAAATCCCTTCTCTATGGCCATGGCTCGTAGGGATTCACCATACTCCCAAGTTTCCTTGTCTGAAATGCATAACAAGTCTATAATTGACCACGAAGTCGTCAGAATGAGCAACAGTAATTCTCAAAAGCACTGATGAAAGGGTTACTTATCACTGACCATTGTAGGTGATGCCGTCCGATATAATCACAATCTCGGCACCTGGAGCATAGAATTCTTTTATAGAATGGCAAAGGAAGTTCAGTCTTTCAAGCGCCAGCTCCTCTGCTTTATCTGGCAAGCTCCCAAGGACTTTGTAGACATTGTTCGCTGACTTGAAGGGAAATGCAGGAAGACAAGCCTGTACTCGGGCACCTTGGGCGACGAATCGGCCTATCACGGAGAGGAAGCCTTCTTCACTACCGTCCACATGGCTTGGTGCATATTCAAATTTGTTCAGTGCATATGTCAAAAACACATTCAAGATTCTCCGGGACATAAGATCCACATCACTTGAATATTGTGCATCATTAATAACAGGGGTATCAAGGTGTTCCGCTGCCGAGCATTGAGGCTCTGCTTTAAGCTGAGCAGAGTCAGACTGATTTGATGCCATTCTATATTGATTTTCCCAGCGTCTGGGATGACTAAGTTGATTTCTAAAATGAGGAGAGTGATAACACTGTGGCGTGAGAAGAAAGACTGTGAATCTATTGTAATGATAGAGAACTGTGTCCTTCCAAAGATATTGGAAGGATGCCATTTAAATACATAAAGAACTAGAGGATGACATAATTCCGGCTACCATAGTAAACATGGCAGAAAGCATTATTCCAAATCATTCGTAAAACCGTTGCATCATAGTCAGTCGATATTGAAATTTTCACTGTGATGAAGCTTGCATCTTAGTATGGCAAACAACAAATATCAAACATGCAGCTGTGGGCCTTGCATTAGTGCTCGGATGTATGCCTAGGCAAGCCGATAGCGATCGGCATGGCATTGCCCGTACTAGGCCTAGCAAAGCCTAGCGCTGGCATGGCCTTCCAGCATGCAATAGACTGTACTAGCTGGAAGCTGGATAGTCCCAAACGGGACAGTGGTGGCACAATGGAGGATTTCAATGCAATGGGCAACAGCAAAGAAACCCAAATTCGGTGGAGCCTCTTGAGAACTTATTCTCAGTCCGGTTTGAGCATTCGCGCTACAGGGACCCAATCTCAAAATGGAAAGACGCATGCATTATGGGGTCCCACGTTCAGGGTTTGCATCCCTAGGTAGTACTTGGAACAGCCAAGGCGGACTTTTGAGAACTGAATCAGACTATAGACTTCAATACGAGTTGAAACGTTCTCAAAAACAAGGCAGAGTGTATTTGAGGATATTGATTATAATTTCGGAGGGTTGAGTAATTCTTTGGGTTTTATTCTTTAAAGGGATTGTTCAGACCCGCCAAGCAGATATGAAGGAGGTAAGAGAAGGATCTGTGTTGATTAAGATCAGAAGGTCCGTACCAACGGTGAGATATGGACGATTCACGATTTTGAATTCGATCGATCAACCCCGGGGCTCGGAAGGACTGGGTCGTGGTTAGCCTGTCAGCGTATAACGGCACTACATACTGTAGTGGGGAAAACTTCCACCCTATCAGGAATGACCCTACGGGCGCGGAGCTATTATCCCTTTTTGTTTCTTCCGGTTTATATAGTCTCGCGTTGCGATCAGTTCTTGGGAGAACACAGAGAATACACACTTCTTACACTCTTTTGAACACGTTCTGCGATTCTGATTTCTCTGATTTCCAGCGTGGACCAGGGAAAGATATCGATGTTTTGCTGTGGGTTTTCCTGACTAGTATTCCGATACAGGCCTATCTCCCCTCTTCAATACGTTCTAGTATCTTTAGCCCACTACTCGTGTGCAATAGTGTGGAAAGTAGAGAGACCCAGGCTTACTACTTCTTACCTGCATAATTAGCTTGTGTAGAAGAAATATGGGCAGACTTAGTGGCGAGGCTACGAGGCTACGAGGCTACGAGGCTACGAGGCTAATGCAAGGGATGGCGAAGTCACAGGCCCAAAGCAAAAAGATGTTAGAAATTTTTATCAGTATTTTTTTCTCTGGGAGAGCATGTTTGAGGCAAATACTATCATGTTTTTTGGTTCTCCTTCCGAATTTTGATATGGGTAGTAATTCATCACTCCGTACATAACTCTGTATACAAGTCGGTATACACCTGGCCAGGCTCGCCCCCAAATCCCCCGGCCCTAAAAAATCCCTCTGACACAATCAAGGCAACAGAATTATTAATATCTCAAGTCCAGTTAGTGTTCGGAACGATTTCATTTTCCTCCCATGTTGCCTCCATCAGACACTTGATTCGGAGAGCACAAAGTACCAGTCTGGACGCCTAAAGCTGAAAGGATTTGCGTGATTTTGGGCACAATTCTGCATGAGAGTGGGGGCACACTGGAACACGAGGCGAACAGATATTAGAGCTACTATTATTTGCTATTAGCCGATGATAAATGCGGCGTAGGCGGACTTTTCGGTTTAAAATCCTTAATCAAGGATACATAGGCACTAAGACTGGTTGTTTGAAGGTTCTTAATATACAACTAGCTTCATTTTAGTGTCATTAAATCATCATCTCATTTTCAACGCAACCATCAGGAACCTGAATGTTACGACTAACACTCTGCACCTCAAAAATGACCGTAAGTCCGATTAGATAACTGTGCCCTTCACCTGTTTCCTGTCGACATTGTAGTTCTTCCATAAAGCAATTGCAGAGAAGGCAAGAACAAGAAGACAGGCTGCCGTGATACACTCGTACCTCTGACTATAGCCCCATGCATAGTTGATGGCATTTTGAGTCTCAGAGCCTACAGGGTACATCGTCTGAACAGCTGATTCACCAGTGTAATTGGTGGTGAAATCTGCCTGTGCCGACTCAGGAAGAGACCGAAGTAGTGCTTGAGGGAAAGTGTTGGAATAAATGAGGATTGCAACGCCGTAGCCAACGCAGCGACCGATACCTGAAGACAGGCTGATCATGACAATCAGCAATGGGACACCGTCACGGTCGGCCGCCGCCATAACCGCCATTTCGTCGCCAATAACAAGGGTTTCACCACCGAGGGCGATGAAGATTTGGCACATGACTAAGTATCCGATTCTGGTTTGCGAGCCTCAGGAGTAGATCATGAGAGCTGCGCCGAGGAGAAGGAGTGATGCGCCGAAGAAGGGACAGACGTTCTTGAAATATTTTGTTTTGCAGATCCAGATACCGAAGAGCCCGGCCCAGATTGTTTATTCGACACCATAGATCTGTGTCACGTATCCTGTCTTGGATGTGTTGAGGTTGTACACTAATTTTACACTACTCGTACATAGTAGTAAAGTATTGATCCCATACGTAGTAGTTAAAGAAGATAATGGCGGATAGGACACAAGCTCCAAGGACTGTGCGCTTCCTTAACAGCTCCCAGCGGATGAATGCAATTCTGGCGAAGTAGGCCTCCCATAGAGCGAAGACCGGGAATAGCAGTAGTCCGACAACCACCTTAGCGATAAAATCGCTGAGGAATATCCAGTATAGCCATAAGTCTTGAGACTAAAAGGCAGAAGGAAGAGAATGAAAGCAGCCATAAGAATCAAAGCACCGATAATATCAAACTCATGAATATATTGGACGATGGATTGGACGGTAGTTCGACTAGTAGAGGTGTGCGTAAAAAGTCCTAGCTTCGCAGCCTTTCTCCGATAGAATTGAAACAACGGCGAGCGGCACAAAAATCACAAAGCTGATAATTTCAAAACAGCCGTTGGCCCAGCGCCAAGTTGAGTGAGAGACAAATTGCTGAGCAATAAGAGGCCCGACAAAAGCGGTGCAAAAAGTTGGTGTACAGATGAATGCATAAAAAAAGGCTCGATTTTTCAGCCCAGACGTGTCTGCGACAATTACAGATAGAATAAAACTCAGGGCTGAATACCCGATCCAGTATAAGGTGTAGCCAGCAGCAAACCCATTTGGGCCATTTCAAGCGGCAATGACGATAAGTCCTAGGATGAAAACCGCCAAAAAGAAAACCAGGAACCCCTCTGTTCGGCCACATATGTTCAGTGACTTTGCGATGGGAAGTTGAGGGACTCGGCCGACCATGATCTAGACGATGTAAGCCTGGGAGGTTCGAGGCGCGGAACAGAAATTCGCGTATGCGTAGTAAATCATGTTGTTGCTAATCGATGATTGCATTGACAGAACGAAGAAGCACACCCAGATCCTGTGAGTTCATATTGATTAATATTAGTTCAGTAATATCTTGTAACTTGGACAAAGGAATTACCGTAATAATCCATATGACGGAATAATCAAATCTTTGCAACGTACCAGGCATAAGTGATATATAGCGCTTGTTTGGACCACACCAGAGCCGTAGCTTCAGCTTTCTGAAGACCAGGGTATGCGTCATGAGTAGTCGCATGAGAATGTTGAAACTTGATCCTCCCTGGTCTTTGCCTCGAGCGTGGCCGTGTGTATGTTGACCGCGTCGTCGTATTTGGTTCGACTGTGGAAAACCATTATACTGATGCAGTTACGACAGTCGCGAAAGGGTTTGGAAACTTAAGGATATGATCACAAACACGGAACTTAAACAGTTAACAAATACATGGAGGTAATTCCCAAGGATTTCCTACTGGTACTTTAATCTGTTCAAATTCGCGCAAAGGCTAGGCTTGTGCCAGTAAGACTGAACGCTATTTGGAAGTGACATCCTTGCTTCTTATCCGATGTCCGGGAATTTGACTCCAAGGTTTTAGGCCCAAAATTATATTCAGTCAAGAAGACACAAGGGGAACAGGAAATCAATCATTTAGACGTCTGACAAATTAAAGCGTATTGTTGTAGCTATGTTTCGAGAGCTACCCCACAAGGAGCCCGGCTGGCACAATTGGTCAGCGCGTGAGACTTTTAACCATTCGGTGAAGGAGCAATCTTAAGGTTCGGGGTTCGAGTCCCCGGTCGGGCGACTTTTTATTTTTTTCTTGACTCTGACGACTGTTGTATAAATTTTGCCCTAGTCGCAGAGGCTGCTACTTGGAATGATCCCTATTGAGCACGTCCTTGACAGTAATGGTTAAAATCAAGAAAGGAAGGCATGAAGTCCTGAAGTCGAGGACTGAAGTGTTATGAGCCCTGCGGGCTAAGGTGCGGGAGGTGTGCCATGGCAGCATGAAGCCGGAGCGTCGGGCTGCGGCAGAACAGCTACAGGCCCACATATCTGTGAATAAATTCCCTCCAGTATTCTTCCCCTCTCCATAGCAATATCCTAGTATTTGTGCACACTACCTTCCAGTAGTATTGGCCTCATAACATGAAGAGCAAGTACGAGAAGTGTCGCTAGTAGGTGCTCAATCTTCCTCGGGTTGCAGTTAAACCAAAGTAGAAGATGTGACTTTCTCCTATAGGGAAAGTGATAAGAATATAGTTGAAAATTTATACGTTCCTGAAAAAGAAAAAAAGAAAGTGACCAAACCCGGGCTCGATCCGAGGACCTTATCGGTAAGGAATGTCATGTGACATGTTAACGATACGTGATAACCAACTACACCATTCGGCCATTTGATGGTTGAAAGCCTGACCTCTGCGTACATGAGTATCTCCAAACTTCAAGCTGCACGTAGATGGGTTTCATCCCAAAAAGGCAATTCGTGCTCCGCGGTTACTGCACGATACCCGAAAACCCAACTACACCGTCCTTAACAATTGACAATTACATTTCAAATTTTGAAGCCGATATAATGATTGATTTAGGACCGCCTAGTCAGGAGGATAGAGGGAAGATGAAAAACAAAAACAAAAATACGACAGCTGCAAGGTTCGACCGCGAACGGAATTGATCTCTGTCCATACAAGGTATATGATTCACTAGGGGAAGAAATTAGTTAAATGTAACAATTAATTAGTGACATTTGTGGAAAGGTGCTCACAGTTCTAAGCCCAGGTCTGGTCTTTATTAGGAGTCCACTCACTAGCAGTACAAAAAGCATCAAGATACCGAATCGAATCCCCCTCCAGCCTCACACTCTTCACAACACCCCGCAAATCAAAATTGAATCCATACCGATAAAAAACCCCCGCCATCCTCGCAGCGACCACCAAACCCAAATCAGCACTAAAAAACCCATGCACCTCTTCCCGAAACGTTCTCCAGAACAGATTTTGCAATTCAAGACAACAGGGGAAAGATTTTGAGAAGAGGGATGGGAGGGTTCTGTGGACTTTTAGTAGGTTTGTTTGAAAGCGGGATGGGAGATGTTGAATCAGAAGATCAAAATTCAATTGGAGTTCTTTAAGCAGGGTGGCTGTTTCATTCGAGTCTAGCTGGTGGCTGTTATTCCATGATTGCGCAAAGAATCTATTGGAGAATATTAACTATGGCAGACTGTATGGTGAGAAGATATATGTACACACCTTGCAAAGTCAATTATGCTATTACTTTGTCGAGAGATATCATTATGTGGGATTCCTGCAATGATTTGGGAAATTCCAGGGAGTGTTTCCATCTCATAAACATGAAGCAGTCGTGAGCAACAGCAAACTCATCACATTGAAGTCTTGTTACAGTAGTGCTGGAGTTGAAAGAATTATCAATTGCACGGTCGGCGTTGTAAATATTGTAGGTCGTCATTGCAGGTGATTGTGAAAAGGCTCTGGGGTAGAGGGCAAGTCTTAGCAAGAAGAGTGAGAAATGGAAAATGAAGTAGGTAGGCTGTATAGAGGCATAGTCGATTCCTTGACCCCCATTTGATCGACCATGATCCATACCCCAGAAACACCTTTATTGTGGGGGTTCGATACCTCAATCCAATATTGCTCTAACCAGAAAGAGGAGAGCATTCGCGCCTCATTCACAGAACAGCCCTCCGAATCTGGTGGCCGCTGTTGAGCTGAATAAAATTCGATTGACCTTCGAAGTCCAAGAACACGGTCTGGGTATCTCTCCTCTCCATCCAGAGTTGATGAATGTCAAATTCCCGTGTCCACTTTCAATGCGCCAACCGGATCGTAGATTTGAGAGACCTGCACCAAGTTAAGCTGCAGTCTTGAGTTGTGCCTTGTAAACGATACATACACTACTGTGCTTGTCCGATCAATCTTCACGGAAACTGCAAACTTCAAGCTCTGGCATCTTGGAACTATTTTCATGTGTCCCAATCCACGCTCTTACGGTCTGGATTGCTCGAAGATTCGGGCGGCCATAATTATTACTGTACCATTGGCTGCTCGGATCAGAATTCACCATGTGGCACCCTCGGAAGGTTCACTTGCCAATCTGTACCCCTAGGAAAGCGATCGGGAAGAGCTCCATTTACTCTGTGTCTCAATTATCCTCACTGTTATTCCCCTCGCGACTAACATACGAAGCGCGACCGAGATGCATTCTTTTTTCAAAGTTCTGATTTCATACTCGTTGTTCTTCATATCTCCAACACGAGAAATGGCTGCAAGCAAGCTGGAGTATTTACTACCACAGTAATATAACACTTGCTACTGTTTAACCGAACTTCCAGATCTCATGGATGCATCTTGGCCCCCCGACCGTGAAGGCCGATCACACAAGGTAATTAACCACCAAGTCTGCAAAGGTTTTTGGATTTACAATGAAAGAAAAAGAGAAAACACAAAACTGTTGCAGACAGTCATGCCTATTGAAAAACACTAAGATACTGAAACTTGATTCGGAATTATTGTTGGGGCTTGTAAGACAACAGAAGAAAACAAGACAAGCTTAAGTTTGATCTGCTTTATATATAAGTTTATAGTTTACTGAAGAAAAGAAGAGGTGTTGACGGCAGGATATCAATTGACGTTTGTGAGATGAAGAAGACCCAACAGTATGTACAAAACAGAAAGATGATACAAAGTTTTGAAGAAGCCACTTCCCATAGCAAGAATGCGGAAACAGCAAAATGAAAACCCAACAAACCATAACCAGAGGGATTCTATCAAATCTAGAGCTGTCAAGAGGACAAGACCAAAGAGCCAAGACAAGCAGAACTGATCGTGGCAGATCACACCAGGTTTCATCAAGGCAACTAGACATGCAAAATACACCAGTCAACCACGAACAAAGTTCAGGAACTAGACATGCAAGTTGCACCAGTTGAGCCAAGAAATTCCTAGACATGTAATCGCTAACAGAACATCGAGTCGAGAGTATGGAACAGGCGTCGGCAGATGTTGTTGATAGTCCAGAGTCAGGACAAGCAGGACCATCATTGCCGCCACCAACTACAGCAAGCTGCGGGTATTGGCTCAGGAACATTCGAGTCAAGGATGGAAGAAAGATCCGTGGATGGCTGTGAGAGTTCAAAGAACTGAGACTGAAGACGAGCCAGCGGGGTTGCATATAGACGATGCAGGGCAGAGTAGAGTAGATACATGAAAGTTGAGGCATGAATGGAAACAGGAATCTGTAAGACTTATTAGAGACTGTATGATCAAGAAGAACAAGGTGACTGACCAATCCATAAAAGGATGAAGGCTGGGTAAGAAGACAAGTCAAGGGACAAGTCGAAGGATGTATAGTGCATGGACAGGTAGGCCAGCAGGAGGACAAGTTGAAAGACAAGTTGAAAGAAGATTTGGGTGGAGGGTTGTTGGATGAAGAGTTGGATGAAGAGTTGGATGAAGAGTTGGATGAAGAGTTGTATGAAGAGTTGGATGAAGAGTTGGAAGACGGCCTGAAGAAAAGACAAGTCAGAAGAAAAGTTCAAGAAGAAGTAGGCAGGGCAGTCATACCAGTTGAGAAATTGTAGACCCACCAGCAGGCAGGCAAGTCGAAGGACAGGTCAAAAGAGGCGTCAGTGCATAGGCAGGTAGGCCAGCAAGTGCACGAGCAAGAGGTCAAGAGAAAAGACAAGAAGTTTGAAGATGAAGATGAAGATGAAGGATCATTGGCTGATGCAGTGGAAGATCTGTCAAGTCAAGTCAGCAAGACAACAAGAGAAGAAAAAAAGGAAGTACCATTGTGATCACAGCCATGAGGTTGAAGGACATGTGATCAAGGCAAGTTGAAGTCATGTGGTCATGTCAACAAGGCAGCATGGATGTCAGTAAGGCAAGCAGGCAAAAAGGGACAAAGGGACAAACCATAGTGAGGAAGGCATGTAGTTGAGTTATGTCCTGTGGACGGAAGTCATATGGTTTGGCAGCCATGAAGTTGAGGCAAGCAGGAGGAGAGGGCATCCTGAAGGATATCAGCACGACAAACAAAAAAAACGAAAAACATGACGAGGAAAAAAAAACATTTTGAAGAAGTTCATGACAAGAGTGAAGGCCTATGAGAGAAGAAGAAAAAGAAAGAAAAAAAGTGGCAGCGGGTCCTGGCAGCGTGAGGACGAGAAAAAAGCCGGGGGAATTTGGGGAGAGGAGGAGGGAAAAAGAAAAAGGAAAACGGAGAGAGGAGAAGGGGGTCTTATAGACGTCCAGGGCGGTCATGGGGGACCGGTAGATCACTAGTCTCGCTTCGTTTAACCAATCGGATGGGGGGTGATCCGAATGAGCTGTTGGAGAGGAGTTGAGGCAGCAGCAACGAGGATTGTATACAAATTTGTATGGGACGATTGTCTGGACGAGATATCAGGCAACTGCGGGAGGACCCACACGTGCCTGCAGGTGATCGTCGCAATTGACCAATCAGGATACAGGATCAGAACCCACATCAGGACTAGCGCCCGGTCCCCATTTTTAAGGCTGCATGTTACGAAGATCTACGGCTGACGGAGCCCTGCATGAAAGTTCTCATCCTCGACGATCATCAACAGTTAGGTCAATTTTTACGATGGGGTTGGATTTCCCGCCTTACTTTTCATACATCAAACATGCCATCGTCGCAGAGCTTCCTGCTGCGACAAGGGGGATTAAGCAGCATGAGCATGAAGCCTTTATGCCAACCGCCACGTGACTGCAAGCTAGCGTTGACGCGACAGCTTAAACTCATGATGGAAAATGTAGCTTATGGATCTGGCTTACAAGCCTGCGTATCTACAATTGGGAGGGAGCGAAATCTCATGAAGCAAATAGAGAGAACAGGTGCAGGAAAAAACAAGAGAGTCAAAATCTCCTGATCGACAGCCTTTGATGGTGAATATAACTCGATTCGGCTGGCCGAAAGAGCTGGGGTAAGAGTTCGAATATAAGCACTTTCTGGAGGCCTGAGGCGCTCATTCCAGTTTCCCTCTCATCTGCCACGCTCGGTCGGCCTTCCAGCATCACCATCGCACAACTCGACCACCTTGCTTCTTCTGTTGCTTCCTTGCTAATGGTTTCTCCTCTTGCCGCCCCTGGAACGATTGAACTGGTTTATACTAATACCACGCGTCTACCAATGACCATGCCGCCATATGCGTTTTCATATACAGTTTCGCGTTGCGACCGGTGCGACAACCGAGTGAGAGAATTCGCAAAACCGCTTATCCTATTATACCACGCTACTTCTCAGGTCCTCATAGCACCGGGAGCTCTTCTGTGGTATCTTCGGCTGTCTCTTCGGCTGTCTCTTCGGCTGTCTCTTCGGCTGTCTCTTCTTGTCATCACCGCGACGCCACATTTCACCGTGTCTATCTCAGAAGACAGCAAGTCCCCCTTTGTCTTATAGTCTTTTCGTCTTTTCAATACTTATATTCAAGCTAGAAGGCAGATCACAGACTGGAAGATTATATTTAACTTAACAAGATATATAACACTAAATTGTATCTTGAAATCTTCTGTATGGTCCTTCGTCCTGATAGATAGAAATATCTAGAAGATAATGTTTCCGAGTGTACAGACAATAAGTAGCTTCAGCAACTAGCCCGAAGTATTTAAACTAGCCTCTTTATTCCTTTTATAGAATAGTATAATATCTATAGTAACTCTATCTTCACGTCTTAGTATTAAAGACTCGATAGAAGATCTTAAGAGCTAGAATATTGAGTCTATTATTAGAAGCCCCTAATTACAACTTTGATATAGATACTTATAAAGAGATAGGTATAAATATCTTGTATTAGGGAGATAATATATATAAAAAAGATAATTATATTTAAATTAATACAAATATAATACAAAATAAATAGATATAAATAGGGTGTAGAAGAGGAAGAAAAAGAAGGTAATCTTAATTATATCTTACTATTATATACTTTTACTATAGCTATCTATATATATAGTTTATTTATTCTACCCTTTTTATTCTATACTAATAATATATTAGTTATAACTAATTATATTTAAAGACTCTTAATCTAGGTCTTAATCTCCTATATATTCTGATTAGAGTATAGAAACTACTCCCTAGTAACTAGGTACAATTTCTAAATACTCTTAATTTTAGAAATATAAGATATTATTAAGGTTGACGTCAAAGGCTTAGGTAGATAAAGAATATTGATATTAGATAGAGTTCTTTTATAAAAGTTATATAGAAACTAATCCTTGGAAGTCTACTACTTCTAAGTATTCATATATTTTATACTAACTATGGTTTGTATGCTTTATATAAGAGGACCAGAGCTAGAACCCTCGGTAAGTTATATACCCGTTCTAATATTAATATATATTATTCGTTAATATTTCCTTTGGAATATTAATATATATATATATATATATATGTAGTAATATTTAAATATAAACTGTGAAGGGCTAAAGTAGAACTTATATTTAATTCTAACTATACCACGATCTATGTACAAAAAGCTTAGAGAAGAGAAGAAGTAAAGTAAGCTAGGTAGCTATAGATAGGGTTAGTAGGACAATAACGATAGGCAGTGACAATAGTAGGCGGTAAAGGCTATATAACAGGGCTATATAGTAGCCTGCGGGTTTAACCCGTAACATAAACATATATATATGCTGTAACAGATATAGTAATATTCTAAACACTAAGATCCTAAGAATACTTAAGGAGATAGATCCCTAGTATAAATTTATAATTTGATCTCGATATATATAGAATACCTAAGAGATAATTTCGAAACTTAATAAAGGTATCAAAAAAGTTAAATCGACTTTAAGCTTTATTATTAGTATAATTAAGTGAAATATCGATTACTGTAAGTATTATAAATAGAATCTAGGTCTTTTCCCTTTCTATATATATATATATTTAATATATTATTTATAATAGCTTATATTTACTATTATTTTAAATAAGAAAGATAAAAAACATATCTTTTACTAGCCTTCAATATCTAATCCTATAGAGGAGGATCCTATAGCTCTTTAAATTCTAAGTAAGAAATTTAACATATTTACAAAGATAATTAATATTCTCTTCAGCTTACTACTAGTATATTGAAGTAGACTTTAAAAAAAAGAATATACTACCGGAGTAATAATAGTAATACATATAGTTGTAGCTAATAACAATTATACTAAAGATACTAAAAGCTATACTAATATCGTAAGAAAGGTTCAGAATTCAAGCATTCTTCAGAGAGAGTAGATAAGCACTATTGACAATATAGCCAAAGAGATTGGTGCTATTATTAAAACCGTATCTAAGTATAAAATCGAAGAGAAAAATCGGCGTCGTAATCTAAAAAAACCCCACACGCCACGCTCTACGCGAAACTACTAATTATTGTAGGCAGGAATTCTAGCCTTTCTAGCAGGTTGCATTTTCCTTCTTTACTTTGTCGAGACAAATCGGAAGAGATAAGCTTTCTGCAAGATGAGATTAAAGAGTAGGGAGAGTAATATAGATAAAGTCTATATATACTAAATAATCTAAGTCTCTCCTCTTATTAATCTTTTATACTTTATTAATCTACTATATGTAGTATAACTATATGGAGGAAGACTCGGGACAGGTGGGTTTGTATGTTTGTATGTTTGTATATTTGTGCGGTTTAACCCACTCTCGGATGCAGACTAATCAGATAATTGGTCTAGAGAGTAGATATCCACCTATATATACATAGTACAGCTCTCTCTCTTCTTCTCTTTTCCTTATTATTATTATTTATTGTTCTTTATACCTTCTCTATTCTAGTAGATTATAGGCACCTTATCGTAGCGCGCTAGTCATGCTGATTTTATTGTTGGGGGATGGTTGCGAATGCAGGCTGTTACGCTTCCGAGGGAAGAGTGGGAACATATTAGGGCGTGGCATGGGGGTGTATTTGGCGACCTGCATGATGCTTTGAAGCCATATTCTGAGGTGAAATAAAAAGACTACTCAACGTTAGACAGTCTGATATAAGAACAATGTGTTCATCTCACTAAGTACAAATTGGCCTCACAAACTCGTGATCTGCACATTACTAAACCCCCCACTCCCATAACTCCCATATAAACCAGCCGCACCACGTAACAACCCATCATTACTAACACTAACAGTAGTATTTCCACCATCCCCATCACTCAAAGTACCCACGAGACTCGTCCCCTTAACAGAAAGAGACAATCGATAAATCTGATTAACTTTAACACCCCCTTCAACAAGCTCCGTCTGCAAAGTAGTCGTTGCCGTATCCCCCACTTGATACAGCGTAAGATCACCACGGTTACTATCAACAACAGCCGTGTATCTACTCAAATAATTCGGAGCAGTATTTGAATTTGATGCCCGAACAAGCACACCCACGACACCAGATGTACTCGTGACAATAACGTCTGCACTGATTTCATAATCCGTCCACCCAGAGGATCCGGTAAGAACGATAGTTGCGGGAGTAGTCACTGGTGCGAAGTTATATTGACCATCGGAGACAGACCACAGTGCGTCGAATTCAATCCAGCCTGCATTTCCCTCGAAGGAAAAATTGGAATTATATGGGAGTATCCCAATTGGTGCTGCACCCGTGCTTTCTTCACACTGTTCGCCGATGGCTTGGGTATTTGTAGAATAGAGAATAGTTCCATTTGACAATGCCAGCAGATTGGGACTATAATTAGTTCCACAATTTGTACCACTGGGCACATACCAAGGCGCCGAAGCCCACCACCAATCCCCGCTTCCATAGTTCGTATTAATATGGACGACATGCTGATTCTCAGCAGTAAATGGTGGATCAAGCGCAGGAGCAAACGTACTAAACCATCTCTGCGCCCGACTAGAAACAATCAACTGCTTTCCCACAGAATCCCAAATAGCATAAGGGCTTCCAGACGACTGAACACCATCCGGCGTAGAAACAAATGACCCATTGTCGCTTGGATTCCAAGATACTCCATCAGTAGACGTTTTCCCATTCACGGAGCAAGCATGACCCAGATAATTATTATCACACCACTCATAGCTCATAAAGTACTTCCCATTATCCATCTTGGCAACAGTAGCCATCCCAGGTCGCGACGATTGTTCATACCCAAGAACATCATGAACAACATCACCCCAGGTATCACCTCCATCTTCCGAGATAACATGTACAAGCATCTGCGAATAATTTCCCCAGTCTCTTTCATCAGAAAAGACAGCCACGAGTCTCTCCTGACTATCAAGAAATAAGAAAGGTTCCCAAATACCGGCAGACACGGTCCCAGAGGCACCATTTGAAACGCTAGAATACCCTGTTTGCCATATACCAATAGGATCCCAGTTCCTCCCATGATCAGCCGATCTCCAAGAAAAGAAATTGGTAACATTTGAATCGTGCAGATTTCCAACTAATAGAATCGTACCCTCTGGATAGTTCCCAAGTTGTTGCGGGAACTCGAAAAGAAACGGTTGATAGAAGTAGGTGTTTGGAACGCCCTCTGGAGCGTAGACAGTTGCGATTGTTTCCCATGTTGTACCTAAATCGCTGCTTTCTCGAATAATGAAATTACCAGCCGAACCATTGGAGTACCAGTGCTCCCAGGTAGCTAGCAATTTTCCATTTGAATCATCAGCATGTTGGAGCTCAATGACACGTGCATATGCGGCGTCTTCATTGGTGTACTCAGGATGCCAGAGGGGATCATAGGATGCGTCTGTAACTCCGGCATATAATGACACTGAAGTCAATGAGATAAGGGCCTGCGCAGTGACGCTACTAAGTTTGACCATGATTGCAATGAATGAACAGTAGAGATTGTTTACCCATATGTAAAGCTCCTCTTCCTCCCCACCTGTCCCTTGTTATTTATACATTCCCAGATCTTATCACCAAGATTAATCAAGTTAGTCTCGGTCATCAGGCATTCCATTCCAATCCTTCAAAGGAACAAGAAAAGCCACAAAGAATGTGACTAGCAAACAATTAATGTAGCATCTATCCTGCAGAACGGGGCTCAGTTAAAATATGCACAATCCATCTTCCGATGTCACGAGTTCTGATGCAAGGGCTCGCCTTATAATGGGGGCTATGCAAGTGCACGAAAATGGCAAGGTACGTATCCTTGGATTATTATATTTGTAACTGGTGCGATCAATACGGTGTGTCAAGTAGGCATGTTCAGGTGAAATCTCCTGAGGTCGTGGTTCCTGATGGCTGACAGGGGGCCTGACTGGGCGCCTAGCCCGAGATGTTACACCAGAGTAGAATTAATGGAAGTATCGATGCATGCTAGGGGTATATCGATTGGTAATCTCCAATGAGTATTCAAATATGGCTCTAAGCATTTATTTGAAACCTTAATGGAAATGAGATTGTGCTTAAAATACAATTGGTTATAAATTGTCTGCGAAGTTCTTTGGCGGCGGGATTTTCATAACACCACTGCCCAAACTCCAAATGAATCGGGATTAATCCTTCACTTATAATTTGCGAGTTCGAATCGCACCTCTTTCTATTTCAATGTCCTACATAGTTACATGTGATCCATTGATTAGGTGATAACAACACAGACCCCACATGTGCGGGGTCCGCTGTGGAGAGCGGGGGTTGCCGTCCGCAGAGCCGCACTTAAGCTACACTAGTACATAAGTTAGTATACATAGTAGATAACCAAATATATGTTCATGTAAAGACAGCAACATGCAGTGACAAATAAAAAATGAAGAGACGGTAAAATGGCCACGATTGAGACATTTCAAATTGTTAATTGGAGTAGGTAGGTCAAGACGTATCTCGGATGACTGTGATATTGTGAACAGCACCCGCTCCGCTACCTAAAGAAGCAGCGGCCAGTCTAACTAGATTCATACCAGCTAATGGGGAGAAGAAGAAAGATACCAAGGCCAGGAATTGAACCTGGTCCGCGAGCCCTGAAGGGTGCCTTAAGTTTTCCTCATCAGGTGTCACCTCGCATGCTACCAAGTACACCACCGAGGCTTAGGTACCTGGAGATGGAGGTTTTAGGATCATATCCCGAGAAGGTGTGCTAGTAGATAGTAAAGCAAATCAAAAAGAAAGTTGTCAAGGCCAGGATTTGAACCTGGACCGCGAGCACTCTGAAGGGTGCCCGAAGGTGTCCTCATCAGAGTATTATTACTCGCATGCTGCCGGCTACACCACCGAGGCTGTTGATAACTAGACTGTAGGCCTTAGAATCATGTCCCCAGAACCTTGGAGGCTATGGTGCACAGGGAGGCAAAAGCGAAATGTAGCAAGGCAAGGATTTTATTCCGGATGTCAAAGGGGCGTTGTTTCGTTTTTCCCGACCAACATCTGCCGGTATCAAGTTTTTTTGGTAATGCTTTAATTGTTCGTCGCATCCCAGTTTTATTTTATCGTATCATATGAGATGCTACAAACAATAGACAGAGATATGATATGGCGTCAGAGCAAAACTTGACGTTGAGTAGAAATGAATCGCCCAACAAAAGGGGCATCGGGGAAAGAGCCACGAAGGTGTGTACGAATTTGGGGGCGGACCTGCCTTCTTATATTACACTCGGTAAGCATTTGCCATTTAGGGCTAGAATGGGACGCCACTCCTATTCTGGTAGACACAAACCGAAGTGGGCACGCCCCATTTTCTTTGGCCTTGAAAATGAGAAAATGACGCGTAAAGATATGTGCAACCCTTTCTATGGTCCGTTTCTGAAGGAAAAACAAAAGACTAATCAATATTAGAACTACTCGAAGAATAGTACCCATTCTAGATGGATCTAGGAAGGTCTCCGCTATCTATCTACTTAGGCCCTTAACAAAGATTTAATTGCACACGCGCCTCATCGCGGGCACATTCCCCATCATCTTTCTCAATCCTGGCTGGGATCGGTTTATTAGCGAGAGGCGTAAGTCTAAAGCCATGTCTCCGATCACCAACAGGATAATCAAGCGTCTGTGAATGATTTGTCACGCGTTGATCCCAGACAAGAACCGTTCCAGCTTCATAGCGAATCCGACAGGAAAAATCCTGTCGCTTTGCAATGTGATCGAATAAAAACTTCAATATGCAATCGGATTCTTCTTGATCAAATCCTACAATTTTCTTGGTGTACACTGGATTAACATCTATTTAGGTAACCGATTAGTGAATAGAACTTTAAAGGATAATCGATTAGTGCAAAAAGTCCAAACTCACATAGTGCCTTCTGCTTAGTGACAGGGTGAACTAAAACAACAGGGTGTTCGGCCTGAAGAGCCTCTCGACGCATAACAGCTTTCTGGCCATGCTTAAGCTCCTGTGCCACGCCATCATTATTTGAGTGAATGGCTGTAAGACCTTCCAGGCGCTTTCTAAATCGAGGCGAAAGACTACTGTAGGCCCTAACACTAGAGCTCACGAGTGTATCACCACCAGCGGTCGTAGGGGACTCGAGCATAGCAATAAAAGTTGTTCCAGGTGGTTGCTTTTCCGGACTTTGATCGGTATGCCATTGGACAGGGCTTCTTCCAGCCCAAGATTGGCGTACACGCAAGTCACTAAAGATGACGAAATTAGTTCACCAGAATAAAACTCTCATTAAAAATCCTGACATACTCTTTGTGGTCGTAAATAATCATATGTTCCTCTGAGCCAGCAGCAGGATGTGGCGCCCATCCATGAACATGCAAGGGGCCAAAGTGTCGGACGAGTTTCTTTTGAGCTTCAAAGCCAATAGTCACGAAGTCTTGATCGCGAAATACCAACGCACCGCGCTGAGCTGTAAGAAGAGCTAGTTCATCCAAGCCGGCGCTATTGAGCTGAGATAGCTGAACACCATGGATTTCCGTACCAACATGTGGTGACAAGTCCCACGTTTTCTCAACATTTTTCAGTAAATTTGGAAATTTGGGGTCTGCGCGATGGCCCGGATCAAAGTGCTCAAAGGTGCCAGGGTCTTCGACTTTTTCGAGAGGATCGTAAAATGCTTTTTTCCCAGTCAATACGCAGATCCAGGTACCACTCAGGCTGGATATCTTGACTTACGCATATAATCAGGGTACAGAGGATCGCCATTCGCATCCTTTTCCCGGGTCATGACAACCGGGACAGTAGTTGTCGTTGTCGTTGTAGTGGGCATTCCGACTGGACTCTGATTCTGTCTACAGATGAATGATCCTAACAAATTTCATTTCTGCTTTTAAATGCACACGGAGATCTCTGAATGAATAAATACACTCTCAGTGGAAACAAATAGTTGGGTGCCTCACCTTTCAGGTACAACTTTCCGCTATCTTGGCCGCGGATTCGTAGATTAAAGTTGGCCGCCCCTAACGGCCGACGATAGGCTAGCGCGCGGGGCTTATCATTCTATCAACGTAGATGGCCAATAAAAATTCAGATAAACTTCAATAAAATGCCTTTTGAAATAGAACTCCGTTATTGGTTTAGATAATGTATTTCCCAGCCGGCCTGAGAGACCCACTTCATCTTGGTATCTTGCTGATGAGAGGTATTGGTACAAGGCTTTGCGGCAACAAGGTTAAAGGAAAGCATAGATAATTTTCAAAGTCCTTTCAAAATCGGAACCTATCTTTCTCCTTTTGTACCCTATTTTGTTGTCGCTAACTGATGCCCACTACGACAATGTCCGAGGTCAAGGGCAACAAGCTATCTGTATTAAAGGACCTGGAAGCGAAGGATAATGCATCAATCACCGTTGCCGATCAGAGCGCAGCTCCTGAATATGAGCGATTTCTGCATCTTGAAAACACACTCAGTGGAGAGAAGAAGAGAAAACTGATCAGAAAGCGTGAGTTTACCTTAAGTACTTAATAGTGGCAGTGAACCAACAAATTAACTTTCACAGTCGATCTCCGCTTGCTTCCCGTGTTAAGTTTTCTATACTTGATGTGCTCACTTGATAAATCCAATGCCGGAAACGCAAAGGTATTATCATGTCCCAGATGCTCTCAACCGACTAATCTCAAACTAACGCGATAAAAAGTTATTCGGCTTCCTCGAAGACATCGGCATGAGCGGCACCCAATACAATCTAGGTCTAATGTACTTCTTCTTTACATATGGTCTTTTTGAGCCCGTTTCAAACATAATGCTTCGTCGAGTCGGGCCCAAGATCTGGTTTCCCCTGATTGTCACCTTATGGGGCTTGATCACAACACTCACCTCTCAAGTAAGCTCTTATGGCGGTTTCGTTGCAATAAGACTTATGCTTGGTATCACGGAGGCCGGTCTCTATCCTGGAGCCTATTTCATTCTGTCAATGTGGTACACTCCTAAAGAGATCGGTACTCGCATGGCTATTTTCTATGGTGCAAATACCACAGCTGGTGCATTTGGAGGAGTCATTGCTTACGGCGTGGGATCATTGGATAATCATATGGGATGGAGAGCTTGGAGATGGTTGTTTCTCATCGAGGGGTGCATTACTATATTTGCAGGCTTGTGTTGTATCTTTTGTTTACCGCAAGTTCTTTTCCTTTCCTCTTGAAGACCAGACAAAAGTTATTAACTCTGGTCTAGTGCTTTTCCTCATCAATACGAAGAGAAGAAAAATTCGAAATGGCTATCACCAGAGGAGTTGGAGTATGCGTTGCTTCGGGTTAAGTATGCGAATGGTCCTATTTCCCCTACATACCAATTTCGATGGAGCGATGTAGCAGCAGCTGCCAAGGACAGGAAGACTTATTTTATGTGAGTAAGTCCCTTTCATGATCACTTTGACATGGCTGACATTCGTATCAGGATGATGCTATTTTGGTGGGGCGGATCAGTTCCCACCTATTCGCTTTCATATACTCTTCCAACTATGGTCGCGAATCTGGGCTACAGTGCTGTCAAGGCTCAAGCCTTGACAACGCCTCCTTACATATTCGCTACATTCGTTTGTGTAGCTGTGGGGTATATCAGCGATCGAAAGCAAAATCGCTATCTGTGTATTATGAGTGCATATGTGCTGGGTCTGCTGTGAGTGAGCCTCATTATTGACTTTACCTGCTACCCACTGACAAAGATAGCGGAATCATAATTCTTTGGATCACGGTTCACTACCCTCATTTGCCGGGTGTGAGCTACTTTGCTATTTTCCTTGCTGCAGGAGGATACTCGGCACAGGCTCCGATCGTAAGTTCTTCCACATCTTATAAAACATTGATCAGTTTTGTGAATTATCGTCCATTGCTATTTAGGTCGGTGCCTGGACAAGCTCGAACATTCTGAACCCTTCCAAGCGAGCCGCAGCCATCGGTCTCCTCATGCTTTTTGGCAGCGTTGGCGGGGGCAGTATCGGGTCCAATATCTACATTTCTAGCGAGGTATGGCAAATTACGTGTTTGGCTCCTAGATTCGAAAAGTACTAAAAGAAAATAATAGGCTCCCACGTACCCGTTGGGATTTGGATTTTCCGTCGGCGCGACCGTTCTAGGTGCAATGATACCCGCCACCGTTCATTGGTATTTGATGCGCAAGGAGAACAAGAGACGAGATGCCTTGGATATTGTCGAGACCGAGGGGAAATATACCGCGGATGAGTTGGCAGAAATGGGCGAAGATAGTCCATTGTTCAGATTCACCTTGTAAATCTACATTTTTAAGACAATTTGAAGGAGATCGGGTGGCCAGGAAGGCTATGGGAGTTCAACAGGATATAGTAGGCAGGCGTTATAAGGACCAATGGGCTTTGATTATAATTTGAATACTACCATTTAAATGCCGAATACTAGTACTTCGAAACTTCAATTCTCCTGCCAATTACAAATGATCAAACATTGAATCGATAAACGATACACCTTATCACCTCTTATCGTCTTTGTTCAACGGGCTGGAATAGCTGAAGGTGGCCGCGGGCTTATCTCCAGGGCGGTTATCGTTATCGCTGGACTAGTACCACAGAGCGATTCAAAATGTGGGGGATAGTAGAGGCTTGCGTTGGAAAACAGGTGTATAAGAAGGGAATCGTCAATAAAGCAACGATCTGATTTCATTATCTGCTTGACATCCAGATATTAATCTAAAACGGTGCTTCAACTCAGAAAACATGCGGCCTTTACCAACCGGAATTTACACCCCCTTGCCGTGCCTTTTCAAGGACAATGAAGACCTTGGTAATCTTCCTCTATCAATTATTCAAAATCATGATTGCTGAGTACTTGATAGACCTAGAAGCGTTCCAAAACCATGTTAAGTGTACGTGAAGCACCACTATGAAATGTCCCAGAATCATATTGACTGTAATACACTTGAAGTCATCGCCAAAGCTGGGACAATTCCAGTTCTTTCTGGCTCTATGGGTGAAGCCGTCCATTTGGTACTTTGCTCTTAACCTACCATGGATATAATCGATAAATAACTAAATATGGCCATGCACAGAATCAGGAGGAACGGAAACGACTCATTCATGCCGCTCGACAGGCTTTGAATGACATCGATCTCCATGACGTTCCCATCGTCGCTGGAACTGGAGCTGCTAGCACCAGAGAGTCCATTGAACTTTGCAAAGATGCTGCCGATGCCGGGGCCGACTATGTCATGGTGATACCACCTGGATACTATTCAGGGGCGCTGATTTCTAACACCAAAGCCACCGAGAAATTCTTCACGGACATTGCCCAAGCATCTCCCGTCCCAGTGTAAGTGTTATTGAAAGACGTGATGACCACTCTCTCCGCTAATAACGAACAGGATAGTGTATAACTTTCCTGCGGTGGCTGGCGGCATCGACATGGACAGCGACTTGATCGTCTCAATAGTAAAGTCCTCGGCAAACATATGCGGTGTCAAACTTACGTGAGTCTATTCACACATGGCAGTTGAACGTGTCATCTAACGTGGTCTCATTGAAGATGCGCCAACGTTGGGAAGCTGACTCGAATCATGAGTCAAGTCTCAACTCCCGAGTTCCAGAAACAGTACCCTCGGTCTACAGCCACGCCATTTCGTGCGATTGATGGTTTCATTGATTTCTTGCTCCCCTCCATCTCTGTTGGGTCGGCTGGAGCAATCAGTGGATTGCCCAATATTGCACCTGTAAGTATTCTTGCGCCCGTGAATGAATTAACAGACTGATGGAACCTAGAAATCGTGTGTGAAGTTATGGAATCTTTGCCAAGATCCTCATTCTCTCAAGGAGGCCATTGAATTACAAAATACCATTGCTCTAGCGGATGGCATTGCTCTCAAAATAGGCGTAAGTATCCTGCCCCTTTGGAAGTTAAGATTGGACCTTATCAACTCATGAATTATCTCGGGTAGATCGCGGGCATGAAAAAACTCCTGCATCGCCACTTTGGCTATGGCGACAAACCACGTCTACCGTTATTGCCCATGGATGACCAAGTCGCGGATTCAGTATTCGATGATCCCTTCTTGAAAGCTCTTTTGGATCTAGAACTTACATTGTAATGCATTAAGGGAATGTCCGTGCGGGGAAAGAGCGAAGGACAAAGCGGGGGATTCGGGAAGGAGCCATGTTTTGCTGATAAGAGATAAGGAGAGAGAGATTCTTATTAGATAAGACATTCCTTCTTCCTTTTGGCATTCACTTTTTATCTTTGCTGTATCACGAGTCACGGTCGGAATGAATACTTCTGCTTCTAATTGCTATGGCCGTGTATACAAATCTCGAAAGTCACGTCCCTGCGATTTCTGCCGCTATCGTAAAGTCACTTGTGATATGCCCCATGGGCCTCCGTGTCATCGATGCGCGAACAAAGGCCAACCCTGCACATTTGAGGATGAACCTGGCCCTCGGAAAAGGACGAAAATAGTGAATTGGTTTTCAGATCTCGAAGCTTTTCAAGACGCAGATCCATGGGGGCATGTTTTACCCGATGGTGTGTTGGGCCCAGGGAGCGAACATGTTCTGGAGCAGGACAATGATTTAAATGCTGAGGGAATGGGGTTTACTATATGCGACCAAAATTCCCAGTTTCCAATAAACAGCCCAAATAGCGGCTCCGAAGTTGCGAACAAAAGCGTTTCAACTTACAGCAGCCCTGGCATGCAAATGTCGCCTCAACCTGTCAGCGTCCTGCCATTCGATAGCTTTCCGGTACCTGGGAGCGGTCCACCTCGCGTTCATTCACTAGAAGACATCCCGAATGCCTTCAGCTTTTATATAGGTCCAACCGGAGTATCGGACGTTCATGTTCTGAGCAACCAACCCTACGATAGTGAGAATGTTTCTCTGCCCAAAGTCAACGGATTACGGTACCGCATTGTGAATTCCTCAGTCGGAGATAACAACGAGCATTTATCCACCACTCGAACCGTTTTCGGCATCACAGACCACTCCCTAATAGATAAAGCGCAACCAAAGCTCGGCTATGACGGAATTGAAGATGCATGGGTTCGCCTCTGGGGTATGGTGGATACAACGGCAGCATGGCGAATGGTACAGCTATTCGCACGCTATATCGATCCATACTTTCCGATTATTTCTAAAAATCAGATTCCATCATCACCTTCAGAGATAAAGTTCATGCCACTTGGACTGTTGACAGCAATGTGCGCCACCGCTCTTCCTTTCATGATGTACGATGAGACGCTATATACACTCTTACTACACCCGCCACAAGCCGAGGACCTGTATCAGCTTTGCTGGCTTGCTGTGTCTCAAGACCTCCATGCCCCTTCACTCGCAACTTTACAGGCTTGTCTTTTGCTTCAGCAGCGACTACCTAGCAATATGTATCTTTCTGATACCGCGTTCGCCTGGACTCTCATGTCCACTGCACTGTCCGTTGCGCAAACTATTGGCTTACACAGAGATCCAGAAGGCTGGGCATCTGTCCCTACATGGGAGCGTAATGTGCGCCGGCGTCTCTGGTGGGGTATCTACATCATGGAGAAGTGGGTAGCCTTCACGCGAGGAATGCCAAGTCATTTTCATGATGATGACTATGATGTATCTGGTCTTACGCGAAATGATTTTGATGATTGCTTGTCTTCTCAATGTCTCAATACAAAAACGCATATTCGACACCTAGCCGTCCTCACTAACATCCTATCTGATATTCAAAAAGCATTCTACAGTGTCAAAGCAACCTCGAAAACCTCTCATAACCTGACTTACTCCTTGGAAATCGCGCGACCGATGCGGACAAGATTAAAGGAATGGCGTGAAAGGCTCACAGTGCACCTATTACCAAGATTTGATCCCGCCATTGAGTCGGCAGCTGCCCAACGGGTTGATGAGTTAGATGGTAACGGCTCTCTTTACTTGTGCTACATTGTCACGCATGTTGCTTTATTGAAAGCATTGCTCCGACCGCTGGGCCAGTGGCCAGGGATAGCTTTGAATGATCCGGAAAACATGGAAGTGATTTTCAAAACCGCTAAAGCTATCATAAAGGGTGCATTGGTTTGTGTGAAAGAGTTCGTTGAGTTCGTGGAGAAACTCACCGGGGCACAGTGGAATTCCTTCTGGCACAGCTGTGAGTATACCCCGTGCTTTGTGGCGACAATGCTGTGACTCTAATGGAATGACTAGGGAGCCGGCCTAACTTTGCAATTGCCGGTTCTTTTATGGTTCATTTATCGAATATCATACAGCCAACGCAGCATCAGAATGACCAACCCGGACTGATCAGCAGTATCTACAATTTCGACGAGGATTATAATGAGCTCCAAGATTGGATTCGAAGATGGAGATGGGCAACACGTATTTCTGCTAATGGTGCTGGAGGTTCTAAAGGGCTGACAAATTTGGCTTTTATTAAAGTTGAGGCTCTCATGGGAAATGTATCCAAATAAAATACAATCGACATAAAACCAATCTGAAACTGAGATACTATGCATCAGCATAGATTCAGCAACATCCGACCTTCATCCTTCGCACACTCCCCATCATCCTCCTCAACGAAACTAGGAATCGGAACATTCGCCAAAGGCGTCAAACGAAACGCATGCCTCCTCGATCCAGCAGCATAGTCCAGCGTCTGAGAATGCTGCGTAACTCTCTGATCCCAGATAACCACAGTCCCAGGCTCATATCTTACACGACAGCAAAAGTCATGCCCACGATTAATATGGTCAAACAAGAACTTGAGAAGATAGTCAGATTCTTCCTCATCCCAACCGACAATGCTCTGAGTATAGGAAGAATTGACAAAGAGCGCTTTCTTCTTCGTTACTGGGTGAACGACTACGACGGGATGAATAGAGCGAGTAATTCCGCGTCGAAGCACGGCACTATCGCCGTTATCTCGAATCTCGCGCATGACGGGGTTCGCGGTGGTGTGAATTGCTTTCAAGCCTTCGAGGCGCTTGCGGAAGGAGGGGGAAAGGCGTTCATAGGCACGGGTCATCTTTTTTGATTCCATTAGTGAGAAGAAGTGAGTCGGTGATCGATGGACTTACGCTGGAGATAATGGTGTCTCCCCCGGCGCCCGGTGGAGACTCTAACATACAGAAAAAGGTCGCGCCTGGGGGTTGGGTTTCAGGGGACTGTATTGTTATTGTCAGTGTTTAGGTTGGTTAGCTCAAACAGAAGAGATGCTTCATACCTGGTCGACGTGGAATTGAACCGGACTCTTTCTTGCCCATGACTTGCGGATACGTAGATCGCTATTCACAAAACACCATTAATCCCAGAATTTAAGTAGTTTGAGGGTGTTGTAGTCAACTCACTTTTTAGAATCATAAACAATAACGAATTCCACGGGGCCATTCTGAGGATGCGGCATCCAGCCATGTTTATGCAGGGGTCCAAAATGACTATAAAATCCGTTAACATCCAAGTCGGACACACCAGTGCCACCGGAAAACATACGAGGCAATGTCCTTCTGCTCCTCAAAGCCCAAGTCTGTGAACTTTTGGTCACGAAATACCAGACAACCTCTTTCAGCGCACAGAAGTGCAAGCTCATCAAGCCCTTCTTTAGACAGATCGGACTAACAATAAGTCAGTATCGAGTAGAGACGCACAAATGTTATACCATACAATTTGGACACCCTGGAGCTCTGTACCGCAGTGCGGACTTAGTTCTACCACCTTTGATGCATTCTTGAGGAGATTTGGGAATGAAGGATCGGCACGGTGTCCCGGATCATCGTGTTCAAATGGGCCAACGGGTTCAACCTTTTCCAGAGGGTCGTAAAATGCTATCACCGGTAATCAGCTCTGGAGTTTGTATTTTGAGTATCAGGAATCGAAGTACATACGCAAATAATCAGGGTACAATGGCCCCTTCTCGATAGTTTCGGACACCATTTTTCGAGTAAAGCTGCTTACGAAAGATAAAATGTTTGGGGCAGTCTCAGCTGACAGCAAGTAGTTATATTCAGGTTACACACTAAAAGGACCATATCATATTCATTCTACTGCCGAAAAAAAAAGCATCTCAATGTTCCCCGTAGACTCTTGGCCGCGACGGGCAACTCTAAAACGCCTAAACGCGGCTTATCGGCTTATGCTTATCTGCGTTGTGTGGGGAATAGCGGAGATAAGCTTATCTCACTCATAGCTAATGGATTAAATGGGAAGCTGGGGTTGGGCACTGATAAGCCTATCACTGATCTTGTATCCGATAGCGAGTCACCGCGATTGCAATGTAAGCAATCTAGATATCACATCTTGGATATATTGAAGGGTAAGTAACGAGCGAGCTTCTGTTGGCCAACACGGCGCTCATGCAAGTCAGTACTTCCAGAATCATGGCGACAAATGACGAAGTGACGGCTAGTGAGGAGACCAAGAACCACGCCATTACTGCTGAGGCAGCTGTCAAAGCAATCAAAGCCGGTCAGAAAAATGATGTCGACATTGCGGCTCAGATCATTGCCGATTATGCGGATCAAGGAGACGGTGAGAGCTGGTCTCTAGAGGAAGAGAAGAAATTGATTCGCCGGGTTGACTGGCGACTCATACCTACGGTATGGATTCCCTGTTTTCAATGATCATATTCAGAACCAATCAACTCATTAAGACTTTATAGCTCTTCATATGTGCGACGCTTTCTGGCCTCGACAAGACTGCTATCTCCGCTGCTGCCATTTATAACATCAAAGGTGATTTGAACCTAACCGGAGACCAATACTCGTGGGTCGGGTCAGCCCCTTTCTTTGGCGGGTTAGCGTTCATGGGCCCCTCTGCATATATGCTACAAAAGTAAGTCTTCGAATCCTTGGAAGAAAAGATTAAAATTGCTAATCAAAACAGAGTCCCTGCTATACCATTCTTCGCATTCAATGTACTTTGCTGGGGTATTCTTGAGATGTGCATGGCAGCTTGTACAAGCTTCGGGGGACTTTTTGTTTGTCGTTTTCTATTAGGAGGCTGTGAAGCCCTCTTAATCCCTGCAGTAACCTTGGTTGTGTCTATGTGGTATCGACCCGAGGAACAACCTAAGAGAAATAGGTTCGTCAGACTTTCTAGACTTTGGTACTCTTGCTAACCAGATTAGTATTATTCTGAACGTTATTGCCCCAATATTAAATGGATTCATCGCCTGGGCTGTGGGATACTACACTGGTTCTTTCAAGACATGGAAGATAATCTTTTTACTGATTGGTGGAGTTACAATTCTTACCGCGCTCATGGTTTACCTTGTCCTGTATGTGAATACAAAAAATATTTTGAAGACTATGCTAACATTTCCAAGGCCCAATAACCCACTCGAAGCAAAATTTCTGACAGCTCGCGAAAAGTATATCATCATTCAAAGGAAAGCAGCCGACAATACCGGAATTGAATCCAAGACTTTTAAAATGGAACAAGTTTGGGAGGCTGCCCTGGATATCAAGACTTGGCTTATTTGGATTGCTATTGCAGCTTTGCAAGTACCTAATGGTGGACTTACAACATTCAACACTATCATTATATCCGGGCTGGGATTCGACTCTTTACAGACTTCTTTGTTGGCGATGCCCCCCGGTGCAATGAGTACTCTTTCTGGAATCGCCTTGTCATATCTAGCGGCAACTACGAGGAGATATCGGACTCCTCTCGTTACCATGTCGATTCTACTCCCTCTCCTTGGCGCAGTTCTATGTTACGCTTTGCCAAGATCTAATCTCGCAGGCCAGCTGGTCGGTTTATAGTAAGTACAGTGAAACATTCAAGGTGGCCTAAGTTAACATGCTGACATATATTACTTTCAGTATTCTATAGTATGTCTTTTCCCAGGAGGATTAATCATTCTTATCAATATACTAATAATCAAACAGTACATACTGGGCTCCTTATGTGACCTTAGTTTCGATCTACCAAGCGAACGTAGCTGGTCACACCAAAAAGTATGTTCCCAGCCTAACTTGTACAACACCTCAATAAAACAAACAGCTAATTTTGCCATCAGAATTGTTCTATACGCTTGGTTTTATATCGCATGGGCTGTTGGGAACATTATTGGACCGCAGAGCTTCCGCGCAGATCAAGCCCCGGAATACACGGGTGGCACTATCGCTATGATCGTATGCTATGTGGTCGCCATGATATCCATTTCTCTGTATGGTTTTATCTGCTATACTAGCAACAAAGGACGGGCTGAAGCGATTGAAAGTCGTATGGCTGCAGACCATGACTGGCTCGATTTGACGGATAAAGAGAATGAGGGATTCATATACACTACATAAGTCTGTTCTACAGACCAAGTATTTGAGGTATATTATTCGAATAACCCATGTACTGGAGACGCGGACTAGTTCAAATGGTTATCTGCCAACTCATTATACTGCCGCTGTTCTGTTTTAAGCTCTAGGACACTAAAAGGTTCTGAAAGCTATTTCTTATCTTGAGAGTTATCTAAAAGTCATGAGATATTCGGGTTTCTTGAGGATGAAGAGATATTACAAGAGTGCAAGTGGAATCGACTCCCTGGGTATTCGAAGTGCAGAGGTTTATTTAATCGAAGCCAGTATCTGAAAGTTGTATTTACTGCGTATGGAACGCAAAGCCATTCAAAAACCGCCAAATCAAACTGGGGGATTATTGCAAGGCCAACTCCCCTACTGGCGGGAATGGCAGAACCAGTGCAGGCCTCTGATTGATGGGGTAAAGAAATATTCACCACCACGCTGATCGACCCAAGGGCTAGTACCAAGCTCGAGCTTGTGGGTCTTTTCTTTATCAAGTCCGTCGTATAGACTGATATGGCCTTCTGGGTGATCTTTACGCTGTCTCTGGTTGATAAAGGGGTCCATTCCCGGACCGTCCTTGAAAGCTCTCTTTTTCGACGTGGGGAAAACGCTATTGCTTGCCCAGCCTTTTTGATTATCAGTAACGGTCAAAAGGGAGTGAAATAACACGGTGAAAGTGAAGGGAACTTACGAGTCATCAGAAAGTTGAAGCCATCTCGAATATCACTCTGGTAGCAGGTGAAGTAAATGCCACGGCTTTTGGTAGTCTTTTCCTTCTCATCCTCTCCAAGCTCAGGGCCAAATGTGATGCCACGTCGTAGGATTACGCTAGCGTCTTCCTTGTCTGGCTCCTGATCAGGCTCCTCGTCACTATCGGATTCGAGACCAGGGGGATTGCTGGTATCATGCTTTTGTGGATCGGTGAATTGGCCTTTCACAAAGTCATCGTCATTGCCAAGGTCACGTTTGTGGTCAGCTCTTGGGCGCATTTTGCGGGCGTGTGCGGCAAACGGGCATCCCAGAATGCTCTGCTTGGGTCGAAAATCAAAGTCATTTCTAAATGCAAGACTTTGGTCGTCGTGGTCTGGTGTTAGAGCCACCGGTGCACCTAGAGAGTATTAGTATGTTATAGTGTATGATGAACTGGGAAAGGCTATAATACCGCTCTTCCAACGTCCCATCATATGGGCTGCCAATTTCTCGGCGCCGTTTTCTCCAGAGTAGTTTGGAATTTTGCTGGCGGCTTGCGCAATGAATCTTGATGATGACAGTGCTGATGTTTAGCTGAAATATTTCTGTGAGGCAGGAATAGAACTTACTTGTTGAACTCAGGAACCTTCTCATCGAGCTGACGGAACACAAGGAAACTGCCTTCGTAGGACCAAGGGGGCATCTGGTCTTTTCTTGGGTCGCCGTCGTGACCAACGAAGATGTATCTGACCGCATCAGCTCATGTCCTTGGTGATAAGAGAGGAACACCTACCCAGGAAGACAAGAAAGTGGCTCACGCGGCTTTGGTTCGGGATCCAGTCCCTTGATTTGAGGTTGGGAGATGTGGTCCTCGAATCCAAAACTTGAGATAATGTCAGAATTTCGAATTGACGACGATTAGTGGATGCCAACTTACTGCTCTCTGCCTCGTAGTTCTCCTGGTCGACGCTGTCCATGCTTTGCGACTACCAAGTCTAAGCTAGCCTTGTTCAAGTCCCTCAGATGGAAATTAGTCTCAATTTTCGCGATACCCTCGTTCAGATTTTTCTCGTCCGAAGCAGCCACTGTGAATACCAAATCGCACCGCCAACTGTCATCTTCAGAATTGTGTCCAGGCGGAGGCTTGAACTCTGGAAGCAGCCTCTCTGGAATGTCGGCACCCTCAAAGATAAGATCGCTGTACATTCCTTTTTCGTATAGTCCGTCATCAATTTCGGCCCTGCCAAGCTGTTTGGTCACCACCCAGATCAGCAAATTATTCTTCGCTGGCTACGATATCATCTAAATTCACAACAACTAACTTACCTTCTGCAGTCCCTTCTGGGTGAATGCCACATTGATTCCCGACATGGGAATCTTGATGGGCATGCCAGCTTCTTGTCCCTGCTTCACCTTTGACAGAAGGAGTTCACACTCTAGGCCTGTGGTGATGTTCCCAATAAAGTCTTTGAGATCAAGGCGGAATCTATTCACATTGGTGATTTTGTAAAAGAGATACGACTCGAACTCTTTGGGCATTCGCGGCCAGATGCTGCCTTGGATGTTGCTCTTGTTCACAGGATTGTCCGCCATGGTTCCAAATATTCCTTTCGATATGAAATGTAAAGGAGATTTTTAGGAGATTTTTTAGGAGATATTAGTTGTGAGGAGAGTTTTGAGTTTTTATGTCTTGTCCTCCTGTCTTCGTGAAAGTCCCGGGGTCTCTGCGTTGAGGTTTTGAAACAGAATGCGTCCAATGACAGGATCTCGATTTCAATGACGCGCCACAACTTAGACAATCAGATCCATAAATTCTCGCTTTACTTTCCTTCTAAACTAGACTTTCTGCAAGCTGAAGATCGGCAATGCCAATCTAAGTTTTGTGCCGACTGTGGCAGGGTCTCGCTTCGGCCCAAAGGAATAGTGCTGGTTGATCAGTGGGGCTTCTAGTGATCTCTCAAATGGCCTTTGCGCTAATGTAAACTCGTATTTATCGTGCAGTAAGTACATCATGACGTGGTGCGTGAACTCGACAGCCGTGAGTGAAGATTGGCCATGGCACTTGGAGCAGTGATCAGCAAACCTGAAAGTCGCTATAAGTTTCTGGTGGATCTACCATCGTGCCACCATTTGCTGCTCGATCCGCCAAGCTGAGGTGTGGAGATAAATTGTCGTAGTGGATCTTCGAGATATTTACTCACTTGAGCCGAGTCAGAACTTGACAATGCATTATAGACAAATGATGCTAAGGCATTTCGGAGCGTCATCGTTTATCGAGTAAATTGACCTTCTAATCACCGCCCGTGAAGTGAAGAATGGCATATACAGGGTCGAACTATCAAAGTTTTCACGACCAAGGACTCGGGAAAAGAAAGTTGGAATCGACCCGAGAAGGTTCCGGACCGCTTCACGGGCCTGTCCTTGTGGGTCCGGAATAGCAAATTCCGTATCCCCGAACGCCACGATTTTCACTTTCTCACACAGCTCGATCGCCGCAGTAACTAGCGACTAGCGTACCCTCGTACCCTGCGATCGGCAAATAATAGCAAATCAAAAACTTTTGACTACGAAGCAAGTATCTCTCATTTGTTCCTCCATGACGAACTGGCGTTCGCAAGTCGGATTTGAATGGGTGGCGATATTATACGTATCTGAGACACTCATTGAACTAGTATCAGGAGGTGGGATAGTAAATGCCGATCTAAGATTTGATTGACTGCAAAGTAAACTTTCTCTGGGCCCTCAGTGGATCGTTGAGAAGGTCTGAAATCGATAATCACGAAGCAGGGATCCATAATAATGTGTTCTCTGCTGATTATCTGGTTTGCGCGGGTTGCAATATCTCTCAGTTGGACATTTGTTATCAAGTTCCAAGGCCGAATTAGTGGTCTTTTATTGCCATGCAATTTGGAATGTTTTTAAATCATATACCAAGATATTATGTTTCATGCTCATGCACCACAGTAGATTCTGCATGTAATCACTTTTTTTCCCTTCCAGCTACATGATGACGAAGTTGGATGACAAGAAAAATAAAGAAAGGGGGCTGGGGAGGTACACTGCGTGGAAATCTGACATATATTACTCAATCTCCATGTACGTCACGTACAGTAACAGGAGCTGAAGCTGAAGATTGATCGACAAAAGTATTCCGATATTGAACGCCCAAAATGACGAAACCATGCTAATCTCTGGAAATCTCTTAGTCGGTGAGCGTGCAGATTGTGTTGCAGCGAGATGAACAAGATCTCCACGCAGCTTTTCCCAATAGCACAGAGAGTGGACCCGCCCAGTGGGGACCAAAAGGAGCTTGCAGGCATCTCCACCACCGCGTCAGGGCCCTCGGTACAGCTTCCTCCCTCATTTGACTCTCAAACCGGATATCATGCATTCCTTATAAGTTCGCAGGTGAAGAACTCGTCAACGATGTAGACCATCATTCGTTCATCCTTTCAAAATGAAGGTCGTATATACAGCCGGCCTCCTCCTTGGGGCTGTCTCAGTCGGCGCCCACAAACCAGCCGAGTACTCCTACGAATCCTCCGATAACAACCGTCCTGACTTAGGTGGTCGAGTTTCTGGCGAAATTCAATGGCAGTCGCCGCCCGTCAACTCGACTCTGCTGGATGTCAAGAACTTCCGTGTGACTTGCACTGGCAACAAATGGGGCAAGAATTGTGAATATGCCACTGACGGGAAGGCTGACACCTACTGGGAGAGTGACAACCTTGGAAGAGGAGAACCATGGATTTCCATTGATCTAAAATCTGTGCACAACGTTAGCGGCTTGACTATGTTGCCGCGGTTGGATGACAGTGTCACCGAGGGTCAGATATCCAAGCACCATGTTTATCTGAGTAAAGATGAGCGAACATGGCAAAAGGTTGCCTACGGAACATGGGGTCTAAATAAGGGTATGAAGCTTGCTGCTTTTAATCCCACAGCCGCCCGCTATGTGAAGCTTGTCGGTGATACCCCCGAAAATCCGGAAGCCCCTGGGTGGCATGAACCTGCCTCAATTGTCAACCTCGGTATCTACGCTACCAACTATACTCTCCCCATAGAGCCTGGCAAGGGTGCTTGGGGTCCAACCCTGGACTTGCCTGTTATTCCAGTCGGCGCAGCCCAGGAGAAGAACGGTCAGATTATCCTCTGGTCTGCTTGGGCAGATGACCAGTTCTTCGCTTCTCCCGGTGGTAAAACACTCACCACAACTTGGAACCCCCAGACCAAGACCATCGAGCAGACTGTGGTCGGCAACACTCATCATGATATGTTCTGCCCCGGCATGTCTATGGACTTTGACGGAAACATCGTCGTGAGCGGCGGTGGCGACGCTGGCCGAACCAGTATTTTCAACGGATCGGGCTGGGAGTACGGCCCTGACATGCGCATGCCCCGTGGATACCACGCAACAACTACGTTATCCGATGGCCGTATTTTCGCTATTGGTGGCTCTTGGAGCGGTGGTAACAAAGCTGAGAAGAACGGCGAGGTGTATAACCCTCTCAAGGGGAAGTGGTACACTCGCTCCGGCGCAAAGGTCAACGACTTGCTAACCGGTGACCGGCTTGGCCGCTGGCGTGCCGACAATCACGCTTGGCTATTTGGATGGAAGGATGGAAGCGTCTTTCAGGCTGGACCAAGTGTCAGAATGAACTGGTATACCGTCGAAGGCAAGGGTACCACCCAACCTGCCGGGAGGCGAGGAGATGACAGTGACTCCATGTCAGGAAATGCTGTCATGTTTGACGCTGTTCGTGGCAAGATTCTGACCTTTGGAGGCCAACCTTCCTACGATGGCTCCTACGGGTCCAGCAACGCACATATCATTACACTGGGTAGTGCGCTCCAAGATCCTGTTGTGCAGATTGCCGGTCGAGGCTCTGGTCGTGGTATGAACTACCCCCGAGTCTACCATACGTCCGTGGTTCTTCCCGATGGCAAGGTGTTCACTGCAGGTGGTCAGGCCTGGGGCAAGCCATTCAACGAACATACCGTCCAGTTCTACCCGGAGCTATACCACCCGGAGACCGATACTTTCGAGGTTCTAAACGGCCAAAACATTATTCGTGTCTACCACAGTATCTCAATGCTGCTGCCCGATGCGACCGTCCTGAACGGTGGAGGTGGTCTCTGTGGAAACTGCTCTGCGAACCACTACGACGCACAGATCTTCACACCCCCCTACCTCCTCACCCCCACTGGAGAACTGCGAGATCGTCCTTCCATCTTGAGCGCTGATGGCAGAGTTAATGTGGGCGAGATTCTCACGTTTAATACCGACTCGCACATTGGATCCGCCTCTCTCGTTCGACAGGGAACCACTACCCATACTGTTAACACTGACCAGCGTCGTGTGCCACTTGACGTAGTTGCCCATGAAAACCACAAGTTCACTGCTCAGCTACCCGCAGACTCTGGCATTCTACTTCCCGGTTGGTACATGCTGTTTGTGTTTGATGGAAACGGCACACCTAGTAAGGCTTCCATGCTCAAGGTAGAGCTGCCTCAATATGCAACCGCAGAGCTTGACGAGATGGAGGAAAATGATGTTGATGTAGAGTTTGAAAGCCATGATGTCTACAGTATGAATGACTGCGAGCAGGAGGCGGTGCCGGGAACTCTGGCTACTATTCTTTCTACACCTGGTCGAATCTGGCAATCTTGGAAGCCCCTCCTTGTCCTGCAGGGCTACTAGAATACCAATTCACCCAGAGGTGGGCAGCATGGATATTTTCTTTAAGATAGCCAAAGCAAGGGTTTCGTTGATGATAAGGCCCCTGTGGATGATGCGAGCAAAATCATTGAATTTATCTAATTTTTTCTACTAAGGGCATCTGAGCATCCAAGTGCTACCGCATAGTACACAGTATGTCACTATACTAGTATGTGATTCAAATGTTTTGAACATCTGGGTCCCCGGGGATTAGTAGTACTATTTGCTACTCGGATTTATAAGAGTAGCCTTCACGGCACATTTATCAATGTTGATTGATTTGGACCTCCTTTAGATAGAAAGTCCGGCTTAGACCTTTAAAAAGAGTCATTAGAAATTGCAGCTCAACGCTTTCACGTAGTAAGTCCAGACAAACCAAAGCCCGACAGCTAGGAACTCCTAATCACACCGTGAAGAAGCTCGCACCAGGGGGTTGGTAATGTACACTTCCACTGATAATGCCCGACTGTCACCCCAAATACAGCGTACACATCCTGTTCTCACCCAGATGCCCACCAACTGTTCATCCGCTGCCAGTATATCATATAAAGAAAAGGCAAGACTAGCACATACGACCACAAGGTGTGGAGAACAGGGCTTCCCGTCCGCTCTGCCGTACTTTATCCAAGTATAGTGTGCGCTCAATTCTCAAAGTGCCCTAGGCTTTAAACCGGCAGTGGGTTTTGCCTTAGGGTGAGGATGGGTGATATGGGTGAGAATTTTCGAGACTGGGGTGACAGAGGTGAGAACAGCAGCCTAAGGTGGATCCTCCTATATTCCCTCGACTAGGTGCGGGGTCCACGATTCCGCGTCGAAATTCAAAAACATGTTGATTGAGACCTTGCAATTATAGCTTCGCATAAGCTCAAAAACTAGTGATGACTCCTCAATAGATTATTTCAAATAAAAAAGCTACCTAGCAAGGAATACCGATCGCCGGTCGGAAATTTTTATTTTTTTTTGAAACCTGCACGAAGGTGGAGATACTGAAGGATTGAAAGGAATCTAGGGAGTGGAGTGTTGTGAGGAATATCCGATTCGTGAATTGGATGTTGAAATCGGCCCGGACGCAGCTAGGATGTATACTATGTACGAACAGGCGCATATGATGTCATGGAAGTTTTTTTGTTTTCTTTTGTGTACAAACCGCTGATTAGATTTGTATGAAGAATGAGAACTTGTTTGGCCGTAGTATCGCCGTTGGAAGCTAGCAAAAGCAAACGCGGGGATATGTCAGTATTGGCGTGGATAATTGGAGCACGGCGCCTAGAATCACATTCTCAATCTAACTCCACAACATTTGACAGGTAAAATTCAAAAACATAGAGGGGCTTCTCTTTGCATGTGACCGAGGCCATAGATTAAATTAGACTATTGCCAACCTTCTCGATTAGCCACTTGTGTCTGGAGTAGAAGGGGAACGATGAATGCGGGGAAAACTTCATGGATTGAGCTGTCTAAGAGGAGAAGAGGATAAGAGGAGAAGAGGAGAAGAGGAGAAATCTATCTAAAAGCAAGGCACGTGGGGCGCTGGCCTGACTCGCTAGGCAGGCATGTCCATGACATGCGTGTCAACACGTGGCCTTGCCTAAACCGTGGCCCTGCTTAACTCATATTTTGTTTATGAAGCTCGAGATTTAGTTCGCATTGAAGTCTATATCTATTCTACAATATCAATTTTACCCTATAATCAGTTTCGTACAAGGAGGTCCCTCTGGCCCCTCGACTCATCTCTACAATGGTGGTGTTTTTGTACCTTATTCCATATTCGGAAACCTCCCCTCTGCAGTCTATGAACCATTAGGACTCATCCTTAACTCTCGCGGTCGACCCCTATGCCCCTCGGCCGACCGGTGCCCGGACAATCACCCGTTAGGATCACCATTTCGGTCGCCTGTCTCCTCATCTTCCTCGGGCCATTGTTCCGAATGCGATAAAGCCTCCTTTTATGGCTGCTCATCAGAACCGAATATCAGTACTTCAACGGAAACGGATGCTTTTTACAAAAAGGTCATGCCCTCTACAGTGAAACAAGTGACCTGACAGGGAGTGAGTGATAGTTTGGTTACCTATGATATTTTTCTCTAATTTGCTTAGACTACGCGGACACCTAGACCTAGTGTCTAATATATAGAAGTTCCTCCTACAAGATATTGATGGGTGAGGCTCCTATTGTATAGGTCAAAGTCATTCAGCGCCACTAGCATACCTATTGAAGGAAGGAGTGTGGTCTGCGAATCCACGATCTCGCCTGCGAAGCAGACTCTTGGAGATGAGCTGGTTCGCTAGGGTTATTGGGAGACAAAATAGGAGACCTAGAGGTGGCTTGTAGAAGGGAGGAGGAGGCCGTTCATATTTCGCCAGCGGAAGGCGTAGAGATCCTCCTGGGAGTTTTTTGAAGGAATTCCTATTTTCCAAGGTTATTATAAGTATTATATAAATACCATAGGTTAATATATAGAGAGAAATATACCATTCCACCGCTCATGTAGCATCATTCTGAAATGAAGCTCACCTCTTCGTCATACAGGCTCACCATTCTAGCAAAGTTTACATATATTTATACTAGTGTCTTGAGGTCTTGAGGGACCATCACAATTTTGCGAACTATCAGAAAGGATCTTATACCGCGCTAGGCAAAAAGCAAATAGTACTTTGTCACTTGCACAGATCAAGACATGCATCTGAGTGGAAGCAAAAGCCTTTATATAGCGTGACTTTGACATATATGATGCATATTAGGGGCATGGCTCGAATATCCCGGCTCATCAGCCATCCGAGAATCTATAACTGTGTTCTAATTTATGCTAGCGGAGGTAACTATGGGCTATATACTAACTAGCAGGAGGGGGCATCAAAACCAGAAATAGCATTATCATTTTGCTATTTTCGACACTTAAGAAAAAACGGAAATTGAGAAACACAAGGGAATGTGAAATTATGAGAAGGGGTGGGCAAATAATCGATTCTAGTGGTAAATGTAAAGACTCGAAAACAAAAGAACTTTCTATATAATTTAACTAAAGCATCAAAGATAAGAAAAGAGAAAGAAGGGAGGAAGGCTCCCACGCGTTATTATACAAAAGTACCGACCGGTTATAGATCATATAATCCCATCACATAATCCCGCAACGTCGTTTAAGTCGACTTAACATCAGTATCAACTTAATATCAGTTTATTACAAATTACCTAGTTACAACATATGATATATATATATATAGTGCAAACCTAGTTATTCAACTTCTGCCCTGCTCCCAAGGGGTCAAGGGGACAGTTGCGCGACCGCGGATTGTTTCCACCTGGTTCTCGCCCTCTATCTTGTGCGCTCGCCCATGGGCCATTCTTACCCAGGTAATGCGACGATAAAGCGGCTTATGTTTGATTTTTCTACTGATTTGTACTATATATTCCCCTCTGCACTCAATACAAGCACATACGACCACAGGGTGTGGAGAACAGGGCTTCCCGTCCGCTCAGCCGTACTTAAGCCACACGCCGGTCAGTTAGTAGTATGGTGGGTGACCACATGCGAATCCTGACTGTTGTATGTTTTTGTTTTTGCTTTTTGGTCTTGTTATCTCTTCTTATTCTTTTCCCACTCACTATTGATCAATCCTTTTCCTCTTGTAAGATCATTATTTTTCATACGGTGGCACTTGAGAAGTGCTCACCTAAAACATCCACACACCGCACTGTTGACGGGGGAGGACCAAACTAAGGTTAGCGTTCCCACTCAAAACCATTCTACTGGGCAGATCTTGGCCAGACTACAAGACCGCTACTCCAGTCGCTCCAAATCCGAAGACAAATCCTCAAAGCACATGGAGAGCCAACAGGGTGCTGTACCCCAGCGCCTGAATTTTTTAAAGTGCATTCGATGTCGAGACGATAAGAAGCAGGTAAAGGCGATGAACTCGATTGGACCCTTTCTCTTGTTCATTAGGTCTAATCGAAACTTTGAATAGTTTCTACCATTCAATCGAAAATGGCTGGGGCAAAAGTGCAATCGCTGTGCTCAACGTGACTACGCTTGCTCTCAGAGCAGGACTGCAAAATACCAAAAGATGATCGCATCTCGCGAAGAGCCTTCCACCAACACCCCAATCAACTGTCAAGCTCGGGGACTGCAATGTCTACGACTTTCAGTTGAAATATCGCAAGAGGATGGGGGCGATGGCCAGCCTGATGGAACTTTCGTTGCCCCGAAATGTGCCTTGCTTTTCGATAACCTTGAGAATGCAACTTGGAACTTCTTCGGTGCCCCTCTGGGGTTTCAATTGGGTGTATTGCTTGCGCGCATCGAAGCTGTGGAGACGGATGCGATTTATGATGTGCTACAATCTCGCCTTGCACTCATGAATATGCTTCAAGACTATAAAGAGGTTACGAAAGAAGGAAAGTCAAAGGGAATAGTAGAACAAGAGTCTCAAATCTTTGCTTCCCGGAAAGTCATGATAAATGTTAGAAGAACTGCGCATTTCGGCGAGAAATATGTCGGTGACTTTATTCAAAGCTTCGATTTTCGAATGAAAGTCGCGAGGAGACTATAAATTTTGCTTGATATCATTGGTGCCTTGGAATTTTTGTTTTTCTCATTTGATGAAGATATTATCGAGGATATGGTAGACACACCGATTCCTGAATTCTCTGAAGTGAGCGACGAGGAATGGGAATGGGCGTGCTTGGTTAGATTCATGGGTATACGTTCCCGAAGCATTTTCATTGAATTTCAACTGTGTTGAGGTCTAATATAATTCGTGGACAGACTCATCACTTGCGGAACAACCGTAGACGAAGCCGCGTCCCTATTTTATGATCTTGACCGAGCCTGTTATACACAACTGCTAGTTGAGGCTGTCGCTGCAAATGGACTGAAAAAGAAAGTCATTCCTCATAATATTGCTCAGTATTCGGCAAATTCGATGCAGTCAGCTGTGAGTAATTATCAATCTCAATCATGTACATCACTAATTTTCATTTTGCGGTCTAGCACAACTTCTATAACGAATTTCAACCGGAGTTCAATCTTATTGTCGCTGAGTCAAAAGGAGAAGTTCTGCGGTGAATAATGCTGTTATTCGTCAAGAATGTTTGTGGGGAGTTTGCTGCCGACCTTCTAAGTCATCAATCACTATGTGCACATTTATTTGTGGAGCTTTGCCAAACTTACCTGTCATTCGTTCAAGTTTCATGCATTCAAGTTGTACCTACCTCAATGTAGGTGGAAGACGGAGAATTCCCCGGAATGGCTGAGTGCGGGGAAATGCCAAAAGGCACGGAACTTTATTATAGCCGGAAAAAAAGACCTTTTTGCATTGGCAAATTAGCCTATATTTATCTTTTGCAAGAATAGGCGAGTGTCCCTTTTTGCTTTTTGCAAATTGAGGTCCGCGCCTTTATCTAACACTTGAAACGTTCGTGGTTTGGGCTTTGAACCGACTAGTATGTATTCGGATGCATGTACTTGGCAGAACGAATGATTCAATGATCTTTATTTTTCCAACAACTTGCCCATATCTTGCTTCTGAGCTTCCTGCAACAATCGATATATATTTTAAACTCTTCAAGCTCGGATAAGGTTTGTGAAGAGCCAGTCCTCGCCCGGCGTCCAGAGGAACGGACCGATGAACAACAAAGCCAACCTGAATGAGCCTAAATACAATTTCTTCACAGTACCCGCACCCACTACGCCACGGGGTGTCTGTCCGAATGAACAACATGATCCGACATAGCAGTGTGGATAAGTGAGAACATGTGGTTAATTACCCTCAGGACACATGACATGAGACAAGCCTCTGTCCCTTGTCCCCTGTTTACTATTTAATCACTTTGACCCGCGACCTGAGCAAGCTTTCACAAAGCCCCAAAATATTCATTGAGTGATCTTCAACATGCTCGGCCTTTCTGCTAAAGCGTTATTTCTGGCAGCTGGTTTTCTGCCACAGCTGTATGTCAATGAGCCTTCTATGTTTTAGCGCCAACCAGGCAGGAACTAACATACACTCAACACTTCAGTGCCCAGTCTGCTGGACTTGACACCGCAGCTGTTGCTCTCGGAAAGCTTTACTTTGGAACTGCGACAGATAATCCAGAGTTGACCGACACAGCCTACGTAACGCAGCTGAACAACACGGACGACTTTGGTCAGATCACACCCGGGAACTCTCAAAAGGTACGATGAAACTCGAGTTCATGCTAAGGATGCATACTTAGACTGATATTGGTTTTTTTTATAGTGGGATGCTACCGAACCAACACAAAATACCTTCACATTCACCAATGGCGACGTGATCACCAATTTGGCAGAGGCTAATGGCCAAAAGCTACGATGTCACAATCTCGTGTGGTATAACCAACTCCCAAGCTGGGGTATATCTTTCTCCATCTAGATTTTCCCGCGCGTTCAGCATTACTTATTCAATTATCTGCATAGTGACCAGTGGTACCTGGACCAACGCCACTCTCCTAGCCGCCATGAAGAACCACATCACCAACGTCGTGACCCACTACAAGGGCCAATGCTACGCGTGGGATGTGGTGAACGAAGGTCTCGCCGACGACGGAACATACCGCGACAACATCTTCTACCAATACATCGGCGAAGCTTACATCCCAATTGCCTTCGCGACAGCCGCGGCCGCCGACCCAAATGTCAAGCTGTACTACAATGACTATAACATCGAATATGCAGGCGCGAAAGCAACCTCTGCACAGAACATCGTGAAACTGATCCAGTCCTACGGAGCCAAGATCGACGGAGTAGGTCTCCAAGGACACTTCATCGTCGGAAGTACACCAAGCCAGAGCTCGCAAGCAAGCAACATGGCTACATTTGCAGCTCTGGGCGTTGAAGTCGCCATTACAGAGCTGGATATTCGCATGACTCTCCCTTCTACGGATGCTCTGCTTGCTCAGCAGAAGACAGATTACGCGGGTACTGTTGCTGCATGTGCGCAGACAAAGGCCTGCGTAGGAGTTACAATTTGGGATTGGACGGATAAGTACTCGTGGGTTCCGAGTACATTCTCTGGACAGGGTGCGGCATGTCCGTGGGATGCGAATCTGGTAAAGAAGCCAGCTTATACGGGTATCTTGACTGCGTTGGGAGGAACTGCCACAAGCACATCTACGGCGAGTGGTTCAACGACGACTACCTCTACCGCTACCTCAACTGGCTCTTCAAGTGGTGCTCAGCGTTATGGTCAATGTGGAGGAAGTGGCTGGACAGGGGCAACCACTTGTGTTAGTGGATACACTTGCACCTACTTCAATGATTGGTATTCGCAGTGTCTTTGAGAATTTGATCCAGGCTTGAATGTATATCGAGCAATTGACCTCGACAGTAGCAAAGTTCCAATCATTTTCCTAATTGCCTTTCCAGTGGTACTTTTGTCCTTGTAGAGCTCACATTATAGATAGCGGTGTGATATGGCTAAAATTCGGCTATTGCTGCTACAGAAAATAGTTCAAAGGCTTCCAAGTCGTCCTTCCCTCTTTCATCTTTTACCTTCTTTTTTTCCGTCACCCTCCCTTCCTCCTGACTCTGCCTCTTTTCGTTCCTTTCCCTTCTTTCAGACAAAACCCTTATCGGAGCGAGGCCTACACCGCACATCCATAAGAAAAGAAAAGTTCAAGCTGCGAAAGCGAAAGGCCAATCTACTATCACAGCAAAGATATCCTACTTACCTCCAAACACACTTCCTATTCTCCATCATGACGGTAAACCTCAATTCATAACCCGATAGAAATGACACTTGCAGGATTTGTAGCTGAGGGAGGACCGGTCCTCAAATATATACCTACACAATATAGACCAGCGATATTGTCTCGAATTGTGGTTGACGGTACATGGCTGCGCACTATGGAACTTTTGTCTCCATGAAAGACCAATACGCGCATCAAAGGCTTCGTGGGATTCACACCGGTTGCGACGAACAGGAGATTAAACATTGCATGCTCCATTGTTAATGACTCAATACTTGTTGACTTAAGACAATTTATGTAACATCTTTGAAATATAACGCAGATTAATAGCATGAAATTCCATGGAATCAGATGACATCCGATGGCTATACTGTAAGACACTAGAGCTTAGAAGTCATCCTTTCAGCTCCCGTAAACCTGGCCTCTGAATTTCCTGTCAGGGTAGGAACAGCGTTGACAATTCCATGCCACCTGTCAGGAGATAGCATCGGAGCAGTACAATATGGTTCAATTTCCAGCCTCTCCAGATGCTCATCAAGACGGGGTAGAACAGCATCAAGTGCATGACACTCTGTTCGGGATTGGTCTGCTCTTCCGATACCAAGGTTCTCTGAGTACCAGACAGAGTCCGACTTTACAGCACCAGCCTCGTATAGCGCCAGGAGATCCTTGTCTACTCCAGCATTGAGGGCAGCCTCGTACGCCATGCGCTGTCCGATGGCCACAACCATTGGCCGAAGATGTGGGAGGATTTGTCGATTATAATCATCATTACGGTGGTCGGAAATTTTCATTTTAGCTTCAGCTAGGTCGGATATAATTCCATTCTCATGCTGAGCTAGCAGACACCCAGGCTGGATGGGTTCAGGAATGGTGTATCGACCGAGTAAGACCTCGGTGGCAAGGCCTATGGAAATCAGTAACACGTTTTGTCGAGGTTACGAGAATGAGGATACGCACGAATAGATAAAACCAAAATCTCACCCTCCGCGATACCGGTAGCTCGGGTCAAGGCCTATGTTGTTGGTTAGATGATCTTAGTGTAACTTATTGTGATAATTTAACTCACCTCAAATGCCGCCATTTGGTTATGCGGATACATTCCCTGGGCACCACTTCTCTCAATTAGATTTGCCAGACTCGCCTGTCCATCATGGAGAAATACGGCTTTGAGGATCACCGCCAAGCCATGCTTCGTCCCAGGGTGGAGAGCTGTATTGTTGCTATGCTGATCCGTTGCCCAGTCAGCGAATGCGTCCATGACCGCAATCTGTGCCAGGCAGTGTAAAATTGGAAGTTGTTGCGTCCTGAAGGAAATTATGGGTACGCGTTTTCCTCCTGCACCCTCCTGGACGGTTCGACGCTGGCTATATTTGCCTACACAGTAAACGGCACATTTGAGAAATGGGATCACCCAGAGGCTCAATGCCAGTGCCCCATGACCTAGCCGATGAATGGCTGCTAAATACTGTACACGCAGATTGGCAGGTTTTCCGAAGTCCCCGAGCATTGAATTGGCTGGCAGACCAACATGGTCGAAGGAAGTCAGGGCATGGTCTAGCATCTTGCCTCCGGTGATTGAGGGAAGAAGCCTATATAGAAACACTGTCAGCTCCAGTGTGATAGTGCGAGGCTCGAGGTAACACATACCACGACTGAACACCTTTGTTCATCTGCTTTCCGTCATTGAGGGGGACTATAAATGGCCTGATGCCACGATCCTCCTCATCCACTATCAAACGTGCGAAGACAAGAGCTATACGTCGGACTCCGGCAATTGGCATAGATGGGGGCATGAACCTAACCAAAGTCAGTATTACTTCATATTTTATACGGACGTGGATCCATACTTCCTCGCTTCGGGTGTAGGTGTGTCTAGGATGAAACTTCCATCAGGCTGTCTAGTTGCAGTTGTCTCGATATTTCTAGCATCACAACCATGACCCACTTCGTTCAACATGAATGGCGATCTAAGATTTGATTAGCTGAATAGGCAAGCAGTCTTGTAATTGGGACGCACGAGATATCAAAATTCAGGATCTCCTTCATCAGTGGCTGCAGGTCCGGTCGTTCCAGAGCAAAAGGTGCGACTGTGCCGGCTACCAAATTATATTGGATGGTGACCAATATCTGTGCAGTGGTGTCTCGCACAATGATCTTGTCTCTATGTACATCCCAGAATTTAGTTTTCAAATGGAGCACATCCTCAAGCGTTAGTGCTGATTTCGTTAGACAAACGGCCTTTAATTAGGTCAGATCACTAACCATGCAGCCGGCCAATGGCCCTAGCTCTGAGATATGAACGTTCCAGCTCGTCGAAACGTGGGCCATCTTCGTAATGATGCTGGAACAGCTCCCATGACAGGAGGTGCTCTGAAGTTTTTGGAGATTGAATTTGAGTCTGCATGGCGCGGTCAATTAAATGCTCTTCATTTACTAGTATGCTGTGGAATAGGGCAAAATACCTACCTAGTGAAAGGATTGGTCTTTATATATTGTGACCGCCAGTATACTGGACTACAATTGTTAGTAAATAAACTTCAAAATACTACTACTTGGTGCTGGTTGAGAACGGGCACTGTTTGAATTACATGACTTATTGCTCATACCTGGTCGCCGATCATAGCAAGCCATCAACTTTAATTCGCATCCAGTTACGGTCTGGTGCATTGGTGGATATGACTGCTTCTGTATTGATTGATGCATGTGAGTGGATTAGGGAACGCTGTATGCTGTGTCGAATTTCATCGGCAATACAACCTTGGAAGATATTTCACTGTTTAGGGCCAGAGGTCGATCTTCTTTGCATCGATTAGTCTTTAGACCCATAGGATGTGTATGCATTGGGAATCTTGACTGGACACGTATGATCATCAGAAAGACGATCACAACGCTGTACATAATTCACTTCAAGTCTCAGCAGGTTTTGGGACTACAAGTAGCAGGTAATGAGCCACATAGCGGAATATTAGTTACGGTCGATTCTCATATCAGGGAATTAATTCGAAGTATGACGTCCAGGAAGCGTCATTGATGTTACACAGGGCTCGGTCCTCACACATATAGCCATGCTTCCTTCAAAGTTTCCTGCCTCGCCGACTCTCTATCATATAGCACCTCTCCATCCACCTCCCGTGGCTCCCAATCAGTAGTAATATTTCAAAGGAAAGTGGGTTCATTATTCATTGTGCAACCACACTCAGCAAATTGTATATTTTCGTGCAATTTGCCACCAGGACACACTTGCGACTATTCAAATGGACACTTTCTTACAGGATCGAAAGTGCACAGAAAAACACCCACAAAAACATCCTATATCATTTCCTAGTCTACACGGAGTTTACTATATAGTAGCAACAGACTGTAAAAGAGTGTAAGAAGTGTGTTATTCGAAGCTATTCCTAGCACGCAGCTATATTCTATTGTAATAACCAAAAGGAGATAATATCTCCGCGACCGTACAGACCACGGCTTTTCCCACTATATACAATATGTATTCATCAAGCTAAAATAAAAAGAGACTTCTATATTGAAATTACTATTGTTGATTACCAAGATAGCAATTTATTTGGTCTTGATGAAAAGTGAGATTCCTGTGCATGACTCCTCTTATAGGGCGATTTTCTTAACGAAAGAAAAGATAACAAGACCAAAAAGCAAAAACAAAAACATACAACAGTCAGGATTCGTATGTGGTCACCTACCATACTACTAACTGACCGGCGTGTGGCTTATGTGCAGTCAATAGTTCGGTGGGTGTCGCCCGGGTGAGTTTAGGGTGAGCGCCGCTTTAGCGTCGCGCGACCGGGGGTGACAAGGGTGAGTGTGCTATAGATGGGGTGAGAATCAGTGCGAGAATCACCCAAAGTTGCGCGACTTGTGCACTGATCCCCTTGGCTGATCAGGGTAGATTGTTATTGGGCTATATCTCTCCACCTGAAACACCCGAAATCTTGGCATCTGCATGTTACCACGATTAGAAGCAATTTATCAAATTCATGATTTGCCTCGTCTATCTAGAGGTAAACAGTATCTGCTGGTCAAAATACCATTTTTTTGTTCGACGATAGAGCTAGACTAGCGTTATGCTCCGGTATAACCCTGTATACGTAATATGCGACTGAAGGTCGCTATTATGATCTAGCCCGTGATTAGAGATGGTGATTAGAGATGTAAGGCTTATGACGCCAAACCGAATTGAGCTTCCTTGTTGATGTCTTGCAAGGCAACTTTCATAGCTTGAAGCTCGAGGATCCGCTCATCATGCCCGCGAAGAACTGCCCGGACTGAATCCCTCGCAAGGGGCCCCTGCGACTTTTGACAAGATTCGCATTCTGCGTCGACGGCTATTTTCTTCCCTGTCGATTGTACCAGCAAGGCTTCGATATTGGCGGTCTTGGTGCCGATGGTGTAGTAAAGGTCGTCTCCCTGCCTTGGACTGCGTATGACTGGTTCACGGCGAAGTTTGTGGCTTTGGAGTGCGTTGAGTAGGGTGCCCGGCTGTTGACGATAATGTCGCCCACGACTCCATGGGGTTTGGAGGGCACTTTGCGCCCAATATGCAGGTTGATCTTGATCTTCTACGACTAGCGGTGGGGGGCATGAATTGAGTGAGGGCTCCATTGTTCTGAGATTTTGTGTTTGCACATTCAAGAGTCAAGGAGGAACTTGTTACTTGATTGTTTTGTCTTCGTCCCTTTCCAAGCTCTACTTCTCTCATCTTCTCTTTCCTCTCCACCCTTTATATCTCGCTTCAGTCTGAACCACTTTTCTATCTCGCTTCAAGTTTACCAACCGTCAATATGGATCAAAACACCCCACCAAACACGCAGCCCCTCCTCCATACACGCCGCGGCCTCCTTTTACTGGCGCGCAGCCACTCACTGTTACCGGCACGCAGCCAATTCAACATCGCGCACAGGTACGGGCGCCAGAGCTAGAGAACTAGTGAGTATTCCTCCTGAGAGATATGAATATACTGTTTGATAACTGATATGATACAAGCTCGCCCGCCGAGTTGTCGAGCCACCAAACCGTCGGCACACCATTGACTGTGCCTCAAGCACCAGCCGGTGATGAGGAACTCCCACCGGGTGAGTGGGCGGCTCACGCCAAACAGCTCCCCTGGCAAGTCACGAGGACGGGCGGTTTTGTCAAAACGCAGGCCCTGGAGCTACTTATTGAGGCCCCCTCCCGACGTGAGCCTGCCCAGCGGTCATCAACCCAGTATACCGGAAAGAAACTGGATGAGCGGGTCTCGACCAGTGCCGCCAACGCCGAGTTAATCTTGATGCAGGTAGTTGGCAGTGTGGCAGAGCAAGAGTGCAAAAGATGCCTCAAGAGGAATGGCCCTTGGGCCCACTGCGTACGGTTCCACGACATCACCCGTACCGTCACAGCGTGTGCAAATTGCCAGTGGAACGGGAATAAGAAGCGCTGCGACTTCTATCAACCGCCTGTCGGTGAGCAAGCCACCCCCGGTCATCGGAGAGGCCGGTCATCAACATCCTCGGGGGGGGGGGGTGTTCTCTCATTGTGGGCGTGGAGCGAGAGGCCACAAAGGCGGCCCTGGACCAGAAACCGGAGGCTTTAAGACAGCTCCAAGTACGTATCCACATTGACTAGACTCAGTTGGCGGCCCCCAGAACCGCAATCGCCCAGGAGAATGCTCCCCAGATGATCTCATTAATCCAGGAGCTAATGCCAACAGGGGCTGCCGAGAACAAACGGGCCGAGGTCGACCAGATCCTCGCGATGATGGCGCAACTGAGATTGTCGATGTAACTTATCATTGATATAGTTGGCCTTTGGGCCTAGGGTCCTGCTGGTGCTTTCTCTCTTCGCTCGGGGGGGAGTTTTTTTTTCATACTCGAAATGGAACCAGTCTACATAGGTTCGCCTTCCCCAGTGATGTACAGTCAACAGCATATCGTTGACCTCACAGGACTATAATCACTTTGCGGGCTGCCTCCAGCGGCAACGGTTCGTTAATTGTAATACTATAAATAATTCATAGTGGTAAAGCTAATGTCGAGCCTAGGTCAAGCTAAGCTCGACGGGGGGTACACTGGGGGTACACTGCCCCTTTCTCACTCAGCTGATCCAAGATCCATTGGGCACGGGCCCGCCTCATCATCCGTTTCAGCGGAGGTCTCTTTGGAATGGGAAGAGGAGAGAGCAGCAGCCCTCTTCAACATCCATACAAGCAAGCCAAATGGCTTCTCCAGATGGCCATGACGGCCCGCAACCGGGTGTTCTGTCCACTAACACATATATGAGTGCAGGTCTTGGCTGATATGGCTTGAACTTACCTTGGAGTCGTTGCTGATTTTCAGGAAAGTCCAAGTTTCGCCGGTGGAGGCCAGTCCATACACCCCACAGTTGCGCTTGCCCTCTGACTTGCGGGCACGGTGAATGCAGCCTTTACTAATTAGCTGTTTTTGAAAAAAAAAAAAAAAAAAAAAAAAAAAAAAAGGAACCAATGTAGATATTGAGATACGTACCCATGTACCCGAGCAGTTGGGCAATCGGGTTTGTCGCCTTGGGCGGCCCCTTTGCCTCAACAATCAAAACATTGAGGCACAAAGCCTCACTCTCTCCGTACCAGACACTGTAGTCTGGTCGGCCACTCAAGATGACCTTTTTGCGGTTCAGCATCACTGGGCCGAATTGGTAGGCCCGTTCACATTGCACACTTAAAAGCTGTGCATTTTTGATGTCAGTGGTTGCCGCCTCATACGCATGAAGGATGACGGCATCTACAACCCAGAGTGCGCTGGCCTCGTTGATCTTCGAGTTACCAATGGCCTTTTCGATTAGGCCAAGGATGCTCACTGTATTCAATTAGCTACATTTCCCTTCTAATCCATGTCTTGGATTGTATACCGAGGTGGGGAGGGAGGGGGAGCGGCTGCACGCCTTGCATCTCGGCGTCCTCGACATCTAGTTCAAGCTGGAGGGATCGTTGAACGTCCTCCACACTCAACGTGGTGATAGCAACCGTCGGAAACTTGATTTCCGAGGCGTCAATCTGATCCGTCGCTTCTTGCAGCTGACGGCGGTCAATATTATTCCCGAGGAATTTTCGCACAACGCATTTTAATTGTTTGTAGCCATTCCGGCGATGCTTGGCAACGACCTCTTTGGCATCTTCCATATTGATTGATGGTCTACTGGAAGGTGAGCGGGCCGAATCCAGGTTCCACAAAAGGATCGACGAACAAACCTGCGATAGGTCAAAATCACCCGTCACTACTGACCCACCCGGCGCTTCGCTCCGCGGTAGGCTGCAGGACTCGAAGAACTCGGCCAAACAGCCCGTTTTCTATCCTTAGTTACTGGGGCAACAAAGATTTGATGAAACTAGGATGGAAAAGAACATTTTGACAACGGATTCAATTCTATGAGTCTGCTGAGAAAAAAGAAAAGACGGGGAAATGAGGTTCAGACCAAATTCTGCGCACGGTCCTCAGAGGTGTCCGCTGGCAACATTTCGTCCCTCGGAAGGTTTATCTGTGGCCGCTCACCAAAAAGGGAAGGTTTCCACACGTCAGCCTGTCGGGATGCGGCAGAGATCAAGGCTGATCCTGCAATTGGCAATACGGATGTGGCGCAAAAGACTATCTGGATCCGCTCAAGTTACATAAGAAACTCTAGCAGTAGGCTTTTTTTTCAATCCTATATCTGAATGATGTATTGGGCTGATGTCAATAGGCAAATCCGCTTGGGCAGGTGACATTGGGTATAGCTACAACCACTACAGAAACTTGCTATTAGGTTCTGACATAAGTCTCAACTGCCCAGGTCACGAGGTCAGCTGCTCCGCTGGTTCAGCGCCGCCTCTGTATCAGCTCCTTTGAGTCATTCATTTTTAGTCAACTCAAAGTATCTTGAGAGTGGTATTGGAAACTTCCAAAAATCCTTCAACAGCAATGGACCTGAGCTACGCCATAAATGAACTCTGCAAGGCCCAGGGCAAGTGTTCATTTCGCCAATATTATCAACTGATGCGCGAGTACGATGGTGATGAGGAAGTCCCTTCCATTCGTCTATCGTCGTTGAATTCCTTTGAAGTCGAGCATATACTGTCCCTCTCGCCTGCCAAGAACGATCAGGGTTTGAATTCTTTTCCTGCTGTTCCCGTGCCGGAGATGTTGGGTAAGCAAGGGAAATCGGAGACAGGAACCTCGCTGACTTTATTTAGTCAAAAGTCTCGCTATGACTGACGGTGCTTTGAGGAATGAAACAAGCGCAGAAGCGAAAATGCGCTGGAGGATGAATAACTTCCTTCTATTGGCGTTCAATGTAGCAGTGGAATCACGTTCTGAAGATGGAAGACTGCTGGAGATCACGCATGAGCCTAGATGGTCATTCGGGCCCGTTAAATACAAGGGCGATGCCGTCAAGTTATCAGGATACCCATCTTACGCCCTGTGGTACGGAGACGAAGATGAAGCCGCTTCGAATGTTATCGTGGCCCAAAATCAGAGGTTCAGGGCGTCCGAAAAGGGAATTTTGGAAGTACTAGGATATTTGGGTGAGTATGCTGTACCACTTATCATGCTGGACTGCTTTTAAGCTAACTTGGTCGAAGGTTTTATTTATCACCATCGCAAAAATGCAAACAAGGAAAATTGTCCGTTGTATGGGGTTGCAACAGACTCGCGAGTCTTTCACTTTGTTAGACTAGATGATGACTCCTCGGTATGCTTATTCAATAAGTGTCTCTTGATTGAAGGTGCTTGTTCTAATGCAATCTAGTTTGTCACCTCAACACTCGATTCTCAGACGGATCTAAAAAAAGCCTTCAGTTTATTGGTTTATGTATTGAAGGAGGCCATGATTGTGCCATCGACACAACCGCAAGAGCCATCCACGCAATCCGATCGAGCTCAACAATCTGCCGAGTCACTCATCCCGGCTGAGTCTTCTCTTAGACGAAATTTGGACAGGAGAATACATTATCAGAGGCTGAAAGAGGCTGCAAATGACTCGGATGAGCCCCTTGAGTTCGACTCAATCGATGATGAGTATATCTGGCACGATTTCTCTGGAGGCGAGAGCTCTTCAGATGAATACTTCGATGGTGAATAATGTTTGGAAATTCGCCGCTGGGATTGCTTCCAGAGAAAGCTTTACTCTTTGATTATTTGCTAAATTAGGTCAACGTACCTACTGTTGGGGATGCGGGTAGTGGTCAGCTGATCCGGAGCAGACTAGATAGCTCCCTTCTTTGCTTGCTATCCTCTTCTTATTCCTTCGCCCGTCTCTTTTGCTAGTATCAGAATTAATCTACTGCTTTATGAAGTGCTCCATTGTAGACTCTATCCTGCTATCATATATAAGAACAGTAATAGCCTGGTGTCAGCGGTGTATGCCAATGTTATACTGTCTTCATAAATTCACGTACTATCCCAAGGCCTTACACAAGCGTATGTACACTTGTTCCAATATTGGGTACTTTAGATCATAAACAATTGGTGGAGATATTGGGTCATATGATCATATTTGTGTAGATATCTCTTTGCTCTCTCTCTCTCTTTCTTTCTCTCTTCTGCACGCATTATACAGTCTTTTTACGTATATTTACTGCTCTTATTCCAGACTTTTCCCCCCATAACAATGAAATGGACTTAGTGATATATGTCCAACTAAGGCGATATAGCCTATCATTATCCCACTGTCAAGGAAGATCCCTTAATCCATTGCTGTTCCATTGCTTTGTGGAACAATACCGAATCGCTATGGCTTTGAGGGTCACAGAGGGGTGATTGTCGAAAAGATGACCACTCCTCTCTAAGGATGTGTCGAAGGATGACCAGTTGACCTTACAGGTCCCCGAAGTGTAGGGATAATCACGGATGATGGACCCCGGATCTTCGTGTCATTATGACAGGAATCACTCCGGCCCCTTGTGTATAATATTATCTACGACCTCCTATGTTGGAGGGAGTAAGCTTTAGTCTCTTGACAAAATTGAGATACTCTTCTACGCTTTGCACCTTGCTACTATCTACTCTGCCTAGTACTACGGTTCCACCCGAATCTGGTTTTTCTCTTAAATACTCACTCCCAAACCCCTTTTGTATAATAAACAAATCATATAAGCCCCTGCTTATCTTGATATCCTATAACTGAGTATATCTTCTTACCCTCCTCTCACCCCGAGTCACCAGAATCTCACCTATATCACCCATACTCACCCTAAGGCAAATTGTAACGCCGCTTTCAGACTCAGGGCTCTTCGAGAATTGACTGCGTTTAGTATGTGGCTTAAGTACGGCTGAGCGGACGGGAAGGCCTGTTCTCCACACCCTGTGGTCGTATGTACTTGCTACTGGTTACCAAGGAATAATATAGAACATCATTGTGTTTCATGATGCATTGCAGATAAAACTTGAAGTAGATAACGTGATCCGGTCTTAGATAAAGTGAAGACTATCCTTAGTTTCTAGAGAACGCACAACCACAAATCCATCTTTTTCCTCGTCCTGCTTCGGCTCCGGATATTTTTTGAGATTTTGAATAGCCCATCGTGTTCTAGCATCAAGAACAGGCGGATATCTCCCATCACCATCTAACTCAGGAAGCCCAGCAATATCAAACAAACCCTGAAGGTACTCATAAGTTTCCCCATTATCCCAAGGAATATCATGAAACTTGCGTCTTTGTTGCTTCGTGAATTCAGCGCGATTTGCTTCCCATTGTTTTTGTTTATCCGAAGAAGGTAATGATCTGCGACCAGACCAGACTCGCGCAACCGCGATCGCTTGGTACTCCATCGATCGAAAAGTCAACACTCTTGGGAGTCCAATGACTGCAACATTGGGTATTTCTTCGAAGAAAGTATGCAGATAACTGCCAATAAGACGGTCTTGGCGGTAATCGTAGATCTGTCGCCCATTCTGCTGCACATTCCAGAATGGGAACGATGGCTTATACCCAGTGCAATATATGACTTTGTCCACTTCATCTTCGGACAAAGTCGACCCATCTGAGAAAAGTATTGTCCCCGACGAATCATATTTTGAGATGACAGGCTTCCATTCCACGCCTGAAGGCGGCGTGTCACCGTCCCATCGACCGGGTGATCGACGCGACTGATAAACAGGATGAGCAGCTTCTTCGGGAATCGCTGTAATCAAATCTTGTCCAGATGAAGAGTTTCCAATGATAAGCACTTTCTGCTGAGCAAAATCCGTCGCCGATCGGAATTGCTTGGAGTGCATTACGCGCCCTGGGTATTTAGCGATATATTGTTCGAGTCCATCAACTTTTGGGATCTATTTGATCGCACGAGATCTAGTGAGTTTCGAGTATATATCACCACGAAGGAAGAAAGATCTGGAAACTTACATAAGGTACAGAATAATGGCCATTTGCGATTATTACCGCGTCGAAATTCTCTCTCCACCATTCATCCTGTTTTTTGACGGCGTTGAACCGTCTCAGGGTCAACGACCACCGCGGCGCATCATGTGGGTTTTTCCCCTCCACCTTGGAGACATCTTCCACTGTGGTATTTGTGACAAGATATTGATCAGTGTGATGAGCAGAAAAATAATTCTCAATATACTGCTTTGGGACCCAGTGGGGAACGAAAGGCCCGTACGCAAACGGAAGATCAGAATAAGACATAGCGATATCGGGTACATTAGTCCTATTCAAATTGTTAACCGAATTGAGTCAGATTCAGATTGGCTGAACGTAGGAGACACAAAATGAAACAGGTGAAACGGACGTGAGATTGTCATATATGGGGGTACGCTCATATCTCTCCCTTCCACATGGTGAGGTCAGCGCTGGGAGCGAGTGTGGTATCTTCGATGAAGGATCTACAACAGGTGGAAGATTCCCCGGTGAAAGTGGAAGTGGCAGACCGGGGTCTGGATCATACATCCTGATCAAATAGTTTCATCTTAGAAATTTGAACAAAGTATGCAGCGTTGTCCAGAGCCAATTACCATGTTCCTCCTGCTGTCTCTCTTCTTTCAAATACTCGAATTTTATCAAATACATTCTCCGCTGCGAGGGCCGATGCTGCAACTGCGCCTATAATTTTATTTGAGTCAAGGTTGGCCTAGAGCGTGATCCATGTGCTGACTGAGAAAGTTACCTGAAGCTCCAGCCCCGATTATGGCGACTGACTTTATTTTTGCCATGTTTAGTGTCCCTAGTAGAATCTTGTAAAAGGTTTCTTGAATGGATTGATTAAATTATTTGTTTGCTTCCAACATTCGAAGTTATGGGATAGACGTTTGTCAGCAATCTTACGCCGATGCGGGCAAGATGTTTCGCAATCCCATGCCACATGACGTGCTCTGATCCTATGCGATGAAGAGACAGTACTTGAGGACTTTTCTTGCTCTGCAAATACCCGTTATACATGGTGCACAGCTTAGACACATTGAGTTTCACTATAATTAAATATGGATTTCTCTCAATAAATTGAATACTGGCGTCGTGCTCCCGAGTTCCGGGAAAGGTCGCCTAGGCCGTTCGTTGGAGGTGCATACAACATAATACTAATGTAAAGTACCTTTCACCAGCATTCATGAATAACTAAAATATACCATATGATTATTTACTTAGCCAGCTTTTAAATATTTGAAGGTTGTCAGCGATGCTTTATCAAACCCTTGAGGATAACCCATGTGCGGAATTTTTAGAGTATCTATAAACAGAGATTCGGATCAGCTAACGCAGACAATTGATTTTATTAACAATGCAGTTGAACTCAAACAAAGGACATTGAGTATCAGACAACTGGAAATATTGCAAAACAAAACATATGCTACAAGTATACATAATCAAAGCTAAACATTCTCAATATCAAAGCGCATATTGAGATCCTGTCTATCACGCCAGATCACAATTCGCGAAATACGCTTCACACCTTGTCCAAAGGCACAAAGTACGAACGACGCCATCGCCTTACCGATTCCACACCCAAGCAACGCTTTAAACTCACTCGACCCCAGATTCCAAGTTCTTTCCCCCATTGCCCTGAAATCAATCCCATGTTTCTGACAAATTTTCTGATAGCAGTCAGTAGTATCAGTATTCTTCACACTCACTGCAAAAATGTGCTTAAGACCGTTAAGAGGGAAGTTCTGCTCATATACTAGCTTCATCAAATCACTGATATAGAAATCATTACCTGCCATTCGGTTGATAACCTCGACGAAAATAACGCCTGGTCCGGTTCTTCCCGTCAGTGTCATTGCTGGAAAGCTTTGTCGGAGATATATGACATTTCGATAAGGTGATTTACCTTTGTGATCGAAATTTGGCGGCAGATCGAGGGATTGAATCCAATGGCATTCCGCGTTTGTAAGATGCTGCCTGTTATCGATAATGGACCAGTCATCTTCAATCAGGTCAGTAATGGTTAGTCTAGCTTTTCTGATTATCTTTCCATTATACTTGGCGCTTTCCATGGATTTCTGGAACATTTCGCCCTTTGCTTCCCAATTATTATTGAAAGAAGAGGCCATATTGGAATGGAAAGGTCGTACGTTTTTGAGGCAGGCTAGATAATTGAAGAAGGTATAGCAGATTAAATGGTCTATAGAGCTAGGGCCATCGAAGTCTTGAATCACACCCATTATTTTAGTCTTCAAGAGACCTTTTATACCGAGTAGCAAGTCGAGTTCGAGGATGGCATTGTGTTAACAAAGAGACCGAAATAGACTGACCAGAAAAGAACAATGACTACAATAGAGCATTAAAAATGAAATACAAATTTTGAAACAGACAAGGGTGGCATAAAAAGTCGAAGACAATGAGTGTTTTATTAGATGAAACCGAAGATTATATTCTAAGTTTTGAAAGAACCGCGAGCTATTGCATTCTCTATTCAAAGTTTTACTTTCTTCGTTCTTTGTGCATGGCCCCCTAGCTTCAGATATTAAACTATCGAAATATCTGGAAGCCATCACTAGCGATCTTCAAGTTTTATGTGCTCTACAAACATGCACAGCCAAATATCATTTTTCCTTCCAATGTCATTCGAGGGAAGAGCGGCGGGAGTCAATTTCATTGCTGTACCAAGTTTTCTAAAATACTGTCTATACAATTATAAGGCAGACTCAGATGTGACTCTTCTTCCAAGCCGTGGAAGTCACAACCTTCCAGCACAGCAGCCGCCTTCTCAGCCATCAAAAACGGCGCATTCACATCTTTCTTGCCATGCCACAGATCAATTCGCTTTCCGTTGAGTTCCTTCAGCTTAAAGCCCCAGTCCCCATATAGACCCAAATCCCACGCAGGCCCTTGACTTCCCTGTTTGAAAGCCTCTTTCATGCTTTCAATCACAATGTACCTAAACTCCAAATCATCTAGGCATTTGACATCTTCCTTGGCTTTCCCTTCCATGACTTTCATGAATTTCTCCTCAGCAGCCTCCTGATCCTCATTCCAAACGACGGTTCCAAACTCCCAACCCAATAACTTCGCCATCACAGACGAAGGAAGCCAGTTCGCCGCAGTCATCAACACTTTAGCAGGTATAGACATGCCCTGAGTTCCAAGTGTAAGTGGATATAATCCAGCCACCACACTTGTTCGTAGTAATCTGTGCGGTGGAATTTCTTTCGCGCATGCTAGTGCATAGGCAGACCCTCCAGAGTCGCCTATTACATAAAATTGAGAGATGTTCAGGTGATCAAGGACAGCTAGCACGTCGGCAGGCCAGTCAATAATTCGTCTAGATGGCTGAAAGGTGGATAATCCCATGCCCGGTCGATCAATAGCGACTGTGTGGACAGCAATCCCTTTGTTCTCGATGAAAGCGGCTTCAAAGCGGGAACCTGGAAAACCATGACAATAAACTATTGTGGGGATTTCAGATGATGGTGGAGGCCCGTATGTTGCATAGCCGATTTCTCGACCATCAGGTAGTGTGATGACTTGAGAAGCGGAAGTTTGTAGAAGTAATTTGGAAACCATGGCTTCCTATGGGTTGTTTATGGTTACATGAAAGTTCAAGGACTTTTGAATTTCGATTTCGATTTTCGATCGAGTCCCCAGGGGGCCATGGGGCGAAGTCAATCTGCCCCATGTGGTCGATCAGGCATGATTACCCTATTTTTCAGGCACCGACTAGATTAACGCGCGTGGCCTCCGCTTGCTTGTGCATCCTTCTTTCTGCATACTTGTGCACTCTAGTACCTGCTGTTACTTACCGCCCTAGGCTCACGTGGACATACAAATGAGGTTTTTGCCATGTAGACTGGTTATAGGTAGCCCTAGAAGATTAATCTCAAATTCAATAGGCAGTTATTAACTTAATATATTTTTTTATTTAACCACAAATAAAGAAAGAAATCGTTCTAGCGAAGTGAATACTGAATTTTCTCTGCTGTATGGGTAAATTGGCTGTCTTTGGCAAGATCAGAGCCCACTATACACTTCATATGAGATGATGTATCAATCCAGAATAACTAGACTGTAAAAATCAAGGTCATTAACCTTGAAACATTGGAAGAGACAAACGTAGTTTAAATGGTACTTCAAGTGTTGGTAGATGAATATCCCAACATGACTGCGGTCGCGGCGAGTGTTGCCCAGTCCGGAGATTAGCGAGATTGCCATGCGGGGTAAGTCCCCACTAAAGACTTGCCTGTTAAGGAAACACTCGCCGCACCACTTGCGCAATGACATTTTACTACTGCGCCGTCAAGTGCATCAACTGCAGACATTCTTCCTTGTCATATACTAGACAGCTGCATTAGAAATGTCGAGCAGCTCTCAATTGGCCAAAGCGCCTTGCTTAAATTGCCGAGGTAAGTATATTCTGCCGCGTAAACTTTCAAGAGGAACAGGTACTAACGGCGAGAACAGAAAGTCACCAAAAATGTAAGATTTGCTAGATCCCTTGCATTGGAATGAATTCTAATCAAGGCCCCGTCTATTTGCAGGTGATAAACGAAGGCCGATTTGCCAAAGATGCGAAGGGAAAGGTCTTGAGTGCCGACCTGTACAAAAAAAGGCTATCTTTCGGCACGGCTCAACGGCCAATCTAGAATCAAACTTCCATCAAGCACAGACATGGGTTAATAGCAAGCCAAAGAGATGGAGACCGCCGAAGCGGCCGTCAGAGTCAAGCCCGTCCCCCATGTCCCCAGCCCCGCCGATTTGGGATGATGCAGGCGACAACTCCATGAATGACGCCTCACCACCCAGGCAACCGAGAACGGAGCATCTCGCAGATTCTCCCTCTGATAATACCAATACAGTATCAGTACTACAGAATGATACTACAGATACTAGTCCCGGAACAACGGCTCTATTCAATGGGATAGCTCAGCATGAACGCCCGCCCGATCAATATTCTCCCTTCCCCATTGCATCTTCCCCGCATTCTTCACTAACCAGCAACTTGCACACACACATCTCCACGGCATCACATGGCAGTCATTCCGGCACAAAAAGACATTTCTCCGAAATTGACACGCTTCCAACCGCTACAAACCCGCCCGCTCTCACTCCATACGGAACCGTCCAGGAATCCTGCTTAGTGAAATATTTCACCGAAGAACTCTCACCATGGGTAAGAGATGACTCTTAGCTCCACTCAGTCACAATATGCTAAATTTTCCAGTTCGATCATTGCGATGACTTTCGACATTTCCAGCTGGTAGTTCCCCGCCGTGCAAAACATTGTGCTACCCTCCGAAATGCCATCTGTGCAGTGGCAGCCCTTCATCTCGGTCGTCTCCCAAAATACAAGACTTCCCACGGCCTTGTTTACTGCGGACAATCACTACCACATGTAACCAAATCAAGTGCCCTCGAATACATGCTGAAGTGCATCCCCGATCTTATCCAGTTCCCTGAAATACAAGATCCTGAACACCAAGAGAACATAATGGCGGCTACTGTGATACTCCGCCAATATGAAGAGATGGAAGAGGAGCTAGACGAGAACTCTCTCGACGGCGAATACTTCGTTGAAGGACGAGTGAACTTCTTGGCCATTACACAAACGATCATAGATTCCATGGTTGCTTCTCCTATGGATCAGTCGCTGGCGACTGCAGCATACTGGATCACCGTCCGCCAAGAAACATACTACGCTCTAACGAGAGAGACTGTTCCTCATTTGAGATTTGACGTTGATTTCTGGCAAAGCGCTTCAGTGGCAAACAATATGATTGTATTTGCTAGTCAAGTGGCTAGGTGGCGCTGGGGCCAGAAGCAACCTGAGGAATGGGGTAGGATATCCTCTCGATTTTCAATCAGGATGCATGCTAATGAACCCAAACAGCACAGCTCAAGCACACAGAGCAACAGCTTACCCAAGACTCAGTCGGCGTGTTTGACCCTATTCTCGATCTCGAGCCCGACCGGAAGAAAGGAGAAATATTTCCTACGATATGGTACAGCTTCGATGTCCAAGTGACAGCCATCCAACACTTCCGTTTAGCCCAAATGATTCTCACTGCCGAGAATCCACATCTAGAGTAAGTCTTTCTTCCAATATTCCAACCGGCAAGCAAAGATCATCAATGAAACGTCGGCTAATAATTACAAGAAACGCAACTCGTGCTGCTCATCGCAAATTAGAAGCTCAAGTACGATCGATCGTGTTGAATATATGTGGAATGGGTCTAAACCATCCTCGGGTCCAATCTGCACTTCTCAATGCTGTCATTGCTATCACTATGTACGGTGAATATTTTACAGATCCGCGGGAGCGAGAAGCATTGGTTGATATCATTAACCGTACAAAGGAGATGCATGTCTGGCCGATGAGAAGACCATATCAGACGCTTCAGCAACGATGGGACATGGTGGATAACGCTGAGATATGAGACCAGTTTGACGACAGATTATGAAGCAATAGACTATTATACATTGAGTTTACCTTGTATATTTACATGAATCATCACTATACTTTCTCATTTGAATGCAATTTTGGAACTTGCCTCTATACATAGTACACTTGAGTTGAACCCTCTTTCCCACCTTGGAACCTTCTCTCACTCCAAGTATTATTCCCCTCACCTCCTTCTCTTTCTCTTTCTCCCATCCCCACCACTCTCTCTCCACCTCATATATCTTTGGTCTACTTCTCCATACTCCACTCAGCCTTAGACGCGTCATCTTCATCGACGCAAATCCCAAGTCCTCTCACATTTCGCGGCATACCACCAAGATGGGTAAGATCTTTGTCGGCATGCCGTGTTTTCATATCCTTTGATCTGACTTGTTCACCTCTCATCGCACCAGCTTGCGCGGCAAAAGGAAGCACTACGATGATGATGACGACAGTAGCACCGGTGAGTATCATTTCTTGAACTAGTATTAAACAACTTTGGAGATAGCTAACCCATCGAATCGCTCACAGGCTCACCCGAAGCTTACCGTCTCGATGACAATGGAAACCCTATCTTAGGCGATACTGATATGGATATGAGGATGCTTGTCGCAAAACCGCTTTGCGACGTGGATTGTAAACACGGCCAGACCAATCACATCACCAATGCCGGGCAAGCCCGTGCAGCCTACGTTCAGCAAGCTGGAAGGGAAACCCCGCCCGGTGAAGCTTGCTCTCGGTGTTCGAGTGACCTGGGATTATTTAATTTCTGCAAGGTTCTGATTGTGAATGGGGAGGCTTTCTTCAAGGGAGCTTGTGGGGGATGCGCATTTTCCAGGCCCACCCAATGTTCTACCCGTCAGTGTTCATTCGTCCTACACAAATACCATAGCCTTTCGTTTAACAAATTATTAGGGGACGCAGAAAATGTTCGGGCGCCATGGATCCAACAAGAGATCAGGATCCAGAATCTAAGTCTTTCGAGTGATACTTCGTCGGTATGTTTCTCTCTTGTTCTATACAAATGGCCTAGGGCTAAATGATGTGACAGGATCTGTCTTCCGTAGGCAAACTGACAATCGAATCCTCTGGATTTATAAAGAACGATTTCAATTCCAACGAGAGTGCACAAGCTCGTATTATTGCGAATATCGAGAGTTATCCGAGACCATCATGCCTCTCTACAACGAGTGGTCTCAGTCCCCCTTTTATCGACCCAAAGCCCACAAGAACAGAAAAATATTGCATAAAGTTATATTATGGCGAATATCGAGAACCATATGAGAACCCGCATGCATTCCTACAACGAACAGTTGCAGTCCCCACTGATTGAACCCAAAAGTCCAAAACAGTGGAAGAAGATGAAACTTGATAATCGTTCGAAGACCGGTATTCCTTTCGATGACAGATGGTTTCAGTCCCCACTCGACGATCCCGAGGTGTTCCGCCAAAAGAAGGACCCGAGAATGGCCTTGAGAGCTTACAATGCCCTTCCGACCATTTCTGATCGTGCCCGTAACGATCACAAGAAGCTTGAAGCCTGGCTTATTGAGAATAAAATCCTGATACCCCGAGAACAGATGGAAGAGGAAGAATTCCGCAATCCGTTTGAGGAGAGATAATGGAGCAGAAATCAACGGCTGGCCGGAGACCACAGATTGGCCTGCTTATTTTCACCAATGCAGTTAGCTACGACATGATAATAGTGTCGATTGAGACAGTGGTCAATCTAAAAGCGATTCTTTTACTTATTTCGTTTTTTTTTCCATTTGCATCTTACCAGAGAAATATTATATCTATTTATCCAAAATTCTTGTCCTTGATATCCCTAGAGGTCCTTTGCTTCAATGATGAAAAGACCATACTGAAGTCTACAAAGCTTTCCCAGCATCCTGTTTCAATAACAATATGAGTGCATTATGGCTAAATAAATTACTTCAAGCATAGATCATTTCGTCGTTGACATTCGCTCGCCTTTTTGCACGACAACTAGTGCCCGTATTTCGTTCCCAAATAGGGTCCATCATATTCCTACAGTAAGCACTATAATCTGATCCCCCGACCGAAACAACCATAACAATATGCCAGACCTCTCAAAGCCCAGCTAAGGTTACATCAGGATCGCAAATGCATGATTCAAGTTGGGGGCGTAGAATCGGGGCACCACGAACACCATCCAACCCACACAAAAAGTCCAAAGCCTGCAACAACGCAACGAACTCCCAACAATAAGACCAATACCCTTGAGAACTCCGGGCCATGCACACTTTGTTTCAACCGTCATTTGCAAGCAGCTATCTCAAAATACCACTCCGCTAGTCAAGTTCATAGCTATTTTCAGCCCACCCCCACCTAATCCAGGGTCCAGGTACAATGGGGCCAATCTTAATAGGCTCGAATTGGGTAATATTAACTATTGCCACTGTTTCAGAGCAGACGAGGTCTTGATCTAGAATTTTTCCCCTGGGGCCATGAGCTTCTCATTTCAACGGGAGGCCTTGCCGATATCAAGGTATAAATAAAACCAGAACCATTTCCAAAGTAACCTGTTCAACCAGCAGCAGTCTACTCCATCAGTCTTCCCTTCAAACAGTCTTCCCCCTCAATCCAGTCTTTCTTCTACTTACCTACCAACATATCCTCAATCAAAATGCAATTCAAGCTCTCCATCATCACCGCTCTCTTCGCCGTCTCGGCCATCGCCAGCCCAGTTCCCTCTACCCAAACGAGTTGTGCCAGTGTCGCCGTCTCAGCACTAAACGGTCTAACAAGCCAAGTAACTGATCTGAATAGCGCTCTCGCTGGAAAAGAGGACCCAGTTGCTCTTGCCAACGTAAGTTTTGTCTCTTGTTCTTCTCTCTCTCTCTCTCTCTCTTTTTTTAAAAAAAAAACAAAAAACAAAAACAAAAACAAAACGGTTCATGGAGTAAGTATGGAAAAGACACATCTAATAATAATTATCTAGGCTATCATCGCCGGCTTCGCAAGTGACATTTTGACTATTCTTATCACCGGACTTAGTCTACCATGCGACAGCACTTTGACTCGCCAAAACCAAGAGGATATCTGTGACGCTGCCAGCTCGGTAAACCCTTCCTTCCTAGTTAACTAGCTTTTAGCACGTACACGAACTAACATACTGTACTGTACAGTTCATTAAGGAGGATAAGACTCTTGTCTCAACTCTAAGCAGCAAGCGCACTGTTCTCTCTGATACAATCTGGCTTAGCGCCGTCGAGGGCGCGATTAGTGGACTTGCTTCGGCTACTAATGTGAGTTTTTATTGATTTCATATTCGCGTACAATGAAATGAATAAGAGAAAAAAAAGATTTATACTAATATTTGGATTTTTTAGGGCTATATCAACCCTATCATTGACAGTGCTCCTGTCTGCGGTGGTACCCTTGAGTCGGAGTTGAACTCCCTCGTTGATGCTATTAACGAGGCTGTTGGTGCTTACTAGGTTGATTCAAAGGCTGGACCTGATGACCTACGGATGGATGCAGAGGTATAGACTTGATTGTTAGACTGGGATGCTAAGGCTGGACCTTGGTGCTTTTTAGATTTTTCTTATTGTCGCTCTTTTGGAAGATGGGCTGGGTTGGGCTGGGCTGGGGTAAGATGTGGTAATTTATGGTTTATAGAGAATATCTACCTAGAGGGTAGTTTTGCATTTGAAAATAATTGATTTACTTTGATTGGAATTGTTTGCATTTCTCTTTATTATCATATATGGACATTATGTCTGGTCTACGTAGTGGATTTCTCCATTAGTGCTTAGTTACTGACTCGTCACTTTTGCTCACGAGTAGAACTGAGCACGGCTTCCGGCGTACTGATCGGCTCACTCGAATGGCGCGATCTGTGAGTGCGCAAACAGAAGAATATGCTTGATTTTAAGATAATGCAATCGATAGATGGCTGTATATATGCTCTTAAATTTCTCGTCCAAAAACAAAACCAAAGAAAGAAAAAAAAGAGAGGGACAGGTGGGGATCGAACCCACGACCGCGTGATATTGGTGTTGGAGGTGCTCCAAGATTGCAATCACGTGCGCTACCACTGTGCCACCGCCCCAGGGTGCTACACAAATTTTTTAATTTGGCTTTATGTATGAGCCGACAGCTGTCGATCACAGTATTCATAGCCACAAGAACGGCGCTCATAATAGAGACGATTTGCAGCCACCTGGGCATCGACCATAGCCTCGTCGCATAACAAAACATCACTATCCGATTTCCCATGCTGTAGTCTGGTCACTGTTCAGCAGTTGACCTTTAGATGATTATACTGTCGAATTTCAAATTTCAGAGATTTATGCTCTTGCTAGCTGGTGGATCGCGAGCTAAAATTGGAATTTCTGAGATTGGAACCCTTGACATTGTACTGAAAGGTTACCTCGAGGGATGTCAGGTTTAAGTAGAACGATACCGAGGGGGACATACTATCACGGAGCCTATCACTAAGTCCCCCCCCCCCCTTGGCTATGATTCTCACGATTTTTTCTCAAATTGAGATGGAGTACTGCTTACATACATACATGAGATTATTGTATGGCGTAGAGAGAGCTGCATACTATACATGGATATGTACTAAAGAGGGGAACCCCGTCTGGCAAATTTACAGTCTGGCCGTGTGTCAAGGACGTGCTAAATGGGATTATTCCAAGTAGCAGCCTCTGCGACTATGGCAAAAGACTTAGAATACCAGATCGAAGATCTGGTATTTGATCACGCTTTATATAGCAAGACTTCAGGTCCGTAACAAATCTTTACAACAATCCCATCCAATAACCACCATCAACCCCCAGAATCATTTATAAATAATCCCGATCCCAAATGACACAAAATAGCAGTCTTGCTACTTCCACTCTATAACCGAGACCTATTATCAAAATCTTCAGTTGCCACTCACCACTACTTCTATCCAAACTTCGCCTCCACATGGCGTTATCAATACGTTTCCAATCAACGTGTTGACAGCGGCCCCCACGACAAAGAATCCAATAGCATCCCTCGAACTGAGAGTTTCAGCGAAAAGCGAAAGTGATCTACAAGCTAGGACCAATATTGGGCAATAATGCAGTTCACTAGTAACTCACATTGAATTTCCTAAATAGGGTCTTGGTAGATCAATGGTTATTTCGGACTTGGCTTGTTTGAGGTGGTCAAATCAAATCAAGGATAAAGGAGAAAATTTCAGGACGGTAACATGGGTTTTTGTCTTTCTGGGATATCATTCAAGTACATAGAGAATTTAGAACGCAACACAACAAGACTGTCCGAATGAGTACAAGTTTCACCATGTAAACACTAACACAAGGTCCATTGCGGATTCAATTCAACGTTCAACATTCACAACTAGAGTTACAGGGTATGCGTGATCATAACAAATTCAAGGCTCTTCAACGCTTGGCGCAGCTCTTCGGCCCCATCCACTGAAAAACCCGCCTCCACCCCCTCCACTACCGAGATTCGGAGACCTAATAGGCTCAGTAGGGGCTTTAGCAATACTGTTCCTATTTGAGGAGCGACCGATGAAAGAATGCCTATTCTCCAACTTAGAAGTCACAGACTGAGAAGGGGCGCTGATCATCTTCCGAAGAGAATCAAGTTTACCCTTTACTTCTTCGAGTTCCTGCTTAGCAACTGCTTCGGCAGTCTTAGCCGCTACCAACTCTAGAAGCAATGCTTCTTCGGGGGCAGGCTTATTCTGTTCTGTAGAGAGAATGTTTTGAAGACCGAGGCTACTGGAGCGTTTGTTGTATGTAGGTGTCTTTTGAGAATTGCTGCGCGCTAGCTTTAGTTCACGGAGACCCTTCGGAGAGGCCTGGCTGGCATCAGACGCGGGGGAAACAATTTCAGGTGGGGTTCTGGGTTCGGAGGTAGTTGTCTTCAAGGATCGAAGTTCTGTGTTTTTTCTTTCGAGGCGCTGTCGCTCGCGGTATCCATCTTGAATTCGTCCACGTGCTTCCCGGAGTTGGTCCTTGAGCGATGTGTTTTCCTTCTCGTAGTCATCCATCCGCCGCGAAAGGTCCATGTATCTACCCGCCTCCAATTCGTGCATTTCCTTCCATCGGGTCATATCATGATGTAGTTGTTGCTTTGTTTGTTGGATTGACGCGTGTTTGGGCTCATTTGACGCGTATCGGGCTTGCGCTTTAGATACAAGATCCGCAGGCTGCGTTTCGGTCGGAAGTTCCTGGAGGTGATTGAGCATCTCCTTCGCCAAAGCTTGATCTTCTTCCCGCTCTTCGCGTTCCTTCTGTAGTTCCAAGCTCAAGTCTGAGTGTTGGCGTTGTAAATCGCTGAAAGCCATCAAAAGATCCTCGATTTGTGTGTGGAGATCACGGTCTTTCTGGTTTGTTGACATGCTCGACTTGATGCGAGATTTGTGACCATCCGCGTTTACATTTGCAGAAAGTTCTGTCGGCGCGGTGCTCGCGTCGGATGTGCTTTCCACTGAGTTGAGGGTGGACGCCATGCTTTGTTTCGATGCGGAGCGGCGAAGTGTGCTGGCAGGGCGGGACGGGCTTGGGTTGGGGTTCAGAGACTTGACCGAATTGTGACTGCTCGAACCAGCCCAAAGACTTCCCAAAAATCGAGATGCCGTAGCCTGCATCTTTGGGAATGAAACTCCAGTGGTAACACCTTGGGACTGGTTATAGGCGGCCTCGAGGGTTTTTAAGCTCTCTTTGGTCACAAGGGGGGTCAGCGAAACAAAGTCATTTACAAGATCGTCCGCATTGAATGCGTATCTAAAACCGTCAGTTAGTTTCAAAACCCGGTACCACATAAAGTGTTGTAAATGACTCACGTGTCCCACAAGCTGCGCGACAAAAGTAATTGCATCACATCTTCAAATTCGGCGCATGCTAAGATTCTCTTCTCATTTCGCTGCATCAGAGAAAGCGCAACGCGCATTAGAGTTTCACAAGCGCCCTCAAGGAAAATGACATCGTAAATGCGGAGCAGCATCGGTAGCGGACAAGCTGTCGCGAAAAATGATAAGAACCACTGGGATACATAGACCGGTTCCACGTTGAGCGACTCCAGGTGCTCGAACAGGACGGGTCGGTGTCGTGCCAGGAGACTCTGGAACTGATAAACGTGCAGATGAAGACCCGAGAGATCTGGCAAGTAGCACTGTCGGAGGTTGTAATGATCCATCAAGCGAACAAGTACACAGAAAGCCTCTGCATCGGACATATGCATGAGCAGAGGACCAACCACGAATCCAAGACCTTGACAATATCCAATCTTCGCATCATACAAACTGAAGCATCTCAAGACCCTAGCCAACATCTGTTGACCCTCTCCATTGGGGTCCCGGAACATCTCCACATTAGGAAAACTGCGACCAATGTCCTTTCCGATCAGGCCATCGTAGGGGCTGCTCTCGCCGGACAGTCGTTGGAATTCACCCAGCAGATTGGCATCCCGGGCGCCGGCCAAGCTGGGCCATACGACACCTCGCAGAGGTGGGGGGACACCTCCCTGAACTTTATTCGAGGTGAGGGTGGGTAATCGTTGGGCGGTTTGGGGATAATCGGCGACGAGGGCGGCCCAGAATTCCAGTTCGGTCATTGGTGGGGGTGCCAGCTGTGAGTATCGTAATTCTGCACGGGCGGGGTCATTGATAAGTCGTTTGATTTGGTGGAGCGACTGCGAACGGGATTGGCGATGTTGTAACTCGGCTTGAGCGTTGGCCAGACCAGCTTTGGGGTCATGTGCTAAAGCATTGTTCTCCTGTTCCAGCCGGGCGAGTAATAACGCAGTTGACTGTAGATTGAGAACTCTTGTCAATATACACAGGCATTTTCCAATGTTGTTGTTAGGGGAGGTTGTTTGGAAGAACGCCACTCACATCGTCTGAACCCTCTCCGCGGGGTTCCTGTTCCTCTGTTTTCACCAGATTGTCCCAGTCCACTTCATGCTCTGGTTCTTCTTCCACTTGTTCTAGCTCTGGCGATGTCGGGGTTAAAAGTTCATCTTCGGGGAGGGGGGTGCGTTGTGCGGCATCTCTGAGGGGCATGGGACCGAATGAGTCGGCGGTGTTGCGGTTGATGGGGGACTCATGGACAGATTCAACGGGTATCGGGGGAATATTGAGGGTTCGCCAGTCTGGTTGGCTATGTTCCGAACTCGACTGTTTGTCTGATAGTGAGACGGTAACCATCGAATCGTGATTTGGGGCATACGGCCCACAAGGTGAGGTGGGCTCGGAGCCAGACATGATGGGACAAGCAAGATCGGAAAGTGCACGGGGATGATAAGGGGGGAGTTTGATCAGTCGTACAGATCAATTCGACACAGCAATTTAGTGAGTTGACAGGTCGGTAATCGAGGTGATATGTAAGACCAGCTTCATTTCTGAGTGTAGACGGGGATCAGTGAGTCGAACGGGGAAAGATTTGAAGCAGATGAAGATCGAGGATGGGGCAAGTCCACAAAACACACACACAAAAACAAACTAAAATAAAAAAGCAACTACAGTGCATACATACCTCGAGGTGACCCAGCACCAGATAGAACCAACGATATTTACACGAAAGAAGCAGCAGGGGGGAAGCAGAGAAGTTTAAAAAAGAAAAACAAATAGGGAGGTTCAGGAGGTCGGAAGTAAACTATTTCGTTAGTCTCCCCTTTTAGTGTTTCCCCCTCTCCGGAGAAAGTCTCGGCCCCCGTCGATCTCATACACCGACTGTTGCAGCTAATGATTCAAGTACTTGGCCTAGTATGCAGATAAATTGCAGTTTAATGCCCTTACCCCCTGCATGTCATTTATTTTTATTTTTATTTTGACTATTGTTTATTATTCGATTACCTAGTAACTATGGTCGTTCTCATGCTTCGTCGCGTCTCGCGTCTCCGATCATTGTACCATGGAACTCTCGATCGACCCACTCGAGCATTCGAGCACTCGAAAGTACAAGATAGAATGACATAGATAAGGAATATCGAGTGCTTGTGAATACTTTTCTTAGAGTGGCCACTGGTCTTCCTAAACGAGTAATCTGATCTCCAGCCCCTTTCTGCTCTGCACAAACATACACACCTTAAGTGCTGCAGTATTTAAGAGAGAACGAACCCTGCCAAATGCCAAGCCCGTATCAAATTGAGTGTTTCAATACAAACTCAGTTCCTCCTGGTAATCTATCTCTCTGTTTATTGGGTTCTTGAATTCTCCTCTAGTTATCTTTGTCCACTTGCCCCCGTCACCGATGTAAATACAATATGTACTGCCCCTGGATCCAGCACAACTGCAAGTCTGTGCAAGTCGATGCCGGAATACGACATGTACATGCAGAAATGCACATATATGCAAGTGAACTGCATGTAAAATTGATGGAGGGGCTGGCAACTTTGGTAAACTCATTATTGGTTGACTCATTTATTTATTTATTTATATTTATTTATTTTTATTCCCTCGCCACACTTCAACGCCATCCTACATCCAGTAACTTTTGATTTTTGGTTTCTGGTTCTCGAGGGGCCATGAGATACAAACGGCTGAACTACTCAACTCACGCCCCCATGCTCGTACGGCGTATTCGAGCCACAGTACTGGACTGCAGATATCATAGATTTAATTATAGGACATGACAGGGGCTTAATTCTAGTTCATAGAAACCTACATTACATTATCCCAATATTGACTAGACATAAGCACTTGAATAGAATAAGTTCTATAGTTAAGGATGTAGTAGGCGGGGTCGAGGTCTGTCATCTCTGCCGATCCTGTTTGAGATTGGACCCTGTAAGGATTATGATGGAGGGGAGGCGGGGAGGTGGGGGTTTGCCTCGCTCGTTGATTGATACTGTATCCTCCTTGAAGATTTATGATATCAGTGCATACAATACGCCAATAATGATAATATGGCTCGATATTTGCCCCATCGCATCATATAAGTACTAGGAAGAATTATATATTTGTTGTCATCACATAGTATTAAATAAATATCGCTTTTACTAGTACCCGCCAAGTACTACTAGTAATAAGCTGGGGGCTGACATTTGAATATGATAGTCTCATTAAGCCCCAGAGGCTGGCATCGATATAGCTAACACAACACTCTGCATATCACAGTATATACACAAGGAAACCTACATTCGCCCTTTTTCCTTGCGAGTTGTTCTCCTTTTTATTCTTTCATATTGATCGCTTTCACAAAATTGACCAGACCTTGAATCTCTATATGCCTTGTCTTGTTTTGTTCAAGTTGAAAATGAACCAACGTCGAATGTCAAATTCACATAGGGAAGTTTAATTTCATGTATCCACTGGCATTTACATGACAGTTATAACATTTGAAGGAGTAGAATGCGACGTCAAAATTGGTGATAATATGGAGAACCTGAATTTTCAATTTTAAACTCCGTAGATTCCTTCCAGATTGATGCTATGTACTATACCTCCTAGTTATCCATGTGAATATTCGAATGTTTACGTCATTTCCAAGGTTTCCAGCGACTGAATATTTTGAATGGTTCCCTATGGTTCTACTCTGAGACTCAATGCTAGAAAGTCCAATTCATAGTCATGGCTTATATTGTCTTACCTCTAGGACTTATCTAGAGTAATAGCGGAAGTTCTAGCGACCGCTTTAGAATTGTGGTGGGGGAAGGCACTGGTGGTCGGAGCTTTCAAGTCGCGCCTTCTCCGCCCGTTGTGAACGTTTGTTTAGAAACTTCCGAATTGGGTCCGCACTCCTAGGCGGTGAGGAAGAATAATGATCCATATGGCCCGTCACCTCTCACCGCCCGAAATAACGGGCAGGCGCGTTGCGTTTCATTTTCATTTCTGTGAGAAGGAAAAAACAACACATTCCCCTCCTCTCAGTTTATCGCCAATCGCCAATACGAGCATGCTTGGCTGGTGTTTCGCGAGCGCCTAGTTATCTTTGTTTTTTCATCCTAACCCGTTCACGTTCCTTCACTCGTTTTACATCGCCCTGAACTTTTCAGGGTGATCTCTCACTCCTGTTCCGCGCTTGTTCATCATGAGCGACGATTCAATAATGGACGACGACATCTTCAACGTCGAAAGTGACGTTGAAGATGGCTCGGACTTTGCCCCAGAGCCCGCGCCAGTACGTACCTCCGTCTCTCTCCATCTGCATTTACACCATTCACAATCTCTTCTCATGCATCTATTTGTCGACTGACATGGCTAAATTAACAAATTTACAGAAGCCTAAGGCCAAGGCCGCGCCCAAGAAGGCGCCTGCTGCGAAAGCCGCCCCTAAGAAAACAACACAAACCACTCTCAAGGCCAAGCCTGCTGCCAAGAAGAAGGCAAAGGCTGACAGTGAAGATGAAATGTCCGACGTGCAGATGTCCGATGTCGAGTCCCTCTCTCAAACACCTCCCAAGGCTAAGAAGACCGCCGCCCCCAAGCGAGCTGGCTCAAAGCCTCTGGGTGATGTCGAGAATGAATCTTTTGGGGGAGAGGGAGCTTCCGACGCCAAAAAAGGCACCAGCGTGTCTCAGAAGTACCAGAAAGTGAGTCGTCATGAGAGAGGGCCTGGAATATTGGCCGTAAGAAGCCATTGAATTTCTTGGCTAATTTTAATTGTCCTAGCTTACCCAACTTGAGCACATCCTCAAGCGTCCCGATACCTATATCGGATCTGTTGAAGCCAACACTCAGCAGATGTGGGTTTACAACTCCGAATCCGAGATGATGGAGTACCGTCCCGTCACCTTTGTCCCCGGTCTCTACAAGATCTTCGATGAGATCGTGGTCAACGCCGCCGATAACAGGCAGAACGACAGCAGCATGAATGAAATTCGGATTACTGTTGACCGCGAGGCCGGCGAGATCAGTGTGTGGAACAATGGTCGTGGTATTCCCATCGAGATCCATGAGAAGGAAGGCATTTATGTTCCGGAACTTATTTTCGGTCATCTACTCACCGGTTCCAATTACGATGATACCCAGCAGAAGGTGACCGGTGGTCGAAATGGTTTTGGTGCCAAACTTTGTAACGTGTTCTCTACTGAGTTTACGTTGGAAACTCAGGATTCAAATCAAAAAAAGAAGTACAAGCAGACATGGACAGCGAATATGTCTAAGATGGGCAAGGCGAAAATTACAGAGGCCAAGGGTAAAGACTACACCCAAGTCACCTTCAAGCCTGACTTTAGCAAGTTTGGCATGACTGGAATCGACGATGACCTGGAAGCCCTTGTGAAGCGTCGTGTCTACGATTTGGCAGGAACAGCAGGAGTCATTGTGAAACTCAATGGTACACGCATTCCCATTCGTGATTTCAAGAAGTACATGGAAATGTACACCAAGGCCATTCGCAAAGAGCGAGGTGACGACAGCCCACCTGCCAAGGATGAAATTCTCACCTGTAAACCTGATCCACGGTGGGAAATTGGTTTTGCTGTCTCCGATGGCGCTTTCCAGCAGGTTTCCTTTGTTAACTCGATTGCTACAACATCTGGAGGTTCGCATGTCAACTACATCTCCGATCAGATTTGCAATCGACTGGCCGACCAATTGAAGAAGAAGAACAAAGCTGGTGCGCAATTGAAGGCCGCTCAAATTAAGAATCATATCTTCATCTTTGTGAATGCTCAGATTGTCAACCCGGCCTTCACTTCTCAAACCAAAGAGCAATTGACGACAAGACCATCCCAATTTGGTAGTAAATGTGTTCTTGAAGAAGATTTTTACAAGAAGGTTTTGAAGACAGAAGTCATGTCCAACATCATGCATTTTGCTGAACAAAAAGCCGATCAAATTCTGAAGAAGGGCGAGGCTGGTAAACGCTCTCGCATGAACAATCCCAAGCTTGTCGATGCCAACAAAGCTGGTACTCGGGATGGCCACCATTGTACTCTCATCTTGACTGAGGGTGACTCAGCTAAGGGTTTGGCCATGGCTGGCCGTGCGGTCGTTGGACCAGATCTTTTTGGTGTCTTTCCCCTCCGTGGAAAATTGCTTAATGTCCGGGATGCGTCATTTGACCAGATTGCGAAAAATGCGGAAATCCAAAACATCAAAAACTTTATTGGCTTGCAACACAAGAAAGAATACACCGAGACCAAGGGTCTTCGCTATGGCCATCTGATGATCATGACCGATCAGGATCATGACGGTAGTCACATCAAGGGATTGCTTATAAACTTCCTTCAGGCGCAATTCCCCAGTCTTCTGAAGATCCCCGAGTTCCTTATTGAATTCATCACTCCTATCATCAAGGTCTGGAAGGGTGACCCCAAGAATCCTTCCAAATCCAAGTCTTTCTTTACCATGCCTGAGTACGAAAACTGGTTGGAGACACACAGAGAAGAGCGTGGATGGGAACATAAGTACTACAAGGGTCTGGGTACCAGTTCTACTGAAGATGCACAGGTCTACTTCCGTGATCTTGATCGCCACTTGAAGGAATTCCATACCATGAAGGAAGACGAGGCAGGGCTCATCGAGTTGGCATTCTCTAAAAAGAAGGCCGACGAGCGAAAGGAGTGGTTGCGCCAGTTTAAGCCTGGTACATACCTCGATCACAGCATGTCCAAGATCTCATACACCGATTTCATCAACAAGGAACTCATTCTTTTCAGTATGGCGGACAACCAACGTTCAATTCCTTCCGTGATCGATGGTCTGAAGCCCGGTCAGCGTAAGGTGTTGTATGCCTGCTTCCGCAAAAACCTAAAGAAGGATATGAAGGTCGTCGAGCTAGCGGGTCTTGTTTCCGGAATGACTGGTTATCATCATGGTGAAACCTCTCTTCAGCAAACCATTGTCGGTCTAGCACAGACATTCGTTGGCTCAAATAACATCAACTGCCTCGAGCCCAGTGGTAACTTTGGTAGTCGTCTTCAAGGAGGTAGCGATTGTGCTAGCGCTCGTTACATCTACACTCGCTTGTCACCTTTTGCGCGAAAGGTCTTCAACCAGGCCGACGAGCCTTTGCTGACCTACAACGAGGATGATGGTAAGAGCATTGAGCCCGAGGTCTACATGCCTGTAGTCCCTATGGTTCTTATCAACGGTGCCGATGGTATTGGAACTGGTTGGAGTTCTTCCATTCCAAACTACAATCCTGAGGATATTGTGAACAACCTCAGAGCCTTAATGAAGGGTGAAGAGACCAAACCCATGGAGCCGTGGTTCCGTGGCTTTACCGGTGAAATCGTCGCTGCGCCTGGAGATCGATTCAGGTTTAGCGGAATAATCCGAGAATCCGGTGATAAGGAAGTTGAAATCACCGAACTCCCCATCCGCACATGGACCCAGGACTTCAAGGACAAGCTCGAAGAAATCATCAAGGCCGAGAAAACACCTTCTTTCATCAAAGATTACAGGGACTACAACACTCACAGCAAGGTCCACTTTGTAATTCAGCTGGATGAGAAAAACATGAAGGGTGCGATTTCGGAGGGCTTGGAAGAGAAATTCAAGCTGTCGAAGACTCTTACAACTACCAACTTGGTGGCGTTTGACTCTGAAGGCCGCATCACCAAGTATGCCACTGTTGATGACATCCTCAAGGAGTTCTACGCTATCCGCCTCAAGTACTACGAGCGTCGTAAGCAGCATCAGCTTTCAGAGCTCCAGCGAGAGTTGGAGAAATTGAGCAACCAAGCACGTTTCATCCAGATGATCATTGATGGAAAGCTTGTCATCTCTAAGAAGAAGAAGGCTGTCCTAATCAACGAGCTCAGGGAGAAGGGATTCAAGCCATTCCCCAAGGTCTCTGACGCTTCCAAGATGGGCGAGGACGAGCCTGTCGTTGAAGAGGCCGAGGAGGCTGAAGATGTCGAGGTCTCAAAGCTGTCAAGCGCCTATGACTACCTACTTGGCATGTCCATGTGGTCTCTTACCCAAGAGCGTGTCGAAAGACTCCGCCGCCAAGTTGGCGATCGTGAGACCGAGATTGACGCTTTAATCAAGCTCTCCAAGGAGGATATCTGGACGAGGGACTTGGATGACTTTATTGCCGAGTGGCGTTTCCAGCTTGAAGATGAAGATCGCCGCCAGCGCAAGGCAAATGCCCTGGATCGCCGTGCCTCCACTAAGCTCGCAACTGCTGGAGGTCGCGGCAAGACCGCTGCTGCCCGTAAGCGCAAGGCAGCCGGCGATGATTCGGATGATGAAGACTTTGCAGCCCCCAAGTCTAAAAAGACAGCAGCTGCCAAGAAGAAGCCTGCGGCGCCCAAGACAAACAGTCTCGCCAATTTCCTCAACAGTAAACCAGCCGCTAAGGTGACACCAACGCCCGGCGATGGAAATATCGACTCAGATGATGACTTCGATTTTGACAAAGAAATCATGCCAGCGAAGAGTCGTGGCGCATCGGCAAAACCGAAGAAGGAGAAAGATGTTGATATTATGGACATTGATGATGCACCATTGACTACTTCTCGAGGCGCATCGGCTCAGCCTGTTTCCAAGGTCGTCGAATTGGAGGATGATGAAGAGGAGGATGTGAAACCTGCTCTCAAAGCGAAGCCAGCTGCAAAGCGAGCACCAAAGGCCAAGCCGGCCCTTCAAGACTCGGATGATGACTTCCTGGAAATTGCCAGCGAGGCTCCCAAGCCAGCTCCTACATCTGCTCGCGCCCGCAAGCCTGCCAAATACACCGCTCCTAGTGATTCTGAGAGTGATGATGAAGACCTTGGCGATGTCAGCCAAATGGTGAAGGGCATTGGTGGTGCTGATTCAGATTCGCGACAGCTTTTCTCCGAGCAGCGGTCTCGTGCCGGAAGCAGTGCCAGCTTGATGGCCCCAACTAAGCAGACCAAGCTCAGCGACTTTGACGCGGATGAGACTGATTACAGCAAGCTTGTCCCTCAAAGTTCCCCCCGACGCTCTCTCCTAGTCAAGCCTAAGGAGGTTTCTCGAATTGAAGACGATGACGAAGTTGAGATTGACGACGACGATGAGGAGGAGGAGCCACCCGCCAAGCCTGCTGCTCGGAGTAGAGCGGCTCCCAAGGCTGCTGCGAAGCCCGCTGCTAAGGCGGCACCTGCAATCAAAGCTGCGCCGCGTGCTCGGGGCAAGGCCGCCGCTGCCAAACCCGCTCCCCCAGCTTTGTCTCCTGCAGCCAAGGCATATGCCTCAAAGCAGGCGAAGGCCAAGAAGCAGATAGTGGACGACGACTCCGATGATGACATCGACGCCATGGCCAACGAGATCCTTGACTCCCCTGCTGGCAAGGTGAATGATGATTCGGATGAAGCGCCTGCACCCCGTCGTGCTGCTGCCCGCCCTGCCCGTCGTACGGCAACACAAGCAAAGAAGAGTTATGCTCTAGCTCTCGACAGTGATGACGAGGATGAGGTGGATGACTTTGATGAGGATGAGGACGAGAGTGATTAAATTGGTCCATTCAAGGGCGTCGAGGAGTGGAATTAGCGAGGAAGCTACTTTCGTATGGGTTATCTCTTTTTCTTTTTCTTTTTCTTTTTTTCAGTCTCCTGCTTTCGTTTTCTCCATTTTTCTTCTTATTCTGGTCACCTCATTTTATTCATATCTCTCTTCTATTGATTTTATTTCCTTTAATGGTGACGAGGCAGAGCCGGCCATTGCATGCAATCCACCTTAACTGAATTTTCCATTCCCATTCCCAGTCCATTGAGCTTTAAATTTTAGCTTCGGCTACAATAAAGTAGATCTGTAAGGCTGTTGCCTTGTTAAATCCCGTAGAAGCAATCGCCATTCTGTATTCTGTAAAGCTGCATTGTCCATATCATAGCATATCCATAAACAAAAGCCTCTCCCAGCACCAAATTCCCAATATCAACAGAAAACAACAGACTCCCTGGACACGCATAAAAAGAAACAGCAATTCAACACCATCCTGTCTATCCCATAAATCATATCAAGCATACAAATGAAACAAAGAAATACCAAGCAGAGAGCACAGCGAGAAAAAGAAAACAAAGAAAAGAAAAAGTAGATCAGAGACCGTGTTTTCATCCCCTCACAACAGGCCAAATCAATTACATAGAAGCATGCCGTCTCTTACGAAATCCCAAATCCGGACTCCAATCAGACTCCTTCAAAAGCTCGTCATTAGCCAAAGCCTCATCCATATGAAGCCTTAGCAAAGCATGCGCAGCCTTAACTTCATGTGCAAAATGGCCTAATTCAGACCCACGCTTTCGATTCTGCAGAGGACGAACAGGATTCTTCTTCCTACGACCTTGATCACGATCAACGCCACGCTTCTCACCAGCGCAACAGAGATCTTTCGGTCCCACAAAACCAGAGTAATCCTTATCAGTATCATCATCCGCCAATTCAGCCGAGTCATCAGAATCGAAGCTATGATCCGAGCCACTTGAGCCGGAACGCATAACAGTATGCTTGTTTTCATTATCATCTCCCATGGGAACATCAATAGATGTAGACGCAGTAGAACGAAAGGCATTCCCAATCGAAGAGGTAGAGCCAAGATCACTTTCTTCACTGACAAGTCTGTTCGTCAGCGGAAACAGACCCCCTAGAAACGGAAGCCTGTCCCGAACACGGTCATGAGAATGAGCATGAGCCTCAGTCTGAGCTTGGGCCTCCCGTGTAAGCTTACAATTCTCCACAAACTCCTCCGGCGACGGAACAGCTTGCATCTGCACCGGATTCGAAGTCCTAGGCATGTTAACCGGCGTAAAGTTATTCACCGTAGGGCTCTGAGGAGAATTGCAATAAGAAGGAGGTTCAGTAGACGAACCACGCGCACTACAGATACTAACTGCGTAGCTTCGACGAGCCAGCTTAGAGTATATCCGACGATGGGGCGCAGAAGCAACAGAGTCATTCTCATTCTCGCTGTCCGCCGTGAGAAGCTTCCCTGTGTTCTCAGGTCCGGGGCTGTGAGTGTGAGTGCGGGTGTGATCTTTCTGCATCTCGAGAGAACGGTACAGACGGGCTGTTTGAGTTGCGCGATGTACTATATCAGCCTCAATGATTATCTGGCCTAGGCTTGTTTGGGTGCCAGAGCCTTCTTTGGGCTTGATGCACATGGCTGGGAATTCAGTGCCGAAGAGAGGTGTTAGGACGTGGCGGACTTTCCAGCAGAAGGTGGCTGCTACAGCTTTTGCGGCTTCGTAGGGCATCCAGTAGCCTGGTTCATGTTAGTTACCTTTCTTTCTCCGTTTTGCCCTCCTAGTCTGGGTGGGTTCAAACTGAGGAGGAAAGGAAAAGAAAAGAAAAGAAAAGAAAAGAAAAGAAAAGAAGGGCTGACATACCTTGAGCGGCAAGGGAGCCTCCAGTGATACTATGGCAGATCTCTCGAAGGCCTGAGTTGGCATTCAGAACTTTTCCGGGGGCAGTCTAGAGCATGTTAGAGATGTTCATAGTCGAGATATGATGGAGTGGAGTGGGGTAAGCTACCTTTGAGTGCCCGTTGCACTTGAACAGGTGCGTTGTGCGAACTAGTCCGATGTTGTAATCCCACATCACTGTCCAAACTGTTTCCTCGCCTGGAATCTGGAAGGTATATTGGAAGACTAGACGAAGATTAGTCCTGAGTCACATTATTTTTTTTTTCACAGGGAAAGGAGACGTAGCATACCGTTGAAACTATCACGTCCTGTCTTCTCTTGGAAGCTCTTCTTGTCACTTTGGTAGGGGATGTGGCGAGGGAACTCGGCGATTCTGCCCATGGGATGAAGTTTGAACTTTCGATGCTTCTCGAGGAGGCTCTCATCAGATATCTCGATGGGAGGATAGCGAACCTCACCTCTAGGCTCGCCAGGACGGAAAAGAGCAGCATCCTTCGGCATCCTTGTTCGTTTCTCACGGGCAGGTGGGCGTTCACGTCCACGGTCACCGTCAATCTCACGTTCCTCGGGCATCGGATTCAACAAATCCTTGATGGATGACATTGTATTAAGTAGCAGGTGGACAATATCCAGAGCTCAGTATTCAACAGAAGAGAAGAAAGGTTTCAGAAAGGAAGAAAGGTTCAGGTTCAAGTTGATGAAGTGGAGGTGGAATGGAAAAGATGGAAACCGAGATGATCGAGGAGGAGGAGAAGAAGAAGAAGAAGAAGACGAGGAAGACGAGTTAAGTTAAGAGAGTGGAACAAGAAGGCGTTTTCCAGAAAATCTCGTCAAGCAGGGATACGTCAATGGGAAGTTCCATGAATTAAGACAGTGGTTTGATATGAACCCATCCCCCACTCTTTGTTGTTTTGTCTCGCTCTGAGGTTTGTTCCGCCAGACTCTGCCTGAGGGGGAGTACAGTTGTTTGTCTGTTTGAACACACTTTCAGGTATCAAAGCGGGATCAGAGCAGGCAAGACAGCACAAATAAGAGAAAAAAATCAGAAAAAAAATAATACGAGAGAAAAGAGCAAAGAGGAAACAGGTGAAGATGAAATTTGAAGGGTCAGAGAAAAGAAAGCAAGAGAAGAAAAGGATCCGATGGCAAGACAAGGTCGATGCTCTATACATGGTAGCTTGACCTCGGATCGGAATAGACCAAGTGACATTATGGCATCACGAGGAGCACCAAGTCGGACGAGTCTTCGTATGGCGCTGTTTGTCTCTTGCCAGAGAAGATTTTCCTGCTTCCCATCGTGATTTCTTCGACTTTGGACTGACCGGTGTGCATGTTGTCACCAACCTTCTACATAACGCCCCTGACAAATGAAACGGATATCTCTAAGCTTTTTCGAGGCTTCGTTTCACCGTTGTAGATGTGGGTACCCAAGCCCTGGAAACCACTAAAAGCACCTCATCATCGCCATGTGGATATATCGGAGCGGTGATGAAGCAGGAGCATGGGAGAGTCCACTTTAAACACCGCTTCTCTTCTGAACCTGAACCCTCTATATGCATGCAAACAGCTGAGAACGGTAGTCTGCCGATAGAGAACGAGAGCTAGGCTAAACGGGACTATTCCAATCCAAAACAACATCAATCTTGAACTTCACCCACCCTCTTTACTTTGTTTATTTTTACGCAGAGTGACAAGATGCAACCTTCAAATCCGCTTTGTTCCGAGAAGAAGCAGGATTGACCTCCCCAAGATAGAGGAAAGGGAAAAAGAAAAGATAGATACACCCACCCACTCAACCACTCGGCGCTCCCATGCCAGAATCCATTCGGTCTTAGCGCCAGTAGAAACAGCGGGCAGGGTGCTGCAAGAACCGGAGATTTAGGAGGAATATCCGAGCAACAATCACAATTAGGCTTGCCTCATGGAGGCTCGATGAGACAGACATTAAGAGAGGTCTGAGTCCAACGGATAGATGCAGGGCCGCAAAGCTTTCCATGCCAAAAGGGGAACTGCATAGTCTGTTGGCGAGTCTTAGAGAGGCCCGCATCATCATGAGAGAACAGTGCAGTGTACAGAGATAAACTTCTGACCCGATCAACGATACTAGTATGCGCTGGGACCTTTTCTACCACGCACATGTATATTTTTATTTTCCAAAAGGGAGAGATACATGTTCACTAGGGGCTCAGGTTGAAAGATCATCACACTCCTTTCTTTCCGGAAAATGTATCAAACGACGAAAATGAAAATAGAAGAGAAACATACGCAATCGCATCCACGTTTGATACGATTAAGAGACTCTTTGAAGATCTGCGTACATCTCAGATCAATCGGGTGCAGCCTTCTTCGGTAAGAAAAGCCTACAGAAGCTTCCATGCATATTTCTTTGCAGGGGGGAAGAAAATAATAGAAATAATACTTTAATTAATTTAATTTAATTTAATTTAATTTAAATCATTTATTAAAAGAGTCTGACACGTTGAGGACGGTTAAACCAGAAACGCTTCTCTTTCATCCTTGCTCTGGATCCAGATGGTCCATGGTCTAATCCCAGCATGCCACACTGGCTGGTCTTCCAGTTCATTTTCCAACATTCCATTGTACCCACCTCCACCATAATTCTATAGAATCCAAATGAATACGGGTGGGGAGGGGTGAAAGTCTCTTAATTGGTGCCCGGGGTAAAGTGTTATCAAGAGCCCGAGCCCGAGCACAGCATGAAGCAGTACACACACTAACATCCTCACACTTACACTTACACTCATAATGAAATAACCCCTGTACAATTCGTAGTCAAAAGTCAAAATTCACAGAAATAAGGCTACATACCGAAAAGTCAATGGGAATCACCGCCCAGTCCAAAATATCGGTTCGGTAGTATTGACAAATCCCCTGGATGAGCGATAGACTGAGACTGCGGCCCAACCATACGAGTCTGAGACCAACTAGAAAGAAGTCAGGATACCGATGTCTAAGACACTCGTAGGAATGGATAGCTACTCCGCCATTTCAAAACTGAAAGAGCGGTCGAGCTATAGTATGCCTTTCTTCAAAAGATTCTTCTGGGCTTCTAGAAAGGGGTTTATCAGAGGTACTGGGGGAGATCTGAATTGGGATGTTGCTCTTAGGGCTCGAGCCCATTCAAACCATGTCCTCAGGAGCTCAATAGAAGCAACGTCCCTTCATATCTGGTACTTTTTTCTATATGATAAATATATGTATCTATCCATGTGATTCAATCATTTCTGGTGATCTGACCATCCGATAGGTCAAACGAGAATCAGGCAATCAGCATCAGGCACATATGCACTCGAGACTCGACTCCAAACAAGCGCTAGTATATCAGCATTACCCAGTCCAGGAACCCCTGCAGGACCAGACGAATTCAAGTTCAAGTTCATTCTTGATACATCTAAGGTGATATACTATTGTGAACATTGGATAAGCCTGCATATCCGCGGAGTATAAGGTGTATCATGTATGTAGTAAGAACTGAATTTTCAAGTTGATCAACAGATCTCACAGACACAGACATCGGAGGGAAGAATACACCTGAAATCTGAGCACAATATGATATAAATATGCTCAAATAATGCCAATATTTAAAATGGGTAAAAGAGAAGGGCGCACTATCATAGATGAAGGAGACAAGATGCGCCCCAGCCCAGCCCAAACCAGCCCAAATCACGATGCGGAGAATTGGGGGGACTGGGGGGCAGCTGCACAGGCCAAACTGAAATCCAACGGCGCGCGGGGACCGCTTGTTCTGTTACTCATAGCGGGAGCGTGGAAAGAAGCGCCGAGTTCAGTGCAAGGCTACGTGGAAGTACAGGGGTCTCTAGGCAACAAATTCCCAAGTTGGTCGAGGTCGAGGCTCAGCCTGCTTGTTCAGATTTACCATGTTATGTGCTGCAGTTTTGTTGCAGTTCAGACTCTTGAGGGGATTTCATAGTGGTCAATGCTATGGGTCATTGGTGGTAGATGTAAACGAGAGGTTGATTGTATCTTCTGTGCTGCAGATGGATGTATAGACAGTCGCCGTGGGGTGGAATAGGTACTCGTCTAGTACTTCTACAAGGTAATTAAGTCACTGCGTCACAATTGACATACTTTACTTCCTAGGCTATTGCGATGATCCTGTGTCAGATATCTGGGACATGTATTGAACCCGTTGACTATCAACTTAAGATAATTGCATTAGACAAATATGCACCCGAGAAGAAAATAAACAAGAGGGCGGAAGAAAACTGCATGGACAGATAAAAAAAGAGGTACTAGATAAAAAGGGGAAATATGAAAATGCAAGGTGCAAGTACAGAATCACTGGCAAATGAAAAGTTCATTATCCTAGAATTCCACAAAAAATTTTCGTCGTCAAGTAAAAGAATCGTGAGACGTGGGGCCCTGATGTACATTCCAAATGTACCCGAAGGACAAATGGAAAGGCCCGATGCTGTCAACCTTTCTCCGTCAAACATATCCATTAAGAAGTAAAACCGTATTCCGACCCCCGTCAACACAATCGCCGTGGGCTAAAATTAGACCCCGGAATCCTTAAACTGGATTCGGTGCTAACTTACGCGGCCAGAAGAGGTTCCCGCTCTTGGGCTGTCTCAACTGACTCAACGACCTCGTCAACAGGCTCAACCTTAGGGGCTTCAGGGAAGTCCTCGGTCTTGATGGCGGGCTCGGCAACTGGCTCGGGCTTCACAGGGACGGGAGCCTTGGCCATCTCGGGGGAGGCAGAGCGGCGACCCATGTACTCCTGGGCCTTGTTGCTGTAGTCACCGACATACTGCTTCATCAAGCCAGTAGCGTGAGAAGTGTGTTCACCAGCCAGGTCCTTCAACTGGTTGGTCTGAGCAGTGATGATATCCTGGAGGTTCTTAACCTGCTCATCGATGATCTCGCGGTTGCTGATATACACAAGAGGAGCAAAGTAGGCGGTGGTCACTGCGATCACAGACAATCCCCAAACCGGAACGAATCGGATCAGCCAGTAGCCGAGGAAGGCTGCGGTGAAAGCCTAGGAAATGGTCAGTGATAACTCTGTCCTGCTGACTAGGAGAATATAACATACTGCAACGGTGTGGACAACATTCTCGGCAAACAGAACACGCTGGAACTCGATCAGGAAGAAGTCCACCAACTGAGAGACGTCCTCGAGCACAGCCTCGTGGGTTTCCTTGGGGATGGTATAGTATCGGCGAGGGCGGAACGAGCTAGCAATGCCTTGTCTAAGAATAAATTGACCGGCAATCTCCACGACGGCAGTCACTGCGTGATAGATTAGTCGGCTGATTTCAGAGAACTAGGTCACGCGACCAACTCACATCCCAATGACATGTACAAAAACTTAAAGGCCCAGCGGAGGAGGGGCAGGTAACGGGCGGCAAAGATGAAACTAATGATGCTGAGGTAGGAAACGGCGGTCGCGCGTGGTTGTTCCCACTGTATATCAGAAGAGAGGTCAGTTAGCCAACACAAACCCCTCGTAGGTAGAGAAATCTCTAGATCCGATCATGGGAAATTTCACTCACGCTCAAAAGGCTGTACAAAAGGGAGTGGTAGTCTAGTGAACGTTGTTAGCTTGGGAAACTGTCGTAATGCATATCTGGAGGTCGTGGTTCAGTCGGTACATACGGGTCAAAGGCTGGCCATTGTCGGTGGTAGTTGAAGGGGTAACACGGGAGTTCTTCAAGTCTTGGAGCTCTCCAGAGGTCTTGTTGACCTCGGATTTGACAGTGTTGACAACCGGGCCTGGGGAGGGGGCAAAAAGTAAGCATTCAGATCCATGAATGTTTTAGAATCTCCCCCTTATCGCACAACTGCGAATTCAGTGACACTATGTCGCGATATCACGAAAACCTGAACTCATGAGAGTTTCTAGGTCGAATCCAGGGTTGTCGCGACAAATCAAGGGGCAAATCAGAGGGACGGAGAATACTATCGCAAAATGACGGTCAGTTATGTGTTGCAAAGGACCAGAAAGGTCCAGGATTGGCTGTCGCGGGTCGACAATTTTTTTGGTAAGGCCTTATAGGAGGGGGAGGAAAGACATACCTTACTACCGGTGTTTGGGTAGTTCACGTCACCAGAATCGGCCATGGCGGAGATTTCAGAGATAAAATCACCAAAGGATCGAGAGAGTAGGGGGTTTGGAGGGGAGAGGAAAGAAGGAGAGAAAAAAAGGGAGCGATAAGAGCAACCGAGTTGTTTTGGTGTGATGCAATGTCATGTGCGTCCGCCAAGGTTTCGCTGCCGAAAAAAATAGTGATGTCAACTACTTGATCCCCTCATGACTATTACATGGTAGAGGTTCTTTATGTGGATCTTTACTTGATATACTTGTTATTTTTCCATTTACTTCCAAAGAGTTTCAAGGTTGTGTGACCCCAAAACGACTCCTTTACTGGCTTTCATTACTAGTGGGGGCCTTCCTACTGTAGCTTGCTGATGGTCCGGTATCTCGGCCCAATCGCACCATACCTGCACCTCTGCCTTGACCATACTTTAGCTCGCTAGGGCCTATGTACCCTGGGTCTGGACTCTTACACTCTTTCATTCAAGGGGAATAGATTACAATACAGACCGTAACTTCCAAGGCTGCTACTTTCTCCATGGGTTCTTAAAAGAACCCATCAGCTTTGAAATCCAATATGCAGCTCTACTAAGAGCTCTAAACAGCTAGAATATCTCCTGAATCTCAATTTTATCGATCTTGTATAAATGAAATAATCCCCTATTAGAGACAATAGAGATCAAAAGATAGCATATACTACTATATTTCCTTCTTAGTCGATCGCCCTCTCGATCTCCACTGTATAGTTATGCGTACACGTGACCTACGCGTTACCCAATCGGGTTGTCTGTTTTGATTGTGCAAGTCGATTTCCCGCACTACGCACGACCAACACTACCGGCACGACACACTCTGTTTGTTTCCTCGTTACTCAACGCATTTGGTTCCTCCCCATACAATACACCCATGGTGGACTATAACTAATCAACCTTACTCGCCTACTCCGATTTTATCGCAAACCCGTACCAATCAATCTTTCTCTTAATTCCCCCGCCCTCGGCGCGTTGTTTACATCATGGCCGCGGCTGGCGCGAGGGCTCAAAAGCCCGTTGGTTCTGCCGCATGGATCGCGGCAGAGAAAGAAAATATGGCGGAGCTAGTCGAGCAGGAAATGGAAGAGGTCGAATACCCTGTCCGCCATGAGATGGACTGGTTAAATGAACACATGTCTGAGATCTTCTCGAATGGTCAATCGTGAGTTTCGATTAACCAAACACATAGAAGATAATGGACTTGATGCTGATCTCATGCCCAGTAACTTCACCGATGTGTTCAAAACACCTGGCAAAATGAGAGGCAAGACACCTCGCACCGCACGGAAGCGAAATGTGGTGGAGGAAAGCCGAGTGGTGAGACTGACCCGTGTTGTCTTCCGGCGGTTGTTGCTTGCCAAGCTAACTGATCCTCAACAGCCTCTGAGCGAGATCTTCTCTTCCACTCATAAACAAGCCGGTAACAAGGCCAGCCCGAGTCCCTTCATTCATCGCGTAATCTCCAAAACTACAGCGACAGCCGCTTCTGCTTCTGCGTCCGCTTCTCCCCGCCCCAAGAACACAGAGAAGGAGCCACAACCTCAATACCCAGATCTCAGCCAAAATCTCAACTCCTTCCAGAAATACAACACTGACTCGGGTTATCATGGCATGGAAGATGACGACATGGTATTTTCCGATACACAGCCCGCTACACAGCCAGACACGCAAGTTTCCACACAACCAATGGAGGTGGATGAACAAGTAGCCTCACTTACTCAAGTCAATTTTTCCATGAGTCTTCAAACAGCCGAGGATTCATTCCATTCCGCCCAAGAAGATGTTCGCGCCCGTGGAGAAACTGCTGATCCCACGAACATGGACCCGACTCCCACACAAGAGCAGACTGCAACACCGAAGAACGCGATTTCTAAGAAAACCGAACCTGAACCTGAACTAGGCTCCACGCCCACACCCAAGACTAAATCTCAACCCAAAGCCACTGGGGCCAAACAAAACCCGCCTGCGAAGCCGACAACTTCGCCAGAACCCGAAGTTCATGACGAACCTTCGTCGAACCCTCAATCTTCACCTGAGAAACCTGTCGCCACTACCAAATCCACTCGTATCCAGGACTCTGTAGATCAAGATACTGAGCTGGAAGATAATTACAAGGAAGACACTGTCTTGGACTTCGATGATATTGGGTCTCCCTCCGACAACTCTACTCCCGAACGTCTGCCTGTTCGAAAAAGCAGTCTGAGTTTTGCCTCTCTTCCAGCGCGTGAGCCTCTTACAAAGAGCATTGGAGGCTCGCGGCTATCTCGTACCAGCCACATTGATCTTCCAAAGCTGAGCGGCACCGGTCGACTCAGCTACTTGGGCAGACAGACTGGAGGGAACAGAACGACCCAGGTCGGATCAGATGAAAACATCAATGCCGCTGATTCCATGGATGTTGATGAACAGAAGGATACCAGCAATGATATGGATGCAGAGCAGGCTAGCAAATTGCACAGCACCAAATCAACCCAGAGTCTTCACGAAAGAATTAGCATGCTTGGAAAGGCACAACCATCACGGCCAAAGAAGTCCATTGCAGCCCCAGCTGCAGGTCTGGCATCTGCCAAGGAAATTGCTTACCCAGATCTACCTGCTTCTAAACCAGATGCGCGAAACGAGACTTCTGGCTCCAAAACTCGTGAAACTCGTGAAACTCCTCCAACCTCAGAACGTGCGACCGGTGGAGAGGAAGACTGGATTCCCCAAACGTCTACTCTCCAAAGGAGTAAAACAGCGGATGTCATGGAGAATCTCAATGTGGGCAAGAAAGACACTTCTGCCGCGCAAGAAAAACAGTCAGCTGAGCCAGAACGCCCCAAATCTTCATATTCTATATTCTCCTCGCCCCGGCCTCATGGTCATCAACAGAGCGCCTCTACATCCATTCTGAACACGGAAGCTTCTACCACCCCGACCGGATCGCCTCGGCGCTATGATGGCCCACTCAGCGCTTCAAAGATGAGGTTACAGTCAATTATGAAGAGCGCGAAGGGACTGTTCACAAGCACTGGAAGTTCCACCAAGTTTGAACCATCCTCTCCCGAGCAACCACGTGTCAAGGAACGGGCGAGTACAGAAGAACACGATGTTGAAAATGAATCTCCAGCACCCGAGCCTCGCAAGGCCACTCCCCCACGACAGGAAGGCCGACGAACTCGTAGCTCGACAGAGAGAGAGGAGAAACAGCGCCTGAGGGAGCTTGAGGAGCGACAGCGCGAAGAATCGCGTCAGGAGCAGCTGCGGGAACAGGAGAGGCAGCGCGCTATTCAATTGAAAGCAGCTCAAGAAAGGTCATCTGTGGAGCCAGAGGAACGAACAACCTACAAGACCTCGCACTTGCGACAACCAAGCCGTGACCCTGAATCTGCTCATGAAGGCTCCAGAATTGCCATGCCCCAATCGAAGCAGAATGATCGACGCCCAAGACCAACTCGCGAGCCTATGCAAAAGCCGAAACCTCAGCCTCTTTCCGTGCGTGTTGGCAGTACTCTTCCCCGCGGAATGACACTGGGCTCCTCTACTTCTACCAACACTAATACTCAGGAAATGAACGCCCCTGCCCCCACGCCTGCATCCAAGCAGAGCACTCTGAAAAAGAAGCCCAGCAATAACTCCTTGCATACGACTTCGTCTACAAGCAGTTTCAAGAGCTCCGTCTCAACTCATTCTCAAGCACAGTCTCAGGCCCAGCGAAAGGCCCAGCTTGCAAGTGAAAGAAAGCGCGAACAGGAAGAAAGAAAACGGGAGCAGGAAGAGAAGAAACGAGAACAAGAGGAGCGTGATGCACGTAAGAAGGAAGAGCAGAGGCGAGAGCAAGAACGAAAGCGAGCTTTACAGTTGCAGCAGCAAGAGGAAGCTCGCCGACAAGCTGAAAGCCGTGCCGGGGCCGAACGCGAGCGTCGGGAACAATCTGCTCAAGGCGATCCCAAGAGGGCCGCTAACAAAGCGGCGATTGAGAATTGGCGAATGGAAAATGCTCGGCGGCAAGACCCTGCCCGACCTGCCTCGCGTCTGGGTTCTCAACAACCTTATGGACGACCTATCAACCCACCAGCTGCTAATCCTGCTAAGCCGCCCAAGAGAAATATGGACGATGAGGCCGGCCACCGAGCAGCCGTCTCTAAGCCTAGCAATGTCCAGCCTTCTGGTGAAGCTAAGCGTCGAAAGACTGAGGATGAGTACAATCAAGGGCAAGCTGTGCGACAGGCATCGGCCCGTCCAATTCGCCAACCCAGCACCATTCGAAAGGTATGCACTCTTCCTTTCCCCTTGCCCCATCTATATCCAATATATGGTTACTAACAATACATGATTATAAACAGCCTTCCATGTTCGGTCAGTCTGGCATTCAGACAGGTTCATCTATCTTGAAGGCCGGTCAACCTCAGAGACCAGGCCCTGGTCACCCAATGGATATGTCCAAGCTGGCACACGGCAAGATTCCTTTCGCCGAACCCAACCACGCACCTCCCCCAGCAGCACACAGGGCCCCTGCCCAGGCCTCTTCCCAACGCACTCCGGGCCCAGCCAAGCCGTCGCCCAAGTATCCTAACGGTGACAGTATCCACCTACCAGAGATTGCCACCGATAGCGAGGATGAGGATGACTCAGACTCCGAGATGTTCCCAGTTCCCCAGTGGGCACAACCGAAGGAACTTCAAGATCTGCTCCGACAACAGGACGGAATGGAAGTGGACTCAATCTTCGGGCCAATCGCACCATTCTCCCTAGAAGAAACCTTCAAGGGAGACAAGAAGATCAAGAAATACCGCGAGCGAACCAGCAGTGCTCACTGGTCTGGTCCAGACGGGCTTACACAAGAGGAAATCCGAAGAGATGTAGCCGATCGACAACGACTACGCATGGATGGTGGGTGGTCCTTTAATAGCTAGCTAATTGACATGGGATCACGAGATCGATAGAACAATCTGGGTGTACTTTTGAACAGCAGCGGTCGGCAGTTGAGGCGTTGTTTCTTGGGTTATTCAATCCAGGTTCCTTGGGCATTGGCGTTTTGGAAGAGGGAAAGGATTCCCTCATGATTTATTGGCGTTTTGTATTTTTATTTGCCAGTCTTGATCTTTTAGACTACAGCGGCATATGAAGCATCCATCGGTGTATATGGTTTAATTGAACTTGAGTCTATTGAATACCCAAATCGGTATAATCAGTTCCAGCTTTACAGTGTTAGTTTAATCTGGGCAGTGGATATCAGCAAAGATATATTACTTGATGTCAATACAGGATTAAGCCCTTGTAGCGCAATGGCTAGCGCGTGAGACTGTCAGTAACTAAAAATTCCTTTTGCACCGCGCCCATCACTAACAAGAATGCAGTCTAATCTCAAGGTTGCGGGTTCGACTCCCGCCTCGGGTTCTTTTTTTTTGGTGGCAGGTGTCCGAAGTGTGTAGACGGACACCTGGCACCCCTTCTTGGACGATGAACGGTTGGGGGACCACGCCCTTCTGAGGCTAGGTTGGCTTTCTGTGGTCATGCTTTGTATTTAATTCCATAGCTTAGCATGTCACTTATATCCCTAGGGAGATCTTAGCTCGCGCGGAGGCTTCGGCTGAAGTGGCTTGTAGCTGTGACAATAAACAATTACACGGACACACAAACACACACAAGCACCAAGAAGCCGAGCCCTGGTTAAAAGGGGGTCGGCTTATCATGCTTCATATGTCCACAAACCGAATCCCTTACATCAACTAGCATCATTGGTCTAGTGGTAGAATTCGTCGTTGCCATCGACGAGGCCCGTGTTCGATTCACGGATGATGCATTTCTTTTTTATCTTTTGATCTTATTTTTTCCATTATCAACCTTCCAATTTGTGTCCACGAGGAGTCTTTTTTTTCTTGTCATGCATTCATCAATAACATGCACGATCTAATTCATGCTTTTAGTGTTGGACCGTGGTTAATCTGGAACTAGGTACTAGTCCTAAGTATGGGGTTCTTTCCCGCGGCTTCGAAATAGTAGGTGCGGCCGGGTTATATATGTTATAGTAGTAGTAGTAGTAGTATCCACCTGGACATGCACAAATCTATCTACCTTTGATACTTCCACATACTAGTGATCGCGACGAAACTTGAATAAAATTGTGCAGTATGATCCCTGTCAGTCTTACTTGCGAAGTCACCCTGTGGCCAAACACCTTTAAAGTCAACATTCATCTTTCTCTCGCCAACACAGCTTACATCTAGCAGTATGGATATCAATCAGAAAAATGAAGCATTCAAGAAGATCGATGGCAAAATGCAAGTTTTCCTATGTCAAGGTCTACGTTCGACAAGATAACATACTATATTCTGAAAAGTGAACAAATCGATTCACTTCCCCAAAGACACTCCACGATCTCCAAGAACCCAAACAAATCCCTACTCAAGACGGTAAATCCTCGCCTGAACAAGAAGATGTTCCTTTCCAGCGGACGGGTACTAGTGCAAACGAACTTGAATATGAAAGCAGCCTAGAAGGGATTGTAGCGGCGATAAAACATCTTCACTCCCTTGGTCTTGTTCATAATGATATCAATCCTGCAAATATTATGGTTGACGAAGACGGGACGCGTTGATTTCGATAGTTGTCGGTATATTGGGTAATCGTTGCGTGAGATGCAGACGAAAAGAACGCACCATTGGCATGATCATGCAGTTGATATTTCGGTTGAAAGGAATGATCTTGATGCTTTTCGAGATTTACAGATTTGATTGAATGGATCGGTGGAGGAGTCCTTTTTATTCATTTGAAAGTGTTTGGCTATATTTCTAGTATGTATTGCTAACCTTGGAATTATCTACTAACTTTGTCAATACCTACATAACAGAGAAAAACGTGGTAATATACCTGGTGTGTACTAGTTTGCCTGTTATCTATGGATGTACTAACGGAATTAGTGTAAGCAGCTAGTATTCCAACTGTATTCCAGTCATGTCATAGAACATTGAACTCCCTGCTTGGAGCCTTAGAAAGTATCGTCGTGTGGTGCCACGATTTTCCCACGTTGACATATGAACCTTGTTGCAGGGGTCAAAGCACCACCATCTTAAATATACTGATTGAACGTACGCGTTTCAAGTCAGCTATGTCCATTTTAAGATTATCAGTTTGAATGCCTACTAAGACAAGTAAAATCCAACTCTTACGACGAAAGAAAAGTCAGATGAAAGAAGTCAACATCAAGACAAATAAAAATATAAATTCCAAGACATTGAAAAATCCAAAGCTCAGATCGACCTCACGCCGTGAAAATAAATACTATACAAAAAGATCCTCAACATGCACAAGGAAACTATTTATTTATTCCATATCGGGTTCCATATCGCTTCCTCCTCCTTCCATACCCTCATCCATCGCATCCGGATTGAGGTTCGCCGCGTCTGGTGCAACTCCCAATTTGTCCTCAGGCTTACCGTGGGAGATCGTGCGCCAACCAGCTTCGACAGAGGGATCCTTCAAGTATTCAGACATGGGGAACTGGGGGTGATTATTGTTAGCCAGTGCTGCATAGCAGTCATTGCGGGATCAGGGCAGGAAACGCGGTACTCACATAATGGTCATTCTTCTTCATGGTGACAACCCAAGGAACATTATCAAAAGTGACTGCACGAAGACGGAAGTATGTGTTGTCCGGAATTTTGGTCACTGCCTCGACGAAGAGGTCAAGTGTGGGGGTTGGGGTGCCATTAACGGCTGTAATGAAATTGGTCGGTGCGAGCCCGTAGTGGTAGGCAGGTGAGCCACGACTCTGTGAATATTGTCAGTAACATTGCTGATTACCACGAAAATAGGTAGCTTGGAGAGATCGAACGTACCCTGGCGCTCACATAGATTTCGCTATGAAGCTTAGAGATCTGTTGTCGCACAGCATGATGAGGCTTCTGCAGGACAGCCCCACAGAAGACCACGGCGCGATCAGTTTCCAAGTCCTCTGTTGGGACCGTGGGAACACGGATAGTCATCTCTTGACCGTTTCGCACAATCAATGCATCCAAGAATTCCTTCTCATACATCACATCTAGCTCAGAAACACGAGTGATCAGTTGGCCGTCTAGAGTGAGAATAAGATCTGCCTCCTTAAAGCTATCATAAGAAGATGTGAAACCGGCCGGTGGACAGTCAACCTTGCGAACCATGAAGAGTTGATGACGCGATGGGTTAGCTTCAGCAACCTTCTGGATCCACTCCTCAGAGACACCCATGATACGGGCCTGACTCATCTGAACGACATAGCTTTCCATGTTCAAGATGCGCAACTTGGGGATGACGCCCTGCTGGATCTTTTGGGTGATAGGGAGAAGCGAGGGTGTGGCAAATCCCAAATGATACTCTACATCTTTGTGAGAACTGGGTGTGCGTTCTCCAAGGTAGTTTAGCCATAGCGCCTGCACCACACCATCCTCGCCGACCAAAACACCGTTTGTGCACTGGCCACTCAGTCCGGTATCGACAGTAATAGCGTCCAAGTTGATCGCCCGATACCGAGGAGCAGCAGCATTAGCGGGAATGGAAACGGTCGTGATATCCGTAACGGCGGTCTTAGCGACCACAATGCGGAAGTTCTGATTGAAACCAACAAATAGAGTGTCTTGTCCTTGCTTGATGAATTCCGAGCTGAGTCGGGCACTTTGTACAGGTGCTTGGACAAGACTGGGGTCATATTGAATGACGGTGTAATTCTGAAGCGGGTGTAAGAAGATGACCTTGGCAGCGACAATGACCGAATCAGCGACGGTAATGTTGATATCGCAAAGATCATAAGGAACGATGGCCCGTGAAACAACCACCAAGCCCTTCTCAGCATCAATCACCAGTCCAAAGCCCGTTTTCTTCGCCTGAGGATATCCATCAAGCTTGAGGGGCATCGTACACGAGACACGCACAAAGCTGCGGACAATCTCAGCTGCAGCAGGTTGGCTTACACCATCTAATTGGATAAATTCTGCCTTCCGTGGCACTGGAGGTTCTGCCGGGATGGGATCGGCGAGATCAGAGAAGTCCCAGATTCCAGACTCATCATTACGAACCGCCAACCGCATCTTTGGATGCCAGTGACGATCAATATAGACAATGCTAGTGCCCCTGGTATGTAGATCACGAATATGGCGATACGAGATGACTATCCGTGAGCGATCGGGAATGGTTTTCATGACCTCTACAAATTCATCCAAATTTCGAGTCCGTCGCTTGTCGACAGAATCGATGATCCATCCGGAAAGGGTATTTTCTAGCTTGAAGGAACCTGCGGCCTCACACACATATACACCCTTGGTGGCAATGGCATAGAGACGTGATTGTTGGTAGGACAGATCATGGAAGGTGCCCCCAGCAACTGTCACAAACCGGTCTGGGGTGATTGCGTGCAGATCACCGACCTCACACTCAACCTCGACATCCTCACCACCTCTTGAAACCAGCAGCTTGACTTTCTGGCCCACGCTGGAATCCAGAATGTCATCGAGGCGAACGAACTGAGTCAGAAGTTCGCCATTTACCTGCAACAGAACATCACCTTCTTCTAGTTTCCCATCACCGGGACCTTCAGGTAGGATAATCTCGGCGCCAAGCATATTTGTCTCTTTTGGAGCAGCTTTGCGTACAGCAGCCTCCCACTCGGGAGTCAGTCCAAGACGACGGCACTCATCAAATGGCTTAAGGATCCACTGTGTTTGAATGGTACCTCGAGTGACAAACTTGCCCTGGCGAATGCACTCCAGAGCGCGGAGTGGGCGATCCAAAGGTAAGAAATAATCTGTTGCAGCGCCATCCGCTCGGCCACCCGCCTGTAGAGCAACGGCATGGCCATCGATATTGACGACTGGACTTCCTGAACTACCGCCACTGGCAGCAGCAGCAGCCTGAATATAATTGGTATTGAAATCACTGTATCCCTCGCCGTATTCAGGTGCATTGCGATCCAATCGACTGATCACACCAGAAAGAATACTCAGCTTCTCTCCTGCATCGTTACCGACTACCCTGATCTCTGTGCCAACTCGAGCTGCATCCGGCTGAAGCTTCAGCTCTGTGAGCTTCATGTATCGAATCTTCTTCGGGTCGAAATGAAGGATGCCAAAATCGTGTACGGGGTCTCGATATACAGGGCGAACGTCACACTATCGAAACCATGGGAGTCAGCGGTGTTTCTTTTCTTTTGCCACTTTTGCCCTTGTTCTTCTGTCTCTTTCATTCCGTGGTGCTACCAACTTACCTCTTCGTGATTGTCAAAAATACAGTATCCCCAGAATGGTCCAGCACCAACAACATGACGGTTAGTCAGGATGTATCCTCGCTCTGCATCCACAACAAAGCCAGTAGCCTGACTGCTCATGGATAGTTCTGTGTCGAAAGAACAGGTCTGACAAAAGTGAATTGAGACCACACTCTTCACAACGGCCTCAATGGTGGCCTGCCATTCCGGCGAGTCAGCCTGTGCGGTAGCAACAGGAAGCATGCGACCAGCATCGTCTTCTTCCTCCACGTCATACACGGTTCCATTGGCCGGGGTTGCATCCCCAGGTGTTAAGGCCGATCCTTCAGGCTTCAAATGTTTCAAGGGGCGCTCAGCCGCAGCAGACACAGAGGTGCGCTTCCGTTTGGCACCAGCATCTCCATTCGCATCCATGATGTAGTTTGTAAGAGAGGGACGTCGAGAGTTGGAGGAAGCTTGGAGTGACGAAGGAACTTGGGGGAAAGACAGACGGGTGGCGGAGTTAAAAAAGCGGTGGTCAGGTGAATTATGAAAGAAATATGTCAAAGATCGAGCTGGAGCGAGACTGATCGGCCAATGCACCACAGCAGAAGCAGTAGTAATCAACCTTGGGAAGCTCCTTCTGCCCCAAGACATTCGCGATTGCAGACTTCGGGAGATGAGGCGGAGAGAAAAGGAGCCCAGCTGATTGGCGGGCGCACCCGTTCACACGATCGGATCCCATGCCTGGGCCACGCGCCTAGAAGTAGATCGACAGTGCTAGTGGCATTTCCATGCGTATACAGGATTATTTCATGCTGGAATGGGAGGGGGTGTAAACAGAGGGGAGTCAAATTAAATAGATCATAGATAGGTATTGAACATGTCCAAAAGTTGGTTTGATCGCTTCTGTAAAACAAAAAAAAATTCAAGAATATCTACGACGTCCGATAGCGTTCATCGGGGAAAAAATCCCTTGGCCCAGGTGTATATGCCTCCAAATACGTTGTATTTCCTTGCGCCCCTCTTTTTTTTTTTCTTCTTCTTCTCCTCTTCGCGAAATCCCATGAAGCCAAAAAACCACACTGGTACTCATGACATCAGAGTGCGCCCAGCTTTCACGTTGAAGACCATACAATGTTCATAAGCCGAGCTTCAGTGGCGTAAGTCAGGGCGGGGCTCCTCGAGACGGGAGGCGCCGTTGTTCAAACTGATCGAGACAGTGGGACGCCATAGTTTGTCATGGTGGTCCGTCTGACTGGGCGATCGTAGGGATCAAACAGGATCAAGCTATGGCATCGGAAATAAAGGGAGGGTGGAAACCAGAAAATCTCATCCCACGCCCAAAAAAGACCGTCATAATTGACTTCCTACACCCACATCCACATAATAGACACACAGACCTCGGGTCATCAGACGACTTGCTCCGGCATCGGGGAAGGGCTAGGCCCACCGTTACCCTGCATCATCGCGGGACTAAAGCGCTGTGTGGGAGCCTGGCCCGATCGAGGGAAAAGCTCATTTAATTTCTGATATAATTCATTAAGGCCGGGTAAGCTTGGAGGTGGGGCCAAGATCGCTGGGGCTGGTAGCCTTTTTTGCTTGTCTGTGATGGCCGCGAGATATGAGAGGTTTGCTTGCAGCCGTCTCATGCAATCAATATACTCCTGGCTTGGTTTCTGAGGAGGGGTTGCCCCATCTGCGCTCGAGACAGAACCTGTTTTACCCGCCTTTTGTAGATTTCCAATTTCCTCCAACAAGGTTGAGTTGATCTCGAGAAGCGTCGTCATGCGAACCTTTTCCCGTGCTACTGCCTGCGCCTGCGCTTGTAGTTGAGCCTGGGATGGACCTTGCATTTGACCCTGGGGTAGTCCTGGAGTTTGATTTTGGCCCTGGTTTGGGGTACCTGGTTGCGCCGGCTGGGAGGAATTCATCTGAGCCCGTTGCTGATTGACGAGCAAGTTGTTTGCGTTGAGGGAAGCCATGTTATGAGAGAATGTTTGCGCAACCGTGGAGGGTGTGTTCGTGGCAGGGGTGGGCTGAGAAAATTGGCCCATGTTTGCGGGCATAGTAGGTTGATTAAAAGGTGCAGAGAAATTCTCCATTTGTGCTGGGGTTATATTAGCGGGCTGATTTCCATTTGTGATAAGCATCGACATAGATTAGAGAGAAGAGAGAAGTGTTCATGTAGGCAGACGAAGAAAGAAAGAGGAGAGGAAACAAGTAAACGAATCAGAGCATCTAGGTGCCAAGGAACGTTTCAGAGCATGGCGGACGCCATCTAGCGGGAGGATCCATTCGCGTTGCAGACACTCAGGGCCAACATGTCGCGCCTGGTGCAGTACACTGAGGGTGGATGTCAAAGGCATGCCACTGGGAAAGAACAAGGGTAGCCCGCATGGGCAGGCGACCGTTGTAATGTACATGATTATGACATATGGGGCACAAAAAAAGGAGACAAAAAAAATCAACAAAGAACGGGGAAGGGGGATTGGTTAACGTACCAGTGCTCTGTTGGGGAAAGCCTGAAGGCATCATAGCTCCACCAGGAACTCCTGGCTGCATTGGCATATTGCCAAAGGAATGTTGCTGTTGTCCAGGCTGTGACGGGGCCTTGGACTGGGGGAACTGTTGGGGTATCTGATTTGGGTAGAAAGACATTTGGTTTTGGGGACTCTGCGTCGGCACGGGATAGCCAGCGGGATAGCCAGTATTAGGGTCCATTGCATAAAAGGGCGTGCCCATCACGAAGGTGGTCTATTGGCGTTAAAAGGGGGGTCAGGGCGTTCAAAGTTGGCCCGCAGTCAATCCTTCCTATTGCGAGGACGGGGGTCTTTTTCTTGCCCTTTGAATGATCCAAAAAGACCAGGGAATCAGTGGTCGATTACGCACGCGCCGCACAGACGAACGAGCGAAGGACTGGACGCAATTTCTTGACTGGCGGGAATCCAGGGATGGGCCGGGCAAATGGGCAAACGTGTGTGGATGGGAAGGGATCTAGACAATATAAAATAACAGGAAATAGCGAGTGATGATTGGCTTAGATGACAATGATAGGCCAGGGGTGCTCAAAACACGATCGCCCGCTGCTTTGACGGAGCTGGACTCGGTGCAAGACAGATTTTTGACGGGTGTGATCCGGATTCAGAGTGATCAGCCGTGGGCGGACGGGCTAATGCAGCGGAGCCTTTTTGGTTGGGAGTGGGGACACGGACCCGATGGTGGATTAGAGCTGTCTTGCTTTCTTGGGAGGATTAGTTTGATTGCTGATCTATTTCAAACCTCGATGAAGCTTGGCTGGATTTGCAAAAGGCTGCAAGACTGAATGTTGATGAGAACATGCGAGAAAGTGACTAAAAGTCACGAGAACGATGGTCACGGGACGAAAGAGTATTGTGCTAAACCGAGAAGTACTTTTGGTGACATTCAGGGAGGTAACCCCGATATTTTAGGAGGTTTAGTGGTGGCGAACTCTTGATAGGTTGAGAGTGACCAATTATTTTGGTCAAAGATCTATAAAAAAGATCAAGATGTCCACAGTTGCGGGGTGATCTCAATATATCAAAATTAGTAGCATTTTGGAAGCAACAGAGCACATGACCGGAGAGTATTTAGTGCCTTGATGCCTGAAATAGGGGGCTGACATGTGATAATTATCAAAGCCACGTGTAACTAGTTAACATATGGTGGTCCTGGATGCCTGAGGCAACAAAATAAGACACTGCATTGTTACTATATTGGAAATAGATCGATACTCGGCGTTAACCAACTCCCGAGGTCGTAATGATGCGTTCATCATGCGTCAGAGGGTTCTCAGCCGCAAACACGGGCTCATGCGCCACATATATGTACCCATTGTGGCGCAGTAATCCACAGCCCTAACAGTGTGCTTACTGGGCCAAACCTTCCAAGATTTTGGCAGCCCCACAAAGAAATCTGTAGACAAAATGGTCATTCACCTTCTCTAAAGTGCTCTATAGTTTTGGCCCTGTCCAAGGATGACTTTACCATATCTAGCATCATGCAATAAATTTGATCTTCTGTTTGCACAGTCCATGCTTCCTTTGAAGGTTCGAGTCGCCCAATCGCTGGTTACAACAAAATATATTAAGCGCAATTGATGGTTTATATACTTAATTGTATGGGGAGTACGGATTACAACAGATTCAATCAGTCGAATGAAAAAAAAAACATAAACATAGTACAATTACTGCTTGTTGAGTTCTTACTTCGGCTCCGTCACCGTACTCCGCAGAGAATAGGGATCTTGCACCGATCGGCAGTCAAAAAAAAAAAGAAATTCAAAAAAACTTGATGTATCCGTGGAACCTGCTCCTTGGCTCGTAACGGCGACTCCGAAGGGAGATCTGATATCAGATTCAACAGGAAGGCCGTTATGTGATCCAAGCGGGAAGCAAAACAACCAATTGGGGCCACCTGATCTGCAACCCGATCCGCACCCCCAGAGAGTCTAGACACGATGGTCCGTGAAGCGAAGCAGAAAATTGGCGGTAGATGAACATAATAGAGGAAGGGTTTAGATTACATTTTTTGCACACCAAATCTATGTACAAGCCCCTGGTCGTGTGCGACTACTGGGTGTCCAGGACATAAGTACGAGTACTTCGGTGCTCACTCGGTGGTAGTATCGGCGACCCACAGTTGGGCTGGGGACGGATATTATCTAGAACGGGCGTCGTGCAGCTCGCTAAAAAAAGGGGGGCGTTATGGACCAAGGAACGGTTGTATGTAAATTCAGCGCCACCAATCTCCATTTGAGAGAGATCCATTCTTTCCCAGTTTCCAGGTTATGCAAGTAGGAGATCTTTTCCATGAATGAACCAAAGCGAGAGCGAATGAGCCAGAATTAGACCCCAATAGTAGAAGAGAGGGTTAACTAAAGGGGGAATGACAGCAGCCACGTCAGCCAGCCACCGTTCAAGAATCTACCGGGTGTACATTCCCGGTCAGGAACAGTGGGTACCCATTGTCTTCGTGAACAGGGTCACCTATGAGCTGCAGAAGGCAACTGGTCCTTTTCTTTAAATAATGCCAGACATGATTCATCCCCACACATCATTTCTGACCCGTGTTACACCGCATGTTTAATATCCCGGTTCTTGAAAACAGGCGCATGAATTAAATCCTCTTAATGCACCTCAAGAAGTGACAGTCATAGGATCCCGCAAGTCCTCCCAATATTCTTATTATGAAGGGGTATGTATGTCTTTAGGACTTCAAAATCGGAATCCTATTTCAAGGGATCTACTCAAGTCTAGACCGCACTGCATACCAAATAGTAAGGATGCATGGTCCGATAGTCCAAAGCCCTATGATGCTACACAACCATGCTCAAACCTTTTGTTAAGTGAACCCTGATTATCTGGCTTAGAGTAGCTCGAGTACCGGGATATGTATACGTCAAGGCCATGCATGTTACAACCCCGCTATGCACAAAGATTTGTCAACCCTAAATTCATTGGCCCACACAGTGTTACATGACTTGCATCCGGAGAACGATGATCTATGTTCTCCGTTTTACCATGTATTCGTTCGAAAGCCGAAAACATGAGTGTCAATGCAATGTTTGCAGGGTGCGTGCCCTTAACTATCCCCAACCCCCCATGTAGAAAACTTATGGCTAGGATATTGCAGATTGCAGACCACAATAATCTTTGGTGCGGAGAAAAAAACCTCCAAGAACTTGAATATATGTAAAACTTGAATTTACATAGGGGTTTCGCCGAGCCTTGCTGGCAAGTGGATAATCTCCTATCTGAGAGAGACACAGATCCAAAGTATTACAGCATGTGGGCCATTGGTGGCGCATAGTTTCTCCGAGGAAAAAGTACCCTGGCAGTTGGATCGACATTCTTCGCTGACAGGCCTCCCGGATGGGCCTGGAGCGACTGACTTTCGGGGAGGTAGAGAGGCTATTTCCTATACGCCAACAACTAAACAAGCCCGTAGTGGGTCATATAGTGGAAAATAAAGCCACCCCCAAGGGACAGCAAACAAGGCTTTTTGAAAAATGGTAGAAACGGTGTACATAAAGACATTGAACCAAATATTTGACTGCTTTAGGGCTTCAGCTTCGGAGCTGAAAGTACAATCTAAGCCTAAAGACCGAGGGCATCCATTCGGCCGAGCTGCCCAGACCTCTCTCTGGTTTGGGTGGCAAATACATGTAGACAGAACCGCTCTATCGGAAGACGAGAAGTCAAAAGTTAGACTAAACTAAACTAAACCTAATTCAACTGAACTAAAATAAAACAAAATAAAATAAAATAAAGTAAAATAAAATAAAATGAACTAAAACAAACAAGAAAGGGGGGCAGTCTTGATGGCGATTTTGTAGGTTCGCTGTACTACATTAACTTTCGGCGAGGTTCCAGCTCCTCGCGGGGGAACAGTTGCAATGTTCGATAAGTTGTGGACCACGCGGTAAGGATCATCTTTTTTCGGTGAAGCGCGAGTTTGATCGACAATGGACGGGACTCAGCCACATCGTGGCGTGACATTTTGTTCAACAATAGTCAAGATCGTGCATCTCAACCCCAGGAACTGCTGGGGATTGTTCTTGACCAGGTATCCCTGACTTCAAAGGGCTTCATCTAGCTGGATGATATCTTAATAGAGCTACTCGTATTTAAAAACCGTTATCGTACATCAACATGCATTCCGGGGGTATCTTGCCTGGCACCGCAGTGGAGATAGGTAGAAAGCGCTATCCATGGTCGTAAACTCACAACTTTGGGACACTAGATTAGCCGCATTCCAACATTTCCCTTTTGAACGAGATGCATTTTCGATTTTTGATTATTTTTGAACAATACATTATATTATGTTTTTACAAATTTACGTGCGTGGCGCGAATTGATAGATCATCTTCAAGTATTTTTGATGGTCCCACCAGAAAAAATGACTCAAGAATTTGAGAACAAATTTAATAAACAACAAGTAGCATCTGATAGCAAAAGTTGAGCCGAATGCCAAAGATTGGATTTTCAACTATTAGACGCAAATCAATTGAAAGAGTCGCTATCGTTATGCAGATAGGTAGCAGATAGGTAGCAGACAGGAGTATTCAACTTTTGCCTCAATATCACACGCAAGGCCTACCACATATAACGCAACTTAAAACCAAGCTAGCCGCGGTGAATATTCTACATCCCAAACTCCTTCCCAAAAAGGGACAAATGCACCGGTTTATCGAATTGCACATGTGGCGTGAGCACCTGCATTTCCTGGTATTTATTATGATCATCGATGTCCCAATGAAATGAGCCACAGCAGAAGAGTGGCTGAACCAGTGAAGTCGAAGTGAATGAACCCCACACCAGCTGAAAGAATTACTTTGGTCCATGTGGATAGACTCGGGTATCGTACAGATATATCTGATCGTCTTGCATGGATGGGCCAATGCGGACCGGAAGAAAAAACAAAAAACAAAAAATGGAACCAAAAAAAGTCAAACAAGTAAAGTCTACGATATTGAATACATGAGCCACAGATCCTTAAGCCTCTAGTGGGATCTCCACTCGGCAAAGCCACACCGGTATCTGCCAAATCCCCCTCGAGCCTCTCTGGTTCCTCACGGTGTCTCCCTCTCCAAACCGGGTCATGCAAGATCCTAGTGCGGCCCGCTGGTTTGATTCGGATAGGGATGATATCTCTTTAGGTGCCTGAATCTTGAATCCGAATGATTCGTATATTTCTGCACAAAGCCGCAAAGAGAGAAAAAACGCAGTTGACTCAAAGACATACAGGAGTATCGTACTTCTGTTCTATGTTCTCAGCAGCTGGTATTGATCTGCATTCCCAAGTGTCCGTTACAACCGGCCGAGCCGTCGTAATCTACCAAAAACCCAACCTTACTTCGCGTAGATTTCTGGGGTCCAGACCCTATATTTGGGACTATCACCTCTTTTGACCGATAGATTGACACTGGTTATTCCCCAAGAAGCCGACTGGTCGGGATTTGCTGAGCCACATCCCATAAATCCGCGGTATTATCGACAGCTACTGGTCTATTGCATCCTAGCATAGTCTTAGTTTGATCCATGGTACTGGAGCGGCTCTAACGTGTATGGTAAGATCCTTTTTATCATGTAAAGTGGTAAAATGTAAAACAAAAAATTGCAATGGGCCAAGGACCGTTGTAGCTACTTCATAATATGTAGTTGTGATTTCTCCTTTTTTTGTCAAAATACAACCATTGACCACGCAGTAGATAGAGAGACATGTATGTTAAGCGTGAAGTCCCACGATCGTCAGTGATTAGGCACGAAAAGTAAGAAAAAGAAAAGAAAAGAACCGCTTTGCATGGTGCTCCACCTATCTTTAGGCCAACGGTAAGGAAATTACCGGGAAAACAGCCATGAGTGCGTGGGCTTAGTGGTCAAGCAGCCCTGTTGGGGCCGCTTTTCCCAGTATCTTAAGTCACAAGTCCGTGCTTGATCTCCCTCTCACGCAGTTCTCTCTCTGCCTTCTACAGATGAGAGTCAATTTCTCCAAACTGTCACCAGGCCCCTTCGGCCCTGCGCCCCACTGCCTGGTGGCGGACTAAAGATCGACTATATAATCTCCGTGGCAGTTCTCTAGTCTCTGTCGAGTGGGACCAGGTCGTTGTTAGCGATCTTGTTCATACTGTTGTTTGTGTGTTCCCAATCCCACAGACAATGCTCCCTGGCTGCAAACCCTCTTGGTCCTCCGTTCAGGTTACTGATTGGAGTCCCTGTTCTCTTGTCAATTCTTCAGACAAATCGAATTTTCATCCCCAAATATTGAGCTGGGGTTATATGGTACGACCGATTATTGATTGATCGTGATCTTCCGAAGATAGTCTTGAGTTGGGCAGCCAAAAGACTCACCATCATCGATAGATCCCGCCAACCATGTCAAACCAACAGGATGAGTTAACTCATCCCCATTTCGCCCTTATTTATATCGACCGCGATGGCAATCTTCGCCATGAAGCCTCGCAATCTGTCGCCAATAGTCGTGAATCTATTCTCCCCCCGAGTTACGGACGCATTTCTGCGAGCCGTGGCTAGGTCGAGGGATCCCGGCCCATCACATTCTCACTGTAAGTGTATCACATATTTGTCACTCACCTCCTCAAAAAGTTCTACAGTTCCATGGAACAGTTTGTTGACCCAATGCAGTTGAGACGGGCGCACCAGTCGCTTCGCCACGAGCAACGACGAGTGGGCAAGGTCCTGTTCCTCTCCCCCAGCTCAGCCAAGTGCCTCATATTAATGAATCCCACGGCATCGAACGACACGGGCGAGTCGTGCCTGTTCCCCAAGGACCGCCAATGGATCCGACCATGTGGCCGACTCAACGCCAGCAGGAATCATGGCCGCCATCACAATGGCCCAACCAGAGCCCGCAAAATCGACGAAGACAGCCCTGGACTGAAGAGATCAGCATGACTAGTACCCAGAAGTCATTGATTTCTATCCGAGACAAAGACTTTGTACGTCGATACTATGAAAAGGTCTTCCAAAACCTTCAACAGACCAATTGCCGTGTTCTGGCCAAAGCCTACATCAAATTGGTAGAGCCAAGGAAGCAAGTGAATTATCCATACAATGGACGAAAGCTAGTTGGTGGTAGAACTCAACAACTCGACCCAGATGAGACCAAGCCACCATGGTGGCCGTCAGGGGTAAGCCATCGAGAGCCCGATCATCTTCCAAAAGCTGGTAAGAAGACCCGCATTCTTTTCATTCGACCTTCATCTTCAAACACCGTCATCCCAAAGAACTAACCACAACAACCCTTCAAAGAACGCATCAGACTTCTTGTCCATCTACTTTGTGAACTGCGTACAAGTCACGGCATCACCGCCCATCGACTGAAGGAGGCAGACCAGCCCATTCGGCGTCAAATCGTCCCAGCCGAACGATTGCAAATAATGGATGAAGTGTACGAAGTGAGAGGGGAAGAAGAAAAGTTCATCGACGGAAAAACAGGTAATTATTTGACCTGCTACTTGAAGAAACCGCATTGTACTCATAAATAATTTTAGATGGAAAAACCCTCGTATCCATTTCACGCTCGAACCTACCCGACCCTGTAGCATCTCCAAACCTTCCAAAGCAGACCACTCGAAAGAACACACCTACCGAGGAAGCAACAGCACCCAGTCAAGACCACCTCGCCGAAACAATGTGTATTCGCGGTGGCCCGACGCGAATTCCAAGCACACCCCAAACCGCACTTGCACCGAGGGAAATCCCAACAAAAATATCACCAAATCCTCCTCTTGCATCCTCCCATAGTCCTACCCAATACACCAATCCAGAACTCCCCATCCACCCTGGTGTGGATGCCCTCCAAGTCCCCATGTCAGCCGCCTCCCTCTCAGCACAAGATTCGAGCCGAAAGCGTCAGCGCGTCGAGACGGGAATTCAACCTACTGCTCCTCCGAATCCATTGGAGTACTACACATCTTCATATGTCGGAACACAACAGCCCTTCATGCCAGAGAACTACCCTGAGCTTCAAGGATTTCCACCCCAAGATCCTATATCAGGTCAACAACAACCGCCCAACGAGTCATTTGGCGAAGATATGGACTCGTCTACATTTCCGTACTATTTTCAATACTGAGCGTTCTTGTTTCCTTAACGCTTTATGATGACGACTTTCTTTTATTGGAGTTTAATATGAGATGGAATTCTCCGATACATAGCCATTGGAACTCCGTGAATCCAAATAGTGTTCATTGGCAGGATGAAATGCCACATCTCATTGTAGCATAATAATGAGATGAAGACAAAACTACATTGGTATAAAAGTAAGGTGTCTTCATGAAGTAGCTGCCAAAATACCCAGAGCATCCATTGTTCTCACCAAATAAGATATTGAAACTTTACACATGAACTCCAATGATCTACATACTGCCTACATTAATGGAAAGCAGAACGGCAGGTATCCCCACGGAGGAACCAAAGCCTGTTCATAACGAGCAAAGCTTACCACGCTTTGAGGCAGGACTTTGCTAGCAAAAGGTCGCACAGAGGGTGTCCGAATGGCACATTTGTATGTAATTCTTTAGCCTAGCACATCTCTATGCCCCATGGGAGGCCTGAAGGGCGGACTACGCCCACATTCCCTAGATGTAAAACTGAATAACATAACATAACCCTCAGAGATCTGCATACTCATCTATGCTGGGCCTATGCACATGCAGTCGTACATAACACAAGAGTATAACCCCTTCACACCGCTACAGAGATCAGATTTGTTTCACCACGAAGAGACATATTTTAGAGGCGCGGAATTAGGACTACGGAGTTATGTTCGTATTCGTAGATTCTCCACCCCGGGCCCCTTGAGCCCCTTCAGCCCCTTAGCTGTAGTATTCGTTCATAAGACATGGCTGGCTGAATTCCGAGGTCCAGGATTGGACATGTCAGATTCAATCAATATTGAAGAAAAAATAAACACGCAAAGCTTGAGGCGAAGCGAGGCCCCTTTCAGAAACGGCTGAGCGCTCGGCAAGTTGCTCTAGAAATCATGAGCGCAATATATGTATGTATACGAATCATAATGCTGAATTTTCAGGTTCTTTTTGCCCCCACGTGGGGGGGGGGGAAGTTACTGAAGCGAAGTATCTTGAGACTTGAAGGGGTCAAATCCATATCAGTTGACTTGATCTATACAGATAAGTTTCTATGTACATGAAGAATAAGGGTATCGAACTTTTCAGGATAAGTCTCAGGACACGCCAATCGCGATGATATGCACCCGATTTGAATCGTCGCCGAAGCTAGTATAGTTTGAAGGGGACGGAGTTGAGGAGGTAGATAACCCCGCCAACGAGAGCTAGCTTGGACATGGCACGGGATAAACCCCACCAAAGTGGCAAAATCGAGATAAATGGCACCCCAACCATGGATAGTGAGGAAATTTGAAGACGGGAGAAATTAAACCTTCCAATTTCAACCCGTCTTGCGAGCCTTCATCTCGGCAATGAATGCACCAGTCTTAGAAAGCGGAACAATGAAGATGCGAACAAGCTCATCAACAACCTCAACCTTTCCACCAGTCAGAATTTGAAGCAAAGGCAACTTCTTGCCAGCCTTGATCAGACCACCCGAGACAGTCTGCATAAAGCACTCCACATTACCCACAGTATACTCCTTCTTAGTATCCCATGGCAAAGGAAAGATGTAATCCAAATGATCGGCAATAGAATGAAGTTCCGAGAAGCCCTTCACGAAGTCCGATTGGGCATCCATGGGATAAAGAAAAACAGCAGGGAACTCAACAGAGCTCTCCGGTGAAAGAGCGTCGGGAACCAATTTGATCTTCGCATCCTCCATCTCAGGTGGCTGATCAGTCTTGCGGGTTCTGATCTCGCGCGCACGCAAAGCAGTACTAAGAACGAGGTTCTTCTTGCGTGCGAGCTCTAACTCAGCCTTCTTCTTAGCGGCGACACGCTCGATAGCTGCCTTGCGGTCAGCGATCTTTTTAGCGGCAGTCTGCAAAGCCTTATTCTCTGGATCGACGACTAGACCTCTAGCAGCGGCGTCTTCGGCTTCGTCAACTCTTTCGAGTTTCAGCAAGGCCATTGAAGAGCGGTAGTAAGCTTTGACGTTTTTGGGGTTCAACTTGATAGTAGCGGCACAGTCAAGAGTGCAAGCGCGATAGTTGCCTGTTTAAAAGAAAATAGAGCGAATTGTTAGTTATAGATCAACATGGCGATGTGTGATCATACATACCCAGTTCAAGATTACACAAAGCCCGATTGATATGCGACGCCTCTTCCAGCTGACGCAGCAACTTTTTCTCTTCATCAAGGCTCTCCGGCTTTTCCCATTTATCTTCCTTGGCGTAAATAACCGCAATACTCTTCGTGTACATCTCCTTAGCGTCGATCCATCGCTTTTCTGAAACAGCCTCATTACCCTGTCCCTTGAAGCTCTGCGCAACCTCGCCACGGGTACCCTCATTCTGCAGCGCAGTGAGCGCATCGAGTAAAGTGTTCTCGCCATCTATAAAAAACAAAATAAACATTAGCGACACAAGTTCCATGACAACAGTTTTCTGTACAAAGATCAGACATACTCTCATCGCCCGCATTCTCAATATCCGTCATGAACAGCGGTGTCTTATTCATCATTGTCAAAAGCTCTTCTTTAGAATGCGATTTGATCGAAGCCATCGCAGGAGGCATATCAGGCGCAGAGGGATCATTTTGCATCTCCTTCAAGCGCTCTTCGTTGATTGGGAACGGTGCTTCAGTTGACGCGAATCCATCGAATCCGGCGGCCCCGGGCTGCGGTAGGTCTTGAGTGACCTCTGGAGGGGCCTGGTTGAGGTCAAGTGACTCGTCGAAGTCATCGGGAAGTTCTTCAATCCGCGACATTTTGAATATAGTGCGAGAGATTCTGGATGTCTCTTTTGCACTTTTTTCTTTTTCCTTTGGAGATTGATTAGTGAGACTCCGCGGGGAAGAAATTCAAGAACAAACAGTGCAAACACGAGGGGGACTGAGCGGTGAAATCACATGCAAAAAGAGAGCCCTATGACTGCAGCCCGATTTACCAGGTGTCTACTAAATAACTGTTAACTTAACTAATAACTAGTTATACGAACTACTGTAGTTATAAAGCTGCATCCATTTCCATTGGTAGGTAATGTCTTGAGCATGCCCCCAACTATGTGTTTAGTCTACAATGGTAAGCCAGAAAGAGAGAATATTGAAAATAACATATATTAAAGAAGTTTCCACATCAATAAAACCATAGACTTACTATACACCCCCATAAAATAAGGGAATTCAATCCCGCGGTGGATACCGATGCCGGCAACAAAGTACCCATGATATAGTCCCTGTGGATATAATCGACCAAGAAACCCATTAACAAATGAATCTCTGCGCCAAGTAAAGAAGCATTAAATAGAACCACCTCCGCATATCGGACCAAGACATCGGGGCTCGCCCGAACACCTCAACCCCGCATTAATCGGACGAAACCCCGAGACCAATAGCCTATAAAGCAAATGCGGAGTATATACAACCTTGGAATGCTCAATCAAAATCAATAAACCTAACCCGAACCAAGTTAAGCCAGAAACATTGAATACCTACATCATAACTTGAATTTACTCAAACCAACAAAATGGCCCAAACACACAATCACAAAATCCTCATCCTCCCCGGCGACGGCATCGGCCCCGAAGTAATGACCGAAGCAATAAAAGTGCTTAAAGCCTTCTCCAGCCCAAAACACACCTTCACCCTCCGCCAAGAACTGATAGGCGGCTGCAGCATTGATGCAACCGGCCAGACAATCACAGAAGAAGTAAAGGCAGCAGCATTAGACTCAGACGCCGTGCTTTTCGCAGCAGTCGGAGGACCGAAATGGGATAATGCGCGGAAGGGCCTAGATGGACCGGAAGGGGGACTGTTACAGCTTCGAAAGGCGATGGATATTTATGCTAATTTGAGGCCTTGTTCTGCTGATTCACCGAGTGTTTCTATTGCGAGGGAGTTTAGTCCTTTTCGAGCAGAGGTTATTGAGGGGGTGGATTTTGTGGTTGTGAGAGAGAATTGTGGAGGTGCTTATTTTGGACGGAAGGTTGAGGAACCTACATATGGTTCGTTGATTCTTTCTTTTTTCTTTCTTTCTTTCTTTCTTTCATTCTTTCAGTATCATTTTTAAGACTTTTAAGCTAACGTATATGCACAGCCATGGATGAATGGGGATACAGCGAAGCCGAAATACAACGCATAACCCGTTTATCCGCAGAAATAGCACTCCGTCACACTCCCCCCTGGCCAGTAATCTCACTAGACAAAGCGAACGTACTTGCCTCATCACGACTCTGGCGCCGAGTCGTGACAAAGACAATGTGTGAAGAATATCCTCAAGTGAAACTAGTGCATCAACTAGCCGACTCCGCATCATTGATTATGGCCGTGAACCCACGGGCCTTGAATGGTGTTATCCTCGCCGATAACACATTTGGAGATATGCTTTCTGATCAGGCGGGATCGATTGTGGGAACGTTGGGAGTTCTTCCTAGTGCTAGTTTGAATGGGTTACCGGGGGATAAGACGTTGAAGACGCGGCCGTATGGACTTTATGAGCCGACGCATGGGTCTGCACCGGAGTAAGTTTGTTTTTAAGATTCAAAGAACGAGATATGACTAACTGGGATTAGTATTGCTGGGAAAAATATTGCTAATCCTGTGGCTATGATTCTGTGTGTTGCTTTGATGTTTCGGTATTCGTTGAATATGGAAGAGGAGGCGCAGCGGGTGGAAAATGCTGTGCGTAAAGTGTTGGATTCTGGAGTGCGGACGCCTGATTTGAGAGGGAAGGCAGGGACTTCGGAGGTTGGAGATGCAATTGTGGCTGCTTTGTAGACATCATTGTGTAGGTGGTTGAGTACATTGATAGTTTCATTTCATGAAGATGCTATAATTGATATACAATGGATAGTTTACCGAGAATGTATCTCTTTCAAATTATAGACGAATCGATTTAAGCAATCCTCATCTGTATTGAACCAAGAGCATATTTACTCTAAGATATCCAATATCAAACAAATATCCAAAACAATGAAATGAGGCCAACTTACCAACTTGTTTGCCTGGTCAAAGAAAAGTCTGTTTGAACGCGGCTCCAACGATTTCGCCTCATCTTCTCTGAACTTCCCTCTTCTCTCATTGCTCATTTCTCATTTCTTCCAACCACCAACCATCTACGAAACTCACAAGCATCCCAGCCCAAAATCCACTCCCACCAAATTACCAGCACAATGAAACAACAAACCAAGTCCAAATACCAATTCTTACGATTCAAAACACTACAACCAAATCACTCATCTACAAAGCGACCAGACAAAATGGCATCATTCAACCCCAACAAACCTGAGACCAACACCAGCTCCGCACCAATCGCATACCGCCTCACAGGACTAGAGACCTGGAATCCAAAAGCCAAGTCCGACACAATGTCCTCTATCGCAGACGACATCCGCGCAACATTCATGTGCATCGCGCAACACATGGAAGCAGGAAAGCTCACCCACAACCAAACACAATCTATCGACACTGTGATTGAGACAATCCGGGGCACAGAAGTGGCTAATCGACGAGCACTGGAGCGCAGAACGCAACGATTGCGAAGGGAGAAAGAACATGTGAAGCGGGAGTATCGGGTGTTAGTGCGGGAGGCTGAGAAATTGGGACTAGCTTATCAAGCTAAAGTGCAGGAGTTGATGGGGTTGAATCGGGGGTTGATGGTGGAGACGGGGGAATTGAGAGCTGAGAAGGAGATGTTGCGGTTGCGGCTTGAGGCGAAGAAGAGGGAAATTGTGGGAAATGAGGTTGATGGAGTGAAAGTCAAAGTGATTGTGGATGTGGATTTGGAGGTTGATGATGTTGATGAAGAGATGGTTTGATGCATGTTTGATTTCATCTGGTCCAGATAGAAAGGGATGGTTGTAATCTAGAATATTCTGAGTCGCATACAGACCATAAATGAACCTGAAATCATGCAGAATCATGCCTCGATCATTATGCATATTGAAAACACGGGATATCTGAAGTAAAGTCGGCTTCCAAGTTCCGAGGCTTAGAATCCACTGGGCCGACGGCATTTGAAACCCAGAGAATGCAATCTGCAATTCATCAGACTCGACTGTAAATGGCGATATTCGGGTTCCAAGGATCAAAGTTGCTCATCTGAACAGAACTCTGGCATAGTCCGATCTGATCCGATCATATTCGGGATGGTTGACTGTAGACTGCAGACTGCAGACTGTAGTCTGATTCTATCAGGTTGATCATGCAATAACCAGTGGCAAAGCGTGTGTTTGACTGTACCTTATCGCCCGAAAAACGACCTCGGCATAACGTGAGTGGATCCACTCCTGGTCCCCTTCATGTGGAGAGTATTAGAAAAGTCCCTTTTCTTCAAGTTCCCAAGTTCCCAAGTTCCTCTTTGTATCCTTTTCTCTTGCTCATAGAACAGAAACTCTCATCCATATACGCTCTATCAGAGTTTGTGATCCGATCTTTGCGTACAACCCATACAAACCGTACAAACTCACCGCCAACGTCACTATCGGCCGAAAGGATGAGCGCTCCCCATGATTATGACGCTGTCCGTAAGGACATTGTCGCCCAGCTACAGAAGCCAGGCTACGACGATGGGAGTGCAGGACCAGTCTTCGTCCGACTAGCATGGTAAGTTGACAGATCATATCTCTCTGGCCTTGCAGGAAAATAAAATCCCATTGTCCAAACGCGCCTCGCACAGCGAGCAGTGGCAACCAGAACCAGCCCCCAACAATGCAATGCGACCGACAACACACACTCAAAAAGAGCCCATGACTAACCACAAATTCTCATCCAGGCACTCTTCCGGTACATATGACCTCGAATCCGACACAGGCGGCTCCAACGGCGCCGGCATGCGCTACGAAGCAGAAGGCGGCGACCCAGCGAACGCAGGCCTCCAACACGGTCGCGCATTCCTCGAACCCGTCAAACAAAAACATCCCTGGATCACATACTCCGATCTCTGGACCCTAGCCGGCGTAGTAGCCATAAAAGAGTTAGGTGGACCTTCCATCCCCTGGTCCGGCGGCCGAACAGATCTAGTAAGCGACTCCAAAGTCCCGCCTAGAGGCCGACTCCCCGATGGTGCTTTAGGCGCCGAGCATCTCCGCTTCATCTTCAATCGAATGGGCTTCAACGACCAGGAGATTGTCGCGTTAGCCGGTGGACATAATCTGGGTCGATGCCATGGGGATCGTAGTGGATTTGAAGGACCGTGGGTTACGAACCCAACACGGTTTTCGAATTCATTCTTTAAGCTTTTGTTATCGCTTGATTGGAAGCCGAGGACGTTGACGACGGGGATGTCTCAGTTTGTGTATGAGGATCCTGATGCTGAGGAGGATGAGGAACCGCTGATGATGTTGCCGACTGATATGGCGCTGAAGACTGATCCGGGTTTCTTGCCTTGGGTGGAGAAGTATGCGAATGATAAGGAGTTGTTCTTTGATCATTTCTCGAAGGTTTTTGCGAAGTTGGTTGAGCTTGGTATTAAGCGTGATGAGAAGGGTGTGATTATCAATACTGATAATCAGATGGGTGGGTATGTCTCTGCGCCGAAGAAGAGTGATGTGGCTACTGGGCCTAGTAAGAAGAAGAGCGAACCTCGTGCTCGTCTTTGATTTTGCTTACTCTGTCGTGTTTGCCCTTCCTTTCCCTTTCCCTTTCCTATGTTAATTCCCCGATGTGTTGATAGAATTGGCTGTTGTTATTTGGCCAAGTTCAAACTTGTAAATAGATCATAGATCATGAGCGAAGGATTGTTAATCTTGAAAGACCGCCTAAGCAGCTCCAGCCCTTGTCCAGTAGACTTGTAGCATTGTAGTGATTTCCAATGTCTACCCCTGTATCCAAGCGTAAGTGAAGAATGGCTGTTAATAATTGAAAGTCAGTTCCCAACAAGTAAACAGATACATATACAGCGCATAAAACAAAACCATTTCCACCAAAATAAGCACCTCAAGGCCAGTTACAAGAAAAACACCAACAAAAACAGAGAAGAAAGAGTGAAGAGTTGGGAACAGGCCAAGTCCGGGGTATGATGGAATAATATGATGGGGAAGCGGGGGCCGCCAGTCGCACGGACACCGGTATCTAAACCGAGTACAGCGAGATATTTAATAGCATCGTTATGATTGGCACAGAGACCCCATACAACTCCATCGACTAGTATCACGCTCGTTTCTATACTAGCCGTGCCTTACCCTACGGTCTGGACACCAAACGCGTGTACCCGCATTTGGTGTCCCGCAGCGCAATGCAATTCTCACCGCAATGCAATTTTTCTTTTTACACATCTTTATCGCCACAACATACTACCTTAACTATGCCCGATTCTACTGAAACTGAGGTATCTCGTGTAAATGAGGCCGTGCAATTCGCTCGAAGCAAAAAAACGCCAAATTTACGCGAGGTCGCGCGGAAATTTGGCGTTAATTACAATTTGTTATGGCGTCGTGTCAAACGGAATATAAGGCCAAAAACAGAGATAAAACCATCAAATTACACCCTAAATGCCCGGCAGGAGAAGGCTTTAGGCTATTGGATAAAGGCTCTGGATGCTTCTTTCCTCCCCCCGACGCCCGCTATTATAGAATATTGGGCTAATGCTACGCTGGCCCGGTCAAAGACACCAGATCGGACGGTTGGAAAAGATTGGGTATATCGCTATATTAGACGTTTCCCAGATACAGAAATGAAGCTTAGAAGGCAAAAAATCATTGATTCTAAGCGTCTAGGGTATATGGACGTCGCAGAGCTATATCATTGGTATGATTTATTGGCCAAAGCTCTTGAAGGTATAAAGCCACAGAATATCTACAATTTTGATGAAACTGGCTTTCAAATTGGGCAAGGAAGGACTCGCCGAGTGTTTACTAGTAAACCAGGCAAAGCTACAGACCTTTCCAGCACAGAGCACGGTGAAAGGGTTACAGTCGCAGAATGTATCGCGGCTGATGGTTGGCGAATGCAGCCCTTAATCATCTTTAAAGGAGTGCATCATATGGAGTCGTGGTATGACCACGAAATACCTGATGAATGGATAACTGCGACCGCAGAAAAAGGCTATATCGTTGATAAGCTTGCTGTGCGTTGGATGGAAGAATTTGACCGAGAAACACGCGGTCGCGTCCAAAAAGGAGAACAACGTATTCTCTTAGTCGATGGCTGTGGCTCACATCTGACATTTGAATTTCTTGATACTGCGACTAAAGCAGGTATTAAAATCTTTGGATTTCCGCCAAATCGAACAAACTATCTTCAACCTCTTGATGGTAAGCCTTTTCAGGCTTATAAGGCTTATTTTAAGACGCAAAATAACCTTATTTCTCAATGGGGTGGAGGTCTTCTTGCATCAAAATCATCCTTCTTAAACGACCTTTACCAATTCCGTAACAAAGCCCTTACACCCCGGATGTGTCGGAATGCCTTTTTAGATCGAGGAATTTATCCAGTTGACGCAAAAAAAGTTTGTGAGAGTCTCGAAAATACTCTTCCTCCTATCCCAGATATCGAAATTGATCTATCGGGAAAGAAAACACCCTCTCCAGAACCAGCCCTTTTATCATCAAGTTTGGAAAATACACCTTCAAAAACCTTCAGAGATATTGAAAAAAGACAGAAACATCTCTCTCCTCTTCTCTGCCGGCCTGATTTAACGCCCAAAGAGAAAAAAACACTTGCACAGGTTCTAGATAAGCAAGAATTCTATTTTAACGCCTTAGCCAATACTACGGCTACTATACGAGAAATGGCCGCCATCCGAGCCCCACGAGAAAAAAAAACTACTAGACGGCGTATTATGGGCCTTAGTGAGGATAGTGTGATACGTGTTAAAGATACTAAACGTAGCATAGCTGAGAGGAAGGCAAAAGAAGTTAAAAAAGATGAAAGACGTACGGCAAGGGAGATGGAGAAAAAGTACGGTCCAGCGGCCCTCTCACGTGAGAAAGTCGCTGAGATGGAGGCAAACGCAGAGCCGATATACGATGACTCGGGAGAGGTCATTGCTTTTTGTGATTAATTCTAAATTGCTAAGAAAATTGTATGTAAAGACGAAAAAATTGCATTGCGGTGAGAATTGCATTGCGCTGCGGGACACCAAATGGGGCCCCACTCATTTGGTGTCCAGACCGTAGGGTAAGGCACGGCTAGTACATACTCATGTCGGAGCCATTTTCCAGCGAGTTTTCCGTGGGATTCATTCACAAGGTTTTATTAATACGTTGCGTAGCCGAGAAGCATAGTATAAGCATAAGTACAGGAATTTATTCATATAAAGCATAAAACATTCAAATCGTCAATTACTCAATAGATACTACGCAAAGCAAATACTAGTATAATTAAATCACACTATTCACTCTTTCTTCTTTCCGTTCTCATCTCTCTCCATCAAGTCCGAGGCTGTTAATGTTGCATCCCCGACCCAGAAGGCCCCTGCTCCAATGTCTCCGAAAACCGCGCCGTCTTTGGAGCTGCTCGAACCAGTGGGCTTCGAAGGGCCCCGCGCAGAGGACTGATTGGTGATACTAATGTGGAACGAATCGAGTTCTCACTTTTGTTGGCCGCAATGCTTGTTGGTTGACGTGGAGAAGCATCATTTTTACCGGGTTCTGATTTCGAACCTAAGATGCTTTAATAATGAGTTTGGGACAGAGTACTAATATGAGTAGAAATAAAATAAATACCTTTATCTTTAGCCGATTTTGATTTGGAGACTCGCAATGGACTCGGATTTGTAGTCGTCTTCTTAATCTTCTTCTTCTCCTTCTCCTTACTTGTACTCTTCTTTTCTCCACTTGATTTCTTTGGTATTTGGCCATTATCTTGCTTATCATTTGACTTCTTCGTCTTATCCGTACTATCTTCGGCTGAATCATTGCTTCTTGTATTTCTATCATTCGACCTAGCTGAATGAATCCTGGGAGAAGGGGAAGTCGTCGTTCGGGGGGAAGGATTTCCACCTCTGCTTCCCCTGTATGAAGTCACCTCAGGAGTCCCCCTACTCACGCTTGAGGGCGGAGAAGGAAAGTTCGAGGTTGAGCTGACAGCAGGTACCAGGCTGCCCCTCCATGTCTTCATGCTATCATCGTCTGCCTTGGCCTTTTCCTTTTTCTTTTTAGAGTCTTTAGTCTTCTTCTTTTGGCGCTTGGCATGTTCATCTGCCATATGGCCCTTCAATTCAGATCTTGTCTTCCTTTTCTTATCCTTGATCTCTTCCTCGACTTGCTTCACGGTGTCCATTTCTTCGTTTGTTTTCTTCCGGCGCTTAGCCTCCTCTTTCTCCTTTCTAGGTAGAGCTCTTTTGCGCCTGGTTTCAGCTCCCTCTTTCTTATCTTTCTTCTTCATAATTTCTTGGCTCTCGGCACGACGCTCTTTCACGTTCGGACTGGTCGGGCTTTTTATAACGCGATTGTTATCAGGACTCTTAGATAAGACAGATGGTGTACGTCGAGGACTATAGGGATAATATCTGCTTTTCGGACTCTCTTGATAAATCTCCGAAGAGCGACGACCAGGTCTATCGAAGGAATCAGGCCTTGCGCCACCGAAGCCATATGGCGTTCGATTTGGACCCATTGGCGTTACCTCCGTACCGAATGGTATATCATCCCAACCAAAAGGCCTTCCCCATCCATTTGGCTTCAGAGGCCTATTAGGACTAGGCCAGTGATCAAAGGGCTTTGCCGGGCTCGTATGACGACTGTTTGGTACAGTATGGGAAGGCTCAGAACGTGGAAGCATTGGGAAGTTAAGAGCACCATGATCACCTGGCACACCATTCGGCCAGAGTTCAGGAAGATGTGAAAGGCTACCCGGAGTGTCCAGAATGCCATCAAACAAATTTGTGTATTCCTCGGGCATTACATTACCATCAACTGGTGGCCATATATTTGCCAGGTTCTCGTATGTCTGCCCCTGGAGCATTTCTTGGTCGGATTCATCCCCATCCTCATCCTCATCATCACCTTCTTCCAAAACTTCATCGAAAATATGAGCAGCGATAAGCCGTTTCTCATTGACCAAGCTGTCCATAAAGCGGAACGAGGGATCATCCGTGTTGGCCGCAATCCGGTGGTCCCAAGGACTGTGTCTATCTAGTACAGGATATCCAGCTTTCACTATTGACTCAAGATTCTGAACAGTGATCACGGCGCTTTGTAGCATAACCTCAGGAGGATTCATGACACGCTCATAGGCTCCGATCAAAAATCCGATCGTTGTCCAATCGGGTGGAACACGCTCGGTCTCATGCGTTGGCTGAATTCCACCAAAAAACGCACCTCCACTTACTTGGTCATCGAACATGGCAACCTCAAAACGCTCCTTATTACCTCTCTCCTGATCTGACCAGTAAAGTCGCACATGGTCGTCTTGATGATAAACACCTCCCAGCCAACGATAAGTAGCTACTTTATCTTCCCCGGTTGGATCAATATATCGAAAGCGAACATCGCTCGTATGATTAATGATACGAGCACGTACACCCGCATAATTTGAAACAATCATTCGTGGTGGAAGTTCATGAATTCTTGTTTCCCATTGATCTTGACGTGCACCACACTGTGGACAATCACCCAACCTCTTCTTATATAAAGTTCTTTCGATCAATTCCTGCAGCCACACGCCATCCCTATCACTGTCTTGCATTGCAGGCAACACACAGTTAGCGTACTTATTTACCTCCGCCACCTGCATGTTGGTACAAGGGCACGCGTTGTAAATATCTGTAAAACGGAAGTAAAATTGTGCCATATTTCTTGTGGACTCTGCCCAAACAGCCCAAACAGGACAAGACTCAGTCATTTTGATAGAGGGGTAAATGTTACAGAGCTTCTGTCTGAACATGTCTCGGATTTGTATATTTTGTTGCGGCTCAAGCGCATCCCAGTTGGTATTTGTGACCTCAATAAAAGCGTGTTCCAGATCAGTCAGATCGAGAAATCGCGGGCTTTCACGATCTATTCTTGTGCATCCAGCCTGGAGTAAGGAGCCTAACATAATGACACAATCTATGGCACAGGATTTATTACTCCAGATCGGTCCGCGGCCTCGGTATGGATAAAGACAGGTAGATTTTCGATCAAATTCAAGTGTAGAGGGATTAAGTCTGAGATGCGAATAAGCTGGATAGGCATGAAGTTGAACTTGCTTCAGGTCCGCCTCTGAATTGGCAGTCCCGTATGGAGGTTTGTCAGCTTTTGCCGGGGCATCAGGAGATCGTTCCAGATGCCTGTATGTGAAGTGCACAATAGCCCTTTCCAGAGATTCTGTGAGAGGCTGGTAATTGAAAGGAAATTGAGGAGCCTCAATGACAGGGGAAATACCACGTGGCGTGAAAGCTCTCGCAGCGTTGGGGTCCGGTGTTACGGGTCGGATCATGATATCTCTCTTCTTTTTTTGTGGTGATTCCGGCACTGGTACTTTTGGCATCGGACCTTCCATAGAAAATGCATGTCTTATCTGCGGTAACGTTGGTACAACCACCATTATTGGCAAAAGATATCGCTCAATATCAATATCAGCGACATGCCAAGCTGCATCATTAGGTCGCAAATAACCCGGACACACAGGTCTATAAGGATCCGGTCTCACTGGATGAAGCCGGCTAATCGGCCCAACGTCCTCTTCATGATAATCCCATTTTATAAGGCGGGGACCACTGTCTCGTTGCAAATTGTATAGATCAGCGAAGAATTTTGGATGGAATTTCTTCGGCACATAGTAATGGTACTTCCATACAGCTCGCATAATCAGCAACTTGGTCGGGCTTTTCTCCTCTGTCCAGTGAATTCCCCATAACTGCAAATGAGCCATCGTCTGTAAAGCGGAGAATTTGTGGTTTCTACCCTCGACCTTGTCGAATGGTTTTTCAAGAAACACCCAATCATCTGGAGGATCGTCGAGTTGCGTTAAGTCGAAACGGTACCTGGGTCCAGGAGGAAGATCGAGCGTTGCCAGTACTTTGGCAAAGTGCTCTTTCTTATTATTTTGAAAATAGACTTTTTTGGGAGAAGCAAAATCAATGTCCGGAATCATCTTGGCGTATTGGTCTGTGTATAGTCTGTTGTAGGAAGATTTGTAGGACAAGAGAAGATATTGGTTTACAAGTAGGTGTAACGGCGTTAAAGAGCCAAAGTCGTTGGTAGTATTTCAAAAAGAAGAGAAAGGCCACTTGACAAGCATAATTCGAAATGAAAAGGTTCTGCGAGGAATTACATTCCTTTATGTGACGGAGAAGGGGTCTCTTCCAAACAATACGCCTTAGGTCGAAGACAAAGAAGAAAACCACACAACTCGAGAACCGAAAGACTTGGAATACCATGACAAAGTATAGGTTTCTGGTAATGCGTTTCTAAAATTGGCACTTCAGAATCATTCACAAGGTCATGAAAGAGGACCATTCTCCGTGGCTTTGATCTCAAGCCACGACTGACATGGAGATGGAATTCAATAGAAGTGGTTTCATTTAAGATAACTTTTCATAGCTCTACTTCAATGAGAACAAAGAGAAAGCCTTGGATGATCTTGTGGGCTTCACTCACATCGGATACCAATGCCAGAGGGACAAGTATTTCCAGGTTGTACATGTTGATATTGCCAACATGTTGTCGATCCTAAGTCGGGTCTGGGTTATGAGGTTATGAAAATCGTGGAAATATGTCAGACTCCGCGGTAGAACATGCATTGTTATTAGTGCCTTAAAATTATCATAGAATGATCCTTCAAGTTCTACAGCCTTTTGGTGATCAAAGGATGCTGTCGAGGAAAGAAGAGTTGGATCATAGTTGCTCAAAGGAACCTTAAAGCGTGAACGAGGAATAACCGTGGAACCACATCGATGTTAAATACCAGTATTACACGCAATTAAATTTGTGTGCAATATACAATCTTACAATCCTGCAATACAGACCAAATCACGTGTAGAATCATGTGATCGGCTCATTGATCACCTAATCAAATCCACCCAAATACGTACTAGCGTCAATCAAGCGAGAAGTCACACACAACCAATACCAAATACGGTTAGCGTTCCAATTACCCGATCCCACAACGGACAGCAAAGTAACTCGAGACTTCCTCCTCTCCATCCCTTTGTCGACAAGTCATCGCGAGAGTTCGCGCCAATTCGCCCATCATGTGTACGTTCTCTATCCCACGCCCGCACCGAATCCTATGAAATGCAACATACACCACAACCCTTATTGCTGGAATTTTGAAGAATAGCGACGACGATAATGAAAAAAGGGAATAATTGAGCTAACCTGTTCTCTTTTCTCTCTCAGCGCTCGTGTCCGGCGAGAAGACGAACTTCCAGTACATTCTGCGTTTGCTCAACACCAACGTCGATGGCAAGCAGAAGATCATGTACGCCTTGACCCAGATCAAGGGTGTTGGTCGTCGTTACTCCAACCTGGTCTGCAAGAAGGCCGATGTCGATCTCAGCAAGCGGTACGTTCGAAATATATCACAACACTGGCGAAAATACTCTGCAATGTTCTCGACTTGAATTTTGAATGCAATGGGATGGAATGAATGAACGCACGAACGAACGAATGAATTATTGGCAACGGGGAACGGATACTCGTGAAACACCACGTTCTTCAAAATTCATTATGGAAGAGGGGGAACGCACAACAAAACATTCAAACTCAACCCCGCTTCATATTCAAGAATAGGACATTGCAGAGTCCTAAGTCAATCTTTAAAATCGTTACTCTACAGAAATGCTGACGGATTCTATACACAGTGCTGGTGAGCTCACCACCGAAGAGCTGGAGCGTATCGTCACCATTCTCCAGACCCCCACCCAGTACAAGATCCCTACCTGGTTCTTGAACAGACAGCGCGACATCACCGACGGCAAGGACCACCAGGTGGTTTCCAACGGTCTTGACAGCAAGCTCCGTGAGGATCTCGAGCGCCTCAAGAAGATCCGCTCCCACCGCGGTCTCCGTCACTACTGGGGTCTCCGTGTCCGTGGTCAGCACACCAAGACCACTGGCCGTCGTGGACGCACCGTCGGTGTGTCCAAGAAGAAGGGCTAAACAATTCGTCTTGTCACTTTTTCTGGGGGCTTTTTTTGGAGGGATTCCTTATTTGTCGGTGTGTTTTCTATGGGCATCTGTGGGATCTTTTTTTCCCCGCTGGCTATTAGGTGTGAAGCCAGTTTTAAAAATTGAAAATGAATCATACCAAATGAAATGACCGATTGATTTTTTATTTTCTTTGCGTATGTTGGTGGGCTTCTAATGCCTTGTCTCTTGTCTGTAGTTTTGGTAGTAGCTTGGTGTGAAGGTCGAAACTCAATCATTTCACCCTTAACATGCGTAGATCTTGCATCTTGTGTTACATCTCGTGTGTAATCATGCTTAGCCTTGTAATTGCTACTGCTCCACCTAGTACTTATCTTGCTGTGTCGGTGGGGTCGACGACTTCAACCAACGTCCTACAAAATTGAATTTCCTCGTGATCTTTGGCTCTATCTAGTTCACAGAAATATTCTCCTTCCTTAATGTCTTCTACCAAAGAAACTTGACGAAGCTTTCCAGAACCTCTCAAGTGTCTAAAGCATTGGAAGTACGTCTCTGACGATTTTCAAAAGCCACAAAGAACTTGAGATGTTTTTTTTAGTTGAGAATTGCTACTTGTAATACATTAAGGGCCTAAGTTAGTGGTATAGGTAGATATGTGATTAAAATAGGCATGCATTTGCAATATCTGAGCGCGTATATACTTGGCATTAATCAAGCCGCGACGGCAAGACCAGAGAAACTGCAAATCAAATCGACTCTAATTGAAACTCCATCAGACTCTGCGTAGTTGCACATTGTACGTGAAAATGGTCTAGACCAAGATATTCAAAGCAGATAGGAAGGGAAGCAAAAATTCAATGCAGATAAGGTAATCGTCTGGTAATAAGACCGTCAAGGCCCTTAGAACCACTCACCACCGAGCCAGCGGTTGAAGAACTCCAAGCTAGACTCAGGTTGGTCCATGGGAACCATGTGGCCAGCGCCATACAGACGCATGAAGGTGAAGTTACCGTGGGACTTGATTTGACCGATCTTCTTGCCCTTGTGCTCTTGCTGCTCAATGACAAGATCCTCCAGCTCAAGGGAGGCGTACTCCTGCTGACCAGGCCACTCAAGAGCCTCGGTCCAGGCCTTGTTACCAAGCCAGTTGCAGATGAAGTCAGCATCACCGGCATAGATGAGGACGGGGATCTGCTCGAGAATACCAGGGACAAGACGGTGGTAGGGCTTCATCCAGTCACCGTGGAAGAGGAAGTCACGGTTAATGTCCATGTTGCAGCTTTCGTAGCCATCGGTCTCGGCACCGAGGGCATCGCGCACACTCTTCTGGTTGAGGTACTCGCTCACGTAGCCCATGTCTGGGTAGCACAAGTTGCTAGGGTCCTCACACTTGCCGCGAACATCGTAGACATTCTGGCCGGTCTGCTGGTATGGGGCCATCATAACATTGTTACAGTAGATTGAGGCAGGGACACAGATCCATGCACTCTCGGAGTTGTAGCAAGACTCAATCATGGACTGGCAACGAGGAAGGGCATTGTCCATAGACCGGCAGGAGCTCTCATCCAGAACAGCTGGGTATCCACCCTCACCACAGGCCATTGGGCGGTAGTACTCGTACTGGGTTAGGCCATCAGTCAAACCGTTACCAATGAGCACGGACTTGAGGTTGATATTGCGGTCCTTGTGAGAGAGAATTTCCGATGCAAAAACAGGGATGTAGTGGCCGGCATAGGACTCGCCAGCAATGTGGAAGTCCTGCTTAGCATACTCGGGGAAGTTCTTGAAGAACAGGGAGAGAAGGGCGTAAACGTCCTTGCCTGCGGCCACAGTGTCGGTGACGGGTGAGCCACTGTAGGAGTAACCAACGTTGACGGGCTGGTCCAGGAAGATCACGGAAGCATTGGAGTTCCAGGCAAATTCATTGTAGACGGTTTCGATCTTCTTGTTGATGGAGCTAGGTCCAAGCTCCACGAACAGACCAGTCAGGGAAGAGCAACCGGGACCACCGTTCAGCCAAAGGACAACGGGGTCATTTGCAGGGTCGTTGCGAGACTCGAAGAACCCTGTAAGATAACTTTGTAAGTAAAATGAATATGAGAGCTAAGCTTGGTTCAGATAAAGCTTACAGTAGAACAAGTGCTTATCGTTATCGTTATCATCCAGATAACCGCTGTACTGTTTGACACCAGGGTCAATGCCCAGAGCGCTGGGGTCGACCTTCTTCACACGAAGATCATAGGCTTCGAGCTTTCCGCCAACTTCGCGGTGCTTCTCGCCATCGGTACCTTCGACCCAGATCTTCTGCAAGTCAGCGCCACGAACAACCTGGTCCCAGTGGGAATCCGGTCGGCGGGTGTGCTTCTTGGGGAGCGACAGCATGGGACTGTGGTCCATATGAGGGAAAAGGTTGGAGACCTCCTCCCACATTTCACCAGCCTCATTAGAGAGGGTCTTCAAATGATCCTGGAGCTTCTGAAGGGGCTTCGAGAGGATATCCTCAGCTTCCGAAGCCACGGCCTCCTTGTGCTCATACAGGCCGTTCATGACTTGCTGCACGGGTGGGACAGCCGCCGAAGCAGCTCCCACCAGCAAAGTGGCAGGGAGAAGTCTCATTCTGAATGATTCGTGATGAGAAAGAAAGTAAAGATGATGTTAATGATAGCTTGTTTGACAGTGGGTACCGGAGGGTCTAGGCGGTTGCTTATCAGTACATGTGCTCATCAAAAACAATCGTCAAGCTCAAAGTGAAGGGAAGGGGTATGAATAGAACTTACAGGAACCGGGATACCCAATAAGAATGGAAAATGATAAGAAAAACGGTTAGGTGATGACAGTGACAGGGACCTGTACTCTCGTGAGGAGAAGAGAGGGGGGGACCCTTGGAGGAGAGATAGGAACGATGCGGACCTGACCGTGGCTGACTCATCTGGACTCATGACGGAGTCTGTTTGCGGGGGCGGGGATCACGTGCAGCCAACCGATCTGCGCCTTTGCAATTTTTGGTTCGTCATTTCGGCCAGAAACAAGCTGAATGTATACCTCGTCACTCGTTCTTGGACTCACTTTAGATTTACGACACGGAATATATTGAAAAACCGGCTTTTCGCTTCTCTCTCTCTGTCTCTATTTTTGGCCTGAACCTTATCCTCTCTACGTTTTTATCTCGAATTTTGAAGCCCGCGCCTTGCGGCTTCCCTCGCCATGCCGATTAACCAACCCTCCAACCAAATCAAATTCACAAATGTGTCTATTGTTCGACTAAAGAAGGGTGAGCGCAAGATAACTTATTATGTGTTCAGAAGATCCTCTGTGAACTGACCTATCATTTGGGAAACAGGCAAAAAACGTTTCGAACTCGCCTGCTATAAGAACAAATTACTAGAATACCGATCCGGCGCCGAAAAAGACTTGGATAACGTCCTCCAAGTTCCTACAGTTTTTCTCTCCGTATCAAAAGCCCAGACAGCTCCCACAGCCGAACTCGCCAAGTCTTTCGGTGCCGACACACCCCGCGATGAGATCCTGCAAGAAATTCTTCGCAAAGGAGAAGTGCAAGTAGGCGAGCGAGAGCGCAAGGATATCATCGAGCGAGTAGAAAAGGAGGTACTAGATATTGTATCTGGTCGACTAGTGGACCCAACGACCAAGCGCGTTTATACATCCGGCATGATCTCGAAGGCACTGGATCAACTGAGTTCAGCCAGTGGACAACAAAATACAGACGGGCCTAGCGCAGGCGAAGATCAAGTCAAGAAGCCTCTATGGTCTGGTGTTTCTTCGAATAAACCTGCAAAGAGTCAGGCGTTAGATGCTATGAAGGCTCTCATTGCGTGGCAGCCGATTCCTGTGATGCGCGCGCGAATGCGTCTGCGTGTGACTTGTCCAGTTTCTCTTCTGAAGCAGTCTGTTAAGGCTGCACCCAGTGCGGCTGCTGCTAAGGAGAAGGAGGCACCCTCTGGTGGATCAAAATCCAACAAGAAGGGTAAGGGTTCGAAGAAGTCTGCTAAGCGGGGAGATGATTCGGATGCTGAGGCTGGAGACTCTGCTGGTGAGAGTGCTCCTAAGGCCCCGGGTACCGTTAAAGACAAGATTATGGGTTACATTGAGTCAGTGGAGTCACAAGAAGTCGTTGGAGGAGACGAGTGGGAGATTGTTGGATTCGCTGAGCCGGGGGCCTTCAAGGGACTAAACGAGTTCGTGGGCAACGAAACCCGAGGAAGAGGACGAGTTGAGGTCTTGGACATGTCGGTGAAACATGAGGATTGATTTGGCCTCGGGAACCTGCATAGACTACGCCAAGCATTATGTACATGACGAACCATGCCCAATGATTGATGATCTCGCTAGAAAAGCAAATAAAAAAAAGTTTCTCTGTTGAATTGTTGAAATAAGTTTCAATAATGCCAGTCTGATTGATGTTTAGGTATTTTCTATACCATTATGAACATCAATAGTCTTTATCTCGTATCTTGATTCCTGAATGAGGGGTTTCGTATTGCACGCATGCAAGGTGATGTTCATGCATAGTCGGGTACCTAAAGGGACAAGATAGACACCCACTATCCTCGGGTGATCTCCAGCGGTTAGATACTAGTGGCGAACGGACTACAGAGTGTCGAATTTATGTACGAAGTAGCAGACACTTGCATCACTGATGTCCAAGTAGATCAATTCGTATAGATATACCTTATGGTCCAACTAATGAGGGCATCACTCCCAAAATGAACATCAAATCAAATCGAATCAAATCACAATACTAACAGAAAACGCCCGGGTATCCTCAAGCAAACCTTCCAAAACAAAAACAAAAACAAAAACAAACAACGCTAAAGAAAGAAAAAGAAAAGACCAAAATTGAGAGAATTGAGTCCTTCCCAAAACAAACAACAAATAAGTCAAGCGGGGAATACCAAGTCACCCTAATGCAAACCCCTCATTCTTCCTGCCTTCAGCAAGCCATCGTCAAACATCCAATCCACGAGGACCAATCGAATCACAGCCCGTAACCAACAGAACAACATTCTTGCCAGCCCCAAGTTCCTTCGCAAGATCAATGGCTATTCCTACCGCGTGACTCGAATCCAGACCAGGCAGGATACCCTCGTGGTGCTGCAAGATTTTGAACCCATCCAGGGCATCCGCATCAGTAGCCGTTCGAATGTCAACACGACCACAATCCTTCCAATGAGCCACCTCAGGGCCCACAGTAGAGAGATTGAGGTCCGGCGAGATAGAATGCGAATCAAGGATTTGACCATCTTCACTCTGAAGCATCAATGTGCGCGCCCCCTGAAGCACACCGACCTCCCCATCCAATAAAACAGCGGCCTGGGCAGCCTGTACACCAATCAACCTAATAGAGGGATCCCGAAGAAAGGGCCTGAATAATCCCACGGCGCCATTCCCGCTACCAACGGCAGTGACGACAGCATCAGGACCACAACCAGCCGCCTCGTGCATCTGGACCGCAACCTCCTCACCTAGAAGAGCCTGGAACGTGCGCGTCAGGGTTGGGAGAGGAGAAGGACCCACCGGTCCTCCCATGAGGTAGTAAGCAGACTCGTAGTTGCATACTGAATAGCGGAGGGCTTCAGTAGTTGCAGCTCGCAGCGAACCCATACTAGAGGGGGTTCGTGCAGTCAAGACCTTAGCCCCGAGCATTCTCATTTCGAGAACATCTTCTTCCTGGGCTAAGGCGTCGTCGGCGCCCATGAGGACCACGCAGCGGAGACCCATACGCGCGCACATGGCAGCAGTAAAATTACCATGCTTGGCAGCTGCACAGTCGGTTACTATTTCTGTGAAGCCCATACGACGAGCGAGTAGAAGTTGGCCGATGATAGTGCGTGATTTGTGAGTTCCGTATTCATTTTGATCTTCGCGCTTTAACCAGATATTTGCACCGCCTGCCCAGGATGTGAGCTTGGAAGCTAGCTGCAGAGAAGTGGGCTGGGCACGCTGGTATGTGGCGAATTCAGACCAGAATGAGGGGTCTGAGACTGTAGTCTCGAAGAATGAGGTCAGATCTGCGAGGAAACCTATGATGGATTCAGGTGCGAACCGGCCCCCATAAGGGCCATAGCCATCGTATGTGATTGGTGGTGGTCTGAGAGTTCCATCTGCCTGCAGGATTGAAATATACGGTAAGTCGCTATCCTGAGATGGTATAGTGCCAGGCAGTTTGGCAAGTGGGCCCGGATGGTGGGAAGCACTCTCAGTGGTCACTGAAGAGGTAGTAATATGCGAATCTGCATCAGATACGAATGTGGAAGAACAAGTGCTGATAGTATCGGTTAATGGAGCGGGAGGAGTTAGAGGACGATTTGGTGCTGGTCTAGATACACTCTTCTCTCGAGAAAGTGCTCTCTCTCGCACCACGCAAGGGACACTGGCACAGTATGTTCTTGCTCTGCGAATGGATCTTAAGCGCGGGATATTGTGTGTGTTATCTGTAGATATCGAAGGTTTGGAAGGGTTGGAATCTTGGTGAGCTGCAAAGCAGAGAAATCGAAGAGCTTTGAACATTGTTGCAGACTGTAGTCCTGAACAATGCAACTAGTAACAAGATACGTCCTGGTGCGTCGAGGAAGTTCAATGGTACATATAGAAGAGCAGAGCCACTTTTGTACTGCTGGTCCTGAACTGAAGACTGCAAATCTCGTCCGTATAAAGATATGCAATAGAAGATGTGCTTCCCACGTGGAAGAGACGGTGAATGAAGTTATACAACAGGATGCAGATGGGACAGCTGACGGGCTTGTGCCTGGCTTAAATACGGTGTGACGATCTGAATGAACTGAATTTCCAATTTCAAGTCTTCAAATTAATAAAATATCCCCGAATTCCCGCACGTTGTCCAATTCATCTGCGTACCTGGGTAATGTCTTCTTCCCGCTCCTATGTCTCTAGCTCCACCGTACTAATTGATGCCGCCTATGGGCTTTTCTCTTATTTTTGGACTTTAATCTATTCAGGCAGTCCTCACGATAACTCTTTACTGTTAGTTCGAACTGCAGATTCTATAGGTTAACCCCCACTCTCTAGTGCGCATGGAGAGGGGAATTAGTACGCAGCTAGAGCAATGTGCAATAACTCAGCAGAATCCTGGCGCCAACGAAACAAACAGCAGAGTCTGCCCAATCTCCGTCCAATGCCGATCATACCGTAGCATTCAAAATGGCACAGCCCGGTATTTTTGGGCAGATCAAGATGGTGTGAAGAACGGAGTTGACATCGTGCTCACGCCTCAGGCCCACCGGTGTCAACTTGAAACGAGTTCCCTCTCCTACTACTATAAACAGTAGAGATATAAATACCAAAATGCGGGTCTTCTATCTACATACGTAAATTATTCATCATGTAAGCATATACGATGTTACATATATACCTTGGAGCCTATCCTGGTCCAACGTAGATCGCCCGGGTACAGCTGAAAGCCTCGCGGGTGAGGCGTAGATGTACCATTGACAAGTCGGGATGACCGATTAGAGCAGGTGTTCCAAGGTTAATTTGATCTCCGTATCGAGAAACACCTCATATTAAAATCACTGTGTAATATTCCAGCTAGTTGAATCTCGACTTTGGGTTTTTGAAAACAATATTCATCAGCTGAGATGGTAATAGCCACATCCTGCACCAATGTGTAACTGGCCATCCCGCCTCATTCGTGTGGCTATGTATACGATCAAGACAGATTATTGAATTCTCATGAACCGGGCTAATTAAATTAAATTTCCACATTTCTCTATCTTGCATCCCCGAACGAAGGCTCCATGGCTTCTAGGGTGCGCCAAGTCATGGGACGGTGTTATAGACTGGGATATTCTACAAATCACCATTTCGAGTCACTATTATAGACTATAGTTACTACTATTATTGTTCACAAAAGCAAGGCACGCAAATAGACCTTTCAGAACTTTACTCACACCTTGCCTGGGCCAGCCTAAGTCACAAATATTGGCCGGTGGTAACAATCTTGGAAGAACCAACCCTCCTACTAGTAAAAAGCTGAATGGACCAACCTGGGAAGAATGATAAAGACATACGGGATGCCCCGTATAACGCATCCAATAAAAACACCCAAATGCATAAAATAAACCCAATTACCTCGCCCTCCACCAACCGTATATTTATAATTTAGCATAAGACCAAACCAGCACAAAAAGAAGAAAAGACCAAAGACCAAAGAACAACCCCACAGCAACCGCCACGCTGCACTGAGCCTGAGCCTGAGCCAAGAAACATGGTAAAGGAGTGAAAACATGGCGGAAATAAAAATAAAATAAATCCAACACAAATAGTTTCAAAGATCTGACCACGAACCAAAAGACCATGCGAGAATCCCCGATACGGCACCCTCCCCGGAAGCAACCCTACCACCCCTGTACGACCTACATCCCAGAGACCCGAGCACAAAGACAAGAGCTGAACTGACCAAAGACACGACGATGATGAACGGGGAGAAGAAGCGATAAACAAAATCGAACAAGGATTATATGCAAGTCTGGATCCCAGCACGCCAAAGCGGAGAATTCACACTAGCCAGCTGGCACCCAAGCGCCGGGGATGAGTCGTCAGCGTCAGCTTGCGCTGTGCATGAGCGAGGCACCACACCACACCACTGCAAATACAAATACAAATACGAGGGGAAAAGAAAGTAAAGAAATGAATAAATCATCTTTCTTCCTTCCAGAAGGATGGCGGCTTATTTCTAGGCTGAGTTCCTTCCACGTGGAACAGCCATAATCTTACCTACCATCTAGATCTCTTGATCTAGCTCTTGATAAAGACTCGGAGTTCAAATCGAGTTTTACTAGCTGTCACATTCTACTAGTACTCGGTGCTTCTCGGTACTGAGTCTTTGCCTCGGACTTTCATCATGAGCGATGCTGTGTATAATAACAGACTCCGCTCATTTAATCCACGACAACTTATCAGTGCGCTTTTTGTGGATCTAAAATTTGTTCTGTGGCTTTCATACAAGATTGCAAAGCAGCTTGTGAAGAGTATAGGTTTGCTACTGCGGTCATTTGTTTGACTTTCAAGATTGGTGTGTTTATATACCCCCAAGTGCTCACTCTTGCCCACCTTGGTAAGTGGTACCTATCTACCTACCTAATACATCCATACTCATATCATCAGTTTTGAACTGACCTTGTACATCATTATTAGACGCCGTGACTTCAAGTTAGCACATTTTGCATTATACTTTCTATTCGCCGCCTTGAATTATCCGAATACCCAAGTCCCTTGTACTTTGTTTGATCGAATATGCGGACAAAGACGACTTTATTTACTCTCAATATCATAACGGACTAATAACGAAGCTCGCCGACGAGGTGGAAATTAACCAGATCATAATGGATCTAAACACTTCACCATAAACATTTCACCATGACTGAATTTGCCGAACAACTCCACAAGAGCTCAAATCAACTACACCAGCTCAAAGTATTCAATTCAAAATTCAAAATGAACCACGAGGGTCGATCCCTAAAAACTGTCTCAAAAAAGCAGTAGAAGGCCACAGCGATACTCTCAGAACAGCCAGCACGACAATTAAAAAAAAAAGGTAATCGATTCTGAGTTTTCAACCTGACACCAAAATAATCCTTAGTACAGTATAACTAATTCATCTGCTTAGTTCCCGAGTATCCCGAGGTAGTGAAATTCAGAATCCAGTATGTTTTTGTTTGTTTTTTTATCAATAGATAACCTGTCCTTTTGTGCCTTAAGTTTAGTCTGAGCAATTGCTAATGTTGATTTCAGGGGAACAAAGCCTCACAAGACCAGTAGGGACAAGACAGATGAACAGAACGTGGTGACGGTCGGTTTCCATATTAAGAAGGGAACCAGGTAGCTATCGATTCATGTCCATGATGATTGGACATGAAAATAATTTTTGCCTCGTGCTGGGAGAGATGTTGCATATCGAAGTACACTGAACTGAGAGTGATGGGATCTTCCTGTAGAGAGTTAGATATTGTATATTGCGATTATTGCAGACTGGATACACCAAATGAAATATAAGAAACGATTCAATCCATTCATCTGGATACTATCTCATGCAGAACTTGAAGACCGACGTATTTACCCGCAACTACCATCCAAGCCAAAAAAGCAATCTGCATGTGATTCTAGGAAGTTCATTTACAAGTTCAAGTCCAAGTCTTACAAGACTGTGTATGGATATTATGCCCTAACCACCATGGGCGATGGCTATTAATAAACCTCGAGCATATAGTAAAGTGATAAAGATCAACATTATAACAAAGTTATATAAAATTGCAGTGACTGTCGTCATTCGAACCTAGGAAATCGTACCAGCCACTCAAAAAATAGGACTTGTGATCTAGAGCGGATCAGGAAGGATCTTTACCCCGTTTGTGCGACGCCGAGCTTTTAGTGATGATCATGTGCGGGGATATTATGCCAGTGCCAGTGCACGCGGGGTTAGGTCTATATGCTCTAGATTTGAGATCTTTTAGATTTATAATATGGATAGGTGGCTATTTGGATTGGTATTGCTTTAGGATATGCTATTTATCTGCTTGGTGGATTGTCGGTCGCAGCCCTGGAGTGGGGGATGAATTGAACATTCAAATTTTACATGCAAATTTTACGATCATTGTTACTATTTCAAATTCAGATCAGATCAATATTTAGCGACTTGATTTTGCTGTTCTATGACCAGTAGATACTAACGGTCGCAGCGATACCATGAATGCACCCGTAGACCTGGGTGAAAGCAAAAACTCCGAACGGGTATACGCTCAAATGCAATGCAGTGGTGACAAGTTCCAGTTCCGAAAAAAGAATGGAACTGGAGCTGGAAAAGGGAAATGGAAAGGGAAAGCATAGCGAGGAATGAATCCGGTTACATTCTCGGGGAGAAAATGTAAACCAGTCTCACAAGCTAGTCTAACCGAAGAGAATGGGATTACATTCCCATTCCACTTCGATCGTAGGAATCATGCAGGGGTCGTGATGGGCGTTGAACATCAATCAATCAGCCAAGACCTGATCCTGATCCTGTTCCCAGCCCGGGAACCAATAAGGAGTCAGGGTAAAAGGGAAGAAAAGAGGTAGAGGAGATCGTTCACATCAAGCCAGGACGAGAACAAAATCGAAGGAAGGGAAGAAAGAAGATAAAGGTGCGACACTCTCCGGGATGTGTAACGAGAAAGAGAGGAAGGGGGGGGGGAAAGAAAAGGTTGTACAAAATTACGTGCAGACCTGCAATCCGATCAGAGCGCGGGTGAGGTCCTCGGGCGCAAAAGGGAGTTGTTTGGTGGCGGCGGTCGCCATCGGAGCCTTGGGGGCGGGCGACATAGCGCGTACAATGGGTGAAGTGTAACGAACTGATTCTTTTAACTGGGCGATCGGGTCCTCTGGGATCTCATAGAAAGAGCCTTCTTGGAAGAGAGTCATCACCGAACCACTGTAGCTATCCGAGTTGATGAGGGTTGATGATTGCGAGCCCGCGTATGTGGGGCGGGGGGAATCGGTGGGGATCTCGATTGGGGAGACAGGAGAATCCGAGAAGTCTGTGGCGATGTCAGGAAATGAAATTGAGAAGGTTTCATTTGAATGAATGGATTTGTTTCACCGAACAAGGAAGAGGTGGGGTGGGGAATGCCGGTCCGGGAGAAAGAGGGGAGGAAACACGGAGAGTGTCCGGGAGGCCGAGAAAGTGGTGATGGCGATAGGCGTTAGTACGTACCTGGATGTAATGCAACACCATCGTCGTCGGGAGAGATATCACCCATATCATCAGAGTCGCAAGGATTTTCATAAGTAGCGTAGGGAGAGAGATCCAAGTCCAATGAACGTGGGCGGTCGACCATAGCGCGGTCGAACGACCAAGCCGCTAAACGTTTTTGGTGTTCCTTATCAAAGGGACCACGAAATTTGGATGGAGGCACTTCATGACGACGGTAATATTCCACTTTGGGTCTTCCATTGACTTGACTGGTGCTGCTGGACGAGCGATGAAAAACTCGCTTCACTTTTTCGCGAAAAGTCATGTTGAAAAGGAAAAGGGAAAAAGGCAAAATAAAGACGCGAGGTTGAAGTCCAACAGGTACCGGTTTAGTGCAGACCAATCCCGGATTCGGAACGGACGCGGAGGATGTGCAAGCACGAAGTGGTGGAACGGTGCAGGAACTGAATTACCATTCTCTGCAGGACAAGGGGGGAAGAGAGGTGGTTGAGGGGAGAGTTGAATTGATGGAAGAAAAGAAAAAGGAAAATCAAAAGTAACAAAACTGAGAGAAAGAAAAGAACCGGGTAAATCGGAGGGAAAACGGGGCGAATATGAGGAAATTGGGGAAAAGAGTGGATGCAACAAGAGAGTGGGAGATAAGCCCCAGGAACCGTGGACGAGACTACGGAAATACTACCAAATACTACGAGTAAGTAGCCCCAGACAGATCCGGCGGATAATAATGTATTATCCCCATTACATTTGCACCACTAAATACTTTGCAATCAGAACTGATCATTGGTGAACTGGATATCCACTGTCTGTGCGAGACTACTTCGTACACCGGGGCGCGAGACTGGGGACCGACTCCAGTCACGGAGGCGAATGGCGTCTCTGATTGCTCATTGTGGTGCCGCCGGGCTAACGCGGAATCGGGGCGATAAATGATGGGGGTTTCCACTTACCACAATCATTTACATACAAGTATACAATTAAATTAAACAGGGAAATGTAAATGTACATTGTGTACGGAGAATGTCTGCAATCGGCCATCACTTTCCCCATGAATCATTATCTTCTGTACTGAGCAGGTTAATTTGCATGTCAGTGTCAGTAGGTAAAGAACCATGGACTCCAACATCCCGTGCGTCGATCGTGCCTAGACACTCGTAGGTACAAGGTTTACGCCATGCAGCGAAGCCTTCCAGAACACCCACAGACACCCACAGCACAGTTGCATCATGGCGGGACAGAAAAAAAGGCAGAAAACCGGAATTGGTGACGTCCTGTTTGTCTGGTTTGTACTCCACGGCACACACTTGCCGATGAAAACGCCACTTAGTACATACAGGGTCCACTCAGACCCCAGTGCAGCCTCTTATAACCGATATTTTCTTTTATCTTCAACAAGGCCGGCTGGCCCAATGGCAAGGCGCTTGACTACGAATCAAGAGATTGCAGGTTCGACCCCTGCGTCGGTCAATCTTTTTGTTTTCGCTCTTCTGCTTCAACCAGATTGAGCCGAAGCTGCAAGATATTTTTTTTGGGTCTGTAGTCAACATGGCCATACTATACTATGTCGAATGCCTTTGTACGCCCTTGGGAATACAAATGAGATTGAGAAGCTCTGCAGAGCAACTGAATTATCTCGGAGGATATGCCCTCAATTTTTGATTTCGGGAGTGGGAACATATATCTACTATGAAGATGTGCTTCAGAGCATCACGATGGCGCATAGTGCAGAGGCATTGGCAGGAGTGATAGTATCCACGAATGATCCATAACCTTCGTCTCTCAACGAAAAACCCTGAGTGAAGATGCATGAATTGTCATTTAGCTAGAAAGTATACACTTATTGTATGATTCTATTATGATCCTAAAAGACTTCGAGAAGAGCAATTTGGTGGTGAGAGACAGTGCAAATCCGCCATTGCATTTCAAAGGGGCTGAAGCAAATCAGCGTTCCGTAGACAGATGGTCGTTTATGTATCCGTTTTCGTGACTTAACCTAAAGGAAGGTGCGAAGAACAAGCAATATCAACGTTGAATAAGGACAGAGAGAAGGAAGCTCAGCTTCCGTACATGTAGCACTTGAGCACTTAAGGCTTCCCACTCTCGGACCAATCAGCTGCCGAGAATGGGTCAAACTAAGCAAACACGCCGCCTCCCCGCCTCTATCATGATTATCATGATGTAGCTACACTACACCACAGAGCATCAAATTTTATCTTAATAGCGCTATGCACGCACACACATTTTTGGCATTACTCAAGAGGACGTCTGAACATTCAATGTTTTGTAATCTGAGGATTATTAAGATCAATTATACGCGCCAGCTTTTATTGTAGTGACGAACCGACAAACAAGTTATGATTTATCTGTAGCGACGCTTCTTCCCATATAATTCCAGTTTTTCTAGCGCAGCACTCAGATCAATGCGAGATTCTAAGTCCGACTTTGCCAAATCACTACCAGCCTTACGCAGTTCCTCAAACGCAAGACTAGGGCCGCTTTTCTTCGCAATGACGGATAGTAGTTTGCCATAGGCCCAAGTGTCTGTACCGATTTGCGCACATAAGTAGGCGTTGGCAGGTGTTTGTTCATAATTCTGTTCAAGGAACAGTCTCATTCCTGGTGAGAGCCAGTCCAATGTATAAGAACCCCCGCCAATATCGATAAGAAATGCATTTCCTTCAGGATCTAGAACAATATTCGAAGGCTTCACATCAAGATGACTTCTTTTCTCCTCGTGTAGTTGTCTCAATGCTCTCCATACCTATATAGCCCATCTCAATGGCGAGAGGTCATCTGTGCTTGTCCCCTCACTGGTGACTTGTTCTAGAGACCCTCCAGGATAATATTCAAGAAGAAAACCTTTAGCTACCCGAGGCATATTGTTCGATGGATATGTCTGGTACGGATTTCCTGAAACCACAAGGCCAACAATTTGTGCAATGTTTGGCTGTCCATAAAATCGTGCAAGTGCATGGATCTCATACAAGATATCTTGTGTGGCTCTAGGCTCGTATGAAGGCCCGTCGATAGTCTTATAAACATACCTTTTCTGCTTAACGATGACTTTAGATACAGCGGGAGCGATAAATTTGCCGGACTGAAGGCAACTTGCATCAAATATCTGGAGAGGGCACTGGATCTGGCTGAAAGGAGGATAAATAACTCGCTTTGGATCTTCCTCAATTTGATATCGCATTCGATGAGACACAGCGATATAAAATTTTCAACATCGTAAGACGTAGCCCGTACTGGTAGGGACTCAGAATGATGACCCTCCTCGGTCAAGGTCAAAGTAATGCCCGACATGGTGTTGTCTATAAGCTGAAATCGACCAAAATCAATCGCTTCAAGAAACGCTCGGAAAGTAGAGCAGCGACGCCTGTAGCCTAAAGTCGTTACTGCTGTTGGTGCTGTTGGAAGAAACCCTTCTACAGAAACTTTAATCCACCAAGATAATCCATCATTACGAATATCAGAGTGTGGCTGGGTTTAACAAGGGAGATAATACAGCAAAGCCAAGCAAACGCAGGGAAGAGGCCATTAACAAAGTGCTAGGCAGTCTGATTGCCAGCCCTTAGTTGGCGTTTTTGCAATCGGGTCATCGGTTCTAATCTCCGCAGAGATTCATACCAGAGTGTATTGTTAATATTGAGTTTCGGTGGTGACTTTGGTGGTAGGGAAGAAAAGTAGAGTAAAAAAGAAAGAAAGAAAGAAATAAAGAAGAAGAACAGACATGAAAAAAGGAACAAGAACGAGGAAAAAGGAAAGGAAGAAAAAATAAAGTTTTGAACGACAGCTGTCGGATTTGAACCGACGCCTCCGAAGAGAATTGATTTCGAGTCAATCGCCTTAGACCACTCGGCCAAACTGCCAGTATTTGGAGTTACGATCAAGATTTCGACTTGCGAATCAGGTTCAATTTCTCCTTGACTTAAATGTCATGGTGCTTAGGGTGAGGCTAGGTCGATAGCAAGTGAGTGGTTGTTCTGATTTATACGGCCGTCCCCGTCCATGATAATGCGGCAGGAATCAGGTACATTGCCACACTTCCTCGTTGAGATAAAGCATGAAGTTTTGATTAATGGAGGGGAGGACTGAGGTTTGTCGCGAGTTCTGATTTATATGGCTATCCCTATCTACGCTGCTGCTGCGGGAATTAGTCCAATCGGGTATATTAGCTATACTTCCTCTTTTTTTTCTTTCTGCTCTGTATTATATTTCTTCTCCTCCTCGTTCTTAAGACGCTTCTCTTTATCTTTCTTAGCTTTCTCTTCTAATCGTTGACGGTCCTTAAGCTCCCTTTCTTGCTGTTTTGTATCTTTCGAATTTGGTGAAAACTTACGCTTCTTCGCAGCCGTAATAATCTGTATAGGTGATCCTTGGGGTGTTTCTCCATCGGTATTGTCAATAGTAGAGTCACCAGGCGCGGGAGCCAATACTGGTCGAATATCTTTAAACGGAATGGTAATCTGGGGATTTAAATTCCCTGAAGCAGGATGTGTATCTTTTGAGTCTTGTGATGAGTTCCTCGTTGAGATGGAGTTTCGAAGTATTGGTTAATGGAGGGGAGGAGATTGGTCGTGAAGAGTTGGAATTTGGAGAGTGCTGTTGTCCGCCGGCCGACGAGGGGTTGGTATAAGTGCGCTCTTAACATGCATCTCTAGCCACAAGGGGCTCAGAAGCTACATTTGGTAATATGTATCCTACCTGTGAGACATATGGTGCCCAGGATTCAAGTCGCGGAGTGGTTGGGTGAAAGCCCTTAAAAAGCAATGGAATTGGATATGCGACGATTTGGTACGGTCATATTATACGAAGATACCTCAGTGCTTTGCGTTTCGGTTGAAACAGACTAGGCGTTTCCATTTCGGGACCATACCTCAAGGACGGCTCTGAAGAGCCCTGCGTCTTAGCTGTGGTCAGTTGATGCGCCGCCAAAAATTCATGAGGTGGAGAAACTTTTGGGAGGGGTGCTTCTTCTGTGAATTAGGTCAGGCCTAAGGACAGGGGATCTATTCTATACGCAGAATATGATAATATTGCGCGTCTCATATTTGGGGCTTGTGTACCTTCAAAAACTCTGTTAGTGATTGCGTCAATTTATATCAATAACACATAGTCCTTACCATAACTAGTACTAAAGCTTGTCACTCTGCTTCTTCCGGAGCTTCCGTTGCGCTTTGATGAAACAGAGCCGGTAAGACTTTTCCAGTACCGGGTCCATCCTGCGTGGTACAAAGTTTGGAAGAGATAGCACACCAATTAAAGATGATACAGGCGGTAATAGTTTGCGAAGGTCACCGTTTCCTGAGCAGCACCCCAGTTCCACCGCCTCTCCTTCAAATCTCAAAGACCTGAAGGGCACACCTTCGCTCTTCAGTGATCCTATATGATGGGTTGGACACTGTCCTTCCGCGAAACACCCTTCACAGAGGTGACATCAATGCCAAATCGATACTGCTCTTTGAAGACACAGCTGATACGGATTGAGAGGGTACGTGGGAGGAAGAAAGGAAGAAAGAAAGAAAGCGGCCATGCGGGTATGTGGGTGTTTGAATGTTGGCGCTTGGACGTTGTTGATGTTGGATGACTAGATTCCACGGTCTTCCGCCAGCGAATCCTCCTAGCGATGCTCTCTGAGAGTGGGTGTCTCAGTGAGGCTGCAAGCTGATGAAATAGCGCCATTCCCATTGTCGCTGGCGCATCTCTATATAACAAAGCCGAAGCTTCAGGGTCTGTTGCAATAGCAGGTTGGCTAACTGAATCCAAAAAGACAAAGCAAAAAGTAATCGTGGAGTTATTGCAACGTCAAGGGCTTGCAATTTTGGGTCTACTACTCTCTCATCTTCGCGACCGCCAATTTCTTGCCCTCCAATCACAGTCGCATTTGTTACACTGATAGCATACCAACGAGTCAAGATGGTCAATGATTAGAGCGAGAATCGATCAACATGTCGTATAACCCTGTCCATACCTCGCTCCGAAATACAGATCATGTCTGCCGCTCCAGTATTCGTTTGGAAAAAAGACCAAATTGTTGTAGAGAAAATGAAAGGAAAAGAAAACGAGAAGAAGAAGAAGAAGAAGAAGAAGGAGAAGAAAGGGGAGGGGTGATAAACGTGGGGCTGTGCAAAGGCAGCAACGTCAATAAGGAGTAGCCTGCCGCAAACTACAAAGCTCAACCAGAAGTCTCAAAGTATGGTACAGTGTATGGTAAATCAAATATTGTATCGGAAGTAATATTCAGTGAATCTTCCTCTAGCGCTACTGTTGTCTAGGGTCTAAAGTACTTTAGCTGGAGAGGGTCAAACCTATACTCGAAACTTTGGTCCGGGTTTCTAACATAGTAGTGGTGAAATGGAAAGTCGTGAGATTACTGAAGCAAGGGGTGACTATACATGTGCATAGTATACCTAAGTCTTATACCGAGAAAAAGCTAACAAATCCAGGTAATCAATGCAATAATCACTACTACTTACACCGGCTAAACATCCCGGGGAGTATTTACAAACATTTGCTGCCGGTTAAGTATTCAGGCTTACCGCTGGATTGAACTTCATCCAGGGTCGCAGAATCAAAAGTGAGCAGCAATATACCCCAACAGTGAATTTAGCGTTGCGCTGCCAGCTCCTTTAGTTGTCCTCCATTGGGCCGAAAACATAGAACAATTCGACAACGATTAAAGTCGATTCGTCGAGCTCTTCCTGCTCAATATTCCCCTCGAAACAATCCAGCACACCCTATACATCGACCTCATAGAACTCCAAGGCTCTCATTATCGTTCACCATTGTACACGCTTACCGCCCCCAATCCACTCCTCGTGGGTCTCACACAGCCATTGCCTCATCGCCCTGAAGGATCCTTGGATATCTTTAATTACATGTTACTATTTTGGGCTTGCGCATTATGTATGGTACAATTTCGGTCTGACTAACATTGATCCGAGGAATGATGTCATTTCCCAGCCCGCTTGAAGAATGTTGGAGAAGAACACATACCGTGTCCTTTGTCCTTTCGTGTCAAAGGGTCAATTACTGTAAGTTGAAGATCCATGTTCAACATGATAAACATAAACACCCTAGGTAGGAGTGCAGTAAGGACTTTACTACCCTATATACAGTAGAATAGTAGACCCTACATAGGTCTCTGGGGATCCTTTTGCCTCCTACATAACGGCTATTGTTAGTGTTCGCACCCGCAGCAGCCCTATTACCCGATTCAGCGTTAGGGTTGCCCTGCCGTCCTAGCGTGCTGCAGGAGGCACACGACACCCGAGCGCGGAACTATGAAAGGGGTGTCATTACGCTGAAAGCATATCAATTCTGATGTCCTAGGGTCAATGGGTCATATGCAGGAGAAAAGTGAGGTATCTTCTGTATCTACTATATCTACATTGGGACTGCGACTGCTTCCAGAACATGACCCTCGACAGTGTATAGTTGGTTATTTTGATGATGCGGGTAAACACGGCCACATGTGCACATTGAAAGACGAAAAGAACCCAAAAAAAGAGATTTGCTATTTCCAGCACCTAGACAGCATTGAATGATCTGAATTAGACTACGTAATTAATTTCCCTTGTTCCAGACCTGAGCATAAGAAGAAAGGAACCACGGATCCCCAGGGCAGCTCCAATCCAGCATACCGGATCGCCGCCATCCCTTACTTGGCCACTCCCGACGCACTCTTATTCTCCTTAATCTTCCTCCTCTCCATCTCCTGTAAGTATCCTGCACCTGTCAGTGTCAAGCTTCGGCAATTGTCATTTTCCCTACAAGTAAGCCGCACCGCGCACTCTGTCGTCATAACCATAATCATAATCATCGTCATCATAATTTTCCGTGGCAATATTGACCTGTTCTCTCGTCGCAGAAACACGACCACACTACCACACTCACATCAATCATGGCTAAGAAAGGTGGCAAGAAGGGCAAGAAGGGTGGCGCCAAGGCCACCGCTGCTGCTGCTGTCGACAAGGTCGCCGACAAAGTTGAAAATGTCGTGTAAGTAACCGTTTTGCTTTGCGTTGGCCTGAAAGTTTTTTTTTTTTTTTTTTTTTTTGGTGGTGGTGGTCAGCCTTTCCCGCGCAATGACTGGCGGGTTTTCTTTTCGAGCGCAAAATCGCTAACGTCTTTCTTTCATTTTCTTTGTTATAGAAAGCCCAATGAGGAGACCACAGATGCCGACAAGGCCGAATCTAAGTCCATTGAGCAGACAGAAGCTCCCGCTGCTGAATCGCAAGCCACTGAGGGCGCCGCTGCGCCCGCCGCTACCGAGTCCAAGGCTGAGGACAAGACTGTTGGCAATGCCGAGAAGGAGGTCGAGAAGTCTGCACCAGTGGTTGAGACCAAGAAGGATGAGAGTATAGTGCAAGATGCCGTGGACAAGGCGCAAGCCTCCAAGGCCGGCAAGGTCAGCGCTTTGGATGCTGGCGAGGACCAAACCAAGAGTAAGTTTCATTCCAACAACCAATTGAACTCGCAATTCCCTGCAAAAGCGAAACAAAGAAAAAAGCAAACAAAGCGCATCACATCACATCAATACTGACCGTATTTCTTCCTTTGTCAGCCGTCCTCCCCGAAAGCACCGTCAAGGAAACCAGCCTAGGCGCAGACATCTACCCCTCCACCAGCGAGGCCGCCGCCGAAGAATCCGCCACCTCAACCGCCGCAGCACCCATTGCTTCGATCCCCGAGCGTCCTAAGACCTCCGAATCAAGCAAGATTCCCGCCTCCGCCGAGCCCGCCGCCGTCCCAACCGAGACTCTCGACGCAGCGCAAACCAAGCGCCCATACGAGAAACCCATCTTCTCAAACGACGAGGTCAAGCCACACAAGATGGCCAAGACAGAGGAGGAAGAGAAGCAAGCCGCCGCCGCCAGTAGCGTCGAGAAGCAGAACCTGACCGGTGCCGGACCCGCCTCAACAGCCGCCTACACTGCCCCCGAGCCTGTTCCTGAGCCCGTATCTGCCTCTACTCCCGTCGCGGCGCCTGTCACCGAGGCTCCCAAGAAGGTCGAGGAGAAGCCCGCTCCTCAGCCTATCTCCAAGTCCCCTGAGACTTCAACCTCTAACAAGGCGAACCCCACCGCCGTCGCAGCCGCCAACGCAGCTATCAACACTTCCCACTCCAAGACTGACAAGAGTATCTCAGCCTCAGCGGAGAGTGAATTGAAGAAGCCCGAGGCAGCTGTTAAGCGCGAGGAGCCCAAGGCCACTGAAGCACCTCAACAGGAGACTTCTACTCCTTCTGCAGCGGAACCAGCCAAGGAGACTAGCGCCGAGGGGTCCAAGGCCAGCGAGACCCAGACAAGCGAGCAAGCAGCTGAGAAGAAGAAGGGAGGGTTCTTCGCGCGATTGAAGCGGATGTTCAAGTGATTGGATTGATTTAATTTCCGACTCGATTTGACACCGACCATTCAATTTTCTCTCCCATCTTCATAATTGCTGTTGCTTCGTGAAGATCGGATGTACGATATGCGTGATGCCTGATATGCTTGTTGTGCCTGCTGTGCCTGTGCTTGTTCTGCTGTTGCTGGTGAACGAATGAAAGAAAAGCCCTACTGGAGGGTCATTTTCTCTTCGTTCCTCTTTGTTCCTGCTCTGCTTTTGTTCCTATTCCATTTTTGCCGTTAGTTCTGGATGATACACCGACCGAAATTATATATCATAGTGCTTATTGACTAAATTCAAACCAAATTCAAATGCAAGCTTGGGCTTTGTTTTGTTTTGTTTTCTCTCTTCCCCTTTTCCCCCTTTTTTTTTCACCTTCAGGATCTTCTCTTGTACTATTCCTACTTAGTAAAGACACACCGCTAGTTTGTAGGCTTAGGCTTGGTCAATGCGGTGGTTGGTGTCTAGGCGTCTAGGCGGTGGATATACGAGGAGGCTACTGCCAGTGTAAAGTACAGTATTGATAGCTAATGGGGCTATTGATGATCATCTCGTCATTATTCCTCCTGTTTTGGGGGTCTGGGTCTTGAGTGGGGACGATGACGAGTCGGTTAGTGTACATATGATGTCGGTGAAAACGTGGCGATGTTGGGTATCGGCGGAGCCTCCTACGTAAGGATCCTCACCTGGACATACGTGGAATAACATCGTGATTTTAGATACAGTATTAAATTTATGGATTACCTAGACTTACAGTACAGTGTGCATAAGTGATATTTCATAGCATGGTACTATTTGACCTTGGAGTCTCGAAGGAACGTTGTGCTTGACGATATGGCAACTTGGAACCCTGTGTTCATACTTACCATGTGGGTATTATACACATCATGAATGGCGCCTATTCTATTTCGCTAAGTCCAAGATAATATGTGATCTTAGATCCTAAGAAACTCAAGAATATTTGTAAAAGCTATTCCATTCCAAGGTTAACATAACCATCTAGAATACGTTGGACTCCTCACCATAAATTAGACCAGCTAAGCTTTGCCCACGGTGTGACCTGCCTGTGGGGTTGAACTTGAACTTGAAATAGTGCATTACCTAGTAGGCCAATCATAACTACTCAGTGCTGCGATCCCACGCTTCATCTTCAATTGGACAACAGCATTGAATTCATTCAAAAACATAGTAAATGTATAAAAAAGTTTCTATTAATGCGCCCTCAAATTGAAGCATGAAGCACAAGTAAAGAATTACATAGATGAATTTAACAACCAATTAATGCCAATTGAAACCACTAAGTATACATATGTCGATAATAGACGCAACGATCTTCATGATATAACAATCCCAAACTCAAGCTCAGTTCTATCAAAGCACAAAAAGACCAGCAACAATAGCCGCACCACCCATAATCACTTCACAAGCCGTAGCAATCGGCACAGCCGCAGCAGAAGATGTCGAGCTAGCACCGGAGACAGAAGCAGAGCCTGAACTTCCACTTGTAGCAGCAGAAGTAGTCGAAGAAGAAGCATCCGAAGAGGTAGCAGTAGCCGTCGCCACAAGCTTAGACGAAGCCGAAGAAACGAGATCCGAGTAGTTAGTCGCAGTGAAAGGGATCTTTGTAAAGCACGCATCACCTGAGGCGGTTGCTGTCACAGTGCTGGATGCTGTAGCGTCGGGGTTTGTATCGTAGACACAGCAGTAAGCCGTGGTATCTTCAAGAAGCATATTGCCGTAACAGCATCTTGTTACATTGTATGTGTCTGAGAGCCAGTTTGTAGGACAGGTAGCCGCTGCGGTTGCGGCAGTCACGGAGAGGGCAACAGCCAGGAGATTCTTGAAGGATGGCATCGTGACTTTGGGCTTATGCGATGGATTTTTGAACGAATGTGGAGTGAGTATGGAGTAAGTAGGGATCTGCTAGATTTATCCGGGTACAAGCTGTATTTAAGGGACCTCATCGCCAGGGGCTTTGCTCGGCAAAAACCCTGAAGTTTGTTGCCCTGCGCATGACTTTACCCTTGACTCTCAATTGGTTCACACTTCGCACCCTAAAGACCCTTAGTGTGGTTCCTGACATAGACTAGCCATCTAGGGAGTATGATTAGCCCTGCTTGGCATGTGGACTAGCTTTTACAGGGACAATCCGGAAGCATCGGAACAAGGGTATGTGGGGTGTGAGCGAGCCTTATTTTTTGCTCCAATAAGGGGAATAGAACAGGGATGTCTAGTTCTTTTAGTGATTTTAATACTTAGTTTGTGGAGACAAAGTGACCAAATTTGAAAGAAGCTCGCTTAGAATTGGAAGTCGCTTGCATGCAGTATCAGCACTAGTGTGCCGTATAGCCGTATGTCAGGGGTCCAGTTGCTGACGGGTGCAATGTATTTCCTTGGAGATGCAAATGTAGAAGAAGCTAGGACTTGGCGATGAGGTGGTACCTGATCAGGGCAACTGCATTTACATCGTACCTGATTCTTATTGTTCGATTTAGACGTTTATTTTTGGTTTGGGGAGATCGTCAGTATGGGGTGTGGGTCACGGCGAAGTCTCCGAACTTCGCAAAGTATCGGGTGGCTCTCCCGACCCGACAACCATGATGATCTGGCACTTCATAGACTCATTCCTTTAATTACATCCTCTCAACTAGAAACAAGCAAATCTATACTCCAGTCAATTTCATCCCAATTTCATCCCATCATTTAAATATTGAAGAAATGACCGCAAGTTACAAGTACCCCGCATGATCGACTGAACAAATCTAACCCCGCCTAGAAAATCATTGAAGCAAAACAAATCATCCCCGGCCATGCAGAAGGCGAACTCATCACCAGCGACATCGCCCTCAGTTTCTGGGGAGGCGTCGATCCCAAAACAGGCATCATAATCGATAGCCATCACCCCCTCGTTGGAGAATGTATAGCGGGGAAAATTCTCGCTATCCCAAGTGGTCGTGGTTCATGCACAGGAAGCGGTATCATCCTCGAGATGATACTAAATGATACCTGTCCCAAAGCATTAATATTCGGACGTGAGGAAATGATCCTGACAATCGGCGTATTAGTCGCACAAGAAATATTTCAGAAAAGTCTTCCCGTCTTACAGGTTCCTATATCCTCTTATGAGCAGCTGTTACAGCATAACCGGACACAGATTCATATCACCGAGAATAAGATCCATCTAGACCAGTCTGATGAAATGATCAACAAGACAATTCTCGATAGTTCATCAGTTGCGACTCCGTCGTTTGATTCTCATCTTCCTGCACCACATTTAACACCATTCGACCACGAGCTCTTAAGCGGATCCCACGGCAAAGCAGCCAAAATAGCAATGAGAGTGATTCTCCAAACAGCCCAAATACAAGGCGTAACTGAACTAATAGATGTGAAACAAGCACACATCGACTGCTGCATCTACACAGGGCCCGCAACACTGAAATTCGCGCAACAGCTATGCTCATGGGGCGCAAAACTAAGAATCCCCACATCTCTGAACTCCATATCCGTCGATAGAAGACTATGGCGCTCACAAGGTGTTGACAAAGATCTCGGCGAGCCCTCGGAAGCCCTAGCACAAGCATACCTAGATATGGGCGCGCAGCCTACATTCACCTGCGCTCCATATCTACTTGAGACAGCGCCTCAACCTGGTGAACACATTACATGGGCTGAATCTAACGCAGTCGTGTTCGCCAATAGTATACTTGGGGCGAGAACGATTAAGTGCCCTGATTTTCTCGATGTATGCGTTGCGTTGACGGGGCGGGCATTGAATACGGGCTGTCATTTGACGGAATACCGCAAAGCGAGTGTACAAATACATGTTGAGGATATGGATGATGCCGATGACTCTCTATTTCCAATTGTGGGATACATTGCTGGGGATATTGCGGCTGATCGGATACCTATTATTACCGGTCTAGAGAAGAAGCAAGCGAGTACCGAAGACCTAAAAGCATTTGGAGCTGCCTTTGCCACAACATCAAGTGCGCCGATGTTTCATATTGCGGGTATCACATTAGAGGCATCCAGTGCGGAAGAGATAAAGATGCAGACGAAAGACACGGCACAGGCTTCGATCAAAAGATCCGATCTAGCGAAACAATGGCTTCAATTCAACAAATACGAGAACCATGAACCTCACACGAACATCGATCTTGTATCCCTTGGAAACCCTCATTTCTCATATATCGAGATCAAAAAGCTTGTTTCCCTTTGCAGTGGTCGCCAGAAAAACGATACAGTTACATTCGTAATAACATGTAATCGTGACACATACTCCAAAGCAAGTAGGGAAGGGTATATCTCTGCGTTGGAGGGCTTTGGGGCTCAGATTCTCACAGATACATGCTGGTGCATGATTCAAGAGCCTATAGTTCCATTTCACTCAAAGGTTATTATGACGAATTCTGCAAAATATGCTCATTACGGTAAGGGTTTGACTGGTCGGAAAATGCGGTTCGGGGGACTAAGGCAGTGTGTCGATGCTGCTTGCGTGGGACAGGTGATGAATTCTGTTCCTGGTTGGCTTAAAACTTGAATATACAATATAGATAGTCATGCGCTTCTTTGTACGACTTAAGTAATTCAGTTATTATTACATGATAGATTTGGATTTATTAAAGCGTGATATCCGCTTTAATAACATTTGAAGATTGTGCATAACAAACTTATGCATCCGATCCAAAGTCATGGATTGACATGATTATTTCCCGTCATCATCGTAGTCAGGACACATATACAACCCCTGAATACCTGATACCTCACGTCTCCCTTAGACCCCGCATGATGATATTCATCTCACCCTGAGCCATGCGGGGGAAATGCGGGCCGACCAGCTTCCACTTCCACATTAGCCAAGGCCTCGGCAACTCCAACGAAGGGATACATATACTGATAAAGCCACGAATCCGCCGTCGGAAAATAAGAACAATCACTTTCTTAATACCACTGTTCAATTTCACCCAGGAGAGAAAGTTAGAGACATACAGTATACAGCAATGGAAGCAGTTCCCATCCCAAGAAAACTATGGGAGCATCCCAGCCCCGAGTCAACAACAATGGGACAATTTCGTCAGGAACTGGAACGATCAACGACGCAGCGCTTCAAGGTAAGATTCATTCTTTTATTACAAATAGCAAACAAACATACATAAACTAAAACATAGCCAACCCTAGTCATTCCACGAAATGTATCTCTATTCTATCCAAAACCGGACTGAATTCTGGGCATTCTGCTGGAAATATTTCCGCATTATCCACGAAGGTACTTACACACGTGTATACGATGAAACAGCTCGAATGGACAGCATCCCCGAATGGTTCTCAGGAATCAAACTAAACTTTGCCGAGAACCTACTCTTCACTCACAATGACACTGCCGGGAACAGTAGTCACACTCACACAAGCGGTAAAGAAGACGACAAAATCGCAGTAACCGAGGTTCAAGAGGGAGCTATCACAGACGCAATCCATCTTACCTGGGGAGAACTAAGAAGAAAAACCGGTCTACTTCTCCAAGCTATGAAAGCCCACGGTGTTAAACGGGGCGATCGAATCGCAGTTTGCTCTGCGAATAGCATCGATACGCTCCTTGTGTTTTTGGCGACTACCGCGCTTGGAGCTATATTTTCATCTAGCTCAACTGATATGGGGGTTAAGGGCATTTTGGATAGGTTGCTTCAGATTAAGCCTCGGTGGCTTTTTATGGATGATTTTGCGGTTTATAATGGGAAGACGATTGATTTGCGAGGGAAGATGAAAGATATTGTGTTGGGGATGGGATCTGTTTCGGAATTTCAGGGTGTTGTTTCTCAGTCGCGGTTTTTGAAACCAGCTGATTTGGGTGATATTCCGATGAGTATTACTTTGGGGGAGTTTCTTAAGAAGGGATCTGGGAATGATCGGCTTGAGTTTGAACGTGTTAGATTCCGAGATCCGTTCTTGATTGTTTACTCGTCTGGTACGACGGGGCAGCCGAAGTGTATTGTTCACTCGGTCGGTGGAGTACTCTTGAACGGGCATAAAGAAGGTGGTTTGCATTCGGAGTTGGGTCCAGAAAGTGTTGCATTGCAGTATACAACGACAGGATGGATTATGTATCTATCTGCTGTACAGACGTTGGTGCTTGGAGCACGCGTGGTGTTGTATGATGGCAGCCCCTTCATACCTAATGTGACGACACTGGTTGACTTGGCAGCCCAGGAGAAGTATGTGCCCATCGACTTGAAAGGACTTCCAAGATAACTTATTGACAAATTTGTAGGGTGACACACTTGGGCATATCCCCACGATGGCTACATGAGCTACAGCAAGCCAAGATTAAGCCGCGAGATATGCGCGACTTGAGTTCTCTCCGCGTGGTAACCAGTACTGGAATGGTCCTGCGAGATGCCTTATTTGAATGGTTCTACGACGAGGGATTTCCACCGCATGTTCGCCTCAACAATATCTCCGGTGGCACAGACCTCGCTGGCTGTTTTGGCGTAAGCAATCCACTAACGCCTATTTACGTCGGGGGCTGCGGTGGACTTAGCTTGGGTATACCCGTCGAAGTCTACGATTCTATCATTGAAGGCGATGGTGTGAAAGGACAAGCCGTGGAAGAAGGCATCCCAGGAGATTTGGTAGCCACGTCAGCTTTTCCCAACATGCCCACGCATTTCTGGGGTGACGATGACGGTAAAAAGTACCATGGTGCATACTTTGGACGATTCGAGAGTACGTACTATCTTCCCTTCTGTTATGTATGAGTATGAAGCAACAAGTATACTTACTATCGGTTCTTGCGTTCTCATCAGATGTGTGGACCCACGGAGACTTTGTGTCGATCCACCCGACCACCAAGCAACTCATATTCCACGGCCGTGCCGATGGAGTCCTTAATCCCTCAGGTGTTCGGTTCGGATCCGCAGAAATCTATCGGGTACTTGAAGAATATTTCACGCGGGAAATAAGCGACTCGATCTGTGTCGGACAGCGACGACCCACAGACGAGGATGAACGGGTGATTCTTTTCTTACTGATGAAGCCCGGGACCAAATTTACGACAGAGTTGGTCAATCGAGTGAAGCGTACGATCCGAACCGAGCTTAGTGCGCGCCATGTGCCGATGTTCATCTTTGAAACCCCTGAAATCCCGGTTAGACCACCCCTCCTCCTTTCCGTTCCTTTCCTTCCCCTCCCCTCCTCGTAACCCGGGTAGCAATTAACGGAGCAAATCAGACCACCGTCAATTTGAAGAAAGTGGAGCTCCCTGTGAAGCAAATCGTGTCTGGCAAACGGATCCAACCCTCTGGCACACTTCTCAACCCCGGCAGTCTGGAGTATTACTATCGATTCGCTGAAATTGAAAAGGTCGTGCGGGAAAGTAAGCTGTAAGCGGCTGGAGACATAGATTAAAGAGGGGTAACTGGTAGGTTTTCCGGCCAACGCATCGTAGGATTAGGAGCTGAATTGATAGACATTAGCAAATGAGAAACCAATTCACAGCCACACATGAACCCTGGTCGGGGATGAATTCTAGATCCACACCGCTAGTTGTGGGCAAGACGTGGCGTAACGTGGCCCCAATAATAATTGGCGATGAGGAGGGGTTGATCGGATACATCGGGAGCCCGAAGCTGGCGAGGATCCCCCCCTCTGCCAAGCTTTTGACCAAGCTTTGGCAGCTTGATGCTGGTCCACGAACAATAAAAGCAACCAAAATAGTAAAAGTGATAACAAAGGCTTATATTCAGAGACAGGGGGATGGAAAAGCGTCGTCATGGGCGCTAATTGAGTCAATGAGAGGGGTTAGGGTGAAACATGAAGTTTTCCTCGCACTGAAAAAGCAGCTGAATGTTAAATGCGTCATGGTCCCCGCAGCGGATTTTGTAGTTCAATAATACATAACAGGTTCAAACCCTCTCCCTCTTCCCGTCTTTATCCCTCCCAACTCTTTCCCTTTCATTCTTGATTTAGTCTCTTTCAATCCTTTATTGTTGTTTTCTTCTCTTATTGCCCATCATGGTTCATCTGGCTACCGTTAAGAAGGACAACGAGGTCTTCCACCCCTCTTCTCGTCAGTTCGACTCTATTGGTGCCGCTCCCACTCAGGATGATATCTCCACCAATGTCTATGGTAGCCACTTTGCCGCAGACCACATGTCCCAGCATGAGATGCCGGAGGGTGAAATGCCTCGTCAGGTTGCTGCTCGTCTGATCAAGGATGAGCTGAGCTTGGATGGTAACCCCAAGTTGAAGTAAGTTCTTGGAGCTGGTGTTTCTTCTCTCCCCCCCCCCCCCCCCCCAGAGGGAGTTCGTTGGGTATGAGGAACGACAATTGATAATCAATTCTTATAGCTTGGCTTCTTTCGTGACTACTTACATGGTATGTGACGGCTGATAACTCACAGACGAAGAATGACCACTGTTCTCCCACAAACAAAAGACAACATCAGCTAATCAATCTCTGTCACGTAACAGGAAGAGGAGATCGAGGAGATTATGACCGACTCCTTCAGCAAGAACTTCATCGATTATGAAGAGTACCCCCACTCTGCCGAAATCCAGAACCGCTGTGTCAACATGATTGCCCGTTTGTACAACTGCCCTACCGACGCCGAATCTGAGAACGCCATGGGTACCTCGACCATTGGTTCTTCCGAGGCCATCATGCTGGCTACATTGGCCATGAAGAAGCGCTGGCAGAACAAGCGCAAGGCCGAGGGCAAGGATTGGCACAACCCCAACATTGTCATGAGCAGTGCCGTCCAGGTTTGCTGGGAGAAGGCCGCTCGCTACTTCGATATCGAAGAGAAGTACGTCTACTGTACTGACACTCGCTTTGTAATCGACCCCAAGCAGGCCGTTGACCTTGTGGATGAGAACACCATTGGTATCTGTGCTATCATCGGAACCACCTATACCGGTGAATATGAGGATGTCAAGGGTATCAACGACCTCCTCGTTGAGCGTAACATCGACTGCCCTATCCACGTTGACGCTGCTAGTGGTGGCTTCGTAGCTCCCTTTACTGTCCCCGAGTTGGAGTGGGACTTCCGTTTGCCAAAGGTTATCTCTATCAACGTTTCTGGACACAAGTACGGTCTCGTCTACCCCGGTGTTGGCTGGGTTGTCTGGCGTTCTCCCGAGTACCTTCCCCAAGAGCTGGTGTTCAATATCAACTACCTCGGTGCCGACCAGGCTAGTTTCACTCTGAACTTCTCCAAGGGTGCTGCCCAGGTCATCGGCCAGTACTACCAGCTGATCCGTCTCGGTAAGCACGGTTTCCGCTCGATCATGGTCAACTTGACCCGCATCGCCGATTATATGACCAGCGAGCTGGAAAAGCTTGGTATGATCATTATGAGTCAGCCCCGAGGCAATGGTCTTCCTCTTGTCGCATTCCGTCTACCTCCCAACAAGGACCGCGTGTACGACGAGTTCGCTATTGCCCATCAGCTTCGTGAGCGTGGCTGGATTGTTCCCGCCTACACCATGGCTCCTCACAGCGAGGAATTGAAGCTGATGCGTGTTGTTGTCCGCGAGGATTTCAGCATGAACCGCGCTGACAGTCTGATGACTGATCTCAAGCTGGCCTTGCAGACCCTAGAGGACATGGACCAGTCCATGATGGCCAAGTACAAGGCGTAAGTTTCACTCAACAGTGATAATCACTTAATCATTTCCTCCTTTTATTTCCCCCCATACTAACCTCGTATTTACAGTCAAATACAGAGCCACCGTGCTCATCCCCGCCACAAGCACACTCACCACGCCTACCATGGCGAGAAGCACTCTCTGCAGGGTAAGACCGGCAAGAGCCACCCAGTGTGCTAGATTTCTTATGAAATCCGACACATGACATGAAATTTTCTCTTCGTTGCAAATCTTTTCTCTCTCCTTGTTGCACAGCAATTATCGTGGTCAACTATGTTTCCCTCTCCTTCAGCCCTGGAGGTTGTTGTGACCAACCATTTGTATGTATTACCTGTCTCATAGCAGGATGATCTTGACGATGTGATTTGATTGAATCAATAATTATTGAATTTGAATATGTAAATCTTGACGGGGGTTTAAAGGATAACACGTAGACACCAAAGTTTCAAATTAATGCGACTGGCAGAGGCTTAAATTGATAATTTCTGATCTTACTTAGTAAATAAAATCTCTTAATGTAAACAGCAGAGAAAAACAACCTTAATTGCATTGAGCCAATAACACACTCTTAACCCCGACAACTCCGGACCCGCACATAGCTTGGCACCAAGTCCCACGTTCAACAGCCGCAAGCAAAGCTCCTCGTCAACACCAAACTACCTCCCACAAAACTCCACACAAGCCAACCCACAATCTCTCGAATAAATCGACTTAACACAAGAGTGTATCCTGGGCTTCCAATTACATTACCTACAATAACCGAAAAAGGAGACCACCCAAGCAAGAAAAGCAAGAGAAAATATCAACAACAAAATGAACCCATCAATACCACCAGGCCTCTCAGGCATAATAGGTCTACCAGGCCTAGGCCTCCCATCCTTCCACCCAGAAACAATGAAAGCCTGGCTCTACACCACCACCTCACCAAGCCTAGAAAAGTCCCTAACCCTCCACAACAACGCCCTCGCACCTCCGACCCCAAAAAACAACGAACTCCTCATCCAAGTCCTCAGCGCATCCCTAAACCACACAGACTACCAATACCCAGAGCAATTCCTAAATTCAGGCCTCGCACGCCTAATAATAGGCACACCCGCAAGTCCCGGAATAGAATTCTGTGGTCGAGTCACAGCCACAGGACCCCTAGCACAGCATTTGAAAGAAGGCACAATAGTCTACGGTTGTCACAGCCGCCCCACTCAATTCGGGACATTAGCCGAATACCTCGTTATAAAAGCTGATAAAATCGCCATTTTACCTGATGGAGTTGACATCAATTCTGCATCTGCGGTTAGCATCTGCGGAATAACAGCCTACCAAGCTCTAGAAGGGAATGTCAAACCTGGTTCCGGTTCATCGGTCCTGATAAATGGCGGTTCAGGAGGATGCGGACAATTCGCGATCCAAATCGCAAAAGCAATGGGGTGTCGCGTTACAGCAACCTGCTCAACAAGAAACATGGAACTATGTCTCCGAATCGGTGCAGATGAAGTAATCGACTACACAGCCGAAGAAGATCTAGTGCGCAAATTAGCTTCTCGGGGATCAGGAATGGAATTCGATTGTATAATCGATAATGTTGGGACTCCGTCAACGCTATACTATGAGTGTCATCGGTTTCTGAAAGAGGAAGGGGTATTCATGCAAGTCGGGGTTGAGTCGGTGAGGACGTATTTACGGGCTGTGTGGCCTGCTTTTCTTGGGGGTGGGAGGAGACGATATGTGATTTTGCGACGGGTGGATGATAATAGACGGCTTGTGAAACTTGGGGAGTGGTTGGGGGATCGGACTGTGCAGGTACAGACTGATGGGGTTTATGAGTTTCATGATGTGGTTAAGGCGTTTGAGAAGTTGAGATCTGGACATGCGAGGGGGAAGATCGTGGTTCGTGTTAGTGATCCGCATGCGAGGGATATGCAGTCATTTGGGATTGGATTTTGATGGAACTGGGCTGAGTGTATATAATGATACCCTTTGAATCTCACGGGCTCTAGTTGATTCAAGTACCTATAAGTGCTCGTATTTTGATATAACGTACATTAATCCTCCAAGGTTGGATATCTGGTCCCATGGTTCATACAGTGCAAGATCACGGTTGAGCCTCCCGAAGTTCGAAAGATGATATCACATGGAACGTGAAGTATATCAATTTGAACTCACAATATTGAACATAGCAGAAAGGAGGTAAAACACAGCTACTAAACTCAATATCCGCATAGACCATTCTCCGGAATGTCAAACAAAGAAACCAAGTAGCCGGGATTCAGCCCAGCACCTCTAGTACATGTGTACCTAGATGTGCATATGCAAATAATCCTCCAAGCCCCAGCTGAGATACGTTATGTAGTATTCTTCACTGGCAGTACTGTATATAAATATGGCTGCTGTCATACGTTCAAATGTTGTGTAGTATGCATGAGATGTGGCGATATGCGGGCCGATGCATGCATGAACAGCTGAATGTTGCGATATTGCCACCAATGCAGGCATTGCAGTACCTCTGGAACCTTTTATCCCTTGCTCTTGAAGGTAGAGTAAATGGTGTATCCAGGTACTAGTTGTATGTATATTATTTGATACTATTTATAGAGACGACCTGAGCTCACCTTTGACGTCTGTGTATGTCCACGGGTAGAGTGTAGACTAGTTCGATGAGTTTAAATTGTGGAGATGGTTGTGATGTAATAAAGAAGAGAGGGAGATAGTCAAGATAAAAGAGATGAATTATAATAGATTTACATGATTGTTGTTTATTTTTAGGCAAGAAAAGTACTAGTAGAGTGTTGGTCTACATACTAAGTACTACATCTCAGTAGTATGATGGTGCTTGTTCAGCCCTACAGACTTAAACACGATCCACGATAAAACATAGCCGATGCTTCAATTGAAGCGTATTTCGTAACTCCTCACATAATTGAGCTATTAGATATTAGATATCAGATACCAGATACCTTCATTCGCCTCTCGGATATAACCGAGTTACGCTACGACTCAGTTATGCTCCGCCTCCTATTTCGCCCCCAAACTGTTGACCACGCAACAACCGGTTTTTCTTTGAGCGAATGGATTATGGGAAATACGGAGCGGAAACTCTGCACTAGATGGACTTTTCTCGCTCTCTCTCATGCCAGTGATCGACCTTTTACTGCTGTACTCAGTAAAATAATACCCTAGCTGGGTATACTATGTGGACATTTCAAGCCCAGTATTTCTTTCATTTAACTTACTTTTTGCGTATTTTCTTTCTTGTGTAATTATCCCAAGCGCTTGTTTATTTCCCCTAATCCACATTGTTTCCCCGTATTTATATATAGAAACAAAACCTCCAAACCTTCCAATCACTGCTTGCCGATCCCATCTCCACTGAGAGCCCTTTGCCCTCCCACCCCCTCCATTCAAGTCAGGCCCTGGGCATTGCTTGCCTTCGTGATTTCACCAGTTCAAGGATGCCCTTATTCAAGAAATCCAAGGCGTCTGCAAACCCGTCCTCTGGTCGCTTCCCTCTCCGCTCAGTTGAGCAACTGGCCCACCCCGCGTTGGCTCCACCAGACCATAACTCAAGCTCCATTGAGAACTACGTGGACCGCCACCCTTCAGATCCTCGTCTCGCCTACCACGAGGGACCGGGCTCAAATCCACAATCCCAGCCCCCGACCGAACCTAGACAATCCTCGTTGACTCGCGCCCAGAGCCAACGTCAGCACCAGCTTCAACAACCATCACAGCCTCAGCAACGCGACCGAGTCGCCGCCCCTGAAGACCCGCAGCCTCGTCGTAGAACCGGGAGAACTGGCCTATTTGTGCGGCCATCGTCCGGTATTCTTGACCGAAGACCCTCAATCAGTAAGGGAAAACAACAAGCTGCTCCTGCAACAGCACATCCTGCCTCCCAACCAACTTCGCCTCAACAGCTTAAGTCCTTCGCCGAACAACAACAACAGCGCAGCACCCAGAACCAGAACCTCTACCCGGACGATCAATCCCCAACTGGCGCCCAGCCATCGTATGAACCGCGGTCGGCATCCCTAGCCTACCAACATCAACACCTCCAACATTCACAACGATCACTACACCAATCGCACCCCTCAATAGGAAGCGATATTCAAGACTGGTCACCGTCTCAACAATCCACAAAACCACAACAGCAACAGCAACAACCAACCCTCCAACTGCCCAGACCGGCAGGACTTGAACGATCCAACACCGACCCAACTCTAGTCCAACGGACCAGTGCCCGCCCGTCACCCACGGATCGCGCCCCGGAATCCCCTCGTTACGCCGCCGAACAACAAGGCGACCGGGGCTCGACACAGTCTCGTAGCGAGCACGATCTGGTATTACACAATTCCCGGCCCCCTTCCCGGCAGACTTACGAGCCGCATTCCCCAAGTCGTCAGCAGATTCATCCTGACGCCATGCAGCAGGTCTCCGCGCAGGCGCCATCCCAGGCTCAACAAGCGAACGATCGACCTTCCAGTCGCAGGGGCAGCGCATCCCAACCGTCCACCATGCCGACGGAACAGGCGCGCAGTACACCTAGTGGGTCTCGGACTCGTGATGAGCTTGAAAATATCGATGTCCGAGCATTGATTCAAAAGCATGATGAACTCCGTAAGTTTCAAGTCATGTTTACTTTGTCTTGATTTTATGTGTGCCCATAAATTAGAAAAAGAAAGAAAGCCAACAAAAGGTATAACGTGATACTAACAGAACATTATAGAAAGCAAATACTCCAAGGTCAAGCGTTACTACTTCGAAAAGGAGGCGCAAGTACAACACCTCCAAAACACCGTCGCACACCAACGCATGGCCGTATCTCGCACCGTCCTCGATGACAACGAATACGCAAACCGATTTCAACGACTAGACGGCGCCATCAAAGACCTGGCATTCTCCACTCGCAAAGACTGGCGTGCCATCCCACCCTGGCTACACGGTCTAACAACAGACGACGCAGTAACCACAGGAACAAAGGAAATGATGGCCCTCGGACGAGCAGTAATCAGTCGCTGGCTAGTCGAAGAAGTATTCCAAAAACACTTCCACCCAGGCTTAGAGCCAGGCCTCAGCATCCAATTAAAGAAAATCGAGATGAATCTCCGCCGCCAACAAATGCGACCGGTAACAGATGAAGACCGCGAAAACGCAATCGCCAAATTGTCCAACTGGCGCCGCACAACCTTCGACGGACTAGGCGAAATACTCGCAAACCCAACCGCACAAGATCGCCGCTCCGATCTAATCGAACATCTAACCATTTTACTGGCCACATTCCTAAGCACCCAGCTTCAAGAACAAGCACTACCAGGTCTAGAAGCTGGTGTGCGGATGATAATCGAAAACACGATAAACATTATCGAGAAGATCCCACTTGAAGCTCGTGATGTTTGTGTCGAGTACTTTCCTCCAAACATTACATTCCATGAAAACTATATGAAAGTCGAAGGTCAACTGCCACCGCTCACTCATCAACCCCCACCACCAACAGACCAAGATCTAGACGATGAAGGCGAGTCCTCTCCCGGCTCAAACTCCACCGGCGGAGCAGGCGGCGATGGTCCATCCCCTGCACCCCGTGAACCTCGCAGGCGATCAGTCTTCGGTGCCTTAATGGGTCGTCGCCCCGCAACAGAACAACCCGCTCGAGCAGCTAGTGGTGGAAAACCCGAAATCCCTGAGACGCCTCGAATCCGCTTCGCATCCTTCCTCACGGTAGAAGTACGCGGCAAGGGACCAGCGACTGTTCTCGTTCAAGCGCCTGTATGGCTGATAGAGTGAAGTGAAAGATAAGATCAATATCAATACCCCCCAATAAGAGGAATATAACGAAACAGAACTCTGAGCGTTGATGTAAATAATTGGACCGTGCCACTAGTTGGCATTTGATGACAACCATGATTGATCGCAATGATATCCCCATCGTGTTTTCGCTGTTCTATGGTGGCGGGTTCCGAGGTTTTGTTTGATATCGGAAATCAATTGTTTTCCATGTTGTTTTCTCTTTTCTTCCCTTCTTCTTTCTCCTCTTTTCTGCTTTGAATTCTTGCAAATCTAGCATCTGCATCCGATGACCAATCACGGATGTTCTCACGATATAAAGTGTTCTTTCGTTTACATTACCTTATAATCAACTAGATGGCATTTCATGGACATTATCATGGATCTTTATGAATATTAACAATTAAAACCAATCTCATATAAGTCCTTATCCATATGATAACCTACAGCGTAGAACCTATAATCAACCACATAACCCATAGTATAGCCAGTATAATCCGAAATATTTGAACTCTCTAACAGAACTTGAATATCAAAACACCCACATAATCCATAAAGGGTAGCATACCATACCCTCCATCTCAATGTTGGAAAGAAACCCACTAAATCCACCAGGGCAGCCACCGATTCATCATTAAGTCCCGCGATTACGAACTGTGGAGAAAGATTTCCAACGTCTGTGCAGCGTGACATCATTAGGTAGAGGGGTGATGCTATCACGGGAGTATCCGTGGATCTTCGCAATTGGTTAGATGATTCTCCATGGTGAACCCTAATTTATACCTTATAGAGACGATGAAATATTGATAAGATGTAGTGCTGAGTAGTGGTAACCTTGGATTTCTATATACAGTTATATCTAGAATACAAGTCCATGTAGGAAAATGGATCTATCTGATGTGAATCCGTTGTAGTCACTGTTCTCTTGAAGACATTATACAGAACCTAAAGGGTTCGAGTATGTAGATTGGAGATATACAGAAAAAGCAATTATACCATGTTCCTATATCATGATCCTACATCCTAGTGATAAAACACAAGTACAACTTGAAGTGCACATTTTGAAATGCAGAATTCAATTCAATTAAATCAAATCAGATCAGATCACATAAATATCAAGAGCTAGCATAATAAATATCAATATCAATATCAATATCATATATCCATATCAGTCTGATTGTATCTACCAACACTAACACCAACACCAAAATACCACTGACAGTGCGAAGACACCCAACCCGGGAGAAATCATATATACAAAAGCCGCAGCCGCAGAGCAGAGGCTTAACATGCAGAAAGATCGCGTAATAGATTCAAAATAAGAATGAGAATGAGAAAAAGTAGATTCCCGGGTATAGCGCCTCGCTGATGTAAAGAAAGAAGGCAAGACAAAGTCAAGATAACAAACAAGAAAAGAAAGACAGCCATGCTAACAAGACAAGACAAAATAACATCGCAATAACAATGCAATGCATAACATGCTGAAACAAATAAAAGATAGAATCATAGATAATCATGAGTATGATGAGTATGCTTTTGTTCAGCCTGTCATGTCAGGTAGATAGATATTCATATCTGACCTTTCCTCTTCCCGACAAGAGGAAAATGAGAGTAAAGACAGATACATGCAGTATATGCAGTTATGCATATAGGTCCAGTCAGGTTCAGGTTAATTAAACCTTAATGCCGCTCTCATTAGCGGCTTGCTGCAACACACGAGGCCAGCGCGAGATAAGCTCAACATCATCAAGCACGCCCTTGCCCTGGTTACGAACATACTGCGTGCTAGGATCGACGCGAGGTTCCCAATCCCAAACCTGTGGAGTGCCCTGAATAAGGGCAGAGTAGACAAGTCTCCTGCGGCGCTGAGAAGTCAAGACATCCTGACGAACCTTCTCCAAATCCCAACGCGTAGTCACCTCCTCATAGAAATAAGCGAGGAGCTTAACTGGGTCTCCGGTCTCAGGGAGGGCGGGGAATTTCGCCGGGCTAGGAGTCCGAGGCGGGGTAGGTGTTGGAAAAGGGAAAGATGCGGAGCCATCCACTGCGCGTTGAGGGATTGGAGAGGCGTGTGGAGTATCGCTTGGTGTGGGGAGTGTAGCTGGGACAGCGACAGGGTTAAGTGGCTTCAGTTGAGACACAGGAGCACGGTTCTGGCCGATAGATGGGATAGGAAGACCAGCCACGAGGTTATTTTTCTCATAAGGGTCTGCAGCAACATCAAACAGCATCGGGGGATCGATAGTAGAATAAATAAACTTATATCTTCCCCTCCGAATCATAATAAGCGGAGCCTGTGTACCTTCACCCATATATTCACCATAAACGGTATCTGTCTTCGGACCCTTCGCACCAGTTATATACGGCGCAAGCGAAACACCATCAAGCGGTAACTCCTTAACAAGCGGCGCACCCGCCAAATCCGCAAACGTAGGAAGAAGATCCATAGTTGAAACATTCTCAGACACACGCTTCGCTCCGAATTGCTTGGGAGCATAGAAAAGCATAGGCACACGAGCAGAGTTCTCAAACCAATTCATCTTGTACCATAGCCCACGCTCGCCAAGCATGTCACCATGATCACCGGTGAAACAGATAATAGTATTCTCATCCAGGCCAGTATTCTGTAGCACCTTCAGGAGCTTGCCAATGTTTGTATCGACATAAGTACAAGCGGCATAGTATGCACGGCGGGCAGCACGGATACGATCCTCAGGCATCTCTTTGCCCCAGAGATCGATACATTTGAGTAGACGTTGGGAATGGGGGTCCTGCTCTTCATGGGGAATGGGTCCATTCTTAGGAAGAGGGATGTCGACGTCCTCGTACATGTCCCAGAATTCTCTTGTCATGGCATACGGATCGTGGGGGTGTGTCATGGAGACTGTCAGACAGAAAGGTTGGTCAGTGCGTTGACGCACATGGTCGTACAAGTATTGCTGAGACTTGTAGATAACCTCCTCGTCGAAATCTAACTGGTTTGTTCGGACCACGGGACCGGCCTCCATAACCGAGGACATATTATGGTAATAATCCAGACGAATATCCTATGAAAAGATGTCAGAAAACTTTCTCCTTTCCACGTAACAAGCTAAACAAGATATGTAGTAACTCACCGGCTCATCCCAGTTAACGGACCAGCCGTAGTCACCAGGGTAAATATCACTTGTCAAACGCTGCTCGTAACCATGAAGCTGGTCAGGACCACAGAAATGCATCTTCCCCGCCAAAGCGGTATGATAGCCCTCCCGGCGCAAATAATGCGCATAAGTAGGCGTATCGGCAGGTAAATCCGCAGCATTATCATAAGCACCAATCTTCGAGGGTAACTGTCCGCTAACCATCACAAAACGCGAAGGAGCACACAGAGGCGAGTTACAATAAGCCGAGTCAAAGACGACACCACCCTCAGCAAGACGGTCCAAGTTAGGCGTCTTAATAGGAGAGGTCTTATCATGCAGAGACAGCAATGGAGCTGCCATCTGGTCAGCCATGATGTACAAAATATTAGGCTTCTTAGTCGCCATGATGAAGGATTGAAGTCAAGATGGCAGAAGAACAAAGATAAAGAAGTGATTGATTATGAATATAGAAGGAAAGAAAAAAAAGAGAGTACCAAGGTTGAGGACGGGGGAGGCATTCATATAAGATTCCCGAAGGCTCATGTGGGGACCCCGGCCATACAGTAGAAAGAGATTTTTAGGGAATTTTGTTTTTGAGTACCCATTTTTTTCAACTTTCCCACTCTTCACCCCCTTCTTCTCCGGTGATTGATAAAAAGGGCCCGAGAGCAAGCGAGCCACGCATGCCAGATGAATATCATGTACCGTGCAGAGTGGAGGGGCCAAAGATAATTGAGTAATCGAATAGATTAGCCCCAATGTAATGTGTTTTACAAGCGCGGATGTATCAGTCTGGCCCGGGGTATACTTCCCAGCAGGAGGAACCCACATACACGCACAGTCCCGAAATCCGAGCCCCATATGTACCAAGTATGTACTACTGTATTAGAACTAAACTAGACCAGAACAACCCCATAACCCACAAGGTATCACAGACCGCTTCAGACACTGCCAAATGCCAGCTTCCCAGTCCAAGGTAAGGGTATGTACAGTACTGCAGAGCCCAGATCTTTACCCCGATCAGTCCCACAGTAGCGTGCGTGCTACTGCAATGGAGATCAGGGGAATGATCCGGTACTGACGTACGCTTTTGAAGGCGCAAGATAGCACAATTTGTAGGTGCGATGGTGTGATTTAGACCCAGGAATGAGAAAAAGTGGAAAAGTCGGTGGAGTATCCCGATCGACAGGAGACAGGAGGTACATAGGGGCCAGGTGGTGTGTATTGTAACGATATGTATTAACCGTAAGAAATGTAAGAAATGGCTATCGGGAACAACACAAAGAGGCCTCAAGGTCATGTGCCTCGTTAGGTATTTTGTATTTTTACGCATTGTAACTCGCTCCCTTTCACTGTCTCACCAATATTAAAGACAAAAAAACAGTATAAAAAATATTTAAAAAAAACAATCAAGTATCAGGAATGACTATCCTCCTCGAGGCAGACAATCCTGTCCACTAGAAAGTGGGAATTGTCCCGCTAGAAATCGAAAGAATGAAAAAGTCCCCAGTGCGTGACTCTGCCGACATAGGACAAGTTGCCACCTGGACAAGTCCAACATTACACTTATCAGTCACTCAAAAACTGACCGAAACAACCGTAATACCAAACGCATTCTGTAACTTCAACCACGACGTCCACCCATAACCACCATCCAAAATCAACTTCTGTCCATAATTTTCACTCGAAGGATTTCTCACTTATCTGATCCCGTCGGCTTTTTCACGGAGTCCACTCGACCCCGGAGTGGACAGGAAGCTTTCGGTGCAGCCGCTGAAGCCCTGACAGACCCTTGTAACGCCGACGATCCAAACCGACCAGTTTGCAAAGTCTATACTCCACCGGATCGTGTCATCGCCTTGCCAACCAATGAGAAGCAATTAGCACACAACCGATTTGCCCCTATGACTACCGAACCCAGTTAGTCTGGATGCTTAGGGGCACTTAGGGGCAGGATCTCCACTTGCTTATTATCTAAACCAATCACGGGAGAGCAAAGCCGACTGCGTTGCGTCCGAATTCAGAGGCCGCAAAAGCGAAGAAACGTGCCTGTCTTCCCAGTGTGGGTGGTGGCGGAGGAGTCCGACGAAAGTGGAACAAGCGGTGTATACAGCATAGTCTAAGAGTTCCGCATCACCAGACAAAACAATAGCTCACCATGAACTCCTGAAGGCCGCGTGGAATCTATCAATATTGCGCAAATCTGGTCAATCCAACGGGAACTATCCACCCCCTTCCCCAGCTTTAATCCACAAAATCCACAATGAGCCATCCCCCCTTTCAATCACGTCATGAGAATCCGCGTTTCACAATGAGCTTCGCCTCCCCGGATTGACATTGATCATGCCAAGCAGCTACTAAGCGGTTCGTCACCGCCAGTTGTTCTTCTGATTTGTTTTTGTGGCGGCTCATCCGGGAATGGCGCTGGCGCTCGGAGCTGAGGAGTTTCCGTGCAGCATTGCTGTGTACGTACATGTACTAGTAGTGGCGGGATCGTTTCACCCGATGCAGAATGGCGTATGTCAAGACAGGAAAATGGAGGATCCTCCCTTCAGGGGCCTTCAGGATTCAGTCAAGGCAGACGGGAAACTCATTGCGCGTCCGCGTCAAATGATACCTGGTACCTGATAGCCGTGCCGTCGGCCACTAATTCGGCCACCCCGAATTAGTGTCCCCCACCGTAATGCAAAATATCACCGTAATGCAAAACACGCAACAAAACATCAATTTTTAAACTAAATACTAAATGAATCTTGATATGCAATTATATCACCATTATCTCCAAGAATCGGCGTAGAAGACACAATAGGTGATTTATCTGTTGAGGGTCGAGAAGGTTCAAATCCAAAGCGTTTTTTAAAATCTTTGGCCACCCGTCTATCCTCTTTTTCATCTTCCTTAGCACGTCGCTCAGCAATAGATCGATTTGCATCTTTAACACGTAAAATTCCATCATCTTTGAGGTTTAATAATCGCCGTTTGGTAGATTTTTTAGCCCGTGGGGCCTGGATTTGGGCTATTTTTGCGATCGTAGAAGATGCGTTTTGAATCGCCTGAACGTGGAAATCCATCTCTATAAGTATTTGATCTAACGTCCGTTTTTGCCGAGGTGTAATACTATCTAATTCCATTAAGGGAGCTAGTTTTTTGCGGCGTTTCTGGACGTCTTCTGTAGTCTTTGAAGGTATATTCTCTAGACTTGAAGATAGTATATTTTCCAGTGGTGGTGATGGTGTTTTTTGATCCCGAAGATCAATTGATATATCTAGGATAGAAAGAAGGGCATCTTCCAGTTTTTGACAGACAATTTTAGCATTGACTGGATAAATTCCTCGTTCTCGAAACGCATTTCGGCAAACTCTCTGTGTCAAAGCTTTATCTCTAAAGCCCATAAGGTCTTCGAGAAATGAGTTTTTATTTGCTGTAAGACCCCCACCCCACTGTGAAATAAGGTTATTTTATTAACGAAAATAAGCCTTATAAGCCAAAAATGGCTTACCATCCAAAGGTTGAATATAATTTATCTTATTTAGTGGAAAACCAAAGATCTTAATACCAGCTTTTTCAGCAGAGTTTAAGAATTCAAATGTCAGATATGAGCCACAGCCATCAACTAAAAGAATTCTTTGCTCGCCTTGCTTAACACAATACTGCGTTTGACGGTCAAATTCTTTGATCCAAAGCACAGCAAGTTCATCAACCATATAGCCTTTCTCAATAGTTGCAGTCATCCACTCCTCAGGTAATTTGGTATCATACCAAGCCTCCATTTGATGGCGTCCTTTAAAGATAACAAGGGGTTCCATTCTCCAACCATCAGCCGCAATACATTCTGCGACAGTAACTCGCTCTCCATGTTCTTCACCGGCAAGACGTGGAATCTTTGTTTTATAACGTATAAAGACTTTCTGAGTTTGTCCTTGGCCCAATTAGAAGCCAGTTTCATCAAAATTATAGACAAGCCTTTCTGGTACACCATCAAGAATTTTGTCTAATAAATCATACCAATGTTCTAGAATAGCAACATCTTCGTGGCTCATTCTTTTTAAATCTATAACCTTCTGTCGTCTCATCTCAAAATCAACATCCGGGAAACGTTGAATAAAGCGATAAACCCAGTTTTTTCCGACTGTTCGGTCTGATGTTCCCGATCGGGCAAGAGTCAGATTTGCCCACTGTTCTATAATATTTGGTGTCGGAGGGATAAAAGCTTCATCCAATGATCGAATCCAGAAGGATAAAGCTTTCTCTTGGACGTCATTTAAAGCCTTATTTTGTGGTTTTCGTTGAATTCTGGGCGTTGATTTTTGACGGACTCGGCGGTACAGAGTATAATACGAAATAGCATATTCCTCCGCGATCTGCGTCAAATTTGGCTTTTTGAGGGTAGAGGCATATCCAACAGCCTCTTCCATACGAAATACTTCATTTTCATAGAAATCGGCCATAGTTAAGGATGTATAATTGAGGGAAGAAGACGTGCGGGAAAGTGTTTTGCATTACGGTGATATTTTGCATTACGGTGGGGGACACTAATTCGGGGTGGCCGGATTAGTGTCCTCCGGCACGGCTACCACGATTAGTATCTAAACCCCGAGGAGGGTTGCAAGGTTTCAAGTTACGGAGGACAAACTGCAGAGATAAGCAGGTGACCTAGTAGAGATCAGCCTTGGGGTTTGCATGACCCTGGTAACACTACAACCGGCACTACTTATTAATCCCCTAATGCACCCCTTCATCCTTGGCCTTGGCCTTTACTTGCAATGAATAAAACTGGTCATGATAAGCAGAATAAGCAGAACAATGTTACATCAATGTGAGCGAGATAGATTAACACGAAAAAAAGAAAAGAAAAATAAACCTTCCTTCTGACTAGATTGACTATCATTGTTGATCAGTATTATCTGAAAATGTGTTCCTCAAGAAAGCAACAACAACTTGGAGGCAAAGAACCGTCAACTTGGAAGTAAATCCGACTTAAATTTCAGAAATGAAAAGAGATAATCAGCAAAAGAAACGAGCAGCGAAAAATAAGGCCAGCAAGAAAAACCATTAGCAAAAAGAGAACGGCCAGCAAAGAAAACCATCAGAAAAGGAAAACGGCCAGCAAATAACCAGCAGCAAAATCACATCATAGTGGAACTGAAACCTCCGCGCTTAAAAAAGCCTGTAAACGAAAAAAGCTGTGAGCAACGCATCAGACTAAAACAACAAACACCGAAGCACCACACCCTGGACACTTACCCGACCTAGCACAAGCAATCCCATTGGATCCGTGCGAACCATCGCCACTCATGATGCCATCGTCCCCAGAACACCCGTCTTTCCTCATCAGTACGATGACGTGAGGGATACTTGAGGATGAGCTCCTCTGGCTCTTTCCTATGAGCTTCTGGCATATTGACAGCAAACCAATGGACACAATCTCGAATAGCAAAGACATTTTCGAGATTATCGTTGCGGTTATTCTGTCCTACTCGACGACATAGTAGATCAGAAGTCAATTGACTCAAGTCCCAGGGGGCTCTTTCTCCGAATCGTCTCTTTTGGAGCTCGTATGCATCGATGATTCGAAGGTGGATCCATCTTAACAACCACAGGAGTTGCTGGCCATTATGGACAATCAAAGTCGTCTGAGGGTTCACAAATTTGAAAAGGGCTTCGCGCACTGCGTTCCGATCCTCGGAAATGTAGCCAATCTTCTCGGCATTGTCAAGCATCGCAGAGCTTATTCCGGAGTTGCGTTGGTCGGTATGCAATAACATACCATATGGTGAGACCAGAGTGTCGATGAGGACCTCGCCGGAATAAAAATCAACGGCACTCACACGAAGCAACTCCGCTTCGCCCGAGTAATTTCTACCGGTTGCGCAATGCAGAACAATTGCGGATCGGGCGTCAGTTACGAAGTCCGGGGTGTCGAAGAGCTCGATTGGTGATGTGTATTTCGGCTCCTCTTCAACAGGTTCAACTGGTTCAACGGGATCACCCCAGTCAGGCCCCGGGTAGCTGCTCTTACGCGTGGCAACATGGGCGCAACTGTATAGTGGCCTCATGCAGTGTATCAATTCTGTATAGCACCCTTCTGCAAACAGGGGTTTCTTGCAGCAATTCCATGCCTATTGTTCGTTCTTGTTAGTATGAATACAATAGCCGTGGCACGGGGAATTCACTGACATTGCCATCGAAGGCGCCGAAATGCCAAGCACAGATCGGAGCACATGCGTTGGAGAAACTATCTTTCCACTTTTCTTCGGAGACTTGATATATCTCGAACATCACATAACCGGATCTGGAACTCCCGGTTACCTCGACCCAAAGATGGTGATTCTTAGGATCGATGAGGAAATGCGTGTTGTCCAGCTGATTTTCCATATCCACAACCATCTCCATGAGTTTGACTTGATCGCAGAGCACCACTTTACTTCGACCAAGCTGGGCATTCTCGAAGTAAGCCTTCAAGACGCGATTGAAATCATTCGGAATGGCTGCCTTCTTGACATATTCCCGTTTTCCTAAATCAACGCGGGCCACTTCGTGACAGAAAATCTTGTTCATTTTGTCAGGCCAAAAGCACCCCAAATCCATTCGGAGTTTCTTCTTCGGGGGGCCTGTTTTCTTGTGATGCGAGCCGCCGGCCGCTATGAAAAATTGTAAGTAAGGAAAATAGTGGTCTCGAATAGAACAGACGAGAGACTTACCTCCACAATACTTGCAGCGACGCATTTTGTTGAGCTCAGCGGGTGTGTGTTCAGTAATCCTGATATCAGTTTGACGCTTTATTTCCCTTTCGAAAAGAGTGAGCTCTCGCATCGACCAGTAATGGCCCTCGGTCTCCTCGATAGGTTTCAATGCTGGCGGGACACGCCTGGGGTTGAACAAAGGATGGCCCGGTGATAACGAGTTCATCTTGACTGAGAATAATGAGATATAGTCGGGGTGGGGTGAAGTAGAGAAGAAGGGAAAGAGAAAGGAAGTGAGAGGGGAAATTTATATATTGAGAAAAGTGACAGCGAACCCGGGCAACGGATTAGCTCTGGGTTGGATACGGACTAGGAAGGGGTGAATAGATGGGAATGGAACGAGCAGGGAGTCAATGACAATTGGAGCTTGGAGACAGTTCGTACTGGTTCACATTCACATATAATGACATCTGGAGTGAGGGAAGTTTCCAGATACGGAATGAAGACCCATTGTGCCGGGTACATGAATAAGTTGAACACTTAGAGTAGCTCTAGTAATGGACATGGTATATTGCACGTGTATCATTTAGCACTATCGAATAGAGACAGTCAACTATCTACCCACTAGTAGCACACCCCCATATCCCATATGGCAAGGTGAGAAGGCAAAAAACGAAAATAAAAAAGCCCCAGTCAGATGGGGAGACGCGCCTAGAAAAGAATAGATCAGGAGAAAGAAACAGAGACATATCGTCAGTGAATAATCCCCTACAATGAAGAAAGGAAGAGAAGGCGCTCGACGATTGAGAAGCAGAAAGATGCAATGGAATGAGACAGTACGCCATGGTAAGCTACATCACCGCTTATGAAACAGATTACTTCGTTAAGAGGTTTAAAGGCGAGAGAAAGAAGATCAAGGGAATCGGATATCAGAAGTGGATGAAAAAGGGTAAAACAACTAACTGTTGACATGACTTAATCAACCTTGATAGCGCTGTATACGCGGCGGACGAAGGCGTATGCAGCCAGGAACCCGACAGTGCCGGTCAACAGGAAATAGACTGTGCAAGCGAGGAAGCTGTAACTGAAGAACAGCAATGTAGAGACGAACCCAGTCACATGCAGTTTGAACATGTAGTACCAGATGCAGTAGGCGAAGATCCAGAAAGCACTGCTGCCGCCAGTTAGGAAGCTTTGCCACCACCAGTGGTAGTTCTAAGAGAAAGCATTAACGGGATGTTAGGTGGTATGAGTTCAGACCAGAAGAACTTACCTCGGAGCAGAGCTGGCTGTATGTCGCGATTACAGTGACTTCGATGACGGTTACCATAAGCACAGCCGACACCACGCTTAGGAAGCCAAAGACGTAATAGTATCCACTCTTATCTTGCCATAGGTTTTTGAACACAAACAACAGTTCAATGAAGAGGACAGCAAAGGGGACAAGGCCAGTCAAAATGGGTCCGGCTGGGCTGATCAAATACCACGGCTGGGGAGGGATTTGACGTGGGATAGCATTGGTCTTCAAAGGGTGTTCCCAGGGTTTCGCTCGTACGTATCCGGTCCAGCTACCGAGATACACAAGGGGGACTTGGATCAACAGCCACAAGAGGAGTAAACCGAGCAATGTGCTGAATGGAATGGCTGTGCTAGAAGCCTGAGTCCACACAAACAAGTTCAGAATGAGCACCAAAAGGAATGACAACCCGGGAAATAGCAGCGCAGTCTGAAATCAAAGTTAGTCTACACAACCAGCCATCAAAGCCAAAGAAGGCTCAAGAAACTTACAATCAGAGTATTCTTCCGCCATGTGGTTCCCCCAAAAGTCTTATACAGTCTGCCGGAGAAGTATCCTGAAAAGAGTCCAGCAAATACAAACAAGCCCATTCCAACACTGACAAATCCACCGCGGAAGCTAGGGTTCAAAACACCCAAACAGCTAAGTGAAAGCAAGCCAGTTGCCATGAACAAAAGTTGCATGCCCGATCCAACCAACGGGGCCAAAAGACCGCTGTACTCTGGGACTCGGAAAACATCGCCATGAAGGAGTTTCCAGCCACTCGTGTCCTCAAGCGGCTCATCATCAGAAGACATGTCTGCATCATTTTCCACGTCGGCATTATCAAGCAATCCCTCATTCTTCTTATCTCCAGAACGCTTGCGACGAGACTGGCCTTTGACTTTACGATCATCCATTGCTCCGTCGCCCCGTCCCTTGATATCGCCTTGCACGGTTCGGCTCCAAATCACGAATACGGTGACACCGAGAATAGTGGAAATAATCAAAGAATTCACAATAGCCAACCAGTGGGTCATTGAGCCTTCCTCTTGGTTGGTAAAGTATAGGTCCCAACGATTGGCCCACTCAACCTTCGGCTCCTCCCGAAAGTAAACCGAGTAAGTATAGGGGATCTTCAAAGTTGCACCATCGTCTTCATCGTCATCATGCGGGATATAGGACAAACCAGCATACTTCTCCTTCAGCTTCAACTCATCTGGCGCAATATATAACCCAAGCCCTTCTCGCTCCGTATGAACGTCCGCTGGACAGCTACCCTCTTTGCGGCCCGCCGCAGTAACACTCTTAGGATAAACCTCGAATCCGTTAATGACCTTGCCTCCCTCAGGCGCGCTCCGCCAGCGGACAACGATCGTGAAGTGGTTGTTGATGAAATAGCGAGACTGGCCAGTAGCCGGAGAAATATCGCGATATCCCAATTTAAACCCGGAAGCATAGTATTTTCGGCTTCGGTCAACGGTAACGAAGCTCGTAGCGCCGGGAAGGTTATCAACAATCCATTCAATGACATAGTTCTCCTTGATAAGATCCCGGGCCCATTTAACATTCGAGCGGCTGACTTCGCGGGTGCAGAGAGCTTGACATTCCACATCATTGCCCATTGTAAGCTCGAAATCGGAAGTCATGATGCGGTCGCCGCGCAGTACTTCCCCTAGATTCAACGAAATGCTTTGCCCAGATCCGAAAGGTGAACCGCCGTGTGTCTTGCCGCTTGGAGGGCAAACGAAGGGTAGGTCAAAGTAGGCATATTGAAGTTGCGTGTAATCGGAGAAGATCTTGTTCACGAGGAGGGGGATCGGGTCATTATCGTTATACCGAGTAACTGAATAGCCTGTTGACGAAAGGAATCGTTCAATAGAGTCCAAAAATCATAGATAACAAGGGAGCTTACCCGGAATGTAGAAAGCCCATGTGCAGGACACTAACGACAGCAAGCACAGCATCCAGGCACCTAGGCCTAAGGATGTTGAAGTCGCCATGTGTATATATCTCAAGGACGTTGGTTCCTGTCCTCCTCCCTTGAGTAATCGAATCCAGAAGCTCTAGTTCTAGACAGTTTGGCCGAGTACAAGTTCGGGAATGATTGATCCCAAATGATCGGAGAGCAGATCAGCAAACCCTAATGCGGAGATGCCCCTTATCCTTTGACGACAGATTGAAATGCGCAGTCCCTCGTCTGGTGTAGACTCGCGGAGTCGGAGACAATTGCCAAGGAGGCGGCGGATGCTCGTTAGGGTGATGCTTGGCGGCCGCTAGGGTCCAGTCTGCTTGTCTTAGATCAAGAAGCGCTACAGGTGGAGCAGCAGGAAATAGGGTTGGCAATCGAAGGCTTCGGAAGAGTGGGGAAACAGTAACGAGTGTAATTGGCACCGAATGCCACAGATGCCAGCAGAAGGGAGATTCGGTGCTCGTCCAGAGAAGTCGGAGTATTTAAGGGGGGAGGAAAGTAACCAAGAAAGGTGACTTACAGCATGTGCAGTATGTCCGGAGACTCCAGCGTGTCAACATGGATTACTAGCTGACCGCCTTGGCTGTGAAGCTCCCCATAGATAAGGTTGCCGATGTGAACCACCAATTAGAGACGGTAGATGTAGATTCCCTAGAGCATTTCTTGCAAGTATTGATTTGATTCCCCCACTGCTTCATCTGTGTCATTTTATATGGAATATTGTTGGAGCATCTTGATGTAAAGCTCAAGCGCCATAAGAAGCTATACTCTAGAGCTGTTGACCAAGGCGGGCTGTGCCTTGCTACTTCTATTTCCTGGAAGACTACATCATGAACTTCAATGTTTGTACAAAACTTGGAACTCGCCCAGCAAAAATTAAACTACCATTAAACTTGGAAGATGGAAGCTAATTTCGAATCTCTTGGTACTTCGAACCGCGCTTATATACTGAATAAGGCCAACTAGTGGTCCAGCTACATAGATGCCATGGAGATGGTTAATTTACAAATTGTATACCATTGCAACCTAAAAGCCAGACATAAAATTGAAGATGATCATTTGCCGTCAGAGATAAACGCTGAGATCAAGGGCTGTCCAGGCTAAAATGAAGCCAATGTAAAAAAAATGAGGGAGAGATAGGGAGAAAGAGAGAAAGAAGAAAAAGAATAATCCACATCCAAAAGTCATGCAAAAAGGGGGAATGGGAAAGTCGTCAATCCAGAAGGCCGGTCGTTAGGGCCATGAAGTACATCAAAGGAGATAAAGAATAGAATCGTAGAATGAAGTAAGATTGACAAGGCGCAATCGGCGTGGCACACCAGAGAATAAGCTTCTATGACGGCTGGGTCAATAGGTACTCTACAGCTCCTTGCACACTGCCACCGGATCGTCGTAAAGCCTGGATGTTTCGCTCAAACTCGTAGAATCCCATGTCGTTCAGTTGGCGAAGTTGATCAGCATATACCTCCTCTGGAGGCCGATTGTCAGGTGGAGCTGGGGAGCCAAAACCACCCAAGCCACCACCACCTCCAAATAAGGCTGCCATAGGGTTTGCACCAGCCCCTCCTTCCCCACCTTGTCCACCCATTGCCTGCATCATCTGGGCCATGAGAGCTGGATCGCGAAGGAATGGATTTTGTTGTGGGTTAAAGGGATTGACGCCTGCCTGTCCTTGGCCCTGGGCGGAAGGATTGAAAAGGGAAGGATTGAGCAAAGATGCAAATGGGTTCTGAGCTGCCTGAGCATTGGGTGTCTCTCCAGTGGCGGATCGTTCTGTAGTATCTTGTGCACCCTCAGCCTGGTCATTGCCTGTTGTTCCAGCGGCAGCCGGTTGCGCGGGAGGAGCAAATGGGTTGGCCCCGGGGTTGCCCCCGAAGAGAGCAGCGAATGGGTTCCCCATTGGATTCTGACCCATAGGGTTCTGGCCCATGCCCATACCCAGCGCAGCAAATGGATTGGCCTGGGCACCTTGCTGCTGTGCGTTTTGATTGTCTTCAGGTGTGGTGTTGGTCACACCTGGGGCCGGAAAGGCACCTTCGTCACCACCCATACCACCTCCACCCATTCCCATCGCCCGCTGCATCTGCATCATATTACGGATTGAGCTGGGATCTGTCAACATACGACGAAATTCAGGACTCTGCATCATCTGTCGCACTCCAGGCCCCATATCCCGAAGCATGGGGTTCTGTTGAATCATCATATCAATCATGGCGGGGTTTTGGAGAGCTTCGTTGATAGTCGATTGAAATTGAGGATTCTCAAGCATGTTAAGCATCTGTTCGCTATCCGGAGGTGGGCCCATCTAGAATGAAAGAGGGAACTTAGTATCTCAGAAAGTCACCGTGGTTTCACAGGTCATCTGGGTTGATTCAATTGACTTACCCCGCCATCAGGACCAAAGAGGCCCGCACCCGGTAACTGGGCAAACCCAGCGTATCGAGCCCCGGTCAACCCAGCCAAAGGGTTGTTACCAGTACCAGCAGCGAGATTGGCAGGCACACCGGCGGCGGCAGCAGGTTGGCTTGGTGTGGTGCCGGCGGACGCCGTTGCCGAGGAAGACTGGCCGGATGTGTTGGATCGTTGTTGGTTGCTTGCAGCACTCTTAACAAGATGAATAGTGTGGCCGTCCTTGATCTTATAGGTATCCAGAGTTTCAGTATCCTTCAATACCCGACCAGAATAGATCAGGCGTTGACGATCAGCTGGAGTATCCGCATATTCCGAGCTCGAGAGCTTTTGCTTGAGATCGGAGACCAGAGTTGAGAGTGGGAGAGTCAACGTGTACTTGGCATCGGTGGATGACTTGACTGTGAAAGTGATGGGGGCTTCATCAGCCACACCAGCGTCATCGGCCATGATTGCGAAGGTTGAAGCTGGGGGAGTGGGGTTCAAAGGAGCTTCGTATGGGATCGATGAGGAATACAAAGACGGCGATCGAGGAGGAGATGGAGAGAGGCTTAATGTAAAATCAAGGACTTGTATCAAGCAAAAGGAATAAGAAAGAGAGGAGGAATGGCCGAAGTCTTGTCAGATCAAGTCGATGCGGTGCCTTCCTGACTGATCTACCATACATAAAGCGGGCGGTGATGGGGCAGAAGGCGGTCGAAACTGATGGTGCTATCACGTGACCAGACCAGCTTCCCACTTGAATTTTGCATTTTGTTCCCGTTTGAAGTCTCAGTCCTAGCAGAATCCTGAAACCCACGTTCGTTTCTTGATCCAAAGTGGAATTCCCAACACCCGGAGTCATTCTTTTATTTAGTGACTCCTTGAAGCAGATATGGGATTGATGTGATTACTCCATCTTCCTGGACTGCAATTGCGCGTTATAGCACCCACATTTTCCTTGCCTGCTGCTGGAAGGTGGAAAGCTCTTTGAGCTGCCTAGCTGCCCATCATGGCGACTACCTCCCACATGTTTATGTATTCCCTGACGATCCAGCCTCCAACTGCCGTCACTCAAGCTGTCTTGGGTCAATTTGCTGGAACCAAAGAGCAGCAGGTCATCACAGCCTCTGGCTCCAAGCTCACCATTCACCGGCCGGACCCGACCTTGGGAAAAGTCACCCCAATTTTCTCTCAAGATGTCTTCGGCATCATTCGATCATTGGCAGTGTTTAGGTTGGCTGGAAGCAATAAAGGTATGTCCTTATGTAGTCCCCCTGTCTGTTTACGAGTTCAACTTAGTGATTCTTGAAGCTTCCCGGGTAGCACGGTCCTGGTTTTCCGAGCCGACCCCTTGACGGGCGGGGGACCTGCCCTGGCCAGCAACGCGAACGCTCTGTGATCCCAATGCGTGAACCTTTGCTGAGTCATTCCTTTTTGAATTGCAGATTATCTGATCATCGGCTCGGATTCGGGTCGTATCACGATCGTTGAATATGTCCCCTCTCAGAATCGCTTCAACCGAATTCATCTGGAAACATTTGGCAAGTCTGGAGTCCGTAGGGTTGTCCCGGGACAGTATCTCGCAGTCGATCCCAAGGGACGTGCTTGCCTCATCGCCTCGGTGGAGAAGAACAAGCTGGTCTATGTTCTCAACCGCAATTCCCAGGCTGAGCTCACCATTTCATCCCCCCTCGAGGCCCACAAGCCCCAGACATTGGTGTTTGCGATGATTTCCTTGGATGTCGGCTACGATAACCCCATATTCGCTGCTCTCGAAGTGGACTACTCAGAGGCCGATCAAGATCCTACTGGCACAGCTTACCAAGAAATTGAGAAGGTCCTGGTGTACTATCAGCTGGACCTGGGACTCAACCATGTGGTCCGCAAGTGGTCTGATCCAGTCGACCGTACTGCCAACATGCTCTTCCAAGTCCCTGGGGGTGCAGATGGTCCAAGTGGTGTTTTGGTTTGCGCTGAAGACAATATCACCTACCGTCATTCAAACCAAGATGCATTCCGGGTCCCCATCCCCCGTCGCAGTGGCCCTACAGAAAACCCCGAGCGAAAGCGAACCATCGTTGCGGGTGTAATGCACAAAATGAGGGGTGCCTTTTTCTTCCTCCTCCAAACCGAGGACGGCGACATATTCAAGGTTATGCTTGATATGGCCGAAGATGACAATGGGCAAATGACTGGCGAGGTCCAGGGTCTGAAGATCAAATATTTCGACACTGTCCCTGTGGCATCGAGCCTTCTCATCCTGAAGAGCGGTTTTCTTTTCGTTGCCAGTGAATCTGGCAACCATCATTTCTACCAATTTGAGAAACTTGGCGATGATGACGAAGAAATTGAATTCAGCAGCGACTCCTTTTCTGCTGATCCTTCCGCCCCATATGAACCAGTGTTCTTCCACACTCGGCCATCAGAGAACCTGAACTTGATGGAATCCATCAACTCCCTTAATCCATTGATTGACAGCAAGGTTGTCAATCTCACAGAGGATGATGCCCCGCAAATTTATTCTGTTTGTGGCACTGGTGCCCGAAGCACATTCCGAACCCTCAAGCATGGGCTAGAAGTGTCCGAGCTGGTAGAATCAGAGCTGCGTGCAGTTCCTTCTGCTGTGTGGACGACAAAGCTCACTCGGTCTGACGAGTACGACAGATATATTGTACTGTCTTTCACCAACGGAACCATCGTTCTCGGTATTGGCGAAATCGTTGAAGAAATCACCGAAGATTCCGGATTCCTTTCGACAGCCCCTACCTTGGCTGTCCAACAGCTCGGCGAGGACTCTCTCATTCAAGTCCACCCTCGCGGAATCCGTCATCTCCTAGCGGATCATCGAGTTAATGAGTGGCCTGCTCCACAACATCGTTCTATCGTTGCTGCTGCAACCAACGAGCGCCAAGTTGCCGTCGCCCTCAGTTCCGGCGAGATCGTCTACTTTGAAATGGATGCCGATGGATCACTCGCAGAATACGATGATAGGCGTCAAATGTCGGGCACAGTCACTTGTCTCAGTCTTGGAGCGGTCCCTGAAGGTCGTGTCCGCAGTTCTTTCTTGGCTGTTGGCTGCGATGATTCCACCGTTCGCATTCTCAGCTTGGACACGAAGAACATGCTTGAAAACATGTCTGTTCAGGCCCTTACGTCGGCACCATCGGCGCTGAACATCATGTCCATGGCCGATTCTAGCTCAGGGGGCACCACTCTATATTTGCATATCGGTCTTTACTCTGGTGTATATCTTCGTACTGTTTTGGACGAAGTGACCGGTGAACTGTCTGATACTCGCACTCGATTCTTAGGAGCAAAGCCTGTCAAGCTTTCTCAGGTTTCTGTCCAAGGTCAAACTGCCGTGCTGGCCCTGAGCTCTCGATCATGGCTTGGATATTCTGATGTTCAGACCAAGAGCTTCATGCTCACCCCGCTGGACTACGGTGGTCTGGAGTGGGCTTGGAATTTCTCTAGTGAGCAATGTCTGGAGGGTATGGTTGGTATCCAAGGCCGCAATCTCCGGTGAGTTTCTCTCCCCCAAATCATTCTCATTACAATGCCCTTTACCCATGCCCCTCTCCTTCTCCCCCACTCGCCGAAATCTTGATCATATGATGAAACAAAGGGAACCGAACCACCATGTGGAAGAACTTTTTTTTATATTCCAATTGTTCCTACTGAGATCAAACCATTATCAATCTTTATCACCTTAACTTGTGTTTAAGTGAGAGAAACTGTGTCGCTGACATTATTTAGGATCTTCTCCATTGAAAAGCTCAACAACAACATGCTTCAGGTGTCAATTCCCCTAGCCTACACCCCACGTCGCTTCGTGAAGCACCCTGATCACCCTCTCTTTTACGTTATTGAATCCGACAATAATGTATTGGCTCCTGCAACTCGCGAGAGCCTTCTTAAAGACTCAGGGGCTCAAAATGGTGATGCTGCGGCTTTGCCAGCTGCCGAATTTGGCTACCCACGTGGAACTGGTCATTGGGCATCTTGCATTCAAGTAGTGGACCCGCTTACCTCTAACGAGGTCGTTTTCACTCTTGATATTGAAGAGAACGAGGCGGCTGTCAGTGTTGCTGTTGTTCCCTTCTCTAGTCAAGAAGATGAAACATTTTTGGTCGTGGGAACTGCCAAGGACATGGAGGTCAGCCCGCCCAGATCCAAGGGTGGTTTCATCCATATCTATCGCTTCCAAGAAAATGGTCGCGAATTAGAATTCATCCACAAGACGAAGGTTGATGACCCCCCGCTTGCTCTCCTCGCATTCCAAGGCAAGCTCTTAGCCGGAATCGGCTCCATTCTCCGCCTGTATGATCTCGGTGTGAAGCAGCTCCTGCGCAAATCACAGGCTCCTGCGGTTCCCTCCACCATCGTCGGACTTCAAACCCAGGGTAGCCGTATTGTGGTCAGTGATGTGCGGGAAAGTGTGACATTCGTGGTCTACAAGCAACAGGAAAATATCCTGATTCCGTTTGTGGATGATTCTATTGCGCGCTGGACCTCTTCCACTACTATGGTTGACTACGAAACTGTTGCTGGTGGTGACAAATTCGGCAACCTGTGGTTGTTGCGATGCCCCAACAAGATCTCCGAAGAGGCGGATGAGGATGGATCTGGTGCTCATCTTGTTCATGAGCGAGGTTATCTGCAGGGAACCCCGAACCGTCTTGAACTGATGGTACACTACTATACCCAAGATATCCCGACCAGTCTGCACAAAACCCAGCTGGTGGCGGGTGGTCGGGATATTATCGTCTGGACCGGCTTCCAAGGAACGATCGGCATGTTTGTTCCTTTTGCTAGCCGTGAAGACGTTGACTTCTTCCAAAGCCTGGAGACGCAGCTGGCTGCGCAAAACCCTCCATTGGCCGGTCGTGACCACCTAATCTACCGCGGTTACTACGCACCGTCTAAGGGCGTGATCGACGGTGACCTGTGTGAGATGTACTTCCTGCTGCCCAACAACACGAAGATGATGATTGCCGCGGAGCTTGATCGATCTGTTCGGGAGATCGAGCGTAAGATCTCGGTAAGTACCACCAGGTTAAAGAGAAGAGGAATGTTAGCTGACTCAAATGATACAGGACATGCGAACACGAGTGGCATATTAATTTCGGGGGGGCTGATCGGCGTTTGCTCTCTGGGCTTGTTTCAGGCTTCTTTCACATATCTAGGTACAATGAATAATCGATATCCCAACTGGCGGCGAAGAACCGCAATGAATTATTACGCTGGCTCCAGTTCTAGTAGACAAGTTTCACCTTTGATCCTCCCATCTTCTATCTTTTAAGATATGTCTCTTGCCTCGCTCGGTCTGCCGCTTTTCTCGGCTAATCTTGAGCTGGATGCAGTCTGGCCACAATTGTGAACAGGACTTGTATGAGACGAGATTGAGCGTGGTTCTCTACGCCTCGACGTTTTTTGAGTACGGTTTTATCCGCAAAGCACCACGGATCTACACCGTAATTTATCTGTCGGAACATCTTGTAAGAGATAGTAGTAGTATGATAGTTCTAGTTTATATAGTTTTGAATTCAAATTTCCATTTTATTATCTTATTTTATTGCATGGAACGAAATGCGAGATGACTATAGACCTGGGCACAGAAAAACCCGGCGAACCTCAAAAAGATGCCGATCTCTTACGCCGATTTTTCACACGGTCCATCAGCAGTACCTGCATAAACGAATACCCTGATTTCGTGCTGAGAAAAAAATCCCGAAACGCCCACACTCGGCCTGGTCACGACATGAAGCACGGCTACGGTCGGAAAAATCTGGATCCAGCGGTTATCCTCGTTGAGCCCCAGTCTCGTCCGCGGGAAAGAATCAAAAAGACTAGTCTAGCCTAGTAACTAGTATAGTAAATGAGTCCTCATGGTGTCATTTCATTTTATTCTAGGGCCAAATGTTGGCTAGAAGATCAGCTTTAAACTCTACATTTGCCAACCTATAAGATGTCGGCATCTTTCCATTATAGTTTATAGTTGCTTTGAAATTGTTGTTTTGGTCAGCAGGTCCGTTGGTTATGACGACGCTTGGGCTTTAGCTGGGTGAAGTGTGATTGGGTATATTGAGTGTATGTAGAATGTGAGTGGATCGAGTGGAGCCACCAAGGGCGCGCATGTCGGCGTAAGGCGCGGTCCACTGTTGAGCCAGAAATTGAGTGTTCGTATTTATCATGTATAGGAGTGTAGTGTAGATGGGAAGGGGAAGTACCGGGATGTATCTTGGCGTACACATTATAGTGGAGAAGTACAAGAGAGTACATCTGACAAGAGAATGTCAATCCAAGGGCGCAAATGCACAGACCAACAATCAGACCAGCACTTGAGGGCAGTATTACTATGCGACAGTGATGACAGTGACTCATGAGGAATCCTCTTCTACTATTCTCCAGCTTATTTCTCCATCTTTTTGTATAAAATAAGGCCCCCCTCCTTTTCTCCTTTTTCTCCAGGTGTAAACAGCAAGACTCTCCATACATACTGCTAAACGCGGTTGTCCACGGCTCCACTTTCTACTTTCTACTTTTTCCCTTTTCTTTTACTTAACAACATATCTCCATCCACCTTATATCCTGGCTTTGATTCTCTCTCTTCTTCTTCAGAGTGTCGTCGCTCATATTACTTCCACTCTCCCCCCACCCTTTATTCTAAGCTCAACTCTACAAAGGGTGACCCCCGGTCCAAAAATAATGGCGACCTCCATCGTCAGTCGGGGTTCCGATACCCTCGATGTATGGACACGCCGCTCAACTCCAAAGATCGAAATTACTCTCGACGGACAAAAGCCCGGCCTCGTCAATTCATACACAACCGGAGACCAAATTGAAGGTGTCGCCAAGATCACAGTCGATACAGAGATTCGCTTTGATGAGATCGAAATTAATTTACAAGGTTCATATCCCTCTATCGTTACCAGGAAACACCAAAGCTAACTCTCCCACCCAAGGCACGTCAATCACATCTGTCGAACGAGCAGCCTGCCCTGGTCGCACAGGATCACAACAGATGTTCCTCAAGCTGCGCCAACCCATCGAAGAAACAGAATACCCGACCCCTCGCATACTGGAACCGGGCCATGAATACACCTTCCCATTCACCTTCGTGGTACCAGACCGTTTGCTCCCCCAAGTCTGCACTCACACCCGAGTAAACCACCAAATCCACACCTCGCACACCCTCCTCCCCCCAACACTCGGAGATCCAATGCTCCGCACAAACGCAAACTCCAGGACCCTCCTAGACGACATGGCACCAGACATGAGCCAAATCTCCTATCTAATCCGCGTTGCAATTCTCAAACGCTCATCAACAAACCACGCTTCTCTCAAAGCACTCGCAAACGTCGGAAAAAAGGTCCGCATAATCCCCACAGTCTCAGAAGAACCACCAATCAACACATCAGACTATACATACTACTGTCCTCGCAAAGAAAAGACAGTGAAAAGAGGTCTACTCCGTGGTAAACAAGGACACCTAGTTGTATCTGCATCTCAACCACAACCAATTCGTTTACATGCTACAACATGCGAACCACAGGATACAGTTAGCACCGTTGCAAAGGTGTCGCTTCGATTTGATCCCGTGGCAAACGAACAACCACCACGACTAGGATCAATGAGCAGTAAGATAAAAGCGAGTACATTCTACAGCTCGGATCCCTGGGAAGATTTTCCATGCCAGTCTTCCTCTGTCCCACTCTCCCAAGTTGGACAAGGAATTTTCCACGATTCCGTCAATTTATCAAATATGTGCGTCGCATCAGCTCAATGGGAAAAGCACACTTGTGCTTCTGCTTCCGGAATCGGTAGCATTGGTATTGAGCGTCGCGATTCGCTAGTCTCAAGCTGCTCTGATGATTCGACTGGGCCCTCTGCATCGTTTACAGGGGATACATATTATACAGCTTCACTCGTTATCCCAGTTACGCTTCCGACATCGAAGACATTCGTTCCGACATTTCACAGCTGTTTAATGTCTCGTTCTTATTCGCTTGATCTGAGCTTATCGTACCATACGCCTGGAACAAATATTTTGACTCCAACAATTAAACTTCGACTTCCGGTTCAAATTATTACTGAACCTAAGTATGCGGACTCAATGAAGTCGTCGCTTGGTCTTGTTGTGACACAGGAAGAATTGGATGAGTTCTTTCAGCCTCGCTCTATTAGTCCTGCCGTGGCGAATGCGACTATTGATATTGCCGCGCCACCGGGGTACTCGGAGACAATTTCTCAATCTAATATGGGGAGTGTACGAGCTGCCCGGTGATTGTGATTGGCGAGTGGCATACATATGGTTTCATCTTCTGTCCTTGACTATTCATATACCCACTTGAGCAATTCTGCTTCTCAAAAGTTCTTCCTGGCCTGGCGCTTACGATCAATATGCTTTCTTTCTTGTGTTACTATACCCATTTTCTTCCAGTTATCAATTACTCAATATTTCTTTCTCCAAGTGAAAGCGTATGCATCTCAACATTTCCCCTAATCATCAATTCAATCAATTTAAATACTTCACCAACATATTATTTTCTATACATCCTGTACACTGAGATAAGTGGACACAAAGTGGACTGTTAGCAAGACGCTGATTGGTGCGTACACGGTTTACCGTGAAAATTCCCTTTTTGCTCCCAGTGCGATTCTCCAATTCGCCTAATAAACTTTTCATTATCCTACATTACTAGATACAATGTTCTTGATATTCTTCTAAGTTTTATTTTTCTCATGCAAATTGCCCATAGTTCAAATTTAAGTGGACATTAGTCGTTCGCGGTCGTAGTCCCGTGTGTAAACTGTTATCCCCACGTATACAATGGACCCCCATCATTAGTCCTCCACAACAGCAATAGGTTTAGCAATTGAGCCTAGTGAAAGGGCCATCAATCTTCGATTCTGCAAACAATATATGTCAGTGTAAGAAATTCAAATTCAAATTCAATAATCAAGCCAATGACCCACCAGGAACTCCCCAGAAATAGCCGCTATATCACCATCAGAAGGAAGTCGTATAGTTCTTGTTCTCTGCAAGCCCGATGTTTCATAGATTCACCAGTCATTAAGCTCATATTTCTGCACGGGCATACCAGTCCAACCAAGGTATCCGTCTTGACCTGATCTATCCTCTATAGTCGGTCGTATAGCTCGAGTACCACACGTATTGTTATCAATGATGATCTCGAATCCCCTCAAAGTTGTCCCACCGAGATGCCAGCTAACTTCCTTTCCAGGAATTCTATAGCCAAACAGTATTCCTAGTACATTTGGATCGGACGAATAGAACAACACGAAGCCAGTTGTGAATGTGCGTTTAGATTCGAGAAGGACGGAAACGTTAATTATCAAAATCGGACCAGAAGGGATCAGGACAGTATGCGTATTCGTTAAATATCCTGGTATACCGCACTTCGTCTTGTTACATCCAGGCTCCTAATATCTGGAGTACTCTGCAGAGGTGTATTTTTCTACAAGGCGATGACGAAATTGAGGATAATGCAGCCAATAGAGGCAGTTCGAGATTATGGGGTCTCTTGTCCAATATAAAGGTAAAGATCCATTCGAGGCGTCAAGTTCGCTGCTATTCGTTGAATTAGGCTCTATCCGCTCAATCATGACATATAAATCTCGTATATTTTCAAAAGTAAGCTATTGCATGTTCCAGTCGTCGAAATTAAGAGACCAGGTACTAGTAGCCTTTGTCCTTGGGCGAGTGGATATGCCAGTGCATCGATAGAGAAGTTTCCAGTCCTGATAGCCGTTCCCGAATTCTCTAGTAAAGAAATCAAATCAGCCTCGTTCACCAAGAAGGGTGAATTGGCCTCTCCAGAAAAGCTCACAGTAAAGTAAAGGGGCCATGGCCTTTGATGCGATACTGAAACTGAAAAAATCAGCCGTGGAGAGGTTTTTAGCAATTTTGAACCGAATCTCCACTGGAAGTAATAGAAGTTTATCAGCCTCGGGCCATGTTTCAAAATTAATTGGTATGGGCTTCGGTCTTCGTTTCTTCGGAAAATTGTGGGATCGAAGAAACATTCGGATGTCTTTAATATGCATTACTTTGATTGCCGACGTCTGCTCCGGAAAACGACGAATCTTTTTTAATTAATCAACCAGTTAAGTATTTACCATTTAATACAGAACTATGAAGCCTTTAAATACCTCTTCAAAATATTTCCCTTGTGGAGACTTATAGTATGGTACAGATGTCTCTTGCAAGACCTCAATCAGCTTGTCGAGATGGGGAGGTTGATCAAAATGTTTCATCAGCCTTTGCCAGCAGAAGTCATGAGCTAGAACCCTCATCTCTAGAAAGTTCTCAGTATTGTGTTATTTATTATCAGGATATTCTGAAACATACCAGTATATGGTAGTTCATCCCACGGATGGTACTTTCGAACTACCCCAAAGAACCAGGTTAGTTATGCTATTAGTTGGAAAGCTTCCCCCAATGTTCAATACTAATGATCTTGTAAATTGTCTTCTGGATTTGTCCATGCACATAGTGCATAGCGAGTCCGAGCACATTCATCGAGTAGGTAGCTGAAATAATGAGTTGGCAAATTGTTGTTGTCAAGTTAACAGAATTGTTTTAAAACTCAGATCTAACCATCACAGTTCCATCATCATCGCTCTTAATATCAACTCAACATTAAACCCCCAGTATGCAATTCTCGAAATTTCAATATTTCTGTTCAAAACTCCGATCTTCAATATCAGTCACATCTTCAGTATAATGGATGCGATCGACAAAAATCTGGTCTTGATCCGCTCCATATTCTTCACTCGGCATATGTACCAATGAACAAACATATCTAAAGCTGAAACGAATCATCTAACAATTGCAGTGATAACTCACTCGAAGGATCGAGGATTGCGGCGCAGTTTGATTTGCCATCAGGGGCCCGGCGATATGGCCAACACAAGACCCAATGAAGTAGAATGTATTGTTGATTACTATTTTGGTATTCCTTTCACATTTGATACGCTTCCCGATCATAATGGAATATGTAGGTAACATCTACTGACCGACCAGAAGAAGGGAAACACTTCGTCTCTCGCCTCGACAGAGGTAGGGTCAGACTTAACGATGCAAGGTCATTCGTACTGCGGACACGGACAAATCCCAACTCCGATCTGGGTCGGAGGCCCCAAAATGCAGGGGGTTGGGCGTTCTGATCTTCATTCAAGTTCTTGCACCTCTGCACCCTGAGCCCCAACTCAGTTATCTGATCGAATAAATGACGTCAAAATCATTTATTGACATGCATATGAAAGGTATCATGTCTACAATGGGTAAAGTCGGGTAAAATGGGTCCTGACGGGGGTATTCTGGGGGCAAGTCTGTCTCGTTTATTTATAGGCTAGAAGTGCCAGTGGGCTGATTGGGCTAATTACATCATGAAGCAGGAAGCCCACAATCTGGCCCTCGGGAAATGCTCTGCATTGTAGTCTTAACTTGCTCCGTCCTGTCCTTTTCGGCCCTGATCTTCGGCCTTGGCAACATGGTAGGAGCGCCTTGGCCTCGATTGCTTGTGCATGCTCAAGCTTTTAGCACGCTCATAGATAGATCTAAGGGCTTGGCATCACTGAGTCCGCCCCGGGGGCTATTATATGCTGGCCACCTTGTCCCCGATGACGCCCAGCTAAAGGAACCTTGTTAATGACTATATAAATAAACTACTCACACGATATTACTGCGGATAATATTTCTTCTTTTTTCTTTCTCATTCTCATCTTCTTTAAGCAGAAAGCCGTGATGCAAGCCCTTCAACGATTGATCTATGGATTCCCCCCACCGACTCCGTACAAGCGCACCAAACCCGTCCAGGTGCTATGCCTGGGCATGCCACGCACTGGAACCGAGTCATTAAGTGTAGCTTTACAAACCATAGGCTTGGAAACCTACCACGGCTGGGACATAGTCTTCGAAACTGACGGCAGCAAACTCCAACACTGCAATGAGTTAGTACAACGAAAATACTCCGGCGCTCGCGACGGCAATGTATCAATTAGCAGTGCCGAATTCGATATTCTACTCGGTGACTGCGAAGCCGTGATTAATACTTTACCCTTACTATTCGCTCCAGAGCTAGTTGAGGCTTATCCAGACGCGAAAGTGATTCTCAATTTACGGGGATCCAGAGATCCAGATCTTGACGATTGGTATCGCAGTATTGATAAGACTGTTGTTCAGACCTTTGACCAATCCTGGCTACTTTGGGTGATGAAATGGTTCTCTGGAGGAGCCTTTTGGCTCTCTGGTATATTTATAGGGGGTGGGATTCCGGGCGTGTTTCGAAGTAGTACTGGAAGTGCTACGGATGGTATCCAACAAAATGCTAAATGGATTTATCGCGATCATTGTAATATGGTTCGGGGGATGGTGCCTAATTCTAAAGAGAATTTACTTGAGTGGTCTGTTGAAGATGGCTGGGAACCTCTATGCAAGGTAAGATACATCAATTTTAAATTCTAATATTGGAAAAGATTGAAATGAATATTGATGCGAGATGAATAGTTTCTCGGCAAGCCTGTACCTGACGAGCCCTTCCCTCACAACAATACCCCGGGCGACCTCATGAAGCGCAAAGATCATCTTGTCAAAAGGAGCTCTTTCAATATCATGCGCAGGATGCTTTTGACTGCTGGTTTGGCCGGAATCACCACCTCTGCTGCTGTGTTATGGTGGCAATGATGAACCCTGTCGCGGATGCTACGAGCTCGAGAGGAAGATTCGCTTTGTCGGGGGCTTCACTATGTATAGTCTATTAGATAGGAATTATGATCAATCTATGCAGCATGGCAAGTTGATGATGACGCACATATATACTTATGTTTCAATGAGAATAACAATATTTCAGAAATTTCGGCAAATCGCATGTAGATAACCTTTCTTTGTTAAGGAGCATTTTCTTTTGATTCCAGATATAAGTTTGAAAAGGACTTGTACCTTTCATAATGAGTGAATAACCCTGTAATATTATGTAGTATAAAGATATCAAAATGTGAGAAGGGTCTCACAAGGTAGGCTGTGCAACTTAAGCGCCGCCCTGAAAATTGAACACCTTTTCAATCTCAAGCCAATCCATGTAGTCAACACCCGTCAAAGGAAGTACTGGACTATGAAAGCTTGAATAGATTCTTTCCGCTTCGCCTGCCAGATCCATTCCCCAATCTCCTTCCATATCAAAAGCTGCCCCAGAGGCTCCAGCTTGAGCCCCCGTCTCAAGAAGCCGACTCTCATCCAGACTATGGTGTTCGAAATCTGAATCTTGAGAGGCGGTAATGTGATTTGGAGAAGCAAACGGATGTAATACAGAAGCCCTGCCAGAGTCGTGTGCTGAATTTGTACTTTGTTGTTGCTGTGACTCTAGATCGATTTGAGCTGTTTGATCATTTGAAGGGCTTCCTTGAATAACGTAATTCGGCCAGACCCGAGAACAAGACTGTGAAATGTCTTGGAATCGTTGCTCGGCAGCAAGATTCCCGGACAGTGAGAGAAATCGAAGAACATTGAATGCTTGTTCCAGAGCTACTGGTGGCTGGTCTTGAGTGTATTCTGTGACCCCAGTCATTACCAACACAAAGGCAGCAGAGAAGGTTGCGTCTAAGTCAAAGAATCCATAACGTGCTGCAAACCATAGTTAGACATTAAAAAATCCGTCGCAGAAAATAATGGCGCGCTCGATACATACGGATGAGATTTTTTTGCCGAAGGCTATACAGAATTGTTAGGCTTCGGGTGGAAGCCTCGTAGCAAGTGTCGCAGAGTCGGGCTAATACTTCTGGGAGTACCTCTGCAGGTAAAGATTCTTGCTTTCTTTGAACTTGCAAGCGAACTCTCCTCAAGAGTATCGGTCGAGTACAAAGAATAATGGCCTTATATGCTGGTCAGTAATTTTCTTTGAAATGATATGAAGGGAACACTATACTTGAAACAACATCAGGTAGAGGGAGGATCCTGTGCGTGTCACTTTTTCAAGTTGTTGACTGTTGAAGTCTATAATTAGTGATTGGGGAAATGATTTTCCTATATCATAGAGCTCTTGAAGAATAACTTGAATTTTCCCCACGAGCTCCAGTTGGGTTATGGAAGTATTCCCATATAAAGCTGATTTCAGAGTGTTAGAATGCAAGGGAAAGAACAAAGGAAGAGAGGGATAAAAAGAAGATCCGACTCACAGCACATTATGTCGTCCGTTATACGTGCTATACGCACGTTAATCTTAATTGGCACGGGCGATGCGAAACCCACGGCATGTCGAGGAAGGCCTGTTTGGAGCTGTCTTTCATCGGCCCCAGCGGCCAGACCAAGACCAGATGATAGGCGCCTAGATTTATCAGTATGGAGATGTCTAAAAACGAAAGAGAAAAGAAGAAAGAGGAACAGAAATAAAGGACTGTTGCATAATCTCAAAATGCATACCTGTCCAACATATAAACGGTCCACCATAGTCTAACTCGATGTGCACTCTGTGAGGGTAGGCAAATTTGCTTATTCTCAGGTATATTACACCCAAGTGCAATTGACAATCTCATAGCCATTCCAATCTAGCATTAATTAATAAGCCAGCAGTAAAGTTATAAAGGAAAATAGACCCACGTAAAGATAGGCGTCATGCCTTCGATCACACCACTGTAAATAAGTAGCAGCTAAGGTGAGAATTTCCACAGCAATTATCCCCTCTTCTCCAAGCTTATGCAATGGAGGTAGACGTCTTAGTGCTTCTGCAAACAGATCCGATCCCGGTGGTTGGGATTTGGGCTGGTCACCCTCGATAAGTTTGGCCATTGCCATCACAAGGAGATACTCCGTATACCATGTAGTCTGTTTCTGTTGTTCTCGGGTTTCTTTTGTTTGAAACAGCAACACCATGGAATCAGAAAAAGAGCGTGGATCGATAAAATGCTGGCTGACTCCCATGTAATAAAGGAATTGATCGAGTAAATACTGGGACTCTTCCATGGCTGGGGTTAAGGGATCGTCCAGATCATCGAGTCCCCGAAGGGATGTCCACTGGCCTGCATATCCGGCCGTTTGATTGTCATTATGATGCACTCCCCTGGATAGGTGATTGTAGGCGGTAGATCTGTCGAGCAAAGATCTCACCTGTGATTCGAATGCAGGACCGGGAGTTAAGTCGGTTGCTTGATATGCAGTCAGCGGGTCTGTCGGGCTGAGTAACTTCGCCGACTACTTGCCTGGGCTAATACTGCTAACGCTGTCATCATACGCTAGCGTATTTGATCGTTGATTACTGGGCGAATGATTGCCTGGCGTGATAGGATTGTTGGAGGCTGCAGGTTCAAGCTGAGTGGGTGGTCGGCTCGGAACTGGATCCGAAGCATTTTGCGAAGGGATTGAGAGGTCTATCATGTTATAAGCTAAATTTTTGGACATTTCGTGTTTAAAAAGTTGTTTTTTCACTTACCCTCAGACTGGACCCCAAGTCGCTGTTCATAGTTTTCGATCTTTTCCAACAACCGCTTTACCTGACTGGTACGACAGTTAATATTATCCTAGTACAGAAATGGCCTAGTACGCACGCTTCAGAGTATCTCTTTCGACCAGTATGGGCGTAAGCGCATTCCCATTTATGCTTAATGCATCCGCTGCAGGGCTGTTCGCCGGAACATTTCACCTTGCGTCGTCGGCACGACTCGCATCTGGTCCGAGGTGAGTACCCACTCTCCAAGAAACACCACTAAGGGAGCCCACAGACACCAAAGAATTACATACGCGTTTGCTGATCGAGGTGTTGAAGCCACCATGCTTTCCCTTGAGGCTCGGGCGCTCAGCTTCTAATCACTCGTTCGACTCACGTTGGATGGAATTGTGTCTGAATCTCGGAGATTTATCCGGTGTGGAGCGGGGCTTCGGGATAATTCACCCGAAGTACACCGAACTTGAAGTATTTACAGAAAACACCAAAGAATATAGGGTTAGGGATGATATATGATTCTAGCGTTGACAATATTATTCAGACATAGGAAGAAGCTTCGTTCTCCTGATTACAAAGTCTCTTCTACTATCGCAATATGCTTTTTCTTTTGATGCGACCGACAGGATCTCGATTTCCCACTGCTCGCCGAAGCAGGCGGGATAAGTAATTCTCTCATGTACCCCAATCCAAGCACTTGAAGACTTTTGAAGCTACCGAGTCCTTTGAATAAGATCAATATGAGCGTTATTCAGCTAAATATATTCAATCGTTGAGAATACTCACCAGTTAGGCGTCTTGGGTAGTCACTCAATTGGCATCGGATGTGAGCCGAAGATGATGATTTCGGAACATGTCCACAATAAGGCATGTTATGAATCATTGACGAGCTTTCTAGATTTGAAAAATAAGCTTAAAGTACCAGCAAATAATAGCGGGGAATTTAATATAGCTGTGATCGAAGGGAGTCAGATTTCGGATAAAGCCGAGCGTTTAAACAGCGTTGAGACAAGGAAAACTCCATGAACCCACTCATCGCTAGCATTGTTATGCTGACCAAAGCCCAAAGCTTTACTTGACACAATCAGAAGTGGTTATATCGCTCTTAAATCTTTCCCCGCTCTTAAGTGATGAATGTAACATCAGAGCCCGGTGTTATCTCCGAGATAACGGATTATCATTCTATTGTGGAGGATTATCCATCCAATGAGAAAGCATTCATAGGTTATGTAGGCCTTCGAAGCAAAGCAACTTGAACTGAAAATTAAATTCATGCTTTGTGTTTCTTGCTGTTCACCTTCCCCCGCACGCACTATCAGTTTCGATCCAACAAAATGAGCAGCAAGGACAGCAAACCATGGCTGCCCCAAAACAGCAGCCCCAGAGATCGCATTTTACAACGCGAATGTGGTTGATGTGGAAGCGGGGAAGATTACTCGAAATGCAGCTGTGCACATCAAGAATGGGCGTATTCTGGACGTGTCATCCGATCCTACAGGGATAGATTCTACGCACCTCAATGCAGTGGATCTCAAGGGCAAGTATATCTGTCCTGGCTTAATTGATTGCCATGTTCACCTTACTGCCACACCGGGCTCTTCCTCTCTGCGAGACATATTTTCTGCGAGTCCCAACAGCATCGTGTATCGCACCGCATATGTAGCGCGAGAGATGCTTCTTCGAGGTTTCACCACGGTTCGTGATACAGGTGGCGCCGATTTTGCCCTTCGCGAAGCTATAGAAGAAGGTCTGGTCATGGGACCAAGGCTTTTCATCGCTGGCAAAGCTCTCTCGCAGACTGGCGGACACGGGGACTTGCGTGCCCGTTATCAGGGGACAGAAGATAAATGCTGCGGGGGACATTCCCCCAACCTCGCACGGATATGTAATGGAATCCCCGAGTGTCTTGAGGCGGCGCGTGATGAACTCAGACAAGGAGCCGATTTTCTCAAAATTATGTGTGGTGGAGGTGTCGCAAGCCCCTCAGATGCCCTTGATATGATTCAATTCACTGCTGAGGAGATCCGTGCGATAACGACAACAGCCAGACAGTCAAAAACATACGTCACAGCACATGCATACAGCGTCGATGCCATTCGCCACGCCGTGGATAATGGCGTTCGAGGTATCGAGCATGGGAATTTCATCGATGAGGAAACGGCTGCCTACTGTGTTGAATTGGGGGTTGTGTTTACTCCGACGTTGGTGACTTACTACGGGATGTCCAAGCCTCCATTCGACAAATTCTTGGATGAGGTTAGCCAAATTAAAAACCGACAGGTCTTAGCTAGCGGGCTGAATGCTTTGTCGATTTTAAAAAATGCAGGGGCAACTATTTGCTATGGATCCGACCTTTTGGCAGGCTTGCATCCTCTTCAAAACCAAGAATTCTCGATCCGGTCATCTGTTTTGTGTGCAAGTGATATTTTAAAGTCCGCTACAATCACCGCAGCAAAATATTTGGGAATGGAGGATCAGCTTGGCTGTATTAAGAAGGGAAGTATTGCCGATATGCTCATACTGACGGCCAATCCCCTGGAAGATATTGCGATTCTTGATCATATCCAAGACAATCTTGTGGCTATAATAAAGGACGGACGCGTTGTTTCCACCAAGTCCAGTTTGCTTTCGGTTGACCCTTTATACAACGTGTCCACATTTCAGCCATAGTGGGAATCACACTATCCATACTGCTTTTCTGGAATGACCAAGATACATCTACCTGTAAATTCTGGTTTACACAAGCGACACGTTCCCTATAACTACTTCGCAGTGCATGTGCCCACACTTTACTTTTCATGCGGTCGAGGCCACAGGCACCAAATCAATGTGAATACAATCGTTAAGAACTGATGCAGTGAACTTGAAGCTCCATTCTATTGTATTAAGACTATTTTTGTCGATGTCAACCAAGTACCAAGTACCACATCATGGGGAGAGGGGGGTGAAGAAATGTCAAGGTTAACTATGTCTGGTAGGCGGCTTGGAATAATGTACTAAAGTTAGCAAATAACCTAGAGTCTGTTCTATCAAGGTTGGCTTATTATATAGCTATTTTAACTTAGAACTACGTTTCACATTGTAGCTGCTGATAATTGCATTGAAACACCCAAAGTTTCAGCTCTCATTCTTCGAATGTACTTCAAAGGGCGGAAACAAAAAGAATTCAATAGCCACTAAATGAATCAAAAGTAGAGGAATATTTCTCTGTATCAGGAGCAGCTATACAGGGGGGCTATTTCTGACTCTTCTTTTATGACAATCAGTTAAGTTTCACCTCTTAAAAATAACTCATTAACCTTATTGTTGGGTGCACATTTATCGAACTCAGAGATTTTACTTTGCCATGTTTACTTTGAGTTCTTTCATCCTATAATATGCTCATGAAACTCGATCTCCAGGGTGAATATTGACTATTTTTGGTCCTTGCTTCATAGGCAATGATCATAAATAGGTATGTATATAACCAACCGGGTTGGTTTTACAGATGGATAGGTGTTCCCAGTATTTCTTTTTCGAATTCATAATCCACATAACATCGAGCCAAACTACAACGATTTTGTGTCTGTGTTCAAATCGATTACTCTGAGAAAAGATCAGTGTTCATATCCACATCTATGGCTCCTGAATATAAGTACAACGGACATGAGGCACAAGGAATTAAATATCGAAAATGGATTGAACTCGAGTTTACTGAGGAGCTGTGTCCTATTCCACAGTGTCAGTCGGTAATGCAATCAATTCCCAACAAAATAATGGAAGATACAGCAATTGAACGCGATCGCTTGCATTTGGCAGTCCCAAGAAAGGGAACTCCAGAATATAAGGCTTTCCTTCAAAAGATACGGGATGAAAATACCCTTGCAAAGATAGAGACCCCGAAGACCCATACAAGAACGCATGGTCAGTTTTGGACCGAATGGCTGAACTCTTCAATGTGGAGCTACCATATAAGATCAACGATGATGGAAAGAAGCAACGCGCGTGTCAGGTTATTAAATATGATTTCACTAAAGATTCCGCTTCCTCATAGTCCTCACAGGGGAGCTCATTGAGCCTCATATCTGAAAATGGGAGCAACGAGGGAGAAGGTGGGGAAATCGAACGTTTAGAACGCCACGTTAAGGACAAGAAGCAAGCGATCGATCGTTATCAAAATAAAATAGAGATTGCACAAGAAAATATGAACGATTACAAAAAGAGAATTAAGCGTGTACAAAATGGAGAACAGTTGACACCACCGCCGGCAGGGCAGCCAAAGATATCTGAGGAGCGAAGGAGATCAAGATCACGTTCGAGAGAGTGTGATGATCCAGCCTGGGAAGGAGTCGTAACTAAGGGCAGTATGGTTATTTCATGGCTGGCACATCGGCCTGGCGAGCACTATATGCATGAAATTACAAATGCAATATACTCACATGTTGTTCCTGGGAACAAACTTAAGTATATCTTCGTACATCACGTTGTTAACCTCGATACCAAGATGTTTATCGATCAAGATCTTTACGGCCAGGGGGGGGGGAGTGACCTGGCCCCTGGAGAAGGACATGCCGAACCCACGACAGTTTACGAATAAAACGCCTGAATATCATGCCTTGTTGGGTACCGGAATTGGGAAATTTATAGGCCGCTTTGTTCTGGCGCGTTATCCGCGTGGAAGCTGTAAAATTGTCTCAATTTCAGTGGGAATTTCACTTGGCTTTCAGAAAATTGAAGGGAAGGAAGAAGAGGAAGAGGGGGAAGTTGAGGAATATAAAGAGTACGACTTTCCATTCACTGACTTGATGTTTGAGATTGAACCAACTCAGCCCCCAGTTCGATTGCCAGAAGCATTGAAAAGAGTGGAAGAGGGAGATGGGAAGGGAGATGGGAAGGGAGATGGGAAGGGAGATGGGAAGGGAGATGGGAAGGGAGATGGGAAGGGAGATTGGGAGGGGAAAACAGGTGAGAAACCACCTTCGGCTCCACAAAAGCCAAAAGCATGGGATGTAAAGCCAATCTACCCTGGTATGGCAAAAGAGGCTCAAAAAAGTACATACCGCAAGAACTTGAGGGCTTCGACTCAGGCCAAACAAGAAGAAAATAAAAAACGAGAAAACGAGGACAGAGAAGGGAAACTACGTACAGGGAAAAGAAGAAAGACGGCATACGATTTCTGATTATATACAGAATAGCTTTCGCGTTCGAATGTGCTAGGGGAATACCAGTATGTGGTTTTAGTTTGTATACCTTATGGCGCGTTTGGAATTTTGCATGGATATCTCGGCAATTTGAAAGGTTTTCGGCTCTTAAAGTTTTATGGTGTCTCGTATAAGAAAGATTCTTGTTGAATTGAATTCATGCAATACTTAGTGTACTAGTGTCAATTTCAAAGTTAAATATGCTAGTAGAGATTTAAGCTCCTCTGGCATAGAGCTCATTGGAAGCCGGCACCTGGCTTAGTGAGCCATCAGTTGACCCATTTACTAGGTTTATCCAAAGACCAATTTGCCCCTTGAATGAAAACGTGTAAGCAGAATACAGTTCTCAGCACGAAAATCGTATTTCTTATCGCGGAGGTCTGTTTGTAGCAGGTCACGTTTAGTACAAGGCTATCCAACCCCTTATGATATTTAATATGATAACATTTGAAAATAAGATGATTCAATAAATTGTTGATGAGAGAGGTATATAGGGAAGGACTCGGAAGCATGGAGAGGTTGCAGTCGAAGACCAGCCATAATACATAACCTTGGAAAGGATTTCTAGTTTTGAGCTTTGATTACCGGGATGTAGTATAGTATTGTATAGATCTATAATTTCGACATCCATCTGGGCAGTCAAGTACCTTTGATTAGTTTGAAAAGAACCTGGAAATACTAAAGCTTGTGTATACTGAGAATATCAGGAAATTCGCCGGTATACTTCATCCTCGTTCATCACACCACCCAATAACCTCTCCGTATTCTCAAGAAGACCACCTGTGGCCCTGTTTATCTCCAAATAGATACCATCTCGACTATAAATTAAATCTCCATGTCGCGTCCCACTTGCGAATAGAAACACCACACTTCGAGCCACCACTTTTGGATTTTGAACAGCCACCCCAAGCGCCTCGAATGGTTCGGGTGGAATCAGACCAGTCGCAGTCCAAGAAGGAGCAATAGCATTTATCCTGACCTTCCCCTCAAGCTTCCCCACGAGGCCACGTAAAATACCCAACACTCCGTGTTTTGCAGTTGTGTAATCCGCAGCCCTGAAATTCTGAAAAGAGGAGGCAGATGCGGTGAGGACAATACTTCTTTCTGCGGGTGAAGACTCGCGCGTGTCATTCTGAAGATAATATGTTGCCAGCCAAACCGTATTAATAGCCCCAATAAGGTTCACATTGATTGTTCTGAGATTTGGCGGAGCGATATTTCCATCGCTATCTAGTGTGTGGTTGAGAAAGTCTGTTGTTGGCGCCACTCCGGCGTTGACGAAGACGTGGTCGATTCTGCCAAATAAATCTTTTGCCTGAGCAAAAAAGCCACGAATACTCTCCCAAATTGATACATCTACCTTCAGGAACTTGTATCGCTTTGTAGCCTCAAAGTTTGGAGGTGGAGTGATATCTCCGATCACAACCAGGGCACCAAGCTTGATGCACAAGTCTGCAGTTGCTTTACCGATTCCTGAACTTCCGCCTGTTTTCGATGTTAGTACTATCCGATGTAAGGAAAAGGGAAAGTCGCGTTACCTGTTATCACAATCGTCTTTCCCGTAATTTCCCTTAGCAGATCATCGGGTATCTCCAAGGTCGACATCGCGATGCGGCTTGAATCAGAACTTGCTGTCAGAGGCAAGGTGTTATATGATCATCCAATGAAGTTGGGCGTCAAAAGAAACTCTTTGTGTTATTCAACGAAGAATGTCTGAATATTGATTTGGTTCAAGTCACTGAAATGGAGTTAATTGAAAGAGCGGGGTAAGTATTGGGAGGCTTTGACTATCATTTCTGGTATGACGCATCTCGCATTAAAGTGCGGTACCTTAGTGATCTGGTGGGTCATCGAGTGAACAGGAGCTATTCATATACAGTCTTGGGGAAATTATCCTTGTGACTTGATTCACTCTCAAAATGTTTCATTTCTCATGAACTACAAATCCACAAACTCATCATATGTCATATGTGATATTGTGCATTATACCGAAGTAAATAGCCAATAATGATCGGCCTTTAAGCACCCCCAATCGATCCATTGATCCATAAATGACCTATCTACAGGATATTTGGACAATTAAGAGAGATGTCATCGGCTGTTTCATTTCGACAGAAGTCACACAATACTATATGAACGAGCTCTGGTCGTGCAGTATACTAGCGGTTAATTTTCCAAATCATGGAATGATATTCACAGCGAGGCGAGACTATTGGATCATAATTCAGATAATAGTTTTGGAATAAGTTATTTACTTGGTTGGTATAGATCGGTTGTAACAGATTAAATTTATTCGATAAAGCCAGTCGCGCGAATCTGTATCAGATCAAGAGCTGGCAAATTCCAACTGCCGCGGGTTACCCCATGCATCGGATGGCAGGAATCTCCAAGCGCCGGCATTCTTGCGCGCTAAAAGATAATGAACGAAGTAGGTAGATAGTGGTGGTAGTTTTGGCCATTGGTTACCTCCCTCAAATGTAATATCGCGGAGTCCAAGAACCATCGGAGGAATCACATTCTAATGAAAAAGTACTTGTTAATTATGAATTGCCAAAAGTCAAAATCTGGACACGAGAGAGGGGGGAAAGAAAGAAAAAGTCAAAAGAATAAGAGTAAAGGAATTTGAAGGAAATAGAAGATGCTTACCTTGTCCTGTTTACCTGCCTCGGCCTCACATCCTTTGTAGACCCGCAGTAAAGCAGGGCCATCATAAGGCTCCATAGCTAATAGAGTGGTGATTTCTTTCGCAAGGTGATTGCGAAAGACAGGAGCCATCTCCTCGATCAAGCTCCGGACAATCGACGCTTGGTAGTCCTCCGGTCTCGAATTACCATACGCAAGCAGCTTTTTCAATATCGGTTGAAAAGTATGATGCTCGTCAACATTTCCCTGGAGAAAACCCGGCTGGCCCATCACTTCCTCTAGCTGTGGAAACATCTGCTCTTCTTCCAAGACATGGTGGTGAGAAACCCATCCAGCCCAACTGCGAAGGAAGAACAAGAAGTCCTTGATGTCTTGCGGCTCCGATAGATCGGCCTGGAGGTAGAGCGCATTCAAACCGCGAAGCATTGCATTATGTGCGAATGCCATCTCATTCGCGATATAGACAGCGGCGTGTCTGGACTATTGAATCAGTTTTTGCTGTCGTTAGACGAGCGATAACAGGGAAATATGGGGTGAGATAACAGTGTCATACAGTGTCTTGTGTTTTGGAGGGAGTATCGATGAGTTGCCAAGGGCCGTCAGCCCAACGAGAGCCAATTTTATTGGAGGCCATTATTCAGGATAATTGGAGATGAAAATAAGCAAGAGCTTAATTGAGAAAATAGATTAAGAAAATAGATGGCTAGATAGATAAAAGCAATTAATAAAATGACGGAAGTAGTTGAAAGCGACAAGGAAACTAGGAAACCAGGTACTGCCCAAAATCCCAGGGGTGGAGCGACAACCAGGTTAACGAGAACAAACAGTGGCGGCAGGGGTCCCGGCGTAATCAAACACGTGGTTCCACAAGTGCGAACATCTGGAAAAACAAAAATTGTGCTGGATATGGCCCCCACGTTGTTGCATTGCTGTAGGGCTGCGGTTCGTCTCGCTCCCGTCTTGTTCCCGGCGCTCGTGAAGTGACGAGGCCAAACGAAACACAGTGGACCCTTATGGATCATCAGAGAATAAGAAGTATATCCATCAACGAGTATAACACATGCCCCTCCCCATGGGTTTTATAAGATTGCGATTAACCGAGTGAGCACTACTCCTTTGCCATCAACGCTAGTATACAAATTCCCCGGGACTTTCGATAATGCAAGCAGCGAACGCAATTTTATTCTGATTCAGTAAAATAACTTCGATCTGAGCCACCTATCGCGCCCCTTAATGAGTTCCCGAAAAGCGGGCGATTGAAACCGGTGCGGAAAGAGTATGTGGTAGAGCGCAAGGCGAATTTACGAGCTACTGTGCTGCAATGCAGTCGGTACTAAAAGTACGTCAAGTAAGTCCTAAAAATAAAAAAGGGGGGCCTATCAGAAGATCAGTCACACCTACCAACATATTTTGGGGCGTTGGGTAGGTAAACGCGCAGGCTAGAAAATGTGCAAAACCTGCTATGAACCCTGTTAGTGCACCCCCCAGGCTGACTGTCTAATCACCTTTTGGTCACTTTGGAGCTCCCGGCAGCGTTTTTAGATGTCAACCTCACGGAAAGCCCAAGTCACGGTATCTTAATAAGGTTTGAACGAATTACCTGGAACCTTGGCTTGTAGCATGCAATCGAACAAATTTAAAAACCGTGGTTGTCCTCAGAGAAAGTTTGGCAAATGATACTTCTGAAGACTCTAATGCCTATGTCTCCGGCATCTTTCGATATACATACATCATTTACCTAGCTCTCTGGGTAGTTAAGCTGTTCTTCTTTCATCATTATTGCTATTGAGTATATTTTCGGTATACATTTGCATTGTCTTTCCCCCTGAAATTTTATAACCTGTAACTTGAACCTACGTTTACGGCCTTATAGCAAAAATCTTGAGGCAATATCCACGATGGCCTTCAAATTTGTCTGCGCTAACTGGGCCCCCGGTAACAATGATTGTAAGCAAGATGGCAAATATTCTTGCAAAAACTGTCGTCTCGTCGTGGTAAGTGAAGAGATTTGCTTATCATACGGGCTTCTTCGTTATTTCTAAGTGATGTTCCTGTAGTACTGCGGTCCAACATGCCAAAAGTCACACTGGAGCTGTCATAGACCAGATTGTAGGTCGCCGTTAGGTCGTGAGACATGGAAGCCTGCCTGGGTTGCAGAGGACCGAGTGCCCGAGTTTATGGGTGGTGGCATAGGGGTGCAATTCGGCGGTAAAAAATACCTATGGGGAAATATTCCTGCCCTCGACATCCTCCGACTTGAATCAAATGAAGGAAAGGACTATGCAGAAAATCTATGCTTACTCTTTGCTGGTGGGTTCTATTTTTCTTGGATCCCCACTCTCCTTCTATGACTGGATGTTAACAACTCTTCTTCAATAGCTTCCGGAGACCTTAGAAATCTCATTATGACGATCAATGGACTTCCCGACACCTACGATCACTCTATCGATATTACCCTCAATGACATGGATTTTGATATTGTAGCTCGCAACATAATCCTGCTTCTTATTGCTCTGACGGTCGAGCAAGTCAACGAGGCTGCTGACTGTATTCTTCATCTCTGGTACTCAGCTCATATCCGTGAGGCTCATATTGACATCCTTGAATCTCGTGTTCGCCCATTGATCGAAGATGTCTGCAACAAGATCAACGATAAATCATCCAACGGGCTATTTGGAAAGACATGGAAATTTAAGCAATCTTCCCTGAGAGTCGTTCTTGAGAAACCGTCATGGATCCGCCTTGCATCTTTCGTTAATAGACTAGACCGGGTTTCCAATGAACAAGCGAAAAAGCTTCGCACAGATACTACTCTGGCTGAGTCCAGAAAGGACTATCGGGATCGCCACATGTGCTTTTTACCAATCTCCTATCGGATACCCTTCGTCAAGTTTAGGGAAGACGGTATTTTACTACCATTTGGACAACCCCGCCATGAGTTCCAGTTTCCAAACCCGTGAGTTAAAAGAATATTCGAATTGATAGTATGCTAACTAATATTAGGACATTTTTCCGAGATGATGGTTCCTGGAATATGAAAGACAGTGCTGACCCCCTCCACGGATGGTCCCTGGAGGATGTTGTGAATACATCAAGCGGACCTGCAGAAGCTGATCTTTACGGCAAACTCTTCTACTACGTCCGTGAAGCTCTCCAAACATTTCTCCTTCAACTCTCATCGATGAATGCTTCATTAAATTTGTTTCAGATGGACGCATCTTTGCTTCCGGAGCACCTCGAGAAAGACAGTTTCAGTAGAATTGAGGTAAGCCATTGGCCCACCTGTGGGTTACTGTATACTACTTCAGCCAAAATTGGCATGACATCTATTCTGGGTAATAGCCTTATTAACTTCATTCAGGTCTCTAATATTTCCGATTCGGGCTGGTTGGGAATACATGGAACTCTTGGCTTGATTATGCCATTACTTCAGTCCCCTCTGAAAAATCCTCATGCTACTCTCATAACTCTCTTTATGAATGCTATTGAGGAAAGTATGACTGACCAAGACAGACTACGCAAAGCGAGCTGGGACAGTCCGGCAACAAAGACACTGATGAAATACCTACCTCCAACTAGACGTCTGAGCTCTCGGTATGACCCTGACATCATTAAATTCAACTTTTGCCGGGAACTTGTCACAAATTACGATGACATATTCAACCAGTGAGTGCATGATAGATAGCGAATTGCACGTGCTATGGAACGAAGCTTATCTGGGACTTTATATAGGTATCTCCGAAAGTTGAAGGTCTTCGAATTTGCCAGTCTTTTTAATGTGGAGATGAAGAAAAAGCAGACTATAATGGACAAGTCACCTTACAGATTAAAGCTGCGGCCTGGCCAGCCAGGGGCACAAGATGAGTTTGAACGGCAACTTGCCTCAGGATTGACGGGGAAAGAACGCTATTTGGAGTGGAGGAGAATCAGTCTCACTGCCAAACAGCCCTTCTAGAGCACTAGGCCACCTTAAGGGGTGCTGCCCTTGGAGGGTTAGGGCCACTTGGATATATGGAAATATCATTATACATGTTCAATCGCTCGCCAGAAACTCATATTGCCACTTTCAGGTCAACATGAGACACTCATCTCTTTGTCTTACAGCCCCGCGCCAGCCCGTGTGCATCTGTCGATAATCGGGAGGGCCCTGCCTCCAAACCTCGTGCACAACTTTGATCTCGGTCCTTGCCGCTTCAATTCCATAAATTTCGACTCTTGCGTACCACCTCCGGAAGCGCTCCTGGTGCGTGGGCTCAAATGCCTCCGTGGCGCCCATGAATGCAGGCCAAAATAGTGGAGCAGCAAGCACCTTTGCCTCTGCCTTAATTTGTTCAATTGCCTCGATGCTTTCTAGAAGCTTCTGGGCATACTGGCGAAGATAGCGATGGCTCAGTAATCTCACGCCTTGAGAAAAGAAGATTATGAGAGCGTTGATAAATGCGCGCGTTTGATGGTAGATTATTGTAACACTGGTTCCTGTTCTGGAATCTTCCGGTCGATTTAACCACTCCTTAAGGAGCCAATCCATAATATTCTGTTCGAGATCGTCGCATGTTTGAACTAACGGCTCTGGAATGTTCGCGGTGTCTGAATTCGTGCGATGTAATGTCACCTCCTCGATAACCTCGATGGTTTCTTTCAAGAGAAGCAAAATACATTGAGGAATGCCGTAAATGCATTCATATGATTATAGGCCTGGCAATGGGCTTCCATCCATTTCCATATCTCCGGCCATGGGTATAGTAGAAGAGGGCATATCCTCTTCATCAATGGGGAAATGCGGACTTCTGACCACTGGCTGCGGGCCAAAGGTCTTACGGTAGCCTAAAGATGGTGAAAATCGAGAAACACCAATTCGAGTAGTTCTCACAGCTGTGCTCTCGTAGACCACTCGCAAGTGAAGGTATATACGGTGAAGAGATTTCGTTCTCCGTGAAAATATGGACTTTTGTATATTCATGTGACTGATCAGTTTCTCTGCTCCGTCTAGGTGGACGCTGCAAGTACTGGTATCCCCTGACATTACCTGAAAGATGGTTGTTAATATGCCAATCAAAGAAAATTACGACAGGTAGCAATGGACATACATTAATTGTAACCATAGACAACATGGTCTTTACTTCCCCGGCGCAGCTTCCATTCAGCTTAGGAGAAGGCCATTCATTCATTTACAAGTATACCATCAAACCAAGTCATAGCAATCCATTGTATCTCATTTTCAAAATAATTAATCGCACAAACATTTAAAGTGAAGCTTTATAAACTACATTGATGTTGCCTGTCACGACAGTCTTCATCTGCAGGTAGTCCTCTATTCCATACTTGCTGCCCTCACGGCCCATCCCAGAATTCTTAATTCCGCCGAACCTGTCAGAATCAGATGATGTTAGAATAGTTACTTGACTCCGTGATAAGCGAATTGAATAACTCACGGCTAGCAGCATCAGAGACAACACCAGTATTGACAGCCACCATGCCAAACTGCAAAAGTTCCGAAACTCTATTGGCTCGAGTACCATTTTTGGTGAAAATGTACGATGCAAGGCCCACATTACATTTATTTGCAGTCGCGATCGCTTCATCCTCAGTATCAAATGTGAAGATCGGTGCTACAGGCCCAAATATCTCCTCTTTCACCACTAGCATATCAGCGGTGATATTGGTGAGAATCGTGGGCTCGTAGAAATTCGGCCCTAAATCGCAGCATATTTTGTCAGTTCAAATTCAAAGTGTACATAATGCTTCTCGAAAATATATTACTTACCAAGGTCCTATCTCTTCTTCCCGCCGTTTTCCACTTTCGCGCCGCGGCGAGTTGCATCATCTACAAGACCAGCAACTCTTTCCACGGCTGCGGGTGTCACCAAAGGACCATGAGTGACATTTTCGGAAAATCCATTTCCAACCTGAAACTGGCTCACTGCGTGTCTCAGACGATCAATGAATTCGGGATAGATGCCCTTCTGGACGAAGATACGATTAGCGCACACGCATGTCTGCCCTGATCACTTGAATTTGCTTGCAATGGTGCCCTGGACTGCCATTTCAGGATCGGCATCATCAAATACAATGAACGGTGCATTGCCACCTAGTTCCAAACTGAGCTTCTTCAATGTACTGCTTGGTTGATTCATGAGAAACTTCCCAACTCGTGTGGACCCTGTAAAGGATATTTTGCGAACAATATCAGAAGAACACAGAGTTTGTCCAATTTCGGGCGTATTTCAAGTGCAGTCACGCTGTTAATGAGACACCAGCTGGGACTCCGGCTCGCTCACCAAGCTTAAGCACGGCATTGGCTGTAAACGGCGTCTCGCCAGCAGTCTTAACGACTACTGTGCATCCAGCGGCCAATGCAGGTCCAAGCTTCCTAGTAATCATAGCGGCGGGGAAGTTCCAACTGTATTTTACAGGATCCAATATTAGCTATACAGTACTGGATAACTAAAGGGAGTGGAACGAGTACTCACGGTGTGATAAGTCCGCATACACCAACAGGTTCCTTCAGGACAGAGACGCGGAAGTTTGGCTGGCTGTGAGGAATGACATCGCCATAGACTCGCGCCGCTTCCTCAGAGAACCACTCGAGGAAGCTGGCGGCGGAAATAACCTCGCCATTTGCATCGGGCTTTGCCTTTCCGTTTTCCCATGTTATGAGTTTGGTCAGATCTTCCTGGTTCTCCATGATCAATTCAACCACCGGCGAAGAATGCGGCCTCGGTTACGGTCCACGCGCGAGCGCCATGCGGGCATTGCTGCTGCCGCCGCTTGAATCGCCTTATGCGCATATTTCGAGTCAGATTCGGGACATGATCCGATGAGAGCTCCGGTCGTGGGATCTATGATGTTCAGAGGGTCGGTCAGAGATGGCTGTGAATGCTTCAATCTCGCTTCCAATCTGGACTTTCTTCCTACCTGTGACATTGAACCGCTTGCCAGACTCAGATTCAATCCATTTTCCATTGATGTAGTTTTGACCGATCAACAAGGAAGGATCCTTCAACTGAATATCGGAGATAGCCATTTTGATTCTTGGTTCAATTTCAAATCGTTTCATTCGTAATATGACTCCAACAAATCGTAAAATTGGCTCGTTGGTCATTTTAAGACAGCATGCCCGGCATTCTGGCCGAACTTCATAGATCGCAGGACAGGTAAGTCACAGCGCCAGAGGTGGCACCTGGATGCCGCTCTATCTTCCCCTCTACTGATTGGCGTGTGGATCTTCTGCGGGGTGAACACCAGCGGGTGGTTTTCTCCGAGACGATGGCAGTCAAGAGAGAGAACCGTGAACACCAAGGATCCACAGTAGAAAGCAAGCTCAAACAGGAGGAGTGATAGTTATCTCCACGATGGTAGCTCCCCGCTCACTTCCAGGATGGAATATATAGCCATTGACCCAAAGGTTGTTTCTCTCATCACTCTTTCTCTCCCGTATTCATCTCTATCCTCAATCCAACATGCCCAAGATCGTGGAAACAGTTGATCTATCCAACACAACCAGCGCCTACTATGCGCCAGCCGTTATTTCTCCATCCAAGCTGATCCATGTCGCTGGCCAGCCTGGGAGCACGAAGGATGGCACCGTACCGACTGATTACGAGTCACAGATCCATCTCGCTCTCCTAAACCTTCGAAAGCTCATTATTGCTGCGGGCTCCTCGATTGAACACATTGTGAAGCTGAACTTGTATATTGTCGACTACGATGCGGGCAATCGCAAACATACTCGTCACATTCAACGATTTCTGAATTGACACCGTCCAGCAATTACCTTGGTCCCAGTCTCTAAACTTGCTGTCCCCACATGGCTGTTTGAGATCGACGCCGTTATCGCTTTGCCTTCGCCTTCGCCTGTCCCCGCTCTTGCTGCTGCCACTCATACAACCGACGTTATTATAATTGGGGCGGGTCTGGCAGGCCTAACCGCTGCTCATTATGTTTTGCGAGCGGACCTCTCCTGTGTTGTTCTTGAAGGACGCGATCGTGTGGGCGGTAAAACCTTGAGCAAGCAATCAATGATGGCAGAGGCACGATTGATTTGGGAGCTGCTTGGATTAATGATACAAACCAAAGCAAGGTTTATGCTCTGGCAAAACGCTATGGCGTGGACCTCATTGAGCAAAACACTCAAGGAAATGCTGTTTTGGAGGATTTTGATGGGAAATGCACTCCCTTCGCTTATGGGGAGCTACCTAAGGTAAGATCATTCCTCTCCAGAAAGAAAGAACACAGACTATGGACGAATACCAAAGGCGTTGTGACATAGTTCGATAAAGCTACACAGGATCACATAGCAGAGATCCGCGATATGTGTGAGGCTGATTGTCAAGCACTTGACGCCTGGAGGCCTAAAGGCACAGGCCTGGATTCCGTCACATTCGAAGCATACCTCCGATCTCGTGGAGCCAAGGAAACCGCCCTGGTTACTGCTACAGTCTGGACTCGGGCAATGCTCGGGCAGGAACCCAAGGATATTTCGGCCCTCTATTTCTTAAACTAATGCAAACCAGGTGGTGGTCTTCTACAGATGCGATCTGATCGAAAAGACGGCGGTCAGTATCTAAGAGTTCGTCAAGGGACACAAGCTTTCGCGTTAGGCCTCGCTTCGTCCCTTCCAGAAGTCATCGTGAAGCTTTCCCAGCCTGTTGATTCGATCGTTCAAAGCTCCGACCGGTCGGTCAAAGTCCAAGCAGGCGGTATCGTCTATGGTGCTAGCAAGGTCATCATTACCATCCCCAGTCCTTCTCTGAAAAACATCTCATTCCACCCCAAGCTTCCTCCCGCAAAGCAGGCATTCTCGGAATCCACCACTTATGGCTATTACCCGAAGGCGATTATGGAGTTCCGCTCACCATTCTGGGTGAAGGCAGGCTTCTGTGGCCTCGCGCAATCCTTTATTGGGCCTGTTGGTGTCGTTAGAGATAGCTCCATCCCAGAATATCAGAAGTATGTTCTGACATGCTTCATGGGAGGTGATCCTGGTCGAGCCTGGGCAGCGCTACCCACTAAGGAGCGTGAACAGAGCTTGTTGAAGCAATTGAGCAAGCTCTATGGTGTCACGAATATAGATGCGGAATTTATCCAGATGACAGCATACGAATGGGTACAGGATGAATTCTCCGGCTGGGGATGCCCCTGTACGGCTCTCACTCCCGGTGTGTTCGACACTTTTGGGCCTGATGCCTTTGCGCGAAAATGCTGGCAATCTGCATTTTGCGGGTACTGAGACAGCGGGAGAATGGAAGGGTTACATGGAGGGAGCAATCCGTAGTGGAGAGCAAGCGGCGGCAGAAGTTGTCAAGGCACTCGACACTGGTTTGACTTCTCAACTGTAGAACATTGGCACCTCTGATGAATAGACGCTGTACAGAAGCCAAACAAGGAATTCTTTCTAGATATTTTGTTCATATTTGACTCGTTGGTAATTATTTGGTGTGGAATATTTCACAGCACAATCTATTGGAACTCAATTCATTGTGTTTTTCTTGCCTTTTCGATTCAACTGACTATCGAGGCAGTTTTCTTGATTCGTTGATTTGTTGATCAAGTCTAGCGTAAGACAGAACTCGCAGATACGGGGCCCTAGATTTGGGGCTCGCTCATCAACTCCGATTGCCGTCACTTCTTCTGAGTCGGAAGTCTAGAAGCTGAGCCCTAGTTAGATAAACGCTGCTAGGTGCAGGCTGCTGTGTCGGTTGCTCGATTGGTTGTTGGGGAATATGCGCGCCATCAGATACGGGACAGGACTTGGGATTGGCGGTGGTGCAGGTGGCCCTTTCATAGCCCGCAAGTTCAAGTTGTGGACATCGATCCTTTCCTCGGCGAAGAACATCGCGATGGTGTGTGCCTTACACTTGTTACCAACCATGTCGAGTAAGACATTGTACGTGGTGTGCGGTTCCTCCTTAACCTTAATCTTCCGAATGAGTTTCTGGCGATCGTTCGCGTTTGAAATCTTTGGCCTAACAGATCTTTTGCGTGACTCGACCGATCCACGTTGGCGTACCTTCCTACATGTCGATACGATAAGTGTTCTTGGGAGATCGGGGAATCGTTCGTGTATTTGTTCGAATGATCATCCAGCAATATCTTTGAGTGTCGATATCCGTAGACGGGTTTGAGGGTCCAATTCACAATTTCGCTGCCGTCTTGTGGTTTCAATGGCTACTGGAAGTCACGGTGTTGGTGGCGCGTCCGCGATTGGGGGAGTATGATTTGTCGGTTCGAATGCAGTTTGAGATGTTGAGGGATGCATGGTTATGTATTATTATATCAGCGACACTTGAGGCGCAGCTATTGTAGACATCTAGCCATAGATAGCGCGTTTCCCCTCCGATGCTGTACAGAGGACTTCAAATAATCACTTTCAAATATTTCGGGCATCCATAGGCACCAGCATACAGCGATGGAGCGTGCGCTGGCCCGTGCGTGCTACCTAATGTTTCTAGGGCGGTCCAGATGTCATCTCCATCAATGTGCACCATACAGGAGAAGCTGGCAAATTTGCAATCAGAAAAGACTGGAGAAGTCCGTTATATGCACTTTCTTGTGTATTTTTCCAAGTGAGAGCTTCTGTAGCCAAAAATTTATTCATACGCGCATATCAGACGTGAAGTTAGTATGTGGGTGGCTATTGCTATACGGTATGGTATCTATATATATTTCGAGAGTGATATCGCACTGCGCTCTTAGTTTCCTACCTAGCGGGCAACGGCGTTAGTTTGAAGAAGTCACCTGGGCAATCTGGAAAAAAGGTACATATAAACATAAAGATTAAATTTCGAGCACTGCATGTGAAGATTGTTCGGGTAACAGGCCTTGAAGTAGTTGGGAGTAAACAATTTGCTTATTGACAAACGAGGATCCGCAGCTAGATTCTCACTCATATGAGACTTCTTCATATAACTCAAAATTTGGCCGATGCAACATCTACGGTTCTATAGTGTAGTTGGTTATCACACGCGGTTCTGATCCGCGTGACCTCGGTTCGAATCCGGGTAGGACCTTTGATTTTTGCCTTTACTGTAATCTTTTTGCTTCTGTTCCTGATGTAAAAAGAAAAACAATTTTGGCAATGCTGACGGGGTGAGCATTGATGCCGGGTAATGCGGCACAAATTTCCATGTGGTGGTCAACCCATTTGTATGTAGTAGGGCGATGCGGGTACGCACCACAGTGGAACTGCACGCAGTCTTAACCATTATTCTTGCCATTCTGCTGGGAATCTTCCGGTGTGATAATTTCGCTAGCAGCATTCGAGCCATCATTCGTGATTCGGACTCGACGCTCAAAAATACACAGACATCTTATCGTGCTTCATCTCGAAATAACAAGTATGACGGAAACGTGGGACGAACTGCAGAGGAATGAAGATCAAGACCTCTTTTATATGCTCATTCAATTCTCTTTTATTTGGTCTAGATGGCTTCTCTTCTTGACTTCCACAGCAATTCCAACGTTATATCTATAGGCGTTTTGCTTCAATCAGACTGTAGATCGATCCCACCCAGATGGGTAGATAGATAAGACAGATAAGACATAGAAGACGATACGAGATGTTTAGCCCCACTTTCCTCGTCTATGATTTTTTCCCTTCGAATAGCCTCAACTCCTGCCAAGACCTCATCACTGGTTCTATAGTGTAGTTGGTTATCACACGCGGTTCTGATCCGCGTGACCCCGGTTCGAATCCGGGTAGGACCTTTTTTGCCTAACTTTTTGGTACTGTTTTGACCATTTTGATACCTTTCATATACTAAATCATTTTTGTCGATATTAAGCACTAAGCTAGCCTCTTTTGACCCAAAAACTTGCGTACCTTCGAATAGCCAAAGAATCTCACGCCACTTATCAACTGGTTCTATAGTGTAGTTGGTTATCACACGCGGTTCTGATCCGCGTGACCCCGGTTCGAATCCGGGTAGGACCTTTTTTTGCTTCCTCTTCGTATCACCCAGCCTATCTATTCCAACACTACTTTTGTTTCCAGAGTTAACATGGCGCATAATAACACCCTCCCGCCATATGTGGCTTCAAGCACCTCGAAAAGGGACTCCCGTAGTAGCAAGCCTCTAAATCCATATACTCCCTCCGCTGCTCCAAACAAAATACAACCTTACAGCAGGAGAAATCGCAGAAGCATTCGTCTTGTCCATGTCAATAGTAGGTAAAGAGTAGATCCTTTCTGATGACCTTGGCTGCTGCCGGCGTAGAATTTATGTATACTATAGAGCACTTATCTAACATGTTCACTCTAGTGTGCTGATAACAAATTCAGTCCTGGAGCCGCTGATCAAATGATAATCACCTCAGAGTATATGGTATTATCTGTAGTATAACTATATGGAGGAAGACTCGGGACGGGTATGTTTGCATTGTTTGTATGTTTGTGCGGTTTGACCCACTCTCGGATGCAGGCCAATTAGATGATTGGCCTGGAGAGTGGTATCCGCCTATATATATATAGCATAGCTCTCTCTCTTCTTTTCCTTTCTTTAACGTTGTTATTCGTTGTTCTTCGTACTCTTCTCTATTCTAGTAGATTATAGGTACCTTATTATATAATAACAACGTTCCTCTTCTTTTTTATCCCATCTTTTTAGATAATAGACGGACTACGGTGCTTACTTATACGACTGTTACCTATTATCTTTTACTTTAAACTAATATAATATTACTAGTAAATATAATAAACCGATTGTCTTTGCGTCGCTGATAAGAGGTAGGACGCTGAGAAGATATTGATGATAACTGGTATACTAATGCTGCTGGTCATAGATCGATAACTAACTAGTATATTGATACTACTGGTTAGCCTAAACCGAACCCGATACTAAGGTGTTGTAAATTACTAACCTTTATAGGACCGGATATAGTAAGCTAGATTATAAAGATAGTTAATAAGCTACTTGTATGGATCTAGAATAATCCTGAAACAGCCTGGAGGATAATAGTGTCTAAGTGGAATGCCCTTAAATAGTTGTAGACTATCCTTAAGGAGATAGAGTTAGAGCTATAACTAATGTATACTAATTATATGGTCCTCTAAGAGGAATTGTAGAAGATATAGGATAGATATTATAGTAGTAACCACTTAGCTAACTTGGTTAATAATCTTAAGAAGGAGTATTAGAATATAAAATAATAGCTTAAGTTAGTTAAGAAGGAGTGTAATACTCTTGTGGCTGCTTTTTATCTTCTAGTCTTAACTAAGCCTATAGAATATATAGTTTGGATAACTAAGTATATTTCCTCTACTTCTGTGTCTCTCTCTCTATTATCTATAGGCCTAATATAATTGAAGATAGTATTATCTAAGCCTAGTTTGTGATATACTAAGAAGGTTGTTGATCCTACAATACTGTCGGACGGAAAGGAAGTCTGCTTTAAGGACTAGGAGGATAGGATCCTAGATAAGTTAGAGTTAAATACTAATTATTATCTAACTAAATATTATTGAATAGTATATCTAAGAGGTTGTTATAAAGAGAAGACCTTATAATATATTAACTTTTAGATAAACTATATATCTATGACTACTTACTAGAATGTCTGCTAGGTCCTAGACTATCTATAGGGTATTTTCTTAGATCTGAACTAGGTATAGCTAGCTATATTGGAGTATAAGATTCTTAGAATAGTGCTAGTAGACGATTTTAAAAACTTCCTAGCTTTATTTTCTTAGCTTATAGAGGAGATATATTGCCTAGAGAAGGTATGAAGATATGATCTATACTTTAAACTCCTGACTAAGATCTAGAACTAGGTTATAATATTGCTTAGTTGTGATGGTTTAATAGATAACTTTGTATAGGAGTACTAGCTTATGGTGAGTTTTATCTCTTAGTAATAGAAGTTCTAGAAGATTTATAAGAAGGATATTAAACCTTCCTTCTCTCTTGTAATATTGATAGTAGTAAGGATAGTCTTAATAGCTGATGTGGATAAGATGAAGGCTAAGGATAAGTAGAGCTGGCTTATAAAGCTAGGGTTATACTTTATCTATAAGTTATTAGACTATATTAGTAGAAACTACCTTACTAAGGTTATTATAAAGACTGTAGTAGTGGATACTCTAGTGGATACTCTAATAGATAATAAGGATATGGGAAAAGACTATGTCTAAGAGAAGTCTTCTTCTTAGGCTATATATTAATATGTGGTCTGTTAGAGGTAACTAGGAAGCTAGTATATAGAGATAGTTTGATAATAAATCTTAAAGTTATCTATAATTCTTTCTCTATGGATTCTAAGGTATTAGTAGATAGTAGAGTGAATGTATATATAATGATAGATGAAGGGTATTGCCGATTGTTAGATATACTAATGTGGAAGCTGGCCGATCTAATTGATCTGATAGGCTTTGATGGTAGTCCGGCACTATAGATTATAAGTTATGTGATACTTAATATTATAATTGATAGCTGAGAGTAGTAAGATCTCCTATTTTTGGTTATGAGGCTGGTAGGTATAGATCTGATGCTTGGACTACTCTAGTTCGAAGAGGTTAGTGTATTGATCGATTGTAAGAACCGATGTCTTTGCTGGCTGTCTTACGAGGCTTTGGTAGCGCTTATTACATCTGAGCTAGTAGTATTAGTTGCGTCTAGACCAGTGAGGCGTATGTATAACAATTACTATCAGACTAATATAATGGTGAAGATATATTGGTCTCTAGTGGACGAGAGTTACGATTATAGACTACCTAGGGTGAGGCAGACTTGGCTTACTATACTAGCGGGCTTCTAGATTGTGATTGTGGGGGCTTCTAGCTTCTATTGGTATTAGTAAGAGAAGGGTATAGAGGTCTTTATATCTAGTCTCTAATAGATTGAGAAGGTACTAGATAAGATAGAAGATTTAGTGGAGCTGGATAATATGAAGTAGAAGGTACTATATTACTATTATAATTATATAGATATCTTTTTGAAAAAGATATTGGATGTAATATCTTTATATTATAAAGGGGTAGACTATAAGATATAACTAGAAGGGGAAGGATTTAATCCTAGATACTGTTTTTTATATAAGATATTAAGGGAAGAACTTAAATTCTTGTGTTAGTATATTTATAATAATATTGGGAAAGGGTTCTTAATACTAAGTATAGTATCTTTTATATTACTAATCCTAATTATATATAAGCTAGATAGTGGACTCTAGTTCTATATTGATTATTGTAAGCTGAATATAATTATAAAGAAAGATAGCTATCTACTTCTTCTGATTAATAAATTAATGTAGTATATTGCTGGAGTAAGGTACTTCATAAAGTTGGATATTTGGTAAGGGTTCTATAAGATTCGGATAGTAGATAGATTGTAGGATTTAATATCCTTTCGGTTATAATATGGCTAGTTTAAATATATAGTGATATTGTTTAGGGTGATAAATAGGCCTATAACCTTTTAATAATATATTAATAATATATTGGCCGATTATCTAGACGTCTTTATAACTGTGTATATAGATAATATCCTTATCTATAGTAAGATCCTTAAGGAGTATATCTAGTATATATATTATATACTTAAGTACCTATAGGGTGCTGGCCTCTAGGCTATTTTATATAAGTATGAGTTCTATATAGAGGAGACTAAGTTCTTAGGCTTTATTGTTAGTGTCGATAGTATATATATAGACCCGGATAAAGTAGTAGTTATTAAAGATTGGGAGACTCTAACGATAGTATGGAGGGTGCTATTGTTCTTAGGGTTCTATAACTTTTACTAGTGATTCGTGGCTGATTATAGTAAAATTGTGTGTCCCTTATATTATTTAATATATAAAGGGATACCCTGGTCCTGGACGTTGGACTGCTAGGAGGTATTTAATACTTTAAAAGCTGTGATGGTAGATATACTGATCCTATGTTATTACGATATATCCTTATTGATATATATAGAGATAGATATCTTAGATAGTATAATAGAAGGAGTATTATTGTAGTTGTATAAGGATGACTTTTAGTATCTAGTAGCTTTCTTCTTAAAGGCTATATAAGCTATAGAGCGGAATTACAAGATCTACGATAAGGAGCTTCTGGCTATTATCCGTGTGTTATAAGAATGGAGGCCTAAGCTGTAAGGTATTGGCTTTGATGTTTTCTTTGATTACTAAGTGTTGTAGTGGTTTGCTATAAAGAAGTGTCTTAATGTATGGTAGATCCATTGGATGTAGGATATAGCTAGTTATTAGTTTATAATCTAGTATTGACCAGGGAAGGCTAATGTTTTAGTTGATGTGCTTTCTTGGAAAGAGACTCTTCTTGGTGCTCTTGAGGAGTAGGTGGTGCTTCCTCCCTGATTCTAGACGAAGCTGGTACTCTCTCTAGTCTATACTAATATGGTTGATTGTGTATTAGTATCGAACTGTGTGGATAAGAGTCTATAAGGGTTGCGTGATTGTGCGATGTCTGTGGAGCTGGGTGATTGGTCACTTAGTGAAGGGCTACTACTGTCTAATAGGAAGATAGTAGTGCTTGACGAGGGCGATTTATATATATGGTTATTAGATGAGATACACTGTTAACTAGGCCTTGTCTATCCTAGTATAGAGAAGATGAAGCTTCTGTTGTCCTGTTAGTACTATTAGTCTAGATAGAGTAAAGATATGGAGTGATATTATAATAACTGTACGATATGTAAGTGTATGAAACCTTGGATAGATTGAACTCTGGGGCTTCTGAACCCTTTATCTATCTTAGAGCGGCCTTAGTAGAGTATCTTAGTTGATTTTTATACCTTACTGAAGGATAAAGTAGGGTATGATGAAGTTATAGTAGTGGTAGATAGGTTTAGTAAGTGGATGGTTAGTATCCTATATTACTATAATATTGATACTTATAGTATAGTGTGTCTATTCTATGATTATATCTTATATTAGTCTAGCCTTCCTGATTTAGTGATTAGCGATTGAGGACCATAGTTCGTGGCTGATTTCTGGGAGGAATTCTGCTGTATTCTAGGAATTAAATAGAAGCTTTCTACTATATATTATCTGTAGATAGATAGTTAGATGGAAGTAGCTAATTACTATATAGAGTAGAGGCTATAACTATATATAAACTACTATTAGGATAACTAGTTAGATTTGCTTTGGTTAATTAACTTTGTGGTAGTGAATATACTGAGTGTGACCACTGGATATTTGTCTTTTTTTATTAAATATAGGTATAAGGTGCTACTATTGTTTAATTAGATATTACTTAAGAAGGATTCTCTAGAGAAGAAGGCCGGATAGGGGGTAGTATATAACCTAAAGTTGGTATAGGAGGAGGTATATTACTTGATATCGGAGGTTTAATTATATTAGAAGTTATATACTAATTGATCTTACTAGTCTGTTAATTTTGATATTGATGATATAGTCTTCCTATCTACGAAGTATCTATACTTAGAGAGACTGTCTCGGAAGTTATTAGAGAAAGCTCTTAGACCCTTTCGAATTACTAAGAAGGTAGGTAATTCTTATTATCTGGATCTATTGGCGGAGTTGTAGAGTATTTATAATATATTCTCCTCTAATAAGCTATGACTAGCCTTATATATAATCCTATTAATTGGCTAGATCCTGGATCTACAACCGCTAGTAGAGGTAGACGGTAGGAATGAATAGGAGGTTATAGAGGTGATTGATTTATATCTTTTCTGTAAGAAGATCCTATAATACCGTACTAGATAGGTTGGTATCGAGGATAATGTATAGTATCCAGCTGGTGATTATAAGAATTCTATATGTGCGATCCTAGAGTTCTACTGTCGATACCCGTTGAAACTGGGGCTATCTGTGTGTCTACCCTATTGGATTAAGGCTGTGGAGTAAGATAAGTTTGCTGTTGATTATATAGATGATAATAGAGCTGGTTAATTTTTTTTCTTGTATTTATTTGATATTTTTAACGTTGATGCGGTTAAGGGACTGCTTGCATTTTAGGTGGGAGTGATGTAGTATAACTACATGGAGGAAGACTCGGGACGGGTATGTTTGTACTGTTTGTACGTTTATGCGGTTTGACCCACTCTCGGATGCAGGCCAATCAGATGATTGGCCTGGAGAGTGGCATCTGCCTACATGTATGTAGTATAGCTCTCTCTCTTCTTTTCCTTTCCTCAACGTTGTTATTCGTTGTTCTTCGCACTCTTCTCTATTCTAGTAGATCATAGGCACCTCATCACATTATCTTTTCTTTCAACACTAAAACCGAGTATACAGGCTCTAATAAATAGGTGGAAGTTTCAAATGATCCTTTATGATGAAGTCAGCTCAATCGCCCCTTATAATTTCAACAAAACCAACAAGATACTTACTATCGATGCAGCGATTTAAGCCAAAGAATTTAACCGCACTTGCCAACGGGCTTGTACTGGGCGATGCCACATGCACCACTGCAGCATGCGGCGTCAGAGCCACAAGCAGCGCCGGCTATACTCACGATACACATTAGCAAATCTATTGACTCTATCTGACAGTGAACCTTGAAACCAAGGCCATAGGTTTAAAAGTAAGGGATCAATACCAGCGAGGCAACGTTTCTCAATTGGCATCTCGGTAGGACCAGCAACAGCGATGACAGCGAAGAAGCCGGCAAGAATGACGTTGAAGAACTTCATGGCGATGAAAGTTGGAATTGAGAGTTTATCAGAGTTTGATTGATGGATGGTTGATGTTGTTCTTCGAGGGACACAATGGCCCTATTTATACCATTTCCTGCCCTTATTTTCTTTCATACTTGATTTATACATCCGTAACATCCCGCGCTCAAATTATTGTAAGCTGGACCTAGTGTTCTGATTTACCTGAAAAGGTAGATTATCTGATGGGATTTAAGGGTTATCTGATCGTATTGGCCAATGGGAGACAGAAACACCAATCAAGCCCACAGTCCTTGTGGGCCACTCAAATTGTAGATGGGTCACCTCGCAGTGCAGATCTGAGATGGGGGCTGCGAGGAGGATCCCAAATTCTTCGATAAGTCCGCTGATCATCGTATGCCGATCTCTGCCTTGAAAGAATTTTACGCAATACACTATCGCTGTAGCTATGGGGTAGCTTTTTCATTGTAACAAGAAATATAACACTGTTATAATTAGTCGGTATTCATATTGATATTGCAAAGATCTTCATCGACTAAGCTTTGTAGTACGGCCCGAGGATGAAACATGGATAGTGCGATCGCACGAATACAAAAATTTGCGAGATGAACTAACATACACCGTTATATTCCAGGCTCTCGCATAACAAGCTACGCTAAGCAATCTGGGCTGATCTCCTCGCTCTATTTTCCTAATGGAGCCCATGTGGGTTTACGTGGAGCTAATACCCGATCCTTCCAGAAGTGCCGATCTTTCAGAGTAAAATAGTCAACAGTGGCGCATTGGCATTAGCATAGATCATCGTTACAACATTGCAAGGCGCCATTATCCCCAGCCCTGGAGACATGAATACAGTTAAGTTGATTTTACTGTATAGCAAAAGCTTTGGAAGATTGTTCACGAATTCACACAGGCAAGCATTTTAGAGTAAGTAAGAAAATAACTCAATCGTAAGTTGGGCGGAATCTTCTACCGACTCCCCGATCGAAATCCTTTTAGCTATTCTATCAGGCATGAGCCCCATGCGAGAGAGCTAATTAGCTCTAGAGGTGGACCTTCTGCCAATTGATCTCTTCCCTTGAAATGAAAAGCAGAGCAAAGCAAAGCAAAGGTAACATGGGAATCCGGTCAATCAAAAAAAAAATTCCTTCGAAAATGTAAAATGGTTTCTCATAAAGTGTTTGTGTTCCTAAAAATGTTATTATACTTGTGGTTTGATTTGTAGTCAAAGATGATGGAATTCTTGATTACCATGTTCCTACAGACCAAGCGGAGTTTTGACCCAGACATCCGCCCAAGATGAGACATTATTTTGCGGCAAAGAGTGGTAACACTCTGGTCCGTTACAAGATTTGAGTGACTACAGTCTCGCAGATTTACTCTATGTTTCCTGAACTCTGTACTTTGAATTGATTGGTTTAAAATGAGCACAATATACCCGAATCCTATCTCCAAAATGAGCAGACGCGACTAAGAGGGAACAAAAGACTGGAGAGCTGAAATTAAATAGATCAAAGAAACTTAAATTGATTACCATTCTTTGGCTGCCCTAATGCTGCTGTATAGATTTCTTCATATTCACAGTGCAATATCCTAATATATGATCAGGTAATCTGGCATGCTTTGAGTAAATTTATGGCTTGAAAGAAATCGGGTATGACTATTGATGCCCCGGGTCAATATTATAAGCATGACTTTGAAGATGAGAATAGAAACAAATAAAACAGTACCAATTGCCACCACAATGAAGCGAAACCCTTGAAAAATCTAAGTCCATGGATATTGTAATTATGATAGTATCTCTATGTTGATAATAATAATACAGTATAACAATGTCATCGTCTAAGTTTGAGATACCAAGATACCGATTTAAATCCTTGAAACGTTTGAAAACGTTTGATATCCTTTGTAAGGGTCGAAAGTGAGCTTTGAGTTTATGAAACCTCGCCCGCCGAGAACAATGAGGCTTTGTGTTTGACATGAAGCAGAAAAAAATAAAGCAGCTTATTTGTTTTGCTCTGTCAATCTAAATTAAGATCTTTTAGTTTCGACAGACGACTCGTTGAATAACTTAAATACAAGCCCTCAAGACATGATTAGGCACTCAAAATCACAATCGAAAGCATCAAATCTCAAAGATATTTTACTTCTGTCATCAGCCCCAGACCATTCTATAAATACTCAATCAGTTTGTGATCCCTAAAATTGCCATATCTTGAAAATGGCTTCAACCCAACAAGGTACAAAGCGGAAACGCTCTCCCCACGCTGATGGCAACAAAAGACCTGCTAAGAAGGCTATTAAGAGGGGTCAAAGGTCTGACACTGTGAATTTAACTGGAAAACACCGGGTAGAGGGTATGGAGGATCTTCCATCGAGTCTTCGACGCAAAAATATTGCGGAGTGTGTTGTCGAGTTTATAGATGAACTTCAAACAGGTGGCGATGATTCATTAGCTCCGAGAGAAGTTGGCCCTCCAACCAATCACACGATTATCAGGTTGATCTTCCAACATGAGGTCCCAAATAATGCTAGTTATGCACCAGCTGGCTCAAAAGGGGTTATATTGCATTTTTAGATTTCCCTGGACGTAGCACTACAAAATGTGCGAAGGGTGAGCTTGTAGTCAAAACTTTCAATTATGAGGGATCGCATCGAAACGCTGTCAGAATTCTCGAGCTTACCATTCAACCTCGCCCGGAAAGTTACACTTCCAAGAGATATAGGACACTCAGTGAATTTCTTGATGTGATTTTTCTGAACAAAATGATCCCATGTGGATTTAACAGCGAGACAGCTGTGGCATATGGGTGCAAAGACTTCATGTGAGTTTTGTTCCTTTTTTGCATGGCCAATAAGAGACAAACAAGTGCATTTACTGACACATATTATCTAGTTCACAATTTCTCTATCGTTTGAGCGAGATAAATATCATAGATATTCCTGAAGATAGCCGAGAGCGCGTATACAATTACTTTAATCATGCTTATGGCCGAGGGGAAGATGAAGTCTATCGTCAGCCAGTTGGATATGCGTGTTTCAATGCTGATTATTATGAGCGGCATGTGAGCATAGAACATGTTGAGTATCATGGGAATCGTGAGTTTGTCATGTTTATTATCTTTGATTGTATGAAGATTCGGGCTAACAAATGACTTTGAAACAAAACAGGTATTAATCTTGATTCAGACGAGGCGAATGAGCCTGGTATGGGGGGGGGTCACTGGACTACATCGGGGAGCAGTGGAGATAAACCTATACGGAACGAAGAGTAGTCCTTATAGTGGAGAAATTTGGATTGATGCAGAGTGGTAGGGAGTAAAGAAGAAAATATTACGGCAATCAAGTTATGATCTAGATATTAAAAATTTTTCTAAATCAAGCATGTTCATCTTTGCTACAATTTCAACGCCTGGGTACGTCATAGCTCTTGTACCCAGGCAGTTTCAGGCTTCCAGCCCTGGAGGCGTGGCCAAATGTTCTGTTGGATGAAACAGGTTGGTTATTATACAAATAAAACATCATGAGAGGGTACAGGCCAGTTTCAAATTGTCCATAAAAGCAGAACCAGAGTAGCTCATTCCATGTCTACTACACCTGCGCCCCAAGCTCTCTTTGCTTGTTCTTTCCTTCCCCTCTTCCATGTAATATTACGAGTAATACAATTTCAACACTAACCCTATATGGCTAGCTCCACGGCAAAGGAAGATCACCGCCTCCGCCTTTCTGCCCCGTTCAGCGTATCCCACCTTCAGTCATTCTTGCCATCTCTCTGTTTATCTAGCCCATAGCCTGACTTGTATCGAACAAAGATTCCTGGATACTCATTCGAAAGCACCCCCAATCCCGTGATGCTTGTCGCATAGCCCGTCAGAATGCCTCGGAAGTTCGTCTTACACTTATGGAAGAGTTACAAAACCAAGGAGAAAGAGGTCTTCAAACTGGTATTTAATACCCACCGGCCAATGATCTCTGTTGTACAGTTGACAAAGGAGCTGCGAACCTTTGTAAAAAAGAAGCCCAAACTGAAGAAGAGGGTCTGTGACCTTCTAAAGGAAGCCATGTACTTTCGACAAAAATGCAAGGAAGAATATGTCATTACTCGAAATTATGCCCAGAAGCGGGGGGAATGGGAGCTTGTGTCATATTACGACGCCTCCATTGAAACCCATGACCATTATCTCTTTCATATGCAAAGGTTTCTTGACGAGCAAAAGCGATCTAAAGTTGGTCCAGCGCCGCCCGAAGCAATAGTCGAGCCATTGCATGATATCCAGGACGCCGTGGCTCCTGATCTCCTTGTCTCCCTTTCTTTAGAGAGGCAAGACACGTGTCGCACATCCGTGACAAAGCCACCTTTGAAACGGGATGAAAGGCTGATTGACAAGGAAGACTTCCAAATATTTTGCAGTATGCTTGGAATTTTGCTTAATGATATGGTCAAGATGTGGGAAGATGTGCTAGAAAGTGGGGCCAACCCCTCAGTTTCAGATACAGGTAAGGAGATCATCTGTACCAATAACCGTTATGCCTAGGTACTGATATTTCGACATCATAATAGTCTCGTCGTGCATATACAACGAGGTACATTCATACTTGGCAGAAGCGCTATTACTTGCACCTCATTGGTTCGATATGGAATTTCTCATAAGCCAGCAAGATCTCTTTCGCGAGGAGTTGATAATCATATCTGGATATGTTCGGCACGCTGAAGGAAAGGATTTCGACTTTTTAACCAGGTGAGTCAACATGTTGAAGAATCGACATCAGACTTACGATAATAGGAGATTGGATCTTTCTAACGGACATTAGAATCATTTCGCAAGGTCTAAAGATTCCACCCAGTATCCTACCACCCTTCATCACTAATCTATATGAATCAATTCGATATATCATGATCGGAAAAACCCCAGCGTTCCATACCTTCCAGTGCAGCATGTGGCTGTATATACTACGCAAAGTTGACTCCATTCAACAGACAAACAAGCAAAAATTCGAGAACTTGAAATCAGACACCCTCAAAAAACTGGGATATCTTGGTGGCGTGATGAAGCACCCCGTGGTTCACCAATTCATGCTAGGTGACATCAACGTATTTTGCAACCAAGTGGTAAGCTTCCAAAGCTTAATTCCTCAATTAACATGCCTTCCGATGATTTGCACGATATCGATGTGGATCGAGATCCATTTACATGAAGTCTTTCGACCGCTTTTAGAGAGACCCTTAATTTGTATGACCGCACATCTCTACGTATTTATGCGACTATCTAAGACAATCGATCCTATTGCCCGCCTCGAAGTCTTCTGTGAGAAGCACGGGAACATGCTATTCTGGAATAATCAACCAAACAACGAAGCTGAATGGAATGAATCTTTCCTACAATGGGCGCTTCCCCGATCTCCCCAGAAAGCTAGCACGATCGCACGGAGAAGACACGAGCGAACATATAGTCTATTTAGACAACTGGCGCAAAACAAGTTCCGGTTAACTTCGAAATTGATCAAAGATTTGGATGATCAACCGGAGCAAGGCATCTTCACCTCGTTGAAATTGAAACTGGATCAAGAAGAATCACCGATGGATACATATCTCCTTTATAATATTCTTTGTGAGATGGCAAAGGAAGGAGAAACAGTAGAGAATATGACCGAAGAAACAGCGACAGCTTATCTCTCCAATATCATAGCGAAGGCCCGTGGGGGCTCCAGATCAAGATCGGAGGTTGGCAACGACCGAGCCAGGGACTTTCTAGCAGAAGCCTCTTCTAGATGGATGATACAAGAGGCTGTCGGAGTAAAATGAAGATTCCTATTTCCTGCTCCCATCGAATTCTGACGAAGAAATGACCCTGCTCTTGAAACGATAAGCGAAAGAAATATTCAGGCGAGACAGGTGGCATTTGCATACAAAATTGCAAACCGAAAGGCTTTAGTGCTACCTAGACGAAGCGAGATAGATTCAACTACTGATGGTTAATATTGAGGCTTGGGTGGAAATGAAAGGATCTTAAAGGCTGTGGGCACCTAAGGAGGAACAACTAAAAACCTCGCTTTCTCCAAAAATGAACGCGATCGTACAAATGGCGACAGTTTTTGGTAATGGTAATAGAGGGTTGGCTTGCGCGTGGTCAGGAGAGTCCGGAATGTGTTATTAGTACTACAATATTCAAATGAGTGAGATCCTTTGTCATTCAAGTTCATGATTGATGTGGGGGTCCTGTGGTGATTTATAAATAGCAATAGTAGGCTATTGAAAGGTGATCAATAAATACAGTGAAGAAATCGAGGCCGAAGGTAGATTTCGCGTTGCGCAAGGTTATAGCTGCCACCCATGGTAGATGTATTGCACGGAGCGGTTCGCAGGGCGTTTTAAGATAAGGCACAAATGAGGCAGCAACTTGCTTACTAGCGGAATGACTATGGGCGGCGATTATATCCCGTCGATGTTGATTGTGAAGACCCTGACGTCGAAGTTGGATAATAGCTACGTTTCCCTTCCCAGTCTTCCCATTATAGGAGTCCATCACATTTCATAATGATTCAAGTTGAACCAAAATCACCAATTTGGATCTGCAATGCATACCACGCATTTTATCTCGTCAAGTTACGAGCTCCAACGCCAAACACATCACTAGCAACCTACCCCCGTCGTCCCGCAAAGTGCTGAACCCACCACGATATTAACAATGTCTACAGGGCATGTCAACATCATTGCATCCAATGCCGCAGATCAATACGACTTCATTGTCGTCGGAGGTAAGAGCCGGAATACTAATGAGGGTTACAAAGCTTAATGTTTGTAGGGGGCACAGCTGGAAATGTGATAGCTGGTCGGTTGGCCGAAAATCCCAAAGTGTCAGTTTTGATTATTGAATCCGGTCGAGGGTGAGTTACTGAAGCCATGGCCTTTAAATGACAGCGACGTTTTTAACAATTCCTAGGGACCCAGAGAAGGTTCCTGAGATCACAACCCCAGCTCGAGCTTTCGAAAGCCGCAATGGTCCAAATGATTGGAAGTATAAGGCGACCTTAATCGACCGTCCTGATTATACTCGTGTTGAGAAACCAAACAATCGAGGCAAGGTCCTTGGCGGCAGCAGCTGCCTCAACTACTATACATGGGTTCGAGGCAGTAAGGGGACATTTGATGAATGGGAAGAATTCGGTGGGAAGGGATGGAATTGGCAGGCAGTGAGAGATTATTTTGACAAGGTGTGTCCATTGCGACTACATTTGTTAGCCAATTCTAACTTGACAGCCCGCGACCTACCCTGACGATGACGATAACTATCCTCATGTGAGAAACATTGGCCTGGGAGGCCCTCTCCATATTGAGCATGCGGATCTTGTACCCGAGCTGCGACCTTTCCGCGATGCTCTTCTCAAGGCATGGAAGAGCAAAAGCCTTGAAATCAACGATAACATATATGATGGAACGATGAAAGGACTGACGCGTTGTATAAATACCATTTACAAAGGTACTCGTTCCTCGAGTTGGTCATTCCTTGTCGGAAAGTCCAATGTTCATACTTTGTCATCATCTCACTGCAAACGCTTGATAGTCAGTGAGGGCCACGTCACGGGGGTGGATATACAAGGGCCAAATGGAGAGGAAATCTCTGTTAAGGCACGAAAGGAGGTTATCGTTGCTGCTGGAGTGTATGAGTCCCCGAAGCTATTGATGCTGTCAGGCATCGGCCCTGAAAAGGAGCTCACTCAGTTCGGCATCAAAACCCTCTCCAACCCCCCCCCATGTTGGCCAAAATTTGCTTGATCATCCTATTATACCGCATGTATTCCGCTTGCATAACGGTTTGGGTTTGGATGATCACCTACTTCGGGCGGGGCCACAAAAAGATGGAGCAGTGAGGGTATACAACCAGGACCACTCGGGACCTCTGGGTAGTGGTCTCTTGGAATTGGTGGGATTCCCACGTATTGACGAACGTCTCGCGAGGATCAAAGAGTACGTAAAGGCAAAGCACGACAATGGTGGAAAAGATCCGTTTGGACCAGCAGGGCAGCCCCATTTCCAAATCGGCTTCGTGGTAAGTATTTGAGCGTTGAATTCCTGATGATCAGTGTTTAACTAGCAATATGACAGCCTATGTTCTTCGATGCATTTCAATGGCACTTTCCTGTACCCCCAGAAGGAAGTTGGCTCACAGTGATCGTTGACTTGCTGCGCCCCGTTTCAAAACCAGGTTGGGTGAAGTTGCGATCGAGTAACCCGCTCGACGATCCACACATCAACACAAACTATTTCAACAACCACCTCGATGTGATATCTTTGCGAGAAGGCATTCGATTTATTGATGATGTACTCATGACCGGCGAAGGCTTCAAGGTTATAATTGGTGAAGATTATACCTGGAAATGCCGCGGAACTCAGATGCAGCAATGGACAAGTTGATTCTCGAACGATCGCAAACTGGATTCCGTATGTGTATCGCGCACATCTTCTTGTACAAATACTTAGTGACTAATGTCTGAGTACAGAACCTTGTGGAACTTGTCGCCTCTCAAAGGACGTCAAGCAAGGCGTCGTGGATGGGGAGCTGAAGGTACATGGCTTCAAGAACCTTCGAGTATTTGATACCTCAGTTTTCCCTGTCATTCCGGACTGTCATATTCAGAATGCGTCTATATGGTCGGCGAGAAAGGCGGGGACCTTATCAAATCCAACAGGAGGACCTTTTTTAAAAGACTTCCTTACATATGGGTATTCTTAGACACTAATTAGGCCCCCGTAACTTGATTTGCGGTAGCAACATTAGTGCTTAGAGAGATGGCATGGGAAAACTTGAATTAAGTTTAGGCAGCATCATGGAACTATCAATACTTCATTGTAATCTTTGCTGACCCAAGGAGGTTTCGCTGTATGCTTGATATCGTTGCACCCCAGACGGAGATGAGCCATCGACTTCATGACTAGTTAACTCTAAAGATACCCGGGCTCTGAGGGTCATCGGAGGGTTTGCCGTAAAGCAACGACGTTTTTTCATCAGGCCATACATCGCCCCTTTCATAGACTGCCTGGGAAGTCATATGCTTTGGCCGGAGGACCTTTGTTGTATGCGCCGTCACTCCGTTGTGCATACTATTTATCCACGTCAATCTGAAATTTATTAATTATCAATCCATACGATGCTAAGCCAAATATCTCAGTTTCGGGAATTCTTCCGATACGAGGTTCTGTGCTTTCTCGCTGAACTTGCCAGCCTTGAAGAAATCCATGCAGATCCCCCCACGGGGCACAAATGACTCCACGGGGCAAGTGGTTGACAGAATGGGGTGATATGTGGAACGAACCGGATAAAAAATTAAATAACAGTCACATTATCTCGGCATATCTTGGATTATGCAAGGGAAGTCTAGATTTATCCAGCTCTGGGTGTGTTTGTTGGGTACAACGTCACGTCGGGCCCGGGAAGCTCCCCGGGGAAGCTGAGCCGAGATCGGGAAACCAAGCGGTCTCCATTTACCTTCGAATGTTGGCTATAAATTTACGGATATATAAACAATGAACCTCGCAAATGATTCAAGTTTACTTTCGGGACCTACTAGTCATAAAATTGATAACAATGTGGAAATTTGAAGTTCACTAAAGTACAACGGTTGATCGAGGGAAGCACACCCGTGAATCTTTTCGCTCACTTGCATGTTCCTATAGTAACTAGTATATCTCCACCTGTTTAGTGGATAAGCTTTCAATTTCTCTATTTGCTGAGAGATACCAGAAGAGAAATATGAGGTCACGCCGGCCTCGCACCCGGTAAAATTGCCCAGCTGCACCAAACCCTTTAAGAAGAGAAGTCATTCCCCGGATTTCGGTGTCAGGTAAAGCAGAATTCTCTTTTCAAATTCTCATTTTATTTTTAAATTTCATGATGGCGAATAAGAAAGGCGATGACGAAATAAGCAATGCTCCTTCACAAGAAGGGCAAGTCTATGAAGACACATATTATGAGAATGATGCAGTCTTTGGAGAGATGACGGGCGAAGGGCCTAATTACCGCAATGTATGCGCAGCCTCATTTGGCATAACGATTGAGAACTAACATTTCTCAGGTAGGATGGCTCGGTACAGCTGCACTGATGATGAAGAGCCAGATTGGACTTGGAGTACTTTCCATTCCTGCTGCCTTCGACACTCTTGGCATTGCTACTGGAACTATCATTATGCTTGTTATTGCCGTTATAACAACCTGGTCGGATTACATGGTTGGCGCTTTCAAACTTCGGCATCCCGAAGTTTATGGTATCGCTGATGTGGGTGGCATGTTGTTTGGTCGCCCTGGCCGTTTGTTTTTTGGATCTACTTTTGTTCTTTGTGAGTGAATAACTTGATGCATTAAAATTAATGTTCTCATCATATTGTCTCCTTGTGATTTTAATTCTGTTGCTTTCTTTTGCTCGGTATATTTTGACTAATAGAGCAGAAGACTGGATATTTATAGCCGGGTCTGGAATGCTTAGTATCTCTATTGCATTGAATGCCGTCTCGGCCCATGGCACCTGCACTGCAGTTTTTGTTGCCGTCGCCGCAGCAATAGGATTTATCTTAGGAAGTATACAGACCTTGGGTCGGATGACTTGGCTTGCATGGGGTGGCTTGACTTGTATCCTGACAGCAAGTAAGTTTGTGCCTCCCAAGCCACTGGTACGCAATTGACGGGGGTTTTTCTAGTCTTCATGGTAACTATTGCTGTTGGTGTTCAAACTCGCCCTGCAAGTGCACCACACGGTGATGGTCCCTGGGTCTCTGATTATAAGCTTGCTGCCAGCGGAAGCTTCACCGAGAATATGACTGCGATCGCTATGCTAGTCAATGCATATGCCGGCACCCCATCCTTCTTCTCTATAGTATCCGAGATGCGCGATCCCCGTCAATATACTCGATCACTAATAGTCTGCCAAAGTGTGGTTACTGGAGTGTATATAATTATTGGGTGCGTTGTTTACTACTTCTGTGGCTCATATGTCGCTTCGCCTGCTCTTGGCTCTGCGGGTGTCTTGATGAAGAAGATTAGTTACGGCTTTGCTCTACCTGGCTTGATAGTAACGACTATGCTGGTTGTTCATGTGAGTTTAACCCGCCTTCATTAAAACAAATGAGTAATAACGATACCTCGATAAGCTGCCGGCCAAGTATATCTTTCTCATTATCCTACATGATTCACAACATTTGACGAAACCTACACTTATACATTGGACAACTTGGATTGGATGCACATTCGGCATAGCTATAATAGCTTATGTCGTTGCTAGTGCCATTCCAGTATTTAACAACTTAGTTTCCCTTGTAGGGGCATTGCTAGGTACTCTGATGTCGTTCCAGCCAATGGGGTTTATGTGGCTATACGACAACTGGAGCCATGGAAAAGCTGAAAGATCCACTAAATGGATACTGATGGTTTGCTGGTGCATATTTGTGATTATATCAGGCACTTTCTTGATGATCTCAGGAACCTATGGATCCATCGTCAGCATCATTGACACCTACAATCAGTCTGGAGGTTCTGCGGCCTGGTCGTGCAGTGACAACTCCAACTCTACCTGATCTCGCAGAAGAATGCAGGAAAAATTTGAAGATATGCAGAGAGAAAGCTAGTTGCCGGTCGAGGAGATTAGATAAAAGACTCAATAGAACCTTGTTTCGTACCATCATAATTTCTTTCCCCCTTTTTGCTGGCATTGGATGGGGCGGAGGTGTGAGCACATACAAAGCTGGTAACCCACTCTAGAGATTTTGCATCCATGGATTGCACGTGTTCGAGAATATGAGGCTATCTATGCCGTCATATCCTTGGATAAGAATGGATTCAGGAGAGAATGTGATGTGCATGAATCACCCGTGGGCGCGGGGTCAGTGCTTTAAACTTATTATCACACCCGCTCCACCATCACACCCTCTTCGTCGTCTGGCTGGACCGGATGCTGTTAATGTAAGCCCTGCAGAGATCCATGATAGTGGTAAGCTCCACGGGGGTAGTGTGGCACATGCTTCGGTCGCATGGCCTGAGTGTTACATTCTGCTTTTCTCTGTGGAGCGGGTGATCTGTTCCTGGGGCGGACGCTACCGAGATCCTTCGATCCTTTCCTGATTTGATTTGATTAGATAGTCGATAACCTTCGCTCTTGGACCCTGTTACTAGTGTTTCAATATCCTCACTATCATTATACTAGTCGCTTTCACAGTTACATCCCGCTAGTAAGCAGTTTAGTCGCAAACGCCACAGACTAGCAATTTGGAGGTGGATGTAACTACCTGGAGGCTTTCTTCACCCCCGCGTTAATATATGAGATAGGGTCGATATTTACACTCCGAGCAGATGAGCTTGATCGAGGGGAGGGAGAATTTTTGAATGACGATGTCACCCATCCCTCAGATCTAGTCGCTATCACGACCGCCGATTGGTCGGGGATGTATGCGAACCACGCGAGCAGATGCTGAAGATTAACATGAAATATTTAGCGCCCTGGGTGCACGTTGCCTTATTCCTTACCAAGGTATTGTTACATGCCACGAGCCAAGAATCTTAATCTCCTTCCACGCTAACCTGAACCACCTATGAATGGCCAGTCCACAGGGCTCTTTGCATGATTCTGGAATGCGATGTGTCCCGATTATACCTTTGAAATCCCCGTGATCGAATAAACTACCCACACTATCAGTGGGAGATGCTTGGAAATATCCGGTGATGTGGAGATGAGCCTCGTTTCATGGACGCAAATTTCCACATGTGGAATATTCGCCCCAAAGAAATGCAATAGAAGTTTTCAATCACAGTAACTCTGCAGGAACGGTGGTATTCGGTATTGCGGATGTTTGGCCCTCTGATTGAATTACAGTTACTCGAGAATGGGGTGGTCGTTGTTGAAAGAAAGAACAGGCTTGGCTGTGATTGACTACAAATAGTGACATCTTTCCATGAACTCCAACTATCATACCCACACTCCTTCAAATTCCAAACTCAGATCTCCATCCATCGAGATGCGCTTGATTCTTCCTGCCTTGCTGGCCTTTAGCTGGCTTAATGGTGTTGCCTCTCTCCCATATGGAGAAGAAATTGGCAAAACAATTGAAACCCGGGCTGATGCAGGCTATCGCTCTGTGGCATATTTTGTTAACTGGGTAAGCTGCAAACTTAAATTAACATATAGCCTTCTCGATTTAAATGTGGGACTAACGAAGGGTCTATGTTGAATCTAGGCTATTTATGGAAGAAACTTCTTCCCAGCAAATCTTCCTGTCGAACGACTGACTCACGTTCTTTACGCATTTGCCAACCTCCAAACTACCGGAGAGGTTGTTCTTTCAGACACCTGGGCAGACACTGATAAACACTTCGACAACGACTCCTGGAATGACGTAGGAAACAACGTTTACGGGTGTGTTAAGCAGCTATATCTGTTGAAGAAGCAGAACAGAAACCTCAAAGTACTTCTCTCTATTGGTGGATGGACATATTCGACAAACTTCCCAAGTGCGCTTAGCACTGAAACTGGTAGATCTGAGTTTGCCTCGTCGGCGACCACTCTTTTGAAGAACCTAGGATTTGATGGAATCGATATTGATTGGGAGGTAAGTTACAGCGAATATAGTTATCATTAGAGGAAGACACTGAAATCTTTGAATAGTATCCATCGGACCGCACTGAAGCTGCTAACATGGTAGCAACGCTCAAAGCACTTCGAGAGTCTTTGGATGCCTATAGCGCGGCCAATGCATCTGGATACCATTTCCTCATTACTGCTGCTTCTCCAGCTGGTATGACAGTATATTTCATCAATGATCATATTTTCCAATTTCGCTAATATTTAATAGGCCCTGCGAATTACCAAAATATGGACCTAGCAGGCATGGATCAATATCTTGATTTCTGGAATCTGATGGCATATGACTATGCTGGAAGCTGGGATACTATTTCCGGAGACGACGCCAATGTCTATGCAGACACTAGCAACCCATCAAGCACTCCTTTTAACACTGATCAAGCTATTACCTACTATACAGCAAATGGCGTTGCTGCCGACAAGATTGTCATGGGAATGCCACTTTATGGTCGATCATTCATGGCCACAGATGGGCCAGGTACCAGTTTCAGTGGAGTGGGCAGTGGAAGCTGGGAGAACGGTGTGTGGGACTACAAAGCCTTGCCCTTGACTGGAGCAACGGTAAACTACCAAGAACAGCCAATCTCGGCATATAGCTATGATGCTTCTCAGAAGATGATGGTCAGCTATGATACCCCCGAAGTTGCTGCGCAGAAAGCTGCATATATCATGTCCAAGGGACTCGGTGGTGGTATGTGGTGGGAAAGCAGCGCCGATAAGAACGGCTCAGACAGTTTGATAACTACTGTGAGTTGAAATATTCTCACAAATTATCCTGCTCCGATGGCTAATCAATATATAGGTCGTTAATGCATTTGGAGGCACAGGTGGCTTGCTCCAGAGTCAGAATGAACTGAGCTACCCAGATTCTGTATACGCCAACATGCAGGCAGGAATGCCTTAGGCAATAAGTGTTTGTTGGCGTTTGAGTGAAGTTCAGCACGAGAATGAAACACCATCATGCTCATAGCTAAACATCATTAGAGGAAATGCAGATGGATGTCAGTTGAGCATTCGAGAGCTATGATATCGGGTTTGAAAGCCGGCATTAACGTGAATATCCTCCATTAGCTTGATCTATCACTGAATCTGGCATTGATTTGTAGATTCAATACGAATATGATATCATTGATTCAACGTAATCGTCTCTATAAATGACTTGTTTGTATTAAGTAGTTCATTGAGCAAATAACATGTTTGGGGAAACATCAAACAATACATGTAACACGGCAACCGCTAACCAAGACCCTTTAATATCTTATAGTGTCTCGAAATCTCAAGCTAGTTCAGTGAAAACGTTGGATTTCGAGGTCTGTAAGCATAAAAGCAACATGTGACTATTTCATAGGGCACAAACTTGATTTGATGATAATTGTTGTCCAAGATTTGCCACGAGGTTATGATATTATCTCTAACATTGAAAGTCTTGGCCGACCTCCAATCCAATATCAAGTTCTCCACTCAGAGCTAAGTTGACTCCTTCTTATCCTGGGGTTCATCACTGACAGACGCTGCCGAAGGAGAATACGGGGATGTAGTAACATCCCCTGCATCTTTAACGTGAGATTCATGCACTGCAATATCCTTATGTCCTGTCAAGCCACGGTAAACCTCAGTTATCTGCTGAATTCCACCATCCACAAGTGGGTACAAAATGGCGATCAGCATTGTACCCCATAGCCAAATGATACCGACAACTACCCATGCAATAAAGAACTGCAAAAGGATTAGAAATCTCTGAGCATATTAATTTGTAGAAAGTACTTACCTTTTTGCCGAACACATAATGAGACCCATACATGGGCAATGGCCATATAACCCAATGACCCAAGAAAGTCGCGATAGACCAAAATGCGGCAATGCGGCCCCACCTCTTAAGTTCCTGGGCATCGAGCTTTGAGCTTGACCCAGCTCCGTCTTCAAGACTATTCTCCCTGGTTGCATCGGGCGCCTCTTGGTGATGCGCTGTAGTCAAATCACTTTCCAGCTTCTCAAGTGCCAGTTTTTCTTTCTTGAAGTCATTCCAATCGTAGTGCTGGGGCCTAATGAGTGTAATCACAACCGAGTAAATGATTGGTGAAAAGCAAGATGCCACTGTGCCATACATGCAAGGAAGAACCTCGCCAGTTGATGCTACTGAGACTTCGCCGCCAAAATGGGAGGCTGTCCCCAGCCAAACTGCTAATCCAGTTGCTAGTCCCAGGACCGGAGATATAATAGCGGCTGCCTTGCTTTGTTGACGCCAAAGAATTGTAAAGATCATTGGGAAAATGCCGGGGCAAGTGACAACGCCTATGATATTGCTTTTTCTCAGATGAAGGATTCTAAAGAGTGATGGATTGAAACTTACCAAGCATATAAAGAGTCCATCCAAGGTCAATGCCAACATAATGAAGCATAGTACTGAAACCTGCAGAGAAGGCCGCGAAAAAGATGACACCAAAATGACTAGAGCGAATCAGGTCTCGGTCGGTCGCTGATTTCTTGAAGTATTCGCGATATACATCAAAGCTGAGAATCGAGCTGACGGCAATGACTTGAGCCGAGAGCGTAGATGTGCATGCCATGAAAGTAATGAGGAGGGATGCTGCCGCGCCACCTTTGCCGGCAATTGTCATTGCAGCATAAGGAAGGACCAATCCGTTGCTCACTTCAGACGAGGTCATTCGCTGAAAAATATGAATGTTAATGAGCATATTTTAATGCACCAAAACCAATGAAACTTACTCGAGGGAATGTGGGGAAGTTTGGTTGATTCTCAAGTCCTAGAGCGACAGAGCTCATCACGGTTCCCAGTCCCCAAGGAATGGCGAAGTAAGCGATACCACCAATTGTGTACCCAGGGACCACTGCTGCTGGAGAGGCTGAGAAGGCCTTGATAAAGTAACTCGTATCCATCTGCATGGCATTAGATATAATGTTGTTCAAGAACGAGACGGCTCAACTTACAATGACGAGACCAAAATTGCCTAAGGTATGTAAAATTCCAAAAAGAATTCCCTATTAACAGTCAGTGAGAGAACAAGTCTTGAGACCATAGCAAAATACACGCACACTCTTTGATGTCATGGTTAAGTAGGTCCCTGCGTAATTTCCAGACACGGGGTTGCGCTCAGCAGCGGCCTTGACAAGCTCATACAAGTTCCCAACAGAACCAATCTGATCGTCAGAGAAAGCCTTGGCAGTGAAGTAGCATGCAATGATCAGAATAATTGCAGTATGGAAGTAATCGGTCAGAAAACTAGTATTTGTTAGCCTCAGTTCAGCCAAAATTATTGATATGTATGTTGAAAACCAACGTTGCCTTGATGCCTCCAACAAACGTGTATATCGTCGTTCCGAGCGGAAGCAAAAACGTTGCCGCAATAATATGCATTCCGGACCTATATATATTAGCTTAAGTTACCAAGTAAAATAAAATGAGACATACATTGCGGTGATCACAGCAGCAGCACCCAGAAGCATGTTCGCGCATGCAAAGATGTTGTTGATCAGGCATAAGATAATAAACACAATATGAGCCGTGCGTCCTAATGCGAGAAAGCAGTTAGTCAAACGAGTAAAAGAAATGAAGTTCAAGTTTTCATTAGAAAAAAGCTCTAATGTAAGGATGAGGGTCTCACCATAACGGATTCGCACCACCTCCAGAGACGTGTGAGCCTCAGGGATCTTTCGCTTGCAGGATATACCCAGCAACGCAAAGAACACGATCATGGGGCTACAGCCAGCAGCAAACCAGAAAGGACCAGCAACGCCATAGCTATACCCAACGTAAGATGAACCGAGTAAAGCTGTAGACCAAAGCCAGGACTAGAAAATATTAGTAAAAGCATAGAAATGTATCCCTGGCACAACGGACGACTTACGGAAATAACAGCCGATGCAGTTAGACCCGTTCGAACGGTTCGGTTGGCCGTCATAAACCTATACAGTGTATCAGTATGTGGTTTGAAACCGACAGCAAAGCATATTTACATTTCAGTCTTTTTATTATCTTCTCCTGTTGTTTTCTTGAGTATTTTGGTGATAAACATCATAACTGAATTCATGTAAGTTTGTTATTGAAACAGAATAGAGAAATGCACAACATTCATACCAAGAGCTATGATCAAACCGATTACAACCACGATAACATATCCAACTGCCTGAGACAGTGGAGGTTGAACGCTTGCCGGGCCATCGCGACCGTGTAAATTGGACATCCTAGTCAAGTCTCAATTGCGATAAGAGACGAGTATAGAATAGAGGGTGTTAAGCCTGTGTTCTAGTACAAGGCGCGAGGAGAGAAAAGCATCAGCTAGCTTTGCAACTTCTTGGGAAACGCGTCTACATATAGTCCCGAGGTTATGGGAAAGCCAGGCTGATATGCGTCTAAATGTACATAGTGGGCCCAGTACATGTACTTTTCGAGTTCATCGGGTTAGGGGTACGCAGGACCCCCCATCGAAAAAACCAGAGTATCGGTAGCATTTGAGCGAATAATGAAGTCCAGATCTGCGATGATTCTACATCTGCGTGCTATGAGGTGCTTTAAGGGGACCAAAGCCTACTAATGAAGAAGCGTATTTTAGAGTTTCGGCCGATGGGGACAATTGTGTCATTGGAATAGAAAAGATTCCACAGCTGAGAACCATGGATTGTTGCTCTAGTCGCGAAAATTTTCCTTTGCCCCTTTTGATTTACATTTTACGTGCGCAAATGGTTATTTCAACTCTTTGGATTGAAATATCCGAGGTAGTAGTATGAGAGCGCCCGGTGAACTTGAAGGCGATAGGGAAGATTTGATAGATATGAGATACTATCCCAGCCTGCAGCAGCCGGAAGATCCAGAATGACGCCTCTAGATTCGTTTGCTGACTTTTGCCAATATATTTTCCAGCATGTGATTGGCGAAATCCACAATTGGACCCAAGATGCGACTTGTAATTCAAGGTTTGTGGCATCGTGTTCACAGCATCAACAAGGCCTCTAGGGCTCTATTCTCTCGGGCGAGAAAGCAAGCAGCGACAAAAAAAGTGAGACAAAAAGCAATGATAAATAAACTTATTCTTTATTCGCCCGCTGGTCCAAGTGTGATCTAATTTGAACCAGTTAGATCGAGTTTTGATCCATTCCAGGGCCATCACGATCTACCACATGGCGCCATCACGGCCCACTTTGATGCTATACTATACAATCGACCAAATACGCATGCGGGGATACAATGCTGATGATGTGCTCGTCAATAGTTTGGAATACATATTTAGGTGTAATTCTCTAATTATTAGTGAGGAAGATTTGAAAGAAGGAAATTCGAAAAAAAAACTAGCCGAGGTTGAACTGCGTGATCTTTTTGCAGCTATTGTTGAAGTCTTCATTTTCACCATCACATTTTACCTGCAGTAGTCAAGTTCCAAAGTGTGAAAATATGTCTACTAGTAACAACCAAGCTGGAGGCGAAAAGCCTCGCAAGTCATTGGTGCTAAATGCTTTCGTTGAGATGTGTACGTCGTCGGTCGCAATCAACTTTATGGCGTCGAATTTGAGATCTAATGGCATAAGCAGGTAGCGGACACCAGTCTCCAGGATTATGGCGACATCCAGAAGATGAGTCTCATAAATTCAATGACATCGAGCATTGGGTGGAACTCGCCAAATTGCTGGAGGAGGCCAAATTCCACGGCATTTTTATTGCAGATGTCCTCGGTAAGTCAATTACTTGTTGACGTAGTTCAGCATTAAATCCAAGGTTGACAAGGAATTTGCAGGCGGATACGATGTGTACAAGGGTCCAAGAAATTTGAATCCTGCCGTTATCTCTGGCGCGCAATGGCCAGTAAACGAGCCATTAGCAGTTGTACCAGCCATGGCGGCAGCGACCAAGAACCTCGGATTCGGTGTGACCGTCGCAACAACATATGAACAGCCTTATCATCTGGCACGACGTTTGTCAACCGTTGATCATCTCTCGAAAGGCCGGTATGTATACCAGCCATCGCACAATATTCGAGAAGCCACTGACGTATTTTCTATTCCAGCTTGGGGTGGAATGTGAGTAGCGCGCTTTCAAAGACAAAGTGAACGAAAATTAATAAAAAATATAGGTTGTGACAGGGTATTTGGATTCTGCAGCCCGAAACCTGGGACAAGCTGAACAGCCACACGTAAGTTTAAAGCCAAACCCTCTATCATAACTTTGTAACGAGACAATAAACTCACACAACACAGCATGACGACCGCTACGCCTTAGCAGAAGAATATATCAAGGTGACTTACAAGCTTTGGGAATCATCTTGGCGCCAGGATGCCGTGGTCTTGGATCGCGAACGCGGAGTCTACACCGAACCATCCCGAGTTCGCCAGATCAATCACAACGGCAAATATTTCAATGTACCAGGGCCTCATCTAACCCAACCAAGTCCCCAACGCACACCCGTCATCCTACAAGCAGGCACATCGAAAGCCGGCAAGCAATTTTCCGCTCAACACGCCGAGGCAATCTTCGTTGCAGGCCACAGCCCATCCGTGATCGCCAAAAATGTCGCGGAGATTCGACAGATCGCGAAGGAGGAGTTCGGTCGCGATCCCCAGAGTATCAAATTCTTGGCTTTATTCTGTCCAGTGCTTGGACGGACTGAAGAGGAGGCCAACGAGAAGTTCAGCCACTACCGTAGCTTGGGCTCTATTGATGGAGCCTTGGCATTGTTTGGTGGATGGACTGGTATTGATCTGGATCAGTATGGTGATGATGAGGAACTGCGCCATGTTGAAAGCAACGCTATCAGGTAAGTAGGCGTTATATTTACCCCATGGAGTGAAGATGCTAATTGTGAGTAGATCTGCCGTGGAAGGATGGTCAAAGGCAAGCCCCGGAGTTGCGAAGTGGACCAAGAAGACCGTCGGTCAGCATATCACTGTAGGTGGCCTCGGTGCTACTGCTGTTGGTACCCCGGTTCAGATTGCCGATGAGATGGAACGATGGGTTGCTGAAGCTGATGTTGATGGATTTAACTTGGTAAGACTCGATCCATGGTGCGAAACCAAATTTGTGATTCTAACCTGCTTGTATAGGCGTATGCTATTAAACCTGGTTCATTCAAGGACATCATTGAGCTTTTGATTCCTGAACTGCGCCGTCGCGGGCTATTCTGGGATGATTATGCAGTACAAAAGGGAACATACCGTGAGAACTTGTATTCAAAGCCGGGACAATCTGGTCCACCGTCAGACCACCCTGCGGCCAAGTACAGATGGCAAGCTGGGGTTGATGCCGAGGCACATCCAGTACCAGACAACTAGATTTGTTAGAGAACAAGACCCTTGCACCAACGGCCTTTCTGGGGGTCAAATGACATGAATTATTGCACTCCATAAATTTACATGTTTCGATTCAGTAGTGAAATTTCGTCCGTATAGATAACCGCGATGCTTACAGGTTGTGATATAGCAGGAACTTGAATGGAAGTAGTAGTAAGTCTTCAATATAATAAACTGTATGTAATATTCTTTTTGTGCAGGCCGTAAAGCTGCAAAGACCTCAAGACGATCTATTTTTTTTACAAACGCCAGAAAAATGCGATTTTTTGTACATGGCCACCAGGGTCAAGCCGTTCAAGTCAGCATATCATCTAGTCGTTCACCCAAAACACCTTCAATTTGCTTAACCCACTTCCGTACTTCTCTCTCAACACTCTCGTCCTCATCTTCCATAAGCTCGCTGATATATGGCAGCATCTCTGGAAGAAGTGCCAGCCATTCTTCACCAAGCTGTTCGGTAAGAGCTTGCTCCGCCTTCAGGGCAGCAAGGCGTGTGAAGGGGTTATCGCCACCAGCCGACTTCGCATTGGGAGCGGTGGAGGGACGGAGATACCTCATAAGGGCAGCGTTGATCTCCTTGTGGTTGTCGGTTGAATCAGCTGCAACAGCAAGCTCCGTGATAGCCGGAATAACGTCCTCAGCAACAGCATTTGTTGTTTTGGCAGTGGTTGCGTGAGCCAATTGTGAGATGAGAGGGCCAGAGATGGCGGTGAGATGGGAAGGAGATTGCCAGAATTCTGATATTGATTAGCGTATGAGCGGAGAGGGAAATGAGAGGGTTGGAAGATACCATCTTGATCATGTTCAAATGAGTTGCGCAGGGTGCGAAGAATTGCCAACCAGAGGGGCTTGGTGGCCTTGGCAGGACTGGCTGTGCCGAGAATTTGGACGACATTCTCCAAAATATAACTGGAGTAACCAGTGACGATAGACTAGGGTAATGGTAAGTATCACTGAAAATTGAGGATTAGAATGATTATTGCTTACCTGGAGAGTACCAAAGAACACTTGGAGGAACTTGTAGAAGGTCGTGAGGCGAGAAAGTTGACCTTGTTCATCTTTGGGAGCACCAGTAGTTGCCCAATCCACAATTCCACTGAAGAGTGGTCGGAATGTGCTATCGTTGAGTTTGTAGATCATCTTAATTGTCAAATCGTTCAAAGTTGTCTCTGCTGTATCCAGGTCGCTTGCATCAAATTTAGCGCGAGCGCCGAGGGCCACTTGTTCACGTCGCAAGTCGAATGCTTTGAAGAGAATAGTAGTGAGAACGCTAAGGTTATTAGAGACAGCCGATTTGGAGTTCTTCTCAACAGCAAGGCTCAAGGCATTCAAAACTTCGTTTGTGGCAGTTGGTCCAGCTTCGACCGCATGTTGCCAGTTCCGATCTAAGGCACCTAGGGTAGCTGCAAGGTCCATCTTGCGAGCGGCCATGAGTTTCAGGGTCTCCCGGCGACTATCTTCGCAAGTCTCCTCGAGGCTAGCAGTAGAAGACTTGAAGGACAGAAGGAGGATCTTGTCGAGGTTGGCAGCCGACATCATGAAAGGAAGGTGGTCAAGAAGAGCTGAGAACAACGAGAAAACAGCATCGTGCAAGCGGGATTGTTCCTTTCCGGGGACCAAGCTGAGTTCCAGCAAGTTGAACGACTGGTTAAGAGTATCTGGAAGGGCAGGAATCATAGACTGGCCCAGAACCTCAGCCATAGAAGCCAGGCAGAGGACACCCATGATACGGATGCGCGTATCATCAATGCTAAGGAATGATGGACTAGCAACGACCTTGGCGGCAGAAATGACCTTCGATGGATCTTTGCGACCATATTTCTCGGTGATGCGATCGACGCAAGCAACGGCAGCATGCTTGAGCATAGGGTCAGACGATGATTCAATGATCTTGACCAAGGTAGGCAGGAAGTCAAGGACCCGAATCTGGGACTCGCTATCGCGCTCAGGGTTTTGGCGTAGTCGGTTCTCCAACAGGCGAAGAACCTTGCGTCGGAGCTCATCATTGGGTTCTCGAAGTAGGACCTCGATCGTATCCAAGAAGTCAACGAGAGACAAAGTACCAAAGAGAGCACCAAGGACATCGCCACAGGCTTGGCTCACGGGCTTCATATGTTGCACTGATTCTCCAATGTTCAAGACTTGCCCAAGAACACGAGAGAAGCAAGCTCGAACTTGAGCTGCTGTCTCGTCATCATTCTCGAAAGCGGCTTCCAGCTTCGACTTAAGCGACGAATGCTTGAGCAAGTGAGCTAGGTCACGCAAGAGATCAACGCCAACCTTTTGGGGCTCACGGCCATCATCGCTTCCGATTCCGAGCAGAACCTGAGAGATTCCAGCCTTGGGTTGAAAGGCGTCGATGAGAAGATTGAGGTACTTGCTGTAGGATGTGAGCTCGGTGACAGGTGTAGCATCAGACACCAACCCAGTCATAAGTGTGAGAACATCCTTGTCATTGGAATAACGGTTGGCAAGCATGGCAAGAACGGCAAAGAGGAAGTCTTGCGTGCCGAGCTTCGTGATCAGCGCGTGGAAAAGACGCAGACGGCGATGGGAAGGAATGTGCTCAAATGCCGCAGTGAAGCTGAGCAATAGCTCGGAGGTTCCAGAAACAATATCCCGCTTCTGGCTGCGCAGCGACTGAATGAGCGCCGGGACAACGTGATCAATAGTCTGGTCGATAACCGAAACGGAATAGTCGTCGTCTTTACGAAGCACGCTAGTTCCCATGAAGGTGAAGATGGGCATAACGCTGTGGAGGACGAGCTCGGGCGCAATAACAGAGAGACCAGCAACGAGAAGAAGAGCAGCATTTTGCACCTGTGGGCTTTCTGTTGTTCGTACACAATCCACAACCAGATCAGCTCGAATAGCGGAAGTATCGAACAACGGCTTCGATGATCCCTTGGACTTGTTGACAATTGCCAATAAGCTACCCAATGTGAGGCTCAGAAGGTAACTCATGCCAGATTGGATTTGAGACTTGAAGTGATGAAGGGCAGCAAGAGTTTGGAACAGGCCAGACGCCAACTCAGGGTGAGAGTCAGGGGCGGAGCTATCGACAACTTCAAGAATGAAAGTCATTTTATCCATCAGCTTGCTGAACTCTGCCTCGTCCTTGACAGTCATGGCAACCATGTTATTTTGGCTGGTGCGTCTCCGCTTTGGCGCAGGGCCGAGGCTTTCGATATTGGTCAAGGAAACAGGGATTTTGTTCACAAAGCTAAGGAGAATGGGGCCCGAAAGCTCGACACTACGAAGCAGATCGCGACAGTTGTCTGCGAGAGAGACGTTGTCCGATAGACCCAGGGAGATGTCCAAAAGCTTCTCGGCTGCTGGCAATTGTGTTTCCTGGGGAATCTTACTCCAAACCTCCTTCATGCGAGAAAATCCAGCTGCCACAAAAGATGAACGCACGGACACGGGGCTCACGTTAGACAACAAAATCTCAATCGCATCACTGTCTCTCGAGGTAACAATACCAACAACTTCCTTTTCAGCATCAGAGGCAGAAAGACGATCGGATACGCAAATTTGCTCGACATCTTTCTGGCTCAAGCCACGCCAGTTTTGGAGCAAAGGAAGCAGTTCCTTGGCACGAGTGGTTCCCGGAACCTTCTTGACGCGGTTCAAAAGTCGCAGCAATCCAAACTTAGGACCATACGCAGACATATGAATGGCGTGTGAAGAAAGGCAAGTAAAAAAGGCAACACGAAGAGACTTTTTTAATTCAGAAGCACCGGAGTCGTCAGACAAGACGGATCCTCGCATCAAGGCATCAAGGACCTTGGCAATGTGGGTAGAATCCAAAATGTACTCTTCGAGCCCAGGGAGTAATGCGCGGTCCAGAACCTTCTGTACGTCACTGGATGACAGCCATGAAACACCGGTTGATTGCTTCCCTTTGCCGTAAATTTGATCGTGAGCCCAAGGCTTACCGGCGCTGTCACCCTTGCTCTTCTTGTAGATTGAGTTAACAAGTGCCAGAACCGCGGTGACTTCACGGCGAATGCGCTCTGATGGGTCCGCAAGGGCCACAAGAAGGAACGGCAACAGGGCTTGGGGATCGAAGTTGCCATCAGCTGATGATAACACAGAAGAAATGGCATTCAACGCAGCGATCTTAGTTCCCATAGGGTATGGCCCAGATAGAACACGAATGAAGAACGACAGGAACTGGGGTGTCTTGATTGCCTCAGCCTTGCCAAGAATTGGGAGGTCAAGAAATTGGGCAATCCGGGCCTCAGAGTCAACAGCGATAGCGAATACCTGGACAAGGTTGTTGAATTCTGGAATTGACTGTTTGCTCAGGAATGAAGATGGGAATTTAGGTTCCTTGCAAAGAGATTCAAAAGCAGGCGTGAAATGGTCGATGTCGCGATTGTCAACATCTTCCATCTCCACGTCTTCAATGACCTGAGGCTGAATGGGAGCTTCGACCACAGTCTGTAAATTGTGCTCCAATGCCGGGATGTTGAAAGATGATTCCGCAAGGACATTCTGGAAAATAGGCTGAAGGGTGTCAGATCGGCTAAATCCCTGGACCAGCTCAGAAAGCTGTGTTTGGTTTTCCAAAGACAAATCTCCAGTTTTTTCAGTATCGCTTGCGGCTTTCAGAACCATGCTCATAGCCTCCTTCATCTCCTGCTCTTGGAACACATTTTGTTCGAAAACGGATGACAACAGAGTGAGCTGCGAGTTATTCTTCTGCTTATCCAAATCGGCGACACAGCCAGAAACGAGAGCGAGCAGAAGCCTGGATGTATTGTATTGAGTTGCAATTTCTGCAAGCTGTTGTATAGGCCGCTCGAGGCGAATAATAGCCTTGAAAACTTTCTTTGGCAAGGAGGTTGACGGCTTTTGCTGAGCGAGAACGGCCAAACAAATCAATCCCGAGCTGAACGTCTCCTCTGTCCAGGAAGTAACCACGCTCTCCATAAGGCCATCCAGAACGTCTTCGGCAAGAGTCGACTTTTGAGCTAGAACGACAGAGACCATGTAGCAGCTGATTATCAGCTCTGACACCCTCTTCATGGCGAAACCGCTACTGAGTACAGGGAGCACCCTAATAATTATATCCTCATGTTTCTGCTTCTCAGCTTCACGGCGACCTGAGCGGGCAGCATCTAACATTCCCGCAACCGCCTCAGTAATGATACCGGCCCAAAAGGAAAGAAGTGTATGGCTATGCGCCCCTTGCTGACAAGTTTTCAACACATAGTTATTCAAAGCGGCGAAAAAGGGCTTGTTTGTAGTAGCGCTATGAACAATTGGGTGTCTTGGGGGGTTGATTAAACCAGTCTTGTAGGGGTAGAACACTTTGAATGTCGAGGTAAGATCGGCAGGTAAAATGGAGAGTAGGTTCAAGAAAAGCGGAGTGGTATGATATGGTAGAAAAGAAAGGATCATGTAGGCCGTGTTATATTCATGGGATCTGTGTCCATTAGTTTTTCTTCCTGGGAGAATATCTTTTGACGTTAAACTGCTGGGACGTACCTAAATCGTCTCACCAACCAATCCACCGCTTTGACTGCCGGACTAAGCTGCAGTCTGCCTCCAACAAGAGACAAGAAATTCTCAATCACTGTGTCTAATTCCTGATTTTGAGAAGCATTCATCTGTGTCCGATCTTCGGCCTTGCTCTGTTCACTGAAGAGCGTGCGCCCGAATTCCTCAAATCGGCTATCCAGAGAGCATAGCTCCCGGAAGCCTTCGAAACAAATATCATAGACGGTATCGAAATCCTGGGTCCCAGCAACTTTTTGGTCAAAGATTAGAGACTGTGAGTGGGCGATTCTCTGTCTCTTCAGATCAAGCTCGTGGGTGGATTTTGCCGCAATCTGCGACAGCTGCGCGGCGAGAGAAGAAGCCATTGTGCGAAGTGATTAATCTGCCTTTACACAAAATCACTACAGGCCATCTCTTAGTCCGGGTGCTGCTTAAGTGTTGTTGTGCAGAATGCCCTGGTGGGGAGTTGATTGCGCAGTCCGTGAACATTGGGATCGCAACTTTTTTTTCTTTATCACCGGTTTCCGCCCACCGCCTGCCACATCAGGTTTAAGGTTCTGCCGTCCTTTTTGAGCTTGATAGATCGATAACAAAGATCCAACCGTCCTTGAAGATGAATTTGTCTGATTCCAAGGTATTTAGTCTCTTCCTTAAGCTTTGGTTAATGTGTTCTGACTCCATAGGTTAGGACAAGCAGTCCGTCCCTAAATTCAGCAGCTTCAAACCGCCCCCGCCGGCCTCTGACGGGCGAGCGCATTCCGTCCACCGCCATCGCAGCACTCGTGAGCCTGAGTCTGATCGCTCCAAGCACAGCAGTCATCGCGATCGCTCTGAGTCGATACGACGATCAGACAGGGCAGACCGCGAGAAATATCATGAGCGCAGCTATAGTTCACGTCGCCATCGCCATGAACCTTCCGACCGTCGTCACCAATCGACTACACATTCCCAGTCCAGCGAGCACCGTTCCTCTAGCTTGAACCTTCGACCCACCGGAACCATCCAAGCCAGCAAGCCATCGCTCGAGTCTTCTACTCAAACTGGACAGTATGAAAGAAGTGAACAACAAGCGGCGCCATCCTTGACTTTGCCCTTCTTCATTGATCTCAAAGCTGACGAAGGCATCCGCAAGTATGGGATTAGCAACAAATGGGACATTCCAAATTACCGTCGATCCGGCGGAGGCTATGTCCTTGGGATGGGACTAACTCATAAGATTGACCGTGATCAGTCAATGGGAGATTATGTGGTTCTGCGCCCAGCAGCTCAAGCAGACTCTTCGAGGAAAATGGTGTCTAAAACCCCCCTCTCCGAGGTATCTAAGCTGCCGCCTCCCGAGTTTCGGATTGCCCTCAAAGGGCATTCTCAGCTAGATTCGAATGCCGATTATGTTTCATTTGACACAGATGACTGGGGTGAGTCTCCCTTCTATCGATTCGAACTATCTAGACATGAATTCCGTGAAGAGTATGAGAGATGCTAACTGGAATGTACGATGTCTAGATCCAGAGACAGAGACCGATCGAGAACGGGCCGAAGCCATCGACCTCGACGCCGAACGAAAAGCCCGTAGCGCAATTCTTTGGAAAGCAGTTCAAGATAGCCCCGAGGATGTTGGCGCTTGGCTCCGTTTACTTGACCATCAGGATATGTTAATTCTTGGGCCACGGGACGAATCTCATAGCCTAACGAGAGACGAAAGACACAGCCTTGCAGATGTGAAGCTGTCTTTGTGTGAAAAAGCTCTTGGAAAGATTGGCGAAAGCCCCCACAGAGATCGTCTTCTGCTCGAGAGATTACAGACTGGGGCGCAACTCTGGAGTTCGCAAAAATTGTCGGAACAATGGAAAGCAACCCTACATAAAAACCCGCAGTTTATCAACTTGTGGGTGAAATATCTTGACTTTTCGCAAACAGACTCACCAGACTTCACGTTCCAACACTGCCTAGCTACCCATAAGGAATGCTTGAGAATTGTCGCGTCTGCATCTTTGGCGGACTCTAGCGTTCAAACATATGTATTCATTCGCCTCACGATCCTGTACAGAGAGGCTGGCTATTACGAGATTGCTATTGGTCTCTGGCAGGCTGTATTGGAATTCTGCTGTTTGAAACCAGCTTCGATTGATAGTGTGGATGTCGCGTTGGGCTTGTTCCGCGAGTTTTGGGAGACAGAGTCGCCTCGGATTGGAGAAGAAGGCGCAAAGGGCTGGAATAGTGAACAGAAACCCGACGTTGACCCCATAAAAACCGAGTATTCGACCCAATTGGACTCTTCCTCAATTCTGCAGTCTTGGACAGAAGCCGAGAGGGAGCGGATGGGCAAATGCCGAAATCCAGCTCGCAGTCTAGATGGGTCAGATTCTAAGATCGACGATCCGTACCGAGTCGTTCTCTTTTCTGATCTCGCTGAAATTTTACCTCTATTTGGAGGCTTCACCAACTCAGATGAGTTGATTGATGCCTTTTTGTACTTCAGCCAATTACCACACCTAGCATCTCCCAGCAATCTCCAATCCACTCGGCTATGGAGTGGAGATAACTTCTTGCGCAATGAGTTTGTTGAGGATAATCGTTTCGACATCCGTTGTTGGCAGCCTCCTTATGTGAAACAAGATGACAATTCGCCATTCAAGGAAATCGAATACCCAGTTGATGAGCAAGACGAGTGCAGGCCAGCTCTGCCGTTCTCTTATCCCCTTCAAAACTATCTACACAGCACCGAAACCTTCTTCGCCGATCCAACCCAATGGTTCTACTCATTTCAATGGTGGGGTGAATCTTGCTCAGTACAGCTACAGCCCGAAAGACGCGAATGGGCCCAGCGCACCTTACAACTTTTTATCGGTAGGCACCCGGAGGATGAAGAATTGGCTGAGTATTCTCTAGCTTTCGAATTCACTTGTAATCCCGTCATGGCAAAAAAGATGGCAAAGAGGCTGCTGAAAGATAGATCCTCTATGTTAAGACTGTGGAACGCCTTGGCCATGATGGAGGCGAGAACCAATAACAACGAAAAAGCAGTACAGATATGGACAACTGCTCTCGCAACCAGCTTCAAGTGGAAGGAGCCCGCGAAACAAATCCAACGGAGCATCCTTTGGCAATCTTGGGTTTGGTATTACATTGAAAAAGGAGACGATACGGCCGCGTCGTACATCTTACACAGCATCGCCGACGAAAAGATAGATCCGGCGAAGATCCCACAAGTCGGCCAGCAGCCTCCAGTCTTCAGCCCGACCGATACAGTCAGAGTCCAAAGACTTCTCAGTGCATCTCAAGAAGATGCCTTGTTCCTTAGGAATCCCCACGCATATGTTGCATCGAGCGACTGTATCGCACTCATTTACTATCTAATGGGTTGGCCCTTCAACACAGCCGCAGACATATATGACAACGCCGTCTCAAAACTTAAGCAACTCCCCTCGGAACTCGAAGATTTCAAAGCTTTCACAGCCGAACTCCTCCACCAAGCTCGTGCAAGACTCTTCTATAGGCATATGCATAGGGACCCCCATATGCGAACGTGGAAACCAGTGGAATTCCGCGACAGGCTCAGAGAAAGCATCACACTATTTCCACATAACACCATGTTCTCGACGCTTTGCATGTGGAATGAATCTCGGATGCTCCGCATCGACCGCCTTCGAAACCTAGAAAGTTTTACCACACAAGACTCCAACCAGCGGTATCAGATAGATCACATGGTATCTACCGCGCTTCTACCCCAGACCATCGCAATTTCAACATATCTTCTCCCGATCTGGGCCGAGATATCTACTCGTGGAAATAACAGCGGCGAGTACTGGGTTGTACGTCCATTGTTTGAGAAAGCTCTTGGCGAGGTCCTTAACCCCACTGATTTTCGTGCGGGAGATGCAGCTGTGCGGGCGCGCTTTGGTGAGAATAGCGCCAGGTCCAACCTCACTATCTGGAAGCTGTATATTCTTTATGAATTGTATCGTGTGAAAGATCTTGCAGCTGCCAAGTCTGTGTTTTTCCGCGCTATTCAGGCCTGTCCGTGGTCCAAGGAATTAATCATTTTTGCTTTCGAACATCTCCGTGGTGACATGCCGGACCTTTCTGGGGCCATGGTTGGTAAGGTTGAAGGACTCAGTGTCGAGGAGCTTAGACGCTTGTTCCTCGTTCTGGAGGAACGGCAGCTAAGGTTGCACTTGAACATCAAGGACGAGCTCGTAAGCCAAGCTGCCGAAGGGCTTCAGGCTGATGAGGAGATGGAAGATGCTCCGGCAATGGAGACTTAACTGTCTCATTATGTCGAGCAGATGAAGTGACTCTACGATGAAAATAGGAAAAGGAACAACTCATCTATGTATAATAGTCTACAGGCAAGAAGGAGCGAGTGAATGAACGAAAGTTACGAAATAATTTCATATCATATAGTATAAGTAGCTTTTGACGACACATCGGGTATCATCAACTATAGTACAGGACAAACAACTAGTCCAACGTATGTATACTCCAGCAACAAGATACCTGAGTTCAAAAGATCAAGTCAAACATGAAGCTAGTAGGGACAAGAAAAGAAAAAAAAAGAAGAGACTCATCAACTCATGAGATCAAATGTGATGCCATTCACAGCACAAATGACACAAAAACAGAAAGCAAAGCGCGAACAAAAGGCTAGAAGTGTTCCTTCCAGAACTTGAAACGAATATCTTTCGTCGATGCAGCCTTGGCAGCATCATCAATTTGCCTGGCCGCAGTATTAGGCCCGCAAAAGTACACACCAATCTCCGTACTAGACGAAGTCTGCAAACCTGACATGTAAGTCTGATCAAGCAATCCATGGCGCATAGCAGTGAACAAGCGTTTGAAATCCGGGCGACCGAAATTTGTCCGGCTTCGCAATTCAGTAAGCGGATCAAGTGCCTGGCCGACGGAATTTAAGTAAATATTTGCGGCAGTGTCTGCGTCCAGCCTCTGCGTTAGATAGGTATGGATACGCAAGAACTCCGTACTACCATCGGCTGAAGCAGCGCTTGCAGATTGGGCCTCCAGGGATGAGAGAAGAGCCTGGAACCATTCAAAGGACGATGTATCTTTACAAACCCAGATGAACTCCACTCGGCGTAATCGACGAGGCGGATTCGGGCCTGATCGTAAATGCCAGATGTTCTTCAGGATAGAGGCCCAGGGAGTGACACCTATTCCAGTTCCGATAAGGACAGCAATTTCGTTCTCGAAGACATCTTCGGCTGGAGCACCATAGGGCCCATCAACACGCATGTTCGGCATGGTTTGTCCATTTTGAAGGGCAACCTCATACATTCCGTTTGGATCGAGACCTTCAAGATCCTTGGCCTGGGCAGGACCACAACCAAGCGCATCTCCGAGGTCTCGAGTAAAATCTCCGACTTGGCGGACATGAACACTAACGTAGGGATCAAAGGGACATGAAGTAATGGTAAACGGATGCCATTGAGTCGTTGAAACATCGGGTACTTGGAGGAAGAGCCATTGGCCTGCTTTGTATTTCATGCTAGGCTTTTGAAACTGGATCTCCATGGCGGCTGTTTAATGTTAGCAATGAATTACTTCAAAAAGACCAGGACCAGAACTTACCATATGGATGGCGAATGACCTTGGTGATCACAGTCCCCTGTCGAGACCTGATCTCACGGTACAATCGCTCAAATATGTACAGGAACGCCGCCACGAGCTCCCACCTCCACCCTTCATATCCTAGACAATGGCCCCAGAACTTCTTTCCAGCGAATGGGGAAATTGGCTCCACGCTATCTCGAACAAAGCATCCAGTTGCATGCGTGTATAAAGCAAGCATAAACGGAATAAACAGATGGTGAGTATACCAAAAGGTTTCGAATGCTTGTTGTCGAATTCGCGCATGAGCGGTGGTGTAAATGAGTAGCATGCATAGTAACATGACATGGCCTGTGATACCAGCGGCACTCTTGTAATGAAGTTCAATCGCAAGTACGGGGCGGATCTGGTCTTTTTCGATATTGTAGAAACTGGGAATTGATTAGCATCTGTGACTTCCGAGGGTACAATAGCGTAGAGCATACTTGACATAGTGCGCTGCGACGTGAAGGAGAGTGAAGAATAGCATCGCATAGGCTACCTGACGATGAAACCATGCAGATTCATCAAGAGGAAGCCACCTAATCTGGGGTCGGATCCATCGAAGAACATTCCGACACATAGGAAGAAGAATCAAACTTGCGTCTATGGAAAGCACCAAACCTGCTCCTCTGGAAATCCAGACGGAGTATCTTAGTACGTTAAGCGCCGCTAACCTTGAATCTGATTCTTGTGCATACCTGCATCTTCAAGTTAGCGACTCTAATAATTCCATCTCTTGACTCGATCACAAACATACCATCCTGCCGCAAAAACGCCAAAGTGTGCGATCCAAAACAACACATAGAACCCCACCTTGGAAACCGTGACATCATGTCTTTTGAGCCAAGTTTCATTAGATACGACCATCCTGTCGAAAAAAGGAGATATTGTCGGCCAGCGACAATAATAGAATGATTATTGAAGGAGCGACGAGCAAGATAGGTTGACCAGCAACCTAGAGCTGTTGATGAGAAGCCTAGTGTGCGTAATCCGCGAAAGCTCCCTTTGAAAATTTCGATTCGGTTGCGATCAAGGATTAAATGATATCCTGCTAAATAGGAGATGATTTCGTCTTGGACTTTGCTTCTCCATGAACTTCGCCCCCGGATAAGACCCCGCTGAATAACAAAATGAATCCGACTTCGTGAGGTAAATCAGTAATGCCTTAGCCTGTACAAGTGAGGAATCCAGTTCTCGATATTCAAGACAAGGGCAGCGAATTCGGTCGAAAACACCGCACACGAAAATATGGCAGAGTTGGCGGGACTAGCGGCGCACATGTGCGATTCATGCAGGATGCGGGAAATATTTGCGCCTCGCGAACGTGGAGACTTATTTTAGATATATGGAGTGAAATGGTGCAGACTCCAGGTGACTATATTCATGGCGTGTATTGCAAGTTGGGGATAGGTAAAGGCGAGCTTGAGAATGGCTGGAGGTTCAGAAATCCCAGCGTTGTGGTTTGAGCTGCAGGGGTGGGAAGGAGAGGGGGGGGGGGCCGATCTATAATTACGTCGGTTTCCACTGCCAACCGAGAGCGAATGAGTGGACGATGGCCCAATGAACTAAATTCTACCCCGTAAATGTCTGTGCATTTTTCTATTCTGTGTCTCCTTCTACAATAACAGGGCCATGGCCTCTTTGTAAGATGTGATAGGGAGTGGATTTATGGGCCTAGTGGTTCCCCCATTGCTGTATAGAGTTCATTGCACTTCTTCGATTCGTACAATTGCTATTTCAAGCCCGCAATTCTCGTCAAATACTACTCCGAACGTTTGTTCAATATATCTTAGTGCCTTGGCGATTTCTTTTTTTAAAAATAGCCTCTTCTTATCGCGATGGTCTTTGGGGAAGGAAGATCAACCCTGACAATGTGGCGCCAACCTCGCTGAATCCAGTTCAAGCATGATGAACTTGGACGCGCAACACTTACGGATTATGCAAAATACGAAAACGTGGTGGATCATCATCCATATGCATTGATGTAATTACGAGGAGAGCGAATCATAATAGATTAAACCGCCGTGTGCATCTATGGATCCTGACCATGTCCCCAAGGTCCGTTTCTAAAATTGGCCCATCACCCTAAGACTCCGATGGTTTAGTTCAACATGGGAAGGAAGAATCGCTTCGTACGCTTCCAAGGATGGTGAATGGTCAGCGCCAAATGAAGCCAAGGTCAAACTTTACTGTGGAGTCGGCCTATCAGAGTCCATCTGCAAGCGCTCGATTCTCATCACACGAGAATTCTGGGGCAGGGAGGAGTCGGTGAAGCATGTCATTCGGTTCGGGAATATCCTGCGAGTCCATATCCCAAATATAGATTTTGTCAAGGTTTTCACAAGGCTAGAAGCAAAAGGGAGCGGGTTCATGGAGTGATTCCTGGCTTTTGACTATGGTTATCTGTGTATACGCTCTATTTCCGAACTCCGTAAATGATCGCTCGTCTTTTATCGTCTTTTATCGCTGAAATTGGACAGAATTGACCCACCTAGCACTACCCCATCATCCTTTGGGCATCACCAAGCTGCTCATCACTTTGAATATCCTTATGAACCAGTTGTACTCTATATGGGTTGCGCAAAAAGCGGATGTGAAACCAGGAAGCCCCAGGGTATACACTGTATTGTGATAGGATCCACTGCTCAAATGATCTTCTGATAGGGCAAATTGTAAATAGACCCAGTTATCTAGGATATTTGGATATTGTCTCCGATGCTATGTACGGAGTACGCATAGAAGCGCCACAAAGAAGAAGAAGATAAAAATACAATTCGCAAGGTTTAGGAGGATACGAGAGAGACAATTTCCCAGCCACTCGAAATCCTACGATTCGAATTGTGTGTGAAACTCCATCCTCGCTGTCCCGGCAGCGCGTGCTTCGAGCTGCATCTAATCACGCCAAGCCTCGCGTCGGCGCCTCCTGATAGGTGTGCACCGACATTAAGACCCGCCCCGTCACATCCCCATTCCCCCAATCACAGCGGGTCGTGCTCTCGTGAAGAAAACCCGAAAGGAGGGGAACGTCGAGGACTAGGGAACTGGAGCATAGTGATTGGCCCGCAGCGCTTAATCTACATCCGTGCGGATCACGATGAGGCCTTGTTTTTTTACTCCGGTCTCCATACCGAAGGCATTGAATGGCCCAGACGTGCAGCGGTCACTTTTTTGGCGCCCAGATGTCACATCTGTTCACCAAGGTTCCGTTCCGTCCATCTTCACCGTGGCGACCAGACACTAAGTATAGATGCATGTCCTTTCCCCCGCCTGCAGGACAGAGACTGTCTTATCAGGATTTTGCTAGTTTTCTTCCTCCGATCAAGTCAGCCATGCCAGCGCAATAACCCTAGAACCTTCAAGTGCAGCACTTCTCCGCACCATCCCACCCACACCTGACTTTCATTTCCTCTGCTTTATGCCTGTTTAAACCTTTGGGCTGCAGTTGGGATCGTCGCGCTGAGAACAAAAGACAGCAAGTTTTCTGTCGCAACGGAGTCGCTTTGCGAGCGAGTACCGTACTCAACTCCCCCTCTATCCTCACAATCAAGTTGCTCGCTGGTCGAGTCAACTTCATAATACGACAAAATGGGCCGATTGATCAAGAATCACTGGGGTCGTCTAATTATCATGGCCGCATCAGCTTGTAAGTGTCACATTCTACTATATCCTAATGAATTTCCAGCGCTAACCTGCTCCGACACATAGATCAAATTGCCAGTGCTATTGAAGGCTTCATCTGGCCCAAAGTCTTCTGGGATTTCATTTCCAAGAATCTTGATGCTGCAGTCAACCCAATACCCGTTCTACAAATATTAAACCTGATCATGGGCATCATTGGGCTCGCATGGGAGTGGCCGTTAAAACCGCTGGCGGGTACATTCCCACACCGCAGCATTGAAATCCGACTCATCATATATCCACTCAGCGCTTTGCTCGCAGCGCTACTATATCAAGGCACCGACCCTGCGGGATATTATCTCATAGGGATTGCCGTTTATTTCTGGGCCTATAGCGAGGGGGAGGTCGTATGTCCTGAGCCATGGACATTACCGAAACGATCAATGGTCCTCAAGGCATAGCCAATAGTTCGTTCGGTTCGATACATTGATTGTATTGGACGCAGATCATGTAAATATGTAGTAATGACTTATAATACCCAATGAAGCATTGATTTGAAGACAAATAATCAAAAATCTTTTTTCCTCCCCATCTACTAGCTTGATTACTTGGGCATCTCCCCACCCGGAGTATATATTGCTTGCAACTGACAAGTGTTAATCGAGTTTTTCCATAGAAGCTTAGAAAAAGAATACAATAACTATTTCACATGTATTTTCAGGTCGAAGCTGCAATTTCATCCAAAATAGAGAAGAAAAATTCATAATGTTCATGTTCATGGTGATGGCGCATACAAGTAGATCCATGCCTGGTTTCCAAGGCACCCAATGGCCACAATACACGTGACTCTGTCAATAATCAATTCGCCACTCCAAGTTCATCTTGACATATCAACCATATTTAATCCTTTTACCTTAATGATCTCAGGCTAAATTTAGCTCAAGGATTAGACTAATACACAACACTAATACTAGATTGGAATCAGCAAACAGTGATCAAAATGTCCTCATCTTCCCATGAACAACCTAAATCACAGACCGATTCCATTTCAGACACAGAACTCGACGACATAATGCCTATAAATAAGGTCACAAGCTTCCATGGAAGACTAAATCACTTCATAAATCCAACAGCCTCACCCAAAACACCACACCACAACCAACCTCCACCATCAGACAAAACAAGAATGAGCGACAACACAAGTAACATCTTCGATCCCCGAAGCCCCAAACAACCCCAACTCCCAATAACATCACCTATTCCGAGTCCAACACAACGCATAGTAACACGCTCTCACACGTCCTCACTCCAACTACCACGAACACCCCCACGCCCACTGGCACTGCCACTTGCTCAAACACCCTCACGCTCACCAGGTCCAATCCGCCGCGCAAAACGCAGACCTACAACCCCATCCGACAGTCCACCCGCCTCAAGCTCTCTCCTCCGCGACACAATCCCACCAAACCTGATCCTCCTCCTCGTAGGCGTAAACCCAGGCCTCCAAACCGGAAGCACAGGATACGCCTACGCCCACCCCACAAACCTTTTCTGGCGCTTCCTCCACTCATCAGGCATAACAAGCCTCAGACACCAACCAAGAGATACATACGATCTACCAGACCTCTACAGCGTGGGAAACACAAACATCGTTGTCCGTCCTACGCGCGATGCACAAATGCTCAGCAAGGCAGAAATGGACGAAGGCGTATCTATTCTCGAACAAAAGATTGCAGCGCAGCGGCCTGAAGCGGTTTGTCTTGTGGGTAAAAGTATCTGGGAGGCTGTGTTCAGGGTTCGGTATGGGCGAGCTATGAAGAAAGATGAGTTTCAATATGGGTGGCAGGATCCAAGTGAGAATATGGGACGTCTTCCTGGTGTGGAATGGAAAGGAGCGAGGATTTTTGTGGCAACTACTACGAGTGGACTTGCGGCAGGGATGAGTCTGAAGGAGAAGGAGGGAATTTGGGCTGAATTGGGGGCTTGGGTTGTTCAATGTAGAGCTGAGAGGGGGATTGGAGGGATTCAAGTTGGAGTGGATTCTGGTGCTGGAGCTGGAGCTTGAGCTTGAGCTTGCTCGTGTACTGTTGAGGTGTCTACGTCATTAGTTTATGACGATCATTAGATTCTGAGTTTCACGAATCTACGACTCTTCTCCATGACCATTGAATATTGGAATAATTGTAATATTGGTATTTGGTATTTGTCACGAGCTCTAGCTCGTCTCGTATCTCATGATATCCATTCATAAAAATCCCCGCCACTGCGCAGATGCAATACAACCCGAAAGGGAAGACACGAACTCCCTGAGGAGGTAATATTTCTCCCCTTGCATGATTCAATGGCTCACCAGAGCATCTCATTTCTGAAATAGAAATCGGTAGGTAGATTGGTGCGGGACTAGTCCAGTCACGCCAAGGGAAGGGAAGAGAAGTGTGAATAAACAGCTCCGAGATAGTAGTCGGACAGGAGAGAGGGAGTATGGATAGCGTATCCATTCCCATTCATAGGTAGGTGAACAAAGGGAGATTACCGGCCGATGTTGGTGCCCTTGGAGTCGTTCTTGCTGCCCTCACGCTCACGGTTCTATTGCACTTTAGTATCATGTGAAAGGATAGGAAGATGAGAAAGATGAGTTATGAGTGAAGAACATACGGTGTTGGATTGGTATTCTCCACCCTCGAGGATCTTAGCCATGACCTCATCTTCGTTGGAGGTACCGAACTCATTCTGAAGAGCAGCTTTGCTGGCAGTGTCCAGGATACCCTGAGCACCGTGGCTGTAGGAGATTGTTAGCTACATGTGTCCTTGATGAAGAATGAGAAAGTAAACATACCTGTGAGAGACCAGAATCTTCCAGCCGTTCAAAACATCAGCCAGGGCGATGCTGCGGTCGGTCTTCCACTTCTGCAGGATGTCAAGGTCGTCAACGAAGACAATGAAGTCCTCAGACTTGCCCTTGTAGAAGACCTTGTGAGCGGTATCGTTGGCGCGAGGCATGGTGAATTATTATTTTTGATTGAAGTTGAAGTTGAAGTAATTCAAGAGAAGGTAGAATTGATCAAGAGAAGGTAGAATTGAGATAGGAAGTGTGGTTCAAGAGAAAGGAGAAAATGGGGAGCTTTAAAGTTGTGGATGATAGTATATGACGTCAGGAGCTGGCTGCTATAGGCAATGCTCGTGTGTCATGGAACATGGGCTGCTCCCTGCTTCCGACGTCATTTAACCAGTAAAAAGCCACTCCACTGGGGTTAATAATAGTGGGGAATGTGGAATGATGAATGGAATCGATTTCATTCCTTACGTTTCGCCAAGCTAATAATAATATGTTTTGAAGCAATAATATGTTTGATTGCTTCATACAGCCCCTCATGCACCCCACTTCCAAGCGTCAATAATCGATCCTCCCTCCACCTCAATTGCCCCCTGGCTCACCACGGGACCGAATAATATTCTTCGGGGATAGCACACTTAACAGGTTTATCGGTGTGCCCCATTTCCTACGTGGAGACATCTCGCCATCTTTCTCTTTCACTTTCTCTTGTTTTGAGCGCTTTTCCTTGCGGGACAAAGAGCCCGACTTTTTGGGTGTATCTCTAAATCGAAGAGTCTTTGAACGCCCCACGGGCGATATAGGCGTGGCTGTCGGCGTTTTGGGTGATTCACAGTCCCCTCCATGTAAGGGCTGGTCGCTGCACCTATCCTGTGCCGTGATTAGGCCTTTCTCCTCGCCATCGTATTCGTCGACAGACTGGGATTCAGTAACAACAGGTCCGGAGTGCGAAGTGCTGACAGAGCTAGACCGTTTGATAAATCCCGCACGGAAGCTAAGACGTCTCATGATCGACCCACGGCGGAAAAGATCCCCTCGACCAAGAACCATACCAGGGTATGGTAGCACATCCCGCGTATACACGTCCGAGATCAGTTTCTCCAATCGAACCCTGTCCATTCGCCTTGCAGTGACAGTCCATGAACCGCGCATCCCTGGGGTTTTGAGACGCTCAATTTCGCCGGCGGAACCGGTTGAACCCGAACCGGTCGACTCATCGTAGTTGTTTGGACAATGTGTCCTCCGGATGACTATTTGCTGGATATTGTATTTTCGTGAAACTGCCATGGATTCCATTGACGATCTTCGCGGCAGAGACGCCACTGTATATTGTGGTCTATCCAACGCGACAAGAGGAAGATTCAACAGAGAATATCTGCGAGGATTCCAATTACCTCCCGGTGCCGCCATGTTGACCAAAGCTGCTGATTTTAGCAATAGTTCTGTCGTCCATTGCTTTTCCTCGATGGCCGTAGCTGCACTGAGAACAAACTCGAAGTTCTCATCCTGTTCTTGAAACAATATTTTCCATGAAAAAGGACAACCGTAACAATTTAGACCTGAAAAGTTAGATTTATCCAACTATATTGAGCCCAAGTGCACAACTTACCACGTCCATTATGCACGGTGTCCGACTTCAAATCGTTAATATAAATACAGGCGATAATATCCAGTCGGTTGGATTCGTCGATGTTTTGAGCAAGAAGTAAATAATAATTGAACAAGACGCAAACCATGAATTCACCGGCCGTATGCGCTGAGGTGTGGTAGGTGACATGAAGAACTCCGCACATTGACATTGGACCAAGGTCTCTGTAAATATCTTGTAGCAAGGACTGTTTTCAAGGCATGGCATAATTAGCAATCGTTATGAGGCTTTTTAGAATGAAGTCATCAAATACCGAATCATCAAAACGGATTCTATCTTGTAATATAAGAGTCTTTTGGATGCGATCTTTGTTGACTGGGTTTCCAGTCGCCGAGTTTATACTCGCCACCTGAACGCGTAGGTTGTCCAATATATTCATCATGACTTCCCGAGAAGTTGGACAGTCCGCAACGTCGGTGTTTCGGTTGAGGTCTTGGAGGAGGAGGGGGTATTTGCACAAGCGTTGGATGGGCTATGTCTTGATCAGTATGAAGAGAACAAAGCAGATACACGCGCCGTATCAAACCTTGATCATCAAATCGTTCATCGTCATCGATTTGTTATCCTCATATCTGCGACTATTCGTAGAAGCGACAGACTTTGACAATGCCTCAATACCCTGATCATACACTGACCAATTTGGGATCGATCGCCGCAAAATCGCTATATCCTGGGAAAGTAGCTCATAGTTCCCGCAAAATTCCTCATATGCCGAAAAGGACGCCGACTGGTGAACTTTTAGTGCTGAGCTCTCTAGGCAACATGAACATTCACAAAGCTTACCAAGTTTCCAAGTTCGCATGCTACTTCGTAAACTTCGCTTGGCTCTGCGATAAGGGATCGGCGACGCTGCTTCATGTCTGATTTAAACCTGCGGGTCCGCAAAGACCTATTCTGCAACCCTTTTAGCCCTGGTAGATCGATATTGCCTAGTCGTCTCGACAATCCACGAGTGGTAAGATCTAAAACTTCATCTGGAGTTTCAGAGAACGACGAAGGAGAGATTTCGCGAAGCCTGTTTAAGAACTGCTCATGGATCTTGTGGATTTGCTGAATGTTATGCTGAATCAGAGTTCGGGTGTTGAAAATGGAGAGAACCTGAAAACCGACCATTAGCATACCAGACCGTCAGAAACTCCATTACTAGTACTTACACCAGTCAGGGCTTTAAGACCTGTGACATAGTCATCCTCCGTCTTGACCAGTTCCCGTAATATCAGCCGTCGCTTGCCCGCCCGTTCTTCCGCTTTTTCATCCATGTAATGTCTGGTTGATGGTCGAGAGCTATCTCTTGAGATTCGCGCATCAGACATCGCGCTCTGAGTGGTGGTGCTATGAGTTGTACCTCTGGATCTCGTTGCAATGCTCAAAGTGGTGGTCTTAACCGTTCCCAAATATGAGCGCCGGGAGCTTCTCTCCGACTGGGAATCCTGCACTGGGATTAGAGGCGGCAGGAAGTCTGCTGGAGGGAAAGAAATATCTGCATCTTGGGGTGAAGTTGGATTTTCCTGAGATTCATCAGACCAGCCTTCCACAGCCCTCTGAGGGATCTTCGGCGCGGCCGGTTTGCGAAGAATATCCACCCATCTTTTAAATGGGGCATGAGCCGATGCCAACAGCGTTGATGCCTTATCCTTGACGCTGTCCTCAGCTAACTCCTCATCAAGTAGCTTTTCGATCTCTTCATCTGTGTCCTTATACTCCATAATGTAGCTCCAACGCGACGTGCTGATTTGGCATAGAGACAGGAGTCATGAAGATTGACGACCAGGGTGAGCGACCCCAATCGTACCACACAGAGCATCCGAAACAAGACCAAGCGTCATGATTTGGCAGTTGCGAGGGACGGGATGCTGAGAGGGAAAGAAAGATGTCTTCACAAAGACAACGTGTTTCTCTCCGTTCTTTCTCTCTGTAGAATAACGCTTCATCCCGGTTGCCACAGAAGGAGAACTTTGCAACACAGAGACATTCATATCGGCTTCAGGCAGCTGTTGTGCAGAGGAACCGTCCAGTTGAATCATATCCATGTACATCATGATTGGAAGGCAGCTCAATAGGTGGAATTGAAATTTATTATCAAATTCGGTTTTCAGGACTGAAACCTGCAGGGGTTGAATGATCATTTGTAGGCGAAGATATGTACGCTCCGGAACATTAAACAGGGATCTCAAAAGTCATCGGAAGTACCTGCTGTAATAATTACCATCAATATTGCAATTATAAAAATGTAAGACAAAATACACAAGGCATGCCAGTGGATGTATGTATATCGCTGTAAGATGTTGGACGCGGCTACCATGGCGCTTAGAAAGCTGCCCCACTTCTTCCATTTACAATCAACTGATCTTCTCTTTCTCCCCCACCTTCTGTGTCTCGCCAGATTCCCCGATGAGATAATTTCAGTCATGGGTGATAATATTCATGCTCCCACAGTGGCCTCTGGGCCGACATCTGGACCCGTTCAACGCGACTGGTCGAAACTGTCGATGCCAGACCTGATGCAAGAGAAGGAGAAGATTGAGGGAGAGCTCTCGGCGCTCAGCACAGTCCTCAACTCAGTGAGCTATTCACTCCACCCACCTTGAATTTTAGGACCTTGGCTAACTAGATCCAATATCTCTAGCATGGAGTGACTATGAGATCAACCTTGACCACCTTTGACGGCTTCCCTCGAGATGACATTGACATTCCTCAGGGTACATGAGAAAGCACCATTTTTTGGACCGTGCCATTGCTGAGAAAACCGAAATAGTGCGAGCTACACGCGTCCGAATGATACATCTTCAAAACGACCACAAGGAAGTGATGCAATACCTGGAGAAAGGCATTCATGCCCATTTCGCCCAACTACAAGAAGCCCAGGCCTCCGCAACAACCAATGGCACTAGCGTACCTTCTACCGCATCACCAGTAGCTCCCCCGAGCAGCGTTACCGACCCCAGCGCTCTTGAAACACCATTTGCGAAGGTCAATAGCGTGGAACCACGGAGCCCAGCCGACCAAGCAGGTCTCCAGGCAGGCGACTTGGTTCGGGGCTTCGGAAGTGTCCATTGGTTAAACCACGAACGCCTCTCCAAGGTGGCTGAGGTTGTACAACAGAATGAAGGGGTATGTTGGGCTCTACTTGTTCTTCGTATTGCTGCATGAGGGATTCACGCTAACGGTCATCATTGCGCCAGCGGGCGGTCTTGGTTAAGGTATCGCGCAAGGAGGAGGGTGGGTCACAGACCACAGAATTAGAACTGCAGCTGACTCCTCGGCGCAATTGGGGAGGTCGGGGTCTTCTGGGATGCCATTTGGTTCCACTGTAAAGAGGCTGGTTCCTTTTTACTTGGATATTGATAAGGGTGGGTGGTTTGATTGAGGTCAGTCGGGCCCTCACAGATTGTTTTGATGCGGCTCTGTAAGGCTGTAGGAGCCGTAACGTCATTTCCAATTGATGAATAATGAACCCGAAAAAAACATACGATTTTGGTATTGAATAAAATACATGGTCAATGCAGAACCTTGGAAATACAAGGATTGGAAGAAGAAGAAAAAAGTAAAAGGACGTATATTTAATACATAATGAAAGAAATCAATCATTAAACAAGAAGATGGAATTAACATAAATACCCTCTGCCTCTTCCCACCATCAATGAATGAAGTGTAGAAGACACAAAGACAAATTTTGTTTGACGCTACGTCAGGCCCTCAGGCACACAGACAACCACGTGACCCGCCGCCGACCGGGGCAAAAATTCCATTTGAGCATTATTCACCTCCCTTCTTCCCTTCCATTCCCCCTTGGTCTATCATCCTCCTTCCCAGTTCTCTTAATCCTGCGAATATCACCATTCGCCTCTGTCTTTTAATCCCTACAATCTCCATCAACTTCGCATTTCCGCAATGGCTGAGCAGGGCCCCCCCACCTTTAAGCTCGTCCTGGTTGGTGACGGTGGTACTGGAAAGGTAAGCGCTTTTTACTAAAGATCCAGGCGTCGGGTGGATATCTTGAAAAAAAAAGAATCAAGAATCCAGAGAGAGGAAATCATTACAGCAATGTCCACTATCATCACCAGATGTGCGATACATGACAAACTCGCTACTATTGATTTTCCCCTCCTCCCTTGCCCCGCCATTGTCAACAAAGACGCCAAAAAATATTATCTGCCCGACGCCCGCCTCATCCTCGAAATACGCCCGATAACTAACACCAATCCGATAGACCACTTTCGTCAAGCGTCACTTGACTGGTGAATTCGAGAAGAAGTACATTGCTACCCTCGGTGTCGAGGTCCACCCGCTTGCTTTCACCACCGTATGTTATACCCATACCCCGCCGAACCGAGCCCCGCTTCGAAACGGTTCAATCTACCCCCCCATCTTGCGATATCCAACTAACATTACGATGAATATGATAGAATCTGGGTCCCATCCAGTTCGATGTCTGGGACACCGCTGGTCAGGAGAAGTTCGGTGGTCTCCGTGATGGTTACTACATCAACGGTCAGGCCGGTATCATCATGTTCGATGTTACCTCCCGTATCACCTACAAGAACGTTCCCAACTGGCACCGTAAGTTTACGCGACTGCGACAATAGCGCGATTTGAAATGTACGCATTTTTTCTAACATTTTTTCTTGTTTCCAGGCGACCTCGTCCGTGTTTGCGAGAACATCCCCATCGTTCTGTGCGGTAACAAGGTCGACGTGAAGGAGCGCAAGGTCAAGGCCAAGACCATCACCTTCCACCGCAAGAAGAACCTTCAGTACTACGATATCTCTGCTAAGTCCAACTACAACTTCGAGAAGCCTTTCCTCTGGCTCGCTCGCAAGCTGGTCGGCAACCCCCAGCTGGTGCGTACTTTCCTGTCCTTTCCCTTGATGAAAACCGATCAAATTCCTCTGTCCACAGATCGCTAACTATGAATTCATAGGAGTTCGTCGCTGCCCCTGCTCTCGCTCCCCCCGAGGTCCAGGTCGACCACGCCCAGCTCGAGCAGATCCGCCAGGAGATGGACGCTGCTGCTAACCAGCCCCTTCCCGATGAGGATGACAACGACCTTTAAACGTGTCGAATCTCGAAACCTTCCGATGTTAGCGCGAGTTTGTTATTGAAGTCGTGCCAAGAAGAGAGGGTAAATTCCATTCCATGATCGCTTGATTTTGCACCATAAAAGCAAAATCACTACTCAGAATCACGATACAATGAAAGCGGCTGGGGCAGTGGCGGTTTGAAGAAAGGGACAGGCACGATTTTGCATTTTTTTTTCCTCTTTTTTTTTTGTTTCCCTCCTCCCCCAATCTTAGTAGCTAGACTTACCATCTCAATGTCTTTTTTCACTCCCGAATGATGCGTTGCTGCACAAAAAGCACGTCTTCTTTCAACAATATCTAAAACCTATTTTTTACTATTCTAACGAACCAAAATACAATGGCACTATGGTGCCAAATAAAATAAAACAAAGCTGATTCTGATTTGAAACCCGAGAAAAAATAGCAAATTGTATTCAATGTTCTATCTTTCATTCTTTGAGCAATGGATCAATGGGTCCTATCAAACTTGAATCACGAAACCAACGCAAGGGTATCTGTATAACCGAAAGAAAGAGAGAATAGAAAAACAGACAAAGGAGTAACAGACTGCTCACTTGGCACGTAATCAAAGCAACAAACACAACGAAATCTTGTCTTGCCAACTTAGCTTAGGCAGAAAACTGATAGGCAGCATAGGCAACCAGTCCGGATGAGTGCTGTCCGACTACCCAACTGCCCGGACGGCTGGTCTCCGTCTACAGCAGCCTTAGAACATCCTTGAGGGCGAAAACGAAACAAAACGATGACATGACATGACATGAATTGTACAAATTGTTGTTCGGTAACAGTGACAGTAATAAACCAATAACAGGTGCGAACTTGTTTTGAAAACACGATGAAAAAAACGTAGAATATAAGACGTGCCAAGTAAGTTGCTGATATGATTTAAGCCGTCACGCCCTATTAAAAGTGAGTTGGTTAGTGACTGCTTCATAAGTAGGATAGGATATAAAATATCAGAACTTACAAATAGATAAGCCAGTTCTCTCGTATCGAGTCGAGAGACATTCATTGTGCCACCTTCATCCAGTGCACCACCAATCAGTTCTCGCTTCTTCTCCTGCAATTCAACAATGCGATCTTCAACTGTGCCTTCAATAAGCAATCGATGAACAAAGACATCCTTTGTTTGACCAATACGATGAGCACGATCGATTGCCTGGTCCTCAACATAGGGATTCCAGAAGGGATCGAAAAGAATAACATGAGAAGCAGCGACGAGGTTCAGTCCTGCATTTCCAGCCTTAAGCGAAACAATCATAACCTTACAATCGGGATCATCAGTAAACGCAGCGACAGATGCGTTGCGGTCATGAATGTTCATTGTGCCATCGAAGCGGACATATGCCCATCCACGGCGATTCATTGGGATTTCCAAAAGATCCAGAAGAGAGGTGAACTGGCTGAAGACAATAGTTTTCTCACCAGCCCCACGAGCCTCATTTGCTTCGAGGATCTCAATGCACTTGTCGATTTTGGCACTTGGGGTCCACATTTTCTCTAGACGACGGAGGTACTTTTTCTTTTCGGCTTTGTTCCGCAATCCGGCGGCGCGCAGGTCCGCGAGAGATTTCTTCTTGGGCTTTTTATCAGATCCATCAGGTTCGGTGGCGGAATCGGAATCCGTATCATAGGCTTCGGAGCCAGAGTCCTCAGTTTGCTGTGCTGATTCGTCGGATCCTTCCTCTGTGCTATCGGCTGGGTCATGAGCCTTCTTAAATGATGTGGAATCCGTGACTTTGAGAGGGTCAACTGGACCACGGCAGTTTTGACACTTGATCATACCGGGTGCATCGGAATCCTGTCGAGCAAGCATTGTGGGATCTGATATGCGCGCGAAGCACTCTGAACAGAGCGAGTGTCCACAAGGGATATAGATGACCGCATTTTCAATACTGTCCATACAGATAGGGCAAGCACCATCATCATCGTCTGTGTTGCTCTTAATACGCTCCACCGTCGCCGCGCTTAATAGTTTCGCGTTCGCAACCAGATCAACGCCCTGCACGGTTGTCGAGCCATCATTGTTGAAGCCCCGAATCAGGAGGGGATGATCACAGCACTGTCTGAGTCGAAGAAGAAGAACCAAGACGTGACTGTAATTCTTGCCCAGAGTGCCGTTGTCCAAGTATCTGGTAATCACTCTCTGTGTATCGGAGCTGAGCTCATCGTAGACCGCCTTCTCCTCTTCATTGAAAACAACATGGATCTTCTCAATGACCTTTGGTGGAAGTTGCAGAATCGGCTGTCCATCAATCTTTGTTTTCTTCGTCCGACGTAAACAGACTGATTTGACCAGAACACGTAATTGTTTCATGATATGATCATCGCCCCATTGCGCCTTGATAGGCTTGACAAAGTCTCTTTTAAATTTCTCTTTGTTGTTGTATGGTCGGATCCGAAGAAAAGCTAGCAAAGACTGAAAGTCCTCGAGACGATTCATCATGGGCGTTCCAGTTAAGCACCAACGATAAGTAGCGTCAAGACGGCAGCATGCTCTCGCTGACTTCGCTGCTGGGTTTTTGATATTTTGAGCTTCGTCGATGATCACGCGATACCATTTTGCAGCGGGGCTAAACAGCACCGCTTTTTCCCGGACGTGTCGAACGATACTGGCGTCTTTGCCTTCCTCCTGGAGTTTTTCTGACTGGTCTATGTACTTGTAGTTAGCAGTCAACGTGCCAAATGTTGTGATGATTACATCGTTCTTCTTAAGGTCTCTCCAAGGAATATGACGTCCTCCCAGACCGTGATAGATGAACACAGACAATTTGTGGCCAGGATTGACGTGTCGACCAATCTCAAGTCTCCACTGTTCCATTAAGGCTTTCGGAGCGACGATTAGACTTGGATGGCGATCAGGATCAGTCGGTGGGCGAGCAATCATGAGGGCAATGGTTTGGATAGTTTTCCCAAGGCCCATATCATCTGCCAGGATTCCACCTTTGTGGTTACTCTCCTCCTTTGCCTTGAGCCATGCCAAGCCAATCGTCTGGTGCTTCATCAATGTGACCTTCAAGGCTTGAGGCTTCTCATCATTGTTTGCTTTTGTTGCATCGTTGATATTTTTGATACCTGTAAGCAAGTTCTTGATATCGTCAGGGAAATCTGATTCCTTGTACGCCCTAGATCAATCAAATTAGTATCTGACGGTAGAGTGATGCTATCAAAGACCACTTTGGGGTGCTGAACCAACTTACTCGAAATCAATCGTATCCTCTTCCATATCTTGCTGCTCACGGACAAGATCGAACGCCTTCATCTCAGGATGCTGCTGGCCCGGCATCCATGGGAGTCGTCTAGAAGGGGTGCTGCCAAGTAATTGTGATGGATAAGGAAGAGACGATGGGGCTGGCGGACCAAGTTTCATAGGGTTCCAGCCCATATGGGGGTTGGTCATTCCCATCGACGGTGGCATCCCGGGAAAGCTCCCTGGCATTGGCAGCAAAGGTTGCGACGGGTAGAGGCCACCTTTGTTCGGGATACTTTGCGAAGGCCAAGGTAGAGAACCCCTTCCACCAGAGAAGAAGGTATCCGGAGTGATCTCCTCAATATCATCATCGGAATCCAAGTATATTGGATTGGGGTTACGATAGTCGGTTTTGGGGTTCAGATATGGTTCCTGCTTGACGACAGGATGGGGGTAATGGGTCCGATCAGGGATATTGAAGCTCGGATGTGTGGAGGGGTAAGACTCCGTATATTCATCATCTTGAGCTTGTATTATGCGAGCGTATTCCTCATCCTTCTCAGCCTGAATAAAAGTTCGGATGCACTTGGCATTCTCCGCTTCTTCTTCGGCGATGTCCAGCAACACCTGCTCTTCGCTTAATCCCTCGAGCCTAGCTGATTTCTTAACTTCTTCGGGATCTCTCATGATGGCGTAAGTCCGTCGGTTTTCCTCCAGCTGCATGTCCAGCTTTACCTCAAGCTCCTCGACTCGCCTTTGAGAGCTGTTAATAGTTGCTTTCTTGGATGGCTGTCGCGGATTTTGCAAATTATTGGAGTCTTCTCGGGTACGCTTGCGAGACCCGTTAGCAGAAAAAGCAGGCAGTCGATTTTTTGAGGAAGAAGGGCCGGGGTAATATGCTTGCCCAGAAGGATGAGGCAGCATGGGATGACCATGCGGGGCGTAGTATGGTTGAATGGGGGCGTTCGGGTGATTCAAAAAAGGAGACGGCGCAGAAGATGGCCAGTAAGTACCAGGAGTTGATGAAGGATCTCCAATCCTGTTTGGGGTGTGTGATGGCATGCTCTGAGGTTCTCTAGTGAGTACAGGCGGCGTTGCAGTAGGCTGTTGTGGAAGACGTTGCGGTGTTGCCGGGGCTGATGGTTGAGGGGAATTCAAGGCAACGTTTCCCAGAAGCTTGCCAATTTCTGCTTGGAGCCGTTTGATGTGGTCACGGGTTTCTGAGATGGCATCATGATCATCAGGTGCAGATGTTTGCTGATCTTCGAGGATAAAGTTGTAAAAATCCACATCATCGCAAAGAATCTTCACCGTTTGTTCAAACTCGGGACCCTTATCAGAGTCCGCCATTTTGGCAGATAGACCGCTGTGATGACCTTGAACTTTCAGATAAGAGTGACCCTCGGACACAGATAGAGAGTGGAGGTGGTGGAGATGGTGATGGTAAGGAAGTGGGGAGAGAATTGAGAGAAAAGGACCACGGTAGTTAGAGCAAGCAAATGAGCTCTATTGAAGGGGGAAATGACCGTAGCCCCCAAGACAAAAATTTAAATGTTGTGAAACTGGCGAGCGCATTAGCTTTCAAATGCATACATAGATGTAGCAGGTGCAAACGGGAAGGCGGTTGTTGCTATGTGGGGTGCAGAAGGAAGAAGGCTGAGAGTAAGCTATAGACTAGGCGCCCTCATTCTATCTGGGTAGCAGTTGATAAGACAGGGATTCAGAGGTTTAGTGGGATGGCAACGTGAGAAATTGAAGCCAGATGTGTAGAAAGATGATGATACATCTCATCTTGTGAAGTGGGGATTATGTGATAACCCACCTCTGAGCTGGAAGGACTGCAGGAATGATGGCGCTTAAGTTGGGGTGATTAGGCAGTCAGGTCCCAGGTCCGCAGTGGGGAATGGGGCAAGGACCCCAGCAATGATAAGAATCTCAGATCAAATGTACAGTTTATTCTTTGAGAAACAGGCCGGACACCTTGCGCTCGGTCCAGGTGGATGCTATTTGTTGTCGCTGTTGATGCCGGAGATGTTATGTTGAGTATTTGCTCAGGTTAAACCCGTGCTGAGGAACAGGTGAGGCAAAGTCGAGTTTACAATTGTACAAGTTTAGTGACCAACTTTCCTACGAAATCTTACATTTCTTCGTTTTTTAACATTCTGCTGACACGGACATATTTTATTCTTATTCTCTATCTAATTTATTTAATTTTTTAATACTATTCAACGCTATTTTCCTTTCCCCCATTTGCTTCTCTAAAATTCGCGTCAAAACTTGAATTCCCTGCTTATCGGCACGTGTTGATAAGGCGCATCACGCGTTATGAGTCAAACAATACAAACATGGTTCTATAAGAGGGCCAGCCCTAGCTTCCTAGTTGGGAAATAGAGTATCTATAGATCAAGATACGAAGATTTACTACTTCCTTAATCGACCTGGCCTTGTCTCAGATTGATCTGCTCATTGATAAACTTATATTTTGAAGTTGCTAGATTACAGTATACTTATCCAGCCTTAGACCGTACACGGGGTGGATTATATTTATAGTAACTCTCTGTATATTGAATACGACCATCCTGCATGCACTCTGCAATTATCATCATGACTGCTGTCAACTTCAATGACTCATTCCAAGGTTGAGTATACATTGTGTAGCCAAAAACATAATTTTCATATGATCAGGAACAGGTTATTATCTGGTTCGATTCGTGTTTAAAAGTAGTCGGGTTGCACTCGAAAAATAGACAGTAATAAGTACTCCCTGGTACCCGCAGGATTAGTATAATAAAAAGCAGTATCACAGTGGCTGCCACCGACCGTGCTCAGTTTTGAGAGCTGTTCTTAGTTAGTAGTCATGACGCCAAGACCTACATTAAAACAATTATGGAGGAAGAAAGCTATCCATGATCGCCTAGTATGTCATTTGACGAATGCCGATCTAGCTCCGTGCCGTTTGCTTTGTCGGGACCTCGCAGCCGAACTAGCACCGATTGTCTTCGTAGACACAACAATAACACTCCGTCGCCGCGCGTTGACCCGACAGTCTCGACTATTAGCTCTGAAGCGGATTGGAGCACACATCCAAACCATCACCTTCAAGATCCCACACACCACAGAGACCTTTCCGCCCCCAGTGATTGACAGGATCACAGGCACCGAGCAGACATTCGTCTACATGTCACAGGGCCACCGGGCGTCCTATAGACACAACAAATATGGAAGCCACAAGACGACAGATTTGTTGGTGCAGCAATACCCGCCGTTGTTCCACACTGCCACCGATATTGTCGCGTTTGAGCGTGCATTGTCCTTCATGCGAGATATCCGCCATCTTCGAATCTACTGCCGCGGCCAGCCTCCAAGTCATCGCTATCGCCGGAGTGTGGTAGATTATGCGTTGATTTCATTGCGAGTCGCGGTTGAACGTGCCGCCTTGCCCCTACTGGAGAGTCTTTCGTTGCTTTCAGTGCACCCGGCCGCTGCGTTGTATCTACGGCCGGATAAGGGATTTGGTGGATCCCCTGCTTCTCGTAAGCGATGGTCACAGATTCGAAGCCTCACAATCCACATGGATAGTTTCCAGTACCAACCTGGCTTGCCGACCGATCATTTCAAATTGCTTCATGCATACCTGCAGAGCTTCTATGAGCTCAGGAAATTGGTCTTCCACTGGGTCGGAGAGAAGAATTTATCTCCCTTATCCCTCGCTAGTGAGCCATATCTCCAAAGTACAACCAGCAGTATAGAATCCACACCCAGCTATTTGAATCGGAGTTCATCACTGCGAGGCTTGCGATTTCATCATCTGGAACAGATTGAGTTGGCCAACGTGATCACAGACGCGTCGCAAATAGCATCCTTCATCTCAGTTCACCGCCCTACGCTAATGGAATTCAACGTTCTAGAATCCACCCTCCGTACTGGAACGTGGGATGACGCATTGGCCCCAATGAACCAACTGGGGGCTCAGAGGCAATGCAAAGAGAACCCACGCCAGAGAAGTCTCGTCGACGTGCCCCTCGTACTCAGTCAACAGCAATTGCAGCGAGTCATCTGTGCTGCACAGCAACAGCGAGGAGGGCTACGCGGATTGAAGAAAGCGCGGGCGCGGGAGCGACTTTGGGGAAAACCCGAGCATATGAAGCGGATGTAGCCGTCATGGGTGTTTAGCTGGCGGTAATGATAATGTGGGGAGTGGCGGAGTGAATTCTTCGGAGGGAAGCGATTGGCATTGTAATGAGAAGCATGAGATTCCGCGGTGCATACCGAATCTGTGCGACTCCATCAATAAAGCCGATCAGAAACTTGGGTTTGTACTGTAAGTTTGGGGGCAAAAGGGGCTGTTTGAAAGGGCCGTTTGTGTGATCATCATGTCTATCATTTCCCACTATTGTGGCTTGGAAAACAAGGAGAGAGGGATAGCTCTAGAGTAAATTAGTAACCTTGCAGGTTCAACAGCATCAAAACAGGCACAAGGTTAATCTTGAAAGTGGATTTTCACTCAAAAGTATGGAGTAAAGCGTCCTCGGTCGCGTGTGTGGAGAAAGTATGATTTCACGGGGGCCTCGGCACGGAGCTAACAGTTCACATGCGCCCCCATGTTCATGTTCGGCCCATTAAATTCATCATCGCTATATAACTTCAAGATCTCGCCCCGTTCCACTTTCCACACTTTTGACACTCAAAACTGATCATTCATCATGTCTCTCAAGAAAGGTATGTGTTTTCTTTCGTGTCCACGTCAAGCCTCAGTAACCATTCCCAGCTTTGAACACACCGCTAACTAGTCACCACAGATTCTCACCCCTCCTCCGCCGCGTTCGACGTGATCCACCAGACCCTTCAAGGCGATGAAGCCGGTCGCAAGGAGGCTGTCGCCGGTGCCAAGGCCATCGTTTCCTTCAACATCAAGAACAAGGAAGGCAAGGAGGAGAGCTGGTTCCTCGACCTGAAGAACAAAGGCGAGGTTGGCCAAGGTGCCGCTCCCGAGGGCGGCAAGGCTGATGGTGAGATGACAGCCCCATCACTATCTGAGAGAAATCGCAATATATACTAATATGAATCTTCCACACAGTCACTCTCTCCCTCTCCGATTCCGACTTCGCCTCCCTCGTTGCTGGCAAGGCCAATGCCCAGCGTCTGTTCATGGGCGGCAAGCTCAAGATCAAGGGTAACATCATGAAGGCTACAAAAATGGAGCCCGTACTCAAGAAGGCCCAGGGCAAGGCCAAGCTGTAAAGATTTAGATACCCTTTTTCTCTTTCGGAATATGTACATGAACAATTTCGTTGCTTTTGGACTGATTTCGGGCCCCCAAGTTTCACCCGCCTTCAAGTTGTTATATACTATGTAGTACAAAACTTGTACGCCAGTTATTTCGCTGGCAATAAAGTCTCGCAACGCTATAATTTCCTTCTACTACTCTTTCGTACACGATGACTTTGTCTCTTCGTTTGGATCTGAGCAAAGCCATCTCAAGTGCTTATGTGCCAAGAGCTGCTAGCTATTTGTTGGCTTATATGACATCATCGGGCCAAAGCGTATTGTTGACGCTCCGCCTCTACTAGTAATTGAAAGTACCTTGCTGCAAGGCCACTGACACATGAAATTTAACAAGTTTTCCGAGTATTATATTTCGGGAATTTGCTTCTTTCCAGCGATAGCTATACGATCAAAGTGGCAAACCGACTCACAGGGCAGTATTGTCAAGTTTCCACCCTAGATACACTCGTAGTGAATTAGATCTTGTATACCCTAAACATTATCAATATGAAGGTACCAGCCCGGCGTCTTCTTATCTATCTACTATCCATCTAACAATTGCAAATATTCCGAAAATAGAATTGGAAACCCCATTTAATCCTGGCAAATTCATATTTAAGCGTATACACTATGCTTATCAAACTGACGACTAATATCAAACATGCTTTCCGGCCACCACTTCCCCTCACGACTCCATAATCCCATACTTGATCGTGAACTCCTCTTAAAAGAGACAATCTGTCCAAGCTCCCAAGCTCCAATACCACCAATCCACCACACATCTTCCAGCAAAATTACCAAGACCAACCAGTGAGCGAATATATCAAAAGCAAACTGATGCGCGAAGCTAGGCTCCGCCTTGCCATATCCCCATCTCCCATTAGGAGCTGTGCTATTCAGCGACGTATCCGAATCAGATTGCACAATGTCAATCATTTCCTCGACAAGACTCAAGTATCTCGATGGAGCCTTGTGGATTAACGCCATGATGAATCTTCGAGGTAAATTTGAAGGTATCATGGAAGTTATATTTGCTGTATACCGCCCTATCCAAGGGGAGACATTGAGGTTTTGAATAATTGATTCGATTCCAGAGTCATCGCTGAAAGCATCACTGAAGCTGCTCGGTGACATTGAGTTGGTTGCTTTGACAGCGAAGGTCACGGAAACTATGTCGTTGAAAATTTGCAACGCAGCAAAGCAAGCATGGATATCAGGTCTATGGCGGTCTTCTATTAGGTCGGTAGAGAGAAGATCCATAAGTCCTCTAGCCCTTCGATTCAACGTTTCCAACGCCGATGGAATAGTTTCGGCAAATATCGGATATAATGGATGCGCAGACGGACTCCCCTGTGAGGTCGTTGGCACAGAGGGCCTATATTGGTTAAACAACTTCGACCGGGCATCTGATAAAGTAGTGGCGGCTGAACAATCTCGAGTCCGTGTCAAACTACCAGATTCACGTATACCACCAACAAGGCCAGCATACGCAATCCGAGCAGCTCTAAAGAAACTAATCCATTGAGCGCCTCTGGGTCTAATCTCATCCACAGAGAACCCATCAATACTCGCAGTTTCAGTAAGCCAAATACGAACACAGTGACTTCCTGATCCGTACATTCCCATCATGGCTGCATTAGCCAGAACATGATCATAATGTTTTGTCTTCGGTAGTGTGGCTTGAATCTCCCTCAAAGACTCCATATGATATTGATCTGCGAAATTCAAAAGGCTCAAGACCCTTTTGCGACAATTGCGTGGCGAAAGCGCTTGATTAATGATATCTGAGCATTTGCATACAGCCGATAACGCCAGTAACGATTTCATTAGAGGTCGACTCTCCAATGCTAAATTTGGAATGCCGATTTGTAGAGCATATTGATCTTGATTATCGACTGTAAGATCTCGACTCGTGTGTTCGATATAATGCTTCAGTAACTTGTATTCTGGCGGCGTGAGCCTTTTCACTTGTCGTAGCTGTAGTAGCGGGTCGTTATTGTTATTATTCTCATGTTCGCAGGGAAGTCTTGATGATGACATTGCACGTTTGGTGGAAGACAAATGGCCGAGAATCTCAAGGCGAGTCTGCTGATAATCCGATTGATACATTTCAGGTTCGTCGGAGAAAGGATCTTCTACTAGCGCATATGGTGAGATGTCTGGCCTTTCTCTTGCATAGTGGCATTGCAAATTTAGATGAATGCATCTAGTGCACTTTGGCTTCAATTCGTCACACTATCGAATTGGTTAGACACTTGTATTTAACTTTCTCATCCACATAAATGGTCGAAACTAAACCCATACATACTTTAATTCTGCGGTCTTTGCACTTTTTACATCCGTATCTAGATTTCTTATGTGGCCGGCGCGTCTTATAACCGGACTGATCGTCATGATCCTGGTCTGTGATGGTATCCATAATAATTGTTCGTATTCGAGTGGTTATTTACTTGGAAAATATCTTCAATTCATATCTAGCGATGCGAAGACCTTTAAACGATTTCATAATTCCAAATCTCCAAATTCAAAGTCAGCTTTGCATTATGGCGTCTTGGCGCTAAATGCTTGGCAATTTTCAGCTACCGAGCCTGGTGACGGTAGTCTCATCGGAAGTTCGGAATATTCAAAGGTGAAAGTGTATCTTATTGGATCCTTGTAGTACTCTAAATATCAAATGACGGTGAAGAACTTCATCGAGTTGTCATAGAATGTTCCGAGCATTTTCCCGAAGAGTGTAGAAAGGGAATAGGGGGCTGCGCAGCATAGCCTTGCGGGGCGGAGAACCGCCGAACATTTGTCAAACCCCAGCATTCCATGGTCAGAGCCGCATAAGGTCGAATGGGGTGGTGTGAAGGTTTTGAATTATTTGGAAGACGTAGAGAAACCTTGGAAGGGCCTCGAAGATAATAAGCGCATGGGTTGCGCAGCCTAAGATGCCAGCCGTTTAGCCGTTCATCTTACTTGCACAGCCATTCGGTGGCCAGATATTTGGAATGATGACAGTTTCCAAGACCAAGGCGCTCGTTTAAGTTTAAAAGGTGTTTAGCCGTTAGTGGCTAGACTCTTAACCTGATCAGTGAATTAAATCGATCGTTACGAAGAAGGTCTGGACGATGTGGGGCGGTTCATGCAAGTGCGTATTCGCTAAAGGTGTCTGACGGGCGTTGACCAATGACTAGGTGGATATTATTCAATTTCAAATAAGCTTGGAATGGCATATACCACCAGCAAGCAGGATTGCAGACCTTTTACATTTCCGATACTAACTTTGACCCCAAATTATGCTGCTCTTTGATGGCCAGGGACGTAATAATACTTAGGCCACCTGGGCAGTAAGCATGGCTTATGATCAATTGCCCAAGTTAAGTCGACTTGATACTAAATGACCCGCATTTGAAATGCGCTCTACGGCTTGGCTGATGGGCGCAGCGATGAATACGCGCGCCGATCACTACCATACTACTGCTCTCTATGTTATTTGAAGTATGTGTATAAAGTCCTGGGGACATCGCGCCTTATGACTATAATATCATCTTCACAGCTATCTTCGAAAAGATAAAGAAACAAGTGTCGGTCCAGCAACAGCGAATATGAAGTTAGTAATTTTCAGCACCATAATCTTCGGCTTTACAAAGGCTTGTTACGCATGGCCACACGATCTCCACGCATGGCGTCCAGCATCGCCAACAGACAGTCAGACTTCCCAGCGACCTCAAGACTTCAAAAGACACAAATAACTAACAAACATACAGGCAGATCCCCATGTCCCGGATTAAATGTCCTAGCAAATCACGGCTGGTTACCACGATCTGGGAAAAATATCGACATATCAATGTTTCGATTAGCCATAAAAGAAGCCTACAACTACGTCCCAACTGCACTTGATTTCGCCTTCGAACAAGCCCTAGACTTCAACCTCACCACGACCGGAAATAGCTCAACAATAAACCTTGCAGACTTAGCAAAACACGACGATATAGAATTTGACGGGTCACTATCCCGAAACGACATCTACTTCGGCGATAATTTGCATTTTGACCCCGTTATCTGGCGGACAGTTGCTAAACACCTTCGCTTATATGAGACATTGGGTGAAGAGAAGAATAACTATGTTACTGTTGAAATGGCGGCTAAGGCTCGCGCTGCACGCGTGGCGGAGGCTAAGAAAGTGAATCCGAGTTTCAACGCTTCGGCTAATGAAATGAGTGGTAGTCCTGGGACTACTGGTCTTTACTTACTAACTATGTGGGACGATAACTTCGGTGCTGCCCCGAAGGCGTGGGTTCGTGCGTTTTTTGGTATGAAGTTTTTCTGATCTCCCAAATTGACTGGAAACTTTGCTAATAGGTGGATAGAAGATGAACGTATTCCTTATCTTGAGGGGTATCAGCCTCCTAAGGTACCCAGAACTTCGGCAAATGTCACAGATATGGCTATAAGAGTTGGGGCAGTGAAGGTCTAGAAGTTACCCGTGGACGGATTTATGCACGTGTACGGTCTCAAGTTTTGCGAGGGCAGCCAGTCCCATGCGCTTGTACTAGATAGAAGTGATTCGTTTCTTTTTGGGATTGCTGTCATAATTTTATTTCTAGACTAAAATAGTCCGATAAAGCTCGTTTCCTCGACATGACGTGTGGTTGATGGTAGACAATGCGCTTGTAAGAGATTTGCCTGGGGTTTGTTCATAGAGTGAAACTCCATCCGTGGGATATTAAATCGGTTTTCAATGGCATCAACGCGTCGCGCGTCAGATCCTTACCTTATCGTAACCACGCGGCGAAAATGTATATGGGAGGTTCTATCAGAGAATGCGAGCGCGTGCCAGAAAGCGACATAGGGCAGGTATAGCTGGCCGCTGGGGCTATCACAGGAATGATTAGTGTCCCGGCAGTTGTGGCTGAGTCGTTGAAGTCCGTGATGAAGTCCGTCGATGTGATGTGATGTGCGGGCCGAAGGGTACGGTCACTCGGGATTTCCCATGATAGTGGGTATACAATGTTTGGCGTTCCCATACATTGATTATCATTTGTATCAACAGGTGGGGTAGATGAATGAAAGAAATACGGTTCAAGAGAGGGGGGAACAGAGGGTAAATTGCTCGCACGAGATCGCGGCAGTGCTGGGCGGTCTGGAGCATCTAACATTGAGTATGGCAGCTGAGAGCGGTTCTTAGGAGCGCTACTCTCCTCTTGTACCTAGTGACGACATAGGTAGATCTAAGGAGCATTCGATCACTCCAAAACTTGAATGAAACCAGGGGAATGTTGCTTATGAATATGTATACAGATGTGTTCAACTTGAAGTTGACAAAAATAACTTCAAGTTCTCAACCTCCAAGGCTATTCTCTACGCAGCCAAATTCGTGAAAAGCTACCTTCGCCATTGCTATTTTTACAATTCCAAAGTTGACATACCGGTGTTGATGACTGAAGTGGCTTGAAGTGTTTATTTCCGTCCGTGCACAAAGCTAAATACGATGTATAAGCGCAAGCAGAATTTAAGCAATAAACGAATGGGTCTTGGCTTAGCCTGTTTCAACTTTGAATATTAATGAACGTCTGCACACATGCTGAAGTGATGTCAGTATTCAATCCTGAAATCAGCGCGCTTTCGCAACCATCCCCAAAGGTCAATATACCATCCATTGAAAGTTGCAAAGAATCCGACATTGATATCGATAAAAATGAATCAGGCAGAAAAAAACTGGGTTGACAGCTGGTCAACGACGTCAGCTTTTAATTTGCGCGCGTATCTATGATTGCGCGCAATAATTCTCGAGGATAGCGGAAGTTCGCGCAAATAAGCTATGTGGGGCCGCCGATCAGCCCCACCTAAACACACTAAACTGTTAAAGATACAGTGAAATAGAATATGATTTGGCGACGCATCAAAACTGGGCTTTGATGTATGCGAAATGCCGACCCGAGGGTTGTGCCTGCTCAACGAAAAGCGTGGCGGAGCCTGTAGACCTTGCGACGCTGGAAGTCAAGCAACGTGAATCTTCAAGGCTGATTGGGCTTCACCAAGTCAAGAATTTCCTAGTGGAGAATGGTGATCGGCGCGGCCCCTGAAGGAATTGTCAGCTCGAAGATGGGCCTAGATTTGAAATTATGAATTTCGTCGGTGGATACGTGTTACGGAGTATAAGGAGGGGGCTCCGCAGTCTTTTATTTCATTTCTCTGTATACTTGGTCTTGCCTTTTCATCAAGCTATACATTCAATATGGGTTTTCTGAGTCCGAGGGCGTCTTTGGGTAGCGGTGGCTGCAAAATACCCGACCACCTTGCACAATGTATGTCAAGGCTCCAGTCTATTATACAAATTCAAGGAAACACTAACAGATCAACAGATTCCACTGCACCATTTGTGGGAAATCTCTCATTCTACCACTTCAACATGATCGTATCCGGTGCCTGCACTGTGGTAGTATTGATTGTGATGTTTTCGCTGATGGCACGCCATGCGACACACATGAGCAACCCCAACGAACAGCTCAAGTAAGAGCCTTAATTCTATGGAGAATTTGTGGCAATTCTAACATAACTTCTTCCAGAATTATGCGAATTTGCAATCTCATCCCTTCCTACCAAGTCCTATCCTACGTTTCAATCGTTGTTCCCAACTCCTACATCTACCTCAAAGGCTTCGGCGAGGTGATGCAGGGCGTAGCTCTCTATTCATTCGTCATGCTGCTTTGCGACTTTATGGCCCCGACCGATGAGGCTAAAGTGAAGCTCTTTTCTTCCCTTGAGATAAGGAGACAATGGCAACCAAAGAAGAAAAGAAACGGTCTTGCTTTCCTGAAAGTAAGTCATTTGGTAGCGAAAAGCAAATCAAACGAATGTTTGAATAAATAACTGACCCGTGGGCTGCTTATAGTTAACATGGTATTGCGTTGTTCAATATCCAGTCATCACTTGGATTGCCGCTGTCAGCCAAGTTGTGACCCAAGCACTCCACCTTTACTGCCTGCCAAGTACATCTCCTAAATTCGCTCACGTCTGGGTATGTGCCACCTTAGCTTGACAAGTCCTTGATTTTAAACTGATAGCTTGAATAGCTGGAAGTAGCTACCTCGTTGTCAACGTCAATCGCAGTAAACGCCATTCTACAATTCTACATGAGAACAAAGGAACACATCAAAGAGCACCGGCCACTCCTTAAACTGGTGGCATTCAAGCTAGCCGTTGGACTGGTTATTTTGGAGCAGGTAAGCTTTTGGCTCTAAAATGAAAACGAGGAATGAATATTAACCAGCAACGCAGATTATTTTCCTCGTCCTTACAGCAACGGGCGTTCTAAACAAAATGACGACGTTGACCTACATCGACACAATGATGGGTCTCCCAACAATGGTAATCTGCATACAAATGGTACCAATTTCCTTCTTTATCCTATACGCTTATCCCAAAAAGCCCTACGAGATTCCATACAAGCCGCATGTCCTCCGACCCCAGGCATACCATCCCCTCGGCGATGGAGATGAAGAGACCTTGATGAACAACACTCAGAAGACCTACCAAGGTGGTCGCTGGGGACTACATGCCTGGGCTGTTTACTTAAATCCGATTGACATTTTCCAAGAAGTTTTGTCTGCTTATAAGATGATCTCTCGCGCACGGGCCATGCAGAAGGCTCAAGTGAAGGAGGAGATCCAGGAGGAAATGGCACAATACGAGACGGGATATGATAATCACCAGGGGGCTTGAAGATTCCAGTTATATTTAAAGTATATAGAAGTTGTTGGCGGTTTAAATTGTATAAATAATTGATGCATTATGAATATTGGCCTGTCCTGACCCAACTATCTCGTTTTTGTTTGCTTAGTACAAATTCGGCTAAGTAGTATCATGAACCAAGAAAACACTCAACCATATCACGAAACTCCAGCGTCATCTAGCCTCTGGGTAAGTTGTTGGTTTCTTGCCATTTCTTCATTACTGGCGACACGGGTAGTTCGAGGGGAGTTAATGTACCCCACTTCAAGACCGAGGGTGATAAGTGTTGCAAAGCTGTCAGTTTCGAGTATTAGCGTCCGTATACAATATTGACATCCAACGGGAGGCCTTCTTACAATGCAATGAAACTGAAAGCTTCCGCTGCGTATTGGCGACTACAAACAAGCTCTCCATTCCATCGGTTCGAGCGGCAACTGTGCCGATTGAAATCAAGAGCCAAAAATATGAAGGACGTGAGCCATCTAGACTCCGCTTGTTAGCATTTGACTCCAGACGGAAGAACGTGGGATGTCTCACAGATAAGAAAGGATTGCATCGATGATAAACATTGGAAAGACGTGCCATCTCTTTTGCCTCACCAGGCACCCGATGGCGGTTGCGGCCACACTGAAAATGATTGTGACAACAGCCTATAGTGAAATTAGTATACTGAATGCCATGGTGGTTGCTCATTGCTTACAATTGTTAGAGAGTATATGACAGTCAGGGTCTTTGTGTCCCTTACAGCCCATCCAGTGATACCGAGAATGATGATAGAACTGAAGAACTGAAGGAAGCGAGTGACATAGCTGACCATGCCATATCCATGATTAAAAAAAGTCTCCATAATGAAGAGACACGAAATTTAGAATCAAAGGGTTAATAGATAGAAAAGAAGAATGCCGGGTCTTATTAGTAGAAAAGCGATATGGGGAAATGATGCATTCAGTAAGAAAAACCGACTTTCTATCTTGCTAGGAACGAAAGACTATATGATAAAGGGCCAGAAGTCTATGATCCCATCTCTTGTGGATAAAGGCGCACACCTTGGGGTGGTGATGTCATATTGCTTAGCAGTACCTCGGCATACCACGGATATGACTAGAAATAAAGGCTGGCTGGCCAAATATTGGTCACACGATATCTGATTGTGATCAAGATTTTGGTAAATGGAGCATTCATGCCTTGTATTTCGCTCGTGGCACAGGTGATAGCATACAACCTGGTACCTAGAATCCCCTCACCTTTGGAGGCTCAGAGGACCCACAAAATATTACCCGGATTTCTTGCCTCTCATGATACTATAGTTATACAATGGAAAGCTAAATCCAAGCTTTTAAACAACCACGATAGACATACAGATACTACTAGGCAATAATTATTTCCTGGCCTTCTTATTTTCGATCTTTCTCTGAACGTTTGCGTAGTTTCGTGAACCTCTAAAAAATGACTGGCCGGATGTGTGGCAAGGGACCCCTGAAGACCCACTCGATTACTGTTTTGGCTCGGAAATCCGAACGCGCGTATATATGCATATCTCCATAAATTGTCGGGAACTAGATTGTGTTTTTTAATAGTTGTAGCCTGCAGCATTTAATTCTATACGATTAGAATTTCTTTATATAAGACACATCTGCGATTCAAAAGAAAATTACTGAATTTCTTTGCATCCTGTCTGACCAATCCACCCCTCACACATTGAAGAATGTGGAATGTCCTTGTTACTGGGAGCTCTCGCGGCCTTGGCCTAGAGTTAGTGAAACAGCTTGCTATGAAGGCAGAATTCAAAGCGGATTCAGTACTAGCAACTGCTCGAAAAATGTACCTCAGAGTTGCAAGAAGTGATACTGCAGGCAAAAGGCTCTGTTGTCTTCGTCGCTTTGGATGTAACTGACGAAGAATCCATTGTGCGTTCCGAGACGGAGGTTTAATTCGTCCTGAAAGGGCGAAGTCTAGAAAATTGTTCAACTGTGAGGGTGTCCACGGGGGGACCCATGGAAAACTTGCTCTAATGTATGAATATTCCTATTTATCCCTTTACTACTTTGCAGAAGCATGGGCCAATGAAACAACTAGGTCTGGGTTAGAGCATCAATTTCTGGCCAATGTGGTCGGCGTACATAATGTCACTCGAAACTACATCTCCTTCATGAAGACGAGTTCCAAGAAGAAGGTTATCAGCATGTGAGTCACTACAACATTGAGGCAATCCAGAATTTGCATTCTCGGGAAGTCTCTCTTACTAACAGCGCATCTTGCATATTTAGATCATTGGCAAATGCCCGACAAGTTGCGTATGCCCCTTGTCCGTTATATAAGATTAGCAAGGCTGCATTGAATGCTTTGATGGTGCAATCAATATGCTCTGTCATACGAAGATGAGGGTTACGTATTCCTCGTGGTCAGCCCCGGGCTATGTCAAACTTTGACGTCTGGCTTATGTTTTCTATACTGATTAATATGTTTAGTGGATGAAGAGTGATATGGATGGACAGGAAGCTGATCTCACCGTTTCACAAGGCGCGGAAGCTGTGTTGAAGGTTGTGATGTCCGCTACTGGCCAGGACAATGGTAGTTTTAAGAACATTTTTATCCCAGGATGGGACAAATATGATGGAAAGTATTCAGAATGGTGATCGATACATGGGCCATATGAAATATTCAAGATAGACATACGTTTGGTTCAATATGGCTCGGTATCCGGACATCGGCAGTTGAGAGGGAATCGATTTAATCGCTTTTGGGAATCAGAATGGGTATATCCTAGCATCTAAATAGATTGTGTTACAATAAGGAGCCAAGTCTCATAAAATATATCAAACAATTCTAATATGCAATGAAATTCAGATAATGCATGGGCGAATATCCCTTATCTTCGTGTAACTAGTTAGTTAGTTAGTTAGTAGGCGCTGTAAGGCAGCAAGGCAGCGATGTATGCTTCTTTCTCTCCACCGGCTTGCCGCTCCGCCTCCCTTAGTGATTTCCGCTGCAATATTAGTAGCCGGATACAGCACTGGGAGTAGTTGTTTTCAATTATGCCCGATTATCATACAGTCGCTGGTGAAATTCTCCCTGCCGTACGTACTCTCTTTCTCTCGATGAAAATAACATTGGTCCTGCGAGGTGGACAGATAGCTGACCAATAGCGACCAGTGTGATCTTTGCCATTCTAGAAAGGTTGATATATCCCATTGAGGGGTACGTATTTTTTTGATCAATGCTCATATATGCAAAATTGAATAGATCAAGTGTGATAGACAGGCAAAATGCGCGAATTGCGTGGATGCCGATGCGCAGTGTCAACGGTTTCGCCGTGGTCGGTCAAAAAGGAAGAGAACGTCAGAGAGGTCAGCTCGCATTTCTTGAACTCGGGCTGAATGAGTGCTAAAATGTTTTTAGTGATATGGCCCGACAGGAAAGTATAGTGCAATTTGACGGAAATTCATATATGACGCAAGGGTACAGTACAGAATTCAGTGATGGTGATGAATGTTCCGGCTTAATGATGAAATGACTTGCAGGCATCGTTGGACCCCCAAAACTACCATACGAGAAGGAGGTATACCCTCAGCAGTTTCAACTAAGAGTCGACTTGAGAATCAAGACCAAACTTCTGTTGGTAGTTGTCCCACTCCAGCTGCGCTCTCAACTAGAAGCGACGATGGTTCGAACTATCATGCCATACAAGCAAGAAACATCATTGAAATAGATATATGCAATCCTTCTATTAGTCTTGAGCGACAGTCCTTACTCAAGTTTGCGCTTCAACTGGTAAATGATAACGCCACCAGTTTGCCTCGTCCTGACGATCTTGCCGCGGAAGAAGAATACCACTCACCAAACACTTCTCTCGCGATCCCAGATAAGCCATCTCGCGAGCTACTATTTATGCTACTTCCAGGTATTTAGAAAAAACCACTGGTTTTGAACTCCATCTAATAGTACACAGGTGCACCGGAATCCGTGCGTGCCCATTGGCCGGATCATATATCCTTGAAAGCCTACTCCCGGATGGTTGGAGCATTGCTAAGAGATGATTCGGAGCTTGAACACCACAGGTTTCATCAATACTGCATTTGCGTATATGTGAAAGCAGTTTCTTACTTGTATCAAGCTTCGCGGACAACAGAAGATCCTGTGCTAAAAAGCGAGTTTTCGCGCTCTCGATCTTCCTATATAATAGCGGCAATGCGCAGCATTAAGCTTTTTAACATACTAAGCCCACCAGATCTGTCCGTTATACAATCCCTTCTATCAAGTGTAAGTTCAAGACTGACAAACTCAATTTGCAATTGTCCAACGTAACTAATGTTCTATTTTTCAGGCGTTGCTCATGCAACACATGGGGAGGCCCAATCGATGTTGGCTCTTCACCTCCTACGCTGCACGGCAGATCATTGCTCTGAACTTTCACAAAATTAGGAGACTGTCGATTGTATCTGATCTCGATCAAGAAATTCACGACGCCGTCTACTGGTGCTACTATCTCGACCGAACTTTGAGCTCTCTCCTCGGCCGACCTCCTTCGCTGCCAGATCTCGAAGTCTCCCCCGCTGAACTTCTCCTAATAAACCCAGCATCACCATATAACAACCTGTTGCGTGTGATTCTAGATCTCGCCGAGGTACAGGGAAAATTACTGACGGTATCGTGTGGCCACACAGATAAATCCAAAGAAAGAGCTGTCGAATTATGTCAGCTTCTCGAATCTAGAATGCAAGACATTTTCCCCCGTCTGCAATCGGTATGTCTTTATCAAATTGTCCGTCATTCGATTTCCGCTCTAATTCTGTCAGAACGAGGACTGTGAGCCTAAGATAGTACAATACGATTGGATTGCTGTTGACTTCTGCTACTACGCGATACTCGTCGAGATATACCGAACTCATTTACAAAATGCTTTCAACCCAGCTGCGCATCGAACATGTTTGATCTATGCTCGAAGATCCCTGGGAGCATTTCATTTCATCCAGAAGCACTCTGCCGAGATGCCCGGATTCGACGATCCCTTCCCATCTTTTTTGACATGGTATGTCCATATCTTCTTTAAAGATTTGGAACTCTTTCTCACAGACTCCCCCAGGACCTTGTTTATCTATCCACTCAGCGCCTTTTTTGTGGTCTTCTGCAACATCATCGGAACTGTAGACCAAGATGACTATGAACTCATGGGACAAATCATTAAGGAACTGTCGCCTTTCAAAAAGGACCCCCACCTGGGAAAACTTCTGGACTTGTTACAATCAATACAACGACTTTGTGAGCCTTTGTTCCAGCAACTGACTGGCAACCCCGGTCTTGCCTCACCCCAGGGAGACAACCAGCATGATATTGTGACAATGGATGACCACCGCACAGACCTGGACACTACTGGATTATTTCCCTCGATGGTGCCGTTTGGAGATGATTTACAGCCCGTGTCTGATCCAGATGTCAACTTTTCAGCCGACCGGCTGATGTGGGACCTTTTCAATAGCCAAGTTCCCGCTAGATGGCTAAACAAAGATCCCGACTCATTCGGTGTCTAAAGAAGTCTCCGTGCTAGGAAATAATTTTGTTCCTTCGACACTCACAGTCGCCGTCGAAGCGGATACCAGTGTGACTGCTCTTCTAACTCGAACTTCCGGCCGAGATAGGCAGACTCCTCGATACGACTTGCCAGATCATTCCGAGCGGTTCTTCTTATGATACTGCTCAAGGAAATGGGCCCTAGCCACATGGGATGCCATAGACGCGAAATGACGATAGTCACCATCAGTTAGATAGAGTATGATGCACATGTGCCCGCGAGCTCTGGAACTTACGATCTGGTGCCTCGACAATATGAATAACTCCGGCTTTTTCCGCAAATGCGCCTGCAATCCCGTTAATTGCAGAAAGCTCGCCAACCCCGTAGGTGGTAATGAGAGCGTAGAGACCATTTATACTCGCGTATCCATCAACAGCGTACGCGGCATTCAACTCGTTGCAATTCCCTATCCAGTGAAGTCCTGATGGTTCCACGAAGTCAACAAGTCGGAGGTTGCAGTCCCCAGGTACTCCGAATATCAACTCGATGCCTAATTGGCGAAGTCTGGTGAAGAGGTAATCGGCGATTTTGATCGCTTGAGGTGAATCAGTATGCGTCATACTGTCGACAGTGCCAATATCGAAATCGAATTGACTCAAGGAATAATCGACACAAAATCCCTTTTGTACTTCCGTATTTATTTCTTACTCTGTTTGTAGCCATCTATGTTATTCCGGATTTTAGTATGGGGCTTTCTATGTTGACTCCACCCCGACTACTCCGAAGCCCGCTCGCGACCATATCGATTCCTCTGACCGACAAAAAATGGCAACCATTTGAATCAAATTGGCATTTCTAATGCCTTGGTAAAAGTCTCTTCTTCTGAGCCAGAGTTTGTGTCCGTGCTGGTTCGTTGATGTTTCAATTCAAGGAAAGAATTGGAGCTAGTTACATGCCTTTCAATGTATCTCAATCAAATTGCAATTGTATATCATTTCATCGTATAAATCATCCGAGTCATATCGTGTCAAACTTCATAACTAGGTATTTCATTTCCCTTTTCCTTGTCAAGAGTAGCTTTAGTATGACTTGGGAAAATCTTGTGCCAGTATTGCCACACCATAGCAGTGACAATAGTCGTCGGTATAGCAAAAACCCAATAAATCCAAATATCAGAAGAAACAGCCCACCCCGTATCCCTATCATAGTTAAAAAAAGACATACTGAATATAGCAGAGATAAAAGTTGGCGGTAAAAAGGTCAGAGTGACGAAAGCGAGTGTTTTCATGGTAGCACTATCCGACCGTGCAGCAGCACTGATCTCGACAGTAAGCTTCGTATCGTGTTGAGAGACAATGTTGAAAGCAAGTTGAATTTCGTTCTGTAGTCGTTTTTGATTCGATATAGATCGATGTCGAATACTTTCAATATGGCTTTGAAAGAACGATAAACGGCTCGACGTATCTTGGAAAGAGGCGTGTTGGCGAATGTCTGGTGTGGAACCCTCGGTCCATAAACTGGCATATAGTTCATGTTGCTTGATTATATGGTCTACGTTCTGTACAGCGACATCAAGTGATTCGGTAACATGGATTGCATGGCGGGCTATGTCGTGGAGTTGTCGGTAGTTAGGCTGGGGTTTAGTTTTTGAAGGAGTCTCTGCTTTTTCGATATCTCGAACATGGTCGCGGATTCCCCATACAGCGTTCTCTTGAAGACGGGCAACTTCTGCTAAAATACCCGAATAAACTCCAAAGGGGTCATTTAGTTGGCTGGGATCGGGGTTTAGAAGAGGCGTTTCAAGATCATCGGTCGGATCAAACAATAAGATACAAGTTTGTTTTGTCGAAGGAAGCCATCTTGTGAATACGTTGATCTTAGACCAGTAGTACTTCGATCTTCGTGGCAGGTGTTTGACCTCAAAGAACGACCAGGTATCTAATCGGGTTAGTTTTGTTTATTATTAGTCTCATTAGATGAACATACTGAATCCAGTTATCAAACCTCCCTCACGAGTAGCCTCGCAACCAAAATATCCATTTGCGTTGTCTAGATTCTTCGACCACCATAGGTCAGGCATGCAAAAGGATTCGGTAAACACTTGACGATGTTGTGGGGACCCTCGAGCTCTCTTTGCAACTCTGGACCAAAGAACTCTTATTAGTACTATTTCCTCGATAAACTAACCTTATCAAGGAGGAAAATAAGGATGAGATGGATCGCCCTACATTATAAAAAGTCTTGTACTTGGCGAAATAATTCCGGGTGGACCTGTCGCTTTTTCCACGTACAAGTCCTCGAGCTGAGCTTCAGCTTTTTGCCATCCATTATCTGTATCCGGTTAGTACAAGTCAAGACTCTCGGAATCCACAAATCATACCTTCGTTCCACTGCAAAATATCCAGGGTCGGCAATGTTGTGCTGTCAATCTTTTCAGCCATAGATGCTATAATGAATAGACATAAGCTCGCAAGAAGAGATCTAGCAAGGAAGAAAATTCGAAGACTAGGTCAGAATCCTCATTCATAAGACGCCGGGTTTTAAATTTTTTTTTACCCCTCGTCAGACGAAATTCCCGTGTGATTTGCTGTTTTTCCGTTGACACATCATAGCTCGCGGGCGGGCGGGGCGACAGCCATCTGGGACGAATCAATTCGCAACCGCGCGCGAACATCATGCACCTTGTTCAGCCTAGAACCACACAGCCCCCGACAAACTAGCCCGGGTTGCCTGTGGGCTGTAGAGGATGGCCAGCTGTGGTTTGGAGCCTCTTGATATCCTGGTATCCGATCGAAAGGTCTCAGGACCCTGAATTTCGAATCTAAGATATGGTTGAGGTAATCTTTAGCTGGCTGGGTAGATAAGCGCCTTTGGTGACACCTGTGCAACTTTCACTTGGGATAAATCTGACTCGATCTCGATCTTAGCGCACGTAAAATGATGAAAAAGGCATGATAAATACGCGCCTTGCTAGTTTCACAAATGCTTAGGTGCCTTGTTTGGTACACAGTGACCGGTACATATCTCGCGGGCGCTCACTGAGCATTGTACATGGACAGCCCCAATGGGCTGTACTTCGAAAGAGGCGAACCACGCGCGAACTAGCTATTACTACATGATATACCCTTTCAAGTTGTAGGTCAGATGTTACTTACGTCACAACTTATTTTACGGAGCCTCATTTAGGCTTTTCTACTTAAATTAAGCTCATGTCGTCGGTATCTCCACATAGCAAGATAGAGATGGGGAAAGCCGGGCCAGGACTGACTTAAGCCTAAATAATGACCAGTTTCTCACAACACTTCAAGGGCATTGGCCACAGTTCATGCCCATAAAGAATCCGCCACGCCACTCAACCGGTACAGTAGACGAGAGACATAGGCCGACCTGACTGTAATATGTAGTATTGTGTATACCCTAGTGTCCGAGCCTTATGCCGGATAATGCGAAAAAGTCGTGAGATCCATATGATTTGGAAATCCGAACGCGATAAAAGAGCGCTCTAATAGTAGGTTTGAGTGATGGCTCCGGTACATAGGGGGTTGCTAGACGGGCTCTACGGAGGAACAGAGAATGCTGCAAACAATGCCGGTCGGGAACGTAAGACAAAAGTCGGTACCGCTGTTTCAAGGATTCGTTAACAGCCTAGACGACCTTCAGAAGGGAACACATTGCTCATGAGCGACTCGATGTGCGACTTCGGTAACCATCGGAGGTCGGAGACGGAGAGGCTAACTAGACCATTTCGAGATGTTGGTGCACTTCATGGTTAACGATCTCTTCTCCATAAATGCGGGGGGTTCAACCTGCCATGTTTGGTGAAGACCTAGAAAATTGCGTGTGTGGGGAAGAAGTTATGGGGAGAGAAGGAGGAGAGGCGCTTGGAGATACCCGTTTAGGACATTACCCAATTAGGTTGTATTTATCGACGATGTCGCTCAACTATTTGAAGTCACTGGCACGACGGATGGTAGAGTCAAATTTGATTCACGATTTGATTTCTTTTTAGGCTTTGTAACGTGAAGTATTCCATCATGACGGTTGTGCAAAGCAACGGTGTTCACAAGGCGTTGCCTTCGGCATTGCCTCTGGTACAAAAGTCTACAAAGGATCATGACCTTGTCTTGAAAACATTCCGACTGCTTATTGCGGACCTCTGTCAGCAGTTTGGGGGTGGCCATCCTGGGTATTTTTGACCCTGAAATTATTTTTGATTTATGCATAAACTAATTATTTAACAGTGGTGCGATTGGCATGGCCGCCATTGGTGTCGCTCTTTGGAAATACGTTATGCGCTACGCCCCACATACCCCGGATTTCTTCAATCGCGATCGCTTCGTTCTGTCTAATGGTATGACATTCATCTATATCGAGTACCTGAGCCCAGAGTTTATATTCTGACAAATTCAAGGACACACATGTCTCTTCCAATACTCCTTCTTGCACCTGACTGGATACAAAGCCATGACTTTTGACCAACTAAAGTCCTACCACTCAGATCGGGTTGACGCGTTCTGTCCGGGACACCCTGAGATTGAACATGAGGGAATCGAGGTCACGACCGGACCCTTGGGACAGGGAATCGCAAATGCAGTCGGTCTTGCCATGGCAACAAAGAATCTCGCAACAACTTACAATCGTCCTGGCTACGATGTTGTCTCTAACCACACATGGTGCATGATTGGTGACGCCTGCTTACAAGAGGGTGTTGCGCTTGAATCAATTTCGCTGGCTGGTCACTTTCGCTTGAATAATCTTACAGTGGTCTACGACAATAACCAGATCACCTGTGATGGATCTGTCGACCTCACTAATACCGAGAACATCAATGACAAGATGCGCGCTAGTGGCTGGGATGTGATTGATGTTGAGAATGGCTGTTACGATGTCGAGGGAATTGTACGTGCTTTGGAGCAGGCTCGCGACTCTCAAGAGAAACCCACCTTTATCAATGTCAAGACAGTCATTGGTCTTGATAGTCACGTCGCTGGTACCGCTACTGCTCACGGTGCTGCCTTCGGTGTCAACAGCGTGGCCGATATTAAGAAGCTCTATGGATTCAACCCGGAGCAGCACTTTGCGATTGGCGACGAGGTCCGTCAGTTCTTTCAGGAATTACCAGCTCGTGGTGAGCAATGGGTTCAAGAATGGAAGCAATTGGTCAACGACTACACTACCCAACACCCAGAAATTGCCGCCGAGTTTCAAGCCCGTGTTCGTGGTGAGCTACCAGCAAACTGGCAAGATCATATCCCCAGTAGCTTTCCTGAGAAGCCAACCGCCTCTCGTGCCTCATCTGGACTTGTCTTCAACCCCATCGCAAAGGAGGTCAAATCATTCATGGTCGGAACCGCTGATTTGTCTCCATCTGTGAACATGATTTGGCCCGGGAAGACCGACTTCCAGCATGTAAGTAGAAAATTTCCCTGTCTCCTCTTTGATTTCTCGACCAACACATTCAACCAGCCCGATCTACGTACTACCTGTGGGATCAACGGAAACTACTCCGGTCGCTACATCCACTGGGGCATCCGCGAGCACGCAATGTGTGCTATCTCCAACGGCCTCGCCGCATACTCTCCAAACACCATCATCCCCGTTACCTCTTCCTTCTTCATGTTCTACCTGTATGCCGCCCCCGCAGTTCGAATGGGAGCTCTTCAGCACCTCCAGGGTATCCACGTAGCAACACACGACTCCATAGGCATGGGCGAGGACGGTCCCACCCACCAGCCAATCGAACTTGCGGCTCTATACCGCGCCATGCCCAACATTCTCTACATCCGCCCCGGTGACAGCGAAGAGGTGGCCGGCGCCTGGATTGCAGCCATTAACGCAAAGAAAACACCAACCATCATCTCTACGTCTCGTCATGCCCTGCCCCAGCTCTCGCAGACCCGCCGCGAATCTGTCGCACGTGGCGCCTATGTTCTTGAAGAAGACGAGTCGGCGACTTTGACCCTGATCGGCGTTGGAGCTGAGCTCTCCTTCGCATTGGGGGTTGCTTCGCAGCTGAAAGCCCAGAAGGGAATCAATGCTCGTGTGGTCAGTTTCCCTTGCCAACGCCTCTTTGAGCAGCAGTCTCTTCAGTATAAGCGTGATACCCTCCGTCGTCACCGTGGCATTCCTGCTGTTGTGATTGAGCCCTATGCGCCCAATGGATGGGAGCGCTACGCTAATGCGGGTATTAATCTCAAGCGCTTTGGTCACAGCTTGCCTGGAAAGGCGGCGTACAAGTTCTTTGGCTACGAGATTGATACTTTGACCTCTAAGGTCGCGGGATACCTTGATCAGCTTAAGGGAGATGAGTATCTCCAGAGCGAGTTTGTTGAGCTATAAAAAGTTCCCTCCGTTTCGCTTACACCCCCTGATTGATTTATAAATTTTGGTTATTTTCATTTTACCTCTCTCATATTTGTACATAGATGGTTGACGGCGTTATGCTCGGAAGTAATGATATAGAAATGAAAACATTCATGAATACTGCATACAGCAACGGAGACGTCGAAAAAGTACATTATAAGCAGTGCAGATCGAGTGTTTTACGAAAGACCTGCTTTTTTCTGTGGGTTTATTTCAAAATTCGAGCTCTGGATTTTTGATTCCTTTTTACTACGGAATATTAGTCGCACTATTAATTGGTTTCATTCTCTATTTTTACGAAGGAATGCAACGAGTGAAAACCCAAAGAAACGAAGAATTCCCAAAACAAAGGGATGGCTCTACACAACAAAAATAGCAAAGCGACCGGGATGAAACACGATCTCATACACTGACCTAAGTTTACGAGCCGCCTGCGTCGGATCTGAATCAACCTAAAGCAACGAGTGGCTCAGAAGCGCCCGGGGAAATTGGGTTTCCTCTCCACGCGCCGGGGTGGAGCCACCCGCAAAGCACCAGCAGCAGATCTACAAAGGCGCAACTAGCTCTTGCATGAATGCACTGAAAGAGCTCTGCACCGACGACAAGGTAAAGCTCTTGATTGGTGCTAATTTAGCTCTGGGAATATAGGATTGGTCCTGATCCAGGCGGTTGAAGTCAGACAATTTCAGCGCCTCATCTTCAAAGAAGCGGGATCGACATGAAGAGGCAGTCTAGATTTTTGGGATGTTAATTTTGGGTGTTCTGGGCCTTTTAGGATCCTTTCAAGCTAATTAATGGGGGTAAATAGATAGCGCTGGGTCAATCTTTGGGATGCATGGTATAAAGAGGCGTCTCCCTCGGGTTGCTTTCAAGGGTATCAACTTCACTTTCATTCAACGCTTTCTTTGTTTATTCTTTTTGCATTGGACTTTGAATTGTTTCAAGATCTCCTTCATTATATTTTACTTCGGGTATCATAATTATTCATATTAGCGCATTGAATCGCCCCACTCTCTCGACGATATACGGCGCTGCTTCACTTAACTGTGAATATCAACCACCACACAGAAAGAACTTCGGTCGGCGCAGCAAATACATTCTCTCGAAACAAGTGAAAGCTTCTAGATTTCAGCCCTATCTTTCTCTACACGATGGCTCCCCGCTACGGAGCCCTCGGCGCTACTTTCCAGATCGCTCGCCTCTTCCAGGCTTGCTCGCTCATCGCGATAATTGGCATGGTAGCCAAGTTCATCGCGGTGATCGTGAACTTGGATGACTCTCCGCCAGATATCCTGATCGGAACAATCAGCGTGGTAGGTTGATAGTCTTCTCCCATGATACTGGATTCTGCTAATCGATATACCCACTCCTTCAGACTTGCATCGCTGTCATCTACTGCATCATCAGCCAGATTCTCTATTTGGATGATATCTTGCCTTTTCTTTATACTGCAGTTCTCGACTTCCTCATCCTCATCGGCATGATTGTTGTTGCTGTGATTCTGGGAAAACCACTCTCATACCTTGGTTGCTCTGCATTGTCAGAGCTTGGCGATGCAGATGCAGCCGCATACGCCTTTGCATCCCATCTAGGTAGCTACATCTCCAGCCTCAGTGGGAAACTAGAATATAAGTCCTGGATTGGGGCATCAAAGACCATTTGTCTGGAAACGAAAGCGATCTGGGGCTTGAGCATTGCGTTGTGGTGAGTGATTATAGCGATCTCATGGAGACTAAGGTCCCATAAAACACCGTTGAGTCACTAACATCATTTGTAGCATTTTGTTTTTTATTTCAGCCATATGCAATGTCGCTCTTTGGCGCCAGAAGAAGGTCATGGCTGCCAGTGATGAAAAATAGATTTCATCGCACATCGCAAAGGGTGGGTCTCCAAGTTGATGAACGGGACGACTCGACATTCGTGAAAATATGAGCGTAAACTCAAATTCATGAATTATAGACTTGGCTTGCAAGTCTTTAGAGACACCATCTGAGAGATCTAATGATATACGTGACTGGCCCTCGGTTTGAGACTGAATGCTAAGATATTGAACGGTTGCATTAGGAGGAAAGGCAGACAGCTATTTTTTCCTTTATTTTTTTATTTTCTTCATTTTTTTCTTTTCTTTTGTTTTGTTTTCTGTTTTGTCTTCTGTTTCATTTCTTGTCCAGTCTTTCTCACATTTTACTTTGCATCTCCAGAATGTACTAATGGTGGTCGGGTGTTAATCCTCGTGAGTTTAAATGGTGTTTGGTGTCCTATTGATTTTGGAATTTGCGTCTGCATTATGCACAATATACAAAAAATGTGACTTTTTTCTACAGCTAGTATCTTAGGCAATGATTCTGAATTTTCCTTTTGTTTCTTGAATAATATCAAGTCTATGAACACTTAATTCCACCTGGGCACCTTCAGTCCCTTAAGACTATATGTATGCACGAGTATAGCTGGTATTGACCAATCAGATCTCAATTTGTCACTGTGGGGTACAGCCCGGATTAACTGAACTGCCGATGCCCATGTCAACACACCGCCCGGTACCCTAAGCCCTACTATCCACTCTGGGAAACAACGTCATCCGCATCTAAGCTGTTTTGATATTAGATCCAGGTCGAAGATCGACACGAGGCCCATTTCTTGTCTATATTCTTCCACAATTTCTACTGCGCGTATTAGCATCAAAATGTCCGGCATACTAGAGGATGACGACGCGCCACCGGATCTTATCGATGTCACAGCGCTGCCATCAGAGGAGCCTTCCTCCGAGGCTGCCGACGAACCAACCAGTCGAGTCCCCATTACTCTTGTAACAGGTATTGTCGGGTAGGAAGCCTCCATGGTTTTATGCGAAACTGACTGTATTTGAAGGATACTTGGGAGCGGGAAAGACGACACTGTTGAATTACATTTTGACGGAGAAGCACGGCAAAAAGATAGCTGTGATAATGAACGGTTTGTTTTTATGAGTCTGCGTATGGTTCAATTTGAGACTAATGAGAAACAGAGTTTGGCGACTGTACGAATATCCCAAATTTACCAACCATCGCTTCATGAGAGGCTTTCTAATTAATTCAATTGAAATATAGCCTCGGATATCGAGAAGCCCTTGACTGTCAATGAGGACGGGCAAGAAGTCACTGAATGGATGGAAGTTGGCAACGGCTGTATATGTTGCTCTGTCAAGTATGATATCCCCACAGACTCTCTTTGTCTTACTCTGACGCTGCATTCCCCTGATTACTGTAATAATACCCCTTGGAAAACCCAATACTGACAACATCATCCAGGGACTCGGGTGTCATGGCCTTAGAATCCTTAATGGAACGCCGTGGTACCTTTGACTACATCCTGCTAGAGACAACCGGTCTCGCAGATCCAGGTAACATAGCGCCAGTGTTTTGGATGGACGAAGGACTCGGCAGCTCCATCTACCTCGACGGTATCGTCACGCTCGTCGACGCGAAAAACATATTGAAACTACTCGATGAACCATTACCAGAAGAGAAAGTTGATTCTCACAAACAATCTGCTAACGCCGACGACAATTCGTCACCTGAGACAAAGGAAGTGCAAACTCACGATCACGATCACGAACATGGGCACGGCCAAGGACCCATTCTATCAATGGCCCATATGCAAATATCGCACGCCGACGTGATAATCCTCAACAAAGCCGACCTAGTCATGGACTCTGAGCTTGAAGCCGTCAAGAACAGAATCTTGTCCATTAACAGCGTTGCGAAAATCCATGTGACTGATCATAGCCGAACGCCACAAATCGAGGGATTAGTACTCGATTTGCATGCGTATGATCATCTCGCGGATTTAGATTTCGGGAAGAAGGGCCACAGTCATATGGATCCTGCTATTTCAACAGTTGCGATCGTCACTCCACCAATTCCAGTTGACACGGTCGGAAAAGTGGATGAGTGGCTCAGAGAGGTTCTTTGGGAGTCCAAACTGCCTATTGCAGAAAATGCGGGTTCGGCATCATATCCAGCAGATTTTGAGATTCATCGATTAAAGGGCATTTTGGTTTTTCAGGATGGGTCAAGTAAAATTATCCAGGCTGTGAGAGATGTTTTCGAGATTCGGGATTCGGAAAGGCCGAGAGAGGCTCGTGGTGAGGGCGAGGAAGAGAAGGTTCAATGTAAAATTGTGCTTATTGGAAGAGGGTTAACGGCGGATGTGGATCCTTGGAGGGAGAGCTTTGAAGGATTTGTATGGAGATAAGGATATTGCTAAATTCCCAATAATAGAAGAGTTTGAATAGTAAAGATGCGAAGAATGCATAATTTCAAAATGATGTGGTGACTTTACACTTTTCTCATTCATTGTTGTTAGGCCCCACCGGAACAATATCAAGACAACAATTGTCTCCAGTTCGAAGATCGCATAGCGGGAAGATACCCAGGTTAAACAAATCACAATTTTGACCTGTGACTTCTTTTATATTTTATTCCTTCCCTGCTTTCTCTTCTCTCATATTCTTCTCATCATCATTATTCAACCCTCATGGAGAGAGTGATAATTGTCGGCGCCGGTGAGCAACCCATAAGCACACAATGACCAAGCACTAATCCTCTCCTTAGGGCTCTACGGCCTAATTGCAGCCAAAACATACCTCCAAGCTGTAGGCACTGACGAAGGAGAAAGATCCACAGAATCAACCATCCCATCATGTTTTTCAAACACCAACTACACCTCCAACACCCCCGGGTGCCATCTACTTGTGTTCGACGCTGCATCAGACATCGGAGGAACCTGGGCAGAGGACCGTCTTTACCCTAATCTTCTGAGTCAAAACTCCTATGGACTATATGAGTTTAGCGATATGTCGCTGGCTGATGCAGTCCCGGATGAAGATAATGCTGGCGAGTCACAGTTTATTCCTGGGTGGAAGATCAATCGATACCTTCACGCATGGGTTGCTAAATGGGGTCTTTCGAAGCATATCAAGTTGAATTCGAAGGTTTTTATCTCTAATCTATCCGTTGAGTTTCGGATTTCTTGATTCTAAGTTTCGCTAGGTTGTAAGCATTTCTCGTCTCGAAACGCAAGAGTGGTGTCTTACCGTTGATGTCCTGGGAGACGATGGCAACCACATCATCATTCCTGTGATATGCGACAAGTTGATATTAGCAACGGGTTTGACCTCAGTTCCAAATATGCCGAGCATACACACGACTCAGAACCCCAACCCGAGTGCAACACATGTTATTCACGCAAAGGAGATCGGGGCCTGGTCTCGTACGCACCTGGGCTACCACCCACTGCCTGAGCCCAGTAAACCGACTCATAAACAAGAAAATTCAAATTTACCACGCCCACCAAGCTCAAAAATTCACACCGTCGTTATTTATGGCGGCGCAAAATCCTCATTCGATATAGTCCACTTCTTCGCAACCCTCCATCGAAAAGATCCCACTCTACACCTAAAGTTCACACCCGGTGATCCCGTCCAAGTACACTGGATAATCCGCGATACAGGCTTAGGTCCATCATGGATGGTCCCTCCTACATCCTCCCTTCCCAATGGACAGATAGTCGCTAGCGACAAAGCAGCTAGTATAAGATTCCTCCACCACCTAAGTCCTTGTTCATACGAGCTGCCCAAACGACTTTCCTTTCGAGTTTTCACCTCAAAAGAAGACTCATGGTTTGCCCGAATATTTCATGGAAACATTCTTGGGCGATGGGCTATACGTTGGTTCTGGGAATCGATCGATCGGGAACTAGAGGGATTCGCTCAATATGATGCTGATAAGAAGATGCGGAAGCTTAGGCCATCGAAGAGGTGAGAAGGAAGTCTTTTTGTGGAGTTATAAACAATACTGATATCTTTCCATAGTATTATTTCATGCGGTGCTAGTGTTGGTATCGCTAATCAGCAGAATCTATGGGAAGCGATTAGATCACCCAATGTCAAAATCTACCGGTCATCAATCCACTCAATCATGGAGCTAGAGCGAGAAGAAGGTATTCAATTAATTCAAAATTCAGGCGCTTCAGTATCCATGCTCAATGGAGAAACAATTGAGGGTGTCGATCTTATTATCCATGCAACCGGGTATCAACCCATCGTTCCGATTCGTTTCCAACCACCAAGTCTCAGGCTCCAGCTTGGTCTATCCGGTACTCTAAGTCAAGAAGACATAAACAACGAACCAGAGCAGCATAACAACAGCCCAGTTCATATCCCACCAGACCAAGTATCAAATGATCAGTATAACTACTGGAAATCCATCGATCTCAACCAGAAGGCCACCATAAAGTCAAGACTACTATCAGCTGGATGCATCCCAATAGAGGATGAGACCTCCTCCACAACAAAAAGCGCGACAATCCCATATCGTCTCTTCCGCCGAATGGTCGTCCCAGAACTAGTCGCAAAAAGAGACCGATCATTCATCGTACTTGGCGTGGTCCTCACTTCTACAATTGCAGTTGTTGCCGAAATCCAAGCTCTATGGGCTACGGCGTTTTTAACTGGGGGGCTGGACAAGGATACAGCACAAGAGAATATCTCCGGACCGCCTGGATCAATTGATCTAAAGACTTTTCCGAGGGAGGATATGGAGCAAAATATTGCCGAAGATTTTGTTCTTCGATCGCTTACCGGTAGTGGTTTAGAGGTTGATGCTATCGATGTAAGCCTTTTCTTTCTTGTCATGCATGGTCTATTAACTAATTTCTGTTGATAGTACAATGATTCACTTTTGCGCGACCTGGGGCTGAACCCTTATCGTCTGGGAGGAGGTTTATTGAGAGAGCTCATCGGTGTTTATGAGCCGCATGTGTATGCTGGGATTGTTGAAGAATGGCTTATTCGTCGAGAGTTCTTGGAGTTGTCTTCTTTGACTTGAGCACTCAGGTAGATAGATACACATGTATACTATGTATCTCTCGGTTACAATAAGCTCTGGAGGCTTTCTCGCTGAATTCCACATCGCCGGATGCTATTCCCAAACATATCTGCAAATTTATTTTCCATTAAGACCAACAAAATCCCAAAGATACCGAAGATTTTCACCTTCTCTTCATGTCTCAACTTCTCCACAACAATGGAGGAGGTCTGGTGCCAGTGGCAATTTTTCTATGAGCCCTCTAACCACAGTCGTTCTCGCATAATAGAATATACGCCGTATACATTCCTTGGAGGGTAGAGTGCATTACAGATAGCACCGCATATATGGCCGTTGTAGTCATACTGATCTAACCATTCTCCCTACGTAATGTTAGGAAGTAAACCCCGGATCCATAATTCCATAACCATAACATCCATACATCCAAGGTGCTGCGATTCAGAAAATCCAAATTACTCAGACCACTTCCTCCATATTCAAGCATCCTCAAGTTAAAAAAAAAAGCATCAATCGCCAGAATGAGCGTCGAATCACCAATGGTCTCCGAGAACATCGCCGCGGACATACTGAATCCATCAACGGCCTTTTCCCCCTCCGCCCAACCTCCAAAGAAATTCTCCACAGCAACAGACGATCAAAGCTTCATCCCACCCACAATGCGAGCTCTATATTATTCCCCCGGCTCCTCCCAGGTAAAAGGCACACAGCCAACGCGAGCCTCCATCTCCGCACAAGAGGAAAGAAGTCTAGCACCCGATGCCCGGGCGGCATCAATGGTTCAACGAGAAAATACCATCATAAACCCACGAACTGGCTCAATTGCATTTCAAGAAGAAATAGCACCTAGTTCGTCTGCCCCACGAACAGTCACAGAGCCTACCAGTATCGCATCACCAGGTGCCAGTGGTAGTGGCAGTGAAAGAGCAAGTACCAGTCCAGCAGGAACTTTAATTCTCGATACTAGTTTCCCGACACCTCAGCCAGCTACACATCAGTATCTACTCAAAGTGCATACTGCGGCCTTTTGTCAAGATGAACTACGACTCGCAATGACGCTTAATCCGTCGAAGACTACGCCTCAAATCCCACTACATAGTGTATGTGGGACTGTGATTACGACTCCACCACAGGATCATGACCGGCCTCTAGGTCCGAAATACAAGATTGGCGATGTGGTTTGGGGAGTACTGAGCTATACCCGTGATGGTGGCGCGGCAGATTATGTGATTGCGAATGAAAACGAACTCGCTTTGAAGCCGCCAAATATCACGTCTGCGGAGGCGGCAGCACTTGCCTTACCTGCTTTGACAGCCTGGGGAGCTTTGTTCCGGATAGCGGGTATTGATCCGAATGTCTGGTCTCGGGAGACCTATGCCGAAGAAACGAAGACTGGTAGCGGTGCCACTGGTGGGAAAGGGAGTGGCCAGAGTGGTAAAAGTGGCCAAAGTGGTAACGATGGCCAGAGTGACCGCGAACAAAGAGGCAGTTTATCTCGGCTCAGTTTTGGGGGTGGGCGTGGGTTCGGCTTTGGAGCCGGCAGTTCTGAAAAGGGAGCTGGCAATGGACATCGATTCAGTCTTGCCAGTCTCACAGGTGGTGGTGGTGCTAGTGGCAGCGGCAGCGGCGCTGCGAAGGATACTGCAAGTGGGAGCACTGGCGGTAGTGGACGCAAACTTAGCATGGCGAGTATCGGTAACTTCGCCGCAGCCAGTGGTCGCAGACTCAGCCTCACAAACAGCAACAGCAGCAGTGGGAGTGGCAACGGGTTCAGAAAACACAAACCACTTCGAATCTTAGTGACAAATGCCCGCGACAGTGAAGTAGGCCGAGTAGCCGTCCAACTGCTACGAGCTGAAAAGCTGTTTCCAGCCACATCTCCTCGACCCTGGATCTGCGTCACCTGCACCGTTGCCGAAGAGACCGTTCTCCGCGATTACTGGACCGTCGATGAAATCCTAGTGGTTCCCCACCTCCCTACAACAGAGGAATGCGATCTCGGGAGTATGTTTCGATCGCGTAAATGGGATCCCGTGGATATTGTGCTCGACTGTACAGGCGGGGAAGTCTTTCGGGCGGCGCATTCTCGAGACGTGGTTAGGGATTCTGGGTGTGTTTTGACAGCGGTGGATCCTAAGCCTGTGCAGGATCCAGCGACGACGTATGAGCAGGATATGTTGAAGCAGCGGAAGAGAGGGTTAAGGAGTCGGTTTGTTCCGGTAAATCCTGATAGTGTGGCGATGAAGCGAATCTCGGAGTTGGTTGAGGATCGCGTGTTGAGGGGGCGTGAGGAACAAATGGTTGATTTGAGTACAGCGGCGAAATTGTTGGAGGGAAAAGCGGCTGGAGCTGCGGGACGAAGACGTGGGGGAATGATGGTAGTTCGGATCAATCCAGTGTGTTAATTACTACTTAGCTGCTATTTACTATTTATTATTTGTTATTTGTTTTCTATTCTTCATAACTATACACAGCTAACAGCTATCGTCCTCAGTCTCCACTCAATACAAGCTCGGCCTCGGCCCCACCTCCACACGGTACATTTCACTAGCAACGATGATCTTGATCCATTCCAGTCTTGCATCCCCGCTTTTGCTATCAAACGGGTTTGTACAAGTGGCAGTACACTAGAATACGCCCAACAGATAAATATACAATAGGCTTAATACCTAGGCTTAATATTCTCATTAATCAAAATTTAGTTATGGTAGGACAATCACAATTGAAATCTGGGAAGATAAGGCACACGCATCATGCACCACAGCATGCATATAGGCTGTACGACAGGCACACCAGTCCCTACGATCGGTTAAATGAATGGCGTATTTAAATCCAAATTATTGGCTAATGCACAAGACGATCGTGAACAGAACAGTGCTCAAGACCGAGGTTCCTGCAATATTAAAGGTTTAAAAGAGTTAAAAGGTTCCTGGCGTGCTCATGAAAGAGGAGAGAAGGGGTCAAAGCTACACATTTCGTCTCCAAACCTGACTTGGCTATCACAAGATACAGAGTTTAGTTCAAGAGACCGAGGAGCTACCATTATTGTGGCTGTATGTTCGTGTGCTCTCTCGCCCAATCTACGCTCAGGGCTTCGGCCTCTTCGCCTTCCCCGCATGGACGCGCAGATCCCAAGTTTCCCCGTGGGGTTATAATCGTCCGGCCAATGATGCAATCTGTATTGGCAGCTTGGATATGGTAGAATTTGAGTTTGAGTGTTTTCTTTTTGGGAAATGCGAAATTCCCAATTTATGATTTATAGTCTGGCCAGGTCCGCATTGCGCGGGTCCCCTGACCTAGTGATAGATTCGAATACCAAGATGTCTCTCGAGTCTAAATACATTCTCGGTGCAAACCGAGGACCATTATTAACTTCTGAAGGCGGCGCTGTGGGACTCGAGAAGACAGAATCAGCGGGAGGTCTCTCATTAACCAGGACACCTACACGAACCCAGAAATTCCGTCGCCATTGGAAGCGATTCTGGCTGATCTATTGTATTGGCAATGTCATATTCTTAGCTATTTTTCTCCCAATTTTGTAAGAACTGCATTATGTATATCATCTTCGATATTGATTCATCAACTAACACTGACTGACCAACTTTAGCTTCTTGATCTGCATTCCTGCGATCGCGCAATTAGTTGTCAACAAGTCGGATCTATGGCTAACCAGCGCGGTAGTCAATTCACCAAAGCCAGACTCGGTGATCTTGACACTCCAAACAAATGTCGACTTGAAGCTCGCTGTACCAGCTCGAATCGAGAAGCTCCCTCTGAAACTCTTCGAGCGGGCCTTTGGCGTTAGCGATTATTATGCTGAGATCACTATTCCCGGTCAGACGATTAAAGGGAATCATACTATGGGAGTAACAGATCAATTCACACCGCTTGGGAACATGACGGCGTGGAATGAGTTTGTTCGTCAGGTCGTTTTCCAAGAGGAAACTTCTCTGGCCGTGGAAGGTACGACGAATGCGTACTTGGGTGTTCTGAAATCGCATGTTAAGTTGAACAAGAATATCAAATCGCCAAGTTAGTATTTATCTCTCCCCTCATTTATTCCACGTATTCTCTCTCCATGCGACAAGAATCAACGTTGCTAACAAGAACCATAGCCTTGAACAAATTCAAAGGTTTCGCCATCTCCGACGCAACTCTCCTCCTCCCTGCCGAGTCGAACGGAACAAACCTCATCGGCAACACAACGCTTCCAAACCCAACAGTCCTTCAACTCGAAGTCGGCACACTTACCCTCGACATCAAGGCCGGCGATATAGTCATCGGCAACGCAACAGTTAAAGATGTCACCCTCGTACCAGGTGATAACACCTTCCCCATGTACGGGATATTAGACATCACAACAGTCATCAAGAACCTAGCCGACGTCCTGAAAGCAGAAGCGTCAGCGATTAAAAACGGGAATCTGAGTATCAACGCGGTAACATCTTCTGTTGTCTGGAACGACACGCTTGTTCCGTATTATACAGACATCTTGAAGGAATTAACTCTCACAGCCGAGATTGGAATTGGAGATGTGCTGAAGAACACTCTCCGACATCTCAAGTCGCAAGGGAATGCATCGAGCATTTTGGCAAATTTGACGGGTGACTTGAATTTGACCTCGCTCAATGCTCAGGAGCTTGAGAAGCGAGATGCGCGAGCCCCTGTTGACTTGTCTGGTTTCTTGAAAGAGAATGAGCATGTCCAAGATATATTGCAGGATGTCGGGCCAGATGACCGAGATTTGATCATTAACTGGGTCGCTTCGTCATATCCTGATAGTTGATGGATTTTGTTTCTCTTTAATGTCCGAAATATTTAATGCGATACCAAATTAATGACTTGAATGATATTCCCGTAACTCAGTTGACCAAAGTTTAGAACTTAATAGCTTGTTCCACTGCTGCCCCAACCACCAACTGGTCAACCTCTCGGCATCGGATTAACACATTCTCCTGTGGCCGCGAATCAACCTTACTAATCCGGATAAACAATCTCCACTATCCCGCCCTAAACGCTTATCCGCCTCAATCTCCACGCCTCGAATCCGGATTACTCTCTTACAACTGGGAAAATGCAGACCCCAGAACCACAATAACGGGCGGGGATAATGTTTTGACGCCCCCTCTCTATCCGAGGATATGCTCAGAAGTTAAAAGAAAAAATGAGAAATGATAAGCCCGGGGTATCCTGCCGATTCATAACATCTCACGCTAATTCCTTGCATTGGAATTTTTTCCTATTACAGCCTTGCACCTTACACATACAGAAATTTGAATGACATACTAAATATACCGTGCACATCAAGTCAAACACCACTGCACCCCCACAACTTACAACCTACCTCCTCAACACATACAGACGCCAAAATGGGTTTCAATCGTCCCGGCATTGCATCCATGTCCCTTGGCCGTCCATGGCTCCACGACCTGCCCGGCAAACTAATGCAAGCGGCCGCACACGGCTTCGAGGGAATCGAGCTCTTCTTCGACGACCTGGACTGCTACGCCCAACGAACATTTAACGGCGACCACTTAGAAGCTTCTCGACAGGTCCGCCGCCTCTGCGAGCGTCTCAAGATGACCATTATCTGTCTCCAGCCATTCTCAATGTACGAAGGTCTTATCGACCGCGCAGAGTCCGATCGTCTCGTGACAGAAAAGCTTCCAATATGGTTCACCCTCGCACGAGCACTAGGCACAGACATGATCCAAGTACCATCTAACTTCCTGGGGCCGGACCCCAAGACCGGCGCCGCCCGCACGACAGGCGATCGCGCCATTATCGTTGCAGACCTTCAGCGCATCGCTGATATCGGCGCTAAGTCCGGATTCCGATTTGTCTATGAGGCTCTATGCTGGGGTGACCACGTTGATACCTGGGAAGCATCATGGGAAGTAGTCCGGGACGTTGATAGACCTAATTTCGGTCTTTGTCTGGACTCCTTCAACATTGCCGGTCGTGTATATGCCGATCCCGCCTCTCCATCCGGCAAAACACCAAATGCCGCAGCTGATCTTGCCGCGTCATTGGATCGTCTCCGCAACGCTAAGATCGATCCTGCTAAGATCTTCTACGTTCAACTCGTTGACGGTGAACGTCTTGATGCACCACTAGACGAGAAGCACCCATTCCACGTTGCGGGCCAACCAGTTCGCATGTCTTGGTCTCGTAATGCGCGCCTTTTCCCATTCGAGGAATCCCGCGGTGGCTATCTGCCTATTCTAGATGTTGCGCGGGTCTTCTTTGAGGATCTTGGTTTCACTGGATGGGTCTCATTGGAGCTTTTCAGCAGGACCCTCGCTGATCCTGATCCGTTTACTCCTGCTGATCATGCACGGAGGGGTATGGATTCTTATAACAAGATGGGATCTATTTTAAAATGGGAGAGTCAGACTGAAACACCTACACCTTTGCTTGGGGAACCTTCTTCTCCTGTACAGCACCGTCTATAAATCTGAATGAATGAATGCATACGAATCATAAGAACAACATGAAGCATGGGATCGATGGACCGTCGTCTTTATATCTGGTTTCATTGACCATCAACTCATAGAACTGCGTTAGAACAGGTCTTATATGTACATATCTCCAACTTTTCGAGTTTAAATGTGAAAGTTATTCCCACAATATGCATACCCCATCTCCCATACTAGTGAAGGTAAAATATAAGTAAATAATATAAACATTCTTTAGTCTATTCCCCGAATGTATACAGTCCCGGTCCTTGTTCTCTCTCATTAATTTTGTCGATCTCGTACCAGAAGACACCGACAAAATATTCTAACTTTGACGATGATCAGAATCCACTATCCTTGCAAGTCGCATCGTCGAGAGCAAATTCTCAGCCGCGTTTGAATGAGCATGAATTCCACCACCGTGAAACAACTTCGTAGCATCCTTCCCAATATGCTCCAGCAAATACTTCTCTCCACCAGGATGATGGCCCACAAAATCTTCAACATTATGCACAACATCATCAACAACAAGTAAGCAACGCCCACTCTTGACATATTCAATATACTCTCCAAAGCTCCAAGCCGGCAGCTGATCAATTGGCGTCCCCCAAGAAATCTCTTTTCGCTGAAGTTCCATCCGTCGCTCAATCTGCTGAAATTGACCCTTCTGAATCTCATTTTCAGGAAACCGTTTCAAGTCCGAAGCAAGGTTAACCTTTTCACAGAGCCAAATGAACCACTTCGTCGGATCCCATTGATACCATCTAATTCCATTCCGGTAATCAACCGGAAACTCATGGTGAAAATTATGATATCCCTCTCCCCAAGTGACAAGCGCAACAAACCAGCTGTTTCTCGGCGACAGCTTATTTGCAAAAGGTTGATCTCCAGCCCAGTGAGCGAGAGAATTGACACAGAAGGTTCCTTGTTGAATTACGAACAGTCGGACGCAACTAGCCCATATGAATCCTCCAGCGAAGTCATCAAACATGAGTCCACATAATACCGTCGGGAATACATATGCCGTCAAAAAGAGTAGCATGAGGTAGTGTTCACGCTGCCACATGATGATATAATCATTTGAGAGATCTTGAATTTCCACTCGGCCTGTTTGTTCTGGTTTTCGTCTAACCACGACCCATCCGTAATGGGAATAGAAAAGACCTTTATGGGCAGAGTATGGATCTTTGTCGGTATCTGTATAGCGATGATGCGCTCGATGATCCCTGCACCATGTCCTAATCGAGCCCTGTCCTGCACTAGCTCCTGTAATTGCTAGAGCAATTTTCAGAAACGTCCCCGCGGAATAGGCCCGGTGTGCCCAAAGGCGATGATACCCTATTATCTCGTTAGAAGAGGACCCAGTATGTAAGCGACCAATTCGATTTACCAGCAGTGATACTAATCCCACCGACCGTCCCGTAAACGCAAGCAAAAATTGCAGTTCGAGACTGTAAAGGTACCCACAGGCTGCCGATGACCATAGCAACCATGGGTATTCCGCCAGTGAACCATAGCCGAATCCAGTCAATTTGATCGCCTAGCACACGTATGTCTCCTAGCACCTTACCCAAGGTAGACATATGGTGAGCGGTGAGCATCTTGATCAGTGAACACTTATAAGAACGAAAATATTTTACCCAAATTAAGGGCTGAGAGGGTGCTTATACATTGGCCTGGTTATATCATATGGTTAGACAATTGTACTTGATGCTGCGCGTCAAGTACACGCAAAACAAAGCAACAACAAAAATAGAGTTTTTCGTAGAACAAACTAGTCATTCGCATTAATAAACAAAATGTGAGGGGTCAAATATTCACCAAGACAGCCTAGGGAACTGGTAAAGAGGAAGATTTTCCCTGACCATCCCGAAATTCACAGATCTAATGAGATGCGAGGGAAGATAGCTGAGTTAGTGTAACACAACTTCCGGTGAACTAGTCTACCTATCTCAGAACTAATCAAGTATTTATTAGGTTTGGTGGTGGCAAAATATCAGAGGTGCTTTTTCGAAGTCTATGGCTTAAATCCTTCGGCTGCATTGATCTCTAGTAAGTAGTTTTTGTCGAGACCGGATTGTCTTTAGGTAGAATACTCCTTATTTAAAAATTGGCTTTAATGATATCCTGCATAAGCAAGGGATAAATTGAATGCAGATGTATTCACAAAATCGTCATGATCTACCACTGTATCACATCGCACCTGCATACGCGCCGAAAAGGCAGTTTATCTTATCCTATCGCCTATTGTCTTCCCATTTAAATATGCAAACTGTTCCCACCAAAATACATACCTCGACCTATTATACTAGTGAAAGTAAAATATATATAAATATTCTACAATGTATTCGCTGAATATATACCATATACATAGCAACTGTACAGAACTTGAAGGCCATAACGGCTCAAGCTTACGATTGACGCCTGCCTAGTATATAAGGTCTATAAGACACCACCATGAAAGATATGTGCAGCATATATGTAGTTGGTTGGCTTAATTGAACAATCTAGCACTGGAGGCAGGCCTTATTATAGGGATTCCAGTATTTTACCTGTCTGCCTACATACTATAAATCATGCATGAACTGGATAGACCCATGGCCTAGTCTTCGGTACACCTGCAAATGCACCCGCAAAGCAGCTTATCTTATCTCCTATCGCTTATCGCTTGGTGGCGGGCACGGAATGTCCACTGGCCCCGCGACACCGACAAGCCCTTCACACTATCTCTTCATATTCCTGTACCCTGTTCGCCCAGCTACCCTAAATCCCTAATGGGAAGCATCGAAGAAAATTGTGCCTCACTCCGGGCACAGATAGCCACCACCGAAGCCCAACTAGCCAATCTCAAACGCGAGCTTGCGCGCGCCGAAAGTCAAGCCGCGGCGAACTCGGAGAATACAGCGCCCGCGGGAAGCGCCGAGGAACATTCGAACTCACAATCGCCATGGCCCTTACTACAGGAGGAATATAAGCGGTATGGTCGACAGATGATCGTATCTCAAGTTGGTCTTCCGGGTGAGTGAAGCTATGCTGCTGGAATGTTGGAAGGTCATACCCACTAACGATTGACTTGTTGTTATTGAACTAGGTCAGCTTAAGTTGCGTTCTGCGAAAGTCTTGCTCGTTGGAGCTGGTGGACTTGGATGTCCGGCAGCTCAATATCTAGCTGGGGCTGGCGTGGGGACTATTGGAATGATCGATGGGGATGAAGTTGAGGTGTCAAATTTACATCGCCAGGTCTTGCATCGGAGTTATAATGTGGGGAAGTATAAGGTGGACAGTGCAATTGAAACGCTAAAGGAGTAAGTTCTGTTCCTTCTATGAGTTGCAACTTGAAATCATATTCTAATGAAACAGTCTCAATCCCCACGTAACCTATACTCCTCATCGAGCCCACCTTACCTCAGACAACGCGCCTACAATCTTTAAAGACTACGACATCATCCTTGACTGTACCGACAATCCCGCTTCCCGATACCTGATCTCCGACACTGCAGTGCTCCTAGGAAAGCCACTAGTTTCAGCATCTGCACTGCGCACAGAAGGTCAGCTTGTCGTGCTGAACCATCCTCCCCGACCACCCGGTGATAAATATGGCGGTCCGTGTTATCGATGCGTATTCCCAAAACCCCCACCAGCGGACAGTGTCGTCAGCTGTGCGGATGGTGGAATTATCGGCCCAGTAGTTGGTACTATGGGTGTTTTGCAAGCGCTAGAGGCGATCAAGGTCATAACAACACCCGATATCGATCCACAATTGGAAACATCCTCGAAACATGATCCTCCAGTTCTTCATATCTTCTCAGCATATTCGAATCCTTTATTCCGCACAATCCGCCTCCGATCCCGTCGGCCCAATTGTGCAGTCTGCTCTGCTGCTGCGACTATCTCACTAGATACAATCAAGTCAGGCTCTACGGACTATGTATTCTTCTGCGGCTCGGCGAGCTTACCGTCACTGCTGGGACCGGACGAACGTGTCACGCCTAAAGAGTACCGTGAAAAGCACCCAGAGTATACTCAGAGTGGTGATGAAAAATCACTTAGAAGTCCGCACACCATTATTGACGTTCGGGATGAAGCTCAATTTGGAATCTGCCACCTCCAAAATAGTGTGAATGTGCCGATTTCGAAAGTCCTCGCCTCAATACCTTCGCAAGGTTTGGATTCTGACAAGACTGATCAATCGATACATCCAGTCGCGCCTTGGGTTCCACAAAAAGTTGCAGGAGAGGATTCTAATGATCCCATTTACGTAGTTTGCCGCCTCGGAAACGATTCTCAGATTGCTGTCAAGAAGTTGAAAGACATGGGTTTGGATAGAAGTGGCCGGCGATTTATCGGTGATATTCGAGGTGGTTTCCGTGCATGGAAAGAGCAAATCGATCCTCAGTGGCCTGAGTATTGATGTGGAAATTTTGTATTTCCATGGAGCTTAGCAACTTTCCATCATCGTCAAGGACATATCAACCCAACCCCATGTGAAATGGTGGCATTGTATATAAGAATTACTTCAGTCTTACGAAGAAGCATGGTATTAGAGCTTTCCCCTCGAAATCTCAGGGCGACTTTTTTATCAAGTCAATATATGCCAAAAGTGTATGTGTCTCTCATTTTATCGTACTTATGCTTGCACCTAGGCTGTTTTTATTTTTAGCATTGCTTGTCCCACTCAATGGGGGGTCTGTAGTATACGTGGGAAATGGCAGTCGTGGGGAAACCCCCATTTTTGCATGGGCCGATGGGATATCGCCAACCTCAAGTTGAGCTGCAATCCTAGGATTATAAGATATATCTTCGAGTTATTTAATTTCTTTATTTTTGAATATACTTACTAGTATAATATGAAATATTTCTCAAAGAAATTTCTTCATTTGTCTTCTAATTGTCTTTCCAGTTGTCTTTTTACTTGATTTTCTATCTGTATAAAGCATACAGTACAGATAGGGTTATACTAAGGGATAAAGGTTAATATTGGGTCAGGGGGGGCGGGTTTTCTGCTAAGCTCTATTGTCCTCCGAACCCGTAGAGTCTGACTATTATTCAACCTCGCCAGATCATGATGCCATACGGATCACGATCAGCCTCGCTTACAGAAACCTCAACGCTGCTATCTTGATATACCTCTTCAAATGACGGGGCGGAGGAAGCTCCACCCTGCTTAGCGTTATCTTGAAATGCCTGCAGGGCTGTTTTCCTCTCATTTTGCCACACTTGCGAAACTTGACGAATGAGCTGATTTTGCATGACAGCACGTAGGTATCCGCGTTCAGAGTTGGTGTGGGCCAATGAAATAACGACAGACCCCTTCTCTGTAGCAGCCAGAGCTTCGTGGTGGCTCATCTCTCCAGTGAACAGGAGATCGGGGATTTCGTTTCCGCGAAGAAGCACACCCGAGCCGGAGCCGGGACACATACCGACTGTGCGGATTTTGATATCGTTGATACGCCGACCCTGGGGAGTAGCGATGGGAATTCCACCCGGAAGGCCCACGCCACGGCCGATATGGTCTACCAGTGTAGTGAGAGGCTGGGGCTCGTTGAAGGTAACTAGACGTCCCGAGCCAGCAGACTCGAATCCTTCTGGGATGGAAGGTGGAGGCGAGGGGTTGATCGTGGTTCGAGTGTGAGGTATTTGTTGAGAAGGGTTTGCGGAGGCGGCCGTCGGTACAGATTCAGCTTGCGGATATGTTGGTGCGGAATAGAGAGAGGATGCACAGTCGTGAACAGCGAGCTGTGGGGTCTGGTCGGACTTAAATGTACCGGTCACAACGTCGCAGAGCCAATCGGCCATGCCACCAGGGACAGTGTCAACGGCAGTATGGGGCGAATAGACGCTGATTCCATGCTGAACAAGTCGTAAAAGGGATCGTTGCTGGGTATCATCGAGGGTGATCGATTTTAAACCGCGGAAAATAATCGGATCTAGTATCAAGATTAGTCAAGGGGTTTGAATTGGAAAAGACTTGACAAGGCAGCTATCCCTAGACAGAATAACCCACGTCAAAAATCGGGCTGAAACATACGGTATGCAACAATGGCCGAGTCGGAACGACGGATTGCCTCATCGGCGACTGCCGTGGTTAGGTCAATGGCTAATAGGACTGAGTTCTTCTGGCGACGTGTTGGGTCGAACGGAGCTTCGAGAAGTACTATATATAACAAATTGTTAGTAAAATATGATCCGTGAATCTCATGACCTAGTAATTTTTTTCATCCCACTCACATCCAGTATTGTCAAAGCTCTTATCAGCCAATGCCTCAGGGTACCTGATAGCGGGTCAACATGTGTACGAAGCTCCAAGGGCAAATTTCACGGAGCCAATCACGGCGACATACAGCTTTCTCATGGAGCTAACCACAGCCCGTGTGAATGGTGAACAAGAAGGGGTAGACGACATCGTGGAGTACAGCTGCGCAGCTAAACGCAAGCAATTCATGAACTTTTCAATGATTCGAACTCGAGTACCAGAGAGAAAGTGGGAACCACAACAATCAGTGACGCAGTTGGAGAGGTGGATCCTGGGCAAACGTTTTTCCGTTGAAGTAAGGGACTTCTTTTGTACAGCATCAACGGAGACCAAAGCCATATTATCGACTTAGAGAATAATCATCATTCTTGGCTGATAGTGTGCTTGATGCTTTCACGAGTGTACCTACCACATACAGTCATTAAGAACAGGAGCCCCCCGGGTGTTGAAAATCAAGGATACACAAACAACCAAAGACGCCACCAAATACACAGCCCAAGAAACATTATTACTCAAGCGATGACCGCACTTACTTGCAATTCTACTAACATTTTGAAGAAATTCATGCAATATTTCTAGATTCGATGAAAACAGCTCCATTGACACACGAGTTTACCTGCCAGATGATGAGTTTTACCCATCAGCCATCACTGGAGTTCATACTTGATTCAAAATGACACAACGTTTCAACATGAATTTTAGATACGTGAACTATATACCGTACAAAACAACGAGGCCTGCTCTTGTCTGTCTAGGAACCAATGTTCGGCTCGACTCTGATCCAAGTCGCACATCTTAGGAGCTGGTGGAAATACCAGCAGCTTTAATCAAAAACTGGGCCGCTTCCGTGGCATCATTTCCATAGGTAAGATGAGCCATGACGTTCGCGCCATTTTCGCAAACAGGGTCACCAGTAGCGCAAAACTCCTTCACGTTATCACTTGAAAGCTTGCCAACACTCTCCATCTTCAATGGATCGCCAAATAGCACCGCAGCCGTAACTTGGTCCGCCGTAAGGCTGTTTGCTGCGTTATGCACAACCATGGCACCCTCGGAGTATCCGCCCAGGACGACCTTGGATTTGGGGCACTGTTTGAGGGACTGTTTGACAAGGCTTGCCATGGTGGGACCACCATCTGCGCCCATTGTTGCATCACCCTGTTGGATTACATGGCCGATTAGCACTTGTCAAGATTTCAATCAATATCTGAAAGACGAGATTCATACCGCAGCAGAGGCATCATAAGTTACTCCCTGGATGGTGACTTTGTTGTTTGTCAACGACTGGAGTTTCGTTGCGAGTGGTGGCCCGGCTACAGTTCCCATGTTGCCCAGCTCGCCAGTTCCACGAGCGAAAATCAAAGTCAGTTCTTGACAGTCCTGATTCTCGGTCACGCCATTCTCCGTTGAGGACTCTAGTTGACGCTTGAATCCCGAGGATCCCCCCAGACTAGGGAAGCTGGAAGGGATAGAAAATCCGCTTCCTGGGGAACCCCCCAAGTTAGGAAAACTGGAGGGGGTAGAGACCCCAGTGGGGAAAGAAAAGCCACTACCAGACCCGCCTAGTCCGGATGCCGAACTTGGAAGCTCGCCGAGTAGGCTTGCTAGGGCTCCAAGACCACCGGTGGTTCCAGAACCACCTAGTTGTCGGTTTTCAATTGTCGGGGTGGGAGCCGCCAGGGCAGACCCGACCAGAGAAAGAAGCATTGCGGTCTTCATGGTGTTTAAAGTAATAAATGAAGAAAATCTCCAATTATGATGTTTGAAGTTTGAATCAAGGCTTAAGGTTGGCTTGTGGGACTACCTGTGCAAGGTGTAGAGGAAACGTGTCGGTTTTCTCGGATTATTCGGGAATCCATGACTTTAAATATGGACACTCACTCCGGCCAGAACAAATAATTAGGAAGAAAGTAGCAACCAAAGCTCAAACTTGGTGTCCTTCGCGATCCCCTTCCAATTTCCACGAAACGTTGGAGTTTCTCCACGCAGCTGAAACACTGGTCCCTGTTCAAAAATGTCTATCGTGTTCAATCTTGAGACCCTCCCAGTTGGATTCTACGGAGTACAACTGATTACGATGAAATTCAGGGAGTATAGGTGACACTCTTCAAGGCAAAGCTCGTCTCAATTGCTCCATAGAGATTCAAATTTCAGACTCAACGAAGAATGCACATATCGGCGCTGTTTAGTCTAATTAGCTTGAGAGTCCTACTACTATGTGTTCTGTATTTTAAAATCATTCCACACCTACTAAAGAGGCTGGTTATCCGGATCCCATTGCTGTGGATATGGACTGACCCAAAATTGAGTTCTGCGCCAGGCTCCCGACTAGGGAAGTTCGGCCGCGCCTTAAAAATGGACCCTGCAGATTTACTTCTAGTCGAAACATCTTGCCCATGTAATCACTGTATTTGGGACTGAGGTAGGATAAGGTGAAAAACGAAGATCTTGAAGAAGGATTTAAACAAGTAAAATTCAACAAATATAGCAAAAAATTTAGATTTAACAAAGCCGCGTCAAACAAAGAGCGAGATCAGCCAATAGTGAGAACCATGCACAGCCACGGTAAGTTGGAAACAGCATGACTGTGACCTTGATAGAAGATAGTATACTACCTGCTCATCATAATTCATCCCGATGAAGAATTCTTCCGTTCCGATGGTACAGCATCAATTCCTAGCAAAACGCTTCCTGGAACCGCAATATCATGACTCTAGCCCTCCTCATCCACATACCACCAGTCTCTCGCCTCCCAGTAGCCGGGCGGCTCACAAGATTCCCTCTCTATTAACCCATTTTTGTCGCGTTTTTCATATAGTATATACCAAAAAGCGGGCCACACAATCAACACAGTCCTACGGCCTTCCAACCGAGAAATATCCTCAGAGTCATGCATATCGCAGGCATGCCAATTCTTTGGTGGTGTTTCGGGATCAAATGCTCCGACTGGTGGTCCATTCTCATATGGCCTTATGCCGTGTATGCTTACGTCGATTTTATGCATAAACTGCGCGACCACATACGACTGCGCAGTCACTGGCACGCTTGTAGCACTTACGTAGTCCAAGAACTCGACGGCGTGTATATTGTTCATCTTGCTCCTCCTGGGGGTTACCCTCGGGTCTCATTGGGAAGATAAGACTGTCAGGCGCAAGCATCTTTTTGACGAGTCTGTTGATGTATGCCTCTCGCGTGTTGTGGCTCCGTATGCCAATTGTACGGTCGTTGGCCTCCATGGGTCTCATTTTACCCTATCGGGCTTCTCGAATGCATTCCAAGTCCTCCTTAGAATCGAGAGGCTTAAGGTACTTTTTCCTCATCCACACTGTGGATGTGCACCATTCAGAAGCGCGGGGGTTGTCAACTAATATCGGAACAAATTAGTTGCTGATTGCTTAGTCTTTTGCGCTTTAAAACACTTCACTTATATGGCATAGCGTGTTTCATATTTTGCCAGAGCTTGTGCAAGTCCTCAGCCAGTGGAGTGGGTAGTTCTTTATGATTACCCTCCCATCCGTCTCCAAGGTCCATGTAATAGAACGGGTTCGCCACCAAGTTCTGAAAGATATCTTTGGAGATCACAGCGTTAATGAAGGCTCCGTGGCGAAGGCCCTTCAAGGGAAAGGTAGCAACCATAGTATCCCAGTCAGAATAGAGGCCCCAGTCTCCTAAGTAATCCGTAATCACATACTTTTGCTCTGGGGTCATTCGTGCATCAATCAATGCGGCATGATCAGGGGACATGTCATCGTCACGCTCATCATAATCTTCATCTTTATCCCGATTCCCCTCCTTATTATCCTAATAATTCTCTAAATAGTAATTGTCTATCCACGATGACAGATCGCTTTGCATGATTTCGATTTCACCTTGGGGATTGGTAGCAGCAAATCTAAATTCTCTGAAAGATTCGCTATGATAGGGTGGTTTTGGTGGCTCTCGTTGCGGTTGGACATATGGGTCTTCCACCATAACCCTCCATTTCGGCTTCGAAACATCCACGAGACGATGATCCCATTCAGGATCTTCTGCCGACCTTGCCGATGGTTCATCGTTCAGTTTTCCTCCGATCATTTCGGACGTTTCTGATGATTGCAACGTGTTTGATTGGAATTTACTTTTTGGTTTGCTGTCTAATGGCTCATCATTAATCTTACTGGAGCACTCCTTGCCATCCAGTATGACATTTAGCCAATATGATACATGATAGGTCAACAAAACCTCACCTGTGAGCGTTTCGAATTCTCGAAATCTACAGGCTGGGTACTCTTTTTGGTTTCTGAAGTCTTCATGATATCTGGCTATGTACACACTTACAGTCCAGATGGGAGAACCCGATGGGACTTTCAAGTTCACTGCCATTCGTGAGGGAAAACAGCTTGCCCAATGGGAAGTCAGGCCCGGTTTGATCGTTTAAGTATCATGATGGAAGCACTTGTCGGTCATTCTTTATCTCAAAAAACACAATTATGTTCATCAATTTGATATTATTTTCTATTTTCTATGACCAATTATCTATCATTCAATGTCGAGCATCCATATCAGTAATAAAGTGCTTTCTCAAGTGTAATAAATCGATATGTGGAGCAATTGATCTGTCAGGGTTGCTGAACATAGGATGCTCTCTCTGCATTCACATTTTTTGGGGTAAGAAGAACCGTGGCCTTCTGCTTACCTTTCTTATTTACTGCTTTACTGCCCTCACACTTCAACCGGCATTTGGATATTTCTCCAGCAGCATGCTATACGAATAGTGCTGCTGATCAGCTCTTTTGTGAGCGACGCCTTCTTAATATAATGCTCGTGTAAATGCTCAAATTAAAAGTATATGAACAATAGATCGCTCGTTCGACCCACTTTGGCTCAACACCGGCCCGGCATCACGCATCATGCTGGAAGACGTGGGTCCCGAATCGTGGGGCAGTAAGTTTCCTCCATTCGTATTTCAGCTCTCCTAGGCGTCACTGATTAGACTTTCACTTGATTGGCCTCGTGCTATGGAGACATTCTATTCCCAAGTCCACTATACTCCACCGGTTTCGCTCCAATATTCTCTTTTAGTAGCAACGGTGGAGCTTTTAAAGATGCGTACCGGGCCGGCCAACTCTGAACCTCATTTTCCTGGGGCCCCGGAAAACAATACCCCGCTGCGGAGAGAGTCACTGGGGTTACGACAAGGCACCTATAATACTTCCCGGGGTGAGTAACTATTTGGAACGAGACTCAATTCAGTTCAATCCATCATCGCTCGCATTGCATCGTCGATTTTCTGTCACCTTAAGAGAACACCAGATAATGACTGAGACACCTTCTACCGACCCAGCTACCTTCGGGCAAAAGAAACAAAATGAAGACCATATATCAAGAGCAGACTTCGATTATCAGAATGATATCGATGCAGAGGAAAAGAATGTCATTGGAGATGTGAATCCATTACCTGATCTCCAACGAAGGCTTAAAAGCCGCCATTTAGCTATGATCGCAATTGGTGAGTTTGTCGCACAATGTCCTCAATGGAGCTTACAAGTCTAACTCAAACACAGGCGGTACAATAGGTACTGGTCTCTTCATCGGAAGTGGAACAGCCATAGCCGATGCAGGACCTGTCGGTGCCCTCATAGCGTACATTTTTGTCGGGTCTATCGTCTATTCTGTAATGACATCTCTAGGAGAAGTCGCTACCTTTTTACCTATACCGGGAGCATTTGCTTCATATGCAGCTCGACTAGTCGATCCAAGCCTTGGCTTTGCGATGGGGTGGATATACTGGTTTTCATGGGCATCAACGTTTGCTCTCGAATTAACCGCCACGGGCTTGATTATTCAATATTGGGAGAAATCAATTCCTATCGCAATATTTATCGCAGTCTTCTGGGTTTTAATCATACTTTTGAATCTGATGCCTGTCAGTTATTATGGTGAGACAGAGTTCTGGCTATCCAGTATAAAGGTGAGGAATTCCATATTTTTACGATTCGCCTATATCACTGTTTCTTAACCCCCTTTTTACCCTTATTGTGGAGATATGAAATCTTCCCAGAATGATTTTGGCTAAATTCGAGATATCTAGGTTATTACCGTGATTGGTTTTATGATTTTCGCCATTTGTATGAACGCCGGAGTAGGCCAGGAAGGCTACATTGGATTTCGCTACTGGGTTGACCCAGGTCCCTTCAAAGCATATCTATTGAAAGATCCTAACCAGGATAGCCTAGCAAAATTCATCGGCTTCTGGGCAGTACTCATCAAAGCCGGATTCTCATATCAAGGAACCGAGCTTGTAGGAATCGCAGCAGGCGAGACTGAAAATCCCCGGAAAACAATCCCCTCCGCCATCCGAAAGTCCTTCTTCCGAATCATCTTCTTCTTCATCCTGACAATCTTCTTTATTGGCATTGTTGTTCCATCTAAAGATGGTCGTCTAACTGGCGCTGATGGCAGCGGTGCAAGCGCCAACAATGCGAATTCGGCTCCTTTCGTTATCGCTGCTAAGAGAGCTGGCGTGAGCGTTCTCCCATCACTCATCAATGCAGTACTGCTCACAGTGGTGCTATCTGCAGCCAATTCCAATGTTTATAGTGGCAGCAGAATTCTCGTTGGACTGGCATACGAGGGATTTGCTCCTCGATTCTTTGTTAAAACCACAAAATGGGGAGTGCCGTACTATAGTGTGGGCTTTACGGCACTTTTTGGCCTGCTTGGATTTCTGAATATCTCGAATGCAGGAAGCACGGTCTTCAATTGGCTTATGCAGATTGCTGGACTTGCAGGCTTCATTACCTGGACATCCCTTATTATCTGTCATCTGGGATTCATGAATGCATTGAAAGCTCGTGGCATTTCACGAGATACTTTGCCATATAAAGCAACGTGGCAGCCATATTTGTCCTATTATGGGCTCTTTTTCAACGTCTTGATTATCGTTACTCAAGGATTTACTGCCTTCATCCCGACATTTCAAGTGACTGATTTCTTTATCAACTATCTGAGCTTGATTCTTTTCGCAGTTCTTTATATTGGACACAAGGTTATCGTTCGGCCTGCATTCGTCCGTCCCATTAACGCGGACATTTACACTGGGAGACTTGAATTTGATCAGTGAGAGAGATTCTTCTACATTTCATGCATCCGCTCTGGTCATTCGTGGTAGACCTTAAAGCATCAACTTGTTACATAACTCGATATCCGTCAAGCTGAAGGTGAGGCGGCTAAGTGAATGTTAAAGATCATATGCATATTATATAGATAAATACAGAACAAATCATATACAATGGATGGTCTCAATTCAGACCGTTTATCTTTCCTCACTATTTCTATACAATAAAATTATTTCAAAGCAAACCAAAACTCCTTCCAGCCCATCGAGGCAATTCAGGAATCAAGTACAGTCCTTCTATGATGATACAGAGAATCGCTCAAAGGGTATAGTAAGTTGCCATTTCCTCCTGAAACCAATTATAAGAGTAGTATAATTGCTCCGCCATTTGGGGATCAATCATTGGCATGGCTCCACTGCCATCAACGAGTAATACATCGTCCAAAACAGGGGCCAATGGAACCGGCGGTGCTGGTATCGATGTTGGTGCTAGTGATATTGATGACTGAGGGGGCATGAGAGGTTGTGTTTGTTGATTTTGGTGTTGTTGATGGTGGTGCTGTTGCTGCTGCTGCTGCTGCTGACGATGTTGCTCTTCCAGTTTTTGCTGTTGATAAACCATTTGACTGAAGACCACGGTGCTTTGGTGGCGGAATGTTTCTGCGAGGCGGTTCACTCCGGGTCTTCGTTTTCCAAACTCTTCCAATAATACCACGACTGCCTGGATTCCACGTCGCATCATCTGTTCATCGGGGCACCACGGCGCAGGTTGAGAGTCACGCAATGAACGCGCATTCTGCTCCAAACACCATAGTATAGTGATACCCGCGAAGTAGACTTGACTCAGCGTTAACCAGATCCATTTGAGCTTCCCAACGGAATAGCTTTCCCAGTAAGACCGGATTACTTGGACGCTGGAATCGCCACAGCTGACGATACTAGTCACATCTGGCGTGGGATTGCGAGGGCTGGGCCGATGCATGAGAAGAAGGGTTGTATAATACAAATAATCGTAATAGGAGGTAGAATATAGGAGAGCGGGCGGGTAGACTGGAGCATTCATACGCCAATCGTCCACTTCACGTCGGAATTGATCCATGGTTGCGATAAGCTCTTGTGATGGAGGACGTGGCTGGTTGTTGTATACTATCTCGCTGCAATCAGAATACGGAATCATACAAGAAGATATTGGTCCGGTAAAAAGAATCAAACTTACAGTATCGATAGATCCGTGAAAAGATCCGACGCAGACGAATCACCTGTAGTGGGATGGTCATCGCGCTAGCGCCAGGGGCTTCGGTACCATCCTCGTTCAGCTCTCGTGGGAGACCAACACTAATATCATCATCTGCGATACCCAGCGGGCGGCCCAGAGTACTCGCGATGAGTCGGTCAAGATTGTACAGACTCCAGAAAGCCCGTTTGGCCATTTCCTCTTCGACCACACTGGAATAGGATCGGGCCTTATGAAGACCCAGGCTCGTAGCGAGCCGCATGGCAGCTCCTAGCACATGCCAAATACTTGGACCTGCAGTAGCGAACATAGTATAGAGAGCCAGCCCGAGTAAAGCCCGAACGGCGGGAAGGTCTTCATTCTGCAGTGCAGCTGGGAGTGTCTCCTGGCTCGCCCGGTAAAACTCAGCCGCCCGAGTGGGATCCGCCGAACCGATCAACAGCGAAATGGCAATGATTATATGATAGGCGTTATGCACTTCTGGCGAAGGTTCGCTGCCCGAATAGATATCATGCAGATGAGCCAAAAATTCAGATCGCGCCATAAAAGGGTACTGATAGCCCATGCTATCAAAGTATTGACCAACCACCTGCTCGGCCTCCTCCTGAGATGACAGACGTAGCACCTGGGGTGCGACCGAGGGACGCGCGATAGAAGGGCGGCGATTCTCTAGCTGATCTCTGAATATCTCCCCCACGTTTGGCAGCTCAGCCGCGACTCCAGTGGATGGCTCAGCCGTGGGTACGGTCGCTCCCGACGAGTTTCCGCTGCCATGTGGACTGGGAACTGATGTGGCAGAGACACGACTCCCAGTAGCAATCATGGCCGGCACTTGATACCAGAAGTCCACATCTCCCGCTCCATCCACAGGGGCACCCGTCGGCAGTTCCGCGACTGCGATGCCCGATTTCTGCCGCACCAAGTCCTCCAACCATTGTACTCGTTTCTGAAGGGTTTCAAGCTGGTCTCGGGGCACGGATGAGTTGGCGGCTTGTGGACCGGGGGGAGGAATGGTACAACGGAGTCCAGCACGGGAGCAGGCGGAACAGTTCGGATATCGAAAGTCACATTTTTTCTTGCGTTTGCGACAAAAGTCGCAGGCCGTGGACACCCGTTTTGTGCGTGAAGCTGCGGTGGATGCGACAAGAGCTGCAGATACGGGGTCGGCGGGGGGCTGTACGGTGGATTGCGACCAAGCCGTCGGGGACGGCCCCATTGATTCTAGCCGGAACTTGCCCAGCTGATCACGAAAGTCCTTGTTGCCGGAGCTGTTCATGATGACGGCGGCTCGATCCGCAGTCCATCTCAGCCACCCAGAGTTCACATGCAAGGAGGGGAAGGTTGGGCGTTGAAGGAGCGGAGTGAGGGAAGGCGGAGGGGACAGAGATTGGAGAGTGGGGGAAGTCTCCGGGAAATTGGTTGATGGCATTTGCGCATTTGCACTGCTTCGCTTAGTACGGGAAGCCGATCGCCGATCCAAAGAACTCATTCCGGTGTGATTCTGCGAGGTGCAGTCGAAACAACCTCATGAAACCTTCTTGCGCCACATATGTAAGTCGCATTGCCGGTGACAGTGTGGAATACTGAAAGTACTCTGTTAATCCATTCAATAAACCTATCAAAGGACGTCGAGATATTGAATATATGAAACCTCGGCAATACGAGCCCAGTGGAGTTACATTGCATGTAATTGGGTCTCTATAGGGGTACTAAATCAACACGAGGTCAATATTCACATCTTCATCGGTTCCTGGATGATAAGACCCGGTAAGGCATACATGGATACGAGTGAGGATCTGCAAGGCACAATTTTTGGGCCCATCTTAATGCAAAGCTGCCAGGGACCATTCCTGAGACTGTTTGACCAGATATAGGAGAAGCAGAATAACTACATATGGCTATATATTTAGACATATTGAGTTTATTCATCCATTGTTAAGGTTGGCTTCAATAAATCAAGGCGATCTATAGTCGAAGCCTCTAAGGTTCTCTAATATTAATATAGGTTACTCATCAATACTCCATAGATTAGATTCTTCATCGTTGCATTTCCACTCCAGAGTGGCGCTTGCCACTTCGATGGTGGCTTTTTAACCTTTATGACCTTCCATACTCTTGAATTACTCTTCAGGGCTGCTTAAATTGATTATTTTGAAACGCCGAACATCTAAATCTTCCGAGGTGGGTCGGGATCGACTGCTTTTCATACTATAATGGGCATCCTAGACCCTCGTATTCTCTTCCACTCTTCAGCCCCCAGGCTAAGCCTAAGCCTATTATTCTAGGATATGATTGACATTCCGATCCAATGGCAATCTATCCAGTACTTCGAAGTTACATCAACATTATCGGTTAGAAATCCATAAATAACTCGAGACAGAACCCCCTTTCACACTGACCAGCAGATTCAATCAAACAAAGCATACCTGATAACAAGCCACCATGAAGACCACTGCTTTCTCTCTTCTTGCAGCAGCATGCGCTGTTAAAGCAAGCCCTCTCGAGTCTCGCGCGACTACTGTTCAGGGCTTTGATATCTCCAGCTACCAAGGAACTGTAGACTTCTCCGGAGCCTATGGAGCTGGTGCTCGATTCGTCATGATCAAGGTATATACAAACGAGCCCCTTATTACCTGACTCGGCGTTACTAAATCCCATAACTCTAGGCGACAGAGGGTACCACTTATACCGATTCATCTTTCTCAAGCCATTATGACGGTGCAACCAGCGCTGGCCTCATTCGGGGTGGCTATCATTTCGCCCATCCTGACAGCAGCTCTGGCACAACACAGGCAGAGTACTTCCTAGCTCACGGAGGAGGCTGGTCAAATGATGGCAAAACCTTGCCCGGCATGTTAGATATTGAATATAACCCCTCCGGCTCCACCTGCTATGGTCTGAGTGCCTCAAGCATGGTTTCGTGGATCCAAGACTTTGGCGCAACCTACAACAGCAAGACTGGTCGTTACCCCATGATTTATTCTACTGCCGATTGGTGGAGTACTTGCACTGGTGACAGCACTGCATTTAGCAAGGACTATCCCCTTGTTTTGGCTCAATATAGTAGCTCTGTTAGCACAGTCCCTGGAGGCTGGCCTTATCAAAGCATCTGGCAGAACGCTGACAAGTACACCTACGGTGGTGATTCTGACCTCTGGAATGGCGATGAATCATCCTTGCAGAAGTTTGCCAAGGGATCTTAAGATAGGGTAGTTCTAGCTTACAGTTTTGTGGGTTTCAAGTCGCAACAATATGGATCGTTCATTCTATGTAAACCAGTCTCAGTCTATTGTCTTGCACGCTTTCTACTGTTGAAGTTTTGTTAGACCCACCATAGTCAACAATTGTAAATAGAATTGCGAAGGTAATAACAATCAACCATAGCTGTATATTACCGACAGTAACTCGCGCAGTAGTTACTATGCTGTCGCCATGGAGATGTATTTCTCTCTCCCGACGTCATTGGTCAAGATGCAAACATTGAACCCCTCGCCTACAGATAAGAGATAACATACACATCACACCATCCAAACCACAACCACAACATCACTCCTCTTGATTGTAATTATTACAAAAGTTCATTCGGCACCTCATGGCTAATCTCGACTTCCAATCACCTCAAACATTAGGCTTACCCCTAGCCTTTTATGGCACCGCAACCCACTCTCGAGGACTAAATGAGCTCGAGATCCTGGAGAACTGCTTCATTTTAGTGGACAACTCAGGCAAAATCCAAGCTTTACGACCCAACGTGAACCCCAACCAGATCAACTCCTTGATCTCAGAACTCGGCTACGCCCCAGACGTGTTCCCCGTCAAATACCTACAGCGTGGCCAATTCCTCTGTCCAGGCTTCGTGGACACTCACAACCATGCACCTCAATATGCCCAACGAGGCGTTGGCCGCGGCATAACACTAATGGATTGGTTAAATACAGTCACATTTGCACACGAAGCCAAATTCAAAGATACCGAATATGCCAAAAACATGTATTCGCGTTGCGTATCCGGTTTCCTACAACAGGGCATCACAACAGCTTCTTACTATGGTTCTCTTCACGGGAAAGCCACGCAAATACTAGCCGATACCTGTCTGGAGAAGGGACAACGTGCGCTAGTCGGAAAATGCAATATGAATCGAAATTGCCCGGACTGGTATACTGATTCTTCGGTTCAAGAGTCTCTCGACCAAACTCGAGAGGTGATTCAGCATATACGCAAGATAGATCCAGAAAGCAAGCTAGTCAAGCCTGTTATAACTCCAAGATTTGCTATATCGTGCGAGCCAGATCTACTGCATGGCTTAGGGGTGATTGCCAAAGAACATCCCGAGTTGCCGATTCAAACACATTTTAACGAAGCCCGAGGGGAGATGGAATTTACTCGACAATTATTTCCAGACTTTCGTAACGAGACGGAGCTCTATACGAAATTCGGACTATTGGGCGACCGCACCATTCTCGCTCACTGTATCTTTCTAGAAGAGAACGAGATTGAAGAGATCCGAAAACTTGGCTGTGGAGTCGCTCACTGTCCAGTTTCAAATACAACTATGGATTCATTCATGGTAGCGCCGATACGTGAATATCTACGAAAGGGAATCAATGTGGGTCTAGGAACAGATTGCGGTGGTGGCCATTCTATTTCCATGCTTGAGACCATGCGACAAGCATTTGTAGTTTCAATTGCACGTCAAGAGGCTACCAAGGGTCATGATGTGGCCTTATCTTTGGCCGAGGGGTTCTATCTTGCTACGCTTGGTGGCGCTCAGGTGTGTGGGTTAGACGAGAGGATTGGAAACTTTGCCATCGGTAAAGACTTTGATGCCCTTGAGATTCATACGACTGAACTTGACACGCCCGGGATCATGACCCCGGTTGAAGAAGAAGACACACTGTCTGTGATATTTGAGAAATGGGTCATGACCGGCGATGACAGAAATATTGCGAAGGTGTATGTTCAGGGCCGTTCTGTCAAAACATGAGATTAATGGAGCATTTGATTTTGAAAATCTCTACAATATGAATATTATTATTTAAAATTTTTAATACATGCAGATATGTAGATTTGAATATGCCCTCGTGTGTATAATACAAAAATGTGTTTGTGTATAAAAATGCATATGAACAAAGAGATTTACAATGCAGACATCGACCATACAAGATTAACCTAGAAGCATGATCAACTCCAAGTCCCTCTTTCAGGTCCAAAATAGCCTCTAGCCGGAAGGCCTTTATAAGGTGTGCCTAGGCCATCAGCAGTATTACTAAATACAGTATTTCCCCACCAGCTCAAAGAACCAACCGGCAGGGTAATGCAGAAAAATATGATGACAGTAGAAACGGCCACGCCGCAATCCAGTGCAGCGGACAAGATATAGTCTGAGGTGTAGACGTCAGTAGCGAAACAAGGATACGGTAGGAGAAGGGGTAACACACTGTACTTGGACCACCAAGCGGGTTTGTGGCGGCGTACGAAACCATTGAAAATAGCATTAATCACCCACCAGGATGAAAAGCTGACACCTGTAGCAGGGGGTACCTGACTCATCGCACCAAAGGCGACCGGCCAAGATAGATAGTTCACAGCTTTCCATCGGCGACCGATGAGGTAAGTGGTGATTACGACGACCGGTCCAACGAGGAAGAACCAAAGTAGATTGCTATAGGTTTGACCTGGAGAGAATAAGCGCCTGGGTCCAACCGCACCTACGATATGGTTAGCAACAGGTTAAGTTAAGGGTGCGGACCTAAAGACCGGTTGTGGTAGAGATATTAAGAAAATGGACCAATAGCATACCCCATATAAGAGATGACGAGTAGGTTACTCGGCCATGGGGACAGCTGAAATTCCCCTCCGCATCAGATGTGCAAACTCCATCAATGCGAGTAATCATGAAGACTGTCACGCCGCACTGTACAATAGCTCCAACTAAGGTAGCTAACCCCTGTGCCACAAACAACAACCTAGGTGCAATATGGAGGTAGTGGGCCAGTTTCATATCGGCAACGAACCTATGATGAATCAATTAGCATCACAATATAACCAGTGCGTTTTTAAGAATGATAACATACTCTAGTCCCTGTTGAATTGCAACATATCCATAAAATTTGAACACCATGTTCGCCATTGGCCGACCAAGAAATGCATAGCCACCAATAAATTCTGTGATCAAATTCAACTGATTGCTTGAAATATTGGTCGATCCCTTAATTATACCCACAGGGATAAAATAGACCATCGGTAGTAGAAAAGCGATCAACACAGCCCACGCTGGTAAATCAGTATGCCAAACTTCATTCGTCACAATACTCAAGACGAACATCAGAATGGTGACTACCAAAAACCACCACGAAGGAACTTGCGGGTACATGGACATCATTCGGGCGTGAACATCAGACTTGCTTGTTCCCTTCCATTGTTCCCACATGTCCTTTCCGTGATATAGACCAATGTGGAAGAGGATACCAGTGAGATTGGCGAACGCGACGCCGAAAGTGACCGCATATCCAGCTGGAAGGAACATCGGCGAGTAGTTCCGGTATGCATCTGGATCGACTGATCCATTTTCATTCATAATGCGCGATGTATCGTATTCTTGACCTGTATTGTCGAATGTGTTGGAATTGAGAAGAGGCAAATATGATGAATACCAGGTATTAGTATAGTAGAGAATAGGGCAAATCAACCAGAAGAAGAGAGCAAATGATCCCATCACATTGAGTCCAGCCCAAAACGGCACCAACAGAGGGCTCTGATTAGCATATACCACTTGTGCCCAGTCGAAAGTCAAGACTGACATTCCCAGACCTGTCACCTGGCCGAATAGCTGATTCACCACGACATTTGACGGCACGATCCAGCAAATGAAACTGAAAGTACTGAGGCCAGTGAAGAGATACCCCGGCGCAAAATACCAGGTAGCGCCCGCTAGGAATATAATGAGGAAAAATTTCAGTCGGCTGATTTTCCAACCGTCTGCCATCATATTCTCTCGCGAATGAAGAGTTGTCAACAGCGCCGCATTTGACAGTACCTGCGGCCATATCATTGACGCGGGCGTGACGAGCCAACGAACTGTCATCCCAGCGAGACCGAATCCGAAAAGTTGTGTAGTTATGCACAAGAGTACTTCGAGTCCTCCGTGCGAAGGCATATCATAGAATTTGACTACCGCTTCGATAATTTGCGTGGCAGCAGCGGAACCAATGGAGACATTAGCCATAATGGTGATCAGTCCATGCTCCTTGATATTGAAGTGTCGGTCGGGATTCAGCACACCAATTGGCACCCATCTCGCCCAGGCACATCCTACCGGAAAGGCCAATAGTTGAGCCACCAATGCACTGATAGTAACGCTCGGTTGTCGTAGACTGAAAAACTGATTCAATCCGCTTCCCACCTTTTAATTCGCGGTCGAGTTAGTTAAGTCCGGGCGCGAACAAAGGCGTGGCAAGGTATTTCGGTTCTGGTCGCTTACAATAGTAAATATCAGACCGATCGTCCACATTCGAATCGTATTCACGGGAAGGGATAGGTCATCGACAGGCTGAATGACAGCCCGTACCTCAGGGAACGGAGAATCGTCGGCATCAAAAGGTAAGGTCTTGTCGGCATCCCGGTCGCGTAGAACGGAGATTTCCTCACAATCATCATCAGGGGTTGCCTGTCAACATCCAAAGCTTGTTAAGGCCAAATTTCATTTTAATTTCGAGTACAGAGGATCTGCATCAATTTCCTGCATGTATCAAACCCAGGACTACACGAGATGCACGAGATGCATTAGCCTGAGCACCCCCTCGTGGAGCCCCCGGAGCGAAACGGATACGCCGCGGGCCGCCAAGGATACCCAGAGCTCAATCGCAGTGGGGAGGGAAGTGCGAAAGGATGATCATTTCGTATAAAGCCAGAATATGATACACTAATCTTTAAGAAAGGATTCGTTCCACATACCTGAGACCAGGACTGTCGCCGAGATTTCTCCTCCTCGGTCACATCTTCCATGCTGGCATCCGACCGAAAAAAAAAAGGGTGGGGACTCCCCCAACAGGAGGGAATGCAGGATCACCGAAATCCAATCACAGCTTAAAGTCTAGATCCAATAAGATGGAGAATAGATGAAGGGGGGTTGCGCTACAAGCCGCATGGATCGGAGAGATGCGCTTCAGCCCGCAAGAAAGTCAAGATGTACAAAGGTTACGAAGGTTACAAAGACAAAAATGGTTTGAAAGAGAAAAAATTAATAAGAGAAAACGAGTGTCCACGTCATTACGAACGTTTGTTTTAGCCTCCCATCATAGTACGAACTACGGAGTCCATGGATTTTAATAGGGTATTCTCAACAATCTTTGAATGAATGAAGTTAAGGTATAGATTAGCAGAATTTGAGGAAGTCCTAGTTATCTTTAATCAAGTCCACGACAATTTTTCCGACCAACAAGACTGGAGTTCCGACCATGACATTCCGGTGATGTCGGCTTTACCCGCCACACCTCCTCTTATGTACCTTATGTATAGACTCCACTCTGCGGTTCGGAGCGCTGTGGAAGGGGTAGGCTAACTTTCCCCTCGAAAAAGAAGGATCTTTCAATTTAAGCATTGATAATAAATGACAAATTCAGGTATATATATCCGCCGCACGCCAAATAACTAGGATCATTACTGATTGAGAGCATGGCGCCTGCCGCAATCCTCGATAATTTCAAGTTGAAACCACTCGCATTCTATATGTGTATGGCATAACCCCCATCTCGTGGGAATCTGATCAATAGATCACACGCTCATCTAACATACGATACACACTTCACATTTGGGGATAGCCGATAAGAACCTAAAAGGAAAGAATCAAGCCATCCGTGGCCTGCTGTTCCCAGCTCACGCCCCCCTACTTCATCGTCCCAAGCAGGCAACCAGACCCTTCGCTCCAATATGGACGATATCAGTCATGATTCTGCGACTATGCAGCTCCCTTTTGCCCAGCGACCGATTGTTATCCTAGGCGCTGGCATTATTGGCTGTGCCACAGCCCATCAGCTCCTGCAACACGGCTTCTCCGTAGTGTTAGTGGCGGAGTTTTTACCAGGCGATCAAGATATCACATATGCTTCCGCATGGGCAGGCGCAGCATGGCATCCAGCAGGCGGTATCACCCCTAACCAGCGCTATATACAGGCTATCACCCATCGCGTTCTCCTTAAGATGGCACAAGATCCCGACTCAGGAGTCAGCATCGTCGATGTGCGTGAATATCTAGAACAAAAGCCAGGTCCAGACTCGGCAATCTGGGGTAGAACTGTTGTCAAAAAGGTATTGAATGAGTGACCACTGATTATTTTACTCGTTCTGTTTTCTGTTTTTCAGGGCACTGATTATCTTGAGATAGTTTCGGGAGATGAGTCAAGGCGAATATCCTGACAATTTCCATTCAGCCTGGGCCTATCAAACGCCCGTCACGGATCCAACGCTACATATACCGTATTTAAAGAAGAAGATAATCGGTATGGGCGGAATATTTATTCGACATCGAGCTCGGTCTCTCCAGGAACTGTTCGACAAGTTCCCTGAGTCTCGCATCTTTATCAATGCCAGTGGACTGGGTAGTAAGACCCTGGAGGATGTGCAAGATGACCATTGCTTTGCTGAACGAGGACAAAATGTCTTTCTTCGAACGGATAAATTCCATACAATGTATTTTCGAAATGGCCAAGAATACACCTATATCATTCCACGGCCACTTTCACAGGGTGTGGTGTTGGGAGGTGTTAAACAGACCGATAACTTGTACGCAGCGTCAACCCTTCTTTCATTTTTGAGCTTTTTTTGTTCCTACAATGATCCTCTCAAACCTTAATCGCTAATCGCTAATCGTGTTTCCAGATCGCCTGATGTGGATCCCTACATTGCCCAAGACGAGATTGCACGGGCCCATCGACTCGCCCCGGATATTGTCCCTTCACAGCCCGCAGTTGAAGATATAAGTCATATTATTGGAATCCGATCGTCTCGACGGGGCGGTTATCGACTTGACTCCGAGCAACGAGGGGATAATACAGTTCTATCTGCCTATGGGTTTGGTGGTGGTGGATATGCATTTTCATACGGCATCGCAGATGCGTTATTGAAGATGGTAGAGAAGACCGAACGGGCAAAATTGATAGATTGAATTTCATAATTGAATTTTTAACCCCGGGTCTAGATCTAACAAATCAAAATCTTGAAGTCTTGCATAGGTGGCGCCTCCATAGATCCATGCAACTGGTTCATATCTCGACAGGATTAGCCTTATGGAAGCGATCCCGACCGAGAAGTGGAGACTCTCACACAGTAATAGATCTAGAACCTCCCACTTCTAACGTTAAATCTTGCGTGTACCAAATTCCCTTGCCAAGACTGCTGCATAAGACCTCATTATATCTCTTAGTGGCGTTAAAATCAAGGTAAATTCTTTGCCTCCCCCTTTCTTTCATAAGTATTCGCCACTCCAGCACTTTCACGCAATTTTCGCTATATATCACTTACATCATTATTATCGTCGCCTCTTTTGCCTCTTTGTTCTCTCCCACGTGTTCGCTGTACTGAATCCGGATTAGCGGCTCTGTTCCTCCCCCGCCGGACAAATTTGCCGTCCACTTGAACTTCACGGCATTCCGGCTACAGTCAAAAGATCCTGACCATTACAGGTTTTTCAAGATTTTGTTTCACCTCCAAATCCCCATGGCTTGATTTTTCTCCCTGATTTGAATTTTTTTCTTTCTATTTTGAGTGAGGAACGAGCACGCATCAAACTCAGAGCGCCGATACAGATCGCCGTACCCTTCTTAAATTGAACCTCGTCCTAGATGTCCTTCCTGAACGCAGCCAGAATGCACACCTGGCCGTGAGTGGAGATCATATCTCATTGAGGCTTGGAAGGCGTTTTTTGCGGTACACCCAGCCGGGCTGGGCGGTTTGTGACACAATGGTGTTAGACCAACACATGCTCCATATGCGTCTTGATGATGGCCGGCCCGTCGACTTTGCGGCGGTCATTACACCACCAGAAGACTGCGATTCAAATGAAAGCAACAAGAAACTGGAAGTTCCACCCACTGAACAAGTGCCTGTGTCAGTGGAACCTGACCATGGAGCAATGATTTATCGACTCACCCCAACTCCTACGCTTATTTTGGATGGCTCGTTGAAGGTGATAGAAACATCACAAAGCCATCAAAAAGCATTCAACCATTCTCGGGAGCAACTTCTGGGAGCGAGTATATATGAGATGATACCAGCGCTCATCCCCGCGCCGGATATTGCCTCTCTCAGTGGTGCATTAGGCGCCGCGATCGCGACGAAACAGACTCAAGTGATTCAACGAGTCCACTGTTCAAAGTCTGATTATTCTTTGAGGGTAACGCCGATATTTGACGAGGATTCATTGATTTACGTTCTTCTCGAAGCACACGAGCAGAAGCGAAAACAAAGAAATTCAAATATTAGTGAACAGGCATATCTCAACGAGACTTATAAAATTCTAATCGACACGGTCAAAGACTACGCAATTTTTATGCTAGATACCCGAGGCTACATCGCAACATGGAATTCTGGCGCTGCTATTCTCAAAGGTTACACGGCTCAGGAGATCATCGGTCAGCATTTCTCTATCTTTTATGGGCAAGAGGACCGCCAAAATGATAAACCAGGGCGGGAGCTCGAAGTCTGCATGCGCGAAGGGAAGGTCGAGGATGAAGGCTGGCGTTACAGAAAAGATGGCGGGCGCTTTTGGGCCAATGTCATGATCACTGCCATCTACCAGTTCGGTCGGCATGTGGGCTTCGTGAAGGTGACTCGAGATCTGACGGAGCGCAAAGCTGCAGAAGCGCGCCTCATCGACGCGTTTGAAGAATCCTCGAAGTTGAAGACCGATTTCCTCGCCAATATGTCGCATGAGCTCCGAACTCCGATGAATGGCATGTTTTTGGCCTTGGGCATGCTGACAAGAACCTCTTTAACGGACGAACAACGTGAATTTGCGTCAATCTTGGAAGATTCAACTTCAATCCTTCTGCAAGTCATTAACGATGTCCTGGACTACTCGAAATTATCATCTGGGTCATTCTCCATCACCGCCGACGTGGTAAACATACCCAGTGTGATCAATGCAGTGATTCGAAATTGCCAGCCCTCAGTGAAGCCCGGTGTCTCATTCAAATCTTCAGTGGCTTCGGACTTTCCTCCAAATGTCAAGGGCGACCCATTACGCTTTCGTCAAGTCTTGCAAAACCTTGTTGGTAACGCAGTGAAGTTCACAGAAGCGGGCTATATCCACATCAATGCGTCTTACTCAAAAGACCCCACTGATCCTCGTTCATACGCCATCTCGATCCAGGTGGTAGACTCTGGTATTGGAATCCCAGAGAATGCTGTCAATACCCTTTTCACCCCTTTCAGCCGATTTGCAGACTCTGCGACCAAACGATATCAAGGGACTGGACTAGGACTTTCCATTTGCAAAAGTTTAGCTGAGCTCATGGATGGTGCTGTTGGATTCTATACGAACCCAGATGGTCCCGGCAGTGTCTTTTGGATGTCTACAAAGATGGGCCACATTGATCCGCCAACGGCGACAACAAGAGAAATGAGGTCGCCTATTGAACGAACAATATTCGATCCTACAAATCTACTCAAGACAATCGCATCTCGAAAGCAAATCCTTCTTGTTGAAGACAATAAAGTAAACCAAACCATCATGCTGAAATTGCTAGGGTCTTTGGGCTTTGGACGGGTTGATGCTGCCTGGGATGGCGCTGAAGCCGTTCGCATGGTGAAGCAAAAGCCACTTGCATACAATGTCATCCTAATGGATATCAATATGCCCGTCATGGATGGATTACTAGCCACCACGCACATTCGGGATATGAAAATTGATGTCCCCATCATTGCATTGACAGGAAATGCCCTCAAAGGAGATGCTGAGACGTACCTGGCGATGGGCATGAATGACTACATTGCGAAACCGCTTCACCGGCAACAGTTAGTAGATATGCTCTGGAAATGGTGCGGAGCATAAGAGGGTGATAGTGAACTTGATCCCACGTCAACACTGAAAGATGGTGGATGGTCGGATCAAACATTCTCCCACCTACTTACTCCAATTCGCCCCCAACTTGACTTGAACTGCCCTGGTCGGCATCTACCACCCAAATTGTATTGGAAGATAATTGAACTGCGACCAAAAATAGCTTAATTTGCCACTTCTCTTCCCCTCTCACTACGTCGGTCTCTAGCCTTGTAACACAGGCCTTCACTGAGACTGATTATCGCCACAATATTAAGATTGTGTTTATACGTATATGCTGAGAAAGCTCTACAAATGATGGAGGGAATTCACCGGGGCGTTCCTAGCGCGATTCGGCGCAGGCAGCTTCTTTTTTTCCCCTTGTCTTTTCCCGCTGGTTGTTCCAGCTCCAAAATACAAGGTTCCCCTCCCTGATCACAGATCGTCGAGCTTTGAACTCCTCTTTGACCCTGCGCCGGCATGCAGGTCTACACCAATCACTATTCGCCACTTTCCCCCACCTGATAACAACCACCCGCTCATTGTGGAAGGCACTTACAATGGGCTCGCAGTGATGCTGTCATTGCCTACTGAAAATTGCAGCCTGCATGGTTCCTGTGCGGTTACCACAACCCGGGTAACCTTTTTCAAGCAAATCTCTCCAATCACGTTCTTGTTCCTAGGTCAAGGCGACGGAGGGCCGTGAAAGTGCCGGCGTACGTTTTTATCAATTGTTCTTGTTCAATTGGCAAACTTATTCACATATACCATACCCAAATTCGACTTGCATGTCAATAACGAAATGGCCTATTGATATTATTGAGTTCGCTCGCAATCTGTGACCACTAACTCGTAATATTGGTGCTTCTGACCGGCAACCCGATCTTGTCAATCTACTCTCTTAGCTTTCATCCCATATTAAGGAGATGCTTCCTAATAATATCATATTTATCATATCACGCTCTTGACTTTGGGGAGATGTGTACTCCGTCCGGCACATGAAATAGGCTTGGAATTCTTGTAGAATGACTTTTCCCACTACATCCCGAAACTTTAACACTCCGAAAGTAAGTTTTTTTTCAAAGTAGCGAGACACAATCTTGGAAATCTCCTTAGTCTCAAATCATTGCGGTCATTCTCCGCTCCTCGTGTGCATCCCTGATGCCGAAATACGGAAAATAGGTGCGGGGAAAGGTTCTCAGGGGCATATCAGGATCGTCGCTCGGGAACCATTATTGGTCAACATCAACGGTTACTGAATCCCAGGATGAAGACTCAACAAAAGCATTCCTAATGGAGCATTATATTACCCCACTTTACCCGCTCAGTGGGGTCGTGTACTGAAATCTTGACGATGAATGCCAGGGCATGGTCCCCTTTTTTGGAGTTCACAGCCTACTCCGTCTGTACTGACTAGGACGTACAAGACTGCGCCGAGCATGCTTGGTCTGTGCTTACTTGTTCGTTCGTTTCTTGGCTTTGCTGGAGAAAGAACGTCCCGGCCATATACTTCTCTTCACATGGTGTGCATTTACTCCGAGGTCAACTTATTTTCTACCAATAAACGCCATCAGAATGCAAAGCTCTACCAAATTCGCCCATTCAACCTAATTTTATTATGATTATGATTGCCAACGTCTACATCATGATTCTCTGGGCGGTTGGCCTGGGAAGAATCGCGCAATGTGGGGATCAGCGCGCTGAAAGGATCGACTTGCTCCATAGCAGCTTACGGCAATAGCCTATTCCTGGAAGGATGTAGTAGCCTCTGGCCAACTCATTCAGGATCTCACATGGTATTGGTGTGATAACCCATTGACCATCGGATCTCCGTTTCGTCCCCTCGATCTACTACATGGTGGGGTGTTTTGTCAACTCTCGCATGAATACGAAGAAGCACGATAACAATTCGCAGGTTGTTAAGGTTGTAGGTAAAAAACCATCATCACCTGCCTGTCTGGTCCCGCTTCCCTCTTTCCGGCTCAGGCCCAAGCATCACCGATCTTCCATCAGCTTTCCTGATCAGTTCGCCAGAGGACACTAAGTTCACCGACTGGACTAGCTATCTTCGGGGTGAATGCTCCGTACTAGACCCGCTCTTCGACGATCGTCTCTCCACTGCGAGGTATAATCCCGAAAATGGGTCCATTGCCGCCTAGCTTCTTGATCGCTGAAGCGCGATCATTGGAGGTTTCCAAAAGTTGCGCTTGAGCAGGTGCCGAGTTGGAGGAACGATGGAGCACCTGTTGCGTGAGCGGAGTCTGGAAAAGAGGTTATAAAGCTGCGCTTCCCGGGTCTCCGTTTCGTTCTCTTATCTCCGTTGTGTATGGAGTAATTTGGATTGTGTGCGTTCATCCAGATTCATAATGAAACTCTCCATTGTCCTTTTGGGAGCTGCCGCTGCTGGCGTTGCGGCTGTTCCTGCCTCCAACTACAAGGTGCATGAGCGCCGTGATTTCATCCCATCTTCGTGGACCCAGGGGAAACGCCTTGATGGCTTTGCTTCACTTCCTGTAAGAATCGGGCTGGTTCAGAACAATCTGGAATCCGGACATGACCTTCTAATGGAGATGTATGTAAAACAATGCCCCATATCTGAATCTCCTGAGCTTATCTAACATTCACCTTCAGGTCAAACCCTGCTTCAGGTCACTATGGAAAGCATATGTCAGAGGCAGACATCCATGATATGTTTGCTCCTAGCGACGAAAGTGTGGACAATGTTCGCTCGTGGTTGGAGTCATCTGGAATTGCTCCCCACCGCATCTCCCAATCGGTAAACAAGCAATGGATCCAGTTTGATGCGGATGCCAGTGAGCTTGAGGAACTCTTGCGTACTGAGTACTTCCTTTACTCTCATTCCGAGACTGGTAGACCTCATGTGGCCTGCCGAGAGTAAGTTCAACCGGTTATCACTACAATTTTCATGGGGTTCATGGGCTAATCTCGCGCAACATAGGTATCATGTCCCACACTCCGTCAGTGACCATATCGACTACATCACTCCTGGAATTACCCTTCGCGAAGTGACAAAGACCGGGAGGGTCAGCAACGGGCTTCGAAAGCGCTCTATGGGTGGAATCCCTCCAATTCTCGAGCCAATCTTGATGCCTATTGAAGAGCTGTTGAACGATGGTCTGGCTGAATTCTGCGATGTTGCAATCACTCCTCAGTGTATCACAGGTAGGAGACTGATGAAATCTGCGCCATTGTTTGACCTTTGCTGACTTGCAACAAGACATGTACAATATCACCGAAGGAAAGACTGCAACGAAGGGTAACGAGCTGGGTATCTTTGAGGGCATCGGAGATGTCTATGCTCAGGAGGATCTGGATCTCTTCTTCACAACACTGGCAAGGTATGTATACATTATATCAAAAGTTTCTCCCTCGTGAATTCAAACACTAATACCTCTATAGCAAAATTCCAAGTGGAACTCACCCAACCCTCAAGGCCGTTGACGGCGGCAAGGCACCAGTTTCGATATTAGAAGCAGGTGCTGAATCCGATCTCGACTTCCAGATCTCATACCCGATCATCTGGCCCCAGAACTCTATCCTTTTCCAAACAGACGACATGGTCTACGAGGATAACTACACCTTCCGAGGCTTTTTGAACACCTTCCTAGACGCCATCGATGGCTCATACTGTGATGAAATCTCACCCTTGGATCCTTCTTACCCTGATACACAAGATGGAGGATACAAGGGATCTCTACAGTGCGGGGTTTACGACCCACCAAATGTCATCTCCATCTCCTACGGAAGCGCAGAGGCCGATCTCCCCATCGCCTACCAGCGCCGCCAGTGCAACGAATTCATGAAGCTGGGCATGCGCGGTGTCTCCGTCATCGTCGCCTCGGGAGACTCCGGTGTCGCCGGACGTGACGGTGATCCCACCCCAAGCAACTGCCTCGGTGACAAGGGCCAGATCTTCGCCCCCGATTTCCCAGCCTCATGCCCCTACATGACTGCCGTCGGCGCAACCTACATTCCAACAGGTGGCAACGCCAAAGACCACCAGGAAGTTGCTGTCTCTCGCTTCCCATCAGGCGGTGGCTTCAGTAACATCTACGAGCGCCCAGATTGGCAATCCAAGGCTGTGGAGGATTACTTTTCCAAGGCTAAGCCTGACTACCCCTACTATGAGAGTGTCAACAACAAGAGCTTCGGTGCCAACGGCGGTATCTACAACCGGATTGGTCGTGGGTACCCCGATGTCTCGGCTGTTGGTGACAACGTCGTCATCTATAATAAGGGTCTGCCTACTTCCATTGGTGGAACATCAGCTTCGGCACCCGTGTTTGCGGCTATTCTCACTCTTATCAATGAAGAGAGATTGGCTGCTGGCAGGTCCACTGTTGGCTTTGTTAACCCTACTTTGTATGAGAACCCTGATGCCTTCTTTGACATCACAAAGGGTAACAACTCTGGCTGTGGTACGCCTGGTTTCTATGCTGCTGAAGGTTGGGATCCAGTCACTGGACTTGGATCTCCTAATTACCCGGCGCTTCTGAAGGTATTCATGGATCAATGAGTGCGTAATGATACCTATATTTTTGGGGGTAAGAAAGAATTCACGGGTTGAATCTGGAATAACCCTTCGACTAAATGAGCATATATACTACTTCCATATATATATGTAATGACTTAATCTGTCAATAATTTGAATCCAATCCAATTCATCTCATATATGTAGGCACGTCATCAACTTGAAACACGTATAGTATCAAGAGCAATTATATTGGGGGATAATATAGGCTGACTGCCATGAGCCAGGGGTGACTTTTGTTGCCAAATGACAGCACCTTGATGCCTCGAGGTCATCGGACGAGCGCAGCACAGAGAAAGTATATAAAACTCAGAAACAGCAACGGGTTGTCGAAGTTTCTTGGATTTCGCTTAAAATAGCATTGATTAAAAAGCAATAGTGCATAGCCGAGACGCGAATCAACTCCGCTATTAGCTAAGGGTAGGACCATAGCCCCCTTTTTCCACGTTGATGGGAAAACGAAAACACAAAAGTCAGAAACATGAATAATATAAAAAACGACGCAGGATGGTAATTCACTCAGGAGAATATTCTACATATAGCCGGATGTCGGCCACCCTAGCCTTAGCCTTGATATCATCGAAAAGATAGTCGATCCGCGTAAAATAACCGACTCCATCGAATGTTCCAGCGAAAAGCATCCCTCGAACAACCCCCGTTGCGGGGTGGTAGACCAAGGACCCGGAGTCTCCAGGCGCCGCAAATACAGTTCCGGACCCAGGCGCGGTCACGCAGTATTCAACCGTTGCAATCTGTCGCACAGTGCCGTTCAATAGATCGGTCTTAATAAAGGCCGATCTGAGGGCATTATGTTACCCCCATGATAGACCAGAGCGGAAACCGCGAAGAAAGATCCTCTCTCCATGTAGGGTTGTGAAGTCCGGTGGCGCCGCCAAGGCTGGGCCTCCATTCATATTCTCAAACTAAAATCGATTAGTTATCATATATCAACAGTAAATTGAAGTGATAGTAGGGTATCTTACCTTCTTTCCCCGTATGTCTTCCTGTGGAACAATGACGCAAAGTCTCGACGTTTCGTATCAGATGACGACGATTGTATGTCAGAATAAGTCGCACAGTCAATAACAAACAGTGATGAAAAAATAAACTTTTTGATGAAACACTTGAAGAACTGTGGGAGTAAAAAAAGATTTTGCTGTACTTGTGTGTACCGTGTACACCTCAGCACTATATTTTTGTAGTCGGCGTGTCAACAAGTGTAGCTGATCGCAACACTGAGTAATTAGTCCACAAGACGAGATATATGAAGTTCTTTCGGTTGTAGTTGTGTTGTAGTTGTTGTTGGAACCAACGCTTGATGATTGGTTTTCACCAGCTCCACCTAATGTGGGGCGTGATGTATGCGGCGCTAGCTCGTGAGAACGAGGTCACAGGTTTGTGAGTTCTCACCGTGCGTTGCGCATGAGATGAATGAAAATGAAGAGTTAATGAAATCGTATGACCCTCGGAGGCTCCCTCCTGGATGTCACACAAGCAATGCTACCAGTTGTTACTGGGAATCATGGAATCAGGGGAAGTCTCTGATATTCATACTAGCTAGGCTATCTTGCGAGGCAGAAGGAAAGGGGGTCACCTGACACGCGGCAACAGAGGGCCCAGTCAAGCTGCGTCGGCATGTCGTATTCCTGCGTTCCATGAAACTTTTTTAACTTCATTCCCGATGTCATGAAGGCATATCCAACATTCTGGCGGCTCTTGTTGAAGAAAGCAGTAATCTCGTCTATCTTCGCGTAGTAGTTCCTGATGTTTTTCTTGTTCTCTCGACATTTGATTTGAGCAGCTTCGGGCAGAGCATCGAAAGAGCCTTCTTCGGCCATCATGACACCACGTTTGTAGGAGTTAATATTCGTTATGCTTTCAAGGGTTCCCTGGATGAGTTCAAGCACCTCAGGGTTGAGAAACAGGAAAGAAGATGATGGCCATGGGGGAACGGAAGGTTCTAAGGTTATCTACTAGGTCTAATCCAGACCAAATAAAATAGGCAGGAGCACCGCAAAATCTAGTTGATTTACCTAAACGCTGTTTAAAGTATACTGCGATGCATATTTAAATGTAGTTCAAAGCATATTTAAAAGTACGTCGAAGCATATCTGAAGCATATCTGAAGCATATCTGAAGCATATCTGAAGCATATCTGAAGCATATCTGAAGCATATCTGAAGTATATCTGAAGTATATCTGAAGTATATCTGAAGTATATCTGAAGTATATCTAAAGCATGTTTAAAGCATGCCAAACTTTGGCCAAGTACAGTAATTGGAGGTGGAGTTGTCACAAGCCGATGACCTTATTACGTAGCCGTTCAACTTACAGCAATCCCGAGCGATCATCGCCTAACCTACTCTGCAGTGTGGCCAATCGGATTACTGGATTGTACCCTAGGTGGGTCCCAAGGCTTCTCTGTTTGATATGGATGATTCTTTGCCTAGCAAACAGAAAACTGCAAGCCAATAACCTTTGACTTTTTAACCCTCTCACGGATTCTGCCAGATTATTCATTCCCAGAACACTAATAACATTATTCCTACAGTCAGAATAAACAGGACATTGGCCTGATCACGTACAGAAAACGTTGTTGACTATAGGCCAGGAGGTCACCGATCAACTTCCAAGATAGCTTAACCTTCCCGCTCGGTCCGGATAGTCTGGTGGAGTAGATTCAACAGCTTGACGCGCCAGACTTATCGCCACCTTGGGGTCCTCTATCGCCCTTGTCCGTAAGCATAGACTGGCTCCGAATTTTTGAACGTGAAGGCTTAATCTGGAAAATCCAGTGGAGGAACTTAGATAGATGGGTTCCCGCGCTAGATCGACCACCTTGCTCTAGTACACTTTTTACTGACGCCATGGTAGTCATGTATTTTCAAAGCACCGAGATGTAATTAACTAGAATTGCTAAGACGCCCGCTATGGATTGTATTGAAAATGTCAGAAAAGACTACCATCTAGAGTCAACACCTCAAATCGCTCAGAATGCTCCTCAAAAACACCCCATCCCAAACAAAAGAAAATTATAAGCAGTGGGTGAGCAAGTGGTGACAGAAAAAAGTATGTAAAAATCAGAAATTGTTCGAGTGAAATCAGCGTCTTCGAGACGCAAGGGCAGCCAGTCGCTTCTGCCGCTCCATCTTCTCCTGCTTAGCGGCCATCTCCATGCGCAGCTCTTCCTCATCTTCTCTGCGAGCCCTCTTCAGAGCAGCACCTTCCTCCTCCTCGACATCATCAAAGCCAGCCTCCATATCAGAGGACGCATCGGAGTAGAAGTCATCTTCATAACCTCCATAGTTTCCTTCGTCCTCTTCGTCGGTTCCCATATACTCATTCATACGACGCTTGCCCTGCTGGCGGCGGTGGTCATTGCCACCGTTCTTGCCAGGTAGGCCTGCTGTCCCACGGTAAGAGGGGGGCTCGGGAGTCTGAGTTGTTGGCTTCGCAGTGCCTTTGTAGGTCGGACCCTCGGATGATTTGCGGGATGGAGGTTCTGCAGATGGCTTTTTGCCAAAGCGTGTTGCAGATGATGATTTAGGGGTGAACTTCTTTCCTTGCGCCTCGACCTTGGCCTTCGTCTTCGCTTCGCCCATCCGCTTCTTCAGGCCTCGATGGCTCGACGGGTCCTTTGCGGCGGTCTGGTGTTTAAAGGTAAGCAGATTAGTGGGAGCTTTTTCCTGCATGGCCTTGGCTTTTGCCATGATGTCGGCAAATGAGCCCTTTGGTGGCGCTTTCGAAGGAGCGGCAGGAGTGGCAGGAGCAGCGGGCTTGACAGGCTTGACAGGCGCAGATCTGACCGGGGCGGATTTAGCTGGTGCTGGTCTGGCTGGTAAAGGTTTCTTGGCTGCTGTAGCAGTGCCAGATGCGCCGTTCTTGGGAACTGGCTTAGAGGTAGAGGCAGCTGCCGGCTTATTTGCGACTCTGGAGGCTGCTGGTGTGGCTAGCGGCCGAGGTACGGGCGACTTTGTGATTTTCGAGGCGTCGGGGCGAGGAAGCTGATCGTCGGCTTTGCGCTTGATACCTCCATTGGCGTTTGCGCTCGGGTTGGGCTGCCGGGGCGCAGAACTCAAATTGCGGTCATCTCGCTTGGTAGAAGAGGTAGCAGGAGGAGCGGGGGGCGTTGAGGTTGGCAGTTGAGAAGGTTTGCCAGTCTGGAGAGATGAGAGAACGGAGTCGAGGAACTATACCATGCGTCAGTAAAGACATATCGAAACTAGAGAAAAAGACAAAGAGAACATCGACATACACTCATTTTGGCAGCTTTAAAAGAGGGTGGTGTGATAAGGTGAGTGGGAAATGGCCAAATAGACCAGATACAGAGGGAGTTGCCGGGTATCAATTAGAGGAGCGAAGTAGAAAGCTTCATGACTCCGAACGCGAGACCATAAAAATGGATCTCCGCTCGGAGAGACTAAGGATGCACGCCACTTGACAAGAAATCACTGGAAAGTCCAGAGAAGGATTTGATGAAAGAAAAGGCCGAGCCACTCACGCAAGACCTAGAGCACTTCTATAGACAAGTAGGCGACCGTGAATAGTGGGGGAAAAGAAGCCACGCTTGAACCATCTAAACTTGGAAACTTTCGCTGTCGACAAAGAATCTCCTCACGTGACTTTTGCGCCACACTCGCTTAGACTGTTTTCTGCCGGGCGGTAGCACAGCCACATGGAGCCGCAACGCACTTTTCACGATTTTAGTGCATTTTTGAGTCTTATTCTCAACCACCTCCTCCCGAACTCGACGTTGCAGTCTCCGCCCAACTACGCGGTTAAATCGATTGTTTCTCTTGTTCTTTAAAAGACAACGTAAGTTTCATGCAAATCATCTACTACAAATACTCTTCGCAAGACTTTTCGCCTCATCGCACGCTGTTCGCATTTTTCGAGACCAAATCCACTGACATCGAATGCGAAAAAAATAGCACATTCAAAATGAAGTACCTCGCCGCTTACCTTCTCCTCGCCCTCGCCGGCAAGGAGGCTCCCTCCGCCGCCGACATCAAGAGCGTTCTCTCTTCCGTCGGTATTGATGCTGAGTCCGACCGTCTTGACAAGCTCATCTCTGAGCTCCAGGGCAAGAACCTCGAGGAGGTTAGTGATCACTCCAAAACCTGAAATGAAAAATTCGTTGCATGAACTAACAAATTGCTACTATAGCTGATTGCTGAGGGTACCTCCAAGCTCGCTTCCGTTCCCTCCGGTGGTGCTGGTGCCGCTGCTGCTGCCCCCGCCGCCGGTGGTGCCGCCACTGAGGACGCCCCCGCTGCCGCCAAGGAGGAGGAGAAGGAGGAGTCCGACGAGGACATGGGATTCGGTCTCTTCGACTAAGTGCACCAATTCTAAACCTCATGACCTCAAAAAGAACGACCCGGGGGAACAGATATCTGGATGGTCTTGTCAGTTCGGGAAGGAGTTTCACCGACTGGTATCTCAAGTGTGCTTTGTTCAGGCTGTCCTGACGCAGTTACGACTTTTACATATGTGAGCTCGAAAGAGTTCCTAGCCAATACAGATTATTTGTCCTCCACTACTGTTTTCTGCGTAGTCCGTAGGATATGACTTGAACCCTTCGTAATGTCCATTTCATTCTTTTTATACTTCCATTTACTGTTGATTCAGTCAACAGTTGGTTTGCTATGAGGCCTCGACTCAGCTGCTTATCTTGATGAAAGTGTATAAACTTGGTTATCGAGAGCGTCATGGTGTCGATCTGATATACATGATGTCTACTTGGAGAGTATGGAAAACCGCCGACTTGGATGGGTCAAATGGATATGTAATTAAGATACAGTGCTTTCGATTTAAAGGGTACAGTCTTAGTCACGGCCATATGCACTGATTTAAATGTACCCATCAGACAAAAGTTACCATTAAAACCGTAAATTACAATCCCATTACATATTACCCCATTAGGACTAGCGGGTTAGGGCTTAACCTACCCGTCGCTTAGGCGAGCCCCTGCCCACCTCACCAGTCTCAGTGTACAGGCGAGATCGCTCTAGCGACACGACAATTCCGACAATCTATCTTCCTTCGCTTTTCGAGATACCGTTCGGAAGGCGAGCTCCAGGAAACAACCGCAAAAATGGCTGACATTGAATACGTGAGTTGACCTCTTTTTCGCCTACGCACGCCCTGCGCCCACAAGTCTCAATCACTTACATGTTTTAATCTAGAACGCCGAGGAGGCTGCCGGTACGTTTTAACTCGATCCTTTCTTTCTGTCAACACCCGAAGACCGTCAAGCGATACAACGAAATTGGAACTGGTGGAACGATGAACGCTGCGTGATGGAAAAACCGTTGGATTGAAATTTCGATATCGCTTGAAGGAAGGGGGACAAGGACGACAGGATACACCATGGTCAACGTCACTGGTTGCTGACAAGACTTTCGCCAACAGAGATCAAGAAGAGAAGACAGTTCCGCAAGTTTTCTTACCGCGGTATCGACCTCGACCAGTACGTTATTTCCGTCAAACTTCATTTGCCCGCCACCCCCACTTGCAACATGCACAAGTTTTCGAGAGCCACCAAGGACCAGTCTGGATATCATCTTCGTTTGGCGACACCGTTTTCTGGTCCTTGTGGTCGAGACTTGTCACGTTGCATGCAGAAAAGAATCGTCATTAAATTTTAAAAAAAAAATTATATTCTAACAAAACTTCAGGCTCCTGGACCTCTCCTCTGAGCAGCTCCGCGATGTTGTCCACGCCCGTGCCCGCAGACGTTTCAACCGTGGTCTCAAGCGCAAGCCCATGGGTCTGATCAAGAAGCTCCGCAAGGCTAAGCAGGAGGCCAAGCCCAACGAGAAGCCCGACCTCGTCAAGACCCACCTCCGTGACATGATCGTTGTCCCCGAGATGATCGGTTCCGTCATCGGTATCTACTCCGGTAAGGAGTTCAACCAGGTCGAGATCAAGCCTGAGATGGTTGGCCACTACCTGGCTGAGTTCTCTATCTCTTAGTACGTTTTTACTCTCTTTCCAAAATATACAACCCCGACATATCGCATGGTTCTAACAGTCCTCTAGCAAGCCCGTCAAGCACGGTCGTCCCGGTATTGGTGCCACCCACTCTTCCCGTTTCATTCCCCTCAAATAAACGATTCGAACGATTCCCCTTGGAGTGGCGTGTGGTGGAGATGGTGCTAGGAACAGAAAAATGGAAACCAGCACCCTTAACTGGGTTTCTTTATTCAGCTTGTATTTCCAGTGCGGGTCAGCTGTTTCCAGCTCAATTTAAGATCTTGTCGGCATAAAAACTATGGGGTTTTTCAAACTCCTTTCCAGCTTCTGTTAAGGTTGACGAAGCAAAGGCCCTTTTTTCTGGTTACAATTACGTTGCTAGGGAGGGCGTGAAATTCATGATATGATAACTTCATTCCTGCAACATCGTAGTATGAGATTTTTTGAGATTATTCCGTAGATTCTCGTATATTTCGCATACCGATAGCACTTGACGTTGGCTTTGTATCAATGAAATGCTGCATGTAGGACCCAGCTTCAGGCTGTAGGTTCAAGTTGGGGCCAGTCCTTTTGGAACCCTGCGTGGACCCATATACCCCATATCGCAAATATTGCTTCGTTGATTGGTGGTCATGTCAGATTACCAACTTCAAGTTACTGCATAGTACTTGGTCTATCGACATGCCTGCGCATGATGCCTCTTCAACATTGAAAGGCTTTCATCAAATCAGTTCACTAGTTCAAAGGGCAACGTATTATTATCTCAGATTTATCTAATCGAAATCTAATTCTTTGGATGATAAAAAATCCCAAATAATAATGATTTTCAGAAAAAAAGGAATATATCCATCCTAGCTATAATACAGCTCCGAAGTCTAGTATAGGTCCGGCAATGACTTTAGGGCTAGTGCTAGTATTTACATGATACTACTAGGAGCTTGTCTCAACTTAGACCTATTTATGAGATTATACGTTGATTCTTGAATGTTTCTAAATCCATGGCTGAATTATGATGTGACTCACACTGGCAATACAAAGGCCCGAGGTTCCCACCTTATATATCTTGACTTAGCCTTCACGACTAGTAGACAATGAATTCCAACTTGAAGTTCTAACACCTATTTTTCAAGTCCCAAAGATTCCATTGTTAGAATCTCGGTCTTCTAGTTATAAATTCCATTATTTTTCAGCCATATTGCTCTTTAACTCGTCAACTCCGACGTGGGTGGGACACCTTTTCTCGGGTATAGCCAACTGAAGTCATCAATGGGCCGAGGCAACCCGCCGCCGAAAGTACCGAGAACCAAATAATGCGGAGGGAACTTCTTTCTACTCCGCATTTCTTCTACTATTTTACCTCTCCTTGAAAATCCTTGCATACTACCTTCTTACATCTGATTCCCTGTGATCAAATTGGGACTACCCCCTCGTTACACTAGATCTCACTCCCCATATCCCCATATCCCCATATTCCCTGATCGGCACTTGGCTGTCAGGTCTTCCCCGCAAAATGCCCGTCGCCTCCAATTATCCCCCAATTGACATCCCCAACACCGACCTCTGGAACTTTCTGTTCGAGCGAAAAGACAGGCCATTTCCAGATGACAAGAGTAAGGCCTCCAATCCGCACAATAACACTCTTGGATACCTTAGTGGATTTGTATTAACTCATCGCGTGACTCCTAGTTCTCTACCAGGATGCCGACACAAAGCGCTATCACACCTACAAGACTCTGAAGGATGCTTCTTTGGAATTTGGAAAGGGCCTCAAGGCTACATATGACTGGAAGAAGGGTGATGTCCTTGCCCTCTTCACACCAAACAGCATCGACACCCCTGTATTAACATGGGGCACATTGTGGGCTGGCGGTGTCGTATCCCCGGCTAACCCAGCATACACAGCGGAGGAGTTAGCTTTTCAGCTAAAGAACTCCGGTGCGAGAGTTCTCGCTACCCAAGCCTCTGTTCTTTCTGTCGCTAAGACTGCCGCGAAGAAAGTTGGCATTGCCGAGGACCACATCATCCTTCTTGGGGATGAGCGTGATCCAGAGGCCCGGTTTAAGCATTTTACCTCTGTGCTGAATATTTCGAGAGCTACTCGTTATCGTCGGCAGAAGATTAGTCCAGAGTCAGATGTTGCCTTTTTGGTTTACTCTTCTGGAACCACTGGTGTTCCGAAGGGTGTGATGCTATCGCATCGAAATATCGTTGCGAATGTCCTTCAACAAGTTGCAGGCGAAGGCGGCCATTTAAGCTGGCAGGGTGGCCCTGATGGAAAGGGAGATCGTATTTTGGCATTCCTGCCATTCTATCACATCTATGGTATGATTTTCTAGCTCATTGGGAGTTTGAACCTTTCCCAGCGTGAGAGATGGGTGTAACTAACAACGTTCCTTCTTTTAGGGCTGACTTGCCTTATCACTCAATCCTTGTATAAGGGCTACCACCTGATTGTCATGAAGAAATTCGAGATCGAAAAGTGGTGTTCACTTATCCAGGAATACCGCGTTACATTTAGTTACATCGTTCCTCCCGTGGTTCTGCTATTAGGCAAACACCCCGCCGTCGCCAAATACGATCTTTCCAGTCTTCGCATGATGAATTCTGGCGCAGCACCCCTTACCCAAGAACTGGTGGAGAACGTATACTCTCGCATCAAAGTTGGAATCAAGCAAGGATACGGTCTTAGTGAAACTAGCCCTACCACACACTCCCAGCGATGGGAAGATTGGCGCGAACACATTGGTTCAGTCGGTCGCCTCATGCCTAACATGGAAGCCAAGTACATGAGCATGCCCGAAGATGGCTCCGAGTCAGAAGAAGTTGCTGTTGGAAAGGTTGGCGAACTCTTTCTTCGCGGACCCAATGTTTTCCTTGGTTATCACCAGAACCCGGCTGCTACCAGTGAGTGCCTGTCTGCTGATGGGTGGTTCCGGACCGGTGATGTGGGATACCAGGATTCCAAGGGTAACTTCTTCATCACGGATCGAGTTAAGGAGCTTATCAAGTATAAGGGATTTCAGGTGCCCCCTGCCGAATTGGAAGGCATTTTGGTTGATAATGAGGCTATTGACGATGTAGCTGTTATTGGTGTTGAGAGCGAGTCTCATGGATCTGAAGTGCCGCTTGCCTGTGTTGTTCGCAGTGCAAAGAGCAAGTCCTCTGGTTCGAGTGAACAGGATGAGGCAGCGAATATTGTCAAGTGGCTTGATAGCAAGGTCGCTCACCACAAGCGTCTCCGTGGTGGTGTCCGGTTTGTGGATGAAATTCCCAAGAACCCCAGTGGAAAGATTCTCCGTCGCATGTTGAAGTTGAAGTTCAAGGATGAGTTGAAGGGTCCCAAGGCCAAGCTGTAAATCTGTATTTCTGACAAAACATACAAAGAACCTTGCAAATATCAGCAATAGATGGGAAATAAAGACGAAATGAACATGTGAATAATTTTTATTTCTTTTTCTTTGTTAAAATGATATGCCGAAAAAAGATAATTCATCAGTCAATATACCCCAGAAACCCAGAAACCCTCCGAGTATCAAATGAAGTATGCAAATCGATCATGAAATTCACAATCTCCATCCCCATTCCAAACCAAAGAGCCTCGAATCCGTTCAAGGAAAAAACCTCTTCACCATCCCCTCCACATCCTCCTCCTTAACCGCATCGATCTTCTCAACAGCAACCTTCTCCACAGCCTCCTCAACCCCCAAATCCCCACTAACAAGATCATACCACCCATCAACATCAGCCCTAGCAAGCAGCTGATCCGCAACAATAGCCACATCTTCACGACTCACACTTCCCCTCCCCTTAGCCGTAGTACCCAACTCCACCTTCCTCGACGCAGGCTCATCAGTCAAAACGCCCGGTCGAAGATTAATAGCCTGGAACGGGCGCGAGACAGATGCAGGATCCCGCTTCCGTTTAGCAGCCAGCGCAGTCATGTACTCATCCGCTTCGAGTTTAGCCGCAGCATATGTGGGTAGCCGTTCGGTTTTTCCGAGCATGATACCTGCCCATGCGTCGTCGGGCATCCAGCTAGGCTGGTTTCGGCGACTACCTATCCAGGATATCATTAGGAATTTTGAGATGCTTGTTGATGCGAAGGAGGCTGTTAGGAAGTGTTTGGCTGCTTCTTGGTCGATGGCGATTGTGCTTGTTGGGCCTCCTTTGCCGCCGGCGCCTGGGGGTTTGTTAGTGTTAATTGTTTTGCTTGTTCCATTCTTATACATAGTACATGTAGAAACTGTACTGTATAAATTGAATCGTGGGCTGGTAGCTCGTAATGGATCTACGGCTTGTGGGTGAAAGTGGGGTGAGGGGCACTGTACCAGCGGACCAAACCACATAGTCTGGCGTGACAGCATCGATGATCTTCTTAGCATCGTTGGCACTCGTAACATCCTCTAGGCTGGAGATTAACACATCCAGCTTGCCTTTCCGGCCCTTTCCAAGTGCTAGGATCTCGCTCTCATGGTCGGGGTTTCGCACAACACTAGTGACAGTCCAGGCGCGGTTGAGAAGCAGCGGGGTCATGTGTAGGGCCACTTTGCCATGGCCACCAAGAAGAAGAACATGCATTTTGAATATGGAACCTTTGATTCAGTTGAAAATAGTTGTGGGGTAGTGGGATAAGGTAGGTTGTTTCGTCTCATCTGAGATGAAGCAGCTGTGGCCTGTGGGGGAGCTGCAGGTCAGCTATGACGTTATGGAAAAAGCACAATGGATGGTATTTATAATCCAGAATTATAGGGCACTATAGCCCTGAAAACATGTTTAAAAGGAGAAAAATAGGATTTTATGAGAAACCACGAGTCAGGTCTGTTTAATTCGCTCTTCTAGAGCTACTTAATTACCTTTAGATCTAGCAAGATGCGCCCGATGGTACATTCTCACACTTCTCACTACTAGACCCACCAGTGACACTGACTCCATACCAAGTCCAGTCCGAGCATGCACCAGAAGCACACAGGATATAGACCTCAATGGCATCGCTCTCAACAGTACCAGTGATATTCTCCACAGTGAGATCAGTGATAGGAACACCATCAGTAGGGGTACCAGTAGGATCACCATTCTCATAATCCTGTTCGAAAACAATGCCATAGTCGGTAATTCCAGAGATCTGAATATTGGAGAATGTGACTCCAGAAACAGACCCAGTAGTTCCAGAGTTAGTCTTGATCCGGATACCGTTCTCCGAGTCCTTCACAACAGAGTTGGAGATAGTAACATTTTGAACAGTGTTGTCGGAGCGGCCACCAACAGAGCCGATGGATAAACCATGGCCACCGGAACAGGAACCCCCAGTGAAGACAATATTCTAAAATAAAACACGTTAATTATCCCGCGTTACAACGTTGATAACTGAGTACTTACCTTGCCAGAGTTAACAGCCAAGCAGTCATCCTGATTCATCACAACAGCATTTCGAATAGTAACCCCGTCACTATCACCAACATCAAAGGCATCGGTATTATGACCACCGTTCGCGTCACCATCCGAGTCATCAATAGTAATACTATTGAGAACCAAATTGTTCGACTCAACACTAAACGCCTGAACAGGAGTATTCTTAACATTCAAACCAGTGATAGTCGAATCATCCAAATCATGCGCATAGAAGAACTTCGGCTTAGTCTTGCCACCATTTGTTCCCTCGCCATCCCACCATCTCTCTCCACCACCATTAATAGTATGGTTAGAAGTTCCAGCAACAATGATGTTAGATCCAGAGATCTCAATCAGTGGACCATCCCATTCCTCGTAACCGAAGCTAGTTTCACCACTGAAAATGACCTATTTCGAAGAAAACATGTCTGTTAGTCTGTGAATTTGAACTGTGGGTCCAAAGGACACCCTTTCTTACTCTAGTGCCAGACGTGAGGTCGGTCAGATCCAGAGTTTCACCAGCTGGTACTTCGATGTTGTCTAGTACGATTGTGGTGCAGGACTTCTTGCTTGCGCTTGCGCTTGCGGCTGAAGTAAAGGTACATGAGGTAGACCTTTTCATTTGCGAGACACGAGAAGGAGTAGGTACGGCGAAAGCCACGGAGGCCACAGCCAGCAGAGATATCAAAGAGGTACGCATATCGTCCAGGCGTATAAAATGAATGAATGTATGAGAACCAGCTCAATAAAGTATAAAAATAAGAAGAGACAGAAAAAAGAGAACGACTGTTTAAATAGAAAACAAAACAAAACTTGAACTTAGCATAGGTGTCTAGGCTATATAACTACCTCAAAATACTAGCAGCTTCTTCGCGTGAGACATCAACAAAACACCAAACCCACCCAATATAAGCGCCACATAATGACAACCCTGACAATCTCCCAACAATGCTTATCATAACCTCATAAAGAGCGGACAGCTCCATATATGGGAATACACAAGTCGATCGACAGGGGTATTTGGGAAGTGTGCCAGTATAGGCGAGAAAGCCGTGTAAATTTCGGTTATATTCTTGAATATCGGGGGATATTCGGCAAATTGAATGAATTAGTCTGGATCCCCGGTTTCATCATGGACCGACTCGAGCCCACTCATCCAATGAGGATATTTCATTCTGAGCCGTGCAGGAAACTTGACAGGTGATTTCCGGTAGAAAAATGCTTGATTTTTTTCTTAGTTGATAGACCTGGTGCAGGAGTGGACTTTCGACGTGATCTATTTAGGGATCTAGGACTCGGAGAAGAAGGGATCATTCATACCCACATGGGTGTAGGTAATAGTCTGTTGGGTTGAAGCTCTGCTACGCACGGCATGATAGGATTCGCAAGGTAAGCTGTTGTGTTGAGGATGGTGCTTACTATTGACGGCGCTCTTTACCTTGAATACTGAATGTGAACATCGGACCTCAGTTCTAGAGCGTGGATCTAGAGCGTGGATAAAATATTCTCCCGATCGACTCACAAACCCTCTGTTGGGATCATGCTAATAATTGCGAAACCTTTCTGTTTTTCCAGTTCTGGATGTCATACAAGTCATCAGGGTGAGTTGATTTCAACAAATTCACATTGTGTGCCATGAACTTGAAGTCTTCAATAGTGACCAATTTATTGAAAGAGGGAACACTGGCTATCAAGACCAAGACTCAAACCATCTCAAGTTCATGAACTGAGTCGGACGTCTGATAATTTTTAACCCATCGATTCTAAGAAAATTAGAGCAAGTCAGGTGGAAAGAATGGTAGGTAGACTTCACTGATAGGTTTTGTCCATTTCCAATCATTATATGCGATAGATTGTCGCAACCAAGATAAAAGATCAATTATTCGTGTAGCATCACAGAGAAACCATTCGAATAACGCGACGTTTAGATTTGAATAAAGTATCAGTTGGGGAAAAACATGGGCGTTGTAAAAGGCGAATTTAGACCGCCAATATCTATGCGCCCTGGAGCCCAATGGCTAGCCAACCTGGTGTAGTTGATATGGGTGTATAACAATCAGACCTGGAGCTATTCGGGTTGTGAGGGCCCTACACGGGCATGGCTACGTACACTCAAATTAGGTGGAAGGAACGTGGAAGTTGACACAAGCACCTGGACATTTCCTGGCCGAATTCCAAGAACAGAACCCACGATCAATGCAATCAGTCTACGGGGCAAAACATTGAAATTCCTTTCATTTCGTGAGATGAAACCTTGCCCCAGTCGAACCCTAGAAGCTTGAAAATGAGGCATATCTAACAAACCCTGAAGTCATTTGCTTCCAACCTTGGAAGGTATGTTCCGGTATTTCCCAGCTGCAGCCCCGAGGAGCCAATCATTCAACCCGAGGTCTAGATACATATTAATAATATGCATCTCGAGAATATCTCGGGGGTTCATTGGGGCCGTAGAGGATCGTACGACTAGTGTTACACCCACAGAAGCTTGAGCCTGAGGATTCCGAGATGAAATTAACCCGCCTCAAATTTGAAGTTCATTGAAAGCTATTGCTCTGGAAGCCGACCGAGAACAATTGCAGGGATCTCAATCCTTCAACTAGAGCATGGCAGCCCTCGAGCCGTTTGGAATAGATTATAAGGAATAATTCCCGGGAGCTCTAGAAGCTCATCTCAACGCCAGGATTCAACACGGCCCCACCGACCCAGGACCCATCCTCCTTCCTCTCTAGACACCAAATGCAAGAAGGTTTGCGTTGGATAGGCGAAACAACACAGGATCCAGTAAAATCAACCAAAGAACCAACCATTGTAATCATTCATACTCTAGGCTAGGCCAATTCATCAATGAAAACAGCCCCCCACCCTCATACAGATTACCCCCCAACAGTACGAGAGGGGGAAAAGAGCCAGAAACTCCGATCGGACGTGAAACAACGGCGCCGCGGGGCTTTGAATTATCGGTCAAACCTTCTCATAGTGCGGAGACTAGCCGATGGGGATTGGTCACTAACCCCGTATCCAGGGGATATGAATGGATGAAATTCAATGGAGTAGGACTCCGTTTTCGCGGCCCCAACGTTCACCTTCATTTAACCAAATCAGTAAACCTTCCTTCATTTGTATGTACATGTACGAAGCAGGAACACGAAATCGAAATCGCTGGATCTGGACCCGGAATCTAAGAACCGATCGAACCAATGCACGCGTTGGTTCCCGTACCGAGCGATCAGTGCAGGATTGTAGGGTTGCGATGAATGATCGATTTCGAATTTCGAAAGGTTGATTTTTAATCACCGGAAACAATTGCAATTGTACTTGATAGTTGACTAATATTAGTTGCAGGGTCTGTCGAAGTTTATACGGGCTATTTTAATCAATGCATGACAAGCAGCCCTGTAAATCGGACTGGAAGTGATAGATCGTAATAAGATCAAACGGAATTAATATCGAGAGAGCCTCGAGCCCTGGCCATTCATTAGACATGTAAATCCATAGAAAGACCGAAAGAGAGAGTCGGAGCGAAGACGGAGCAACAAGCGAAGAAGAATGTCGCGTATTGAACACATTTCATACCGGGTGGGGGGTTCATTACCGGTTACTCCACCGCACCAGGTACCAGGCACCAGGTACCGAGTACAAAGTACAAAGTCAACAGAGATATGGAAAGTTCTTCATCCCACTCAATCATGTCTGCAATGATTTGATATTCTCTCCGTAAACCATATCCAAGACCTACGATATTACCAATCCAACCAGACCAGGTGCAAAGGAATCTTGCATCTTGCATCCTGCATCTTGTACCCCAGCTCCGTACAAATATCAAAATTACCGAATCCACCAAAACGGGGACTAGTCAGGGGCGCCATCCGATATCCAACCAATCCACGCCACCGGGGAACAGGAAGACTCTTTTTGGTTTTTCTTGGTTTTTCTTAGCCTAGTACTACTCACACGGTATTTTACTATCAAATCTTGGCAACAATTACCTCCACGCACTAAAAACCCGCCTTGAGGCGACAAAAAAGGGCGTGGATCCAACAACGACGCACTTGAAACTCATTAATCCAAGCGAGTCCAAGTCCCCACTACAGATCAGCCCTTATTTTTTCTCTCTCTTCTCTTCGCTCGCTCCACAATCTAAACTAGACACAAAAAAGGTACGGAGTACTTTTTCCGCAAATAATAAATCTCAAATGACACTGGGCAAAGCTTGCCCGCGGCTGGGCCCAAAAACGGCTGTCAATCCCACGCCCCTAAAACTAAAAACTAAAAACTAAAAACGCGACCCGGAAACGCTTGAACGCGCTAGACGAAGGTGTCTTTGTAATGTTCTTCTTTCCTTGTTCTTGTTCCTTGTTCCCGGCTCTGTTATGGTCATGGTCCATTACAGATAATAACAACTAGTTCTTCTTGGCCTGTGCTCATGATCTCATAGATCCACCGGGCTGGCTGGAAAGAATTGGGACAGGGAATAATCCGGATTTGACCCAGATCCAGGTCCAGGTCCAGGTCCATGTCCAGCCAAAAAATCTAAATCTATGATGCAACTCTGGGTCGCGCTTCGGAACAGGAATCAAAACAAGCAATTATCCTGGTACAGTGGGGGATAGGTTCATCGGGAAAGGTCCCCTATTCAATCGAGCCCACTGTGATGGTACATTTACGGAGGGCTCCGGAGGATGAACTTGAAATCAATCAGAAAAATCAGATGTATATCATAATCTACTGTGCTCTACTTGTGACATCCAGATCCATATCCATCTCGGAATAGTTACTGAATAGTGTGCATACATCCTCCGAGTAGATACTCCCGAATACTAGTATCCAGATGTCATTTGGCGTCATTGGTGACACAACATGTAAATAATATGATCGGATACATGTCCTGCACGACGCAGGAGGTGCTGCACATCGGAGAAATATCCTGAACTTTGGGCTAAATTTACCATCATCTCGTCTCTGCGAGTACTTACACAGTGCACAGTCCAGCGTGGCTGGAGAAAGTATATACTGCATTTATGCACTGGTACTCATGTCCGATCAATATGATAGACGAATAGCCGGGATTAATTCCATTGTTCTCGCTGATTGCCGTTTGCCGCCATGCAAGGGGAATGGATAGTTTAAAGCTCCATGCGCTTTCTATGGGGACGGGATATACCATACATGTGCTAGGCCACCTGCATATTACATATAAACTACCTTCTCCGTACGGATACTCCGTCCAACTTGAACTTGAATCATACGGATACAGGGACAGAAAAGACATAAGGATATACATATTCTCAGCCTCTTTGAGATCAACGACCGGTTCCCTAAGTTCCCCACCGGTCGTACCGAAGTTCATCCACTTACCCACTGGCAACTCCTTTCTCCTAATCCATCAGAAAAAAAGAAATTACTAGTCAGTCCTCGGCACGGAAAAAATCCATTTTGCAGGCGCTGGCAGTTGAAAGGCTCCCGCGTCCCAAACAGTCGGAACGACTAGTGGGATCAAGTTCCATCAACATGTTTACTTTCTACTGCGAGTCCGTAGTTGCAGTTATCCGTATGTATACTAGCTACAGCCGATGATACTACTTAGCAATTTAGCAGCTTATTTGAATAGCCGAGTATAGCACTAACCCTGGAACGCGTGTAGGTGTTAAATTGACTTTGGTAAACAAGGCCCCGCGCCGGTATGGATCTCGCTCCATCCTTAATTATGAGGGTTCAAACAACACGATAATTGGGTGCGACCGGGATATTGTGGCGTTCAGCCCCAGGTTCCACATGCCGCAGCACGAGGAAAGTTACGGTAATTTACAGGAAACAGACACCCCCGGTTGGAAGAGATGGTAATTTGGAAACGGACTGTAAGGGACTGCACTATTAGAACAAGCAGGTCCAATCATTGCAGGATGGATGATCCATGAAATTAATTATATTGTACATGTACCTAATAATAATAATTTCGAATTCTCATTTCTCATCTACTGTGCATGATATTATGTACTAGGTAGTCCTGATATCCCCATGTCTCAGTACTCCAAGGCCCCATAGATGCACGGGAAAGACCCCTGGTTTGCCTCATGGGCATAACCCGCTGCAGCTGCCAGGCGGAGTAGCTGACGGTGGAAATATCCGTGAAAATACCCATGGATTCAACAATCTCGATAAATAAACAAACACGTCCCAGAGTTCCAGAGTTCCGATCAAGGTGTCCATCCCCTTCAAACTATGTGTACACATCATAATCGACAGAGTAGATCAATGGGACTGGTGGACACCAAGTCGGGGACGATCCGGATCCAGATCGTTTTTCTTCCTTTTTTCTTTTTTAATTTTAATTCAATTTTTCAATTTCATCTCTAATAAATTCTGTGAATTTCTAGTGTCATACCTTGTATTTACACTTTTTGTAACCTTATATTACCTGGGGCCACACTCAAATCTATCAAAATTACGGGTCCCTCGTATCCAGGTACAGGTACAGGTACAGCGTACCTTCTCCGGCTGGCTTTTTCGGCTTCCCCCCCATTCTCGACCTCCAATTGCATTCCTCGACGAGGTCCTGTCATATTTTATTCCCTTTCTCTTTGGGCTTTTTTGCTTTTTTCTTTCTTTTTTCTTTCTTTTTTGTCTCCCCTACTTCACACTCGCTTTCCCTCTCTTTTACACGCTCGTTAATCCCAATCTACAAAGATTGCACTTCCGTCCGGAGTCTCCTGCAGGTCCCAGAAGTTGACTCCCTATCGGTCCCGCCCAATCCCTCCTACTGTACTCGTGTGTGATCAATCAAACCAATTTCGCTACTCAACTTCGCCCCAACTGCATTTCATTGGTGCTCGAACCCCCTGCCTCAGCTTGCCAAGTTGTCCACTGTACGCGAGGAATCCTACCTACCGCGGGGAGAACCATTCTTTACGCGCGCATTTCCCCCTCAGGAGTCCCGAATTTCGATCTATTCTCGACTCAGCTTCAACTTGACCTGGCGATTGACGGTCATGCCGCTCTTTTCATATCGTAGATAAGCATTGCCTAGTGAGTATCGACAGGAGAAATATACCCCATCAAATCTAGACGCTAATATGTACTGCTTGTCCACAGTCACAGTCACTCTCTTGTGCACTTTTTGTCTTTCATTACCTTCCCCCGAACCAGATATATACACTGTGTGAACTATAGTCGCTCGTTCATATATATACGCCCCTCGCCCAATCGATCCAATGATGAACCGGTTCCGCAAGAATAAGAAGGCCAAGGAGGTCAAGGAGATCTCGGCCTCGGACGACCTGGAGAATGGCCCATCTCCGTTACCATTCAGCTTGAAGCTATCAAAGAAAAAAGATGTACCAGAGGAAGAACCAAAGCTCCAACTAGCCGACGCCCTACCTTCCTCAGATGATTTCCGCACCAGTCTACTTATGCCAAAGCTCTCTGCCCGATTCAGCATGCTACGAGAGCAAGACGATCCAGCCTCATTGATCGGCAAGGCTAGCGATGATAGCGTCCTTTTCCCCAAACGAGCATCTCGTTTGAATCTATTCGGCCACGCCCCCGCAATGTTGACAGACATCGACGAACTTTCTTCCAATGATGGCAGTCGGCCTTCCCTTGCCCTGGGCCGCACTGACTCATACGCATCTGGCGGTGATGCAGGTTACGGCACAGACGATGACCGATCACATGGTGGGAGTATCATGAGCCGAGCTCGACGAGCAGATGGCAACAACCTATTTGGAGGTCGTCAAAAGGTGTACCGAATTCCTGTTCGCTCACCAGGTGGACCATCTTCACCTGCTTCTGAAACCCAGCGAGGAATGGGCAAAGCAGTTTATGAACATGATCTTAATATGTCTGCTTTCCAACGCATGAGGCTTCAACAGAAGCAACAACAGCAGGGATTTACCGAGGAACTGAACCTCGATATTGCAACACCAGATTCCGAGGATACCCCCTCTGTCTCATCCGCAAACCGTACGACATTCTCATCGACAGCATCTGGACCAACGGCCAACGCTCGTTCTTCAACTGCGGCTACTTCTATCGACGAGTCACACTTCAATCCATCCCAATCACAACCCTCAGAGTCCCCGGCTGATGTTCGACCACCCTTTCCCCTTATGAACCCACGCCCTGGCTCAGTTCGATCCCGCCGCCTTTATGGCCAAGGTCTGACTCAGAACGTGCAAAGCCAACAAAACTCAACATTGCACCGATTGGAAAGTTTAAGCCGTCAACGATCCGGTACCCCAGACCTGTTGAACCGCAACTACTCAAGGAGCGCTTCCAACCTCCGTGACCGACTACAGAAGCTTGCTATCAACGAGCCTACTGCTTCTCGACCTACAAGCCCTCCTTCATCTGCTACGTCGCCGAAGCAATTGTACCACCCGGAACCTGCACCCAAGGATCATGTTTCTCCGACAGCCTCCAACTTCGGCGCACCCCCTCTGAGCCCGCCTTCAAGCGAGACAGGTGATGGAAATTCATTGTTGGCCGCGGCACTGAGCCCAGAGGATCGTGGAAAAGCAACTGCGATGGGTCTTTTCAACAGGCCCGCTACAGGTTTTGATGAACAGCAATTTGTTCGTCGACAGCTGCAGATGCATCAGGGACGAGAGACACCACCACCTCGTCGACCTTCTTCTCCTCGCCGCATGATGTCCCAGGAACAGCCAACTCGTCCACGTGGACTTTCAAAATCAAGCTACCGTTCCCGAGCCGAGTCTGCCTCCTCACACTACAGCAGTGATGCACACCATGGATTAGAGCACTCCAGAGCATCCAGCGTGGAGGCATCTCCCCGCATTCCTGGTGCTCGAACATTTTACGCGGCATCGACCGATGACTCAGGCGATGAGAGAGATGATCATCAATCATATGAAGTGTCTTCTATCACATCTCAAGCTACGGATTATGGCCCGCCACTGCACCAGTGTAATAATGTTTCTAAACCGCCTACACCAACCGGTGAGCACCACTTGGAGAGCTTGCCCGAAGTACGATACTCTGATCTTGGTGATCTCAAGCCAATCGAAGAGAATGAGATCCCAGAGGAGGACCAGCCTCTTGATATCACTGGCTCTGTGACCCCGGAGAGACCAGACTCGCCAACAATCCAAGCATCTGAAGTCGTTCACAATGATTTCCAGACTCGCCTTCGGTCTGCAAGCGAGCAATCATCTGACATTCCTCCATCGCCTCTCAGACTTCCTGTGGCCATCTTGGAGCCGAAGAAACACGAGCCTGAGATCTCAGTTGTTGAGGTCCAGCCTAGTCCTACATCAGAGGACCACCTTCGCGTAGATACCGTTGGTGAATCGACCGAGCCAGAAACCTCAAGCAATCGCGATTCATCCCGCCAGTCTGGCGAGGTAATGACTAGCCGTGGCAGCGAGGACTCTTCAAATTCCTCAGACACTGGTCTGTCTGGAAGAAATGTACCCACTTGGGAGCAAGAATTGTCCTACCATCACCGCCGCGACGGCAGCACAGAGACCCAGAGAGAACGCGAAGAGTTTGCTATGGAGATTGCAGAACGCCGCAGAAAGATCCAGGAGAAGCTACGAAGTGTCGCAGAAAGCGAGAGTCGTTCTAGTAGCCCTACACCGAGCCAGCATACTCCCGACTCGAATGTCAAGACTGGCAACGCCTTTTCTCTTCTGAAGCACAAGTCCAACAAACAAGGAGTCTCAAAGGCAGACCTATACGGTTTCAACAGCTCTTCCACTCCTTCCCTTGTGCCAGATGACTTGGTGCCCCGCGACGACCGTCCCTCCGTGTTCAGCCGCCACTCCAACTCCAGCGTGCCCCAAATATCATCAGAGCGATCCTTCCGATCCCGCATGCCAACTCTCAGCCGCAGCGCATCTCGAGAGTCAAGCCATAGCCGTGGCACATCTCCACAGCCAGGATACCGGGCACCAAGAGACCGATCCGGCTCCGATGCCTCCGGCCGCTCCAAAAGCCGAACCAGATACCGAGACCGAGACGATCTCGAAACTGTCGAAGAGGGCGCAGTAATCGCGCACGAGAACTTCGTCGCCCCAGAAAACTTTGAGCCATACATTCCACCCTCAGTCCCTGGTTCCGCACGCCCATCACTAGAAGGCGACTCAAACTCCGTCCCATTCGATCGATCTACCTCCGCAGCTTCAGGCCGGTACCGAAGCGCAAGTAGATCAGGAACCCCCAGCTTCCAATACGAGCGCCCATTCCAGTTCAACCAGGCCCAGGCACCTGCTTCATCATCCATGATTGGAGCTTCTCCACGTCCTTCCCCCGCTACACCCGCATACTCTGCCAACGCAACTCCTCCTCTAAATGAGGACGCATCCCCAACAACAAGCCTTTCTTCATCTTCCGCGGCAAGCTCGCAGGCTCTCCCCCAACGTGCCCCAGGGCACAACCTGCTCCACAAGCGCGCAGTGAACAAGAAGATCATTTCCGAACCAACATTCGTCTCTTGCACCTCCAACGTTCCCACCGTTGGTCTTCAAAATGGCGCCGCAGCCCCGCCTCCACTCCCACCCATGAACCCCCGTCGCCGCCGCGGCACACAGACAATTCTCTCAGCGTTCAAGCCTGACTCATCCCGCGTCTCGTCCCCAGCACCCAGTATCTCCGATGAGACTAGTGCATTCGCCTTCGACGATGAGAAGCGCCCTCGCTCCCGCAGCCGTCTTCGCAAGAAATCAATTGAGGGAGGTGATCGTGAGCGGGTAGCTATGAGTCCCCCACCAGCTCTACCTGTACCGCATTATCCTCCTCCCGCGATACCTGTGAATGGTGGCATGTTCTAATCTATACCAACTCACCTATCCGCTATGCATTCTTTGATCTTGATTTCTTTATATCTATGTTTGTGCTTCAAAGCATAATTCTGCACATTACGTTCTTTATCCGATATACACTCGGATTTCCAACTTGGCTGCTCTAGCCCGATTTCTTTAATTGCCGATTCTGATTCTTCATGACCATATACCACCTGGTGCATTTCTGAGCGTCTATCTTCTGTCTTCTATCTTTGTCTATCTACTATGTCTTATTTTCTTTTTGTTTCGTGAATATCCCAGAGCGGAGGTGTACCCAGGTATATTTTTTATAAAAATTAAATGGATAAATACTGATTTTCACTATGACGAATATAATCTTCTCTCTTATTATATATTGTAATATGTGTTTTGCTTAGATTTAAATCTATATCTTAATATACTATTAGCTAATAGTCTTGAAGTTTTTGCTGATCTAAATAATCAATTGATATAAGGGTTAACAGATTGTCTAATTAGGGATGTGCCTGCACCGTGACGTAGCACATGTTGACTTCTAAAATTTCTTTATTGTCTATAAACTTGAAGTAACTAGCTAGTATTATTGATATTCCACGTCTTGTTATTTATAGTTACTATTAGTAGGTAGTATATTAATAGCCTCTCATGCTAAGAGTATCTAATTAATCTCTAGTTCATAACTAGTTGGTATTAAGCAAAGCCGCACTTCACTTCTGTTGCTATTATCTCTACACTTAAACACCAAAAGTGTGCAAAATAAAGTTGATTAAACACCGATTTGTCTACTTTGAGCAAGAGACTATGGAGGTATAATGTAAAGGATAGTTGTTCTCAGCGAGGCAGAAGTTGTCTTTAAGAAATAGGATTACCTAAATTCAGGCAGCTGAGAGAATACTCTCACTCTAAAAAACACACTCTTTTCCTTTTGACACGCACGCGCCCAGATTTGTTTTCCTTCGGCCAAATATCGAGTCTCGATTCTTTGAAACGCGGAAAATTCGGAGCTCCTATGGCACCAGGCAAGTCTCGCATCGCGCGTGAGCACTTGGGGGATACATACTTCAACATGAGGCAGTCGGGTGCCTGGATTTCATACTTGCCTCCTGTTTCCAGCCAGGCGTGGAGAATCATCCATAACCCACAGAGAGAAGAAGAAATCATTGCCAACCAGACCAACTTTGCAAGGAAAGCAGAAGCTAGTGGATGTATGGGGCTCCACTTTGAGGCAAACGAAATGACTGTCGAGGATTATGACAATGAGCTTGGGCTACAGCAACAGCGACAATCCAAGGCCCCCAGCTATGATGCGGACGATGCGGCTCTAGATCAAGCTTTTGAGTATGGTGAGATACTCTGAGACCCTTTGAATGCCTAGCCAATATGGCTCAGCACAATAGATATTGATTGATATTCAACCGCAGATTCGGCTCTCCAGGACCACCTCCGAAGCAAGTTCGGCAATGTGAGTGTTTCGAGTGGCCGTGGCCGAAATGAAGAATTCATCTCATCAGCTCGACATATTCTGAGGTTGATGGTCCATGGGGTGCAGGAGCAGGCTACGGCTGGCGCGATTGTCAATAAGCTGGTCAATGGCACCGAGGAGCCTATTCAGGCCTCGACTCAAATATCACAACGAAGCTGTTCATTACTGCCTTCGTTTCACACGACAGTTTCTCCATCCTCAAAAGCTCACGATGGAGTGACAAAAATTCAAATTCCTTTCCATATCCAACGAATCACCGACCCAATTGTTTCTCCTCCACGCTCCCCAGTCCTGGACTCTCCAACGACAACTTGCGCGCCAACGACTTCTGAGCCTATTTCCTCTGAGCCCAGCATGCCGCGAAAGAAGAAAAAGAAATCTAAGAAGAAGAAGTTGGCAAAGAAGTCGGGCCCTTCGCCTACTTGCCCAATCCTACCTTCGACTGAGGAGAGCACGGGCAAAGTCTCCACTCTCTCTTCCCCGGCCTCAACCTGCACCGCGGTTTACCTGGGGAAATTCAGTCCTAATGATGTGGCTCTTCGGCCGGCTGAAGAGCTGGCTGCAGAGAATCATCCCCAGGAGGTAATCGCGAGTGACATTGAGAGACCGGATTCGCCTCCGTCACCTGCCCGGCATGCAGGCTCCGACAGGTCCTCTCCTCAGCTGTCCTCAACACCACCAGAGACGGAGCCAGAATTGTCAGCGACAGTGCCAGCAACACCAGATAATGTACCAGAGGTATCGCCAAAAGACTCGTTCAACCCTACCACTATCTCTTGGTCTAGCTTCGAGGATCAGCCGAACTTTTATTCCTGGTGGAACATTCACCAACACGACAGGGAGCACTTGTACTGGATACATGAGGATTGGAGCACGGTGAAGGTCGACATCTCAACATTGAATCGGGAGGATGACCCTTCAGCGTGCTACTTCTGCACCGAGTGCCGTCAGCATAGCCCGGACAAATTGTGTTGGTGTCCAAAGTGTCAGAAACGCATTCGCTGGTGTTGTTGCCTTCACTACCCCAGCTACTGCAACTATCCTGGTCAGAAAGCGGCTTATCAGCGATATCTTCGTCAGTTTGCACTCGATGCCGAGACAGGTTTTCCTGGAACCCCGGTTTCCAAGACCGAAAAAGCACCCAAGTCGCCCGACGAGACAGAGGAAGCACCGTCCGTTTCTCCTGATCAGGTCGACACTTCTACTCCTGCTGCCCCCGGAGTTTCTGAGGCCGACGAAGCAACCAAGACGCCTGACAAGAGAGAAGAAAAAGAAGAGGCAATCAGGTCTCCCGACGAGAGAGGGGAAGCGCCGGCCGTTCCTGCTAGTCCTGCCGGTACTCCTCCTGCCGCCCCGGCAGAGACCGAATTGATTTCTCCCGAGCCAAAGAAAAGGAGGAGAAAGCAGTGGCCGAGAAGAAAGCGCAAGAAGATTAAATTCAAGAAAAATCAGATGACCTGGTCTGATGATACATCTTCTCCTGGTCCATCCCCACCCCAAGACCCTTCACCCAGCCAGGGCATGGCTGTAGAGACGTTGTCTCTTAAACACATCCCTGAGCTCACACCCACGTCGTCTCTCAGTTCCACTGCATGGGATGCCCCGAAGTTATTCACTCCAATTGGCGGTGTATCTGGTGCCGTTAAAGAGCCCGACTTTCTCTGGGAATTCACCAAAGACTCTTCCTTTGTCTGGAAACGGAAGCATCCACGCGTTGTACGACGAATGTCTTGGCCAGTGAACCACTTGGGTATCGATGAAAAGTTTGTCAATTCCGTCTGAGAGTGTACAGTACTTTCATGCACTGCACGTTGGCGCTCGTTGGCAAAGAAAAAAGAATTGGTAGAAATCAAATTGGTAAGCGTCTTTTTTTTGTATGAAGAACGAGATTGACGACAACCTTGATGGCTACCATGAAAAGAAATCTTTATGATTGACCTATGATGATGAGGAAGAGAAGGATTGGGAGGAGCATGGTGCAGAAAAGCATATATCTGGGTTGAGAGCAGGTTCCTGAGATGACCAGTGAAAAATGTATGCAGTCAGTGTCCACCAGGTGAGGCAGGTCCTGTATCAATGAGATATTGGTGGACTTGAAAATTCAAAAAGGAAGCCCTGGAGGCTATTTCCTGATGAGAAACTCATCCATAGATCATCTGTTGTAGGTTCTAAGTTGTAACGGATCAATTAATGTAGCCAGTGGAGCTGAGGTTAACGGGTGGGAGTGGAAGTTGCAGATGTAGGAAAGAGCCGGCGAGTGGCCCTGGGCATTTGTCATCCATGGATGTGCACATCAAGTGTATCAAAGAAAGATATGCACTATGTACATATCAATAGTAGTAGCACATGTGCACATGTGTAAGACTATTCAATGTTGTTCTTTCGCTACTATAACACTTCTAATTAGCCACAGTTCATGAAACTGATACATTGATTTGAACCAGTCTATCTCTGACACCTTCTATACAATTTACACATGCTTCTAGTCAGTTCAAATGCGGATAATAAGAGTAAGTAGTCATAAAAGGTATCATGAATCATTTCAATACAATCTATGTATCCTAAATTTTAAAAAAAGATCTATAAAGAACAGAATAGTCACTGCTTATCGGGGAAACCAAAGTTCACACCAAAAGGAGGGTAGACATAACGCTGGAAAGAGTTGGTAGCAGCCAAAGAGTCCGAGTACTTGCGGATAATAGCAACATCGTCCGCATCCAGCTTGATGAGATCGGTTCGGTTGGCCTCGATGCGAGCGGGTGTAACGGATTTGGCGAGAACAGAGGAGCCACGGGCAACTAGAAGAAAAGAAACGAGTTAATCACAGTTCCAAGGACTAAGTTTAGAAGAAATGGAAAGGAATTGAGAGAGAATCAAGAGAAACATAGGAAATGAGAGGATAATGGGCTTAGAGGGACGCTTACTGTGCCAGCTTAGCAAAACAGCGGCAGGTGTGACACCACGCTTCTTTGCAACAGCCACGATAGGCTCTGCAGTGAACAGTGGGCTACCAGTGCTACCCAGGGGACTGAATGCAGTGATATGAATGCCCTTCTGGTTGCAGAAGTCGACAATCTCCTGCTGTGGCAGAGATGGGTGGTTCTCGATCTGGTTGGCAGCGGGGGTGATGGTGGCTTCGGGCAGAAGCTGCTCAAGGTACTTGACACTGTAGTTGGAGACACCGATAGCTCGTACCTTGCCGGTAGCTGGGAGCTTCTCCATTGTCTTCCAGGTTGTAATGTGGGAGTGACTGTGGATAATATCACGGGATCCATCTGGCAGCTTGGGGAAGACTGGGTGGTTTCCTTTTCAAATAGTTAGTTTTCTAGTCTTGTATTTCTTGGATTCCGCTTTCATTTCCATCTTTGCATGCATGTGTATGCATGCTGCGCACCCTCGGCAACTTTGGAACTGGAGGGGAAGAAGACTAACCATTGGGGTTCATGGCCAATGGCCAGTGCATCAGGTACAGATCCACATATTCCAGACCTAATCTCTCCAGACTCAGAGCAAGACCCTCGTCGACCTTAGCGTGATATGAGCACCACAACTTAGTAGTAACGAACAGCTCCTCGCGCTTGACAAGGCCAGCATCGATAGCCTGCTTAATACCATCGCCCACCTCGTCCTCGTTTCCGTAGTTGAAAGCAGCGTCAATGTGACGGTAACCAGACTTAATGGCGTGGAATACAGCACGAGCAGTATCTCCAGGGGGAGCTTGCCATGTTCCAAGACCCAAAGCTGGGATCTCAGCGCCAGTGTTAAGCTTAAAGTGGATGTCTGAGGCGGCCATTATGATGTATACAAATTCTTGGTTGAAATTTTGGAATTACTGATCAATAATTCAGGATTGAAGAATATGAACAGAGAAAGAAAGAACAAAAATAAAAAGAAAGAAGTCAAAAAAAATGGCGAGAGGCGCGTAGAAGTAGCTCGTTATAATGATATACCGAGACTAACTAGATTCCTTCCCCCCACGCTCACGCGGGGTACAAGTCCGCCCCCCACCAATTCTCCGTCTTTCATTCCCCGCCACCTTTTACCCATCAATCACAGTCCGTCCTGTCTCAATGAAAAATCAGCAAGGATCACGAATAAAGTGGCAAGCAATTTCCTCTACCGAACACAAGCCAGAGACAGAAAATATCTCGTGACTATGCTTAGATACACGCCAGACATGATTCAAAGAGTGTTCACCCACACTATTCAAGGAGATCTCGGCGGCAACTACCTAATGCGCCAAATCGAGTAAAACGCGGAAACCGAAATCCTAGACAATTTGAGTCTTGGTTTAGCATCGGTTCCACCTGACATCATTTCCCCCACGATGCTGACCCGGGCCCATTGTGATTCGTTCACGGATTAGCCTTCTGTGGGGTCTCCCCTGTTCTTTCCTGGAGTGTGGTCGGTCCGGATACTGGAATCCGACATTTTTGGTGAAAGATGCATGCTCGCACAAGGCATGGCTGCAAATCATGGGCTATTTCTGGGGAAAGTTGCCTGGGACAAGAAATTTCGCCCGATATCATACTATGATCATCGGAAACTTAGATGCGATTTGCTATTATGGTCGCCGTGGTGTAGGCGACTCTATATATGGCATAAATGGATCTTGACTTCTTCCTGTCTCCCCGGATATCCATCAAGCATTCAGACTCTCGCAAATAAGAAGACTTGTATTTCTCACTCTTGAAAATTATATTCGAGTGTTCTACAAGACTTATACACTTGATTTGTTGGGTTTCTTAAGACCACACCCTACAAAAAACAACAAAGTCCTTTAAAAAAGCACTTTCTTACCTCTCAAACACACACAATGGCACCCATCGCCATCGAGAACAGCCCACCTCCCACCATCAACAAGGTGCGGGACGGTCAGGCTCTGGAGGAGACCTCCGATGCCATCGATGAGGTCAACGTCCTCAAGGCCAACATGAAGAAGGAGCAAGAAGAAAAGGATTTGTACGAAGAATCCGAGTTCGACAAGTCCAAAGACAAGACAAACTTTCGTCAATACGAAGATGCCTGCGACCGGGTAAAGAACTTCTACAAGGAGCAACACACCAAGCAGACCGTCGCCTACAACCTGAAGGCCCGCCACGAGTTCAACAGCCAAACTCGTGCCGAGATGACCATCTGGGAAGCCATGGAGAAGCTAAACACTCTGATCGACGAGTCCGACCCTGACACCAGCCTGTCACAGATCGAGCATCTTCTCCAGTCCGCCGAGGCCATCCGCCGCGACGGCAAGCCCCGCTGGATGCAGCTGACCGGTCTGATTCACGACCTGGGCAAGTTGCTCTTCTTCTACAACGCCCAGGGCCAGTGGGATGTTGTCGGTGACACTTTCCCTGTCGGCTGTGCCTTTGACGAACGTATTATCTACGGCCGTGAATCTTTCAAGGATAATGAGGATCTCGGCCACCCTATCTACGATTCTAAGTTCGGCATCTACTCTCCTGGATGTGGCCTTGACAAGGTTATGCTCTCCTGGGGCCACGACGAATACCTCTACCACATCGCTAAGGAGCAGTCTACTCTTCCCGATGAGGCTCTCGCTATGATCCGTTACCACTCTTTCTACCCCTGGCACAGCGCTGGTGCCTACCACGAGCTCATGGATGATCATGACAAGGAGATGTTGCGTGCTGTCAAGGCTTTCAACCCATACGACCTGTACAGCAAGAGTGACGGTATTCCCAGTGCCGAGGAGCTGAAGCCTTACTACATGGAGCTCATTAATGAGTATTTCCCCAACAAGGTTATCCGGTGGTAAATGTTTTCGAAAAGAAAAGACATTTGATAGACTATTCTCCATTTCTTGCTTTCTCACTACACTTTCATGAGATTCCCATACATTTTCTACACCATATTTGTTTTGTTTTATCTTCCTTTTTTTTATGATGAAGCGTTCATATAAATATCTACACGACATAAATGAATTCTATCGAATCCAGCTACTCACTACTGGATATTCTCAAAGAGAAAATTTTGGCCTCTTCTTCATATTCTTTGATCTGTAGTACTTTTAGTATACTTTAGCTTTCCTGAAGTCTGTGAAGGTAGTAGTTATACTAGTAGCAATTTTGTTCGACTTAATCAACCCCGCTATTGACAAAGACCGGCTATTCCAAGGCTCTGGGCACAATTGAAGTTGAAGATATTCATCTTGAACAAAGATTCGCATAGGCTCTAGCTTGAGCCTATACGATGGGGTAAATGCGAAAGGCAAGTGAAAGACTCGAATGCCTAAAAGCTTGAGATACAATACGTTTGCAAATTAAGAGATCGAGTTCAAATTCATATTCAAAACTGATACTATGTATTGTTTCGTCACACCAGACCACTGGCAGTCTATAGAATAATTTTCTGACAAAATCAATATATCCCAAGTAAACACCCCCGAAGAACTATAACCAAAGCCCTCGAGTCCAATCTACAACCTAGCAGCCTCAACCCGATTCCCACTTAGATCAAAAGAAATCTTCTTCCCAGAAATCATAGCCTCTTGCAACGCAGCCCCAATTCTAACAGCCTGCACAGCAGCAGTCAACTGCAAAGCAAGAGGCTTATTCTCCAAGACCGCCTCCGTAAACTCATTAGCCTCAGTAACAAAAGCATGCTCGAATCGATCCCAATAAGTCTGCGGAATCTCCCTCCTAACACCAGAGGCATCAGAAACATTAACAAGATTCATCTGCGGCTGCGTATTAACAGCCAATTTGCCCTTTGTACCAATAATCTCCGTTGTATCTTCTTGACCAGCAGCCATCATTCTAGAGGCATAGAAATAGGCAATCTTGCCATCGTGGAACTCTACAAGTCCCACGGCGTTATCTCTATCATTGTGTTTGCGTAGATCAGGCTCGACGGCTGTGTTGCCTACTGCAGAGACAGTCTTGACTTTGCTTTCTGCGCCGAAGAACCAGAGTGTTAGGTCTATGTCGTGGATGGAGCAGTCGACGAAGATTCCGCCGGAGAATTGGGCGTAGGCGACGAAGAAGCCGGATGGGTCGAGCTTGTCACAGGTTTGACTGCGGAGGATGGAGGGGGCGCCAATTACGCCGGCTTGCATTTTGTTGTATGCGTCGCGGTAGGAGCTGTCGAAGCGACGGGAGAATCCGCACATCACCTTTAGGTGTGGCTTTTTGTTGGCAGCGTCGACGACGGATTGGGACTAGAAAGTTCGATATTAGCATTGGTTTTATGTGTGATTGGTCCTAGCTTCTAGTTCACTTACAACTTCGACACTGGTGGACAGTGGCTTCTCGCAAAGAACATGCTTATCGGCGTTGATTGCCTTGATTGCTTGTTCGGCATGCACGGCTGTTGCAGATGCGACGACAATGGCCTCCAGGCCCTCGTGCTTTAACATGTCATCGTAATTCTGGTATAGACGAACACCGTATGGCTCGAGGTTCTTCTTGCCCCATTCGAGCTCGACGGGATCAGGTGTGCTGGCAGCAACCAATTCAGCTCGGGGAGTTCGTTGTAAAAAGTTCAGAGCATGACGTTTGCCCATGCGACCAAGGCCAGCACAGCCAATTTTCATTCTTTGCACAGACATGTTGGAGCTTTTTTACAAATATAACAGGAGCAAGAACAGGAACCGAACAATTATTGTAGACGTAATAAATACTCTCTACCAAAGCCAAGCTGGATATTTAATTGCAGGTGCGGAGGCCAAAATCCGAGTGTGGAGAAAGCGACGAACCCCGAAATTCGAGATCTGCGGGGTCGGAAAGTGAGTTCCAGCCATAGGACATGAGTGTAGACATGAGATAGATGGGAAATGAGATAATAATAAAAAAAGAAAATAAACAGTCTGGCTCCAATTATTCTGCCTTCTTCGATGCCCGTCGGGCTTTGCGCTTCTCAAGTTCAACAGGATCGACATATCCGTCTCCCCGTAACCAAGTCAACACTTTACGAACACCAGCACCTTGAACAGCCTCTGGGCTGGACTCAAGAATAGAGCCCATGAGAGCCAAGGACAGTACAAATACAGTCAGTTCGTAACGACGACCGCCCTTCCAAAGTTTGCGCTTAACACCCGCCTTCCAGGCTGAGTCAAGTGATGCACGGAAGAAGTAAGTGAACAAGCTGCGGTTATTACTTAATAATAGGAATGGGAGAGAGCCCAGAGCACCGCTCAGGAAAAAGCGTTTGGTGGGGAGTGTCGAGCGAGGAAGCGTGTTGTTGAGCATACAGACGCTACCCCAGGAGGAGGCAATACCAGTAGAGAGAACAGCCGTCATCACAAGAATTTTCTTCGACATGCCATTAATAGCCATCATAGGATGTGCCAGGACTTTCTTGAAACCAAGTAGGCTGAATCCTACGACGACAGCTGTGATGAATCGGGCAAGCCGGGGCACTGAGAGTAGGATCTGATGTAAGAATGCGGTGCTACAATTAGGTAGGCTTGGGTGAAGTAGTGCGCATGATAGACTGGAGATTGATGGATGCGCAGGTCCAGTAATAGGTGAAATAGCCTTAACAGCTGCTGGTAAGGTATTAGGGTCAGACGGGTGGAGAATCGGAGACACAAACGCCCTAAATACCATGTTAGCACAGGACTACAAATGTTGAAGCGGCATTCAAAACCAGAAAAATATGAACATACGGCCAGCGAAGATTTGCAATAGATGCGAGGGAGTCTACAATCTCCTCTCTCTCCGGCCAAGCAACATCATCAGGAAGCGACTCCGGTCGGCCCTGAATATAGCTCAAAGAGAGCCTGCGTACAACCGCCTCAAACCACTATTTATAACCGAAACGTCAGCAAAATGACCCCAATACATCATTCCCAACATTTAAGTCATATCTCACCTTAGGAGTAGTTTCGCGATCAAATACAAAAGCATGGAAAAGCTGTGCACAAGAAACAGGCATTAGCAGCCAGCTGCCGAACCAATTTGGCAATTTCCACCCCTTCATCTCTAGCGCGTCATAGAGATACTCCAAACTCCGCGTAGAAGTCCAGATAGACGCCGTCAAACGAAGCTGGTCCTGTGGACATCCGCCCAGCGCGAAACCAGCCAAACTAGCACCGATAGCGGGCGCATATTGCGATGTCAACGCGCGCGAAATTTGCGGGTTTCGCTCACGGAATGGACGGGCATATTCAGTGCGAAGATTGGAGCGTAGTCTCACGAGGAATCGATATATGAGGCGATGGAGGAGAAGTAGGAGGGATAGGGAGAAGGAGAGTCGGACATTAGGCGATTGGAGGAACGGAGTACGAGTCTTGGTCCTAGATAACGATGGGAAACACGTGAGATAGAATATTCAATGAAGGAAATGAATACTTTGGAATGATAAAATTCGCTTACTTCGCTGCATCCTTTTTAACCCGACTCATAATCAACTCGAACAGCTTCATCGAAACACCCGTCCCGACGAAGACACGCAATGACGTACGGAGCGCCGCAATGCTATGCCGGTTTTTTAACTGAGCGACCGAGTCATCACGCAGCGCAATCGGTAGTTTATCTTTCAGAGCGGGTGCGCGTTTCGCTGCGAGCTCATAGAGAGCCCTGTATTCTTTGGCGCTGAGACATAGTCGGACGGCATTGCGGACGGCGGGGTGGACGTCTGGTATATCCCCCGAGGCCGCTGGGCTATCGGAAGTAGTAGGGGCAGACATGATCAGACTTGTGCCAGCAGCCAAATCAGTCGCCCATGGAATGTTTAAAATGTTGTGTGAGAGGTTGGGGTCGGAAGAGATGGGGGTCGCGACAGATGGGGTCCAGGAGTGACGATGAGGTACCCCGTACACGGACCCCAATGGACCTCGGCATTCCGAGCGTTGTTAGGCGTGAGCCGTCAAAGCTTCGCTAAAGCTTGGAAACTTGACTTAGCGGCGGCTTTTATACTAGATATGGGCTTATTTGTTATGGCAAGCGCTGTTTAGATTGTTGCTTCTAATTTTAAGTGGATTGTCGGTCATTATCATCTAGGTCTGGGCCAGTGCACCTTCTACTATGCAAACCGCTGGTGTTCCAAACAGAAAATAGCAAAACATACTTCAACGCAATGGATATCTCAAAGTTTATTGCAATCGGTATCAAATGTAATAACATGACCAGTCCAGATCATTATGGGCTGGGGCCGTAACAACGTTCACCAGTACACATGAAGACGACAGGTAGAAGTATAAGTTGAAACGACGAGAAACAGAAAAGACGCAAGGTTATCTAGATACAGTCGCACGATACGAAAGAACGTACAGAAGAAAAGAAGGACGTAAAAGGGAGATTAAGACGATTCATATCGCATCAAAGGCACACCCAACTCCAAAAGCAAGACACGGTCTTCACAAGAGATCACCAGAAGCTGCACCATCCAATCCAGTGCTGGCAGATATTCTCTACATTGGTAGCCTGCGCAAGAAGTTTATCAACCTGGTCACTGATATTGAGTTCTTCGTAATTCTTGAAATCACGTCCAGTGAGCTTCTCTTTAACTCGAGCAAGAACTTGTACGGCGCGGGCATTTTGGGCCTCGCGAGCCTCGGCTGGCACGCCTTCTTGGGTATCAAGGATGCCGCCCTCGAGAATTGAGGGTCGGCGACGAGAGAAGTTGCTTGGCTGCGCATTATCTTGGAAGTTGATGCCTTCGATGAGACTCTGGCGTCTTTCGGCGGTAAAGGATGTGCGGTCGGGGGATTCTTGAGCCCCAAGACGCCAAGTAATCAAGGGATCGTGAATGAACTAAATGCGATATTAGACCACTTTCTTGTGCTCAAAACGGTTGAAGGGACTTACGGCTTCCAAAACAGCCATCAGAGAGTCCTTGTTCTCTCTCAAAACTCTCATCACTGCCTCGCAGGTAATGCGATAGCTGCCTTCAATATTACTGACCTCCATAGCGAAGGTCAACATACGAGTAAGTCGGAACGGTACCCTGTAAATGGTGTGTTAGTTATCTGGAACTTATATCATGGAGGAAAGGTAATGTGGTAGATAGAAGCTTACCTTTCAGGGTACTTCTCCCGAACCATAGCGATCTCAAAGCAGTCACCGAAATCAATATGAACAACCCGACCCGTGACACGATCCAGCAACAAGTTGGAAGGATGTCGGTCACCCAGACCAAGAATGTATCCAACCATTGACATGACACCCAGAGATCTGGTGTAGTTGGTACGTCGTTCAAGCCAAGATTCAGAGCTCTTACTCTTAAGCCACAGAACCCGATACAAATCTTTACCGGTGGTGTTGTCCATAGCATATCCGAAGACCTCGACCTTCTGCATGAGAGTGAGGCTATCATAGTCAGGTGCCATTTGAAGCATGATCCTGTGTTCAATGTTAAGCAGGATGCGGCGGCTTTCTCGGTACTCTTTGATAAGAGCATGTAGTGTATCACTGTTGCATACCCAACCCAGGAGACCGGAACTCTGTGATAATGGAATGGCAGGGAAACGTTGGACCGAAAGATGGCGCTTGAAGCTCTCACCATCGTTGTCCAGAAGAGTATTGCACAGTCCGAAGAGTTGCATGACTCGCTCGTCCTGGCGAATATCTTCATGACCCTTGAGTGCGTACATGTAAGAGTGGCCGCTGCTGCCTTTGAGTGTCATCCGTCGAGGTCTCTTCTTAGTCTGGAGCACATGTAGAATTGGATCGAAGCTGATGATGCGGATAATAGGGCGACCGCTTTGGTAAGTTCCTGGCACAGCGAGATCGAGGCCTGAGCAATCTTTGAGTCGAGGAGACACATATTTGAGGTCAAGAATGAACAATTGTGGAAGCTGTCTCTGGATCTTGCGGAATACAGTGTAGTAAAGGTCCCAAGCTTGGTTCACATCCCCGACTTCACCGGTTGAGCGGTAAACTGCGCAATAATGCTTGGCCTCCGCAAGATCACGGCCAAATGCCTGGGCGAAAGACACCTCACGAAGCGTCTCGGCTCCCTTCTCCAGTAGGTCATGAAGGGGCGCGAGAGTTGCAAACATGCCTTCGGTATCGCTGGCGCCAAAGTAGAGACGAGAGGCCTCCTCAAGAGCTTCATGCCAGAGTTCGTGCCATAAAACGGCCACTCGGATCAGTTCGTGACTGACAAGATCTGCTTGTTCAACCAGCTTCGCGGAATGTTGGCGCATGCTGTCCATAATGCTACTGGCAGATTGCGAGCGACGAGTCACATTTGACTTCATAGCTACTGTCAATGGGTACACAAGAGCTTGAGGGTGTGTCTTGCCAACCTCCGCCAGTAGCCTATGGACGGAACCACGGACTCTGATATTAGGTTGATTGATACGAGCAATAAGTTGAGGTGTGACGGAAAGCCAAGTGTCAATATTCACTGTCGTGAAACCTTCAGTGACGACTGTGTTGACTTCGTGATCACCGCCGTGACTGAACCATAAGGTGAGCAATCTAAGAGTATCCTGCAGGGAGGATGTTGAGGACAAAGCAATTGATCGTAGGAAACCACGGAGCGCGGGTATGACATGCTCCGTGACAATATGCGCGGGAACCGGTGCTGGCTTGCCGTCTCGACTTGCTTGGTTAGAAATCGCTGTGACCACTTCAAAGTTGGCAAGAGCCCATGCGTGCCAAGCCTTGTAAGAATCCCGATTGTACTGAGTGGCTGCTGAGTAGGCATTGAGGACCTCCCGGACATAATCCGGCCTCCAGTCGCCTTTCTGGAGCGTTGTCTGCCATTCACCCTGTCGGAGGTAACTCTTGGAGAGGAGTTTGCGGAATTTGTTAGGATCCCCAATCCGGTCACGGAGGCTGATCGCATCAGGATGACTTGGATCTGCAATTCCATTGACACCATTTACACCGTGGTGTTCATGGGAAGAGTTGGAAACCATGAGAGTGTTGTACTTAGAGAGATCGTCGCTGAGGTTAGAAGTGAATTCTTTCAGCATCTCCAATGACTCCTGCTGATGGCCGTTCGCCCAGCTGAATTTCAGTCGAGCATATGTGACCTCGGGAGGTGCGATTGTTTGTGTTCCACTCGCATCAGTAATAACTGTCTCCAGGGCCGCGAGGGATCGTTCAGCCAGACCCATACGGTTCGACTTTCGGCAAAGGTTGGCAAACTTGATAGACATATCAAGATTTTCATGAGGAGCGGTCACAAGTGCGCGGACCTTGAGCATCCGCTGCCACACCTCCACATTTTGCTGGCAGCCAAGCAGTCGCTGGTTCCAGGTCTGGCGCATGGCATCCTGTTTCTCTGGATCACCAACGTTTTGCTTGTAGGTGATGATTTCTTCTAACTCAGCAAGCATCTGGACGCGGACTACAACGTTGTAAGCACGATTGTAAGACTCTCCAAGAAGAGCCGAAAGTTCGGTGTCCAACCCGTTGCGTGCTTTCTCAATGTACATATTGGCTTCTTCGAACTGGTTGCGATGAATAGCAAGAATAGCACCGAAGAATGATCGATCGGGAGACTGCTCTTTCATGACACCGAGATATGAATCCATCAACTCCCACTGGCGACGACCCCATGCTGCAGCTGCAGCAAGCGGAGCAATGGCTCTGCGATGTTCCAATGACGCCTGGTTCCATTTCTCTTGAGCAAGGTCTGAAAGAACCTTCCACTCGCCCAGAGCATGCAGACAACGCATTTTACCCATAGTGATACCAAATGAGTCAGGATCAGTCTTCTCGCGTCTCTTGTACGCAGCAAGGGCTTCATCCCATCGCTGAAGTTTTTCGAACCAGGTTTCTTTCAATTCCACGTCACGGTACGCTTGTGCCTTACGCAAGATACCGATCGCAGCATCAGACTGCTGGAGTTGATTGTTGATTGTGATAAGAGCCTCAACCGCACCTGAATTTTGATCCTGTTCAAATTCGAGCTCCTTGTAGTGAAGGGCTTTGGCAAAGGCGTGGCACTTAGCCGCGTATTTGCCAAGGGTGCGGATATCGATCGGAAGGGCCTTGTCATCATGTTCCATGAACTCTGCAAGATTAAGTAGAATCTGCAAGATCTCTGGAGAGATGTTCGGCGAGGTGAGTGCTTTCTCGATGGAACGAACCAGCTCTTCTTGATATTGGTCATAGAGCTCAGTCCAGCAGGAGACAAATGCAGCGTTGAAAAGGTCACGGGCCAACGGCTGATAGATTCCAGCTAAGCTGGCACAGGCCCGTAGCGCAGGAGATGGCGACTCCTTGAGAAGCTCCACGCTGAACCGGCGAATCCACTCTTGCCAGTCTTCACGAGTAGACTTCTGGGAAGAATCCCATGCATTCTTGAGATGTTGCTGATTAACAACCATCTTCTTCTGTCCGACTTCTGCGAAGTTGGAATCGTCAGCGGGGAATGCATAGCTTTCTTCGGGATTGAGGTCTTGCGGCAATGGATCTCCTTTCTGCAGCTTATTTGCCAATATTTGGTAGTTGACATGGCTAATTCCATGCTTCTTGAGGACCTTATTCAGAAGATGCATGTAGTGCGTGAAATCTTGACCAAGCTGGAATATGAGAGCGCAAATACAATCCATCGCGGCTTGCCGCAAAACGCGATCGCTGCCCGCCACAACTCGTGATAGGGAGTGGACCATGAGAGATGCAAAATCCGAAACATTGACTTGGCGAGAGAGCTTTGTCAAGCTGTCAATGGCAGACTTTCGAATGCTTTGAGGATGCTGTGATCCCTCGAAGAGACGAACAATAGACGGAATGATGAGGTGCATGTATTCTTCGCCGCTTGAGCCAAATATCAAGAAAGCATGGAGAATTTTCTCTGATGGCTGACGACGAGGAGAAGTATCCTTGTCAAGAGTATCCAACATTAGTGGGACTAGGCCAGCCAAGTACTTTCTAAATTCTCCTTCTAGAGATCTAGCAATGGCCTCGACCAAAGAAAGGATAGTACCCTGCACTTGGTACGAAGTGTCCCAGAAATCCCGAATCACATCGATGATTTCCGGAAGGAATGCACGGATGTGCTGTCGTACAATATTCACCAGGATAGCCATTTGGTTGAAATAGGATTCGAGGCGACTTGTAGGGGAGCTTCGGATCACTCCGATGAAGCCGGGAATGATCTGCCCAAGGAATGGCACGCATTTCAAGCTTAAAGTTTTGAAAATTGTGACGATTGCATCAATGACAGCCGAGTGGTATTGTACCAAAGAATTCTCTCTGAGGATATTCTGCAGCAAGGTATGAATGACCACAGTGGGATAATACTCTTCATTAGAGGGAGTTAGGCCTTGCATGACCAGCGCAACGTCTGATACGCTCTGGATCTCGTTGATGTGGTGAACGTCAGGCTCCACGTCACTGATTTGTTGGTACTTGTAAGGATCAAGCGCACCGAGAACACCAATAAGCTTGATGGTCTCCTTCCTTAGGGATCCAGTCTGTTCTGTCTTAGTGATATTAATCAAGACATCAAGGAGATGGGGGTATTCGAGATATGGCTCGATCACGTAACCCGAGTTGCTCGCCAGCTGTCCCAGAGTTCGTAGGGCAGCTTCTCTCTTGGTATGCGAAGATAGATCTTGAAGGGAATCCAGAATGATCGGCATGATCTGCGATAGATAACGCCTCATTTCCCCTCCACCGACACTAGCAAGTTCGCCGACGGCTTTCAAAGTGACAGCCGCAACACCAGGGTTGGTATCTGTGGCTTTAGGCAATAGCGCTGTCACCATAGGATCAACGTAAGACCTGATCAACTTGGTCGCGTTTGAAACAAACAAGCTGATTAGCTGTGCAGTCTCTTCTTTTTGACGCGCTGTGTTTGCAAAGCCTAGTCCAGTCAGAAGGTTGACGAGCAACTTACGCAATGGCGGGAAGACATAGGCAGGGTTGACACTCGAAAGACGTCCAATGATACATATAGCCGCTTCTTTGACCTCGAACGCTTCGTCGTTGACAGCAAGGAACAAGCAACGGATGTTCTCTGGACGTGCCAAATGTCGATCAAACTTGGCATCTAGTGACCACAAAACTGTGCGACGAATTTCTGGGTCTGCATCACCAACACCGACCGTCAATAGCTTATCAATGACTTCACTGACTACTTGAATTGAATGGCCACTGGTTTGGTTTATGATCGGATCATGGACGAATAGTTGACAACATGTAAGTGCTGACGCTTTTCGAATTTCGGAGTTGTCATTTTCAACGTAGTCAATTGCAACATCTCGAACAAACTCGTTCAATATGTGACCGGAGAAGTCAAAGCTGCCGAGGGTATGAAGTGCTAGTGCAATCTCGGAGTCGGAATGAAGATCTCGTGGTGCAAAGTCCTTCGCGAACGATGGCATGGGCGGCAAACGGTTTTCGGGGCAGCCGAGTGGGCGGAAGGGTGTCCCGCAAAGAATAATGCTGAGCATGTCGAGGAGTTTCTCTTGGATTACGGGTTTAATAGGAGGGATGTAGTGGGCCATATCGACCAAGGCTTGCGTTAAGGATTTGCTCAGACCGCAGGCGAAAATGGGGTCCAGTAAACCCTCCATATATTTGCTGAGGGCTTGTCCAACCGCCAGGGAGAGCATGCTGATACACTCAAACATCGGAGCCTCCTTAACATGGGACCTGTTTCTCGCTTTCATGGCGAGTCCCTCTCGAATGTGAACGATGATACCTTCGAGATACTGAGCGATGGCCGGTCCGACGGCATTGGCAATATTTCCGATGGCGATGAAAGCTGCGTCGCGCTCCCCTTGTCGCTTTAGTTGTGCTTGGAGATAGATCATGAAGCGATGTAGATAGATTTCGATGAAGTCGGTTGGGGCGTAGGATGCGAGGATAGGGATGGTAAGGACGACTTGGGTGCGAATTTTGGCGTCTTTGTGATCTTTGAGGCGTAGGACGATCTCACAGGTGTTGCGATAATTGTCTCCTTGGTTCATAAACATGGTACCTTTCAGGATCAACTCCTTGAGAATTAAGAGAGATCCATGGATCCAGTCCACATTGTGAGACTTTAGACCAAGCAAGGCCTCGTCGTAGATTCGAGCGAACCATGATTGACGAACTTGTGCGTCTCGAGCCACGATAATTTCGAGACATTGTCCCACGGCTTCTGCGGCTGTCTCTCGAATGAGAACCTTCATGTCACGGAGCGCAACCCAGACAAGCTCGAAGATTTGCGGCACGAATCCGTACAGGAGGGTTGGCGAGCCTTTCGCGAGCTCCCGAATCACGAGCACTGCAGCAAACCGTCGACCTTCCTGGCGCTCTGATTGGAGCCACTCCAGCGCCGACTGGATCTCACTTTCTACCAGCTCCGCGGTCAGTGCCCCGCCCGGCTTAGCCAGTCGGCCAAGCGATCGGGCGGCACGCTCCAATACCATAATATCATTGCTTCGGAGGGCGCTTCGGAGGTAACTGGCAAATCTAGTCGTCTTTTGGGCCGCGTCGACGCCGTCAAAGTCGATCAGCTGGTCAAGGGCGAGAAGTCCACCGACTCTCTCATTTGCATCGCTACCTGTTACAACCAGCTGGGCAATTCGTTGACTGACGGCATTGTAAAACTCCACAAACTTCTCGGAGGGCCAGTCTATCAGTGAGAGATACATGTCAGCTAAGTGTCAAGTGTGTGTTGCATGATATTGAGTCAGTTCCATACCTCTTGAGACAGACAGGACATTGTCGTAGAGCTCATAGGCAGCTCTGACCTGGGTCTCTTCGTTCTTCGATTTCAGATCCCCAAAGAGCCTTTGGGTGACATCGGTGATGGGGCCTGCTTGCGCCATATTTGCGAGCTACACCCCAAGGTGGACATTGGAAACCAACCTTACAGGAGAAAGCAGGCAAGGCACATAAGTGGTGAAGGAGGGAAGGTCATGTGGTGAGGCTCACTGAAGGCGGGTTGATGACCGCAGTGTGCACGGGCCTCTTCGGCCACCTGATGTTCTCCCCCAGTGCTTGTTCCCCCCGTCGGGCGTTTTCGTTTGGTCTAGAACAAATTATTAGTCTGTAGTTGTAGAACTAGCAGGGTTCAACTGCATGTTCAATTATTGACCCAGATTATGAGCTTTAATTGAAAGGGTTTGAGCAAAATAAGCCTAGATACTGTTTCTTGACTATCAACGCTTCCCCAGCTTCGCCGTTAGACAGCGGACCCTATCGAGTAACAGTTATTTCAAATAGGCAAACGGGTTTTATATATGCCACTACAGGATAAAAAAAATATTCAGTCCTGAGGTAACACGCGATCTAAGACCACGTACCATAAGTATCAGCAAACGATATCCATCCCTTTCCAGAATATGTCAACATGCACGTTTGTCAATTGTGGGGTGCGGGATTCCGCCAACAATCAGCCTATCCAGTCGGGGGAATTTCAAAAGGAAAACATTCGAAGTCATGCATAGAATGAATCAGCAGTTGAATGATAATTATGTAGGCTCATAGATAATGCTAGTAGTAGTATGAGGCATTTTATACATGCGACTGGACTAGTAGATGCCCAGGTGGCACATGTGCAGTATCCATGGATACCCCTCTTAAACTTGAAGATCGAAGGTTTCTAGAATTGCTATCAACCCTCTCCATATAGCAGTATATGTAGAAACCAGTGTTACGCAAGCTCCATGACATCATGTCGTACACATGGACAAGACCTCTGAAGCCACACTACATACGGCGTCAGTTGATCTCAGTTGACCTATTCACTTTGACTTATCCTAAGATACAGATGCAGTTAATTTGTCCCTTTGAGACCATACTGTACTAAAGTATGGTACAATTATAGGCAGCAGTATGTACACACAACCTTGGAAAGGTGTAGGCAAATTTATAGCCAAAGTTGTAGAAAAGGCGTAGAAAAAGATACAGGTAGAGGTAGTTTATGTTTAAGGTATCTACTTGGGGAGGACAATAGTATCTTTTGGGTGAACCATACAGTTTAGATCTGCCCCCAAAAAATGATGCGCCTTAAATTAAGTGTACATCACAAAAGTACAATGTAAGGTGTGAAACTGATATCGAATCATGACGACCACGGACTTTGGTCCTTGGGCTTTAATTAACTCCAGCGGCTACCGGACTTTAACATCCGCAGGTGCATGCTGACCGGTTATCTCACGGATGAGGTTTGCAGGAGGACTTAGCACCATGACCGAAAGCGGAATTAAGCGGATTCATTCCTCTATATCGACACTAAGTTCAGTATCCTCGGGAAGGAAACTGAAAATTAAATATGGCGAATTCTTATTTGTAATCGGCTATGGTCCTCCAGATGTCGTTATGGTGGGCTGCGGTGGGGATCGATGACGGGATCGAGGGGTATGAAGAACCATAAAGCTGGAGGGGTGCCCGCTGGTTCTTATCATCCTCTCACACTTCTTTCCTCAATTTATTTGGACCAATTCGCTGATTCGGGCTCTCCAAAATGGTCAAGGTTCTTCTCACTGGTATGGATTCCTCATTTCTCTCATGACCCACTGTTATGGATCTAACCATGTCCTTATCAAACAGGCGGCAGTGGCTTCATCGCTGCTCATATAGTAGAAATCCTTTTGCAGAATAAGTATGAAATGAGTCACACCAACGAATATACTCGGGTGCTAATACGAATAACAACCAGCTTTGATACTGTGGTGACTGTTCGATCGGAGGAGAAGGGCAAGCGCATTATTGATGCTCACCCCGACACACCCAAGGGAAAGCTTTCATATGTCATTGTCAAGGACGTTGCGGAGGATGGAGCTTTTGACGAGGTAATATCTTAAACCAATGGCTGATTTATAGCGCAATCGACATTAATCTGCTCCATAGGCTGTGAAATCAGACCCCCCATTTGACTACGTCCTCCACACGGCATCGCCTTTCCATTTTAATGTTGGTGACCCTGTTAAGGATTTCTTAGATCCCGCTATTAAGGGAACCACGGGAATTCTTAAGGCGATCAAAGCCCATGCTCCCTCCGTGAAGCGTGTTGTAATCACATCATCCTTTGCCGCGATTATCAACAGCAAACAGCACCCGAAGCTCTATAACGAAACAGTGTGGAATCCCATCCTCTGGGAGGAAGCCCTGGATCATGCTAATGTCTACCGAGGCAGTAAAGTAAGAATTATTGTCTTCGATCTCAGAATTTAAATTAAATATACTGACCTATATACTTCTTAGACTTTCGCCGAGAAAGCGGCCTGGGACTTTGTTGAGAAAGAAAAGCCCAACTTTGATATTTCCACTATTAATCCACCACTGGTTCTGGGACCAATCGTTCACTATTTGAATTCTCTGGATTCACTCAACACCTCCAACCAACGAGTACGAGACCTGATCCAGGGTAAATTCAAAGAGTCACTTCCACCAACCGGCACCTTTATCTGGGTCGATGTGCGTGATGTTGCATTAGCACATGTTCAGGCAATCAAAGTTCGGGGAGCAGGTGGCCAGCGATTCTTTGTTGTCGCAGATTACTTTTCCAACAAGAAGATCGCTGATACTATTCGAGAGACACACCCTCAGCTGGAATCAAAGCTACCTCCTGCAGATGTGGCGGACGACTTTCCCGGTAATATCTTCCAGATTGATAACAGCAATTCCAGACAGATTCTGGGAATCGAGTATAAGCCTTTTAAGGAGACAATCTCGGACACAGTCGATTCTTTGTTAGAAGTTGGTGCTTAGTTATATACTAGTATTTGTGTGACTTATATGATTGATTACATAACAACCCTTTTGAATCAATGTTGAAAATAAATATATCTAACTAATTTGGCTCGGAATCTGTAGAGGAGACCCTTGAATTTGTGATGTAGGCCGCGAGAAACTCAAGTAATTTAAAAAAAAGACACTCGTGCAAAGAATTCCTTGGAGGCGCAGCTTTCTTGGAATCGATAAAAGAATACCGAAGGATGGCCATGAATCACGAAAGAAAAACAATGTTAGATCTATGTATCCAAACTTAATTTTTGTTACAAAGAAATCTTTTTGCTTTTGCGAAAGCAGTATCCTATCAATTGCATGGCATGGATGTAGGATACTACGTAGATGTTGATCCACGGTGGAGCCCATAATAGCGGAACTGCGCTTTTGGGTATTGTAATCTACCGTAGATCCGTGTCCGCAAGACAACTTTTCTTTGCGCGACCCCAAGGTCCGTTAAGCTCCGCAATATCGTGGCATTGAGCAAATATGGCGGCCGTCAGGGTTTCGCCAACGGCAAATCTTCTACGGAAGTCCCGTTTATTTGCGCTTCCTCAAGCTTTGCAACCGCCACAGGATCCGCCATCCTCAAAGACCGTATTCGAGTCGGCAACAGCAACACTCCCTCACCCCATCCGAGCCTCCATCGTCACACCTCCTAAGTCCCTCGCTCGAGGCGATTGGGGATTGAAACGTTCTTTACCGGCTAAGTCGACCTCGGAGAAATCATCGAGACCCGTTGTTCGAGTCCAAGCGCTGGACACCTACGAGCATGTCACCGACTTCGAATCCGCAGCCGATCACACGATGACTTTGGAGAAGTTCCAAGAGCTACACATGCCCATGTCTCTTCCTACTAAGATGAACTACGCTTCCAGCATTGTCCCACGTCATCAAAGTCCCTTCGATGCCCATGTCGATAACACAGAGACTAGCAAGACTCTCTCCGAGCCTGGCGCCAAACAATATAGACATTCTGGACCTTGGTTGTCTGGATTGAGTCAAGTAGAGTTCGACGCCTATTTGAAGACGATTCGTCGCGATAAGCCTGAATTATTGCAGAAGTTGCGTGAACGATTCGAAGCCAAGCGTTTTGCTGAAGCCCGGAAGCAGGCCCAGGACAAGGGCGAGGATCTCGAGAACCTGAAGCCAACCAAGGTCACTGATGCAGAGTTCCAAACATATATCAAGTCTCTACGAGCTGATCCATTCTCCATGGGTCCCGTCATTTTCGAACTGCTGGATCTTCCTTCCTCCCCTGCTGTGCCCAGCGAACGCATTGGCACTCAATACTTCCAGTCACCCGGCACCAAGATGTCTGCAACTGAATATGCCGTGACCGGCCCACCGAAGACACATCCCTCCGCCGGTCTCTCCTACGCCCGATCCCACGCTCTGACATACAACCACCCCAAGTATGGTCCTCAGATCTACCAGCGCCCCGTGCAGGCACGTATTCTGCGACCAAAGGGCCGCTTCAAGGGACGAATTTCCAAGGCCATTGCCGGTGTTGGTGGTGTGGCTATTGAGGATCTCAACGCCATGTCTTTCTCCGACCAGGGCACACCAGCTGGCATGGGCTACTTTGACGCAACCATCGAGGGAGGTGGCAAGTACTGGGTCAACCCCATTCGCGCTGCTGTTGACTCGGAGGGCCGAATCCGCATGTCCACTTTCCGCGCTAGTGCCAGCTCAAAGGCACCATATGGCATTGAAGAATACAGGAAGCCAGGAACTACCAGCATTACAGATGCTGCCCGCCGTGACGCTATTGCTGTTCCGCGATTGGACAGAGATCTCAAAGCGGCGCGCTTCAAGGGCGGCCGCCAAGGTCGGCAAAAGCAGCCCTCGCAGAGCACTGATGAGGTTGCTCGTAACCTTGTTGAGAGCCTTGGAAACTAGACCAATATTTCGATTTGGGGAACTCAGGCGGAGCGAGATTTCAGCGATTTGTACGAATAGACCTGGTACTTTTGTAAAGCTACTCTTATCTTCATTTTTAAACATGTGATATAAACTCGATGCATCAATCGTACGTTATTTGAATTCAATGGCATATGTATATTGTGAAATTTCACGTATCCAATCTCAGCACCATGCTCATGTATCCACACTTCATATCATGTTCAAAAAGTAACTTGAATACTCTTGACTGTTACAGTGGAGCCATTGCCAACCTCAAGCTGATAAGTTACTAGCTCCGGTTATAACAACTCATGTAAGGTAAGTTACTTGACCGATGATATGCATAGAGTTCTCACTACATGAATTTTGGGACTAGCTTGTTCAGTTATCCCTTCATCGTCTGTACTTAAAATTTGTGACAAGACACCTTGTTCTGTATGTAGCCATTTTTGAGATGTTGATACCTGAGGCAGCAGCTCAGCAATATGACATAATCAACCCGATCATTCACGTGATCTAGGGCTGTCCTAGGGCATGGATCCACATCACACAAGCGAAATCCAACCGCCGGGTCTTATCCAAAACCTCTGATATCGCGAACTATTTCCTGCTTTCTTCGAACATCCCTCCAGCCGACAACAAACTGCCAAAATGGGTCGCGTACGTACTAAGACCGTCAAGCGCTCTGCCAGTTTGTACCCCTATCTCCGCATATCTGGCAAAAACAGTCTCTAACATGTTATACAGAGGTCATCATTGAGCGCTACTACCCCAAGCTCACCCTGGACTTCGAGACCAACAAGCGCATTTGCGATGAGATGTTAGTACCCAAAACCGCATGAGAAACGGCAAAATCAAACATACTAACGCATTGAAATAGCGCCATCATTGCCTCCAAGCGCCTGCGCAACAAGATCGCCGGTTACACCACTCACCTGATGAAGCGTATCCAGCGTGGTCCCGTCCGCGGTATCTCCTTCAAGCTTCAGGAGGAGGAGCGTGAGCGCAAGGATCAGTACGTCCCCGAGGTCTCTGCTCTGGATGTCTCCCAGACCGAGTCCGGCCAGCTCGACGTTGACGCCGACACCAAGGACCTGCTCAAGAACCTTGGCGTAAGTTTTTTACCCTATACCACATACTACATGCTATATGTACTTGGGATGTCGTTTACTAACTTTATTCAATGAACAGTTCGACAGCCTCAAGGTCAACCTTGTCACCGTCTCCCAGCAGCAGCAGGCCGAGCGTCCCCGCCGCTTCGGTCCCCGCTAAATTCAGCATTTTGGATAATCTCAAAAGCGCTGTTTTCAGTTCGGTCGACTCGCCCGGCTCCGGCTACCGCCACCGCCCATACTTGTTCTGGCTGGCTTTGTTTCCCCGGCTCTTAGTCTGAGAATGGAGGCTATCTATGGATGAGAATGAAAAAAGAAATGTTCCAATGACAAAGGTGTCGCTGATTCCTCTGGATGATGCTTGATTGCCAATATTTGTTCCTCGTGTTCTAGCGCCTGTGGATTATGTCCTAGGTTGAACTGCGTAGGGGTTTTTGGATCTCTTCGAGACAGACCCGGACCTACATCTATCGTCGATGCTATGCTCATGTACTGGTTTCATTGAGACTAAGTATTGTGCAGCTCAAGCTCGAAACTATGATATGTGGTCATTGTAGACTTGGATTCATGCTCTCGTATGCAGTACGTGTTTCCAGGGTATTTATGAGTAGAAAAGCAGGCAGAACCATTGTAAAAATGCCGAAAACGCCAACGATGCCATAACTTGAGTGTCATGATGAAATTAGATTTGATCAAGCAAATCGCCTTCATCCTCTGGATGCTGATCCTCAGCAGAGCGTTTATCCCTCTGTCCCTGTGGAACGTATCCCTCAATGGAACCTCCCATTGCATCTTCCGGTCGCAATCGTGGAGCAGAAGCAGAAGCAGAAGATTCGGGACCATATTCCTTCTCCTTGATAGTCACTTCAACCCTTCCATCACGAATAGCAGGTGCATTATCACCACGCTCCATAGCAAGATCTCGTGAACGCTGTGGGTCTTGAATCTTCAAGTCCTTTATGCCCGCAGCCACTGCTGCCGCCGAAGAGCTCTCACCCTGTGACTGTTGTGCCCGTGGCTGGTTCTCTCGTCTAGCCCTCGCTTCTTCCAACAAGAGAATATTCAAAACACTCATATCATCAGCTCGTCTCTCCCAAACCGGCTCCTCAGCCAACTGAACTCGAATAAACAGCGCTCGCTCCGCACATTCATCCGAGCACCATTTCTCCAACTTCTCCCTCGATATAATATCCATGCTCCTTCCCCTCCCACCAGGTCCACTCCCTTTAGCTCCGTATTTAAAATGAAACGTTTGGCCTTGACCCTTCGCATTAGCGACCGCCTTCCTATTCTCGCGCGGACAAAGCCCATAACCACATAGATTCTCATAATTTCGTTCAGTAATGTAATTATCATAATCGGTTGGTCGAAAGGCAGTCAGAGCCGATTTGAAGATTTGTACATCTTCTGTAGAGGGTGCGGCGGGGTCTGCAGAGGAGTCCGCTGGGAGAGCGAGAAGTTCAACAGTGCGGTCTAGGATCATTCCCTCGGCGTCTTTTTGGGCCTGGATCTGGTGGGCATGTTGGAGAGCGATTCCGAGATGATGTGGGGTTGCTTTTGGCCTGCCTTGGAGATATTTTTCTTGTTCTGCTTGGGAGGGGGAGAGGTATGTATTTGTGTCTGTTTGTGGTTGTTCGGCGTTGACTGCGGCGTATGCTGAGGGGAGGGAGGTTTTGAGGGCGGACTTGGAGGGGCCTTGGGATGGGGCCATGGTGAATGTGTAGGTGTAGATACAGTTCTGATTTGGTGGAGATTTGTTTTTCTGTATGGGGTGTTGTTTGCCACGGAGGGGAGAGGTGAGGAAGGAAGAAGATAATAGAGAGAGAGGAAGCACCCAGAGTTTGTCGGTGGTTTTTATGGTTTTTATGGTTTGCGGGTCTTTGCTTGTTCCAGATAAAAAAAAGAAAAAAAAGACCGATTTCTAATAGGTACAGGACACAACGAATAAACCAAATAATGGGAAAAATAAATAGTATATCACCAATCAGAACTTTGACAGTTCACCCCGGGGCAAATCAATATTAGTTTTCTGTGATTATGCATCTATATTGATCCAATAATGACCAGCTGCGTCATGCCTGTGTATTAGAGTTACCGTACGCAAAGCAGAGCCAGTTGACGTACTCGGAGCTATCAATACTTGCTTCAATGTTGTATTCATAGAATAAAGCTTCTCAGAGGCTGCATGCATGACCACGTAGGTTGACAAGTCATGAGATCCTTCAGATGATACTTGCCAGTATTTACAGTGACTCCGTACCTTGGTTTATTGATTCCTGTTAGCCGCTGATCTCAGTGGAGCCTGTTCCCTCATCCCGCTAAGTGACGACCACACCTCACCTTCCTTTCCCACCCCATGTTTCTTTCTCCTCTTACCTAGGTAAATCATTCTTGAGGATTGAGTTTCCCATATCAGTTCGATTTGAAGTGATAGTTTCCCATCGATTATCTTGGACACACCGTGAGTTCCATTTACAGACCCGCCCTCATTCTCCAACATTGGACCTTCCCTACACTGCCCCCCTCATCTCCTACTCCCCTAGGCACCAGTTAGATCATCCCACCGCTGACCGACTCTCCGGTCTCCAGGCAAATCTGCCCTCCTTTAATAACTCAACGTTCGGACTACTGCATGCTGCAAGTTACTTGAGCTGGTGCTCGGTCCTGTACATTTCTTTCTTCACCCTGATTTCCCTTACACACTTGTCGTTTAGCGTCTCTTAAAGCCACCCCTCCCGCCTCGCCGATCGTGGGTGTGTCTCGACTTGCCAGATGTCCAACCCGCCTTTTACGGTTCGAGCGGTCTTCGAGTATGCTTCGGGCCACGATGACGACCTAAGCTTCCCAATCGGTCAAGTTATTACTGTGACCGAGGAAGAGGATGCCGAATGGTACTGCGGTGCATATACAGACGGATCGGGGGCCAAACAAGAAGGTATCTTCCCAAAGAACTTCGTTGAGAAATACGACCCGCCCGCACCTCCTCGTCCGACTCGTCCGACCAGACCGAAGAAGGAATCCGAGCCTGCGCCGCCGCCAGTCGAACCTACTCCGGTTGTGGAGAGTCCAATTCAACCAGAACCCGAAGTTACTGCGCCGCCTGCAGAGGAAGAGCCCGAGCCAGTTCCCCAACAACCGCCAACTCCTCAGTCTCCGTTATTGGCTTCAAGTCCTACAGCTTCCGCAATTCCGTCCTCTCCTCCTCAGCCTGCTCCGGTTTCTGCCCCTGCCCCTGCTCCGGCAGCCCCAGCCCCGCCCCCGACCAAGGCATCTACAAAGCCCCCACCTCCGGCTGTAGCAGATAAACCCTCCGGAAACTCATTCAAAGATCGAATTGCCGCGTTTAATAAATCTGCGGCGCCAGTTGCTCCGATCAAGCCTGGTGGCCAGCAGTCATCTTCTTTCGTGAAGAAGCAATTCGTTGCCCCGCCCCCGAGTAAGGACTTCTACGTGGCCCCGCCAAGTCAGCCTGCCACCAAGATTTACAAAAGAGAGGAAGACCCGGAGGTCCAGGAGCAACTTTCCCGCGAACCGCCCGTTTCGGAAACCCGAGCACCACCACCTGCACTCCCTGTACAGGAGTCGGAAGAAGGTGCGGAGGATCAGCCTAAACCTACCAGTCTCAAGGACCGTATTGCACTTCTCCAGAAGCAGCAACTAGAACAGGCTCAGCGCCATGCGGATGCTGCTCAGAAGAAGGAGAAACCGAAGCCACCTAAGAAGACCGTTGAGCGGCCAGTGGAACCTGCTCCAGTTGACGAGGAACGAGATGAGCTACTGGAGGCTTCCCCCATTGAGCCTCCCTCGGCTCCGCGGGACCCAAGTGTGGATACACTGAGAGGCAAAGCTCCCCCGGTTCAGCCTCCGCCGTTTTCCCCACAGGAGGAGATCGCTAGTGAATCTAACGATGCTGATTATTCTGCTGCTGCGGACTCCGAGGATGCCGGTGAGACTTCTACTAGCAGAGATGATGAAGATGAACGTCCGCGCCAGCCTCCAGCACCACCGGCCCGCACCGTTGAGCAGAAGAACGAGCTAGAGGATTCCGAGGAGGAAGAGAGAGAACAGGAAGGAAAGGACGAGGAGGAGGAGGGGGAGGAGGAGGAGGAAATGGACCCTGAAGTTAGACACAAGATGGAGCTTCGTGCGAGAATGGCGAAGATGAGTGGCGGCATGGGTATGATGGGTCTCTTCGGTCCAGGAGGCGGTTTACCTGGCATGGGCGGTCCTCCTCCAGCTCGCAAGCCCAAGACTCCTGGAGAGTCTGAGAAGAAACTTGCTGAGCCTGAGCCAAGTAGCCCTACCGGTGCTCCTCCAGTTCAAATGATTCCTCTCCCTGGAATGAATTTGAACACCAAGCCAGCTCCGCCTACAAATGTTGAAAAGGAGGAGGAAGAGCCAGAAACGACTCCTGTCAGTGAACAGCATGCTCCACAAGAAGTACCGGATGTCGAGGAAGTTGTTCATGAGGCTCCCCCACGTTCATCAACTGACCGAGCTCCCCCTGTTCCACCTAGCCGTGGTAAGTTATTTCTTCACTGCCCGAAATCTAAAGACCTTAACTAACATTTGTTAGAACGAGCAGTCCCCGCCCCTCCTCTAGAAACCCGGCCTGTTCCTCAAAGAGTCCCTACCGATTTGGGCTCTCCTCCGCCAGTTCCTGGAGGTAAGTTTTTTCATGGCAAATCCAATACATTTTCCCCCGGAAGATTATACTAACAAACCAACAAATAGGACGGCCTGTTCCTCCGCCACCAAGGCCACCGGTAGTTGATCAGGGCGATGAGTCTGACGACGAATTGTCTGTGCACGCAAAGGATCTATCACTAGATTCTAAAGACGTAGAAGCGCCCGCCCCCGCCATTCCTGATCATCTTGATTCTCGTCGCTCTTCAACCTATGAAACCCCGCCCCCTGCACCTCCAGCATCGAATGCCGAAAGGAGAGCTAGTCGTGCTCCACCTCCGGTCCCATCAAACCCACCTGTGCCACCTGCGCAAAGCCGCGCTCCACCTCCACCTCCTCCAAACCAGCCACGCCGCCGTTCAACCGCAGATAGTCGGACTAGTGCTCTTTCTGCCCCCCGTCAGGCTGGTGAAGAAGCTGAAGGAGAGGTCACAGAGTATGATGGAGATTACGATACTGATATCGCATCTGGTGCCACGCATAAAGATGCGCTGAGAGCTCACGAGCGCGATTCCAGCTTCGACGAGGGCACAATCACCGATGACTATTCTCTTCAATCTCCTCGGAGCCCCCCAGCATCCCGGGGTCCTCCACCACTTCCACCAACTGCTGCCCCCAGAGCAGTTCCGCCACTTCCCCCCTCCCAACCTCCCCACAGGCCTTCTATTGATACACCTCGGGGACCGCCTCCACCTCCACCGGGTAGAGAGCCTCCACGCGATGATAATGGTGATGATGATGAAGAGTATGATCCTTTTAACTACGCTGACCCTCGTCACGGTTTGTATTCTCCGCCGGCCCCTCCCAGTGGACGCCCAGAGGTCCCACCTCCTATGCCACCGCAGTCAGCAAATGAAAGATACGATGACTTGTACGATGAATCTCCAGTGCAAAGCCCGTCAAATGAGGCACCGCCACCCGTTCCAAAGCATGAGAAGCGTGCATCTCTTGCCCCAATGCCTCCCCAAAGCCAGGCCCCACCTATGCCATCGCCTTCTGCAAGCCGCAGTGGGCGACCTTCCATGGACATGATGAGAGGCTCATCTAATCTTCGACGATCTATGGATGTATCTCGCCCCTCCATTGACCAAGGCTACATTGCTACAGACGTGGACTTTGCGGAGAGCACTCTTTGGTGGACTCAACCCAACACCGTGCCCCCCTCACTCCAAAATCGCCCAGACGTCCTGTACGAGACTGAGGAGAGTTCTTCCACGAAGCGAGGTGGAAAGACAACCATATCCAAAGACATTTATATTCTCTTCATAGATTATTCGCAGACTGTTATAGCGGTTCAGTTCGACTCTAAGAACCCTGCCGATGTCTCCCTTGAGCAACGTCAGGAGTCGCCTCCACTCCAGCCTCGTCAAGATCAACTGGAGCAAGCACATAATCAAATCGGTACACGAATCGCTGAGTCAGTGACATCTTTCCAAAACTCCACAGTTGGAGATGGCACCCCCTTAGCTCTTGTTCAACATCTGCTCAACCCACTGAGTGATGCATTGCTCCCTGTTGGCAGCCGGGCATATGGCGCTTTGGTTTACTCCAATCTGGCCAACGCATCCGTTTCGCAGAATGATGAAATTCGTGCCGGTGATATTGTGAGCTTCCGAAATGCTCGCTTCCAGGGCCACCGCGGTACTATGCACCAGAAGTACAGTGCCGAGGTAGGCAAGCCTGATCACGTTGGTGTTGTTGTCGATTGGGACGGTACCAAGAAGAAGATCCGGGCCTGGGAACAAGGACGAGAGAGCAAGAAGGTCAAAATGGAGAGCTTCAAACTGAATGACATGCGCAGTGGCGAGTGCAAAGTCTGGCGAGTGATGCCTCGAAGCTGGGTTGGTTGGGAAAGCAACAAATAAGCCTGGAGTCATACATGCCACCCCCTGTGCCTACCAATGCCTCCTTTCTGCGTCATTTAGATCTGTTGGATTTGTGTACGAGTGTATCTTGGCACCTTTTTACTCTCTTCTTGTGTTTTGTGCCCCAATTTCTCTCTTTCTCTCTCTCTACATCATCCCTTCTCCACCTTTCACCCATCCTGCTTATGTGTTAATGAGGAAGACACAGGATGGTAACCCATTTTTCTTGCCTTGGACAATTGAGCGAGCGTGTACCCTCTTTCTTCGCCTTCCGTCGTTGTCCAGCAGATCCTGCATGATGAAATGTGTTTTTGCTTGTTATGACCTTTTCTATTTTACTCTCCATTATATGTACCTATTTGCAATGTATTCATTTTGATTCCATTGAAGCAAAAGCTCTAAAACTTATTTTCACCTGCAGGGACGTATAGTAGTTGTACAAAGTAGGCAATAATTGCAGCCTTAGAAATTAGGCATTAAATCACATGATATAGATTTCTGCCTCAGGCCAGAATTGCACCTTCCCCATCGAGCAATCAGTTCTCGATCTCCAGCCTCCAACTTCTTTCTTTCTACCAACTCGATACCCCCCATATAATCGCCAAGATGGGTGGCGATCTGAATTTGAAGAAGTAGGCATCCATCTCCATCCCCTCTCAATACCACCCGAAACAAACTCAGAAAGAGCACTCACTAACTCCACTTCACTTCTAACAGATCATGGCACCCCTCCCTCCTCAAGAACCAAGAGCGTGTCTGGTCGCAAGAACAGAAAGCCCTAGATGAGCGCAAAAAAGTCGAACAACTGCGCCGCGAGCGCGAAGAAGAGCGCCAAATCCAAGAACTCCAGAACCTCCAAGAAGCCTCCGGAAAAGCAAAGCAGCATAACCGCGTCGACTGGATGTATCAAGCCCCCTCAAGCGCGACAGGACACTACACCGAAGAAATGGAGGGTTACCTGCTTGGCAAGCGACGGATTGATGGAATATTATTGAAGAAGGATACGGATACGCAGAAGCTTGAGAAGGGCGCGGATTTAGTTGGGGCTAATGCGGCGCAGGCGGCTAGCCAGGGACCTTCTATTGGGTCGGCGAGGGATACTATGAGTAAGGTCATGGCTGATCCGTTGCTGGAGATTAAGAAGCGGGAACAGGCTGCTTATGAGAACATGGTTAAGGAGACCGTTAAGAAGAAGGAGAGGGAGGAGAGGAGGAGTGGGGGGAGCGGAAGGGATCGCGATCATGATCGTGAACGGAGACATCGCGAGCATGATTCGAAGAGAAGACGGTATAGTGATGAGGGGGAGGAGAGAAGACATCGCTCGCATCGTCATCGATCTAGATCACCTGTTGTTGAGGGGGAGAGGTCCTCGCGTAGACATCGCAGTGAGAGAGACCTTGAAAACGATCGTCCCCGACGAGAGGAGAGAGAATCACACCGACGCCGTGATGACAATACGAGTCGTCGAGATGATCGGGACCGAGAGCGAGAGCGTCGCGACTATCGCGAAAAAAGAGATTCATACTCCACCCGCCGAGACCGCGATAATAGAGACAGACGCGACCGCGATCGAGATGATAAAGAGCGCGCACGATCTCCCCGACGAGAAGAGGAGCGCCGACGCAGCCGCTCTCCGCGCCCAAGTTCCGAGCGTAATGACCGTGCTCCCAGTCAAACAAATGCGCGCGACTACTCTCGACGCGAAAATCATGTCATTCATCAAACCCGCCGCGAGCCGTTTAATCGCCCATCTCGTCCTGCACCTTCACAGCCAAAGGCTGATCCTAACGCTCTAGAAGAAGAGAGAGCTCGCAAGCTAGCTGAGATGCAATCGAATGCTACCGAACTACAAACAGACCGAGTGCAGCGCATCAATGAAATTACCGAGAAGGAAGAAGCTGAGAAGGAATCTGATGATAAGCTACGTTCTGATCGTGGTGCATTCATGTCTGGTGTGCACAAGCGTGCGCAAGAAGATAGTCTTGATGAGCGTATTCGGCGCAGTCGTGGTGGATTGTCTAAGATGGATGATGAATAAGGTATTTTATTTTCAAGTCTTGTAAGGCTTTTTAAGCATTTGTTTTCTTTTTACTGTACTTTCTTTTTGGTTCGGGGTTTTTTTATACATTATGTATTTATTACATTTCAATATCCTCTTAGCGTTGATATCCAATTTGAAGTCATGACCTTGGCATGAGATGGATGCTTATATTTAACTAAATCACCGCATATTCCGTTTGAATTGGGGATTGATCTCGAGACTCAGGATTGTCCATTCCTGTCTTGCATGGCATTCTGCATGTGCAGTCTCACAAAACCCATCACTTCTCTTTCGTCACAATTGTTTAGACTTGTGTCGCGAGCAGCCTCCATTTCGGTTTGGGCTGGAGTGACCGAATCCTTATGCACATTTACATCCTCCCCCAAGGTAGCAAAGTCACTTGTCGACAATGACAACTCCCCGCTGTTCCTCGCGTTTTGTTTCGAGCCCTCTGGGAGGATTCCGTAACATTTGCTGAGACGCTCTGGGGCGAGAAGATGAAGAAGGAAAGAATTTCGAGACCAAAGATGAGCCCTTTTATAGAGCCATTTGAAAGTTGGCCAAGGTCGCTGACACAATAGAAGATATCTGATCCCATTGTACTGGCGTTATTGCGAGCATCGTCATATCTTTTGAGATCCGTGGGATGATCACCAGCAACCAGTCGTTCTTTAACCCTGATAGGGCCGGGAAGATGAGATCAAGTGGCATCTCATGTCCACCTAATAAAGCCACGGCAGCTTGGCGTCTGCGCTGAATAGCCTCTTGGCGATCAGTTTTGCTCTTTGTCGCAGTTGCGTAATATATCTGGTTCTTACTGGTTAATCTTTCTATGAGCCTTTGAGTTTTTTTCGGGGCAATAAACTTACAATCGGGCGGTTCCAGGTGATATCTTCATCAGATTCCGTGGGCTATCTTTAGCTTGACCAACCCCGTGCCGCCGAACGGGTTAGTATCCAACTGCCTCATATAACTAGGTATCTAACATTTACTGCATATCTAAGACGCTAATCAGGTAATAATGGCACTCACCCATACAGGTAATAATCCCGATATACAGGTGTAAACCATCCATCTTCTCGATTATATAAAGAAGCTACAGATATGAATATCTTTATCGACACGTAATCATGTGTCGTAAGAGCGCCGCAAATACTAGTTGTCACGTTGGAGCCTGAGTATGCTAGTGATAAACTATCCAGGTTGGTTAGTAGATGATCTTGTTTACCCCCGACTGGGACTCCACGCCCTATCCATTCTAAGTAGTTAAAGGCGAGGGTCCACACGGCTTGTAGGTTGCGGGTATATCTGAAACTAGTTATATCAACCTTGGAAAGTTTCCCAGATCTGCATGCAATAATTTTGACCAACTCCGCGAGTGGGCCTCGGGGTTGGACTAGCCGTGGGTTATGTCACCTTCTCTTTATTGCTATTAAATCCGAATTGAACTACGACTCTAAACTTCACGGTCTAGACACCTTGGTAGATTCTAGATGAGTAGAGGGATTTTCACAGTACACCTACTTTCGATACGTCTTTTCAAACCCCTTTACTCGAATCATTTGGCTCTTTAGCCAATACAGATCCATGAACAGGAATGAGCCAGTGGATAATATGAGATTAATTGAATCATTTCAATTCTATACCTTCACATGAGGAGTCTAGATTGCTCAACCATCTATAATACACAGCACAGTGCATATCTGAGGAACACTTATTGAAGGTACTCATTAGGCATGTACAGGGGCATGGAGTCCTCCCAAATTGTGTCTGTGACAATATGCTTGTCGGTTCCGTCGTAGTTCATGACCATGATCTGACCGTATGGCTGGAAGGTGTTGTCGTAGAGGGCGCTCTCATCCTTGAAACCGTACATTCCAGTAGACCACATAATACGACCATCCTGAGACCAAACAGCACTGAAAAAGAGTCAGTAACAAAGCTTTGATAAAGTTGCAAAAAAATAAAGGGAACTTACTGTGCATCATTGGCCAGACTGTCGGTGACCTGGGTTAAATCGGAACCATCGGGGCGAATGGTATAGATATCAAAACGATCGGCATACCAACGGGCTCCATAAGACTCCGTCCAGTTGTTATTACGTGTAAAGACAATCCTCTCACCATCAGGTGACCAACCAGGAGTGTTATCCCAACCATGAGTCAACTTGGTCGTCTCATCAGTGGTAAAGTTATACATCTGGATTCCCTGAGGGGCGCCAGACTCAATATTCCACAGACGGTACACCATTGCTGTTCCATCAGGAGACCACGAAGGAAATCCGGCGTTGTTTTCCCAATCAGTCAAATTGGTATGGGAGCTACCATTGGCTGCAACACGGTAGATAGCTCCAGTATCGGTGGAGCGAGTTACAAACCAGGCACCGAATCCCACAACGAGTTCGTCGCCGTCTGGGCTGAAAGAAGGCTGGAAGGCACCGGAGTTACCTTCTACCAACCACTCAACTTCTGTGCTATTATCGAAGGAATAGATGTCGTAAGAGTCGAGCGAGTCAATCAGATCGGTGTACTTGGTCGATGAAGTCACAAGTGAGCTGTTTGCACCTCCCAGTACCTTTTGAGTGATACCAAGTGTGTTGGAAGCAACATTGTGCATGGGGAAGACATCCATATACCTAGTGAACAGTCAGAAATCATTAAATCATATCAGATTGTGACTGGCTTCATACCGATAATCCCATTCGCTATCGAAGCTCCACAGTTGAAGATCACCGGCCTGCTGGTCCCAGTTGAGTACATTATAGACAATTTTGGAACCATCGGGAGACCAGGATGGCTCTCGAAGACCCGTCAAGTTGAAGGACTTATGCGTCCTATCAGGGCAACTGTAGCTAATTCCCTCTGAGGTGCCAGCCTTAATCAAATAACCGATTTTGGTTGAATTGCCGATATAGTGCTGGCCAACCTTGAGGTTATCGTCGGAGACATGCTTGATGATATTCTTGCCCGAGGCAACATCAACACTGTAGATCTGAGAGGGAACCAACAATTGTTCTGTAGAAACACCGTGCGCATAATATGTGTTCTCCCTTGTCATGTTGTTGTAGATAAGGCGCTTGCCATCCGGTGACCATTGGGGTGTACCCAAAGCAAAGCCATGCTGATGAAGAATCTTGCGGAATCCTGAACCATCTGGGCGAACGATATAGATTCCAAGATTCTGGGTATGTTCCCAACCGACTCTAAGAGAATTGATCAGCGAACTTGAATGTAACACTTCTATGTGAAAGAAGAGAAAATAAAAAGCAGAACGACTTACCCTTCACTATGGCCGGTCCAGTCGTTATCTCTATCAGAACTGAACGCAAGCCACTTGCCATCGGGGGACCATGAAGGACGGTAGTGACCAGTAGGCCAAGTGTTGTCCGCACGGTTTGCCGGGGTATCGGTAAGATTGCGAGCGACGCCTGTGCGAAGATCTTTGACCCAAATATTCATCGTATAATTTCCATGTGTGGAAACATATGCCAGAGTGTTTCCATCCGGCGACAGTGTGCCAGCATCCTCCACACTGTCAGTATCTATCAGGGTTTCTAAGCCAGTTCCATCGGGATGCACACGGTATAGGTCTGACTGGCCTGCTCCGCGTCGTTCACCGGTGAATACGATCCATTTTCCATCTTGTGACCAAGTAGGATGGTAATCGAATGCCCCAGTTTGGTTACCCATTAATTGAGTTGCATTGGTGCCATCTGCGTTAGAAATCCAAAGCTGTGATCCTGAGGGACCGATACGGTTCACTGTTGGAGATAAGTAATTATCCTTTGAATCAGGCTGTGCGATGATTGAAAATCGATGTCCTCGACTTACTGTAGAAAACGCCTTTCTTCCCAACAGCAGGCGTTGCAGATGGGATAGATGCCGAAGAGCTCACCGATGCAGCATCTCGCGCTACATTGATGTGAGGGTTCTTTTCGTTGTCGGCATCCAAGCCTAGATTCCGAGCATATGGGCAACCCGCCAACGCAGGAGCGATGACGAGACCGACGACAGAAGCAATGCTGAGACGCATTCTGGCTGTCTATGGCGATCAAATAAAGAGCCCAAGTAGTTGTAGGGTCAAAAAAAAGTTATAATTGCTGATAATGAACGACGCAAGGTACCATTTGCAGGTTTTATAATAGTTTCTTTCTTCTGCGCTTACGTTTTGAAGACTCCGTTCATATGTCCGAGATTGACCATCGAACAAATAGCCTATCAGATTATTGCCGACACCTAGACAACGTGTTTTCGAATGGAGCTAAAGACTTTTTGGATGGGTCGTGCCCATCTGCCAAGGCAACGCAATAGATCAACATTCGTGGTTTCCGATATGGACTTCTCGGACTTTCCGCGCCAACCGAAGGCCTCTAACTACGTTCGTTATCTTAAAAAGAAATGACAGTTTGACTTGTGGGGTTATAAATGGCTATTCTGTTCTCCCAGGAGAACCACTACGGCTGGAGTCAGGACCATTTCTAACATCATGCCATTCCGGCCTGAAGGATAGGTGCAAGTATGTACCGCGAGGGAAGAAGTTATACCCAGGATACTATTTCCCAAACTTTGATTTAGCAAGTATGTCCAATCAAAAGAGAATCGAACCTTGCAATTGCGGAGTAAGAAGAATGAGAACGATTGCGGCTGGTTACATGTATATGGATATCTGCAATCAGGTAGTGGCCACTTCCCGAGCCAAGGAGGTGCGTACGTTTCAAATCCAGAACTGCACTCCTAGGTAATAAATCGAAGATTAACTTGGTCGTATCTTCTCCTAAAAGGCTAATTGGCAGAACAAGTCGAGACTGAAAAGTTCGAGAATCAAATAGTGGTCCATTTCGCAGAAAAAACCGGGTTCTGCTCGGCTTTAGTTGCCAGTTACGGGGCGTGGGTGGGCCCTTGCAGATTTCCAGAAGCTCGGGCTTTACGGGGTCGAGAGGATCTGCAAGGCCAAGGGTGGGCACAGGGTGAAATAGTGTAAACGCCCCTTGTCCAGGGCCCCGTTTTTTTCTTAACGGCGGATTAACGCGGAGTCTCCGTGAGTTGAGTCCCATGCTATGAAGTGGAGTGTAGGTAATTGTGGATTCGGCAGATGAAGCCTCCTCGTCATAACCTATTCAAGTTATTACTTAAAATCACACCCCACAGAGATTAAGTCGGAGTATCGATACCATGATGTACGAGCCTAAGAATAAAGAAAGCAAAGAAGCATATGAAGATCAGGAAAAAGTAACTATATTTTCAGCGTCAACCTTGGAAGAGCCATTTTGTGTATTTATATAGATAAAAATAAGAAATGAAAGACCAAGGGGCTCAATCACATCATGGGGAGAGAAAAATTATTCTAGAAACATGTATCGCCCCGCACCCAAAAGTGAAGTAGATTCTAATGTCAAACCAATCTCCAACCCACGGAGGTCGGGCACAATAATGAGCCACGAGAAGCTCAATTACCAGGCAGGCAAGGTAGAAGTCCACTTGTGCAGAAACTGGATACGCTTGCTGTTTGTGGTCAGGGGACCCATTTCCCACTGGTCTCCCAGCCACATAGTCTCTGGCTCCTTCTTGGAGGCCTTCCATTGAGGCTGGCCATCACCGTTGGGGTTACCATTGCGAATAAAGTTGGCCCAATAGTTTGCCATCTTGGTCTCAATAGCGTAATCCTCTTCCGACCATGTCACATTTGAGTATGAGCTGTACGGCAAGTTGTTGAAGCTGCATTCTCATCAGTTGCTGTCGATGAAGAGTATTGTAGGTGAGAAATAACTTACGTATACCAAAGCTCACTGCCGTGGTAAGCACCCCCTGACTTTTGTTCGGCACTACAACATATTTAGTCAACAAGTACATATAAATTTTCCTTCTAGGGCAGTACAGGCTCAACTTACGGCCAATGGTTGAAGTAGTAGGTGTAGACTGATGCATTGGCGCCGCCAGCAGCCCAGTCAAGACCCCAGCGCCAAGTTCCAACACGGGACAGGTCTCTCCAAAACTCCTTGCCGCTTTCCGCGGCCTGGGATCTGTTTTGACCTGGGTAGAGGGAGAAGAATTCGTCGGAAAGATCACCGAAAAGGTTGCTGAAGAGATCGTGGTATCTTGAGGCAGAGTAGGTGAGGGTTGGAGTCGCACCAGACTCATCGGCGTTGTTTCCGGTCAAGATGGGGATGTTGGCATGGGAGTTGTTACGCAAAGCTTCAGAGTAGGTGTCGGGAAAGACGTAGCCATCGATGTTGGGACGCCACATAGGCGGTTCCATAAATGCAGCAGTGAAGTTTTCGAAGGGGGTTCCCTCCCAGATAGTGTCGGAAAGTCCATCGTATTCAAGAAGGCTATCCATAGATACATTCCGGAGCTCAGCAATGGATTTGACTCCCATGGTCTTCAGGAATCTGACTATATGAAAAAGAAACTTTAGTATTGCAGCTTTATTTTTGCCCTTGTTTTTTTTCACTCTTTTTTTCACGTACCTCCTTGTGCTTCAGCGGCCTTCTTGGTGCGGTATGAAGTAGCCACCGTACCAGTCATTGGATCATGGGGACCGCGTGCACCGCTCTCCGCAATAACACCAGCTGCAAGACCCTCAGCCAGGGGGCTCCACATAGCATCGAGAGCACTAGCCGAGCCAGCGGACTGTCCACCAACGGTGATTTGATCAGGGTCACCACCAAACTTGGCAATATTCTCGTTGACCCAGTGCAGAGCAGCCTGCTGATCCAAGATACCATAGTTACCCGAACTATTTTCGCCTGATTCAGCACTCAACTCAGGATGCGCCAGGTATCCAAAGGGTCCGAGACGGTAGTTGATTGTGACCACAATGATGTCTTTTTGCGCGAAACCGGTTCCATCGTAAGTCTTGACATCACCAGAGCCACCTGTGAAACGACCACCGTAGATCCAGAAAAGCACGGGAAGTTTTTTGGAGGACATATCGGTTTGGTTCTTGTACGCCGGTGTCCAGATGTTCATGTATAGACAATCTTCGCTGGTTGTGTTCTTGCCACTAGAGAAGATCCCCGCGTCGCTGATTGTTTGGGCACATTGTGGGCCGAATTCAGTGGCATTCAACTTCCCCCAGTAGCTTGGGCCAGATACTTGGGTCCAGCGGTTTGCACCGGTGGGCGGCTGAGCATATGGAATTCCTTTGTAAACGAAAGCTTTGTCGCCTCCACGGAAAGGGGAGAGACCGCCGTGAATGGTTCCATAGTGAGTATGGATGACCGGGGGGCTCAGGTCAGAAGCGAGTGATGAGCCGCAAGCTGCCACAACGGCAAGTGCGGAGGCCAGCTTCATGATGGATGGGAAGAAAGAAAAGCCCCGATAAGAGAATACAGAATGAACGAATGAATTGGGAAACGAAAGGACAATTCAGAAAAGAATGGATGCTGCGGTCTCATGCTGGCGGCGCCGCATTTTAAAAGTCAGTGAATCGATAGTTGCTTTACGCGGCCACTGATCTCCGATCTTCCCTCCAAACTTCCTCATCCGAAGGGAATCTCGTCTTGTGGCACGGCAAGTGTTCGAGACTTGAAACAAAGTTCGGATGTAAATGTGGGTCTTTTGTCGATCTCCGACTTCCAAGTTCAGGGGGCGGGAGAGGCGTAAGCCATGACGCCGTTACCGGAGTTTCAATTGAGAATTTTCAGTTCGTTCATCGGAAAGTAGGATATCACTGATAATGGAAGTGACGACAAGAGGGTGGGGAGGAGGAGCCCACGACGCGGCATTACACACGTTTTTTCCATGATCTAATCGGGCGGGAAAAACTTGAATTCCACTAACAGCTATTGGATCTTGAAAACACCTAAAACACCTGTCATCGGGGATGCTGATTCTCAACAACTTGAATAGAGAAAGGAAAATTGGTAGCGCGGTTATGTGAAGCCACACCTCCCTCAACTTAGTACTCATACATTTGACGCATACGAAGAAACCGCAAAAAGCCTTTGCCCTTTTGGATTCTGAGCATTCAGAACGCTCTCTGAACATTTATAACGCCTGGTCATACAATGAAATAGATCATGAGTAAGACCGAAATTAGGGGTTTTGGATTCGGATCACGTTGAAAAGTTTTTACCCCGAGGCAGATGGCTATGCTGAGTCGTCGAAGGATCAGATGCCTCCAGGGTATGCAGCGCGAATGGCTCAAATGCCAGTGACTGCCTGCCTGCCAGACGGCAGCTTGGAATGTGGTACTTTCTGCGTATGAGCCTCTCAGCAATACAGCACCTCTACAGCCGTAAAGTGGTTTCATGCGGTTATTTCACTAGTTCTTGGATTATTGATTCAAGTTCCAATAATTGGGTTCTTGTGCTTTCTCAAGTATGATACATCTCTCTGCTCACTTATCCTCGTAATTGTGAATGTGTTATGGAGATTTCGGACAAGAGCACATATTTGGCCAACGAATATTACAACTAGGGAGGCAAACACATCGAGAATTGAACATTCACATATTCTCGCATTACAATGCAAACTGTCATATCCAATGAAGTAAAAAAGTTAAGTAAAAGTAAAATTACAGCAACAGCAACTCACCAGTAGCTGCACCACCAGCCATTTGAGGCTGGTATACCTGCTGTGAGTTCTGCGTCACGACATATTGATTTGGCGCGCCGCTACCAATGACATCTCCATCATCACGTCCTCCAAGATTCATATGCGCCATCTGCTGCGACCCAGCACCGTTAAAGTAAGAGTCTGCAGCATGAATAGCGGCAGAGTTGGGACTTAAGCCTCCTGCAGACGGAGGAGTGGCGCTAACTGGGAAATTAGGAGGCGGAGGGGCATTAATAGGGCTGATTGGGTTGCCGGTAGTAGTAATGGTAGCGAGACCGCTATTGCTTGTTGATGCGGGGGCAAGGCTGGCAGTCGGAGGGTTATATTCGAGCATGCTAGCTGTGCCATCTTCGACGCGGGGTCTCTGGAGGGCCGGGCTAGGTTGTAGGCGGCGTGCTCGGGCTGCGCGGAAGACTTGGTGGATAGGCTTGAGGTAGACAGTGGCTAGTGTTCCCACGTTCAGACACAGTTCTTCCAATGTGCGCGGGTCGAGTTTCTCGCTCTCGGCTGTGATAGGTGGCTTTTGGCCCATGACGACCTGTTTGGCGGTTGCGGGGTCGGTAGAAAGCAAGCGCCAGTACATGTAACCACGATCTCGGAGATCTGGATCGTCTGTCTCTTCTGTGCACCATTTAAGTACCTGGGGAACCAGTTGTTGACCCTTAGTAGGCCGCTGGATGAAGAGTTTGACGGTGGCAGTAAGCAGAGCCAGCTGTACCTCTACTGTTTCGTCATGGAATGTGGCCAAATAGTCTTGCAAGAGGCCGTCGGAGTTTTCAATTCGGTCTGCATACTGGCCAATGATCCAGATGACAGCGGCCTTAGCCTCCGGCTCGTCAAGGTCATCAATATTGCTAATCACTTGTCCAATGATGGCCTCGTACTGGTTAGGGTATTTGCGGAAAATATTGCGAATAACAACTGTAGCCTCCTGGACGATGTAAGGAATTTTGGCATCGACGAGTTCCAGCAGTGTGTCGATACATTGACGTGCAGCTGACTCGATCTTAATTGCGAGCTTTCCAATGGCGCGAACCGCCTTGCGTACGAAATGCACATCAATTTCAGTGGCGTATCTAGAATATAATCAGAAAATAGCGAGAAGCGAGCCACAGGCAGAAGAACTTACTCTCTCAACTCCGCCAGAACCACAGAGATATTATCCTTGGTAGTCAACATGAACATCAATTCCAGCTTCGTAACCTTGACGTAAATCGGGTCATTGTAATTGCAGAAGAATACACGAATGTCATTTCGGAGGACTTCTGGCCTCTTCTGGAGAATTAAAATGGCATTTCGCAATGCCAGGTACTGAATCTCAGGTGGTTTGGCGAGGAGGGTGACAAGTGGGGGTGACATTTTCTTGCTTAATGAGGTGATGTGCTTTTCATCGGAGATGTAGTTCATTAAATAGAGAAGCACACGGCAAGATGTCAGGACAACTGCAGAGTTTTGGTGGGATAACCGTGGAGTAATTCGCTCTGCCAGCAGAAGCGCCTCGGCAGTATCCTGAGGGACATAAGACATCAAAGCCTCGAGGATATAGGTCTGACACCATCTGGAGTGTTTGTTAGCATTCTCATCATATAGGATACAATGGCAGCGGGTATTCATACTCTGAGCAGTCCGACAGAATAGACACCAGTTTTGAAGCACTAGTATAGTCGATGGTCAAGGAGATAGATTCACTACGACCCCAGATATCCGTCAATGAAGCCAGAACGCTAGAAACGACAGTCGGGTTCTCGTCTTTCAACATCCGATTCAACCGATCAATCAAATCTGAGTTTTCAACCATCTTTTTGTCATGCTCGTATAATTTGGCGACACAGAAAGCGGCAGTTTTGCGGACATAAGGATCGTTGTCCTGCATGAGGCGTTTAAGGGGTTGGAAGGTGGCCTCGACGAATTCGCGGACATGGACGTATGAAATGGTTCGGAGAGCGAGTGCTCGAACAAGAGGGTTATTGTCTCCCATATCCTATGGTGGCTGGTCAGCAAATCATCCTGCGCGCAACCAGTATCCAAGTACAGAAGATGCCATACATCAACCAGAGTAGGTAGGGCCTTTAATGCGACCTCGGGCTTGATCCTCGAATAGTTCACCAAGAATAAGAAGCACCTATTACGTATCAGCAAAGCGTCATCATAGGAGACATTCCGAGCGGCCTTCCGTGAGCCAGGCGTAGACTCACATCTTTTTAATCTCCAAACTCGGCAGATTCATGCACTCAATCACATCGGGAAACAGTGCAACCATATCATTATTGCTCATAGTCATATTTGCGACAATTTTCTTGAGGGCGATCTTTTTGGCGGAGTAGTTCTTGTCCTTCTTGCCGCCGCTTTGGAGCTCAGTTCGCAGCTCAGCGACCTTGCCCTGTGTAGTACGAGGGAAGAGTGAGTAATGTGGTACATTCATAGGATATGCGAGAAACATTAGGGCGTAATAAAAGAGCAAAGTGATAACAAAAATGGGCATAGACACGAATTCTGTAAAAAATAGCGATGCGACGATCTTCCTGCTTATCGCTAAAGGCGCAAGATGCATTCACCAGTGGTGCGCGGGGAAGAGGGGAATAGGCTCTGGGACTTTTGGGCGGGAGATCAGACGATAAGACACGGCACATACCCTAGCGAATAGCTTCGCATCTCCTCCGGAACTCATGGTTATGGTATGGACGAATCGCGAGGGGTTCTTAGCGCGGTTCCTTCACTTCGGTGTTTTAGGCGGATCTAGCAGCCGTGCATTCAATCACATGCGACAATTGAACAGGCGATATTCGAGTATCAAGGAATTAATTGTAGAGGGAGGATCGAGAGTAAATCGAGGATTTTATCGACGTCAGATAGTAGCTGGCCGAAATAGGGAATGGATCGAGGTGAGATTGACCTGTAGGTGTAGAGAACAGGCGTTGAAGAAAGGACGGCGAATCCGGAACTTTTTTCACTGCATTGTAACCTGTTCAAAATAGTAGGTACTGAATGATCAATGATTGAGCATGATCAAAAAGAAAAGACCGCTTGAATTGAGAAGGAAGAGGTTAAAGTTGGTGGTGTGGAAAAGGTGAGAAGTTCAGGAGAGAATAGGAGTGGGATTCAAGGCGGAGTGGGAGAAGCTGCGGAGAGAGCAACCTCCTACCTCTCATCCAGAACCCCCCGTCATCACCTTCCCACTTTTTGACCTGGTCTTTCCACCACCACAACCGGGGCCATCAAGGTATCATCACATAATGTCGTCTGCGCTTCCTCCTCCGCCTCCTCCACAATGGGTGGTCGCACTAAACTCTCCTATGCCGCGTCCCACCAAAGCCGCCAACAGCATTCCGGATCCACCAGGCTTCTCCAGCAATCGCGGAGGTAAACAGGTAAGAGGACCCTTTCCCCACTATATATCGAAATAGGTTCTGACAAAATTTTCAGCAGAAGCAACAGCAGAAGCAACCGATCGAGAAGAAGCCCGAAGAAACCGACGCCCTGAAGCTTAAGAAGGCTTGGGAAATCGCCATCGCGCCCTCCAAGCAAATCCCCATGAACGCGATTATGATGTACATGTCCGGCAACAGTCTCCAGATTTTCAGTATTATGATGGTTTTCATGTTATTCAAGGGCCCCATTCAGGGCTTGATTGGCACCAATGCGGTGTTCGCGAAATTCGAGACCCCGACCACTCGTGGGCGTTTGCTCGGTGTGAAGGCTGTTTATGTGCTTGTACAATTGGGACTGCTGGCTCTGGGAATTTGGAAAGTTAATGCGATGGGATTACTGCCGTAAGTTGCACCGATTTTGGTCTTATCATTTTTACAGCAAGCACTAATATTTCTCTAGAACAACGAGATCGGACTGGCTAGCATGGGAATCAGAACGACAGCCTCTGAAGCGGGCCCACTTTGCCTTTAAATGATCTTATCCAGATAACAGGGTGTCTTTTGTAGTATAAAGCAATTTTGCATTGACAGAACTTTGTATTCATCATCAATGAAGTCCTCAAATATTAAGTGCATATTACAGACTTCATTTCAAGACGGAAGAGGAGATAGGCATTATCTAACATAAATCATTCGATCGTAACTCCATTAAACATACAAGTGATGATCTACAAGAGCAATCTTAACCATTCTTGACGGTTTCTTGAGATATCTCATGGCTGGGCTCAGCTCCAAGAGCCCTGGTGGATTCCTTCAAACGGCGCTCCTCTCGCCATTGCGGACCTTTGGAAATGACCACCAGAAGCAGCGGTGCTGTGCACAACATCACAAGAGCAACAAATGTAAAGCACCAGCCACGGCCCATGGCTGATAACATGAGATCGATAACAGCTGTAGCACCAGCTCCAAGTAGACACCGACCGAAATTATTCGCAGCGGTAGCTTTGGCGGCTTGGGTGGGATATAAATCGACCAGAAGCGTGCTGACAGTATTAAAAGACCCAGTCAGAGAAAGACCCATAATGAACAGAATGGTAGTTGGGGCAGCAAGATGAACACCATAATCCAAGCACCATCCGAAGGCTATAATGCTCAGGCTTCCAATTGTTAACAATGGGAACGCGATTTCGAGACGTGCTTTCTCGATAGGAAACTTTTGCAGATCGACGAAGCGATTCTTCACTAATGGGAAGTCCAATCGCTTTGCGAGGCGGCGATAGTTAAAGTCTAGGAATTTGCCATTCAGTATCGATGCAATGGTAGCCCCGAGACCAAATGGAATATAGCATAAACCAATCTGAAGATCATCAAGTCCATACAACTCATTATAGATTGATGGAATTGTCGCGCTAACATCATAGAAGCCTGCAAACAGAATCGCATTGCAGAGCAAAATGATACTAGTATCCTTTTGAAAGACAATAGCAAGGGTCTGAAACGGATTTGGAAAGCCAAGCTTCTGCTTTTTCAAAGTCGTCGAAGATCCTTCTTCCTCCTCTCCAGCTTTGCGAGATTTAAGGTAGCTAATCAAGGACATGTTCCATTTCTGAGGAAGTATCGATCCATCACCGACCACACCACGAGCAGTCTCAGGAAAGAAGACCAAGAAGGGAACCATGAAGGCCCCAGAAAAAATCACGAGAAACCAGAAAATCGCCCTCCATCCCAGATACTGAGCTAACAGACCTCCAATGACAGGACCGACGGAGGGACCTAAGAGCGAACCTGCTGTAACAAACCCCATGTATGAGCCTCTTTCGGCTACAGTTGCGACATCAGAGACAACGCCGGAGGAGAGAGCAATAGTGGTGCTGCTTCCGGCACTTTGTAAACAGCGAAGAACGAATAATGCAGCATAGCTATCTTGTAAAGCCAAGCCGATATTGGCGGCCGTATAAAGTGTGAAGCATACAACGTATGCTGGTCTCCTGCCGGCCTTGTCGGCGAAATCTCCGATGAACATTGGAGATAAGCCTTGGAAGATCTGCTCAGTTCGGCGTGTTAGCTCAGTCGCCGAGGGTATAAAATGTAGGCATGGGAAAGCTTCTATGTTTATTTTTTATCTCAAGCTGGATGTACTAACCATGTAACTCGTGAGCGTAAGATTAATCAATGAATTAGACACATTCAAGTCTTTAGCAAGGGTATTCAACGCTGGGAAGTAGATCTGTGAAGAAACCGGGGAGAAGAACCCCGCCCAGGATGCCATGAACACAATAAATCTCTTCTGGCTCCTTGTAAAGACCGAGTAGTCGACATCAGCGACTTGCACTGGGTGATTCCCCACATTCTGATCTTGAGATTTCTCCAGATCAATCGGGGTAGTAGAATTTTCCATGGCCACTTAAAGGCCAAATCTCGGGTGAAAGGCAGTAAGTATCCCTAAGAGGTGTTAAAGAGGAACAAACATAGATCTTAGAAGTAAATGCTCAACGAACCCTGAATGGACCCAGTCAGAATTTCTGCATGATGAGACCAAGCTAAGCTACCTAGAGTCACTTGCCGCCAAAAAATTACGAATTGCAGTATATTCGAGAGGCAAGTGTGGAGCCCAAAGTCGTGCTTGTGCCGAGTTGCCGACTGTTCTGACAAGCGAAAAGCGGGTCTTGCAAGGTTACCCCCGCTTAACTCCTGCAGAGTCCCTACAAAAGTATGTATGGATCTAATCTTTTATTGAGTTCTTCAATGTGCTGCAAATGGAAATTTATGTCTAACCAGTCTATTGTAGATTCTATTAACGACATAAAGCATACCCAGATCTATGAAGCATTCATCACCTCCTCAATCTTAGCCTGACTTCTCTTCTCCGCTCCCACAAACGCCTCCAAGGCTTCAGCAAGTCGTCTTTTGGTTTCAGGATCCGCCTCATTGGCTTTGTCCAAGATAGCACCGTTATCCGCCAAATAATCAATATCAGCACCCGCCAATTTCCCATCCCAATTGCTGGTAAGCGGGTCCACTCCTAGAACCTTTTGCAGTCGAGCAGGAGCTGGCGGTGCATCCAAATAGGGATGAGGCAGCTTGGTTAATCCTCCTCCAGGTTGCCGAGAGGCATCATACTTAAGCTCTGAGAGTTCCTGGAGGACTTGACGGGGAATTGTTGCTGAGTGGCAACCAATTTCCCCAGATGCCATGACCTCTTGTGCTGATAGAAATCTAGTATCCAATCAGTTATTCTGCTATCAAAGATCTTAAGGTTCATCAAATATTTGACATACCCAGCTTGCTTGATAAAAGGTTGCTCTTTGCCCGTCTCTTTGTAGAGGCGCTTGTATGTTTCCAGAATTTGGATGAATCGAGATGAAAATGGATGAAGAAGGGCTGGATCAGCGGACTTGGGCCAGTGTGTCTGGTCGAGATGGGCGAGAATCTCTACAAAAGGCTCGTCGTTAGTATCAAGTCCAGAATGCCTTTCCGGTGGGCCATGATGACTTACCATTGTAGTAAGGGCTAATGTACAAGCAGCTAGCTTGGCTTGCTGCAATAGCTTGGTGAACACTGAAAACTGCAGTTCCAAGGGTACGGATTTCATCCTTGAGGAGGATTGGGCATGCGCTCAAGGCAGGACCAGTGGCTGGGATCTTGATGCAGAGACGATCCTTGGATATACCCACACTCTCGAATTCGCGTGCGTATGCCCGAGCGTGCTCCACTGTCTTATCAGTGTCGTAGGCGTATGATGGGAGAGTCTGAAGAAGGACTCGACCCTTAATGTTGTCAATGTTTGCTTTGCACATCAGGACCGCCTAATATACTGATGTTAGTATATCAATGAAGTGAAATAGGTCGGAGCATAAATAGCAATACCATGCGTGTATAAATCGCCAGCCAGCCACGATCTTTGTATTCCTTCGCAACATCTTTGAGGAGAGCTTCGTTGTCGGGGTGGCACATCCGATCATGTACAATGAACTGGTTGCTAGTCATATCATGTGGTATGACAGGAAGGAGGCTCAATGTGAAAGCTGGGTCCATGTAGTCGAGGTCAACGTTGACTATATTCAATTGGAAGTCAGCGATACAAATTCTATCTTGTCGGGTAGTATTAGAGTAGCTCACGCTGTGTTGACACAACATCGAGCCATGTCTGAGTGTTGGCGCTTCCCATGATCTTCAAGTTGCCAGGAATCAAATTGAACGGTAAAGTGGTATTAAGGTAGATGGATATGTGAGGACTTGGATCCTAGATAGAGTAACAAAGATTCGCAGTGTCAATCCAGCAATACTGTGTTTATTGAATTGAAGTACAGCTGAGCAGATGACTTTTATGAAGAAATGATGCGAATTAGAGGGGCAAGTTGGGGAAGTCACCCCGCAATCTCAGGTCGAACCCCGTCGAACCCCAATCCTTGGTGGAGTAGCGGAGTGTTGCCAAAATCAGCTATCCGCAATGCGGAAAATGCCCCAATTCTAGTAACTATCCCGCTATCTAATTGATATTCACCTAGCAAACTTATACTACATTTTATCAGACTACTTCAGATACCAGCTGAATTTAATCTTAGAGTTTCTCAAAAGGAGAAAAAATAGAAGGCTAGCAGATGAGTTTCATCGGCATTGGCTCTCAACTGGGTATGCGCAGATCTTTGACATACTTCATGATGGCAGGTTGACATGATCAACAGTCGACGTACAGGTATGCTGAAAGAGTGACATCAATACATAGAATACGAACCCCCAAAGACTTTTCGTTTAAAAAGGTACGATGAAGAATCTAGAGCCAAAAATGGATCAGCGCCAAGAATGCATCCGCGGCCATTTTCGTGCCTTTCACTTACCGCATTAGGATAAAACGTGAAAGTCTTAGATCTATCGGATTTATAGTCTCTTGGCGAGGGTTTTCATATATGAGAAATTGGATTTGTAAGATGAAGGGGTATGGCTATGACGCCTTAAAACCGATAGACCCGGGTGAAAAAACAGAAGGATTAGTGCCAATCCTTGAGAACGAGGGGTTCCAGCAGCACGATTCGGAGATAGTGGACTTTGACATCAATTAGAATGGCAAGCTACATCAAGTATTTACAAATAAGACTCTGTCCCATCTGTTGTCGTCTCTCTTTCTACTTGTCTTTGTACGCCAAGATACCTTTCAAATAATCTTGTCACTTACATTGTTCTTTCGGGATACTCTCTCAATCAGCTAGAATGCCTCGTATTTGGCTCATCACCGGCTGTTCATCAGGCTTTGGTCGACATTTAGCCATCAAAGCAGCCCAGAAGAAGGACATCGTTGTAGCCACCTCCCGCGATCCCTCAACTAGCCGATCTAGCACCATTGGGCGTTATCGCAAAGAAAATTGATGTGACAGCCAACGATACAGAAATCAAGACAATAATCGACGATGTGCTGTCCACGGCTCGGCCAATCGACATCCTTGTGAACAACGCAGGTTATATCTTAGAAAAAGCAGTGGAGGAGGTTAGGTTTGTAACTCCAACGCGAAGATCTGTCTCATTGGAATGCCCTGATACTAATCGATACAGTCACCAAGAAATCGTCGACCAGTTCGACGTGAACGTCTTCTCGCAGATCCGTGTCCTCCAAGCAGTTCTACCCTCCATGCGCGCCCGAACATCAGGGCTAGTCGCCAATCTAGGATCCTTTGGAGGCTGGAGTGGAGTTCCCGCCGCTGGACTGTACTGCGTCATTAAAGCTGCTATTGCTCTTTATACCGAGACCCTGCGGAGCGAAATGAGTCCTTTTAACATCGAGGTTACCTGTATTGAACCTGGCCATTTCCGAACCAATTTCCTCACTGGAAACCACAAAGTCACTGCTAAGAAACGGATTCCCGAGCTGGACTGCGCCATTCAATCTTCCCGTGATGTCTTTTCTGCCTATAGTCTACACCAGCCTGGTGATCCGGTCAAGGGTGCTCAGGTTCTTTTTGAAGATCTTACCAAGACTGGACCTTGTGGAGGGACGGAGTATTCCTGGAAGATTGGCTCTAGGTAGAGACTCATTGACTATTATTAGGGACAGCGTTACGCAAGAGTAAGATATGCTTGATAGTTGGAAAGAGATTGTAGGTTCTACAGACTGCGATGATGTCAATGTATGATTCGAATATTATGTATGATCGGGAAGTTGGAAAATCATTGATTTTATACTATGTAGAGACATGCCAATTCACATCTGAGTCACCATCATGATGATCATGATGATGCCTATCACTGCAGTGCATGTGCTTTGACAGGTAGGTAGAATATCTAGTGTAAATATTGATCTTGATGCCACCCGTCCACGGGTCCTGATGTAAACGTTTCTTCTCAGAAAATTTCCGTCAAATGGTAGTGCTAGTAGATCATGGAAGGCTTCAATGAATATATCCATGGATCCTCCGAGTGCAGGGCTGCCCATTCGCGTACTAGTAGTACTATTTGACAATGAAACTAAAATTTCAAGCTAGGAGTGTCGAGTCCACATCCATAAGTGCCACTTGCGTGTTCATGTTTGACACGAGAAGATATACATTCAAGTTTTGAAAGATATTGAAGATGTGTAAGATGAAGTGAACTATATACACTTGCATCATTCACCCCGCGATTTTCCTCTAATTAAACAATTCTGCCACTCCGATCCGCCCACGCTGACCAATCGCGCCACTCCCGATCTGACAAACCCGATATCTGTAATCGGATGGGACGATGCAATCAAATAACTACTAATCAACCTTCAACATCTTCTTGCCACCTATCCCCCAAAGAGCAAGAGAAACACACACAAAACCTCCAGACATGACTCGACCACTCTGGTCATCCGCTCCAGCTCGCCGACTCTCCCAACAACCCTGCCGATTCCTCTCTTCTCGGCCTGCGGCACGACTCTCTACATTCTCCGTCGGCGAAGTCACTCCTCTCCGGAAAACAACCCTCGCCTCTACACCGCGATATGAACGATCTATTTCACAGTCCTTGATTACGAACTCTCACTTGCGTGCGCCTATTGCTTCATTTTCGTCTTCGTCGGTGAGACAGGCTACCAAGGTAGTACAGAACCCGCGCGCGGGAGAAGATGGGGAAACATTGATGGTTGAGATCTCTCCTCGTGCTGTTGAGGTAGGTTGATAATGCGCTTATGGTGTTTCCCTCGACTTGTTTTGCGTGACTTTGCGGTCGTATTCTTCTGTTTTGTTATGGATGAGAAAGTTTTGGCGCGGGTTAGTCCAGTTCAATGCTCTAGCTGGTACATACGACCACAGGGTGTGGAGAACAGGGCTTCCCGTCCGCTCAGCCGTACTTAAGCCACACGCCGGTCAGTTAGTAGTATGGTGGGTGACCACATGCGAATCCTGACTGTTGTATGTTTCTACTTTTGATCCTTTTTTTTTTGGTTTCCTGCCTTTATTCTCATGGATTTTATTTTGAACGACTCTAACCATATACTAGCGTCTTCGTGAAATCACCGACCCAACATCTTCACCTTCCGCCATTAAAGAAGAAAACCCCTACCATCATCTCCGTATCACTGTTACCAGTGGCGGTTGTCACGGTTTCCAATACATGATGTCTCTCGAATCAGCGTCCAAGGTTGACGCGGAGGAAGACACGATTTTCGAAGGCGAGGCAGAGGGCGCAGCAGCCGAGTCTGCCGGAGAAGCCAAAGTCGTTATGGACGAACCCTCTTTGGAGCTTCTCTCTGGAAGTACAGTTGATTATACGACCGAGCTGATTGGAAGCCAGTTTAAGATCGTTGATAACCCACGGGCAACAAGTAACTGTGGGTGTGGAACGAGTTTCGATGTGAATGGTTGATCATGATCAATCAAGCTTAGATTCCCCGCAGTATAGTATTGGGAAGAGGAAAAATTGTATTGTAATTACTTTGCGTGTACACATATGGCATTTCGTGGCGGCTAGATAGATTAATTTGCATGTTATACCCTCCTCTCTTGATATTTGTGGACTACTTGTAAATATGGTGGGGTTGATTACTTGGCTTCATTGGTATTTTTGAAGTATAACAAGATTACGCTACGTGAGGAAAAGTAGGCAATATCGATCTATGCATTTCATCAAGTCTTCATTTTATTTTATTTTACTACCTCACTCCGTACACTCTCGTGGAGGACGAAGCAGGATAGAGAACCGGGGCAAATATGAGAAATCTTACGCCCTCCTGAACCGTCGCAGAAGCCCGACTTGATTTTGAATCCATAGGGACTCCATGGAACCAAGAGACCAGGAATCAAACACAAAAAAGATCACAGGAAATATGAGTAAAAAAAAAGGAGAAGGATGGAAAAATAAGAAAGCGGATAGCAATCAGGGCAATGAGGACAATATAAAAGATGAGAAAAACAAGGGGGGGCGGGATAATAATATGAAAGAAAAAATCATCTCGAGTCATGTCCGTTCTTTCTTGCATGTAAAAAATTCCATTCTTCACTTTTTTTGCAACCCCACACAGAACCAGCGTCGCACGACGTCTATTTTGGATGTACTATATGCATGTGCATATATATGTGACTCAGTGCACTTAATACACGCGGGCAAGGTTACGGAGGTACCAGTCCACCAGGCGACGGCCAGCCTTAGTCTCACTGACGTGAATCAGGTCCTTCTCAAGAGCGTAGTCAAGGTCATTGGCGACGACAGAGTCACCCTCCAACAGGCTACCTTCAACCCAGCGAATCTGGCGGCTACGCTGCTTGTTGACAAGCAACCAGGAGCGCAGCTGCTCAGGCTGAACCTCAAGGAAGCCAGCCAGCTTCTTAAGGTCCATGGTGGTGTAGAGCTTGAGGTAGGAGCGGATAGTAGGGTTGAAGATGGTGTTCTTGACCTCATCCATGAAGATGGAAGTGTGATGGTCGACGGGGTCGACGTTGTAGGCAGGGTTCTCGAAGTCAGGAGGAGTAGGGCTGATGAACTTGGGGCAAGAGGAGCGGAACAGCTCCTCGAAGACGGGCAGGGCCTCGGGGCCGCCACGCTGCATACGGTGGAACTGCTCACTGTACTTCTCACGGACAGCGGAGTGGATGGTATCATCCAGACGAGTGGGGTGGAGAGCCACACAGATAGCGATCAGAGCGTACATCTGGTCGTTCTTCTTGGCAATGGCGTCGTAGTTGTTGCCGCCCTTCTGGAAGTTCTTTGTGCGGGAAACGTAGACCAGGATGTGGCTGAACATGCGGATGGCGTCGGCGTAACGGCGCTGCATCATGTAGGAGAAACCCACGTAGTAGTAGGTGGTGAAGTGAGCGGCCATTACACGGGCGAACATGGCCTTCTTGTTCATCTCGATGTCATCGAGGGTTTTCAGGGCCAAGCTGAAGTCACCGAGCAGGCAGTGAACGCGCAGCAGACCGATGATGGAGAAGTAGCCCAGCATCTTGTAGAGGGGGCGGGAGCCGTATTCGCCGGCGAAAGCGACGGGGTCCTCACCACGCTTGATGGCGGCGAGCTGCTCGTTGATCTGAGAGCGTTGAATGAGCGAGTAGAGCACGTTCAGAACGGAGTAGCAGCCCCATGTGTTGGGGTTCTCACGGAGCAATTGAGCCTCCTCCTCGTTGGATCCGGTGCGAGCGACACGGTTGCGGTAGCGGCAGAACGACTCGAATTGGTAGATAAACTCGTCAATGACATCCCAGGCCCAGTAGTACTAGATAAAATGGAAAGAAAGCGATGGTCAGCAAGGGATTCTTGATTATTCACAATATCACTTCCTCGATCTTCAATTTCTTTGTTTGATCATCAGAGGTCGGAGGAGCCTCATTGAACACCTACCGAAGGGACTTCCAAATCAACGGGACCCTCCGAGTTGAGGATGTAGTGGAAAAGACTGCAGTAGTTATCGTAGCTGGCGAACTTGGTCTCCAGAGTAGCCTGGTATTCCAGCGGGGTAGCAGCGGCGGCCAGCTGAGCCTGGAGGTCCTGAGCTTGTGAACCACCCAGAGAATTTGAGCGATCCAGCTCGCTCATGCTATCATCGAAGTTGACCTGTTCACGGTAATCGTTGACCAGGGCTTCCTCCTCAACATCGGATTCATCGTTCAGGTTGGGGCGCGCATTGGCGCGGTCTTCGTATGACATTGTGGGAGAGTTGTGAGAGACCGGTAGGAATTGCGAGTGGAGAGAAAGATGACAGGAGAATGTCTCTAGTCCAAGATGCCGAGATGCCGGCAAAGATCGGAAAGGGAGGGTTGAAGGTGTGGGGGTGCACGTCCGTCGTCGGCGTGTGGGATTTACTACCAGAAGTTGAATTTTGAGGGTTTTCGCTTCGGTGTTTGTGCTTATCTTATCTGCGCATAACAGATGTGGGTGACTAAGCAGCATATTTTTGTGCACGGGTCAATCACATTTGCAGAGGGCCGACTCCAGGGCTTTCATTAGACCATTTCAACTCCATGGACTATTCCAAACGTACGACTCCCACGCAAAGGCCTTTTTCCAAGTTGCTAAAAAGGCAGCCACCGTTCATTTCAAGTCCTATTTTCTTACATTTTTCAACCAGAGTGACCAAACACTTAGGACCCGTCGACGTTGATGTTGAAGCCCTAATGTAGAATGATTGTGTTTTATTTAATCGCGGTAAACTTAACAATAACAAGCATTGGAATGGTAGTCTAGTATAACGAAGGGAACAAACATATCCTTTAGAGCAAAAAAGAAGCAGTGAAATAGAAATTACTTAGAGACAGATTGATCTCTGTTGGGACTATACTGGACATGATAGATGGTTCACATAGTAAGGGTCTAAGAATAGGGATCGGGGGGTGGCGCTCTTCCTTTTCTTGGGCTATAAGCGACCCTCAACCAACGACAAGATTTATGAGGTAAGTTCACCCCGTCAGGTGCTTTCCAGTCAGGCCGAATTGCGATTGGTGTTGCGTTGGTTTGGGTTTGCGTACCCACTTCCAAGATTGATTGATTGATTGATTGCTACCGGAAATTTATTCCGCATGAGTGACAATATCATCAAACACCCACCTGGCAGTTTCTCCCATTCGCTTGATCCTGAGGAAGGAGCAAATAAAGCCCAATCCCAAGTTTCTGCCGTTCTTCAGTCCCTTCGAGGGTCCAAATTTGGTTTCACGAATGGTCTATTGGTGATATGGGACAGGAACTATTGAGAGAAGGGTATCTACTACGGACACTCTTACCTTCTACCCCCAGTCCCCTAGACACAACACAACACAACACGACTTGGTCAAGACCATGCTGTTGGAAGGCCTATCAACAAGAGAGCTTTTTGATCAGACGGCCTCCCTCGTACCGGAACCGATCCAGCCCCCTTTTGAATTTTTGTATGGAAGTCTTCCGTTTTCGAGAAACCCTTGTTTTGTCACGAGTCTCCAACGTCGTCGCGCTTTCATCGGCACCTCCTTGCACCCCTTCTCTTATCTCTTACCGGCCGTCCGGACTGCCATTCTGATACCATTCAAGTGGAATTATGGGCCTCAAATGATCCACATCTCTTGGTTTCACGTCAGGAGATGACAAAGACGCCATTCAGAGATCGGAATCATCAAGAATTGCGATCGCCTCAACAGGGAGTCTCGCAGTACCGTGTTGAGCCAAGGACAGGATGATGTTGATTGAGTCTGCAATTGATTTGAACCGTTTTCTCAGGCTCATAGCAAGATGACAGAGCTCAATGAACGCATGCCTTGCTTCATTGGAATCGTCAAGCTGATAGACGAGAGCGTGGAGGGCCGATTGAACAACGCCAACCAGCTGGCTGGGGATCTGCCCAAGTGCATAGGAAACGCGATAAAGATGAAGACATTGTGTCAATTCCTTGGTGTGCTCACGCCAACCCTGCCGCAATTGGAGGGCCATTGATTCCCCGTCGTCACGTTCAATCAGCGCCTCGTAAAGATTGATGATCATATGGAGAGCATGAATACTAGAAGTGGCATGATCAATAAGAGATTCTGGATAATATGGCTCGCGACTGGAGTTCTGGGAAGAAGTGTCATGCTTACCGGAGAACTAAAAGCTGTGGAGTTGGCTCTTTGCCAATTTGGGTCAAATCGGGCCAATTGCTTAGCCACTGCAGAAGGTGGGCAAATGGTCCTTTAGCTACACCTAGTAGGGATAAAAAGTCTTCACGCAGATAATCCTCGTCTAGCAGGTCACAAATATGGATCATAATTTCGTTCAACCTTACCTGGGCCTCCCTGACCTGAGGAAGCCGTGCTGCCCGTGTAGGCGAGACCACTTGGTTTGCCCGTGGGTATGCAATCCACTCACAATCAAAATTGCCTGCATATTCAACTCCATGTGTGGGTTGTAATATATTGGGTTCTCTTTGGAGCTTCATCGAAATTTGTCTGATTGTAGGTTAATGGCATTCTTTGCTTTGGTTAACGGAGAATACGTCACTCACGTATCCAGGTTAAATATCCCCCATTCAGTGATTGTGCGAACGCTTTCCATATCCTGTGACAAGGGCGTTTCACGACGCTGAACGTTTCGCCGTTTGAGATGCTTGAACAGTCCCAAATCTCGTGCCATTTGGACTGCCGTTCCTAATGTCTGCCAACTCATATTGGCCCTACCCTGATAAGACAACCTATTCAATATTTCGTCTCAGTTCGAATTCAAACTACACAAATTCAACAGTCGATAAGCTTACACAGAGGACATAATAAGCAAAGCCTGCACAGTAGCTAAGCGTGGTTCCCCATCTTCAGCACGTAGCAGCCGCTCCGCTTCTGCGAAAAAGTTTTGACCACGCGAGAATGGGTTGCCGTTATCAGAGAGCACGACTGGGCGATCCGAGTATGTCTGTTTCAATTTGTTAGAAACAAGTCGACTGATGTTGGGAGGGCCTTCGTACACTTGCGACAGAGAGAATGCTATTGACCAGGATTGGCGAGCAAAATTCGGAGTTGAGCACTCCCTGTCTCATGTGGTCGAGAAATATTCCTTGGTCAAAAAATTGTGCACATGGATAATCCCATGTAAAATATAGTGAAATGAGATGAGAGACAAGATCGTCATCACCAGTGACCTCGGTCCACGGCCTAGCTGGCACCTCGAGCAAGGGAACGTCACAGAGACGATCCAAGGTGACTCGTGCATATGGGTCGAATGCAAGTTTCGAGGAGCTAATGGGCTTGTCATGTTCAGACCAGCTAGATGCCGAGTCGAGATCTGAAGGTCTCCGGTTTTCGATTTCAGTCTGTCCTATCAACTGCCCCTCCAGTTTTGAATCCGCGTCTTCTGCTAATGATAGACTCGCTGCTGAGAGTATATTTGAATCCGTGAATCGAGTAACCGGACAGTCAACTGCCTGAGCGAGATCACGCAGGGGTCCATTTCTCTTGACTAAGTCCACCAATTTTTCAACCTTATCGGAATGCGCCCCGCGGATTGTCGAAAGCAGAGAGTCGAGTAGATCTTTATAATCTCTCAACTCTTGAATTGTGCGCTTCACGGCGACTTTGCGTCTCAGATCTCGGCTTGGGTCAAAATGACACTCATTTTCAGCACCGGCGCTAATACAGGCTTTGCAGGGGGGAGGGGCTCCGGAACACTAGCAGAATGAAAGCGACAAGTTAGTCCAAATCTTCTTAATATGAGATCTTCTCCTTTCAATAGGCTACGCGTGACTTACCTTCCTCTTTGCTGCCTTGCAGGCTAGACAGGCCGTGGAGTTCTTTTTGGGCTTGCCTACAGCCGCCATTGCCTGTTGCGCAAATGTACGGGGTGGTCCTGGGGCCAATGTAGGGAAGGCTTTCGAAGCGTCGTGATGGTTCATTTCATGGTATACCAAATGATTGATCCTCGGGTCAAACTTCTGTACCGTCTGTTCCAGAAACGTTGGCTCAAGAGATACCACTCGGTCCGGTATAACGCTATAAGCTGTGGACAACGACGGTCAGCTGGTTATCTCGTCAACCACCAGTGTAATGATGGAATGGAGGGCACTAACAATATCACTTCACGCATGCGTATCCAGCTTATCAACATCTAAACTAAGAAAACTTGATTCAGAGCATTCTCGATTCCATCAAAACGGTTGAGGCTCCAGGGAACATCCGAGGCTACAGGTATTGACGACGGCTCGCTTTCTTCGTTTACTCAACAATATGTGGGAAGAGAAGAGAGGCGAAGGATTATAATAGGGAATGATATTTGCGGGGCGCCGATTGATTCCACCTGCAGGCGACTAAGGAAAACCGAACCTAGTCGAAGGGGCACGCGTTTTGCAAACACACCAGGGTCGGCGGCTGTGTGACAGCCAGGGTGGCCCAGTGGGCAAATGGCCCAAGATCGCAAAAAACGATGATTGGAGGACGGAAGGATCTGGCGGCGTGCCAATCTTTTGTGCCGCTATGGCATACAAATCAAGACAGGGGTCATAATGTCTTCCATGAAGACAAGGCTAGACCAGAGTCTGGTTCAGCGAGATATTTGCGACTGGAGCTAATGCGTGAAAGTGACCGCTATCGCCCAAGAAGGAAACAGTTGAATTACCGTCTCAAAACAAGGGCGTGGCGATCCTTGAAATGTTGGAGAACAAGAAAAAAATTACAAAAAAGAAATGGGAAAAAATGGAGAATACAAAGAGAATTTGAGCCTTCGCGTGCGAGAAGACAGCCCATTCCGTCAATTTGCCCCGTGATGGTCGATCAATCTCGGTCCACTCAGACATGAAAATCTTCCCTCTTTGTCAGGGTCGAATCCGGATCTTGACACATGGAGAATAGACTGCGGATGCGTTGGAAGCCGGTTCGTTGGTTATATCATGATTATTATTAATATTTCCTTCTGTCAACTTGAACATACTGTACAGTAGACTTCGTAACTAGTTGACGCTCTTACATCACAGCGACCCACTCTGTTGCAGCGGAATCTAATCGACTATATGGCCCAATACTCCCAATACTCCAGAATTAGGTCCGAATGTCTTGAAGTCTCAATCAAGACTCGTGTCCTGGGAAACATACATACATATGTACGAAATGCTTGCTCTGGAATTCCATACGAGCATACATATGCACCACCTTCGAGCATTCGATTTTGTGGCGAAACCAATATGAACCATTGCGACGGTGTTGTATGAAATCTGAACCAGGCAACCTTTAGCGGTACTTCGTTGTATTATAGATCACTGTTGACGATACATCATTTGCTGGAGATGGAGAACTTCCAATTCTTTTTTTCAGCACCAGCTTTATTCATTCAAAATACCAGTGGTCAAATCTCTTCCGACGATGTTGACTGGCCGGAAGTGAACCGTCCAATCGGTTAGAACGCCGTGGGGCCATCTCCCTCGCTCACTCCGCGATTGCTAACATACCCGACCGTGCGGATCTGGATTGACCTGGAATGACCGGGAAATGATTTGGATATGAAGTTGAAACCTATCTTAAAGCCACCTAAGCTTAGCATCCGATAACCTTATTACTGACTAGTAGGCGCCGCCCATGTGGGAATGAACAGTCGTGAGGCCATAAGAGACCATATATCGTTGGTCTTATAACCCGCGCAGGAGATGACGTTCACGAACTTATGTATACATACTTGCTTTGGTAGCTTTCCCGAGTGGATGGGCTTAACATCCATATTCCGCTCCCCGGGCTGACATGGACATCTTTGTTAGATGGCCATTGCCTACGATTACCTAAGATTCTGTCACCTGAATGGTACCGAGGTTTCGTATTAATCTTCTACTTAAAAGTTGTATTTCACAATATCTAAATGGAGTACATCCTACCGTTCTGGCTGTGATAGCGATTGACCACCTAATGCAGATAAGAATAGCCCCGCTATTTGTTCAATCGTAGGTAGGTGCCAAGCCAGGCCTACGTCCTGTGATAGGGTGCCTGTGTCTACCAGAATGGCAGAAGGGTGCAAAAACAACGAATAACAACGTTGAAGAAAAGGGAAGAAGAGAGAGAGAGAGCTATACTACGTATATGTAGAGAGCGCACTCCCGGACCAGTCATCTGATTAGTCTGTATCCAAGAGTGAGTCAAACCAAGCAAACGTCCAAACATATAAACATGCCCGCCGGCCGACCTCCTCTATGTAGCTATACATACTACATTACCCCCGCCTAAAATACGGGCAGTTCCTTGACCGCATCAACGTATAACATCAACTTTAATCATTATAGAAAAAAAATCATCCAGGTTTATATCATCTATATAATCAACAACGAATTTATTATACTCTACAGCCTCAACCTAGTATAGTAGACGTACGGAAGGCCCTAGTTTCAATAAATATGTTAAGGTTGACGTCAAAGGGTTAGGCAGATAAAGAATGATGATATTAGATAGAGTTCTTTTGATGAAGTTGTACAGAAACTAATCTTTGAAAGACTACTACTTCCAAGCATTCATACATTTATATCAACCATGGTTCGTGTGCCTCACGTGAGGGGTCCAGGGCTGGAACCCTCGGTAATTTATTTGTCCGTTCGATAATCATTCCTTTGGAATATCAACACGCATGTATGCCGTAACAGATATCAACATACATTGTTCGATCATTCCTTTGGAATATCAACATGTATATCAGCCGTAACATATACCTATAGCTTACGGCGGTAACACAGATTCTATGCCTTATCTAAATAGGACTAGCCTATGTAGGGGGGTGTGTCTTTATGAATTTAGGATGTGATTTTAATGGATTCCGATACCATCGGCACAACCTGAAAACAAAGAAAACAAGATAAAACAACAAAAAAATCATTTGCATCCGGATCCTAAAACTAAATCATACATACCATCAAATCACCATCTAGTCTCCTGATACCCAATCCCAAAGATTACCCCTCTTGCATAACTCCATCCTTTTCTAAAAATTGTTTGTCGTACTTCTGAACCCCTGTCGATTTAGCGTCTTACCACGATTCCCCTCCTACTCCATTGGTATAAGGCAAGCGGCTGGGAGTGGATACCGTTGAATTAAATGGGTCCCGGGGTCTAGTTCTGACAGCAAAGAGAGGGGGCTGGCGCTAATCTTGCACGACCTGGTCGCTCTAACGCCGGGAACCAAGTGTGTCGTTTTTGTAGATCTCGGATTGAATCGTGCATTGAACTTACTTAAAGGGGTTGAGATTGGGACTTTTGTCATTATTTTTGAAGTGGTTAGGCTGCACTTTTCTTTGTTTGTTGTTTGCTATGAAGTACTGTATATTGTTTGATCAACTTGAGTTGACTCTGATTGGAAATCAAGACTGTTTGCCGATGTTGCTTTTGCCTCATTGTATTATCCATCATACACTTGGCTTTTTGTATTTGTATTTGTATTTGTATTTTTTTGTAGGGTAGGGGTAACCATGATGCTGGGTTCTATTTGGGGTTTGCTCGGTGGAATTCTGTTCTATGAGGGTTTGTTGGAATATCACCTCCAGGGCTGTGCTTAGGAAATACTACAAATAATTGTTACAGTGGTTGCTGTTCTGTAAGTATAAAAATAAGTATGCTGTCCCTGGTGGAGTCACGGTCGTCACGGTGTAGTATATGTAGTAAGTCTCTCCTGTTACTCTTCTTATACTATGGATTCTAAGCTTGGAAGGTCCTATCCTAAGTTCGTATATATACTATATCTTTATTCAACTTTGTTACCTTTATAAATCGAATTTAAAATAAATATATCAGGAATTTTAAATTCTCGAATTTGTCTAATTTCAAACTTGAATGTCTTGTGGTTAATAGATACTGGTAAGGTAGCTATATTTATGTATAGATTTAGTGCCAACTTTGAAAGTGAGAGAAGAGGAGATATAGCACCCAATATTCATCGACACTTTGGCATCAATTGAGCGATATGTTTCACAGGGAATATTCTTTTTGTAATTTTTGGCTTCTGATTTCAAGTTCAAATTCTCTAGAGCTTGATCAGAGCTGTGTGCTTTCCCTTTCAGCCAACTTGCCATTTGACTTTACAACAAACGCCCTTCACGCGCTGAATTCACAATGACTCCATTGCAACTTCAATCTACTCCTTCACCTCTATCCAGCCGGCTCCGCTCTTACCCCAGTATCTCTCCTCTTTTACTAGTACTGGCGCGCTTTCTCCACGACGCGACTCTCATCACCACCCTCGTGACCCTCAAAACCTACACCGTGGAGATCAACCTCAAAGTCACGGTCTTATCAAAGAACACGCGCCATCTTCGGTAGAAGAGATCATATTACCAAGCGTCCGACGCTGGAAAGCTGGTTTCATGGATTTATCCCCGCTACGTCCTACTGCTGTTAGCCCGCGAGCTCATCTACCAAAGTAGGCTCCAAAGTCACCTTCACCGTGGTCTCCAAAGTCGCCTCCAAACGCGATCATGGAAAAGCCATTCGAAGAGTAAGCGGCTCATCTAAGAAGTCTCAACAGAACCACACCCGACTAACGAAAGTGATCAGTGTTTTCTTGAAAGATGAATACAGCGATATGAAGATCGTCTGCGGGGATAAGACTTTCCCGGCTCACAAGCTAGTCGTTTGTAGACGTTCAACCTGGTTCAAAGTGGCGTGTGGCAGTGGGTTCAAGGTAAAGTTATTCATGAAAGTTCTACCCTCTATTACGGGATCTAACGATGGCCTTTAGGAGTCTTCTGGGGAGATCAACCTAACCGACAAAGATCCAATTTTGGTCCAGAAAATCCTGGAATACTTGTACAATTCCGACTACAGCCTCAAGAAGGTTGCCATGGACCTATGTACCCCCGTGAATGAGAACTCGCCAAGCGTCAATCAGTTTGGGCTCCGAAAGCGAAAGCTTAGCACCACTGCCAGCACAAAGACTACCGCCTCTCCAAAGGAGCCACCACGAAAGCGAACTAGATCAACTTTGGAGCTTCCAGGTGATAGCATCAAAGTGAATCTGACTCATGAACGCCAGCCAAGTGAGACACGGACCCCCCAGACCTCAGATAGCTCACTGAGCCAGATTATTGAGAAACCCGCCGAAGATTGGCCCCCATTGAACACCTGCCCACCGAGCTACTTCCATGCGCGAATATTTGCTGAAGCAGACTTTTTTCTACTCGACGATTTGAAAGAGCAGGCAAAGGACAAGTTTGATGAATCTCTTAGAGCCTGCACTGTCGTTTGGAAACTGGAACTTCTCATTCTTGAGTTGTGGTCAGCAAGAGCAGATTACAAGGAGCTCCGATCAATTATTTTGTGTCGGATTGGTTTTTCCGGTACTAATTTGAACAAGTTGTTTCTTCAACTGGATCGCTCATTCATTGAAAGTGTCCCTGGGTTCGCGACTGATTTCTGCTGGGAACGTATGAAGGACGAGCGCGAGAAACGGGATGGGGATAATAAACAAACGCCAGAAAGGCGCAGATATATGATCTGACCCGCAATATTCACTACGGCGGTATTCCCGCAAGTCCACCATGAAGTCCAGTCAACCACAAAGTCCAGTCAGTCATGAAGTACACGGAATTGCAAAACACGAGTTTGATTTTTCTTTTTTCTTTGTTCCAAGCACATCGTCAATTTGCATGGAAGTTTCTGTTGTCTGCCATAATATGGACTTAGCAATCAGATGACGCAGCTCAATGATTAAGTTATGCCACACGGCTATTATTACTTTGATCCTGTTCTGTTATTGGCTCGATCCCGTAATGGAGCACCTAAACGAGTCGTACTGATGTAGAAGCATATGTGCTAGATACCACTCTTAGCGGGCAAGTCTATCTTTTTTTGGAAAATTCCTGCATGCTGTACAACCAAGCCCCTCGGAATGAATTGCCGATAACCTTTTTGTAGAATATGTGCAACGTGAAATGTCTTCCTCCCTGCACTATACCTAAATAATTCTATAGATTCTGGCGATCTATGCAGCATAGTATGACTATGACTATGACGTGGTTGGCCATCCCTTTTGTATCAAAGATCCATCCCCAACGAAGCATTTTTCTAGGTCAACAACTTGAATGATTTAAAGCCAACATTCAAAGTTTTTCTAGTCCTTCTAGCGCACATTCTTTCATTCCAGGCGGTTATCCTCGGCACTTGTCCATATTAAGTGGGTCTAATCAGCGATAAGAGTATCAGATTCCCCTCTATTGTCATGTCATGGAAAGGGCGTCGCCCCTCATAGTAGTAAATATGCAAAAAACGATATCGCACAGTGAACTCCATTGGACAATTGACAATCAGGATTGGAAGTGCGAGATGCAAGAGTCCAGATATAGTATAGACGCCTATCAATATAGAGATCCAATTTCCCGAAAAGATAAAAGGCGTGGCGAAAAACCAGAACACGCCCTACCCTCCCTACCCGTTCGGCGGGAAAATTCTTCATCGGTTCAAGATAACGTTAAGTCCGGGGCAAACCGAACATTGAAGATAAATAAGTCTCACTCCTGTTATCTGTCATTATTTCTCCTTGTCTATAATTCCATTGGAATATATATCTTGTTCGATAAACACCGCCAGTCGGATATCCAATTGACCCACCAGCCAGGGGCCATTGACTCATTGATTCCGCATTCCCCACATATCAATACGTTTTAAATATCCCCAGAATCCCCTTCATTCAATCAATTGGTCTTGTTTAGCCACTATATCCGAAATCCAAATATCACTTCGCCATGGGTTCTATTTCACAGCACCTAGCTGAGCTCGACGCCTCAAATTTCAAGGTCACCCGGACTACCAATTTCCGTGATGTGCCTCTCCCCGGGTCCCCCGAGGAACTGGGCCATTCCCACTGCACTGACCACATGGTCACTGTCCGCTGGACCGATGTCAATGGCTGGGAAACACCTGAGATCAAACCATACCAGAATCTCAGCATACCACCCACAGCCTCATGCCTGCACTACGCTACGGAATGTTTCGAGGGAATGAAAGTATACCGTGGTTACGACGGGAAGCTTCGTCTCTTCCGTCCAGACTGCAACGGTGAGCGTCTGAGCAACAGTTCCCAGCGCTCCTCGATGCCAGGATTCAAGCACGAGGAGCTAAAGAAGCTAGTTGGCAAGCTGCTTCAAATTGACGGTCCCCGTACGTACCACCTCCCATATATCCCCAATTCCAATTGAAATCCCATACTAATTTATATTTATTATATAGGCTGGCTACCTAAGAGCCGCCCCGGCTCATTCCTATACATCCGCCCAACCATCATCGGCAGCGGACCCCATCTAGGAGTCCAAGTCCCCAAAGAAGCAACCCTATTCATCATCGCTGTCCTCTGGCCAGACTTCACAAACACAACAAAAGAAGGCGAAACATCTCCTTCCAAGGGCCTGAAGCTCTTCGCCTCCACACCGGATACCATCCGTGCCTGGCCTGGCGGCTTCGGCTACGCCAAGCTAGGCGCAAACTACGGGCCCTCGCTCCAAGCACACGGAAAAGCAAAAGCACAGGGCTTCGATCAGATTCTCTGGCTATTCGGTGAAGATCGCCAGGTGACTGAGGCGGGTGCTAGTAACTTTTTCGTTGTGTGGAAGAATGCGCAGACAGGGAAGTTAGAACTTGTTACTGCTCCTTTGGGTAATCAGCTTATTCTGCCTGGTGTGACTAGGCGGAGTGTTTTGGAGTTAGTCTCAGAGAAGCTTTCTAAGGGGGCCGCTGGGTCTTTGGAGCCGCTAGAGGTTGTTGAGAGGACGTTTACTATTGAGGAGATTGAGAGGGCTTCGAAGGAGGGACGTCTTGTTGAGTCGTTTGTGTCGGGTACTGCTGTAAGTTGATGATTGGTTTGATTGGTCTTGATCTTGATGCTAATTTGTGGTTTCTTTTAGTATTTCATTACTCCTGTTGCGATGATTCGGGAGAATGATAATGATATCAGTACTTTGGGTCCTGATGGTGAGCCTGCCGGTTATGCTGCTTTGATCAAGTCTTGGTTGGGGCAGATTATGTATGGCAAGGAAGAGCATGAGTGGGCCTATGTCATTGAGAACGAGGAGAACTAGGAAGGTCTGTTTGCATCTTTTCAGTTTAAATAGATAGAAGTTTGATTTATATTGTGTGCTTTTTGGACGAGTCTCAAGTTATGCACATAGCTAGTTTGGTTTGAACTTCATCTAAAGAAATGAGATCACGATAGATATTATTATATCTACAGCATACTCTAATTGCCCAGTTTTAGACGTAACTCATGGTATCATTTCATGTAAATTGCTATTTGACATCGCAGCCCATTCAAAATTTATTTTGCTCCGAGTCAACAACCATCGGCGCATACTCACCAGTCTCTTCATCCTCGTCATCATCATTCATATCAATCTCAACCTCCTCACCATCTTCAAGACGAACCATTCCACGCCTAACAAAACTCTCATGCGCCAATTCCCAATCATATTCCTCTTTAACCCATTTTTCCAGACTAGCAAGCTCATTTCGAACCAGAGATTTGTCGTCCACCCCAACACGCTCATCAACAGACCGCCTAAGTTTCTTAAGCAGGTCACGCAGAAACGCACCCCCATCATCACCATCCATATCAAACAATCCCCCCTCCACATCATCACACCGTTTCAGCTGCCGAAGCAACAGAGCCAAAAACTCAGTCATAAATGCCTCCCTTTCAATGATAGCAACGGAGGAAGTCAGAACCAGTTCCAGGATTCGCTTCCACTGCTGTAGACAAGAGTAGTTCATCATTGTCAGAACCATTAAAAATGTAAACTGCATTTCTCCAAGCAGCTGTCGCTCGCCAACAGTCTCATCGAAGGATACTTCTCCAGAAATCGGATGCGTATATCGGGAGAAACTATGTATCAAGTCTCCCAGTGCCCACGACCGATCCAGAGCTGCCGTCGTTCTTTCGCGCCCGACAGCGCCTTCCCGCCATGTATATTTCAGGTCAATTTCGATGAACCTGAAGGCTCGCTCTTGCTCCCCAGTTGTCCCCGGAACACCATCTCCCCCAACTGTCTGTGGATCGAGTCCAGGGATACGATCCGCATCACACTCCGCCGTGCTAGCCGACGTGACCATCCACCGAGGATGAGTATCGACATCATAGTTCGGATCACCGACAATACGGCTTAGAAGAGGAGGCGACAAGCGATTGGTAAGAAGTCTCCAATCCTCGCGCCCCGTTTCTTCTGTTTCCTCATCATCTTGGATCTGCGCTTGTTCCACCTGCTCAGAATCCTCATTTGACTCTGGATTCTTTGCCGGTGGTCTAGTTATCCTACTTCGATATCGAAATAACCCTCCACTTTGCCAGATACCAGCCAAATTGGCCTTGTAGTACATCGCCATCCGAGTATCCGCAGCGTCACCGGGTTTCAACGAGATAAGAGATTCAATATCAGAGTTCCAGTTCCAGATGTAGACCACCGGTCCGGAATTCTGGTCTTCGTTCGTTTTGCGCAGGACTAGCGCTGTGTCTTTGTGTTCGCGATGAAGTGCGTCGATATCGCCAACGTAGAACCATGCGCCAGAGCGAAGGGACAAGCTCTCTGTCGTTCCAGTGTACAGAAAGTGCCATCCATCTGGGAGATCTCTGATTCCGTGGAATTTGGGCGTCGAAGTAAAGGTTATGAGGTCGATGCCGACGAGGGTCTTCGGTGGAAGCCCGGGGAGGAGCATTGTTGGGGCTGGGTCGAGGATGGAAGACATGCTTGTAGTGGAGGTTGTATTATTGATCGTTGTGATGAGGGTTAAGGACGTGTAATGTATCGAGGGGAGCGTGTGGGGAGGCTTATGGGGTTGGTTGTCTGGGATGGCGGGCGCGACGAGAGTAGTAGTGATGAGGATGCCACTTGGGCTGGAAGCAGATATTTTAGCTTCTCAGATTCAATTCATGTTCTAAGACAAAGGCTTGATCTGTGTTTCTTTCGAATGCTGACGCGATAGTTGTTTTGGTATGAGTTGGGAGCTTAAATAGCTAGAGAGGCTAAACATTGAATGGACCAGCTCTCATTTTTTTGCTATCGGAGGGTACGATAAGCTCCCCGCACATGGCACATTTTGCACATGATATCATGCTTGACCATGGGTAATCACGTTTACAAGAGAAATTGATCTACGAATATTACAAATAAAAAGAAATCTACAATATGAAGAACATGAGTACCCAGAATCAGAAAATTATATTCAAGCAGCCAAAGACCACCGGACTAAACAACCAAAACTGAGCATAAACTTTTCAGGGTATGAAAATAATTGAAGACCAGGCAATGAGGGCCGTTCTTCGCGTTTATTCCATCCACAGTTGCAAGTAGTACCCGCAAGGAGTCTCCAATCCAAAAGCGAAACAAGTCGCAGTCGGATATAGGAAAAGCCCGCAAATATCTACAGACGGCGACCACGGCGACCACCCTTGCGACGAGTAGAGTCGGAAGGAGTGGGGGTGACGTCCTCGATACGGCCAATGCGCATACCAGCACGGGCAAGAGCACGGAGGGCAGACTGGGCACCGGGGCCGGGGGTCTTGGTGCCGTTACCACCAGTGGCACGGATCTTGATGTGGAGAGCGTTGATGCCGAGCTCCTTGCAGCGGGCAGCGACGTCCTGGGCAGCCAACATGGCGGCGTAGGGAGAGGACTCGTCACGGTCAGCCTTGACCTTCATACCACCGGTAACACGGGTGATGGTTTCACGGCCGCTGTAGAGATTGTTAGTTTTCTTGTCTTGGGGCTTATCCATGGCAAGACCCCGCCAAGTATCGATCCACCATATCAGAAAATATGGGCGGCGAGACTTTTAGGGAAATTGTATTGGGTGAACGTACGAAAGATCGGTAACGTGAACGAAGGTGTCGTTGAAAGAGGCGAAGATACGGGCAACGCCGAAAACGAGCTTGCCTTTATGCATTTATTAGACAGACCGTAATTGACGAAAATTGAAAAAAGGCATTGCGCGACTTACCATCGCCGGCCAGAGGGCCGAGCGAGACGTTTTCCTTAGCGGCGGCGGGAGCCTTCTTGGTAGGGGCCATTGCAACGGTTTGGATGGAGTTGGCGTGGATGGAATATGGAAAGAAAGGAAGCCGACAAAGAAATCGTGAAAAAGAAAAAGTGGATGTGTGCCCTCGGCTTCAAAGTGGGGTCTGATTGGCTAGCTGCTCAATGGTGGATAAGCGAGATGCTGACTCATATTTTGCCGGTTTCATAGTCGGCCCGAGAGCGGTGAGTGCTAGCTTCCTTTCGCCTATTTAATTTTTCTTCACCGAACGCAGGTTACACCTTCTCTGTCATTGCAATTGCTCTTTCAAACTCTGCAGACCCTGTGTACAACCAGAGTCTTGGAACCAAGAAAGCAAAACCAGCCAGTTCACTAACTTGATACGACGAAAGGACCAGTGAGAGTGCAAGCACAAGAGCCCCAGTGACTGGTGTGACTCAAGCTACGATGGCACGTACCAAAGAAAATGCCTCAATTGGCATCATCGGTATGGGTGACATGGGCAAAATGTATGCCCAGCGCCTGAGCGATGCTGGATGGAGGTAAATACCTATCTTGTTCTGTGTTCAGTCGCCAACATGTTCGCAATATCTTCTTGAGATGGTAAGCTTCCCAGTTTCTTTTCGTTATACCAACACATCCCCCACTTCGAATGATGACTTGAGTGCATTTGGCTCGAGTATGGTTTGGCGGTTGCACTTCCACGCCGTTATGGTCGGTTGTGCAATCCTGGGCTGTCCATGAAGTAAATTATCTCGCTACCTAAAATTTTCTTGTCTGATCGAATATTTTGATACTGCATCGCTCTTGATTTATCTATTGAAAATCTTATGCTAACGAGTGATATCAATAGATCATACCGGATGTCTGGCACACCTTTATGCTCATCTTCGAGGTCGACATGGTTGGATATCAGTTTTACTAACATACTTTACATTCTTCTTCCCAAGGATAAACGCCTGTGATAGACTTGAAAATTATGAATCTTTACAACATGAGTTTGCCTCTAAAGTACGTCTCCCGCTGGGATCATCCCACCCAGACACTCATCGTATATAGCAAGGAGTCACCATATTCCCGAATGGCCATCTGGTCTCCAGAATTAGCGATTTTATTCTTTACAGTGTAGAAGCTGGTGTGATCGACCGAGTCGTCTCAGAGTATGGGCCATGTATGTTTCGGACCCGCTTAGCCCAAGCCAAACAAACCTTAGGACTTGTATATCTGACTCGTGGATTAAAAAGCTACCAAGGTCGGCGCCATTGTTGGCGGTCAAACCTCATGCAAGGCCCCGGAACTTGCTGCGTTCGAAAAACACCTGCCGAAGGATGTAGAGATTGTATCGTGCCATTCGCTGCACGGACCCAAAGTCAATACTCAAGGGCAGCCATTGGTAGGCTTTGACGCTAACATGCATCCCATTCCCAATTCAGATCAAACCGACATTAACAGTTTGTTGGACTAGGTTATCATTCAACATCGTGCATCCGATGAAAGCGTTCGATTCGTCGAAGAAATCCTCTCCTCGTTCGGTTCCAAACATGTCTACCTCACCGGTGAGATGCATGATCGTATCACTGCCGATACCCAGGCTGTTACGCACGCTGCTTTCCTGAGCATGGGCACTGCATGGCAGGCCAACCAACAATTCCCTTGGGAGATGTCGAGATGGGTTGGTGGTATTGAGAACGTGAAGATCAACATTACATTGCGCATCTATGCAAACAAATGGCATGTTTACGCTGGTCTCGCTATACTCAATCCGGCCGCCAAAGAACAGATTCGACAGTACTCTGAGTCCGTGACGGATCTGTACAAACTGATGATTGGGGGACACCGCGAAGAACTGAAGCGCCGAGTGAAGGCTGCGTGTGCATCTGTATTCAAAGAGGGCACAGAAGGACAGGATTTGTTGTTGAAGGACGAAGTACTAGATCGGTTCTCTTTGTCAAACCGCTCTCGCGAAGCGTCACCCCCAAACAGCCACTTGAGCCTTCTTGCCATCGTGGACTGCTGGTCTAAGCTCGGCATCGTCCCCTATGACCACATGATTTGTTCTACTCCGGTATGAGATTATGAGTAATCGCCGATACACATTCGGATTAACATGCTAATGATCTTGTAGCTTTTCCGTCTCTGGCTGGGTGTGACAGAATACTTGTTCCGGAACTCTGAGCTCCTAGAGGAAGCCCTGGATACTGCCATTGATGATAACACTTTCCGATCAGATGATCTGGAATTTACATTTGCTGCACGAGTAAGTCCGCAAGAAGAATTATGAATAGTAATTGAAGGAATTATACTAACCCCACATGAAATCAATCAGGCATGGTCCGACTGTGTCTCCTTTGGAGATTTCGAGTCTTACCGCGATCGCTTCGAACGCATTGCACAGTACTTCGCTCCTCGTTTCCCGGAAGCAGCTACGCTTGGAAACGAGATGATGAAGACAATTCTGGAAAAGACCACGAACAACCCTTGATATCATCAAGTCGCAGTATGATATCAAGCGCTGTAAGATGAAGGGAAAACGACATGTACTTTATCTGCTTCTAGGTTGCCGAGACCCGCTAAAGGGACCTCGATCTACTTTCCGGGCACCTTCGAGAGCTCCTATTCAGGGCCAGCAACATTAACTTCGGATATATTCGCCGCAAGGCCACTTCAATATATTTTTTCGGCAGTCAAAGCTCCCTACGTGTTCTTAAGTTTGCTTACACGAAGAAATTAATAATGTAAGTAATAGATTATACTATATAAACTTTAGACTACTATTAGTATTGATTTTACAGGGATTAGGGTTCTTCCTAGTATTATAAACATCCTTGAGGATCAAGTTGAATCAAATAAGTGGGTAGGTAAACATGGTTTTTTCATAGACGATGCCCGCATTGCAGGATTCAAAAACGTCAGACAAGTAGTACGACTTTTGTCTCTACGTGATATCTTGCAGAATATAAGAACATGGGATATATCTATAGCTCAAGAACATTCTGTAGATGCGGCATTCCAGTGTGGCCCAAGGGTCCCAAACTCCACTCCTGAGAACTGTAAGGGGCACGATCTTTGACCTGAACAGGCCTCGATCTTCTCAGGACCTCTCCGGAAGAACCGATGGCCTCAGCGAAGATCAACACATTTTCGGGTCATGAGCGATATCTTCTGAGACTGTTTTGATAACTGTCTCAAACCCCGTTCTCTTATGCCTCCTCAAAGGAATGACAGCTGAAGTGTTGATTCTCATCAGATGATAAGCAACGGAATCGAGCATCATGTCGATAGGCAAATTTGACGTTAAATGTCTCCTTGATGTTACGGAGGTCTATGTGAATACCCCCGATAAATATGGTTGGGCTGCACTTGACTGGGCGACAAGGGGCCAGATGCAAGTCAAGAGACACTTGGTCACGGAGCATCCCCTTCATCACGGACAGTGAAAGAGCTCGCGAACCCGCCACACATTTTCCTTCAGAAGCTTTCGGATTGTTGTTTACCAGCAGACCGCGCATATAATTGCAACCCAATTTCATTCAGATGTGATTGGGAGTCCATTACTCAGGGCAAAAAGATGCGAGACTTGCTGTATGACATGGAATCTACCTTGGGAGTGCGCATCTCGGATGAAACGATTGAGCTGTTTGAAGGGTGGTCCTATAATAGACATCAACCTCGTCATGATTTAGTGAGATGACCAGGCGCATTTTGTAATTACATATGGTTTCGTATCTAGTAACTGAGATACTTACAGACATCCTTTTTTACAGCAGCTTGGTAAAGTGTGGCCAGCACTCTCTCATATGGTAATGAAACTCCTTTGCGTATTGAGCTTAACTGACAGTCTATAGGCCGAAAAATTTCCTAAGCATTCAGATTCCATATCTGCTTCTTACCAGTCAAGATTGGATTCAAACAATGATAGCATTCATATTGATCGGAGCCTTTCTTGCGACATTCTTGAGATTAACAAACTTGAAGTTGTACCTCCTATTTTTGAGCCTTCTCTCCTGGACCCGGAGCTTCTACAACCTCTAAGCCCCACTTGACAAGATTGAAAGTGCCACCAGCGGTGGCTTCGGTGGCACATAATCATCAATCATCGCTACTACATGAAGGCACTAGCGATATGCCTATATATACCGAACAGGGCCAGACAACAACTTGCAGACTAGTATGGGGTGACCTTTCGGTATGGCGATGACGTTGCAGTATCACCTACACAATTCTTTGATTTTGAACCCTTTCAAATGGAGTGATATGTGCAACAACTGGTATATAGCACCTTTGAACAGAATAACATAACATAACATAGTAACATCCTGGGCTGGGCAAAGTATAGCTTCTGAAGTTTGAGTGTTGATTAGGGAAAGTCCCATTTGAGGATTAATCTGCACACTGTCATAATTTCTTAAGCATATAATAAAACACCTGGACACTTGAATAACTGAATATATCTTGAGTTAAATATTTTACACGTTGTTCAACCTCTGGGGCTGAAATATCCATAGAAGATGTCTGCCTTAGTCATCATCCTTGTGTTTTCGTGGATCAGGCTGAACCGATCGGAGTGGGACAATCGATTATCTAGGCGATGATCGTCTGCTTGAGACGTGACCTCCTCAATTTTGACCTGCGCACTTTATGGCCATGGCAGATGCAGGTGTTCTGTGATCAACAGCACTTCTACCCGTGACCGTGCGGAGGCATTTCCCCTCCCTTGACTTCCTACCACCGCTTCCCCGTATATTCCACAGACCCTTGCGCCGCGATCCCACCTCTTCCTCCTCCAACGACCCCCTCAATGCAGCGCCTTGGTACTCGGAACCTTCGTCATAGGTGATAAATTGCCTCCGTGGCTGGATGGAGCTTCATGGCTTCCGGACATACTTCAGCGTTCTCCGCCTCGACCCAGCACCGCGCCTTGGGTGATGGTCGCTCTTCTTTCAGCCAAGATGGCACCTCAGTCGACGGGAGCTATGTTGATGGGACCTCCCGATCTGTGCGCAACGGGCGCTCGGGTTCTGGAGGCAGCATGTCCACAGCTCCCCGCGGAGCATCATCACTGGCTCCGTCTTTCGGCGGGCCAGGCGGCTTCAGCTCGGAGCTCAAGAGCATGAGTTCCCGCAACGTAACACCCCGTCCTGACGGCACCTTCACGAGGCGAGCGAGCAGATCAATCGGCGAAGACGATCTCCCCACAACCGAGGAACGCCAGGCTTTTCTACGAGATAAGATTGCGAAGGAGATCAAGATCAAGACTGGGACGGAAAACATGCTAGAGGCATTATACGCGAAACCCCCCAAACAGACCAAGGAACAGCGCCTGAAAGTGGAATCAGAGTTGAGCTCATCCAATCGAAAACTGGCTGAGCTTCAACATAAGCTTGAGGAGGAGCTCTTACGTGCGCAGGCGCCGTCTTCCACCCCCCCGCGCAGTCGCCTTTCGAGCCTTTTTCGAGGGAGTCCTATGCGTTCGCCTTCACGAAACCACATTAATAATGTGCCAGGGGACGAGGGTGAAGGAAATGGTGCAGAAGGAGATATGGAATCCCCAACCTACGTCCTCTCGGAAACCCTTCAAGCCTTGGAGATTGAGGGAATGGCACCCGATTTCTATGTTGACCATGCAAACAGCTTGGTCGAGCTGTTCAAACGGTACGGCACACTGAAATATGATCTCGCGTGGCCTGTATTTGGGCTTCGTGTCCAAGTCATGCTTCTCAGCGACAGCAAAGAACTGGTAGCTGCTGGGTACCGGTTGACTCGTTACGCAATTGCCGATCGAAAGTCACTACAAACAATCAGAGCACTACACACCGATGAACTTGTGATATTGTCACTTGTCAAAGAGAGCAAAGTCAGTATTGAGAGAGAGCAAGCTTTGAAGTTTGTGAGGGCATTTCTTGATGTGAAAGATGGCGTGAAGGAGATATCTCGTGCCATTGTGAGAACGATCGTTTCGATCGCTGAGCATCACGAAGACCGTTTGCGTAACATATCTATAATGACCCTCGCGGAGATGTTGGTCAAAGATCCAGAGCTTGTAGCTTCTGCTGGTGGATTTGCTGCTTTGCATGACGCTCTCTCTGAAGGTACATTTGGTGCCTCCGAGAGTTTGATTTCAAGTTTCTTGCACGTTCTTGATACCCCATGCAGCCGAAAGTATTTACAAGGCTGTGAACTGGAAGCTGTTCTGGCGCCATACACCGACTCGTTGGCGGACTCATTACGCAATGGTCGGTTAAAATCTGCCGCCCGAGCAATATCGGCAATGCTCAAGACTTGGCCAGGTCTGGTAATCCTTGCTAGGCACGATGCAAAGCCGTTGCGTTCTCTACTAGAGTCTCTCCAATACCCAGATCCCCAAGCTCGTGATCTCATCATGGAGCTCTTGTTTGACGCACTACGAATAAAGCCACCCTCCTGGTCGTCTTCTTTCCTTGCGGGCAGGAGACTGACCACTTATGGCCGCGTGTCGAATCTACGATCTGATGCCGAACAAAAATACCCACGTACCTTCTCAGACAGCGCCTCCAACAAGTTTGACTTGACGGCCCATTTCTCTACTCTCATTCTGGCAGCCTTAGTTGCAGCTGGCTTACCAAAGGTATGGCGTCTCACTAAGAAAGATACTAATACCAAGCTAATTATGTCCAGGCCCTATCGGATCTTATCGAAGACGAAACAGATTTGTCACTCAGGCGTAAAGCCACCCTTCTTCTCACCGAAGTCTTGAAACTGGCCCACCATTCACTCCCTGCAACCGTCAGTGCAAACTTGCAGGTACTCCCACACCTCCTCCCACCCGCCATAAAATTCGACACCGAGAACCACGACGTTTCAACTTCTACCATCTTTCAAATTGAGAGTATTAATCGCACATTGGCACGCTCCGTAGCTGTCCCAAATGGAGTTGGCCGATATAACGTGGACACTGACATATCAGCTTCTTTGTTGCCAGTCGAGCAAGGCAAAGATAAGCTGAGTCCTTCCATGGATGAGACACAGTTCCGCAACGCGATTTTGGAGACACATGTCTTAAATACCGTCAACTATATGAAATGGAAATGGGATTTGATTCACCGTCTTGTCGAGGGACCACTCACCAATCCCAAGAGGATGGATGAAGCCATCAAGGGCTCGAAATTCATAAAACGACTCATTGGATTCTACCGACCTTTTAAATATCGCTTTTCAATGGCCTCAAACTCGAAACCGAATCAGCGCTATGTCAGGACCGGGTGCGCTCTGATGCGCACTCTTGTTCAGACCCCGGAAGGTACCAAATATCTTGCCGAGAACAAATTTCTCCGGCAAGTTGCCGAATGTCTGGCACAGTTGGACCGTATGAGTGGATTGACATCTGCCTCTCCATTGTTCTCGCGAGAGCAAATGACAGACACTTTGAGCGGTGGCTATTTCGCAATGCTGGGGACATTGAGTGCTGATGCGAATGGGCTTCTGATGATGGAACGATGGCACATGTTGAACATGTTTTATCATATCATTGAATTGCGAGATCGAAATGATCTAATTCAGACTCTCCTGGGGAATATGGATTACAGCCGGGAAAGCCATCTCAGAGTGATGCTTTCCAAAGCACTTACCATTGGTTCCAAAGAAATCCGTATCTTTGCAACCAAACTTCTCCGAAAATATGCGGTCGGAGATGCTATAATAACACCCCACGTTGCCATTGGAAATGCAGAGTGGGTGGTGAAACTTCTCGTGACTCAACTTTACGACCCAGATGTTACTGTCTGCCAGGTTGCCGTGAAGATCCTTGAAGAGGCGTGCAACCAACGAGACTATCTCGAGTTCGTGGTCAAATGCCGCCCTTCTCTTGATCACTTGGGTGAGATCGGTGCACCGCTCCTCTTACGCTTCCTATCAACCTCAGTCGGCTACCATTATCTTGATGGCCTAGATTATATAACACAAGAGATGGATGACTGGTTCCTCGGTCGGAATGACTCTTACGTTGGACTCGTGGAAGCAGCTCTGTCGAGAGCCTATGTGGACCAACCACGACGCAATAGCTATGCACCAGAGGATCTGGTGGATATGCAGGATATCGGAGTGGTTCCACCTCACTTCTATCGCGAGCTCGCACGGACTGCAGAAGGCTGTAAGCTGCTGGAGCAGTCTGGGCATTTCAATGAGTTTGCGTGGACAATCCGCGACTTCAGCTTGGACGATGAAGACCATGAGTCTCTCCTCAAAGTGAAAGGATGTCTATGGGCGGTGGGCAATGTCGGCTCTATGGAGCTTGGCGCCCGATTCCTCGAAGCTGAAATCGTTCAGCAGATTATAGAGATTGCGGAGGGTGCTGGTGTTCTGACCATGCGAGGTACTGCTTTCTTCGTCATTGGCTTGATATCCCGCAGTCGGCATGGACTGAAGGTACTTCGTCGACTGGGTTGGGATTCAGCTGTCGACCAAGAGCATGACTCACTTGGCCTTTGCTTGCCGACGGACTTCCGAAGGCTATTTCTGGTACGTTTTCAAGACAAATTTCCCAATATAGCAAAGCTAATTAGTCTAGGTTTCTTTCCCTGGATACACCTCCCCATCCAAGCGCAGCATACAAGTAGCCCTTCAGGAGGCTACCACCGACCCCGACCCCACCAACCAGAAAATCCTCAAGCATATTGTGGATATGGGTAATACCGTCCTATCCAAGCGATCCGCATCGGAACTGCACAAGTAAGTTTGAATGTTCCACCTCATCCTCTCCTTGAAATCTAATACTCATGATTGTTACAGGATCAAATCCAAGCAGCCCGAACGATTCCACCAGGTTCACCTTTTCCGAAAGGCTTTGTGCATTTTAGAAAGCCATCACTTCCGACTACCATCCCGAAGGTTCGCTCTCGACCTCTTCGATAAGAGCGTCATGAGGCGTATCGTCCTTGAAGAAGACTCCGAGTCAGATTCCGATTCCGATTCCTCCACGCGCTCGTGATCATCCAACAAAACACCCCCCTTTCTCTTTATATGCTGGCGCCCTTTGAATTCTTCCTCTACCCTCGATATCTATAAGCTGGCAATTTTTGTAAGCTATAAACACCAACGAAGGTTTCTATAAAGGCGTGGATGCTGGTTTGCACTGGGTACTGGTTTGTTTATTTGTTTTTTATTTTATTTTCCGGTTCTCAGCATTTGTATTTGGCATGGCGGCGGACTGGCCTTGGAAATGAGACACGAAATGATATCAAATAAGTTTTCTACGTAAATTGAATTGGTCCCTTAAAGACCGAGATAATGCATGAACAGGTTACACAATTTACTCAATCTGCACTGCAGATGGCGATTATCTAAAGTTGACCCGCTTTGATTGCCGATCTCCACCTGTGCTCCAGAGTTTCGCCCCGATATTTCCCTTTACTTCCTTCTTCGCATGCCCCAAGTATTTTACAGATTGAAGATCGCCTCTAAACTACTTAACCTGCTATTCCTACAGGGCCAACGCCATGGAGCAAACTGGCACATCCTCCCCGCAGGCCCCGCACTCAGCCGAGGCTGAACCCGCGACCGTGGAGAGTTCCAACACATCGAGTACAGACATCTCCAGCTCCGAAGAACATAGCTCTTCTGAACTAGAACTCCCCCCTCACATTATCATAAGACTTATCCTATGCCAGCACTGCTCTAACCCACTACGCAACCCATGCCGATTACCATGCGGTAATACTGTATGTCGGGAATGTCTGCCGGCTTCGCGGCCGCGCACGGGTATTACATACCCCATTGCGCAGGGTAGAGAAGAAGGCTTTACATGTTACTGGGAAGGCAAAAATGGCTGCGTAGGCGAGCATTGTGTTGAAGATTGCGGCACTGACGTTGTGCTTTGCTTCGTGGCTGGGATCTTTCATGAGGAGCTCACGCGAATGACGCCGGATATTAGGGAGCCGGGCCCACGCCATGATGATAATGGTCGGGTTGTTCGCTGGGGCGGAAGCCAACAAGACAAACCACACAGCCTTAAAATAAGTGGACCAGGATGGTTACATGGGATTTATCAATCTACATCCGAAGGTCAATTCCCCTATGATGCCAGAGACGTCTATTATGAAGATGCCAACCTAGCAGATGAGAGCTTAAAGCCAGAAACCTTGTCGCAAGACGATCGGCTCTGTTTCAAAAACCTCAGAGAAAGGCTTCGCGCAGAGCTGGATTGCCAAGTATGCTATGCTCTTATATTGGAACCCATGACTTTACCTTGTGGACATACTTTCTGTCGAACATGTATTGCACGAGTACTCGATCACTCAGATTTATGCCCCATATGTCGACGAAAAGTTGGAATGCCTACATCTATACAGTCTGAACCGATTAATGCGACTCTTTCAAGTCTCATAGACAATCTTTTTGCCGATCAAATTATAGCTCGACGAGACGCCGTCGCGCAAGATGAATTGGGCGGGATGCACGACAAGAAATTACCCCTTTTCGTCTGCACGTTATCATTCCCAACAATGCCAACATTTTTACATATTTTCGAGCCTCGATATAGGCTCATGGTACGACGAGTCGTCGAAAACGGCGATGGCAAGTTTGGAATGGTCATGTATAATCGTCGAGGCCGACCGCAAGGTGGCGACATCGGCAGTGTTCCATTCATGCAGTATGGCACTTTATTAATGGTTGAGCGCTATGAGCTACTTCCAGATGGAAGAAGTCTAGTAATTGCCACGGGAGTCTCACGCTTCAAAGTACTTGAAGCCGGCATGCTCGATGGGTACCATATTGCCAGAACAGAGCGAGTAGATGACATCTCTCTAGCTGAAGAGGAAAGGCTCGAGGCATTGGAGACAGTGATTAACGCGGTCCCAGATTTACTGCCCGACGAAAATCTCACGCAAGCACCCTTAGATTCAATTTCGACTCAGGACCTCATGCTTTTAACGAGAGAATTTATTCGCAAGCAGCGGCAGTCGGGTGCACCGTGGCTTCATCCGCGTGTGATGTTGGCGTATGGACCTGTTCCGACGGATGCGGCCCGTTTCCCATGGTGGTTTGCTAGTATTCTACCGATCGCTGAAGAAGAGAAATATCCCATTTTGTCAGCCGTGAGTGTTAGAGAGCGACTTAAAATCTGCGCCCGGTGGGCGAGAGAACTCGAAGCCCGCGATTGGTAAGTGAATTTACACAGCACGCTCATTATCAAATATCTAATGGCTTTTTCTTTCTTATTTTCAGGTCATCTCGTTCATCCATAAGTTCTATCTTATGACTAGCCGCCCCTCTTCTTCTCTGCTGCCTCATCCCACTGGCACTAAGTCCTCTTTCGGATGTTTTCTCATCAATAACACCGAATGTTCTTACGTCATTTACCCCGTTCTCGTTTTCGATTTCAGTCTCATTTGGTGGCTCAGGGCCATTCCCAGGCTCCCTAAGACAGCTAGGCAATCCAAAAGAGCCCCTGCAGAATACCACAGATACTTCATCCGAGACGTACATTCCCCATACACTCGTTATCGGGGCCTTCTTGGCAATTTTTCTAGCTCAAGTTGGCGTTAATTACTTGCAAGTCGTGCGAACAGGGAGACGCCAGGGGAGGCAGGGGAGGCAGGCTATGGAGCTGCAATTTCCACAGCCAGTTCCTCCTCAGCCTAGGGCACAGAATCGGGAGATCGGGAGAAACCAAGAGAATGACGTCGGAAGAAATGAGGAAGACGGGCTCCCGGCGACTGGCGTGGGCCAGGAAATTGGATAGTACATTAATTCCAATCTGTTTTGAACTTGATGCTGTCTTTGATGCTAACTCGGTATTGATATCCCACCTGCATGTTGAATTTACATTTCTATTGCACATACACGAATATTAGAACAAATGTCCTGGGAATTATCTAAAACTCAACATCTATTATCTGGACTGGATTGTCTTTTGTGAAAATTTTAATCACTACACGGCTCTCTATTTCAATGGAAAACCTTGGAGTTTTGATCTGGTGATATCCATTTCAAAATGACGAATCAAATGGGGAAATAATGCGGTACGCGCTTTCTAAAACGAAAAAGGGGCATGAGTCCGTGAAGAATGCGTGTGGAGATCAATCCCCATCTTTCATGGAAGGTGACTGGCCATATGAAGTCATCTACAATATGATCTAACCAAACCCCCCCGGAGCACTTTGCTGTAGTGGATCGTAAGGCGAGTCGACTCTCAACATATGGCCATCTTTTCCAATAAGTATCTCAATTCCGGTTTAACCTTCTCAACGAAGTTAAGCTTTATTAGAGAAATCCTGAAACGAGTCAAAAAGCCAAGTGCCAAAAATAACAACCCTGTAGAAATTCAAAGAATATTGTTGCCTGCCCTATACTCAGAACTACGATCAAACCAAGGAGACACCAGCATCCAAAATTGACTAGAGGAATATGTGGAGCTCAGCCCTGCCGTAGGGCTGAACGTCGTGGCCAATAAATTGGTTCCGACTCCACTATTGTGTAGGGAAGAGCCCCCCTATTGTGCTCATTTCGGATATTTCGGCCTAAAAGGCACATTCAATCACCAAGATAATCACCTTTCCACGAGCTTAGAATACCTCTAGTCAGGTAGGATCACCGTGTTGCAGTTAGACACGTAATCTGCCATTCGCGACTCCGGATGCATGAGAGAAATTTGTACTCATATCTGTCGATTAGCTGGAGGACAATCTCAAATGTCCCAGTTAAAAGTAACAATCTGCACCAGTAGAATTGGGCAACGATGTTAACTTGTGGATTGGTGAAATGAACACTCCAAAGTTCCCCACAACACATTGACTGGATCGCATGGTATCCACAATGAGTCCGCGGAGAATTGACAAAAGACTTAGCAGACTCCTGATTTATCATTTTCTCAGTTTTAACTTCTCCGATAAATACCCCGAGAGCAAATCTATCAATTAAATCGCAGGCTTCTCAATATCACAGCCATTCTTCAACCATTTTTACCTAGCAGAGGTCCCTTTCAATCGGTAGAACATGTCCAAAAGCATGATACAAAATCTGATTCCTAAAGAATTTACGTGGAAACTACTATTTGCGGCATTATGTTTTGGATTATCAGGAGCTGCAAGAGGTACTTCCCACCTCTTTATGCGGAGGCTCTAATTTCGTGTCTTTTTCATGAAGCTTACCTTTCTATAGGATTGGATGAAGGACTGATTGCTAGCACAGTTGCAGAGGGCTCATTCATCCAGCAATTCAAATTACAGGAAGATGATCTAAGTGCTACCGAAAAAGCAAACCGTCTATCGAATGTCACATCCATGGTTCACATTGGAAGTCTCCCAGGGGCAGTTGCTGGTTTTGTCTTATGTGAATGGGTTGGGATTCTCTGGACAATGAGGGAATTGTGCTTTACGTGGATAATTGGGTCGATTATTTTCATGACATCTCATAATATTGGACAGGTATACGCAGGACGATTCGTGATGGGGTTAGGAATTGGACAAGCGGGTGTGATTGCGCCCGTATATTTGGCTGAAGTCGCACCTCCAACTATGCGGGGGATGATGGTATGCATGTATGGCATGTCCGAATACCTTGGAATTTTTATTGGAGTAAGCTTCGGCCCACACATATGCTTTCTTCATTTGATGTTGCTAATTGTGATAGTATTTCGCGATCTGGGGTGCATCGATTCATATCTCGAATTCTAATGCTGCTCAGTGGATTGTCCCGCAGAGTGTACAAGCGATGTGGGCAACTTTGTTGTTGACTGCTTCTTTTTTCTGTGAAGAGAGCCCTAGATACTTGTGCAAAAGCTATATGCCCGAAAGAGCATGCGAGGCTTTTGCTACATTGTGGAATCTTCACCCTATGGATGCTGCCATTCAAATTGAAATGCGGAATATCAGGAAGCAGCTCGAAGAAGAGCAGACCGAGTCTCACAATAGATCCTTAATATCATCTTTGAAGGAGTTACTTACAGCTAGGGACAACCTTCGCCGAATCATGTTTATTGTGAGCTTGCAGATTTTGAGCCAGTGGTCTGGTCCAAACTCAGTAACAAGTACGTCTAGCTCATGGTTATCAAATCACCTTACTGATAGTATTCAGCATACGCACCCGAACTGTTTGGGCTCTTTGGAGTTGCCGGAAACAATGAAAAGCTTTTTGTCACAGCGATCTTTGGACTCATCAAGCTCGTGGCTGCATTTGGATGCGCAGTATTTCTTATCGACAGACTGGGCCGGAAGAGAACCCTTTACATCGGTATTACTGTCCAGCTCATCGCACTTATCTACGACTCGATATTCCTCACAGTATATTCAAATCTCTCCAATTCAGCGAAAAACTCAACTTCATCACTACAAGCTGCGGTCGGATCGATCGTTTTCATGTATTTTATTGGTATTGGCTGGGCCATTGGGTGGAACTCGATTCAGTATCTTGTCACAGCAGAGACTTTCCCTCTTCGTGTCCGACTTTGTGGTGCAAGTCTGGCAACATGCATTCATTTTGGTAACCGAATTGGTACATCGAAGGTAGTACGCATCTGATCCTTGCTCTTGAATCGATGAGGTCCTAATATACATTTAGGCTACACCTTCTATGCTACTAGAATCTGCCTTGACACCAGCCGGGACATTTTGGTTCTTTTCAGGGATCTCATTCATAGGACTGGCTTTCGCTGTTGTATGGCTTCCTGAAACATCTGGTAAAGGCCTCGAGGAAACCAATCAGTTGTATGCCGGGTTGTCTGCATCACAATCTTCGGCTAACACTACCGCCACTTCGACTACCGTGGTTGCATCTTTGAATTCTAGCCATGTAGGTAGCTAAATTATATCAACTCTCGGTAATTCAAAGGTATTTCGTCTAACAATGTCTTAGACAGCCGTGCCTGAGCATCAATAGATGCGGACCAGAGGTACTAGATGATATTCTCTTTGTAGTGCCAACTAAATGAAAGAGCCCAATTGACATTAAAATTCAGAAATAACTCTTACGAAAATTCCAGTATTTGATGTCTGACGTTTGGCATATGGTGTCATTAAATTAATTCAAATTAGCTCATATTCTATATACAACAAGGATCTCCATGGCGATGACGTTGGCATGGGTACATGTATGCCAAGAGCCTCAGCCCCGTTTCGGTGCGGTTTTTTCACACGACTACGACCCAGAGATTTAAGCCATAAGGCATTTCTTGGATATTGCTCTTAATGAACCCTCAAAGGACTCCAAGTGGGGCCTAATAGTAGCACAAGCATCTTTTAACAAAAGTTGTTTGATGAGGTAATATTGAAAGCCCATTCGCACAGGGTTCAGGTAGCCCTGATTCAAGTCAAGGGTATCGCTGCTTGACTTTAGGTGTATCCCCTCCGAATGACTATGCATACTTTTTTCAATCGGACCAATAATTTGAGACTTTCAATCCGCTAGAAAGAATTTCGTAATCAAGTCGTCATATTGCATTGTGCAGCTGGTCGTCTTTGAAACATGACTGGGTTGTTCTGGATTTCAGGCACCTGGATCGTACTGTGAGCTGGGAATGTACGCCCTGGAATGATTACTATGTATGGCAGTGTAAACTTTCTCAGTTATTCTATGGAATGGTAATCAGACAGCAATTAATTGTGGGATACTGGTCAACGTTATCTGTTGATGACTACTTCGAAATTTGTCAAGGAATCGGATCGTTTGAAGGGAAAATTCAGAATTGCTCATTTCACATAACTAACGTAGCTAGGTATCGTAAACTTCATAATTAACTTAATAACGCTGAGAGCCAACAGTCTTGGAACCATCAAGATCCGAATCAACACGAGGGTCGAGCTTGTTGGCAGTATCGCTGCTGTGGGGACCAGCAGTCTTCTTAGATCCGTAGCTGCTACCAGCGGAAGCACCACCGAGGCTCTCATTCTGCGACTCTTCAAAGGTGTGGGTGGTGGTAGGGGCACTCTGGTTGTTATTAGAGAGGTGCATCATATCACCGCCACCAAGGCTTCCCTTGTGCACATCATTGTCGAACCGAGAGACGCCACTGTAGTTGGCGTTGCTTCGGTCGCTGTCGATGCGAGGATCGGCCTCGTTGGCAGCGTTGCTTGAGTGGGGGCCGGCAGTCGAGGAGGCAGGGCCGGTGGAGGAAGAGTAGCGATCGTTAGGTCTATCGCTGTCGACGCGGGGGTCTGCCTTGTTCTCCAAGTTGCTAGAGTGAGGGCCGGTGGTAGAGCTGGCTGGGCCAGTTGAGGTAGAGTGGGCCGAAGGGTGGTGGTGGGAAGCGGCGTATCCAGCGCCAGCGCCAGCACCAGCAGCAGCGCCAGTTGCGGCATAGCCGGCGGTGTGGCCGGAGGAAGTGCTGTGGTGCGCAGCACGGCTATCACGGTCGCTGTCGACGCGGGGGTCGACCTTGTTCTCCAAGTTGCTGTCGTGGGGGCCATAGTTGGAAGATCCAGTGGTACCGAAGGTGTTGCCAGTGGTGCCGTAACCAGTAGAGGTGTTGCGGTTGCGGCTGTCTAGGTCGCTGTCAACACGAGGATCGACAGTGTTGCCAATGTTACTGTCGTGGGGACCATAGTTGGAAGAACGAGCGGAATCGTAAGTGGAACCTCCAGTCGATCCGTATCCGGCACCAGTGGTAGTGCCAGTAGGTCCAGTAGATCCGTAGCCAGAGCCAGCGCCAACACCAGCACCAGTGGTAGTAGGACCAGTGGATCCATAGCTGGCACCGGTGGCAGTGGGACCTGTTGATCCATAGCCAGTAGACGTGTTGCGGTTGCGGCTGTCTAGGTCGCTGTCGACACGAGGATCGGCCTTATTGGCAATGTTGCTGTCGTGGGGACCATAGTTGGAAGAACGAGCGGAATCGTAAGTGGAACCTCCAGTCGATCCGTATCCGGTACCAGTGGTAGTGCCAGTATGACCAGTAGATCCGTAGCCAGAGCCAGCGCCAACACCAGCACCAGTGGCAGTGGGACCTGTTGATCCATAGCCAGTAGAGGTGTTGCGGTTGCGGCTGTCTAGATCGCTGTCGATGCGAGGATCGGCCTTATTGGCAATGTTGCTATCGTGAGGACCATAGTTATTTGTGGTTGAGCCGGTCAAGTTGGATCGGTTGCTGTCGATACGAGGGTCGGCTTCGTTGGCAATGTTGCTGTCGTGAGGACCACGGTTGGAAGACTGAGGGGAGTCATAGGTGTTACCGGTGGTGCCGGTGTTGTATCCAGTACCAGCGGTCTGGTCGGACTCGGCATAGTTCTTTTCGACATTCTTCTCTGCCTTCTCGTCCTTGTGGTGGGCAATAGTGTCCTTGACCTTGTTGATGATGCCAGACATGATTGTAATGTGATGGTAGGTATCGTCTTGAAAATTGAAGATGTAAAAAATGTAGAAGAGATAGTAGGTTAGGTTCAAGGTATTGTATTTTAGAATTTATTGTTGAATAATGACAATATCCAAATAGCAAACGCCAGATTATATAGCTTTGTCCAACATCGTGACGCCATTTTGGAGGGGCAAACAAGCTAGTAATATGACGTGCCCCGCAAATCGGATCGCCTTGGATATCAAGTTAGTCAAGTGGTTAATTTAACTAAGTTCAAACGTGCTGGAATTAAATGTGGGGAAAACCATCCAGAGATGTGCAGATCGTAGCTTGGAAGCTTGGAAGCTTGGAAGCTTGGAAAAAACATCGATGACATGGTAGAACGGGTAACGTCATTCACGCCACATTACTTTTATGCCTGAAAAGATGGGCACTCAGCCCTATGCAAATATAGATCATGGATCAAGCTAGAACAACGTACGTAAGGATCTACTAAGATAATTTCCCCTTTCTTTACTATGTCGCATATGGTTTCCTTGGTTGTTGCTGCGGTGTTCAGTTGCCAAGGCAGAGATAACGGTACATTGTGGTCAATGAATGGACGACGTTCGGATCCCGATCGGATCGAACAAAGCCAGAACGCCACTGAAGATGTCGTACGTGTTATCATTCATTGCGAATAACGAAAACTAAATAAACATGATTGAGTCGGTCCTTGACATCATTCATGTCTTAGTCTAGAGATTGTGCCAGGGTTCCCTAGTGGATACCGGGGTACGGGGATGATTAGTCAAGCGTCGTCACTGTAATGCTTCCTCTGGTCGAAGATTTCGGATTTGGAAAGAGATCATAATGGTGAAAACATTTTGAATCTTTGAATGGACATATAACAGGTGTGAAAAAGGAGAATAGGGTCGTGATGAACAATTCCCGATCATCATGCCTTAAATGGAGCCGCAGCGATCGTCATCGCCTTGAAACTTTAAAATCACCAGTCGCTTACATTCATGATGTGTATGATAATGTCGGACCAAGCTATCCAAAAAAGGGAAGCGGGAACTGCCTCTTTGGCACGTTATAGGTTTAAATATTTGCCCCACGATGCGGAGACTTGAATTACAGAATGGTCTCAAATCATGCCAAGCGCGTTACAGTAAAATCTCCCAATGTAGATGGCAGTGATATAGTAGAAATTTGGCCCCCAGAGGATTACCTTGAGAGTGTTGCTTCTTCTAAGGAATGATTACTGCTGTGTGAATATAGAAATTTGAACTAGTACGATGAAATTGTATCCTGGGTGCTGGATATATCCTAAAGTCTACTATCTTATCTACTATCTCAGCGAGTCCTTACCATCCTCTATAGTCGGCGAAAACCAAGATTGATGGTTGGTTGCCACATCGCTGAAGCTCAATTTTGGAACCTCGACTAACTGTGCAACTATATCAGAATCTGATGGCTTTATCGTGGATACGTCATCTGGGCCGGTACTACTATGTAACAACCACAAGGAGAAAGTCCATTACATGAAATGTCATGGTATCTTTACTTCAAACCATCTATAGTTCATCATAACGGCTATTTAATCCAAGCCACTGCCTACATGTTTTCATAAATGCAGTTTATATATCCATAATTCATCAACCAGGTCGGTTTTACTATCTCTGTCATGATGGGTCATGTGATGAGTGATGATACGTGATCAGGTCTCTTCCAAGGTTCAAATGTTACTATATAAGAGACCCCATTCTCTGCCATATGTTTCAAGTTCCTCCTCCTCTCTTCCATGCTTTAGCATAGCATGTCTTTCTAGCAGATGCGAGCTCATCGACAACTTTGAGACCTTTCTCGCTGCCGAAGGACGCCACCTTTGCGTTTCCACGAGCTAAAGATGATGAATTTCACTTCATAAGTGAAATAAATCTGTTTTACGCGCTCGGAAGCATCTTCCACCGAACGTGACGCAGATCTAAATTTGTTTCTTCAGCCTTAAACGCCGAGATACCCCAACACTTACGTCCCAAATTCCGGTATAACCCGAATGTCAAATGGGCCATTGCCAACGCATGGAATCCATAAGAATGCTATACCCTACGAAACTCCTCAGCAACATGAAATCTACCCAGGGAACAAATGAAGGCCACCGCCTATCACCGCATGACCCGCGATTCTACTCCCGCCAGTAATGAGAAAGCTCATGATGATACTCCACGTTGTTACGTACCTAAAGACTTGCTATATAAAGCGTGATCAAATACCAGGTCTTCGATCTGGTAATCTGTTATTCTAGGTCTTTCACCCTAGTCACAGAGGCTGCTACTTGGAATGATCCCCATTTGGCACGTCCTTGACAACAGCGTCCAGCGCCCATATACCAATGATGAGATAGGAGCGCAATGGTTCAATCTCTCGAGAGAGGTAAAAGACTGGCTGGAGTGCACACCCACGGATGATATATACTTTCGAGTGTATATCCATGTAGATAGTATTCTACACTCATATAAAGATTTATGTTAAATTCAATGGGAGTGTACTACTATTCCGAGACCTCAATATCAATAAGAAGCCCAGGCAAAAGTTGTACCTGACCAGGGTTTGATCCATAAAAGACGAGCCGAATACCTGCCTCACCCTCAGACAGAGATACTGCACGCTTGCCGGCGGCTGAACTAGAAGGCACGTTATAACTCCAAACACCATTGAAAACAGCATCGTAGGCACCCTGTATATTCAAAGAACTACCAGTGGGAACCTGCACCGACACGGACGAGACCCCTTGCACCCCATTGGGATGTCGAGTGAGATATGGCTCTGACTCATAAGGAACCCGATTTCCTCGGGGTGTTCTATCAAGACACCAAAATGGCAGAGATCCTGGGGCCACAGCCTTATCTCCAGCATCTCTAGGGGTGCAGACTGCCCATTTCAGAACAGTTCCATCTGGCTTTGTGCGACCACCCGCGATGGGATTTGTATAGGAGACATTGATGTTTGCATTTTGAAATCTCTGCTGAACAGCGCTGAAATCTTCTTCCGTAGGCAAAGTGAAGGCCCAGTCAATTATAGTTCCTTCTTTTTCGTTGCCCCATCGGTGTTGGCGACGTCTCTCCGGGTCCACGTCGTCGAAGAATGCGATGAACTCTAAGTATACACCGTCTGGGAGAAGAACCAGCTTGTTGGTTGTCAGCCCGTCCGCATGGTTTCCACCTAGTGCTAAAGTAAACTGCCCCTCGGTGTATTTGGAGATTTCCAGGAGAGTTTTGTGAGATACGAGGATGACAAAATGGTCAAGAATGGGGACTTGTGCCGGAGAAGCCATGCTGAGGTTGTAGATGGTGCAAATTGGAGAATCGGTCGGTAAGTTAGAAATAATCGAAACAAGACACCTATTAGCACTGCGACGAGATTAATGAGCTTGAACGATTATAAAGCCGTGAGCAGCACGCGATAACCCCGCCCCTCGTGCGGAGGAGAACCCCCGCACTAGTTCTCCGAGGAAAATAGAGCAACAGGTTCGTTCAAAAGGTAGGTAAATTGCGTCAAAATTATCAGAAATGTTGTGAAATAGATGTAGGTCAGCCAGGCTTATCACTTGAACAATTTTCCAGCATTTAATGACTGAGAGTTCTCTGCTTCCATCCTTGTATCTACGTTCGTCCCATTGACCATGTAACCTTCCTCTGGTATCGTGATTCATAGGACCGTTACAAATCGAATGAAATCAACTGGCCCATTCAGTTTTGAATAATGTCCACCTAGCCTTGCAGTCGAGTTCTGCGTCGTGATGGAATACCAACTCAAGAGTCAAGAATGGCTCGGGCGGCCGGCGCCCGAGCCCCGGTCGCTCCCCGATACTGTATGGAAAATCAACACTAACGCGCTAGCACAAGGCTTCCACATTTACTAGTTTTTACTAGTTTTAGCCTGATAAATGAATTTGCTGAGCCTCAATTTAAAGATGGATGGAGTTTGCGCAGTTTTGGGGGCCAAAAGAAAAGACACAACGCCCTGAAATCCGCCATCTTGACGATTTCCACTTTTCACCTCAACCCTCTACACTACTCGTTCCTGAAAGCGTGTGCCTGGAAACATCATCCGTGAACCAAAAGATGTCTCCTACTCTAATACTACTGAGCCACCGAGCTCACAAAGTGATCACGATCACCTTCTTGACCCTATGGATACTCGCTGCAACCGGGTTCGCTGTCCTCGATTTTGTGGACGGCTGGGGCTACACCCATCAATTCCTTTCGCTCAGTCTCCTCGCGTATTTGATCTGTCGCCTGATCGTGGTTTTCCAAAAACCCGGCCGTGATAGCTCATGGGCACATATGATCGTCACTGCACGTTCCCGCTCGCGTCGCCGAGCACTTGCGACCCTCGTGTTCTCATGCGGCTGGATTTACGAATTTGTATGCAAAATATTTGTATTGGCGCTGATGACACTCATGTCAAGCGCCATGATTGCCCTCCATTTAATGCAGGACCTTGAGATCGCCATCCATGACAACGAAACCAAAGATGGAGATTCAGCTGAATTAACGACCGACATGGAGAAGGCAAAGATAGACTTGGAGGAGGCCATGGCTAAAATAGCTGAGTTCCATGAAGAGGCGGGATATGACCCTGTCAAGCTGTTTGGTTGGATGCCGCCCAAATTAATAATATTTTGTGTTATAACTGCGTGGATAAGTGTCGGCACACTGGCATTTTACATCGCTCGACTTGCCTGGAAATCGTTGAAAAGAGCATGCATGCTTCCAACTCCGACTGTGGCCAATCCTCCAGAGAAACAGTACGGGGCTTAGATATTGAGATTTCAAATTCAACATGCTCTGTATTATCAGTACCTCAGGCTCTTCCGATGAATTCCATACAAGGCAACTATCGTAGAACCAAATATGCTGTGTGTTGCAAAAACTTGATTCTTCTCAGAACCAACGGCAAATTTCAACACCAGCCTTGCAGGTTTCACCCCGATCGATAACCGACACTCCAGGAAAGGCACCCAGCGCTTCTCAAAAGATAGAAATATCAAAAAACAAAAACATACAACAGTCAGGATTCGCATGTGGTCACCCACCATACTACTAACTGACCGGCGTGTGGCTTAAGTACGGCTGAGCGGACGGGAAGCCCTGTTCTCCACACCCTGTGGTCGTATGTACTGGAAGTACGACCTTAAGTGAAACATATCCATGGATATCACGTAAAAACAGAAATCCTCATCGCATGAGGGTGAGGGTAAGAAGTATAAGTGCTCACTAGACAGGGTGAGAAGCCTGCGCAGGCTTTTGAAACGCTGGTGTCTTAGCATCTACATACTGCCACACTCGAGCTTTGCTGATAGATCACTATACAGTGGAATCTATTTTTTGTCTCCGTTATTGAGTCAAAGCTCCATGAAAAAGTGGGACAGGAAGACGAGATAAATAAAAATAAGCCACCATGGGTTCTAGTCCTTCATTTAGACCCTCCGGCAGTTACACAGGGTATGCAAGAATATTATTGCCAATGAGGTGGACCAAGGGTTTCAAGTTGTCGGTGTGCCTGGTTGGCTTAGATAATATGCAGGATCATGGTTGTACAAAATATATATATAGCCCTCCTGCCAGTGGCGATCATGTACTAGTAGCATAGAAAAGATGGAAAGGAGAAAGTTGCCGTGTGGGATTACTAGTTAACCTACATCCGTTCCGTGGCCAATATTTAATCATTCAAAAAAGAAATTACATTTGTTGAGAAAAAATCGTACCAACTCATTCATCCATACTATACTCTAGATGCCAGTCAGTCAGTACTTTGCGGGGAGGCCAATCCCGCTTAAATGCAGCATGGGACCGCCTTAGTGAGCCCAGGCGATACGTGAAGCAGAGATCCGCCGCACGGCTCAAAAGATCAACGTGATGGCAGAAACCGATTACCAGAAAATTCAAAGAGCCAGAAGGAATGTGTAAAATTTCATGAATGGCTCGTCTTATAGCTGGGAATACCAGTATAATTTTTGTCAACCCTAACTCCGAGTATTCATCAAGAAGTAATACCCTGATGAGACATAGATCGACGAATTGGCATTGGATAGGATTGTGAAATGGATCGCAATCTCAATAATGACATACTCTATCGTCATCTCTGACCCAACCATACCGTTGGGGTCGGAAGTATCCCCAGTCCTCCAACTGTTGAAGGATATTCCAGGGTACGAGAGCGCGGATGGTAAGCGAACATCACTCTTGAAGGGAATTTTAGATTATCGTTTGCATCTGCTATCTCCGCAAAGGGTCTTGCTGGAACAAGCGAGCGGAAAGTACCCCCAGGCCACGCATTTTACCGACGAGGATAAGCTTTTGACAACATGGATTTTCCAAGAAAAGGAAACACAAGATGCGTTCAAAATGGTAATCAATATGATTTTATTGGCAACCTTGCCTGAATTGAAGGATATCGGGGCAGCAGCATCAAGGATGATGGAGCTGATACCCGAGGGTAGTGGAAATATTTCAATTGATGAGGAAATCCAGCAGTATGAGGATATACTATCAAAAGATCAACAAGCGCAGAAGATCTGGAGGCATCTTTTGGACGAGTGCGAAAGCAAAGGGTCCAGTGCTGCGTTGGAGACACTCGTTAATGAGGCTTTGAAGAAGGCAAAGAATGAGCAAATCATCAAATAAATATTTAGCCGGATGCCCATCATGCCCTTTCTTTTCCCTCCGAAGGCAGGAGAGAGTTGGGCGCAATATAATTTTTGGGATTTTCATGAAGGTTTTCTTTGATACCAAATATCGTTCAAGCCAATTGAATACTAAATACGGACCCTACCTAGAATTTAGAGGTGACTCAGGTAATAAAACTTTAGAACATCCTGTCCACAGGCGTTTTACCACCTGTTTCCTTATATCCTTTCAAGCTTAGGGTAAAGAGCGGATAATTCGTAGTGTAATATGGCATTATCATCCAAGCACCTATCAGTAAAAGTCAGTCCCATGATGGCGCGGGGAACGAGTTGCTATGGAATAGGCTTTTGAGAGCAGCCACATGCATGACGAGAAAGGCTGACTGTACAGTTGTGTAAATCTGTAAACATAAAACGGCTAAAATAAACCATTGATATACTTCCACTCAAAAAGAGCACATCTGTAGCCCAGTAACATGTTGACTACTACGGCTCAATAATTCCCTTCTTCCAAGTTTGACTTGGCTCCACCTTCTCCGGTCTCGCAGAGCGTTCCCTCGTTTGGCGAAGATGCAATGTTCCATACCGAAGAAGTTCACCAAAACTACCAGGGAGCGCATCCTTGCCTTCATTCTCAGGCAGATCCAATAAAATTCCCAGATGGGGTGTGAGAGTCAAGTTCTTGGCGTGGTAGATCTTCCACATAGTAGCATTTGCCAGAAGATCCCAAATCATGTCCTCGGCATCCTTGTACTTTTCAGAGGTCGGATCTGCATCCGGTCCTGAGTATGGAAGAGTCAGGACTCCGAGAGCAAAAGGGCCGAATCCAGGCATTCCCCTTGCGTATTCTGCGCGCGCGAAATCGAGTTCCCCAGACAAAGCGAGAATGTGATTTCGGTAGTAATCAACGCCCGAGAACCCTTCATCGTTTTCCTCGAGACAGAAAAGCCGGGTAGCGCATGCCATTTGCGAGGCATATACCACGGAGAGGTTTATATCATTCCAGTCTAAGTTGAACTTTGGGTCCATGTGCTCGAATACCGTAGGTGCGATCAGCTCGATCAAAGGATGGTTGACACCTCCTTCCATGCGGGTGCTATCACCCCAAAGGTGTAGCAGGAGGCGATGCCTACGATGGCGGTCAGTTAATATCCAGTAGGAAAGTTTTGAATAACTTGCAGACTCACCATGAATAAATGAAAGGATCCTTTTTTTGAGCTGCTATGAAATAGTTTCCAGCGAGGAGGGGCCAGACCATTGGCAAAGCGACTCTGTATGGCGAGTTAGAGTCTCCAATCTCGTTCCAGCAGACACGGTCGAGGTGTTGAATAAGGAGGCTCCCGACATCCATGTATACTCCACCATACTCGTATAAGCAAGCCGTCCGTGACAAGTCAGATCCATGTTGACCCACAAATTGACCATCCATAGTATTGCTCACAAAGGCCGATGGAAAAAGGTCCTTGGAAACGTATTGAAGGACATTGTTAACTGAGCCAGGTAAATTGTCCACGACACGGACAGTCCACTCGGGACCCAGGAGCCGAACCCAGTCGGCGACATTTCTTTTATTCCAGTTAGGCATATTCTGCACTCCGGCATGCCAATAGGCCCAGACATTCTTTTCACCAGTGACGGGCTTGTATTCTGAGAAGGTTGCCAAGATTTCTTCATCAGTTCGGAGATCAGTTGGCTCTATGAGCTCCAAACTGTCACGATACTTCTCCGGGATTGTCAAATGCATACTACTGCTAGGATTGACTGGAAATTCGATTCAAGTTGTATTTTGCTTAGGTGGCTGATATGAGGAGAAGAATTTACCAGGTTTTGGAGCCATGCTCTCTTATTTATATTTAGAATATTTCAACTAGTCTATAATGCATCGAAAGCTTGAAGTACCTGCAAAGGTATCAATGGAGCCAATGGAGTAACTACTTGCGCCTTTTCCGTCGAGATAAACCGATCGAAAAATCGAGTATGTACTCGACCTATTTCGAGTTTAGCGTCACCCACACAGCTTGAATCTTTGGTTGAGATGTCGATCCCAAATGGGGCCAAAACGTGCAGCCACACCGACCGTGCATACCCACCCACACATCTGTAGAAACTAAATCCATACACAGATTTCGCCTGGTAGTGTGTTATGTTTGTAGATTATTTAGGACATATGAAAGCATCGAAGGGCCCGAGGAAGCAGCTTGTGGAGGACGAAACAAAGGCTACATTAGGGAATAATTAGTACGAAAGACGGTACCCACGCTTGGTCCGCAGCCTCTTCCGAATAGTTCCCGACATCGTTGCGCGCAGTCGATTTACCATAAGCAAACTAGAAAAATTAAACTTTGAAATGGGAGAAAATTTCTCACTTGTGCAGAATTTATCGATGAGGTACTCTGTGAAACTGCAAAGAGTCAAGCGCAGCTATGCACACTTGAGAATTTCTAAAAAGCAGCGACTGACACACAATGGCAGCTGGGGCTATTGAATCTGTCTTCTTTCTGTGTGCTGATCAAAGCCCGCCGACGTGAACCTGTTTAGGAAAACAACCAGGACTTTGATTGGTTCCGGCGTAATCCATCTCTCAACATTGTCTTGATTGAGCAATCTTTGAGTCATGCGCTCCATGTTGAGAATAAGCTTTGGAAGACACACGAGGCTTTAAGATATAAAGAGTCATGAGTTCATCGAGCAACCTCTGGCACAGGATCCAGCGGTCCCTTTTCTCGCACTTGAACCCCGTTCCGGTCGTGAGATCAGACTTCATGTACTTGCCCCTTGGCCTGCTCGACTTCCTGGGTAGCTGAATACTAGCATATCCAATCCCTACCATTGCCATTGTCGCAACACCTAAAAGATCACCATGGCGATATGGGGTCATTTTGGCCCTAGGTGTGATTATACATTATCTTATGAAGCCACATGAAGACGCCAGCGCAGTAAGAAATGTACTTAGAGGTGCTTGAACGAACATTTGAGATATTTATCTATTGGCATTGCTGGAGGGACTGAGCAAGACAAATAACAGTAACCTGATTGATACAATTGAAGAAGTTGAATTGGAAGATAAAGAGAGAAAAAAAAAGCAATCAACCTCAACCCACTCACATAGCGGAGCCTCGCCCGTAGAGAGGATAGCGTGACTCACAGGATCCAATTGCCCACAGATGACGCGTTAGTAGTGATCAAGTAGGATGTCATGAAAGGGTGGAAATGAGGGGGAGTTGTTGCAGGGAAAGGGGATTTCTAGAAGGATGGGGCCGATGGATCAAATTTGATGCTAACCATACTTCAAGAGGAAGCTCACATGGTAGTAGACACTCCAACGATGAAGATTCATTGGACAATGTGAGATCAGAAATCTTCCGCATCAACCATATAATTCATGCTATGAACTCTCAACACCACCTAGGGAGCTTCTCACCTTTTCCGGAGAGTATTTTTCTTTTCTCTTTCCATGTCACGATGTCTCCATTCTCGTCCCGGTAGTGAGCCTTCTCAAACTTCTTCAGCTCTCCGTGTATCTCTCCCGACTCCTTGTTCTACTATACTTTAAAATTACTCTCTACCGAGAATATATTGGCGCTAAGAGATCTTAACTGGATGGATATCCCGGTCTTCGCTGTAAAGACAACTGAGCCTACTATTGAATCTCCGAGTCGAACTAAAATCGTCATAAATAATAGTAACGAGATTAAACTGGGTGAATTCTCTTTATTCCTTCGTATAATACTTATTAGACTGTGTTATTGCGTCTGTGTTACTTACATTCTTGCAAAATATATTCTTACAAATCGTAGTTAGTATAAACTAGGTATGTTAGCTAGTTTAGATCTAAGTTGGCTTACTCTTTCTCCTAGGCGGAAATGATTCCAATATTTGATTAGTGCGACCGGGCTCGAAATACCGCTGATAATATAAGCAAGGGTTAGATAATTAATATTAATATTATATTAATGCTACAAAGTCTTAAATAAGAAAAGGAATACTTAAATATTAAGCTAATACTACTTAATTGAGCGTGAAACTGCTTAAATTAATTATAAATAATTGGTCTGTATCCGAGAGTGGGTCAAACCGCACAAACATGTAAACATGCAAACATACCCGTCCCGAGTCTCCTCCATGTAGTTATACTACAATATAATGAACCGATACTAAGTTGATAACGTACTGATGTCGAGGTTGCGAAATTAACTTATATAATAGGACTATATAATTTATAACCCATCTGATTCTCCTATATAATAATATGTAGAAGTCTTCCTCCCTTCTTTTCCTTTTCCTCATCTTTGATACTCCAGTTAAATTGTACGAAAGTTCTTCTGTTTCTTACATAGGGTGGAGGTTTTCCCCACTACAATTGATAGAAGAAGATAGGCCGCGAAAGGATATGCTAGGGTTGGCCTGAGTTTAATGAGGTGAGAAAAAAAAAATTGACAAGAGCGGGATTCGAACCCGCGCACCTTTCGATACAGGGAATTTCAGATACACTTAGTGTACCAAGATAAAACTTGAATCCTGCGCCTTAGACCGCTCGGCCATCTTGCCGTTTGGATACACATTTTTGCAGTCTTGTCATGTTGAGATAAAAAAGGAGGGAACCATTGAGAATAGGAAAGGGGAGATAGAATTTGATAAAAGATTGAAAAAGTGGGGAAAATAAGTGAAGCGATGACAAGAATGGGATTCGAACCCACGAATCTTTCGATACAGGGATTTTAGATACACTAAGCGTACCAAGACAATCTTCAAAGTTGCTAGAAGGAGATTAGTCTTGAAACAAAAATTAGAGGATTTTTTATAGGGTATACGAACAATAGTGCACCCTAGAGCTCGGCCATCTGTTTAAGCCAACTGGTGTGTTGGGGAGACTTGCTTTTATTGATATAACTTGATCGTTAGGCTTCATGATCAAAAACATTGTGCTGGCATTGTGGAAAGGAAAAAGTGCTTCTTGCGAGGTTCAGTTTGATATGAAGATGCCAACGGTCACCCTGATCAGATATAAGATTATCGGGTTTATTTGGACTCTCGTCTGGCTTGTTGTATCCTCGACGCGGTATATGGATCCGATATTACAACTGCCATTGGCAAATGTCACGCTGGTTGCATTTGGAAACCCGTCTGAGAAATTCGGCTTGCCATCTATACTTGTGGTAGTAGTAGCTATTGGCACTGTGGTGCGCTTCGTGTTTATAGGCGAGATGTAGCTGGCATAGATAGAGTGGGTGGGTTTAGGTGCGGTTTATTTCGAAGCGACCGTGCGAAAATTGCAGACGATATCGTGGACAGCCCGAACTGTCATCATCTCAATTTTCTGTGGCTTTAGTATAGTAGGATTGGACATTTTTATTTGTGTCTAATGTCTAATGTCTAGCCGTAGCCTAGGTTTCAAGCACCACCATTTCACAGCCACTTGAAATATCTCGCGATATAACTCCCACCACCAACAACTCCAGTGACTCCAGTGAAAACGATCAAAGATCCATATCCGCTCCCATATCCGTATCCCGCTTGACCTTCCCAAGGCAAGCCCTTAACAAGAGCCTCACTCAGGGGACCTGAGATTAAATTCCCAATACCTCTGCCAGAAGCAAGGCAAGCAAAGACTATGCTGGATTCAGCAGATGGTTTCTTTCTAACAACATCACTCATGATACCAGGCCATGTGCTCGTGTACGAGCCAGCAAAAAGACCATAGACAATGGCAAAGATGTAGAGTGGGGCAAGAGACATGGAGAATCCCCACAGCAGGAAGACGCCGATTGAAGATCCTATCGTCGAGATAAGAATACAGGTCGTCACATCAACTTTATCAACAATGGCACCCATCAGTACACAGCCAACGACAGAAGCGACATTGAAAAGGATAACCGTTAACGCTTGAAGATTGCTAGATGCTCCAAGCATAGCTGCGTAGGTCGGGAGATAAATAGAGGGCAAGAAAAACCCGAGAGCCTCGACAATATTGCAAGCCTCAAACAAAGCAAATGTGGAGGTAAGTAAGAATCCCAGGTTCGGGGGTGGTGGACTGGGTCTGTTTTTTGCGATCGGCACGCGAGGTTTCACAAAGTACACTAGTGGCGCTGTCAGGATAAATAGAGCGATCGCGAATGCGCGCAGGGCAATTCGGAACCCGTATCGGTCGAGGAGTTGCTCCATCACAATGGGGAGGATGACACCGCCGAGACCAGTACCAGCCCACATGACACCGAAAGCGAGGCCTTTGCGCTTCTCAAACCAGTCTTCCATCAGGAGGATACAGGGTGAGTAAGCGATGCTCCCACCAATGGCATAAAATATGCCTTGAGTCAGAATTAGGTGTGTGGTGTTTGTGGAGAGGGAGCTCAGGCCGAGCGCAAGACACATAAGTATTACGCCGGCGCCGCAGCCGATGCGCTGATATTTAGGCCATTGCCTGTAGGCAGCGAAAACGATGGGAAGATCGAGGTACATGATTCCCTGGAAATTAAAGCAGGTTAGCTTCGGGTATTTTTATTCATTGTCAGCGTATGAAATACGTTCAGTTATCTTACCATAGCACAGGTTCCCACGACGGCGATGTTGCCCGAGTTCTTGAAATCATCCATTTCACTGTAATAAGCTTGGAAGACACCATATGAAAACGCAAAACCCCAAACAAGAGCCTCCATCACGAAACACGCAGCGAGGAAAAGCCACGCATCCATACCACGATCAATGGGTGGGAGTTCCCGTGCGCCTTCATCATCGGTGGACAGATGAATAGCGCCAGTTGACCCATTTTGCTGCACGTCATACCCCTTTTCCATCTCACTTGATGACAGGTGAGAACTTGTCACGTCCTCCATTGTCGTAGTTAAACAGGGAGACGACAAGGAGATAGTTAGATGTCGGGCTACCTGACAGTGAGATCAAAAGGAGTGAAGACTTGTAAATTGACCATTTTAAACGGAGGAAGCGGTGTCCGTGCAGCAGGGACTCATTGACAGGGCGTGCGTCGAAGGATCGTGGACGTTGGACACCAATCATTTGGCCCCCATATTGAATCATCCAACCAGTTAAAGAGCGGGGAGAAGAGGAATCCAATATTCATTTTGGGAGAGACGACGTGCTAATGACCCACAACTTCATCCTGAATGGTCAGAAACTTCGCACTCCACTCTACACACTAGTAAGTTTTAAGTGTGAGACAGAGACAAAGAACCCGAGGATGGACAAGAATACAATATCAAAAAAGTAGTTTCATATTGTGACCAATGCCGCGAAGCATGGGTATATCAATAAAATATGAGATTAAAAAGGATGTGGGAAATTGATAGAAAAGAAATGCCCAATGTGTTGGAAAGAGTGACTGTCCACTGGGAAATGAGATGGGAAGAAGAAAATGTAAAGGAAAAACGGGATATCATGTTGCTTGTGTGGTGAAGAGTATGCAGCATGTGAATTGTGCATTTCAAGATTTTGTTCGTTGGTTAAGAGGAATTGGGCAAACAAAATATGAATATTCGTAAGCCTGGACAAGCACAGGTCCGGTCCAATACAAGCCACACAATTCTGCAACTTAAGCTGGAGATGCCATATCCCTTTGAGTGCCCTTGGATTGTTGGGCTGATCAGCACTGTTGTTGAATTGGAGCCGCAAGCTGTCTATCATTCACAGCATGGGGGTAAATACGCCAATGTGTGGTATCCTTGACACCACCACAAGCGTCGAACGTGGCAGCCGCCCCCCAATTGTTTGCTGCCATAAATCCGGTATGCAGGGCTTTGCTCAATCAACAGAGTACCTGGGTTGACAACGCTGGTTTGCCTTTAGGCGGACTGGGAGACTTGGTGGCGAAAGCCAAAAGACAATAAGATGGGAAGACTAGAATCGAAATGAGACTCATACAATGCGCGGGCGCTTTCTCGATAGCTCAATAGATGTCGAGGTTTGCGGATTACAAGTAGAGTGACTCCGTGAGGAATTCGGGATTGATGATGTAGTGGTGTTTCCTCTAGTAGGGTTGGGAATTGAGATTCGAGCAGACTTCCCGCCCGGAAAACAAGGAAGCCATTTATCAGACATTTTTATACATGCGTCCCGCCAAGTTTTGTGAGTGAAAAACAGTCTGAGATCTCCAGACCGGGAGTATGCTCGAAACCCGCCAAGAACCACAGTCTCAAGTACAGGATCACCGCTACGCTTGAACATGGTTTCAATTATCTCTTGCAATCGTTTCTCGGATTCTAGACTCAAGCGATGTCTGAAATATGGTGAAGATTGAAAGGGTCATCGGATCGTAAAAAAGAAGGTTGTCGAACACGAATTTGGATCTGGCTTTGAGAAAAGCGGTACAGCATTGTCTGTTCGCTGTGGCGTACTTTGTGGAGTAATGCAGGCAGAGAGTTCGTCATCAGAGAGGTCTGTGCCATCATCTGATTCATCGCTTGGATGTATAGACACGTCAGATGTGTCGGTAGAAACGTTACCAGAACCATCCTGACCGCTCATTTGTGGTTTCAAATGCGCGCCGCTTTGACGTGCAGTTGTTCCCATGGATTCTATATGGAGAGGAAAATTGTGTACAGCGTTGGTTTGGGATTTATGATTTTCAGCAAAGTCAGTCTCAAAAAGACTGATAGGCTCGTCCTTGACACGGAGATTATCAATCTCTTCTTGATCAATCTCATCACCACTGCCACCATCGAAGCTCTCAGGGATATGGTAGACAACGTCCTCAGAGAAGTTGTAACTCGCAGAAGTGTCATTCTCGCACGCAAAATCGTCAATGTTGCCAAAAACAACATCCTCGTTCTCATAATCAATGTCCGATTCAGAGACCCCCGGGGCCTGCTCAAGAACGAATTCTGGATCCTCGGGGACGGCTGCCTTCTTTTGCTGTGGATGGGATTTCGGTTGAGCAGCAGCAGCAGCAGCAGCAGAAGATGGAGCAGACTGTAAATGAGGCTTTTTTCGCTGTGGAACAGACTCTGGTTCAGGAGCTGGAGCAGATGACAAATGGGGAGTAGGGGCAGGCGCAGGTTGCCTGGCACGAGGTTCTGCCATTGGCAAAGCCTTCTGCTGCTCTCTTGCATGGTCGCGAATTTCAGAGATATATGCCTCATCCATAAGCAGAGTAATTATTTTGTTTGCATGAAACATCAAATTCATGACATAGTCTGCCGGGGCAGAGGCAGTTGGGTGGTTCGTTGTATGGAAGAATATCTCCTGGTAGAACCCCTTAAATTTATCGACCAGCTCAAAGGGTCCATCATGCTGATCTGCTTTAAGGTCTTAATTTGGCCACTGTGCCATAATGATTGGCGAAGTGGGTAACAAATGAACCCAATGCGTTGCTATTGTGCGAAGAGAAAAAAGCGTCAAGATTTATTCGTCTTGATCCACGATTGAAGATGATCTTGGTGGCGGTAAAAGTGGGTCTGCTTGTTCTGGTACAGAGTATGGCCCAAGGGCGAAACGACATGTCCTGGATAAATCTGCCAGTGTCATTCGACTGTTTTGAGTTTCAAATGAATTATTTTCATACAGAAGATGCTCCCCAATGGCGGAAATCTCAATTTTGTGGGCTACTCAGCATCAATTTGACCTGTCAATCTTTCAAACAGGCGATCCGAGGCGCGTATCGTCTGGGACGTGATCGAACGCGCCATCGCGCGTCAATCACATAGTGTCCGCGCTACCGTCTAATTAACCATGCATACAATCTGTGGGGAAGCTCATTTGTCATTGCTGAAAAAAGCCAGGGCATGATATAATACCAATGGCCTGCTGTGAGTATGAAAGTATATTTGCACTTACCTTGGGAAGCTGTGCCATTTTTCTACTATTCTCACCCGGGGCCTACTTTACAAAGGTATATTGCCCTTGAGTGTTCATCCTCTTTGTAACCCGATGAATTAAATATTCACTAGATCTAAGGAATTGATATAGAAAAATGATATATGGAAGGAATTGTGTCCACAGTAAACTTGCGGTCATTTGAATAGAGAAAGAAATGGGTAGGGCAAAATCGAAACAAAAAAGTGTTGTTAGACAAGAAAAAATGGCACAAAGATCAACTACAGCTCAGACACAAGCTCTACCAAAGAGTCAAAATGGCACTCTGCTTTCTTCAATGCCGGAGACTCAAATACAACTCCGCTTTCATCCCCATATAATACAAGGAAAGCTTGTAAGCATCGAAGTTGTAATCAAATGTGTCGATAGATTTTTGGTCATACTGACAAGTCAAGTTCTTGCCATTGTTAACCCAATAAGGGCGGAGCGGCCAAGCACAGAGTTGTTCATTGTCACCCTGGTACTCTTTCTGAAGAATAGTGGCGTTCAAGGTGTGATGTTTGCTGCTTAATCTCATTATACTGAAAGCCGATCTGCCCAGACAAGTGGTGTGGAATATATCCGAGTCTCTGCTGGATTTACTTTCTAAGGTTCAAGTTGTTTCAGAATCCAATACATTGACTTCAAATGAATCAATGATGGATTCGGCTCTAGTCCGATGAATCTAACATTGGGACTTAGTAGAATGGAATTGATCGATACCGACTTTCAGAAGATACATGCGTGCGGCTCTTATAAGCCCAAACAGGAATAGATGTCCGTGTTCCCGAGATCCTCACATCCGACATATGGCTCTCGGTGGGTCTTGAAATACGATTTTACTTAATGATGCACTGGGCACAATCATCTACATCTCCTGTTTTTTGAATGCTGTCATACCCGCCGGGCCTGGTACATTTAGATCAAGCTTGGTCTCAGTTAGTACCAGGCAATAGCGAAGTCAACTCGGAGAAGCAACGGGTGCCCTAATGAATTATTTCTCAAACTGGGAGATACTAGTGACAATGAATTAATAGTCTGATGCATATATTCTTTGGCTTTATAGTTCAAAATACTCCGCTCGACAAGCCAGAATGAAAGACCTTATTGCATGAACAGCTCATGCGTGACGGCTTAGCCAAGCCGGCTCTGAGCGACCGCGGCTTCCTGATGGAATCATGTTGTCTAGAGTAGAGTTGCTAAGTTTGAAGGGAGGGACTAGTATTTTGGATTTTTCCTGTATACCCCACTCTTTCCCGCTCATCTCTTCGAAATACTCAGGAGGTTCGAAGATATCTGGACGAGAATTTGTGATCGCGGCATGTGTTTTCGTGATGAGACTTGCCATCTCATCGTAATGACGCAAGGAGATCCCCTGATTGAGATTCAAAAGAGCCTTCTGTTGCTCATAATCGTAAAGGCCCAAACGGTAATACCAAATGTTATACTGTGTCAAAGATATATCGATATCAAATGTGACGGCCTTCTTGGTACAAGCGAACAATGCATGACAGACAGCTGCTGCTCCAGCAAGGCCCATTTGGCAGTCTGAGTTGGCTGTTTGAACAACTGGCTCGTTTAATCCCAAGAACTTTCCTTGAAGCCAAGCCAAGCCCACTAGGCAGTCACTGATCTGCTGCCATCCAGAACGGTAGGCAAGAGGTCCCACGAACCCATAACAATTCCCACGAAGATATATGAGAGATTCATTGTTTCGGCGCATAGTATCCGCATCGAATTCTAGATTTTCCAGGACACCGGGGCGATATCCATCGATTAGAACATCTGCGCTGTCGATGAGCTGCTCCTGGAACTTCTGGCGGCCCTCAGCAGACTTCAAATTCAGAATTGTGTCGCGCTTTCCAGCACTAATGTCAACCCAGGTGGGACTAATATCGGGAAGCTGATCATACGTCACCTTGAGCACATCAGCTCCAAATGTAGCGAGAACCTTGGAGATGACTGGGGCAGCAATGAATCGTGAAAAGTCAATGACGCGAATTCCAGATAGTGGTCGACGGCTGTCGTTGGCTGCAGGCCATGAACTTATCCGTGCAGGTCGTTTCTTCAGCCTGTACAAAGGTTCATCCCCCATAGCTCGCCCCTAATCAACGTAATAAGCTTTATACGATGCCAAAGGTGAAGAACCCCAATTGAGAAATATTACCTGTTCAGAGGCAAAAAGCTCCTCGGGAGTGTTACAAATAACACCAGCTTGTTGATATTCGTCGTTGGCAGTGCGGTCAATGTCGTCGGCCTTCCATTCGGCGACCTTAGCCATGTAAATTTTCATCGCTTCCTCGTGGGTAACATCTTGTTCAGGGACGCCCATCATCTGCATAGTGGAAGTAGCATTCATGGAACCATGAAGATGGAACCAACGACCGTCTTTAATTTAGTAAACATTGGTGCATTGGCGATGAATGGGCTTCTCCATCGAATACTGGTTTCCCTTCTGAAGCTCAGCCAGTATTTGAGGGTGTTCGAGGCCAGCATGCCATTGGTACTCGAGAGTATTGACGACATCAAGAAAAGAGAGGCAACATCACTGGAGATTTGATTAAAAACCGTGGTCTGGTAAGCGGAGGGAAAGTTTCTTACCTGTTGACCTCAACTTCCTGATAGTCAATCCCATATCGATCCTTCGAAATTACACTACCAGCGGAAGCGACCAATGCATTTAATGCGGAGCTGGATTCGGTGATCTTAAGAGGAGTTGGGATCTTAAGAGGAGTTGGGATAAAAGGGGTCTCACTGCCGACAAAGTTCACGAATCTGGCGGCTTCTTTGAATGACTGGGGAAGGTCAATATCTTTGGATTCCATAAGGTGCTCATTTAGCACACGAGCTGCTTCGGTATGAACAGAATAGTTAGCCATTTTGGAGTCGGACTGTGGCCATGCACCAAAGGTCAAATTTAATGCAAATTTGATCCTGGGCTTTGTCAAGATTAAGTACGATCAAATATTCACATCAAGTAACTAACATCAAGCACAAAAGTCTTAGTCATCCGATGAGCGCATAACTAAATAATAGTTAACTATCTGCATAACACGGTTACTCGGGCTATTATTCGGATGGTCGGATGTTGATCACAACTCAAATCATCGCTTTCCGAGGCCATCGGTTCTGCAATCGGCCTAGCGCGGCCGCTCATGTCTATGCAGTGAAACATTCTTCGAGAATAATTGACATAAAGCTCCAGAGACGATTGTGCTCATAGACCCTCGGTTACAGACGGAGGACTATTTGTTTTGTTCTATCCGCCCGGCAAATATAGAAGTTCCAAGGTCTCCAGTCCACATTCATGAGCATTCCCATTACTAGTGGAAAGACTTACAACAAGAAAGAACTACACCTTCGTTTTGGGGGGAAATATATATAAGCAAGGAGAGTGTGTGCATTCAACTAGGATACCAGATCTATAGATGAAAGCTGAAGACAAATGAAAAGGAAAAAAAAAAAGCAAATCTATACGCAAAGGTTATATAAAATTGAAAAAGAAATTACCCAAATCTCCAACTTGCCAGTTCATTCGCAACTTCTAAAAATCTTCACGCTCAGAGAGAAACGACACTAGGGGCCTTCAGGGTGAGAAGCCTAGGCTGCTCAATTAAAACGAGAGGTCCAGCGACAACACTCTCGGCGGTGGGAGAGTCTTGAGTGTCGGCAATGTTCATGATGATAATACCAGTGCTGTTCTCAAACTGATTGGGAATAGTAATAAATTCTTGACCGGGAGTGTAAGGGACATTGACGGTGGCAATTCCGTGGAAGAAAACAGCCCAGTAGTCCTTTCCATCTTCGAACTTTGGCTGGTTCTTTGGCTGGTAGAATATAGGCTGAATCTTATCACCAGGAGCACCGGTGGTTCCGTTGGCCCAAATGGCGATCTGTGGTAGTTCCTGGCGGGGACTGGGGTAGACAGGGTTCTCACTGGGGCATTTCGTGATGAACGAGTTGGTGAGCTCCAAGATCTGCTCCGCATATGGGTAGGTGGTATCCGAGGGTCCAGCCATCGGAGATACACCAAAAGTATCCATAAGACCCCATACGTTATGACGGGTTTCAGTTTGGCCAATAGCCATCAATGCAGCCTTAGACTTGTCTGAGACGGCTTCCAATGCAAGACCAGTCAAGAAAGCCTGGCTAGTGACTTCGATGTAAACCTGTAGTCCTAAATATTCCAACGGGCTACTCTTGTTGTAGCCGAAGTCATATGTGCAGGGACCAGGCTTGAGTGAGGTACCTGAGATCTGGTCTTGGAAAATCCGAATATGTCCGGCTTCGTTGTCTCGAATCTGCTTAAGACGCTCGTAGGTATTCTTTGGAAGTCCGGCCTTGGTGAAGTCTACTTGAGTGAAAGTATCAACACCTTCCTGATAGAAGTTATAAATGACCCACTCGGCACTGAGCAAATTCTGGAATAATTGATCGTCGGGGCCTGGGTCACCAGATGCAGTAGGATGGATGATTTGGTTCCAATCTTCCGCAAGTGGTGTCTTTTTACCCTGGTAGCTGGCGAAAAGCTCCGACTGGCCAGGTACGGCTGCGGCGGCGTTTTTGAGGGAAGCCTGAGTGGTAGGGGCTGCAAGAGCTTGCAAGATTGCTGCCGATGAGGCGAGAAAATAGAAATGAGAGAAACGCATATCTGCAAAGCTCTTTGATCGGCGCTGGAGGAATAGAAATGAAAGTAAGTTAGATGGGGATGATGATTTGAGTGATGAATGAATGGATCAACTTTGCCGGAGGATCGTCTACCTTTTATCCTTCGACTTCATCAATAGAATGTTGAAAATTAGAATATAAAGGATCCCCATATAATCGCAACGATTCACTTGGCTACCGCTCTAGGTAGCCCCAGGGGCCGCCGAGCTTTACCGATATTCATTGGCAGCCTGACATGGCAAGAAACTGCGAAGTTGTTCCTTCTCGGTGGCAAGATGTCGCTGCAGGCTTGTTGCCAATGCTATACTCTTAGAATCTAATTTAGGACATCTCGTACCTATTTCCATATTCTAACAATGCATCTAGCATCTTAGTAGTCTAGCGTGCTCCGAATGACTTTAGCGTACTGATCGCATGCGATTATCTCTCCGTATACTCTGGGGGTTTACCCACTTAGTGGTACCCCCACGATGGAGGATGCGGAGTGTTGGCACCATCCAATATAACGTCATCACCTTAAACGCGAGCCTCACGACTGGCTTGTAAGTGCGAGGCCCGCTAGACTGGTTTATTGTCCCCACTTGGCACTCACGCTTGCGCTCAAGGAGCTAGAGGACAAATAACTAAGTGCTGATATTTGCAGGCCTAGTTTCACGTTATTTCCACCATATTACTTTTAATATTTTAATTACTTCTCACAAAAACCGCTCTCATTTTGTATTGTAGTTTAAGCGACAATATTCCAATGAACTTCCCCTGCGCACACTTACTAGGGAGCCTTAAAATAGTGTTGCGAAACCCATTTGTGGCCCCATGGGGCCGATTCGCGTCATGACTTCCCGGCTCTAATTTGGTTATCGCGACAGCGAAAACATATCTACTTTCCGTAACCTAAGCTACTTGGCGCGCTTGGCTCTTTTATAATCGTAATTACTTGTAAACGAGCTGTCAACGCTCCTTTTCACCCCCAACACGATTCTCGCCCCATGATCTCATGCCAATGTTTTGTAGTGTCCCAAGGAACCAGAGACCCACGTCGATCAGTGGGCGGAAGCTTCTTGGCAGATGCAAGGATTAGGGAGACTCACATGGATGATTTGCGTCAAAATAGAAACATGCCAAGATGAATGAGAACATAAGGGGCCCTTTGTGCTATTCACGCGGAATTTGTGCGGAAATGGTACTACATGAGGGTGAGGTGGGTCTATAGAGGCCTGACAGGCATCCTACAAAGTTCAATTCTTTCTATGAAGTCGCCGATTTTTTATTTATATCATATTGGCTATTATAAATGCGCAAAGTGCGAGATTTACTAGTATGTGACGAGGTGGGTGGATCGAGAGCTAAACATTGTTCACCCGTCCAAAAATATCCAAACCAGCTGGATAGAAAATTGAATTTCGTAACATTGGCACAGAAAAAATATGTAACTAGTCATGTATGAAAATAGCTCATAAGTTCTAGCCCCCTGAAAAGGACCATGCATACCGGAAAATTACTCGGTGGAACACACCATTCATTTTCTGCGTGTGGCGATTTAAAACCATGTCAGTCGGCTTGGCACATCGATGAGAAGAGTTATTAAATTGAAGAATTTGATTTGCGAACACTACAAGATATTTATGGATGCGTAGTATGTTGATATCTGTCTCTGAGATTTGTTTTATACTTCTATTGAAAGTAAACCAACCAGATTGAACTACGGAGCACGAGCCACCTTCTAACATCGCAAGTTAAGATATTGTTATTCAGCCATGTACTTTGAAGTTAGTTCAAAGGGTAAAGAGATGAATAAAATAGTAAAATTCATGCCTTGGAATGACCCCGAGACCAATAGCTAACAGGTTCAATCTTCAAAGCCAGCGAACAAATGATAGGTCGATTCTCGTTGACCTTCGACGCCCCCATTCTGCACAGACACTGTTGGTGGCAGTTTGGTGGCAGTGCAATATTGCCAAGACAGGAGCCGTATTTGCTTCAAAGAGATTCCTTGGCGGCCTTTCAAGGGGACATATGGAGCTTGGCATATTTTACCCATGTTTCGGCACTTTAATCTATTACACTCTATACTTTTGGTCCATTCTTTCCCCCCGCATACTTGTTCTCATTCAACTTTCAGCATGAAGATTAGGAAATAAAAGAATCGCATTTTCAATCACATTTACAACTAAAAGACTCAATTGTGAATTGTTGGAATGCACTCATTCGAATCTAGCAATACTCTTTCTTAAAATTTAACCACGGATGTTCGAGGAGCTGGGCGGCTGTCTTGCGATCTTCAGATCGCCATTGAATTATGCCCTTCATAAATGACAGAAAATCTGCCTTCTCTTCGCCTTCAAGCTGCGCTTCATCATCCCTTCCTTGGCACTATTGTGATTTCCTTATCTTTCAGGCTCCCTATAAGAGTATTTCCATTGCATGGTGGGGCATAGTTGAATCGATTATTAACTATATAGACTAAACATCCATCATGGTATAAGAACATTGTATCAATTGATGCTTTATTGAGCCCTATATATAAGTATCTCCTATAGTCTTCGTCCAATTTTCGGAAAGCATCAGTCAAAAGCGATCCATTATCTTATAATTTGTATTTGTTTGATACTCAGCTTCAGTCAGTCCTACATCATGACTTGCAATACCTCCGCGTCTTCAAAATCAAGTTTTCAGGATAATGATACCAGTGACACATCTTTGAATCGGTCATCTTCGTCTAGTACAGCCTATACTAGCCCATCATACTCAAGGTGCAGTACTCCAGACGACATCACAGATGCTCCTTCGAAGATTTCGCCATGCTATACCTCACGTGATACGCGTACGGTGTCATTGCGTTCGAAATCTCCAGAGAATACAGCATGCAGCCCGTCGGATAATGTACCCATCGTGCTGGGTCAGGGTCCCCTCAGAGAAATCATGAGCGATATTGAGTTCACTGGGTTTCCTCGATCGCGTCTGCGCACCTCGGTACGAAACTCAGTGAACTGCTTCCTTTCGGAGGGCGGTGCGAAGAAGTTAGAGTACTCCAAAAGAAAAACGGGAACAGAAGCCTCCGAGGTGCTAGAGGCTTTACTAACGATACTTTCAGAAGTTCGGAAAGGTGACACGAGCCAGCCCTCAGAATGTTTATATCAATTCCTCCAACTGTGGCAAGGCAGCTCATAGATATCACTACAATAGAAAGGATACGAGGGGTATCGTCACAGTGAGAGTTTATGGCGATCAAGCGACCAAAATGTGCCATGCTCTCATAGACGGGGCGGGCACTTCACACATGGGAGATACAGAAAAATGATGGGACTGATTGGTAAATTTGACCTAGCAAAGTTTTTTTATTTGGAGTTTTCATAACCGATAGCCATTTATGTCGCATTGTGGAGCCTTCACAATCTAGTCGAAAACGATTGCGGCCTTGATAACGGTCTTGTTGCTCAGTGCGTCCAGGCATGATTGCCACTCTTCTAGCTTGAATACTTTGTTGACAATTCCTTCAACCTTAACTCGCTTTTCATCTGTTCAGTTGATTCTCAGTTAGCAGGCAAATAGGATAAGCATAGCAGAGCACTAACCAAGATAAGCAATGGCAGCAGGGAATTTGTAAACTTGGCTGAAAGACCCAATCACGTTGATCTCATCTTTAAAAATCTTGTTTGGACAGAATGCAACACGATCTTCATCACCATAAACACCATACACAACTAGCTTGCCACCCTTTGTCACAAAGTTAATAGCATTTTCCAATATCTTCGCGTTGCCCGTAGCTTCGACAACAATATCGAAGCCATAAGAGTGGTCCGCTTGAAGCTGCTTCATTCTAGTAGCTGAAGCTTGTGCCTCGCGTGGAAGCTCGATGTATTCATCAGCGGCATCAAGAGACTTTGCAAGGTCCATCTTCAAGCCAGCCGGTGCAGCAATCACCATATGACAACCGCCATTTTGGCGCAGAAGTTGAGCCAAGATCAACCCGGTAGGACCTGCTCCGAATAAAAGTACGCTTGACCCCATTCGAGGCGCAATTTTATCCAGTCCATGCGCCGCGCAGGATGCAGGCTCCAAAAGCGTCGCTTCTATATCGGATAGATTCTTGAACTTGAATACACGGCATGCCGGGTAGTTAGCATACTCTGCAAAGCCACCATCGACCATAACGCCATGAGCAATGAAGTTATCGCAGAAGAGCTCTTGCCCCCGACGGCAGTAAAAACAGTGCCCGCACAACTCAGAGTTGTCTGCGACCACACGATCACCGACCTTGAAGCCTTGGACGCTGCTACCAAATGCAGCAACTTCACCTACGGTTTCATGGCCTGGTACAAGTGGGAACTATTTTCCTTCTCAGCAAGCGCGAAATTGACAGGACTGATGTGGCTTACCTGAGCTCCAAATTCGCCATCATGGATATGCAAGTCTGTTCCGCACACCCCAGAGGCCTTTACTTTAATCTTCGGAAATTAATTTACGTCATTTCGTCGCTAACAATTCTTGTAGCCTACCAAAACATCCTGCTCTCGGATTTTTGGAAGAGCTTTCTTCACAATACTAAATTTTCGAGCTTCGCTATACTCTGAGCCGCCATGCTTGAATATTAGCGGGATTCATGCTGATATTTTCCAATGCAGGTTGAAACGCACCCAGGGCTCGCATCAAAGGAGGTAAATTAAAAGAGCCTATGCTTCCCATGATAGTCGAAGTTGATTAGTCGAAGTTCACTATTCGATGAGACAACGTTCTACCGATTTGAGATACCTCTGAAATAAAATACTTCAAGCTTATATACAGAGAGACTCGGGGTGATATGCTTGAAAAGAGACGAAGTCAAATCTCGATGGGTAGATGATCGGCCAAGCAAGCGGGGAATGCATGAATGGAGAAGAGCGGCCGAGACGAGGATTGGTGTGGCGAGTGAGGTATTTGGTAATGATTTTGCCGATCATTTTGGTGGGACGAGGGAGCATGAGGTGCGGTTGTTGGAGGAGGCATGCAAATGGCCCCACATTTTCAACATTCTTCTCGTATTCCCTTTCATGAGGGCTACTATGTGGAGGGGGGGGGGGGGGATATGAACCCAATGAACTACCATCTTGTGGAAATAAAATGATATTCCCAAAATGAAAGCAAACGGTACTAGTATATACCTTCAGCTTGAAGTTTATGGTAATTGACATAGTATACGGGTCCAGTTTGGATATAAAAATCTATTAGAATTCATATAAAATTCAAGCTTGAAGCCCACAGAAAGCACCAATGTCACTGGAAGAAACTTGAAACAGGTACTTTACTCGACTGAAGTACTTGAATTTGAAAGAGGAAGAATAAAGTAATAGCCATGTTACTCCTTCTAGTGACAACGTGTGCCATAGTACAACTTGCCAAATTGATGACCCTGGAAAATGCCAGTGACGGGGATAGCATGAATATATTGACCATCAAGCATCCATTGGCCCAGGATTTTCCAGGTACTGTACCGCACCCTGTTCTTCCTTCTCACGCATGATGTGTCCGTCTCGTGCTTCATATCTCCCAGGACGCTTACTTGAGATTGCCTCCTTATCAAGGAAAGCGAAAAGAGGAGGGTTGCGACGAAAGTAGTCATCCATGTCCTCCAACGTACGGCCAGCTGTTTCCGGGTAAAAGACATAGATAGTTGGTACCATAGCCGCATTCAACACGGCCCAAACAATGTAAAAGCGCCATCCCAAGTTTTGAATACCAATCGGAGTGATTTCCACAACCATGAAATTGAAAATCCAATTTGTCGCGGCGCCAAGCGCAGCACCCTTCGTGCGCATGGTTAAAGAGTTGATTTCGGTGGGATATACTAGGACGCGGTTAGCATATTTTGAGAGAGGATGGAAGTTAAACAGTTAACATACACCATGGCACACCTTGCATGCCAATCCCAAAGAAGATGTAATATAAGAAAAAGAAAGCCACTGATGCTGAGGCTACTTCTTCGCGATGGGAGTATCCAGGCATCTCGTTATACCGGATAAGCGCTGTAATGAATATGTAACAGAAGCACATGCCCGCTGCACCGAACATCATGAGCATACGACGACCCCATCGCTCGACATTGGGAATGCCAATCAAGGAGAAAAGCAGATACTGCACACTGTTGCATGCTGTGAGTAACCTCGCCAAAGACTCATCTAGGCCCACGGACGTGGTCAGTACGGTAGGCAGATAGTAAGATGTGACATTAATTCCCGAGAATTGCTGCATCGCCTGGGCACCCATGCCAAGGATGAGACGACGAATTGTCTTTGTACCTGCCTTTTCATGGGCTCTTCCATGCAAAATATCACTGAAGCTGACGCTGTTTGTTTTTTCATACTCCACGCTGTATTCGATCTCGCTCATTTGAAGTCGGACAAAAGGATCGTTGATATCCTTTTCTTCAAGATCCGCAATAATTTGTACGGCTTCACTCGAGCGATCGTGGGAAATTAGCCACCTATGACGAAATAAGCTTTGGGGACTCAATGGGTATCGAACTTTTGCTTCCATACCTAGGGGATTCGGGTAACCATGGCACTGTCGCAAAGAGAATGATGATAAATATGAATTGAAAGGACAGGGGGAAGCGCCACGATATAGGCCCACTGGCGAAGGAGAGGCCGTAGTTGAGCCAATTGGCAAGGGAAAACCCTACAAGCACCAAGACATTCTCTAGAATAACAAGTTTGCCTCGCAGTTGCACTTTAGAGGTTTCAACTTGCCATATTGGTGCTGTGGATGTATTGAGACCTGGGGCCACGAATGTCAATATAGCGGCTTGAGGGTTTGATGCGTATGCTTACCATTCCCAATCCCCGCAATGATCCTACCAGTGATTATCTGGCCTAAGCTGTAGGAAGAAGCTTGCAAAAGGGCGCCAATTGACATAACAGTAGTGCCGACTAGGACAGTGTTTCTGCGACCTAGCCTTTCTCCTAGCCACGAGGCAAATAAAGATCCGAGAAAACAGCCAATGTCATAGATGGCAGTGACTGTGCCAAGGAGAGTTGTTTTAGATGGCCCTTGAAGATCATGCAAACGGAGGAAGTCCTGCGAGATCACAACTCCACTGAAAACACCCTGTAAAAAGTTTTAGTCCCGCGCAATTGGAGGGTCACTTTCTCTTACACACCTGATCGTATCCGTAGAGGGTCATATCAGCACCGCAGGCCAACGTTATCCAGAAGGTCAGCCATGCGCCTCGAAGGCCAAAATACGGTTTCGCCAAGTCGACCATTCTCTGTAGTGTATGCTCTAAATGTTGGCATCTGGCCTTCCCCAGATTTCGGAGACAATCCCGACTATTTATTCCTGCATGTCCATCCCGTCCATCCCGTGCAGCAAGAGCCCCGGGCCTGGATATTTCTCACAAAAACAAAGACCATCAGCCACGAGACGGACTACCCATAGTGACGCCATGTAAAAATATATAGGGATTAAAAATATTTCACATCTCCCCCACATAATGATGAAAGAGAACGCGGGGTAAGGGGTATGCCAGTATGGGGCGTTACGGGCGACGATAGCGGCCCTCGGCGGCCAATGTAATTTTATCCGGCAGAAAACTTAAATACCTGTAATACCGTATCACCGCCCATACAAAATGAAGTATACAACTTACACAGTCAATTCTGGTTTATATAGTTAAGAACTTCCAATTAACAATACGATATCGATACAATTGTATAGCTATTGTGTCGTCGTACACACATCTATGAATTCTTCACTACCCCATCCTTCTACAACTTGAGACCAAAGCCAAAGCCGTGGGGAAGTGCAGGAAATCACATCCAGCCAATACTGCGTCTTCATTATGGATCCACTCCACATGCACATCATTCTTGATCAACCGAGACGAGGACGACATATTGCCCCGCAAGAATAAACATGCCTGTTGGCTGTTACAACCACAGTCGTGCATAGTATCAAGCTATTATAACGATGGACTTACAAACGTCTTCAGAACCGTCTCGCGTACGAAAGCCCCGCGTAAGAAAGTCCCGCGGTCGCGGTCTGCGGACAACAAATGGCTGGTGAGTGACTCGCGTCCAGACTGGGGCGCGTCATGCTCTGTCTAAAACGATCCTTGCAGCATTACATGCCGGAAACGTCACTTGAAATGTGATGAGGTAAAGCCGATTTGCGGTGCGTGTGCCAAAAAAGGCAGTGCCTGCGATTTTCCCACATCTCAAAGCCGGCTCAGGGCCAAAACCCCTCCGCCCTCGAACCAGTCAATTTCAGTGACATCGCCCCGGACACCAGTGCAGACTCCTTCTGCCCTGGGGACCAATGAAAACTTTCCGACTACAAATCAAACATATCAGTCGCTCTTTGAGCCAGATGAGACCACCGGTCCGACTTGGCCTGGTTATGAGGCGGACAATAACCCTTCTCCCTCCGTTCAAGACGATCAGTTCGTAGAGAGAGACCCCGTCCTGAGCCACAGCCCAGTAGCTTTTCAACATGCATTTTTGTCACCCTCAAATGCATCGACAGCTGCATTACGATGGTTCGGGCTTCTAGCGAATGATGCAGCCAGGGACAATTTACAAGATTCGACTGTCCATCACTCCTGGGCGAACGAAAGCCTCTCGTTAGACGATGCTAATTCTGGGGGTCAGAACCCTCTTACATCGCTTCAACGGGCGACTCGCGTGCTGGACAGCCCTGCTGCCTATGCGGATCATGATCCAACCCAGGTTGATGCTTCAGGGAATAGCACACTGGTAGCAGGGGGGCAGATTTGGCAGTCGCGGGAGCCAATCCAGCTTTTGACAACTGAAACGAAGTTACTAGAACATTTTATAAATCGCGTCAGCCCCTGGGTAAGCCTGATCGTCTTATTTGCAGTATTGATAGTTTTCACTCATAATGATTCTTGACAGATTGACCTTTTTGATGTCACAGCCCAGTTCTCCACACTAGTTGCACACTTGGCTGTACAGTAGCCCCATGCCGTGAAAAAAAAAGAAAAAGAAAAAGAAAAAGCCCCATGTTCCACCAGAAGACTAACTTCCTATTCTTAGATATATAATGCTGGCCTTATGAATGCTATAATAGCTCTTTCATCTCGACATCTGGCGTTGAACCCCAAACTCGATGATCAAAATATGCCAAAAAAGGACGAACAGGCTCTGCAATATTATTACCAGACCCTCCACTATGTGCAAAAAGCCATGAAGTACTCTGGCTATAAAACGAGCCTGGAGCTCCTTGCAACCACACTCATAATTTCTGCCTACGAGATGCTCGACAACTCCACAAAAGATTGGGAGAGGCACCTTGAAGGTGTATTTCTCATACAGAGATCCCAGGTCATCCATGGCGAGTCCGGAGGGCTACATTCGGCGGTTTGGTGGGCATGGTTATGTCAGGACATTTGGGCAGCCTTCCGCGAGAAACGCAAGACTCTTACATTTTGGGTTCCACAGAAGCCCCTTTCTGTGCTATCGCCTCACGAACTTGCCGCTCGATCAATATACAATACTGCAAAGGTGATCAGCTATTGCGCTGATATCACAACCCAGGCAAACATTCTACGGCGAATTGACGAGGGGATTCATCTTGACAACGTGCTAGATGAATGGCATAAACATCTGGCCATTGAATTCTCACCACTGCCATTCAGTGGAAGCTCGCACTCATATTGTCCGGCGATCTGGATCCGGCCACCTTCATTTGGTATCGATAACCCCCCCCCCCTCCCAAGCTTATGCATGATTCTTGCAGTACGACTAACCCGATCCCGTAGCTGTGGCTGTACAATTTTACAACGTCTCAAAACTTTTATTACTCGCGCACGAACCCAACTTGGGCGGTATAGACCAACACCTCGAGCGGCAGAGCAGAATCAAGGGCCACACAGAGAATATTTACTCTATTGCGCTGACACTTACAGACAATCCATCAAGTGTTATGTCATCGCAAGCTTTATACATCGGTGAGTTCTTCAAATGTACACTAAATAACTGGCAAGGCTCACAATAAACAGCGGGTCTCTTTACTATGGACTTAGGGGCCCGGGATCTTATAATAGAACTGCTGGACTCCTCCCGAGAGCGAAGTGGATGGCCAGTCAAGTCGTTAGGTAAAGAGCTAAAAAGGTTCTGGGAATGGGAGTATCAAGGAACTACAACGGGCGCAGAAGTTACGGACTTTTCAACTCGGGTTTTTCGATGATCAATTGAAATGCTTGTTTTAGCAGATACGGGGGCCTAAAGTGATCATCAGAAAGAAGCCACTTGGCCATAGATATTATTACCGCCTATTCCACTACTACCTATACTGTAAGCTCTATATCGTTAGAAAACCAAATGGAAAGACATTCAAAAAGACCTTCAAAAAGATGTATGGAAAGACACAAGGGCAATGAAGAAATTTCTTAATTCCAAATATGTTAGATAAAGGTTCCCTTTCCAAGATATCGATATGATCTTGACATAGCAGGACTGAAGCTCAACTTCCAAGGTTGGCGATATTCCACGGACCTAAATAGAGATTATCGTGTTACAATTATTATGATTTCTACCGTAAGCAGCCACTCTTTATATCATTCTATCCCAAAAATTAACCTACAACCCGAGTAAAGCTCCTTTAACAGCCCCGCTCAGTTCGACTCTCCATAATCGGTGTTCATTCAGAGCGAAAATCTCTCCGTTTCTTCCAAAACAAAAATTTGCAACGCCTCCTTCAATAAGAATTCTTCCAAGTAGGACCCCCCCCGGAGACCATACATGAATTCCGTCTCCGCAGCCACTATACACATTTCCATTGAGATCGCACTTAATTCCATCTGGAATACCACTATCCGCTAAAGCAAAGAGACGTCGGTTGATGGGGAAGGGCTCTCCATGGTACGTAGCCACATCGAAGGCATATCTTGGTTAGATTCACGATTAGCTATGCACAGTCAACTAAAACAATAATACAGGGCAGTGTTCTCTTACATGGAAGAAACTCGCCCATCGACGACACTTCCATCGCCATGAACTCGATCCGTATCGGTAATATAAACAGTTTTCTCATCGGGCGAGAAACATATCCCATTCGGTCTCCCAAATCCATCAGCCACAGCTCGTATGTTTCCGGTACTTGGACACCACCGGTAAACTTGATTTGGTAGGCAGGGCTGAGGCCGATATCCCTGCTCATACCCATAAATGGGATCAGTGAACCAGATTGACCCGTCTGTGTGTACCACCACATCATTTACAGAATTGAACGGTCGGCCGAAGAAGTCACCCTTCAAAAGTTCAGATTTGTGCGAAGCTGTAGACATACGATATAATCCACTTGGTTCAGTCATGGTTCCTTGGCCGCAGAAGAGGACGTGGTCCCGGCCGTAGTTGATCCCTCCATTGCCCATGGGAACATCAGTGGAAATTTCCTCACAGGTAACTGGCTTTTGATCGAGATTCACTCGGGTGATATAAATCTTTTTTTGGTTTTCATGGCTAGTAAATCTATTGCTCGTAATGTATAGGGAATTGGTCTCGGGAAAGAATACTCCAGCTTCGTGAGCAAAGGGATAGTCTTTATTTTCTGCAAGAAGCTCTATCGTTGGGGATGGGCCGACAATTGCTGCAAAACGCTGGTCATGGATTTGAAAAAAGCTTTCGAAGTTGCTAGACATGATGAGTGTAATCTGTGGCCGGCAATTCTCCCGACTGGAAAGTTCCGTGATTGGAGATAAAATGCGACGATATGTAATATCGTGAGTGCGGGGTAATTTGATTAGTCGCAGGCGTGTTTATTCTTGCGGCCTGGCAAAAACTCCATACACCACGTAGATTGATTCTATGGAAGTCGCGAGGTTCATCTCTCATTATCGATGGGTCATCTGGCCGCCTTCTAATACCCCAGACGAAGAATGATATCTTGTCTAGGGGTACCCTTGCTGGGTTAAAGAAGCTGAGCAACAAGTTGAGATCGGTTGTAAGGCGATCCCAGCCTGCTATAACAATCACTATATGATTGCGTTGATAAGGGCAAGTGCGGTAAATCACGTCCAGCCAATCCCGCGCCTTCAGTATGGATCAACTACACCAGTGACATCATTCCTGAGCAACCCCCGAGACGAGGACGGCACATTGTCTTGCAAGAACGGAGAAGGTACAGACGAATTCTTTTCACGTTATATTTTAAATTATAGGGATTACTCATAAAAGTAGTTCGTTATTCAAGAATTTTCAAGAAGCACAAATAGGTATCTTTTGTATGACACATTCATACAAAAGGTACGTTTTCTCTTGTGGTGATATTTTCTGTCACGGTGGCACTGATTGGGGGGGGGCAATTAGTGTCCTCCGGCACAGCTATCTATACTGTAATTTCGACATAAAGAGAAACCCAAGTGGAAAGATATTTAGAAAGACGTTTAAAAAGAGGGGTTTAAACGACAATTAAAAAACAAATGAAGGAACACATTTTTTAGTACTTTAGATCATACTAGTAGGTGAATTTAAAAAGAATGAAACTTTATATTTCGAATTTGCCTTAGTATTCGTCTGGCACGGCTAACGGCCAACAGCCTGTTCTTGTAGATCATATCCCCGTCCCGAGTCATCTTGTCCCGCTTCAACGCGGTACAACGCGAAGTTGAAATAAATTGAGTATTCAGATTTACAAAGAAGAGCTGTTATGCAGGAATTGAAAAATAAAAATATTAAAAAATTGAATCAAATTCTCGCCTCTTTGCTTCCTCCACAGCACCCACCATGTCTTGGAAAGACTCAAATTGCCATAAGCGCATTCTCCGCGACGCTGAAAGTGGGCGGTACGGCGTCATCGCCGCCATTGCCTATAACACCGAACAAATATTAGGACTGGTTCGAGCTGCAGAGACTGCCCGCTCACCACTCATCATCCAATTTTTCCCTTGGGCCATCGAAGCCACAGATGGCATGCTAGTGCGTGTCGCAGCCGATGCTGCTAAGCGAGCAAACGTACCGATCAGTATTCACCTCGACCATGCTCAATCTGAATTTATCATCAAGCGCGCAGCAGATCTTCCATTCGATAGCATCATGGTGGATATGTCGCACTACGAGAAGGAAACCAATTTGAAAATGACTCGCGAGCTGGTACAATATTGTAACGAGCGCGAAAAGGCGACAGAAGCCGAGCCGGGTCGCATTGAAGGAGGAGAGGATGGAGTCATGGATACTGCGGGACTGGATGCATGCATGACGACCGCTGAGGAAGTGGACGAGTTTGTCGATACGGGAGTGGATGTACTTGCCCCTTCATTTGGCAATGTTCATGGGGAATATGGTCTCCGTGGTCCACAGTTGGATTTCGAAAGGTGAGCTTGAGTGACTAGTTTCCGGGAGACAATGTTGGTAACATTTACGTGGGCAGATTCGAGAAGATTCGTGTTCAAGCGAATGGAAGAGTTCATTTAGCCCTTCACGGCACCAATGGGTTCGCTCCGGAGCTATTGAAACGCTGCGTAGCCGCCGGCGTCACCAAAATCAATGTAAATCGACTGGTGCTAGATGACTATTATGACCACCTTTATGCAAATGTGGGCAAGATACCGCATACCCAGCTTATTGAGGAAGGTATTCAGAAGGTGGCTGATTTGACAATCAAGTGGATGGAGATTTGCGGATCAGCTGGTAGGGCGTGACGAGATGCTGAGAGTTGTGCAAAACTGTGAAAATATTGGTGTAACTGGAGTTTTTGACTCATAAATAGAAATATTGTATCATAAGAATTTTCTTAACAGTTCATTCCTAAAATTTACCCAGTCGCTGTGTATGTTTCTCCCATACATAATTGGTACATATTTTCAGGGACTGAATAAAGGAACACTGATCCTCTTATCCATGCAGGGAGCCTCTAATGATGATATCGACAGGCCCAGCGACTCGGAGCCGGAGGTGCCTGATTGAGCTAGTCTATAATTCGGAATATTTCTAAATGGAGAAATTAGAGAAAAAGAGACATCAATTGGGTTTGGCTTGAATTATAGTATATGTCCATTTGGTCTACATGATATGGCGAGGAGAACATTTGAAATTCAAGTTATACTACCCGTCCAATTATTGCAATTTGCTGTACATGCCACCATCAGCCAACAGTCCTGTCGCGTTCACATAGCGACTCATCTCCTCGCAGGCTAAGAAGACCGCAGGGCCCGCCATGTCTTCCGGGTCGCCGATGCGACCGAGGGGTATGCGTTCCTCAAGAGCGGCCTTTTTCGTAGGATTCTTCATGTCATGATCAGCCAATTGAGTGGCGATCGTCCCCGGCATCAATGCATTGCATCTGATTTTGTCCTTTCCAAGGGCAATAGCCATAGACTGCATCATAGAAAGAATTGCGGCCTTTGTGGGAGTATAGTGGGTTTGAAAGCCGCCACCGAGTAGAGCGCTAACAGAAGAAATGCCGATGATCGAACCTCCGTGCCCTTGATTCACCATCTGTTGAGCGGCAGCTTGGCAGGAATAGAAGGTGCCTTTGATGTTTACGTCAACACTATGATCAAGAAGAGCCGGTTCAATTCTGGACAATTGTATTAGCTTGTTTCGCTCGGGATTTGAAGAAGAGACGCAAATCCTTTGACTCACTTGAGAAACTCTGCTTGTTTGAATACGCCAGCATTGGCAACAAAGATATCCAATTTGCCCCAGTGGGATACAGCCTCTTTGACGAGGTTGCAGCTAGTCTCAGGATTTGTGACGTCGCCGGCTAGCTCTAGGATGTCACCCGCCTTGATACCCGTGTTTTTGATTGCCTTGATCTCTTCCAGGAGACTATGTCGATGCTTTTCATCTTGAGGCATACCCAGATGGTTCACAGCGACATTGCAACCTTGTGTGATAAATGCCAAAACAATCGCACGACCAATACCAGTAGTGCCGCCGGTTATTGCGGCAGTTTTGCCTTTGAGGAGATTCCAGGCGGGAAGCGCAGCCATTGTTGATCAAGCAGTCAAGCTAGAGCACAGAACAAGGTGAATATGTTGGTACATTGATGATGAGAGCTTGGGCTTTAACCGAATTAGCTGAGTTGGGATTTATTTTACTCTAACGGCTGAATGCAATTCCAACCCCTCTTTGACCCCGTGGTCCTGCACCGATCTTCGAAATCGCCCCCAATCAGGCGTGAAGTGGGTCATCTTATTTCGTCTCGAGGGTCAACCTGCTCTAAGTTCAACTTCTTCTCATTTCGGGCGCCACTTGGCTGAGGACGTATGAAGTGGGGGTATTGTATCGATGCAGATGTGCGTGTTACGGGGAAACATGAGAAGTGTTGTGGTATTCGGTAGTCTATAAAAAAAAGAGAAGTATCCTGTTCTTGATTAAGATTCATTCTTGTAAATTATTTTTGCCCGCTTTGAACGCACCTCATTCCACAATGGCCCCCTCTGTGACTTCGGACCAACTGCCTGTGGCCCAGACACCAAACGCCCCTCAAACCCAAGTTGGCCTCAATGGAAAAGTCATTGCCAGTATGGATTTTGGAAACAGAACTTTGAAATTAGAAATACGTTAACTAATCTCAAGCGTGCTTAGTTACTGGTGCCAACCGCGGCATCGGTCTCGGTATTGCCGAATGCTGCCTTTCAAACGGCGCAGCCAAGGTCTATTCCATCGACATTGGAGAGACTGGAGATGACTTCGCTGCCTTGTTGAAGCGCTACCCCGATCAACTATTTGCTGTCACCGCCAATGTGACCGAAGAATCGACTATCACTGCTGCGATTGACAAAATAATCGAGGAGGCCGGCGCTCTGCACGGAATGGTAGTTAATGCTGGACGCACACACCATAAGGCTGCTCTTGACTTCACCAAGGACGAGATTGAGAGCTTGTTCAACGTGAACCTTTTCGGGGCTTTCTATAGCGCACGCGCCGCCGCCCGTGCATTTATCAAATTGGGGATCAAGGGATCTATTGTTTTCACAGCTTCGATGGCCTCTTATCGTCCCAATAAGGTATTACCTGCAGTTTCAAATTTCCAAAAAGCATGTCTAATCTTTCTTTCCTTTTTTTTAGCGCGTTCCCTCCACCCCCTATGGTGCCTCAAAGGCAGGTGTTCGCAACATGACCCACACTCTGGCAATGGAATGGGCACAGTACGGTATTCGCGTCAACAGTGTGTCGCCTGGTTTGGTTAAGACTGCTATGACATACTGGGTTCCTCAACAGCCAGACTGGGAGCAGCAGCTTAAGTACTATGGTGGCTTTCCAAGGTTAGCTGAGGTGCAGGAGCTCGGCGGTGCCTATGTTTACCTCTTGAGTGAGGCAGCCAGCTACACCACATCTATTGATATTCCAGTTAATGGTGTTATTGGAAGTAAGTGCCTCCGTTTATCGTATAATATGAAGACTTACCTAACGAAAACAGTTTGCTAAATGGTGGTGGACCCAAAACCCCGCGAAATTAAAACTCTTATATATGACTATGTGTACAGGTTTCTCCAATAATAGAAAATATGAAGTTCCATCTCAATTTCAATTTAATCCTGCTTGCTTGTTATTTCAACCCACTCAAGCGTTTTCGTAGTTTAGCCTAAGAATTGCGTTTGCTTCACTGCTGTGGTTTATTTGATCGCCCACTCTGCCCAACATCTTTTGCCTCTACTTTTCAAATTGCATATAAGAGATACTTAGTAAATGCACCACGGAAACTTTATCACATTTTTCCTTGCTTTCATTAATTCAAGTTTTAAAAGGGATCATGTAGGCGAATCATGGCCAAGCTTCTATTCAACTATATACACACTGAGTCGATATCTCAATTTCTATGAGTCGAGACTATCTCCTCATGTTCACATTGAAGATTCATCTCTTTTTCAGGATCATTCACAACACTTTTTCGAGTACAAGCCGCTCCAAAATGTGGGTTCTCAGCCATGAGTCTCGCGAAGTTCGACTTTGCATCCCACACAAAGGGGGATTTAGAGATAAACAGCATGTCGATCTCCTCCAGGTTACGCTGACTAGGCTCAGGGTAGAAAGCCCATACTAGTAATCATTAGTCCGGATATTTCGTTATCTGAAAGTAGCGAATCGGTCATCTTACCAATAGGGATACTGATAAGATTTACTGCGCCAAATACATGTAGGGTGTTCTCTCCAATGGCAGCAAAAACGTAGGGAAGTGCCAATGTCAAGGACCTGACGCTTGTTAGACTGCACAAAATGCAAATGACCTCTCGGAACGAAACACATACCCATTTACCACACTCCATCCCGCAACACTCCAAGCGTTCCCTTTGGCCCGAACTTTCAAAGGGAAGATTTCTGCTGGGTATAGCCACGGTACAGTGAGCCATGTAGCACCAAAGACGAAGGTATACAGATAAACCATCGAGGTCGCTGCAATACCCCATGGAGCCTGGTTATCCGGATTGGCGATTCCACCACGAGCCATACCACCCGCGAGGAACATAGCAGCCACTTGACCTGCTGCTCCCCACCACAGGGTCCAGCGCCGACCAATTCGATCCAATGTTACAACGCAAATCAATGTTGCACATGCGTAGAAGATATTATTAAGCCCCGAGATCCACATGGTCTTTTGAGAGTCGAAGCCAGCAATTTTGAAGATGGCTGTAGATGCGTTTAGAATGATTCAGATCAGAGGACAAAAGACTTACTTGGTGCATACATGGTAACCCCAGCAATCCCCTGACCAGCATTGAATAATTTGCAGCCAAATGACAAGCTGCACACGTCGCGCAATATGCAAGTCTCCCTGGCCAGTCCCGAATAGCATCTGGAAATATGTGATATTTGCCTCCGACTCAGCCTCTAATTCGACCATGGCTTCGATCTCTGACATTTCCAGCCTGATCGCACGCTCGTTGCCGGAACCACGAAGACGCTCGAGGACATACATTGCTTCCTCCCGGCGTTCATCATGCAAAGCCAACGGGGAGATTCAGGGGAAAACCAGCATCCAGTGATGAGGAAAAGTAACATAATAATCTGGAAGGCAATTGGAAAACGTCATTGAAAGTCTGATGTCCCGTTTTTGATGTAACTGAGTCCGAATCCGGGCCAATAAGCTACTACTACACCGACAATATTCAATGTGAACTCCATTGCGATGAACATTCCACGAGACTCATAGTCAGCAAGCTCGGAGCCGTATACCGGTACAGTAGCGTTCAAAATTCCCGTGCCAACGCCGTTAATAAGGCGCGATACGATCATCCATGTCGGATTTATTGCTGTGCATTGGAGTGCTGCTCCAAGTATCCCCCAAGCAGCACCAAAGGCAAATGACTTGATGCGACCGAATCGATCACTGACATAATCGCCCATGAAGCATCCTAGAAGTGTCCCAAGGTAATAAACTGAAATGATACCACCCTGCAACAAAGGTATTTGTTACAGTTATTGACCCATTGTCTTCGTATCCTAATCGCATTCGGTGCACGTAGGCTTGAGAGTCATTGACTCCCCCCCATCATACCCTGGTCATAGCCTGTCTAAGTTATCAATATCTCACAGTTCGGTCTGTATCTGGAGGTGGCCAAAGATCCTACCGAAGGAAAAAATCGCAAGACCAGCAAGGCAGTTAACGGAGAATAAAAGTGATCTCTTTTCCAGCTTGGAGGCTACCTTCCACGTCGCCCGTTCATCACTCAACGCTGCAAACATGATGAAGGATTTAAATTCGGTCCGCCGAACTAAAAAAAATTGGTAACTTGAATAAAAACAATGAAAGGATTATTTGGTGGTCTTAGGTGTCTAATATTGAGCGGGTTGTCTCTCGGTTATAAGATCTGTCTTAACCCTGTGTCATAGCTTGCCTCATTATGAACACTCGGGATATGAGCTTGGCTGGGTGTTCATAAGACAACTAATAGACGGCTTAGTTAGTCCCCCACTAATGCACTCTATATGAGTAAGGTCAGCGGGCTTGTTTCGGTGAGGGGGGTATTGATATGAATCCAGCATGTGCAGATGAAGGTCCTCCCTCGAATTCTCTCGTGATATGGAGATGTACACTCGACACGAGGACAGAGGAACGGAGAATTCTATCCACCATTCGATAATCCTTTCCAGAAATGGAAAGGTAATATTAGCTTTAGGCATGCAAGAAGTTGGGGAAGCTCGCGCCTAAAGCCGACCTTACTGCCCCGAAAGGAATCATAGCAGCCATTGATCAAGTCATAGAGGAGCTCAGAAAATGGAAGACCATCAATTCGTCTCTATTGATCGAATTTTTTTTTCTTCTCCTTCCTACTATTCGTCTTTGAAATGGGTCTACTAATAGCCGAATGACCCTGCTTTCCCGCCAGGGTCCACTCCCGGCGTTGCTGCACGAAAGTCAAAATCGTATAGTATAGTGGGTCGCCTGCAGTAAACCCTTTTTTGCACGCATCACTGTTCTAGTCAGCAAACTACTAGCAACCCTTCATTTCCGCACTCGTAAATTTAAGTATGTTTGACATCACATATTGCGAAGCTACAGGACTAGATTGAGCCTGCGAGAGATTCTGGAATAGAGTGGACTGTAGGCGTGGGAGAGCAACATTGGAATGTTGAATGATGATGTAGTTCAAGTTAGTATTATTAGCGACTACTAGTAGATAGTTATTATCATCATCAAGATTGGTACTTGGGTCATTTAAGTTTTATCTTTGAATATAGTCTCTTTCACATTACTTAAATAGATGAACAATCATAGCCATATGTGACTAGTATTCTCTGATCGTAATTTGAAGGCAGGTAGAATATGTGTCACCATTTTGACTTCGGAGAAATCATATTTTCAGCCTGGTCAAAGAACTAGTATAAAATTTCACGGGGCTTGCTGTAAATATCTAATGGGTCTTTCCTCTCATAGTACCGTCAATACCTTCCAGATCGCTATACAAACGCCATTCATAGTCTAAGCTTGGATCATTGAACCGAGCCTTAGTGTCTAATGTTGCGATTTGAGCAATATCCTCAGGCTGTAACTCGAAATCTGCCTCAAGGTTCTGTTCGATTTGCCAGTCAACAACACTCTTAGGGATAACAGAACGACCACTGTTAATACCCCACGAAAGAACCACTTGAACGGCACTTTTGCCATATTTTTCGCCAATCTTTTTCAAAATCGGTTGATCAATGACCCGCATCATATGTGCAACATCCTTAGACCACCCAGTCTGTCGGTAGAAATCGTTCATATTACCAAGTGGGCTGAATTGAACAACATGAATGCCATTGGTCTTCAGCCATTCGTTGAAGCCTTTCTGCTGTAAATAGGGATGGACTTCCATCTGATGAACAGCTGGGGCCTGGATAATTGATTAGCCTTTTTATTAAATTCGGTGGTGGTTGCTATAACTGACTGTAGAACTCTCATTGAGCAAGGTTTGAATTTCACCCTGGCTGAAATTTGACACTCCAATGGCCTTGACCTTTCCAGTATTGGTCAGTTTTTCCATTGCTTTCCAGGTATCCACAAATGTGGTTGTGCCATGAATCATTCTGCCATCGGCATCTCGAGGGAATCGCTCAGGTCCCCGCTTAAAGGTGCACGGGTAGTGCATTAACAAAAGGTCGACATAGGGAGTATCCAGATCGCGTAAAGAGTCATCGAGGGAACGCTCAACGTCTTTGGGGTGGTAATCGTTGCACCATAATTTCGTGCCAAGAAAAATGTCTTCACGAGAAATTCCGCTCTTTTTGATTCCTCTCCCAACTTGTTCTTCGACGTGGTAAACCCGGGCGGTATCAATTAGGCGCATGCCCTTCTGTAGAGCTCGGCTGACTGTCTCTTCTTGAGAATCGGGGTCTTGGAATGTGCCGAACCCGAGCGCTGGGATCTTCGCGCCAGTGTTGAGTGTGTATGATGTTGCTCGGGTAGCCAGGGTGCGAGTGAAAGACTGTTTAGATGAGATAAAAGACTTCTGAAACAGCGACACTCGGGTCACTCTGGCCGCAAGAGAAGCCATGATAGCAGGTTTGAAGTCCCACCTGAATGGTGCAATTGTTTTCAAGATGAAGCTGGAGTGACCGACATGTGGACAATGACAGCTTTCTCTAAACTTAACTCCTTAGCAGGGGGGTTATATTCCCCCGCAAAAGTGGGTTTGGGGCCATTTGTTGTTCGCAGACCGCGACCGCGGGACTTTCGTACGCGGGACCGTTTTGAGGGCATTCGTGCATCCATCGTTACAGTGGCTTGATATCATGCACGACTGTGGTTGTAACAGCCAACAGGCGTGTTTATTCTTGCGGGGTAATATGTCATCCTCGTCTCGGGGGCTTGATCAGGAATGATGTGGAGTGGATCTATAATGAAGACGTAGGGTTGATTGGCTGGATGTGATTTCCTACACTTCCCCGGTCAACACGCGCAGGATTAGTTGAGTTGGGCTGCGGGTGGTTAATGTGGCGGGCCCCCGTATCAGCTACAGGGGCCTATCGAGAAATTCTTCAGACGAGCTTCTCAACATTCTCCTCTCCATATACGATCCGCTTTTTGCGTGCAAAGAATTCCAGCTCACTACTTCAGGTACATTACCAACAGCAGGTCAAAATGTAGCCAACGGTGGGAATTAGTTATAAGTTTTAGGCGAAGCTTGAATCTTAGTGGAACAGGCCCAAAGTAAACACAAAAGCAAAGCCCACCAATAAGTCGATAGGCAGCGTTATTTGCCCGTGGTCTCAGTAATGACGCAAATAAATCTGACAACTGATCCCAACTAAGATCATCGGGGAATGCCGTGTTCTTTTTGTCTCCTGTAAAGGAAATGGATTTCCCCCAGTCGGATACAATATTTCAGCAATAATCCTACACAAAAGTTCATTTGGGAGGCTCGTTTCGTGTTTTCAGAGTTAGGAATAAGATGGAACGAATCATCTGATTGAGTCAACGGTCGTAGGCTGAACATTGTGGAAATAATAATAATAAAAATACAAATAAAAAAGAAACAAGCGTCGCAAGCACAAAGGGGACGCATTATACTATGTAGTCTTGTAGTATTTCTAATCTATAAACGGGGACGTCACACTTCAAGTTATAATACTATTCCTCCCCAGGATCTATATTCTTGCAGCGCAGTAAAAATTCTGGGTCTTGTCATTGTCATGCCAGAATAAATATAAATCACAACTGATGTAATTATTCATAAGGATTTCCCGGCTCAAACTTCGGCCCCCACAGACCCTTCTCTTCCTTGACCTTCAACTGCAGGCCCTTCGTGATACCATAAACAGTCTTTAGTGTAGGTGTAGGGATATTCAATTTCTCTGCCTCACGCAATGGCTCAGAAACAATGTTCTCAATCTCCATAAGATTTCCCTTCTCATAGTCCTGGCACATACTCGGCTTGAAAGCTGTATCATTCGGATCCTGATGAGTGACAGCATGAATAAGATCAGGCTGCAGTGTAACTCCTTTAGCTTCGGCAACAGCCCGAATCTCCAGTACGATAGGCACAATCAAGTCATCAACGATATGTTTGCTCATTTTAATGCGAGGAACGTCCATGCGCAAGATAGTAGCCACGGGGTTCATTGATGCATTATACGCGATTTTGCGCCAGCGGATCTTGTCAATTTCAGGTGCGTAGATGACATCCAGTTTGCCGTCTGGGTTATATATCTGTACGTATTGCTTTGCGGCGGCTTCGGCGGCTTCAGTGGGAACTTGGGGACTGAAAAATGCGCCGATCTTCTGGCAATCGTCGTCGTCTGGTAGATCTCTGCAAGTGCTGTTTCTGTTGCACCGGTATATGCGACACTGCTAATTAGAGTGTTTGTTGGGAACCGGGTAATAAGAGGTTTCTCGATGTTGATGCCGTTTTGAGAAAGTACATTGGCTGTTTTGCCTGGGGTGACGGCTGGGGCAATGATGTCCGCAACTGTTGGAGGGGCATCAGGGATACTCTTGGTGGTGACGAGGATGTAGTCGAACGGTTGAGTGTCTTCTTTGGAGACATCTGGCACGCTCTTTGTAACTTTTAACGAGTTAGATTAGTTTCTCTGAAAAGAAATCGGATTTTGATTGCAAGTAAATTCGACGTACTGGCAGTTGGTTTCCAGGCCTTGATTTGACCAAATTGCACGGAGTCGATATCGATACCATTTTTCATTGCGGCCTCGTAATTCGATCGCATTACGGCCGTGACTTCAGCAAGGCCTCCCTTCTCCAGATGGTATGCCGATACGGTGCCTATGCCACCAGTGCCAACAAGGAGAACTCTGCTCTTGGTCATGATGAAATATAGTTGCTTTACATGAAAGTCCGCAGATTGAGGGCAATGGTTAAAAAGTAGCTGTGGCCAAGAAAAGCCAACTCGCTACTATATAGGTTTTGAGGGGCTGCGGGTTCATTAGTGTTTTGCTCACCCCGCTACGCGCTAATTGAATATAGGAAGTTATCGCCAGCAGATTAGGTGGGGGGGGGGGGGGGGGGTTTGGTTATGGATGACTTCTGTTCCGGGGGACAACTGCCACTTTGATTTCGGAAAGGCTTGCTGGTTGAAAATTAGCAACGATAAGGCTAGATCATGGTTTTCTTATTTGAATTTAGGTAATAAACTTTAAGTGCGATCTTCCTTCGACCCCTCGCGCTGCGCTGCCAGTTATTTCCTGTCACGTTTCCTGCGACATTGAATGAGCCTCTTCGGATATCATTGTACAACCACGGCAAAATAATCAAGAAAGAAAAAGAATTCGGCCTGCCATTTCGCTCAAAAAATCTCAATCACACCTTCTCTACGTGTAACGCGTCCGAGTTAGTCGTACCTTTATCCGAGTTCTCCGTGATGTTGTTTCGTTCGTTTTCATTCGAATCCGACGAATCATCGTTGAAACTGCGTTTCCCAACTCTAGTTCTCCACGCAGGCGTGTTAGAATTAAGAGATGCATCCACCTCCTCCAAAGTTCTTCCAGCAGTCTCTGGGAAACAAAAGAATACATGCACAGTCATGGCAAAGCAAAAAACACCGAAAATTAGGTAGGTCTTCCACTTGATGTTAACAAAAGCTGGCGGGGTATAATAGCTCAGAGCAAAATTGAAAATCCAGTTACTGGAAGTAGCAAGGGCGACAGCTTTGCCTCTTAGTCTCAGCGGGAAGAGTTCGGGAGGATAAACCCAGCTGATCGGACCCCAGCTCGGGGCAAACGAAGCGACGACTAGATATGAGCATGCAATAACGACTTTCGCTGGGCCCCCTGTGATAGACCAGCTTTCTTCAGGCACATTGTCTATGCCACCTGGCGGAGCTGCATGACCGTATCCTCCCATGAGCCCGGCACAAATAAACCACCAGACGGTTAAAGAGACACTGGCTGACAGTAGAATAACTCGGCGGCCTATGCGGTCAACAAGGAATAGCGTCGGAATTGTCATGATAACATTGATCACGTAACTGATGGAGGATGCCACCAAGTTTGAATTTCCACTGAGACCTGCCATGCCGAAGACGAATGTGATATCTGTTTCATGGTTTATTAGTTTCTTTGCCTCAACTTTATCAAATGGAAAGCGCATACTTACAGTACATGATGACATTAATTCCTGTCAGCTGAGACCATATCTGTACAAACATACCAATATGAACACGCCAAAGCATCTTTGGCTCAATAAGTTCACCGAATGAAACATCCGAGTGGAGACGCTCATCATCACAGGCCTCCCTAAGTTGTCTCATTTCTAAGCTCACAAAATCGTCGCTCTCATGCTTGCCAGAATGGATTAACTGTAAGATTTGTTGACATTCCTCCCAGCGATCGTTTCGTGCAAGCCACCGCGGAGATTCTGGTAGCCAGAACAGACCCACGATCAAAACAAATGCGGGTAACATTTGAATTCCCCATGGTACTCGGAAAGCAGCAGGCCCAGACATAAACGAGCACCCATATGAGACATAAAACATGATAAGAATTCCCCATGTAATAGCCCACTGTTGCGTACCTACAACAAGTCCTCTTCTATTTGGAGGCGCAAGTTCAGAAACATAGACCGGGACTTGTGCTGAACAAATTCCTACACAGACGCCATTGATAAAGCGGCCAACGATTAACATGGGGTAGTTCTGCGCTGCACAGGAGATAGCACTTCCAATCACCCAGATCACAGAGCCGATCTGGATTGAGGACTTGCGACCGAACCTATCGCTGAGAAATCCCGAGACAAGAGAGCCGACAAACGAACCGCCCGGCATAGATGCTGTTATTCCGCCTTGTACAGTAGAAGATGGGCCCGAGCAGTTGGGCGAGTCATTGAATGGGGGCCCATGAGGCCCTTGGTTGAAGTAGCATCTGTACTGATTTGTTCCAATGCTGATTTAATATTAGCTCATGATGTCGATTTGAAAGATTATTATGCTTTGAAACTCACATCGCGGACATAGAGGACAAATCGAAACCAAACAATGCCCCTCCGATCACGGATATTGCCGTGATAACATATAGATTTGTGATCATATCGTCGAGTTGAAAGTCAAAAGCTTTACTTCCAAGACTCTGTCATAAATTATGAAAATAAAAAGAAGACTCTTTCCCCAGTGTTAAAGCAAAGGAATTCGTGGATCTTAATATACAATCGACCTGCCCCAGATGTCAAGTTCCCCAGAAATGACGAGGCCCTAATTTCCCCAGATTTGAGCTCGTGGGGAGATTCCGGGGAAGTATCGGGGTGCGTTTACATCTATAGCCATACCTCCGGCCGCAGCTCTCGACTCTCACAGACGATAAAGTGAAAGTTCGGCATATTGGTGTTTTTCGGGGATGTTGCCCCACTTTTAAAACTCTATGGCGTGTCAAAGTCCAATGAGAACGTCATCTGAGAGGATGCGTAAATGTGGGGACGGCTATAGATGGAGTGTGGTTTACATGGTGATAACCTCGGATATGCGATGGAAAGTCTTTCCGGAATCAAGGAGGTACAATTTCCGTAGGCCCGCGAGTTTATGAAAGCGCAATTACCACAGGGTAGTCAGGCTATCCAAGCTTGACTAGTAATTTGGGCCAAATTCGGACTCTGCTTATAGGGACTTTTTCAACCAAGACGATATGGAATCATTGAGTATGATAGATGGCTGGCAAAAAAGAACTGAAATCATCATGAAAAGAAAACTTTATTAATTCAACTTCAAATGTCAGACACATCGGTTTGACCTCCACGGCTTTTTCTGGCGCTCCAACGGTCTTCAATAATGTAGAATATCATGGTATTTCTGAGCCATTCCTCATATACCACGCATGAAGTATCAGTGGACAGTGGCTTCGTGCTGTGCCACAATGCAACGCAGCTATGCGATAGCATTGTAACTGCAACGATGTCTTTAGGGTCTTTAGTGTACACATTCCAAGCGACTTGGTGTGTCTGAAAATGTGCTCGCGCCATAAGCGTTCCCGGAGGCGAGATGTGCATCGGCCACCACCAGGAAGAATGTCAAACAGTGACTGATCTGCAGCGAGACGGGTATAGAATAAAGTCAACCTGCGTAAAATTTCTTTTTAAATATTAGTCTCATTGTGGATCTTAGGCTCTGTTTGTTTGTTTTTTTCTTTATTTTCATCAATAAGAAACTAACCTCGAGTCATAACAGGATCTCTATTCTCTTGTTCACCTTCTTCCCATATATAATAACTACATACGTACAGGTTCTGGTGAGTACTCATTATTGGAAAGCCAAATATTTGTCAGGGTGTGGTGGACCTCATCCGTTATGTTCCTCGGGGTGTATCTTCTCAGTACGGAATATCAAGCCTTCGGTTACAGATGGTTCAAGACCCGTTCATGTGGGGAATCAATATCGGTTATAGAAGCTCTCAAACTTTGAATCTTCTTTCATGATTTATTCATTCCGCTCTAAATATTAGCCTTCTATAGGTAGATACCACGAAATTGGAAGCAAATCTACATAGTGCTGACGTAGCCAGAGTACAATTGGGTTGATGGAAGGATGCGGGAAATGAAGAGTCCTGTGTACCCACCGGCCACAACCTCAGTCCAAGGCATCGTCTAACTTCACTGCTCAGGTGTTCCAACAAACTTTCGGCAATGGGCGGATTTAAAAAAGTGCTTTCAGTTGCCCTGTGTTGATGTCTTTACTCTATCGTATGAAAGGATCATGCGGGGTTCGATTGGCATGAGTTCTATATAAGCGATACCCCGCACTATTCGAGCTACCTGAAATCCAAAAGATCATTATCCAAACCCTGGAAGTCTGTAAGCGAGGCATTTATCAAATAAATCAACGGAAAACTTGAATACATTCAGCATGTCGACCACCACCACCACGGGTACTACTCGGAACACCACCCAATTCTCTCATATCTCCGTGAGACCACTTCACTCTACTTTCGCTGCTGAAGTTAGTGGTGTAAATTTTGCGTCTCCTTTGAGTGACGAAGTGTTCCAAGAGATTTATCAAGCTGTAACCAAGGTATATTCCAGTCCATCCCACTTGAGGTTCCTCGCGATTTTGATCTGACGAGCTCTTGCAATCCAGTATGGAGTTGTAGTCTTTCGCAGCACTGGTCTGAATGATGAAGGGCACATTGATTTCTCTCGAAAATTTGGAGAGTTGGATGATGTGACCCCATACATTACCAAGGGTCGTCAAAACCGACTCAAACATATTGAACTTTTCGATGTCAGTAACGTCGAGGCCGACGGAACTATTCTCAACCCCGACAGCTTCCGCGGACAGGCCAACAGGGTACGTCTCACAAATCATTCCTATCAAGATGTATTTGATTCTGATGACAATTCTTGCATAGGGAAATGATCTTTTCCATGTTGACTCGAGCTTCAACCCTCGTCGCGCCGGGTACTCGTTACTTCTGGCACACGAGCTTCCTCCACGCGGTATGGGCGGTCACACTGCATTTGCAGACACACGAACAGCCTTTGAAAGCCTCTCTCCGGAACTCAAAGAAGAACTTCTAGCCAAGGACTATGTGGCCTGTCACTCGATGTTCCACTCTCGAAAGCTGGCTGCGCCCGGGGCCTTCGCTGACCTAGAGCCCCTTGATTACCCCATGGGACGACACAAGCTCGTGCAGCACCATGAAGCCTCCGGCCGTATGAACTTGTACATTGCAGCACATGTTCACCATCTTGAAGGTGTTGCTTCCGAAAAATCGCAAGAGCTGTTTGACAAGCTGTATAATTATGCCAAACGCGATGAAAACACAGTCGAAATCGAGTGGCAGAACGTTGGTGATCTGGTCATCTGGGATAACACTTGCACAATGCACCGGGCTGTTGGAGGTCCTTTCCTTCGCAAGTACAAGCGCGATATGAGACGGACTACTGTGCATGATTCGAGTTCTACTGCGTGGGGATTGAATGAGCATACCAACGTCCGACAAGGCCTTCCTTGAATTTGCAAATTGTACATCCAATATTTCCAGTGTTTTTTAGTACGTTAGCTTTGAATAATTCAGTATCAATCAATTGGTAAATTCAATTTTGTCATATTTGCTTTTTGACCTCCTAGGAATAACACCGAGGCATTTGTTTTCCATTGGCTTAGACCGCTCCATACTAGTGATCGGCTTAATTCTTTATGTGTACAAATTCTCGGTTAGTAGCTCTCGTCGCTGTATTATGTTTATAGTATACTACGTTGAAGAGTTCGTTTCTTAATATTCAACGAAAGATAGTTGGGCGTTTGAAGTTTTCCTGAATATCCTACAGTAGATAACTCCAGGGTTCAGTACGGGGGACCATAGCGGCCAGAGGGTTTTTAGGCCTCATCCTCAACCCCAACCTCTCCCCTTCCTCCATTTCTTCCTATTTTTCTCTCTTTTCCATCCGGATAAACTTCTATCGGCAAGTTTGATTTATCAATATCTAGAACGCGTCTTTGTGTTCACAGGTTGTGTCTAAATCTATCCAGGGCCGATATCAAATGCATTTGATTAAAAAACTTTAAGGTGTGGAGGCTGCTGCTTACCATGATACTGGTAGCCTATTGCGGATTAACACCATTCAGCTTGTGAATTCCGAACAATTTTACATCTCGTTATGAATAAATATAGCAACTTGAATCTAATCAAATCTATCTCCAGGGTTATATTATTATATCCCCTTAGAACGGCTATGTACATGAGCACAAGTCTAACACCACCCGTCCCTGCAGCTTTCCTTCCTTCATTTCCTTGAAGACACTGCCAATATTTTCAACTTTCTCAAGGCGGAACGGGGTTGTCGCAACTCGCTTGGCCATATTCAATGTTTCAATAGCGTCCCGGCGATTTCCCACGGTACTTCCAACGATTGCCAGCTGCTTTCCAACCAGTGCATGAGGAAAGGCGTTTGCGATTGGCTTCGCATCATATGGAACACCCACGCAAACAAGTGTACCGTTAAACTTCAAATAGGACAATGCCTCACCATATGCAGCGTTACTGGCGCTGCAAATTACAGACGCCGCAGCTCCCACACCACCGGTAATTTTCAAAATCTCATCAGCAACGCTCTTGCCATCGGCTGTTGGATACTTTGAAATATCAACAAAAGCCTCAGCACCGCATTGTTTCACAAATTCTTCTTTGTGCCCCATATCCAAACCAATGATCCTGTATCCCATTCCTCGGCCTCCAAGTTGCACTGCGAGATGGCCAAGTCCACCACCGGCTCCGGCAATGACTACCCAATCTCCAGCTTGAGCCCTACTTTTCTTGAGAGCCGAGTATACAGTCACGCCACCACAGAGCAGAGGTGCCGCAATCTCACTGGAAAGTCCATCTGGGATGGGTGTTACGTAGTGTGCGGGAGCCAGGGCATATTCTTGGAATGTACCAGGACATGTAAATCCGGATATCACTGCATTGTCACACACACCGTCTGCTCCGGCTAAGCAAGGCATGCAGTTTCCACATGCTGACGCGATCCACTTGATTCCTACACGATCGCCAATCTTGACACCTGAAGCCTCGCATGATTGTCCTAGCTGGGCAACAATGCCGACGCCCTCGTGGCCACCAATTTGTCCGGCTTTGATGGTTTCGGGGAGCCAACTCCACTAGGAAACGCGATGTTAATTATGTCTTCCAGTGGATAGTTCTTGTTCTTGGATTTAACGACATACGGTTTTTGTCATGAGACTAAGGTCGGAGTGACATACTCCAGAATGGGTCCTGTATTGATATGTCAATATTCTTACGTTCACCTGGTATCGGGTAGCTTCACTTACATTTTGATCAGAATCTGCCCAGGTCCTGGGGTGGGAGTGTTCACTTCCACTATGCTCGTGGAAATTTCTCCAGGCTTATCGTAGACGATAGCCTTGTGGGTTATGGGAATCTGCATTTTGGACAAGTGAACGATTGAGATGGATTTTCAGTTCTTGATGGCGAAAGAGGCAAGCAAAGACATAAAAAAATTTGAATTTTTGTCAACAGCGACTGCTGCACTTTATACGGTGTTAAATTCATCCATTCCATTTCCAATCCCGTTGAAAACGACCTCGGGAGAAGATTGTGGAGACATGGTCCGGGGTATGGAGTAATGGGCCCATACTAATTTTTCCATCTACAGCCGTCGTCCGACGGTCCAAAATACATACCACTCCTTACCACCCTCCACAAGTCTCTATTTTACGGCACGGCTATAGATGCGTGGGAAGAAACCATTGCAATGGAATTCCCCGGCGTTTTCATGCGAAGAGGTGCGTGCTGAGAATCCACACGAGCATCCATCCATAAAATGGGTCCTTACGTGTGGACCAATACTTAAACCACCCTCACTTCCATTACATTTGAATTCAAACACCTGACAAGATTCACATTACCCAAAATGACACGAACGGATCTCAATTTCGAAGTTTTCTGCAACATCGTCAATGGCGAGCGCCGCAGCTCCGACAAAACAACATCCAGCGTCGATCCTTCGACGGAGTCCAAGCTATGGGACGTACCTGTAGCCAGCCCACAAGACATTGAGGATGCTATCCGCTCCGCGAATGAAGCCTTCAAACTCTGGTCCGCCACACCCTTTGAAGAGCGAATCAACAAGCTAGCACAATGGAGGGATCTCTACATGTCATATATGGAAGACTTCACCAAGTTACTTATGGCGGAGTGCGGAAAGCCATATGCTGTGGCATCCGGCGAGGCAAATGAGATTTTGGCTCTCTTCAAGCACAATCTTGAGCTTCGCATTCCAGAAGAGCGAATTGAGGACGAGACACGTATTCAGACTACTCGGCATGTTCCTGTTGGTGTCGTTGCCGCCATTTGCCCATGGAACTTCCCTATGGTTCTCTCGGTCGGAAAGATCATACCTGCTTTGTTGACCGGATGTACTATCATTGTGAAGCCGTCACCCTTCACACCTTACTCTGCACTCAAGATGGTCGAGCTTGCCCAGCAGATATTCCCTCCCGGTGTGGTGCAAGTTATTGGTGGCGACGATTCTATTGGTCCCGCACTTGTTAATCATCCCAATATCAACAAAATCGCTTTTACGGGGTCCAGTGCTACCGGGAAGAGAATCATGGCCTCCGCTGCTGGAACCTTGAAGCGCGTGACTCTGGAGTTGTAAGTACATTCTTCGCAAAACTTATTCAACCCCACTTTTGCTAATAATTTTCAGGGGTGGCAATGATCCAGCTATCATTTATCCCGACGCTGATATCGAGAAGACTGCCCCAGAAGTCGTTCAAGGATGCTTCGTCTTCACTGGCCAAGTCTGTGTCGCCACAAAGCGCGTATATGTCCACGAGAGTATTTATGACCCTTTTCTACAAGCCATGGTTGATGCCGCTTCCCGGTTGGTTGTTGGAAAGGCAAGTGATCCTACCACGACGATGGGTCCCATGCAAAACAAAATGCAATACGAGAAGGTAAAAGAATTGATCAAAGACAGCGAAGCCCAAGGATACAAGTTTGCTCTTCCACCCCAATCCATTGCCTCCGACAAAGGATTTTACCTCGCCCCAAGTATTGTCGACAACCCACCTGCAACATCTCGAATTGTCACCGAGGAGCAATTTGGTAAGCCCCACGCATTGAATGCGGATATCTTCACTCTTTGTCTTACATCAAGTTCTAACATTTTTGAAAATCAGGCCCAATTGTGCCGGTTCTCAAGTGGTCCGACGAGGCGGATGTTATCGCCAGTGCAAACGGAACTACCTCCGGACTCGGCGCTTCGGTGTGGAGTGGTGATGCCGCTCGTGCGGAACGAGTTGCTCGATCAATGCAAGCTGGAAGTGTTTTTGTAAATTCTTGGGCGAAGACAACACCCCGCGCAATGTTGTCAGGACACAAGGAGAGTGGGCTGGGAGGGGAATGGGGCTCCACTGGATTTCTCGAATACTGTAACACCCAAGTTGTACATGTTTTTAAATAGCCCTAGTGTAGTAAATGAATCTGATTAGACGGATTCTATTGCGAGATTTTTCTTATTTTTATTTGATAGAAGATGTGTGCTTTCAGATCCACTAGCTGCGTAGCGAAGATGCCTCTCTGCTCTACTTCATCCTCTTTCTCGGGTAGCCCAGTCCATCTAGCTGTATAAAGATCTATTCGGTATGATTGTAAAAGATAAGGTCAAAGTATATTTAAGTATAAACTGAGAGCAAAATCCGGCAAGAGATGAGCAATAAATCGAAATGGGAAAGACTGTTAAAGCTAGGACCATGGGTGAGATTGGACAACGCCACGGCTGGTTCCATCTATTGCCGAGGATTATTCAAATGTGGGGAAGCAGCACTTGACGTTCCCCAGATCGGATTTGCCCCGACTCCAAACTCCTCCCACTTCACCATCACGATTATACGGACAAGTACAATGACTCGCAGTCAAAACGTTCGTGCTTACCGTGCATGTCAACGATGTCGTCAACGAAAGCTCAAATGTGATCAGTGAGTGGATATATGTACCTCTGAGTCTGTTCTAAATATTTCCCAAGAAGCCTTCCCGCTAACATTACGGAGGACAAACGCACCGGACGGAGCATCAATCTCATGTGTACAATGCCTCCGAGCTGGGAATGAATGTGTACTTGCCGGATCGCGGCGAGGGGGCGACTTCTCACGATTTCGTGGGTCGCAACAGAAGCAGAACTCCACACCAGTCGTCCGCCGCCCGGGAATAAAGCAGAGGTCTACCGATCGACCAAACAAAGACTCAGGGAAAGGAGATGAGGATCCGATATACGCCGAGCTCACTAATCCAGGCGATGCTCTCCAGATACTTGCTCGGCTTGCAGCGAACGATCACCGAGTTTCCAATTTGCCCAACTCCACGGCTTCAGATGCATTTGGCTCTTCTGTTTCGGATGGACCACCGAACGTGGCATCCGCAGGGAGTAGTCCTGCAAATCCGATAGCACCTCCTATGCTGCAGTCGACGCTTTCCGAAACAGAAACATTGGTGATTGGTGTGTTGGGTATAGACACGGTGAACATCTTGGTCCAACAGTAAGAACCATAACTATCTCGCTCAAAAGCATTCACCTTTCTAACGTGTTCATATTTAGTTACGCAGCCACATACCACACATTCTGCCCCCTCGCAACGAGAAAAGTCATAGCAACAACCGATCCGCGCAAAACAGCAGTAGAGGAGCCCTTCCTCTTGACTGTAATCTTGACCATCGCATCCAAAGATGAGACCGCATACAGAGAGATCCATCAACACTGTTGGAAATATTTGAAAAGGCACTTGCTTGACGTATTACTTGCCACACCGGCGACTTTGAGGGTGGGATCAGTCGAGGGTCTTTTGCTTCTCGCAGAGTGGGTTCCCTACTTACAGCTGGAAACATGCTCTTATCCCAATATGTTCCCGATGAACCTCAGTGCTGTGGAAGATAACATGGCTTGGTCTCTTATTGGACAAGCAGTGAGGCATTCCTATCTGCTCCGTCTAGATAAGGCATCCTTTCGGGAGACAGCAATGGGCGAGACGCAGGAACTAGAGAATCGAAAGCTATTAGCATGGATATGTACGTCTGCCCATCCCCTGTTTCTAACTTGTACAGTGTCTTATCTGTTATTGCAGTTGTGTACATCTCCGACCGGCAGATATCTGTCCGAATGGGTCAATCTTTCTGGTCCCGCGGGCCATCTCTTTCCACAAACTTCACGGCGAACGACTTCCCAAGTCTTCGGCTTCCAGCAGATGCAGAGCACAAATATGCACATGTTCTTCAGGCTACAATAGAGCTCACTCAGCTTCTCCATAATGTGCATGACATACTGTACGCATCCAAAGAACGCAGAGCCCAAATGGTACGACGGGGAGACTACAATCGCTATCTCGATGATTTCCGACAGTCCATCGCAGCATGGGAAGAACGATGGGATAGTCTTGAAGCATCGCCAAAGCTAAACAGCACTATGCACATATTCAAAGAATATGTCCGTTTATATGCGAGTGCTTTCTCCTTCCAGTCACTTCTTTCAAAAGCTATGCATCTTGACCGAAGAGAGCCAGGCCCTCTCACATCAGGGCCAAACGATGTCGCCTCACTGTTCCCGCGAGGAATCTTGTCCACTGCAGAGGGCACATACATTCTTGAATCAGTGGATGCTGCTCGAAGAATTCTAACAATAGCGGTCCAGACGAGCTCTGAAGCACAGATTCGCTATATGCCATTCCGATTTTACGTGTAAGTTTCCCTATATCTCTTTCGTACTTGGTGTTGAGACATATATTTCCGCTTCTCTTCGCACACTTTGACTAACTCTGTCTTATATAGGTACACCGTCTACTCCGCCGTTTTCCTATACAAAGCCGACGTATTCGGTGCGCTAGTGAGCACGGAATATACAGAGATAGCCTACTTGGTTCAACAATACATTCAAGCGCTGGAGCAAGCAGCGATCAGCGAGTTCCATATTGCTAGCCGTTTTGCAAGCTTGCTCAAGCGTATGTGGGCTTCCGACAGGCAGCAATCTTCTAGAGGGAGAGACGCGCCTTTCGATGTCATGAACAGCATCAGCCGTCTCCGACAGCCACCGCAGGCTTACGAGCCTCTTCAAAATATTGACACGATCGACGATCGGAACCGCCGTTATGCTCCATTTGATACGAGACTTCCAGAGCCGTGCTTTATTCCTACACCTGATTTCAATATGTTTTGTCCCGAGTTCTCAAGCCTAGAGTCTGAGTTAGTAGAGCTTGGCATGGGATCTCTCAATGATTCTCTATGAATGAAGCAAAACTTCTGCGTTCATGTAAAAGATCCAGACATTGAAAGTGCTTTTACAGTCTTTTTTCCTTCTTTTTCTCTCTCTTCTTTCTTCGGCTACTTTTTATGTATCTTGCGTTTCACCCGGAGACATTGGTAGATTATTGTAAAACAAGCGAAGGGTCCCATACATCGCTCATAAATCGCTGGATGATAAGCCAGCACCATAGATGACGCGTGTAGAAGGGACTAGGGGATATTGTGGAGTCTGTACTCGCAACTAAACGCGTTGACGCACATGTCAGAAGCTCTTCTGGACAGACTCGACTACGTCAAGCTGCAAGGGGGAGAAATGCAGCGGTGGTAGAAATGTTGCTTCGATCAGGCCTCATTGATATTCATGCAAGGGATCTCCTCAATCGAACACCTCTATTATTAGCTGCAGAGTCGGGGCATGAATCTGTTGTGGAACTATTGCTGGCAAAAGGAAATGAAGATTTGAATGTTGAGGAAAATAGGCATGGCCGAACGGCGCTCATGAAGGCAGCAGAGGAGGGCCATAAACGCATTGTGAAACGATTACTTCAGATGGAAGACATCGACGTGGAGGGCTGTGATTACGAGGGAAATACAGCATTAGCACTTACTGTTCGAAATGGCCATAAAGCGGTGGCCAAATTGCTGCGAAGGCATACCGAGTCCCGGTAGCTGATCTGCAAAGTCTATCTAAAATTTCACTATCATACCCGCTGCATTTCATATCTATTCTGGCTTCAAGGTTTAACTCTAGGGCGCGTGGAGGATCCAGCACGCTATGCTGCACAGCATACAATGGAAAACAAGTACATTACGTTCAATGGCCCCTAACGAGGACCCCGGGTCCGTACCGTAGTCGCTGGATGGGGCGTTGGGGACAACGAAGCCCCTGTCAATGGGTGATCCACATCATTTTCATAAGGCAAATTTCTCCTTTTTCCTAGACTTATTCATTTTCCCCGTCCCATTATTTACTTTAACCATTTTGAAAATTATTAGCTCAGCTTCATGGTCATATGAAAGGTTCTCAAAAATATTAATTCCTGCCGTGTCTAGGCGAGGTCACTTGCATATGCGAACACGAACAGGTTATTTTGTGCAAACCATAACCCCTATTCCTAATTAAGCTTCCAGGATTTAGCTTGATCCACATATCTGCCGATCCCTGCACACAAGCTCTGAATTGGCATCTAGTCAGCCAGTCCGACTGGCCATGCCTTGCATTGTTACGCTACTCGGAGTACTAGCTATAATCAGCTCTCAGGGTGGAGAGGTCACGACTGATCAACAAAAAGTGACAAGATGCCGAACTCTTCCGACGGGAATTGGCCGAGTTGGGCTGTATCTATGAGACCGAGCCCTTTTCGACAATCCTAAGATACTCCACAGAAATTACAGGGCTTATGGAACGATTTCAATCTACAAAAACAGCAACTTTAGGAGTTACTGGCACAAAAAATATGGAGCTTCAGAAAAATATGATCTGGACAATGGGTGAGACCGGCATCAGCCGTGTCGTTGTCCACTTTACGGAGCATCTAAGATCCACATTGGGGGCCGCTTCAACACGCCACCATGGACCGTGACTCGGCAAGATCCACATGTTGCAACCTTCCCTGGCAATTGGAGAAATGATGTGCTCCGTGTGTAGCGCTTGGGGTCGATCGGAGGATTGCTCTTGTAGATCTCAAGATGGCAGATTTTTTTAATTGTTTTCCGTCGCGATCTATTGCCGAACGATTGAATTTTCATAATCTGTGTTTTCATTCATACCAGCAAATATGGAAGACACAGTATCGAAAACATTGGCGACCTTCATGGAGGAAGATGGAGGGTTTCCTAATGACAACATCTTCAACACACTTCTCCCAATTGCTCGTGAAATAGACCAAGCCATCTTTCATGACCCCACGAAGGGCGTCAATGCCACATATGACCAATTCATCACTGATGTGATTCATACGCGCCACCAATTGAGACAACATCTCTCGACATACCTTGACCCTGAAAATCCCACAATCTTTGGGGACTCAGTGTTGATTTGCACATTATCCCACGCCAACTACGAATATGCAGTTGCCGCATTCGCAATTCTAGCCCTTGGAGCGACACTTGTGCCCATACGTACGTGAATCCGCGGCTCTAGCCACAACAGTTCCTTGAACAAATCCATGCAGACAAAAACTAACCTTTTCAATTTTTCAGCAACAAATACCAGCCCCGAGCTTCTTCTGCACCACCTTCGCAGAAGCCCCGTCAAATATGTCCTTGCGAGCGCCGACTTCCGCGAAACAGCAAGCCAATTTCAGGCATTCGCAAACCAGAACTTTCTCCCAGAAATCCGAGTCGAGTCAATCCCAACCATGAACACCTGCCCCGCCACCTTATGGGATCTACCAAACCTCCCAATTTCCGAAAAAACTACCATTCCAGAATCCCGTCCCGGTATCATCTTCTTCTCCTCGGGTTCAACCGGAGTACCCAAAGGCATCGTTCACAGCCGAGCCTATTTCTACGACCGACCTCGTCTTGACTCCGATGAAGGCTTCTTCGTCCATCGACCTGCCAGTTGGCTCGCAGGAACAATGCCACTAGTAGCTGCCATTCTGGGCGGTGCCCGTGCCGAGATTATTAGCCCTTATGCGCCGGGTCAGGAATTTTGGGATCGTCTACGAACGGATAAAGTCACTAGAATTACTTCGACGGTAGTGCTCTGGGAGAAGCTGGCTCACCATTTCAAGGATCATCTTATGGATCACCCTGAGAGGGAAGATTATGTTGCTGGGCTGCATCATTTGCGTTCTCCTATGATTGGTGCTAGCGTACCGGTTCCTTCTTTATTGAATTTCTATCGTCATGAATTGAAAAAGCCACTTTCGCATCGGTATGGCTCGACGGAAACTGGCAAGCTAATCGCTGGAATGACGGATGAAGAGGATGCCAGTATTGAGGAGCATGTGAGTACATACAACAGCTTGGTGATTCAAGGTCAAATTTCGGTTAACAAATAAATTTAGCGATGCATTGGGAGACAGCTATTCCCAGAACACCCTTTCAAGATTTCTGATGAGGGAGAATTGTTAATTGGAGGATTGACGACTCTTCTTGGGTATGTCAAGGTTTCCAATTTCTACTCTACGTCCTCGGATTTTAACCTTCTTCAGATATTTGAACGACGAAGCTGCAACCAAGAAAGCTATCGATGAAGAAGGATGGTTCCATACAGGAGACTTATGTCACAAAAATGGAGATTATTATTTCTTCGACGGTCGGGCATCTGCAGACTGTGAGTCTCACCCATTATTCCCATCAAACCTCTACTAACAATACGCAGTCATCAAAACTGCTGGCGGTCCAGTCCCAGTGTGCCAACTCGAAGATGTGGTTCAAAACCTTAAATACTTCAAAATGGCATACGTTATCCCCGTAGAGGATGAAGTGGTGGGACGAAGAGTTGGAGTTATTGCTCGACCTGCCGCAGAACCAGTTGATATTCACAGAGTACGAGCTGATCTCGCAGCTCTAGTTCTGCCTCACATGCTTCCCAGTGCGTTACGTTTACTTGAGGAACATGAGACCATGCCATTAACGTACACGGACAAAATTTCGAAGAAGGGAGTTATGAAGAAGTTCTTCGCTTGCGATGCCGAAGGGAAGCTCCCGCAGGATGTGGAGTTGATAGATCTCGAGTTCAAATAATCAGATTGCAAGAAAAGTTTTTATATTATGGTATCAATGACATTTAACTTTTATCTGGGGTTAAATTACATTTTAATCCATCCCAACTCGACTTTTTCTTAATTTCTCCCCGTATTTGTAGAAGAAAAGAGGTGAGAAGCCGAAGATAATGGCTAGGAATGCAAGTAATGTGTTACCCCATCCTAGGCCTATCCGGTCATAGAGACCTAGTCCTCCGAGAGGAACGAGACCACCAGCAAGACTGCGAACAAGACTATTAGCTGCAAGGGCACTAGATGCGTAAACAGTAAACCCGTCGACAAGGTAAGTTTGGATAGCAGCCTAAGAGGCCCATTAGTTTGAAGAACAATGTTAATCAAGGGGTAAAGGGACGTACAAAACATCCCATCAGACTGAATCCACAGAACCCAGTTCCAATAATAGGCACTATCCAATGAACATGGTATTGTGCTGTCCACCCGTAAATGATGAGCCCGATTGGCATCGCAATAGCGCTGGGCAATAATGCAGGCAATCGATATCTAGTCAAAGAAATCAATAAGTCAGAACATGGCACTGTTATCCGAAGATAGGTATTCAACATACTCAGGCTTCATTACTTGATGCTTTTCAGTCAGTTTAGCAGATATCTGATCGCTATATCGACCAAAGAGTGCCATTCCTAAGGCACTCCCGACACCAAGCCCCAAATACGAAAGACCAGCAATTCCCTCCTTGAACCCATATGTGTCCTGGAAGACAATAGAAAAGGTCGTAAACAAGACGTAGATGATACCATACACAACAGCCATGTATAATGAAGTTCCAAGGATGATAGGGTTGAAAAGCATACGAATTGGCCGAGTGATAGAAGTTAATAAGAGGTGGCGTAAGCTTTTCGGCGATTTGCCTTTAGCTTGATATAGATCGCCTGTCTCCCGGCTCAGTTTGCGAGCTTTCCATTCCAGCAAAACAGGAGAATAAGTTTCTCGAAGAAAAGCGAAACAACAGATATTGGTCACGCCGCTCTGTCATATTTTAGAATAAAATCTCCAATTGGAGGGAATTTAAGGACAATTTTGTAACATACCATAATTGTCAAGATCCAAAAGATCCATCTCCAGCCTTTAGCCTCTGCCAGGAATCCACCCACCACGGGGCCCAAAACAGGGCCCATCAGCATACTTGCGGAGAAGATACTCATGATTCTGAAAGATACGTTAGATCTTCTTGCTCACATCTAGACTGAATGTCGATTATCGTATTTAGCCAAGATAGTCTCATGGAACGTACAATCCTCGTTTTTGGGGAACGACAAGATCCGCAATAGTGCCCCCACCATTCGTCAGAGGCGCACCTCCAAAAAAGCCCGCAGCAACACGAAAAGCTAACAAGGCGCCAATATTTGGAGACAATCCACAGCATGCCGTGAAAACTGTGAAAAGAATATTTGAGACATGATAAATTATGTTACGGCCGTATACCTCAGAAAGAGGAGCAAGGATTAAGGGGCCTAGACCGAAGCCGATAATCTAGAGAGATGAGCGGATGAAGTGAAGAAATCCCATGAATCAGCTGTTACTTACATATATTGAGACTGTAAAGCTAAGAATTGTATCGGATGTGCCTGGAAAGTCTTTGCCAATGTTTAGCAAGGCCGGGGACATCATAGACGAGGCGAATGGCCTAGTAAGACCCAACTGTCAGCAAGAAGGCCATACCGAGGTTGAAAGATCAAATAAACCATACGTTGTGAACCTCATAGCACAAACAGCAGTGATAATTCCTCTCTTCTTCCATTTTGGCCAATTGATCGGTTTGTTGGGGTCACCGGGGCCGTCCCAGTCCACCTCGTGGACAACTTGTCCAGCGTCTTCCTCTAGATCGGAGATAGAGTTGGACATTATGCTGGCACTGTTTCCCGATGTCTAAGTGAAGGCAAACGTAAAAGCCCGAAAGTTTCTCTATTAAAAAAACAAATATGGAAGTCTCATTGCAACCGACATTTTTTTTTCCTTTTTCCAATTAGGAAGTTTTACATGATGATCATCACAAACATGTGTGGCCAGAATGGAAGGTGAAAAGACAAATTCAAATTGGAAAATGTGTCAAAGGATCAGCGTGGATGGACCTAATCCATTCACTAAAATTTAGTCTCGGGGCTATGTACTATTTCGTGGAACGATGCTGGTTCCACTTTGATCCACTATAATATGTTGTTGAATCTGTGAGCGGTCTACTACAAGTTCATTTTTAGCTCGTACATTATTTTATTGTAGTAGTATAGGTATCGGGGTATCTGATGGCATGGGAGATGCAGCCATGCGCGGAGTTAGGCCGGCGGTGCATTCTGCCCGCCATTCGCCAAGTTTAGATAGTTATAGGGCTGGGAGGAATAACCTCCCGCCACCACCATTCGCAGTCAGAATACAGTGTCTTATTCCCTCGTTTCTGTTCCCTACGCACTAGGTAGTGCTTGTGTGGCAGTTCCATCACTGCCACCAGTATCATATTAAGCTGTGAGGGGGAATAAAAGTAGATTGCCTTATTTCAATGCTCAGGTTCTTAAACTCTTCTTCCAATATTGGATCTTTGTATACGATGGAGATTATCTGACCTCAAGATTAATATACTAAACATCAGCAAACTTGAACCTGCTTCCTTCATCTTTTCCCTTCCCCAATCATTGTCTTCTCCATCATGATCATTTCCTTATATAGACACATAGTATCGTCCATTGGCAGATAACAAGAACGATGATAATCGATGCCAATGTCGACAAGATAATAAGAACAATGTCTGTGCCATAGACAGCGCAAGAGAACGATAAGGGCGATGCAAGTCGTCATTATCAATGTCATGTAGACCGTGGACATTTTGGAGAAGAATAACTCCCTATTGTGATGGTAAGAAAAACCAAGAATAGAAATGAGCATCATCATTCACGGAAATGGCAGATTGCAGAACAATCGATTGAAAAATCCATGTGAAGACAATCACTATTCTCTTTTGCAATTCAGAATCGCCGGCAAAAGATTTTGATAATGCTTCTGATAACTTGAAGTTGAACTATGACATCTCATCGATTCTGTGCTATTGTGCAAATTCCATACATGTATACTACTTATACCTAAATGCTCATTCATATTCCCACTTCCCAGACCCAACAATCCTATGTAGTCCCTTGTGCCAACTCTCAAATGACTCTTTGTAACTTAACCATAGTAAACATCCCCAAGGTCCTCTATCGATCATCACGACTTATAGAAAAATCCAGTGTCCAGCATATCCCCTAGGTTATTCTGAAGAGCAAGATCAAAAACCAGGAGGAAGAGTCGAGATATGAATTTTTCATATATACACAAAACCAATGCTCTGCTCCAGTACATCCATCCATCGCCCAATACACCAAAACCAACACCATGATATCAAACAACCATCATGATCACCAACAAAGAAACGCAGCAACGGTAGCTGTAGCTGTAACTTTATCTTTTTTTTCTGCGAAAATGAATCACCACAGGCTTGAAGAAAATAAAATAAAACAAGAAAAAGAAGTCAAAAACTCCATCATCCAACGCCATCCATACCCATACCATAACCATAACCATAACTCATATCCTCATCAAGTCAAGTCGAACCCATCAAGTCAGTCCTTATAAACTCAACTGATCAATACTCCCAACCCTCCCCCCACTCTTCCTAACCATACCAAGCGGATAAAACCGCTCTTCACCCGCCTGATTCCGTCCCCCTATATACCACTTCTCAGCACCGATCGCATCTCGAAATCCACCCGAGCCACTAGAAGAATCACTACCCCGCCTTCTCCGGTCCGCGGACCCATTTATCGGGATAGGCGTTGATGAAGCCGAAGCCGGTGTAGGGGGTGGAGATGTCGAATGTGACTGCTCCGCAGGGGCATGGTGATAATTCTGACGCTGATGATTATGCTGAGATGTAGATTGGGCATTTGACGGCGTGGTTGTAGATGCAGATGTTGATGTAGAGGTAGGTCCAGATGATGGTTGTGATTGTGATTGTGCAGCAGAGGCACCAGCAGCCTTTGAGGCTATTGCGCGAGCGCTCTGCGAGATAGACGAGGAGAGAGAAACATTCTGAGTAGATTGCTGGGTAGTCTTGAATGTTGATTGGGCTCTGAAGGCGGCGAGGAAGTTCGAGAGGAAGGGTCTGTTGGTTGACATTGTGTCTGTGTGGGTTGGCGCTTGGGATCCCGAGCGTATGTGTGTGTTAGGTTGGGGATCTTTCGATCCAAGTAAGAAATGGAGATCAGGTCAGGTCAGTGTGCATGGGCAGGTGTAGTAAGTAAGTATAAGTCTTGTATCCTTTGATCCGGGATAGATTTGCGGAGCATGGAGCATGGAGTACAGCGGGGAAAGAGGGAAGTTCAGAGATCCCGAATCCAACTTCTTCCGAGTTGAAGGGTCCAATCAGATGGCGGGGATTATGGATATGACGTCGGACAGGGAAATTCCGGGTTCAAAAAATAGAATGAACAGGTTTGAGAGTGTGGAGGGATATGGGGGGATTTAAGTATTAGAATGTGAATAAATGAAGTAGATTGTTTACTAGTGATGAGGCTCTTGAACATCCATACTAAGTATGTAGATGGTAGTAGTAGAGTCCACCTGGCAGTCGAGATCGTCGGGATCATCATCAACTAGGCTTATTATGCCTCATGATGTACTTCATCTACCAGAACAAAGTGAAAAACGGATCATTGGGTCTATTTCTAGAATGCTTTTCGAGTAGAACAGATTCTCTCCTTAAGAAATGAAAAGATATCACGGGAAATAACACAACACCCTATATCACACCTTCTCACAGTTCCCAAGCGCATATGTCCGTGCCGATCTACTTACAGGAACAAGGCCATGCGGATGCATCAGGGGAAAAGATAAAACGAGACCAACAGCCACAAGAGAAAGAAATATCAAAAAGAGGAGAAAAAAAGAGACAGAGAAGGAAAAATCGAAAAATCAAGTCAAAAAAAAGCTGTCGACAATAGCCTTCCCACAAAAGCTTTTTCTCTTTCTGTTGTCGAATCATTCAAAAACACATGCCCAAGTCTATAGTTGTGGACGCCGAACGAAACCACCCGCCATACTGTCTGCCCACCTCATCAAGAGGGCATAAAAAACAACCTGACTCGCAATCAACCACCGTAAGTTGTACTCGCCGTAGAGAGAAGAATGCGGTCCCACACCGGATGGGATCTGAACCAGTAGAGAAGGGACAAAATAAAAGGAAGCCATCAAGGACGCAGAATACACGGGAAAAAAAGTATAAATGAGTCAAAACAAACCAAGACAAGACGCCGGAATCACAAGAGAACGTCGCTGCGAGCTCGGTCGAGCGGAGTCGGGTGGATCAGACAGGAGACGGGGGGTGGTAGCAAGGAAGAGTATATAAACCAAGAAACAAAACCCCAAAAAAAGTTGAGAACGATTTCCGTTGCTGACAGAAGAAGACAAAACAAGATATCCAATGCAAAAAAGAAAAACTATATCTGGAGCTGCCTCGAACATGATCCAAAAAGTCGAGGCTGCAAACGAAGGCAAATCGCATCCATCGCGTATATATAAGAGGAAAAGAGGGGGGAATCAGGAATCCTCACGATGGTCAGAATAGGTCATTACTCTTGCTTCCCATCCAATATCAATCTTTCAGTCATTCCACTGTTGAGCGAACGGTGCGCGTCCGGTTGATCCAAAAGGAAAACGATTTACTGTCGTGCGGGTTGGACGGTGCCTGTTTGGATGGGGGCTTTGAATTAATAAGACTGTTCTAACATGCGGTCTAATATGGTCGTTCATCAAAATTTCTCTTTTTTCAAACATCCATATTTTCGACGCCCCGCGGTATAAGATAAAAAAAAACAAGCAATTGATTTCACTTACCATCACCACCCATTGTGGTCGAAGCCAGGTACAATCCGTTCATGCCACTTTCGGGTCCGCCGGCGGTCGTAGCGGGGTAAAATTTGCGGTCGGAGTCAACGGGAGCGTGGATCGGCTCCTGGCCGGCAGCCATGGAGTGAGGGAAAACGGGGTTCATGTAACCGTCTGAGGGTCCGTGCTGAAACATCGAAGACCAGTCAACACCCGGCTGGGTCGAATGGGGACCGGGCATACCCGGGTGTTTGTGATCGGGGAGGAGATGGGGCTTTACCTGTTCAATAGTACGATCAACGCTCAGTGGCTGGCCATGGGCATCAGAACCATGTTGCATGAGGTACGGATTCTGCTTAGGCGCATTCATCCAAGAGGCTCGCGCGGATGCCTGATCGGCATACGCGTTGTCACTAGGGCCACGGCTCATGCCGTTGGCTGGTGACATACTGAACCCCAGATGCTGCTGATCTTGGTATCCGGGACGACCAACGGCCATCCCGTTACCATTCACATGCCCATCGCTGAATTGCGCACCCATAACACCATTGGAGGTTGGGACGGGATTACTGACTTCATCCAAAGGCTTAGCCGGGTTAGCAGCTGCAGCTGCAGCGGCCGCCTGTTGTGACCGTTTCAGATGGGCCTGAGGGTGCGACAAGTGGGTCGCACCAGTGGGGTTACCCCGACGGATTGAGCACTTTTGGAAGTGACGCTTCAAGATATCGCTGCGAGAGAACGTATCCTTGCAAAGCACACACATGTAAGGACGATCACCGGTGTCTAGAAGTCATCAAAAAGATTTAAACGCGTCATTAGTCTTCAATTTTCGGACATTTTGTAAATCTCAATTCAAGATTGAAAGAACCCACGCGGGTTAGAGAGGGGTAATATAATATTATTAACTCACGTCGCAGAAGATGGCGCTTAAGATGCTTGGCGTGGAGGTAGGTCTTGTTGCAGTGAGGGCAAGGGAATTTGCCATCGGCATCCTTCGCGGGGATAGTGGTGCTCTTTGGTGTGCCATTGACTCCATTGCTAACCGGAGTCGCGCGGCCCGGGACACTCGGTAAGATACCACGACGGCCCTGGGAGCCCACGACCTGCGTGCGAGGTGGCTCCTTAGCTCCGTATGGCGAACCATTCCCGCCATTCACTTCGGGTCCCATTCCCCAGGACTTGCCATCGGAGTAACTGAATGCACCGGAAGGAAGGCCGTTGAAGTCGCGACGGTCACGGGGAGGCGCGGGAGCGATAGGCTGCGGGTAGCTCTGAGCGGAGGATGCGGGAGGCAACACGCTCTGAGGAGGAGGCGGGTAAGACTGAGAGTGATGGCCCTGTGAATGATTAGGATGCGACAAATATGACGGTGGTTGGCTACCGACAGTCGAATGCGGCATTATGGGAGCAGTGGAAGCCCCATACACGTCGTGAGTAGACGCGGGATACCGGGAAAGATCAGGCCGGTAAGGTTGACCCATGTAGGGATGCGGTGCGGGCGACTGCGTGTGGTGAGGCTGGAGCGGAGGCAGCGTATGCGCCTGAGTCACCGGATACTGCGGCATCTGGTATTGAGGCATAGGCATGCTCGAGATTGGAGTGGAGGAGAGCGGCGTGGAACCCTGAGGCATGGTGGTTGATGGAGGCCGCGAAGGGTGCGATCGGGGATCCATTGTTTGATCGGGTGAAAAGCGCGTGGGTACTTTGGAGAGAGGGACGTGAGGTGGAGGAGGGAAGGAAGAATTGATTCGAGGCAGGTGAGAAACACGAATCAAGCAATCATCGAACACCGCAAATTTTCACCCTCTTTCAAAAAAAAAGATCCGGGAGAGGGGAGAGAAGAATTCGAGCTCCTTGTTTCTTTGAAAATTTTCCCGGAAGCGGAACGGTGGTGGCCAGGTCACGAGGTGAAAACTCTCTCAATTGGCAAATGTCTGGGACTTCCGCCGAACAAAGGTCAGTTCACGATGGATTTGGGATTCAAGACACGAAGTGAAGAAGTGTAGGAAGCTTTTGGGAAAGAAGATTTCCCCACGGTCACCCACCGAAGAAAGTCGTGTGGGAACTGGTGTTATCCGCACGTTGTCAGCGTCTCGATGGGTTCTGTATCCACCAAGGAAGCGGGCGTGCAAGTGGGTCTGCAACTCGCAGCACAACAACTAGTCAGATCTGCTTCGCGTCACGGAATGCGTCGAGATCCCAAAAACGAGATCGCCCCAAAAAAAGAAATTCAAACAAGTCAATTTCGAATCTTCGAACGAAAGTGAAGTGGGATGGAAGGGGAGGATGAGAAGAGAGAAAAAAAATCTGCAACTTTTCGAATTTAGGGAAGTAAGAAGAAGAGTGGAATTGGGTTGGGGGAAAAGGGAAAGAGGGAATAGCGAAATGGGGGGCGGGCAAAGTTACCAGATGGTTATTAGTAAAAAAACATGAAAGTTTCAGTGGAAAAATTGAAATAATAAAATAAAATCGAAATAAAATTCAACTGAAAAAAAAAAACTATTTGGTAAAAAAAAATTAAAAAGATGAAAATTCCTGAATGGATGATCAGAGACTTAACTACCGCCGAACACTATAATATGAATTATGAATGTATAAAGACTACCAGACATAGGCAATTCATGGATGAGAAGAATAACTAATATCACTAACAGTGAAGATAATTCTACAATATTCTCCATAGTAATCACTATTCATAGTTATCGCCTCCTTATTCAAGGTCGTAACTTACCATACGTAATACCGTACGAGCCAGAATGCCGCTGTTTCTGGAAACGATGACGATATGCGCGGCCTTCTTCCGAAGACAGCCCAGAGAGGAATGGCCGATCCCAAATGCTCGCAAGCGGAGTACGTGTACAGTTCCGAATTATACAGAGAATATAGAATATACTTGAAGACATTAGATATTATGGCATTTATATTTAATTTTATAATTTTATAATATTATAATGTTGTGAGATTTAGATTTAGATTTATAATCATCTGGTTCTTCCAATTTATCCCCTATTACTGTATCTACTCCAAATACTAAGAATAGTAAATGGTAAATCCAATTCTAAAACAAAAGAACCCAAATATCAGATCTTATGTACGGAGGACCGCTTACCAGACAAAAAACCACATACTGCGTTCAGGACCCCAATTTCCCTTCATCCTCCCCGATCGCGGCCCTTACAAGCTGCCTCGTGTTAACGCCCTGTTGAATGACACGACCAATGCCGTTCCTGGAAGACAAAACAATAAATAATACAACTAATAGTAATGAAATAAATATAAACCAACATTACTATCAATTTACACGATCATAAACAACGCGACCGTATAATATAGAATTATGTACTCCAGGTAGTACGACATGTACATACCAAAGATCAACTCTATACATAACCACAGACCAGATCTGATGGATCGCACTGGAGCTCGGAGACTGATGGAGATGGAGATGGAGAACTGGAGTCACTGGAGCCCTGGAGACCTCCGCCGGTTCTGACATCCCAGCCAGGCTCCGCAGTGGCTTGACACGCCCCGCAGGTAAACAGATCACACATCTCATGCATCTCTGCATCCATTGCACACTACAACGTAATCAAAGCACTGGCACAAGCACCAAGCACAGAACAACTTGAAAAATCTAGAATCTACGCCGTCAAAGCTCCCGGAGCTCTACCAGCGAACCAGGCACGAGCATCCTAGTCGCGCATGAGCACGAGCCGAGCTCAATCTGCACTCGCACTGATCGCGACACGGGAAAGCATCACATCACGCAATCTGGATTCTTCCCCGATGCGACAGCTCAATCAAGTACAAATACATACCACCTCGTAGTTAGGGAGTACCAAAAGAACCTCATCGTGCATTGCGATAGCCCAATAATCATGTATTCCCCCATGCAGGCCTGCAGGGTGGCTTTTTGGCTTTCTGTAAGTACATGCAGGTGGGTACGGAGGGGTGCGGGTTTATTCTTTGTCTTTGATGGAGTATACCTTGTTCAATCCTATGTAAAGACGACTAGAATTACCTAGTTGAGTGTAGTGTAGTGTAGCTGTAGACTCGGTTCATTAGGTACCTCGACATTAGTTTAGGTGTTCATATTCATGTTGGGGTTGGTACGGTCGTTCTTTCCTGTAACGGTCATGCATTGTTGCCCTACATACTTTAGTGCATGCGCCGTAGCCGCCTTCTTTCTTGACTGTTTCCGAGGGACCGAGGGATATTATGGTCGCATTTGTCTATATTTTCCTTTGTATATTACTTTTTATAATTTATATGGTTCGCAATGCATAGAATACTTTTAAGTCTAAACATCAACATTTGAATAGTCAAAGTCAAAGTCAACTTTCTGGCCGCAACAGAAGGCAAATTATAAATCACAATTATGTACTCCGTACTGTATCAGCCATCGTCAGGGGCTTCCATTGGACCGCGTGTCATTTTCCGACTGTAAGTTCCGGCGTTCGCAGTGTACTTTGGCCCGATCTCGACTCACCAGGATTACCTAATGCCAGCAATGCCACTTTCCAGGGGGTTGGGAAGAGGGGAATCATGGTATGTCTCAGCCTTCTGTACCAGGGTTGCCCGGATAAATTCAGATATTGATATTTGGAAAGAAAGAAAAAAACTGAAAGATAATAGTCATTCCTATGCTCTGTATACTATGTGGAAAGAGGTACCAGGTACGACCCTGGCCCCTCCGTTCTCCACCAGCAGAAATTCGCAAGAGCTTCTCCCGCTTCGATTGTGGACCTACAAAAAGGCTTCGACCAGGATTCTGCAGAAATAATCAATCGGATCTGACCATCATATCTCGTGACTTCCACCATATGAAACTATCTGATCCTTGGCGAAGATGACCATCATCCGTGCCATGGATGTTCCTTATTATTTTCTTGGTATCTGGAAAAACTACTTGGACACTGGTATTAAGCTAGCGACTAAACAGGCAGGCCAAATGGAAGATTATAAAAATATAATTAAATAATCCCATAATTGAAATTATTAAAATAAAATAAAAATGAACTCCTCGCTTAACCTTCTCAATTTAATCTCGGCATGTTGCGATGGCGGCCTCCGGGATAAACATTTTCGAACACTCAAGTTGTGGCTTGACTACTGCACGATCGCGGTGTGTCGAATCTGGCAGGTGAGGATATCGGGCCTATTTACATTTACATTAATACGTGAATTAGAATATCAAAGGAAACAAAATAAAATAAAAACCCACCTCCCAAAATAGGAACTAATAGTCATCCATTCATACAACATTGAAACACTGTATGTACCGTACAATAATGGAGGCTCGGCAGCAGAGCCGGGGGCTTACAGAACTCCACTCCAGGGGCTCCCGAAGACGGTTCGGTCCACGAGAGACTACAAATACGGTCTGAGTAACTTCAACAACTCAAGGAGCAAGAAATAGATAAAAATTAACAAACTAGCCCGACGAACAAAACTACGGTGAGACGGTTTTCCGGCATCCAAAAAACCCCCAATCCCAAAAGAGTTCCAAGACTTACCAGATTCATACTGCGGCGCTGAAGAATCCCCTCCGCCCCGAGTCTAAACCTCGTAGCGCAGAGATCCAATCCACAAGGATCGGCAAAATGTCCACCCGTCTTGCTAGTAACCGGCCCCACAATTTTTCTTTCACAAAAATAATGAACCCTCGCTTACGAGGGTCCGCCACCCATATGGAACAGATCACCCATATGGAACATTTTTTCTAAATCTTACCACAACCACTATTATCATCTACCACACCACCAACAATGCCTAAAACCAATAAAGATATAGAGAACCAGATTCAGCTGGCAATAGAGTCTCTCTCTGAGCAATCTAAGCCTAATATTAGGAAGACTGCGCGAGAATTCGCGGTTCCTGAAGGCCGTCTTCGTCGGCGCTGGCAAGGTGGAAAATCGCTTTTCCAACGACAACCTAATGGCCGGAAGCTTAGTATTGCACAGGAGAAGGCTTTATGTGAATATATTGATTATTTTGATGCGGTCGGAGCATCAATAAATCGCCGTCAAATTGCTATTGCTGCCGATTCAATTCTGGAAGAAGATCATACCGACACCACCACAGATCCCCCACAAATTGGCGACCATTGGCTAAAGCGTTTTCTTAAACGGTATCCTAAGTACTATATACGACGTCGGCGAGCTCTTGATGTTGAAAGAGCTACTGTACTGGATAAATCCGTTATAGAGAGATGGTTTTAAGACTATCAACGTATAGTGGCTAAATATAGCATCTGTCAACAAGATATCTACAATTTTGACGAAACTGGCTTCCAAATTGGTGTCGGTCGCGATCAATTTATTATTATAAGACATCCAAAAAAGAAGCTATTTAATGGCTTAGTTACCAATCGCGAGTCTATTACTGTTTTAGAGGCTGTTTCGGCTGATGGCTTTATATGCCCACCGCTGATTATTCTAAGCGCTAAACAAGCATTACTACGTTGGTTTGATAAAATTGAAGACGATGAGCATCTTGCTATAACTGATACTGGCTATATCAATAATATATTAGCATATCAATGGATTCAGCTGTTTTATAAATAGACAATTTCTCGTACCATTGGGAAAAAGAGGCTAGTTTTATGCGATCGTTTTGGATCACATTTAACGCGTTAATTTGTTGAATTTTGTGAGAAGAATGATATCATTCT